CCCTAACACCCTAACACCCTAACACCCTAACACCCTAACACCCTAACACCCTAACACCCTAACACCCTAACACCCTAACACCCTAACACCCTAACACCCTAACACCCTAACACCCTAACACCCTAACACCCTAACACCCTAACACCCTAACACCCTAACACCCTAACACCCTAACACCCTAACACCCTAACCCTAACACCCTAACACCCTAACACCCTAACACCCTAACACCCTAACACCCTAACACCCTAACACCCTAACACCCTAACACCCTAACACCCTAACACCCTAACACCCTAACACCCTAACACCCTAACACCCTAACACCCTAACACCCTAACACCCTAACACCCTAACACCCTAACACCCTAACACCCTAACACCCTAACACCCTAAACACCCTAACACCCTAACACCCTAACACCCTAACACCCTAACACCCTAACACCCTAACACCCTAACACCCTAACACCCTAACACCCTAACCCTAACACCCTAACACCCTAACACCCTAACACCCTAACACCCTAACACCCTAACACCCTAACACCCTAACACCCTAACACCCTAACACCCTAACACCCTAACACCCTAACACCCTAACACCCTAACACCCTAACACCCTAACACCCTAACACCCTAACACCCTAACACCCTAACACCCTAACACCCTAACACCCTAACACCCTAACACCCTAACACCCTAACACCCTAACACCCTAACACCCTAACACCCTAACACCCTAACACCCTAACACCCTAACACCCTAACACCCTAACACCCTAACACCCTAACACCCTAACACCCTAACACCCTAACACCCTAACACCCTAACACCCTACACCCTAACACCCTAACACCCTAACACCCTAACACCCTAACACCCTAACACCCTAACACCCTAACACCCTAACACCCTAACACCCTTAATTGTTCAAGATGGAAATTCATGCAGGGTGGACTCAATTGGATATCAACTCAGTTTTAGCTCTCCAAATATCATTGTCATTGACTTCGCTCATCCATTATCAGAGACTTTAACAATTGACAACCTAAAAGTTACAACCATGACTATCAAGATATCTCGACTGCAAATTGAAAAATCAGCAATTTATCAACCCCAAGCAAGTATCAGATAATAACTGACCTTACCGTAAGCCAACTTCCAATCAATCTTGATTTCAGCTTCAATCAGGGCTCTTATTACCCCCTCTATGAGCAAACAGAGGTTTTTTTTTGCTTAGAGGATAATTAATTTTCTTTAATTTTTTACTGCTTATTATCAATTATTAATATACAACACATGCTATATTACTCATCAACCTTGAAAAAATTAATTTTGTTGAGGTTTTTGGAGGATATAGCATGAAAGATTAGAAGTTATAATAAATAAAAAGCCTACAGATATAGTTTGTGAATGATATTTAAATATAAGAGAAAATTTTTAAGCAGTTTCTTAGATAATTATGCCTCTAAGTTTTATATTAAAACAATAAGATGATATACTGATTAAATTAATTTTATTAATTATTAAATATTTTATAAATTTTAATTGCAATATGGTGTTAAGCAATCTCTGTGAAACATTAAGAATTGTTTTCTGAAAATCATGCAGGAGTTAAAGATTAGTATAATCAATCAATCTCAGATATAATAGAATTCAAGTTCATAAAAACAATACCTTTCTGGAGAAGATTAGATTAGATTTACTTATGTCTAGCGGATCTCTATAAATTTTATATATAACAATGCTTTAGCTAGCAAATTTTAGGTCTTATAAATCTATTAGCTTTTATCTGGATTGCTAATGGAGATTTGATATTTACAAATCTTGCAATAACAGGCAATTAATCTTGAGATATTTTAATTTAAATATTAAGAAAACTCATTTTTTCATTAGCAATTTAACTCTAAATAAACAGTTTTGTTTTAAGGTTAATTTTTCCTTTAAATAGCCAAAGATTAAAATAAATATCAAAGAATGCACATAATCAATAATGGAAGATAAATCTCTTATTTAAAGTCTAATATTAACAACTAGACTTTCTTGTGAATCCAAGAATTAATTGAAGCCCTAGCTCTTTAATAGCACATTTTAAAGCCTTTTATCAAATGCTTATAGGAAGATATCAAATCTTTGCTGTCAATAAGAAGAGCAAGCCAAATAAGCACAAATGCTTAGGATTAATTTAGCAATAAAATTAGGTTTTCTTTTAATAATAAAAACTTAAAAAATATAAAAATCCCATATGCAGAATTATCAAGGAATTCCTCCTTTATAATACTGATTTTTCAAGTAGCGATTTAAGCCGCGCAGATTTTTCCTTTCAGTTGTAAGGAATTCAAATATTATAAATTTATAGATGATTCAATTCTTTAAATTTAATTTTTCAGAAGAAATATAAAGTAAATATGTCATCTCTATGGGGTCTTAATATTTGATGTGCTAAGATGAAATTACAATCCAAGGATCCTTACCGTTTTTTACAACTGAGTCAATTATCTATAAATAAATATCCAAAAGCCTTAATTTCCGTGCTACTACGAAAAATTCTCTTGCCTAGATTGAAGAACTGATGTTCGGGATTCTCCATATAGCCAAATTGACAAATTGAGATATTGACATCAATGTTGAAAAATTTATCGAGAGAGTCGAAGGCAATAATGTATTTTCTTGAGTTCACGTCATTCATGATTATATGCTGTCTTCTTCGCTGAAAAAGTCTTCATTTTGTGTGGAAATTTCAATTAATTTATGAAGATGTCGTTGGCGAGTGGGTTTAAATGAGAATTTGCAGCTTTTTGGACGTTTGAGGACCATCATGGCCTTAGAAGGAGATAATGCCAGTTTCTTACTTTATTACTGACTAACTTGCAAATAAGCATGATTGAGATAAAATTTCTATGCAAGCCACCTTTTGCTTTTTTTTAACATCTCAGGTCAGTCATAATTGATCGAGTTTGAGTCTTATAAATGATGCATTTGGTTTGTCTTAGCCATTGCTTTTATAGAAGGTAGCTGGTCTAATTATTTCTAGAGTTTTCTACTTTGCATATTTAAAACAATAAGCTTTAAATTTTTTGATTGTAAGTAAATATTAATGTTTTTCACTTGAGAGATGCTTCAACTACACAATAACTCAATAATTTATTATGAATTACATAATTTGATATGATTCGATCTGCATCTGTTCCTCCAATTCCATCATATCATGTCCCGGCATCGCCTGTAACGGTACAGCGTTTAGTAACAAGTTTTGTACAGGCATAGCTTATAGTATAGCTTGTAGTATAGCTTGTAATGGCATGTCTTGCACTGGCGCATCTTGTAGTGGAGGTCCTTATATATCAATTTGCATCAAATCTTCCAATTCCAGCATGTCATGCTGTGACACTACCTGTGGTGAAACTGTGCTTAGTACCATGTTATGCACGGGCATATCATGTGCTGCACCATATTGTAGATCCACTTTTTGTATCGCATGTCGTAACTGTAATTCCTGTATTGACATAGCCTGTATAGGCGTAGCTTGTGTCGGAACATTCTGCAGTAGCATATCATCAGACACGTTTAATTCTTAGATTATGAAGCTCTGATGTAGCACGTGTTTCACTTTTGCTGAGCAAAAAAAGGACCCGTGCCAGTTAAATTATTTAACTATAATGGAATTCACTTGATTTCGAAAAAAACACTATCAGCTGAATTTTTTTGTGCAAACACAATATTATCTCTTGTTGATCTAGACAATGAGTTTCTTATTCACACGAATGCATTTTCCCACACTTAAATCAAGCCTAGAAATTATTCCATTTGAATTATTATGTTTGCGTCCACTACGGTAGCCATATTTAAGAATTTTATCAAGGATTTTACCATCTTGATCTGCTGCTTCTGTATCACTTAATCCTGGGTATCAATAAAATAAAATTGTAGTTTCCTTTATTAATTCAATGTGCGAACAGCAATTAGTTTTTCCTTTGAGGTTTTCCCATAGCGCTCAGTGAAGCATAACCTTGTTCTATTACACTATATTCATTTATCACTATCACTAATTTTTTTACTGAATATTGCCACCTAAAGCATTGCTCAATCATATGGAGTTTATTGTAGCTAAACCCAGGAATTGCATCTTAACGCTTATAGCGAATTTATAAATCTATCAATGCTGCATACACTCTCCACTCTTCTTTGACGCTTCATATTTTCTTTATTTTTATATATATTTTGCAATGCTAAGTTTTAATTTTTTCTTACTTTTACTTATGTATGCAGCTAAATCAAAACTTTATAGAAATTCCTATTTTAAAAGCCCCTCAATTATTTAATGAGAGATGAAGAAAATTAAAAGCCATGCTAAATTTTTAAAAGCTGATATTGATATGCCAAAGGTGATACTTATATTAACTCCTTCTTTGTGAATTCATTCTAATCACTTCATTTATTACTAGAGCTATTTTACATCTGATTAATTCTTGATTTTAACTGGCTGATGACTATTCTTTTTCTGAAATGTTCAACGAGTGCTCTCACTTCAGCTTTTATAGCATCTTCTTCTGTAACTGGAGATATTTATGTCTTATCCTCAAATAATGATCTCATGAGCCGATTTACAAGCAGTTGATAGACTAGATGTCACAGCTATAATGATGCCTTCAGCAAGTATGGCTACGCTGCTGCCATTAAATTCTCTCTTACTTTTTCAATTATTTGCTGAAAATAGAAATTCTTATTATAAAAGTTATCAATTTTTTAAATCTAAAAAGTTGAATTTCTTTAATTTCCAAAAAATTTTATGAATATTTTTGATTATTTTAAATGATTAAGTTATAGGTCATTTTATTTAAATCCTTCTTTTAAATATTTAGCCAAAGAGATTTAAACAAATATAATTAAACATGAATTGAAAATTCATTTGAGAAAAAGTTATTCATTATAAAGAAAATATAACTCATTAATCGCTGCTGATAAGAGAATTGGCTTGATTTAAATTATCTTTGAATCCCTAATTTTTTTGCTCTGAATTCTTCTATTAATTTCATTATTGTTATTCTTTTCTGCTACAATTTCTTCATAAAGCCTATGATCAAGGATGACATATGCTATTAGCCATTTTGAGAAAGAGTAAAGCCATTTGGCAGACAATAGATATTTTATAAATTCTGTAAGATGCCTAATATCATAATATGCAATTAGCTTTCTATTTTAATTTAGCTTCAAAATTGTATTTTTTTAATTTTAAAATTTTATTTCAAAGCTAAATTAATATAGAAAAATATAATTAATCTTTAAAATACTACATCTTTCTATACTAAAATATTTTATATCTCTGATATTGTTTATTTGTCCTAGTATCTATACAAATATTAAAGTTCAATGATTTTTTCATTTTTTGTAGTCTAAATATGTTGCTAAAAATTAAAAATCTCATGCAAATAGTAATTCCATATCATTATCTTGAAGTATCTAAAATGCTTATAGGAGTTACCTTTCAAAATTAAATATTTCAAAGCCCTTTAAATTTAGCATTTATTAAAATTAAAAATTTAATTATTATTTTTATTTGTTAAATTTTAAAAATCCAAGATAAGCCTTCTAAATTCTACATCCATAGCTTCTCGTTTTGTATAAAATTTCTAAAAATCTTGAATGATATTATATTCTTCCATTTTAGATATGATTTTGGCCTCTAGTGTAGCATCCTATTCATATCACTTTTAATGCGGCAACTAAACTTACTTTTAGCAGCTTCAATGTTTTATCACTTAAATTAATCTTGCAAAATTAATTTTAAATGCCACTAATGCATTGTTGAGTTAAAAGCTTTTCGACATAAAAATGCTTAAATGGCTTTTCGTGCATAGATGCTCATATTTAGGCTTATTTTATTTTCAGTCTTTTGATTTGAAGATTTGAGCAAGCTGAGGACTTAAGAAAAATTTATAAATAATTTTACTGATAAGCTCTTTAGTCGTAATTTATAGAATCCTTGTAATCTCAGTTGACCTAAAAATATTAATTCTAGCGTATTCATATAAGCTTAAAATTTAAGTAGGTTGCTTTAGAATTAATTTGAGCTTAATAAGTTATAATATCGATATCATAATTACTTAGGGAGAATGAAAATTTACTGTCCTAATTTAAGCCATTTTGTAATTATTTGTGCTAAGACTAAATAACCTTTATTTTCTCCAGCAGTAAATATTCATATTGGGAAGAATCAAATTATAAGAACTAATTTTAATTTGATAAATAAGCGTCTATTATAAAAATTTCTTATAGAGGTAATTTTATTCAAGGTAAGCGGGTGTATTTAAATAATAGCAAGTTATAATTTATGCTTTTCTGTAATTATATAGATGTTTTAGCTGGTTAATATTTAGAGCTCTAAGAGCTCAGTCTCCTACAAAAATTTATTATCATAATTTAAGAATTTATCTCTGCATACAAAATTATTAGTGGATGCAATCCTTTGAGGCTTTTTGGCTTATAAAAATTCTTGAACTTTATTTCCTTTGATACTTCCTCAAAAAGCCCATTATAGGTTTTTTGTTCAAACTCCTCTAACCTCAATTGTCTTCTATCTGGATTCATCTTTATGTTCATATCTGGGTTGGCCTTCCTTTCAACAATATTTTCCTTTTCAATATTGGCATTCTACGTGCCTATTCTCCTCCCATTTTATCTCCCAGTTCATTTTGCGCTTTTAGTCTCTTTAATCCTCTTTGGTCTTTTCGCCTTTTTTATTCTGTTTTTAGCTTCTTTTGATTCTCTGCATCCCTGTTTCTGTCTTCCATCATTTTTAGCTTTGATTTAGAGTCACTTATATTTCAATGGATAATATAATTAAATGGCGATCTCGACTCAACTTAAAGGAGTCATCATTATTTTATGCCTATATTTTGGCAATACTTATTCTCCTCTTGGAAGATGGGTTCTTACCTCAAAAAACTTGGTAGATGGAAAGATCATAGATTTATCATCCTATAAAAATGACCCTATCCAACAATATAGAAGTCAAAAAGCTGGCCCAATTACTACAGGCATCCTCAATTGCAACAGTTTCTATGCTGATGGTGAAGCTTACTACTACTTTGGAACTTTAAACTCTATCACTCCGTCCTCTACAGAATTCGGGATAAGTGCATGAGTGAATATCTCAGACGAGGACTCATTAGATCCACTTATTGTAGCAATAGGTCTAAATGTATATTCATACGGAGTTGCTATTGATAAAGGAGGAAAAGCTCACCTTCACCCTGGTAGTATTCCTCTAAGTAGTTCTCTTACCCCAGGTACTTTTTATTATAGGAACATGAATGCTTATGGTATATTACTGGATCAAGAACGCTTCCTTGTGGACATGGAAAGTCATTATTCCAGGAATCGACGCTGTAACTTATTCTAATGCTAAAAATACCTATCCAGGCAATTACTTTTTCCTCGGTTTTTCATATTCAATATTATATTTCTATGAGGTTCAATACTTCATAAAGGCCACAGTTAATTCCTTTGCAGTCACCCTATACGACAGTTCTGATTCTACTTACATTGCAACGACCTCTGCCTGCACAAATTCTTGCAGCAATTATTGCCACCCTGAGAAAGGATGCTTAAAAATAACTTGCGAATGCCCTACATATTGTACTTGCTCTGCTAATGATGATGTATGCACATCTTGCAATGATCCTAATGCAGACATTGCAAATAACTGTCAGTGCAAAGCTGGCTATCACCTGCAAGGAAGTTCTTGTGTCTTTAGTAATTTTTATACAGTCCCTCCTGCAAATTGTGCAGTTTGAATATCAGGAACTGTATGCACTCAATGTAATTCAGACTATTTCCTCTATGATAATGGCGCCTCTACAACTTGCTTGGGTAATTTTTATTTAGCTTGTGCAAATTCATGCTCTTCTTGCAGCGCTACTCCAAGTTGCTTTTATTGTGCTAATTCAATTGTTCAAGATGGAAATTCATGCAGGGTGGACTCAATTGGATATCAACTCAGTTTTAGCTCTCCAAATATCATTGTCATTAATTTCGCTCATCCATTATCAGAGACTTTAGCAATTGACAACCTAAAAGTTACAACCATGACTAATCAAGATATCTCGACTGCAACTTGGAAAATCAGCAATTTATCAACCCCAAGCAAGTATCAGATAATAACCGACCTTAGCGTAAGCAAACTTCCAATCAATCTTGATTTCAGCTTCAATCAGGGCTCTTAGAGGATAATTAATCTTTCTTTAATCTCTATTCCTCTTATTATTCATTATTAATATACAGCATATGCTATATGACTCATCTAACCTTGAGAAAATTAATTTTGTTGAGTTTTAGGAGCCTTAAATTATTTTATGAAAGATTAGAAGTTGTAATCACTAAAGCATCCTATTATTTTTGAAGCAGACATAATTTGACAATGATATCTAAAAATAAGAGAAAATTATTTTAGTTCTCAATAATGCTGAATCAATAAAAGAAAATATAACTAAAGTATGCAAATAATTTTATAATTTTATGGCACAATTTACTGCAGCATTGACTAAATTATAATTTTTGCAACTCCTAAATTTATCCTTTGAATGCCCTAACTATCAAATTATCATTAACAAATTTGATTAAATTATTAATTAAGAATAGAATCGCTCCTTCAATCCTAACAATGATGAGATTATCTCATCAAATTAAATTTATCATTTTGGCAATAAAAATGCAAAAATATAATGTTGCCATTGAGTATTTGATTAATCCGAAAGGAGAAATAAAGATTCTTTTTGATGCCTTCAGAATAAAACATCAATTAATGATATATTATCATTTCGAGTGATAGCTATGAAAATGGATCCAAGAGAATTAAGCAAAAACTAAAAATTACGATTTTTAATAAAATAGAAGAAATGATAATATTCGATATAAATAATGCTACTAACCATTTTGAATATAAAATCTCTTTCAATTTTAAGATAACTAATTTTTTAAAAAATTTATTATTATATTGTTATATCTAAGAGCATCAATTTCAAGCCTAAAGAAGTAAATTTCCTCATAAGATTAAATTTTTGAGCTAATCATTTTAATTAATTTGCAAATAGCTACTCTAGCATACAAAAATTCAATAGAGAACTAAAAGATATGCTGAACACTAAGGAGATACTTCTTATCATCATAGTGCAAAAAATTTAAAAGAAATGAAGTAATATTTAGAAAAAATAAATAAGTCTAAATATATTAAGGCATTTTATTCAAAAGTTAAACATAATTTAATCACAGAGTTTCAATATTCTAAATTTCCAGCATAAGGTGGAAATAAAAGAATAATCATATGACTGGCGTTTTGTTATTTCTCCTATAGAACCCAAGCTCTATTTTTACTCAGCTGTATTCAATACCTCTGAAACAACTTTGGAATTTGGATTGGCACTTTTTAACGGTAAGTTAAATTTTTGAGATACTGCATCTTAGATGTCTGGGAATCATCAGGTGAAGTCTTAGCCAAAACAGAGCTCGAACTATATCCTTTACTTATAGCAAAATTTAAAGCGCTGTGTCTTAATATCTATCATCATCAATAATTTCTGATTTTCAAATATATTTTGGCAAGAAAAAAGATTAATAGCTTAAAAAAATGCTTTTATTAAATAAAATTAAAATTAAAATAAAAGCTAAAGCTTTATTTATTTTAGTATAGCTTCATTGCTCCCTGATCTGAAAGATTTGTCATCTTAATTGATATAATTAAAAAATGAATAGCAGGTGTATAGGTATACAGCTTTCCTGGTGATGGCGCATTGCGCGCCATCACCAGGAAAGCTGTATATGCAAGAAGGTGCTACTGGATAATCATTTCGAATATAAAGCAGCAAGCATAAGAAGTCTCTACTTTAAATCATGAACTTTAACTGTTTCTTTTTCGAAAGACAATGTTTATTTAAAATAACCAAAAATAGATTTAAAAAATTAATAATAATTTTCTATTTAAAGTAAATAACTGATAATTTAGTGGCAGCAGTGTAGCTATACTTGTTGAAGGCATCATTAATAAGCTGCAGCATCTAATCTATCAAATGCTTGCAAATCAGCTCATGAGATCATTATTTGAGTATAAGACATAAATAACTCCAGCTGCAGTAGAAGATGCCATAAAGCTGAAGTAAGAACACTTTTTAAAAATTTCAGAAAAAGTATAGTCAGCAGCCAGCTAAATCAAGAGTTAGTCAAATGTAAAATAGCCCAGGACGAAGCCCAATAGTAAATGAAGTGCTTACTCCCCCCTTCCGTGAGCGAACAAAAAATTTTGCTCGCTCACGGAGGGGGTTAATTTTTTTTAGAATTTAAAAAATCCACTTCTCGAAAATTGGAGTTCAAAGATTAATTTAATTTGTAAAGTTTATATTTTAAAACGCAATTTGCTTAAAATTAAAACAGAATTAGCTCGAGATTTCATGATATAGTTATAACATATATATCAAAAATTTTTTCCCATAAAAATTTTTCTATTAAAAAATATTTTGTTTTGGGCAAAAAATAGGGATTTTTCTTCGCTCAGGGGGGGGCAAGTTAGAATGAATTCTCAAAGAAGGAGTTAATATCAGCATCACCTTTAGCATATCAATATCAGCTTTTAAAAATTTAGCATGGCTTTTAATTTTCTTAATCACTCATTAAATAATTGAGGCTTTTGAAATAGGAAATTTTATAAAGTTGTGATTTAGCTGTATACATAAGCAAAAGTAAGAAAAAATTAAAACTTAGCATTGCAAAATATGTGTAAAAATAAGGAAAATATGAAACATCAAAGAAGGCTAGAGAGTGCATGCAACATTGAAATTCGCTATAAGCGTTAAGATGCAATTCCTGGGTTTAGCTATCATAAACTCCATATGATTTAGCAATGCTTTAGGTGGCAATACTCAGTACAAAAAATTCATGTTACTGATAAATGAATATAGTCTAATACAATAAGGTTACGCTTCCAATGAGCACTCTGCGGGAAAAACTCAAAGTAAAACTAATTGCTATTCGCACCATGAATTAAGAAAGGAAACTACAATTATCTTTTTATTGTTATCCCAGGATTAAGTGATACAGAAGGGGTAGATCAAGATGATAAAATCATTGATAAAATTCTTTTCACTTGAATATGGCAATAGTAGTGCACAGAATCATAATAATTCAAAAAGGAACAATTTCTAGACTTGATCCAAGTGCGGGAAAATGCATTCGTACGAATAAGAAACTTATTGTCTATATCAGCAAGAGAAAATATTGTGCTTGCACTAACAAATTCAACTGATAGTGTTTCTTTCGAAGTCAAGTGAATTCCATTAAAAATTAAAACAACATATTATGTTAATACAAGCGCCTCCAGCACAAATATAAATACAGGATGTGAAGTATATAGAAGTTTTTATGAGTGAAATTCAATGAAACACTTAAAGTTCTAATGCAAGATTTATTGAGCTTTAAAACTATAGACATAAGAGACTTTGAAACAAATGAGACTGATTGTGCAAAATGCAGCTTTTCTGGTGCAGTGTTAAATTTAATAAATTCTATACAAATAAAAGCTGAGATAAAGAGTTAGAAAATAATAAATTTGAAGAAAAGCGTAGCTTTGAAGAAAAAAAGGATTTCCAAGAAAAAATGATTTGAACTAGAATACCAAGATTTAGCACAATCGAATACACCATGCTCCTTCTGTCTAATTTTATGTCATGAAAATTGCGATTTGGAATATAATCCTAATGCAAATTCGAAGGCATTTATAAGCTACTGCTGCATAAAGGGCTGACGGACTTTTAGTAGAGATAGATGTAATGTTTTTAAATGCCCTTTCTCAACTCATTATCATTAAAGAAAAATTTCAGTTAATTTTAGAAAAGAAATAGCAGGGATATCAGATCAAAAGAAGAAAGAAAAATGCAAAATTTTTATCAGAAGGCTAAATGAAGTATCAAATGAAGTGTGCAAAGAGGAAATAGAGTTTAATCAGTGCAATAGAAATATTGAGCCAGCAAAAATAGAAATAATTCAAGCAGTAAATAGTCTGCTAGAAGATGTATCAGATTAATGCATTTGAGAAATAATTGAAAATTATATTGAGAGATTGAAAAAACATTGAAAAAGAAAGAGATTTGGAAAAGAGAGCATATTTTAATTAAATAAAAAGCTTTCGCGGAAGTTCATAGCTAGCTCCCAAGGCAATCTCAAGGGAAATACTAACCCAATAACCTCAACTTCTGTCAAGCATGGTATAAAAGTGATAGGAAAATACTAAAAAAATACTGCATTCTTCTGAGAGTCAAAAATCTGGAAAGAAGAAAAATATTAATTAAAAACTGGTTCTAAACTTTATCTATACGTAAACCTTTCGTTAGAAGATATAAATTATTCAAAGTCAATTAAATATAAAATTATGCATATTTTAAAAGCGTATCTGGGTTTACAAATTTTTAGAACGCATTTAAATAGTCTACCAAAGATAAAGAATACTTGCAATTCCATCTAAGATTTTTAAGTTCTGAGAGTATAGAAAAATATCTAGAAATCTGATAGGCGATGATGATATTGAACAATAGCAGAGCTCATGATTATTATTGAATTATTATTTAAGATGAGCTAATCCAGGCTAGATATTTTTAATACTAAACTTTAGGTGGGTTTAAGATTAAAGAAACAGCTTAATATAAGAAGAGCAATTATTTTAATAATCCATTAGACAAGTTAATATTTCTTAAAAATTTTTATTAATTACAGCTTCTTGATCAAGGAAGTGTCTCTTATTATAGCAGATTGTGATCTTCAAATATTGCTCTATATAAAAACAAGTAGACATAGAATTACAGAAGAAGAAGAAGTCAAATATTTTGAATTATGAACAGATTTTTATTGAAAGTCCACCTGCACGTCAAATAATACGAACTTTTATAGCGTTAATCCTTAATAACTTAGAAATAGATTAGAAATCATTTGGGATATCTTTTAAATTAAATTGGCATAGAAATCTTTAAAAAATTATGATTTAATATACAATTTGGTTAATTACCTATATTCAGACAATATATCAATGTTTAAAAACGTGAAAGTGATTACTACTGATGAAATTGTATAGGAGATTTGAAAAGTCAGCTATGTGAAAGAAGAAAGAAGTGCTGCCTGGATGTCAGTAGGAAGGATATTAGTATTATAAGGAATTTATGAAGTTACGGTTATTGCTCAAGGAGCTAGGGTGGCTATATGTCCACTAAAAGTGTATTGGACGATTAAATTACTTGCTCCCCATCTCTATTTTTATTGTTTAACTGTAGCTTGAAAATGGAATTGGCACGATGGAAAGTTAAAGGAGGAGACTTTAGGCCTAATTTGGTAGCTTGAATTAATAACAACATCTTATATAAACGCTTATTTCACTTGCAGATGCTAAATGTTTAATCATCCATTTGTTCTATTAGAATCAGCAATAGAGCAGACAAAGAATTATCATTTTTAGGGCATTTAATATAATTGGCTACGGAAGGAATGTCAACTGATTCACATGCAGGGTTTACAGAGCCAGTCTAATGGGAATCAGGGATTATTTCAAAGTGTCATGTTTCCATAGATCGACACTAGCAGGGACTGCAAATAAAAATAAGGTTTTCTTTTGAGCCAACAGTAGCATTTGTATAAGATGAGCTGAATACTGAAGCAGAAACTGAGGCGCAACTGAAAAAGTAGTTTGCATCATAAATTTTCCATTTGGGAAAGATCTAGTAATCACTTGAAATGGCCCATAAGGCAAGGGAGTTGATAAAGTAAGTTCGATCATTATCATAATTATAACTTGTGCTTCGATTTGAATTTGCCTGGCTTTTATCAATAACTAAAATATGCAAATAATTTTATAATGTCATGGTACGCAATTTACTGTAACATAGGGTGAAATTATAATTTTTGCAACTCTTAAAATTTAGCCTTTTAATGCCCTAACTATCAAATTATCATCAACCAATTTGATTAAATAATTAAGAAAGGATAGTTTCGCTCCTTCAATCCTAAAATTAAAAAGATTATTTGATTAATCGGAAAGGAAAACTTAGAAACTTTTTAATGTCTTCAGAATAAACATCAATTAATAACATAATATGATTTCGAGTGATAGCTATGGAAATAGACCCAAGAAAATTTAGCAGAAACTAAAAATTAAGATTTTTGCAAGAAGCAGCTAGGAGCATCAATTTCAAAGCATCAAGAAATGTCTCTTTAATAATAAATGTTTTCGTCATTATGATTACCATATTTTTATCTTCATTACAAGCTAAATTTACGAACTGATATAAATAAAATGATTCGCCACCTCTATTTTGGACTAATTGCATTAAATTTTCTGCTTGTTTACACATTAGATGGCTCAAATATTGCTTTGGCCATCAATGCAGGAGGCGAAGAATATGCATCCTCTCTGGGCTTTTCATATATTGATGATACTAATTATTATGCGGGAAAATATTGTGACGCTCTCCAAAACCTAAACACTATTAATAACACAGTCAATGGCTTTATTTACCAAAGTTGTAGATTGTGCAAAGGAACTTGAGAGTACAATCTCCCAATAAGTTCAGAAGGATCTTATGTTCTCGTTCTTCAATTCGCAGAAATTCAGTATGAATACACCAATCAAAGAGTTTTTAATGTCACTATTGGAGACCATGTTGTTGCTAGTCATTTAGATTTGGTTGCTGCAGCTGGATTTCTTACGGCTTATGATATTTTTATATCATTTAATTTTTTGGATCGAAATGTTTCTATTGATGGAAGAGTAGCATCTGGTGCTTACCAAGATGGTAATTTGCAGGTTCGATTTTATGCAGTCATTGAAAGACCAGCGCTTTCAGGCTTAATTTTAGTAAAAGGGGAATGCACCGTTGCTGACAATTGCAATATGTGCTATCAAGAAAGATGCCTAGAATGCAATAATCATGATTTGACTTGCAACAAGTGTATTAATAATGCTAGTATTAATAATGGAGTCTGCCAATGTAATGAAGACACTTTCTGAGAAGAGTCATTAAGATCATGTGTACCTTGCAATTTATGCAATAATTGCGTTGACTGCATGCTTTGTGCATCTAGCTTTTATATGTATCTTGGATGGTGTGTTTCTAAGTGCCCAGATGGGTTTATAGAAAGTGATTCAGATTGTGTCGAAAATGATCCTTTCATATTTTATCTCTCATTTGATACTCTGAAAGGAGTTGTTTATGACAAGCAAAGCAAAATTCCAGCCGTAACTGGAAACAGCATAGATTTTTACCCAGATTACGATGAGTTTGATCCAGTGGCAGCTTTCAATAGAGGATTTTATTTTAATGGAGTCAGCTCTTTAATGCATCTGCCTCCTTATTCTGAATACAGTGATCCAGTTCTCAGCTTTGGCTACTCTTTCACTTTTGCTATATGAATTAATATAGAAAATAGCTTTGGATCCATCATATCAAAGCAAGATTTGCTTTATAATCCAATCTTTTCGCTCCAAATAGTAGCTGGAGTTCCTCTTATTTCATTAAACCTTAAGACTGCTGGATTGAGTCCTTTCTTTTATTTACAAAGTCTTGAATCCTATGAATGGGCCCATATAGCATTTGCTGTAGAATATGCCTATTAATTACTTATGTTTAACTTGTCACCTTCTTATGCTAGTTGATTTGAGTATGCTTGGGTTCACCCTTTTAACTCCCCCGACCATTAATGCCGCAGCCATTTCTATATCACTATTTTTATCTTTGCAGCTGTTCCAAACTTCAATAACCCATAAATCTGGTTAGGAAACCTCACTGGGCCAGTTGCTTTGCTCTAACTTGACTCCTGAGTGTGCTTGTACAACCCTAATAATTGTATATTTGAGGAATTTTAGCACAAAATTTTCAGACATTAATTTGCATAAACAGATTGAAGTTTGCTTATTTTGGATTTTCAGATAAATGTAAAAAATCTAAATTTGGGCATTTAACCAATAAATTTAGCAGCTTTTGATCTATATAAATTTATTATTTGAAAATCTTGGGTTAAATGACAAGAATTTGCTTACTACTATGGGATTAAAATTTCTTCCTGCTCAGAAATAAGAGGTAAGCCCTATGCGTCCTAAAATGCAGGATCAGTAGCTACAGCCGATGGGTTGGGAGTCGCTAATATAGCTTGTTATGATACACCAAAAACGCTAAACCTAAATTATAAATTTGCCAAAGGCGGAAAAGCTCTCAGACAGAACTTATTCCGACAATGCTATTTTATAATTACGAAGCATAATATGCCAATATAAAGCAGGCCAACATGATTTTGTACTTGAACGGAGTAATAAACAGCCAGCTTGCTTTCGGATCTGATTATTTTGAAGATACAAAAACAGATATTACTTTTACCATAGGAGCAGAAAAAGATTCTGCAGGCTATAAAAGTTATTTTAAAGGATTTATTTATGATATAAAGGGCTACAACTCAGTAGCAAGCATATCAACACTTTCATCACCAGCAGGACAGTGCACAGAAAATTGCAAAGCATGCCTTACAAATGGAACCTGCATTCCAAATTGTCTAATTAGCCAATATTGGTATGGTCCACAATATAATAAATGCTACAAGTGTAGCAGTGGATGTCCAAGTTGTAGGGCTTCTAGTAGTAATTGTAATCTTTGCAAGAATCCAAAATGCGAATCTTGCTATGATTTTACCTCAGAATCTTGCACTAAATGTGCCGCTGGTGCTTTCAATACAACAAATTGTCAATGTAACTATGGTCTTGCTTGGAACTCAACTTTAGGAGTCTGTGAGCCTTGCCACCAATGGCAATTCAAAGCGAACGATTCCTGCTATGATTGCCCTCCTCTTTGTGCTGAATGTGACAGCGAGAGTAAGTGCACAAGGTGCATTAGCAATGCTACATTGAGTTCTGGAAGCTGCATTTGCTCTCCTGGTTACACAGGAACTGAAGCATGCATAGATATTCCCTTTGATGTTTCTCTTAGCATTAACGAAAATAATACTTTGGTTTTAAACTTCAGTGAAGCCTTAAAGCAGGATTTAAGAAAGGACCAAATTTCTATAAAAATTCATAATGATACAATTCCATCATGATCAGTTTCCAAACTTTCAAGCACAGAATTTTTAATATCATGCAGGTTTGAAGGAGAAATCTCAAAAGGCACAAATATTACAATCTATTTTGTGAATTCGGCAAGCATTGTATCTGTTTCGGGAGGTTTAATTCACGAAAAATATTTAGAAAGTGCTTTGTATAGCTCTTCAATAAAATATCATCAGCAATCAGCTTTTGACTTTAACTTTCCAGATTCTCCAGGAGAAATTGTGGCTTTTCTAAGCATTCTTTCTGGGTTAATCAGCCCAAACCCTTCTGCACTGCTCACGATTTTGAACAATATCCAAATATTTACTTACATCCCTTATGCCGACTATCCCCTATCTGATAAAGTATCGGATTTTTTGAAATCCCTCACTGATTTTAAGCTTGTTCCTAATCTTTTTCTTCTGTTCATAGATCAATCGAATTCAGCCCCATATAGTAGGGCTTCAAAATTTGGTTATAATAGTTATTTGCTACTGGTTAATATAGGAGACAACTTAGTTCTTATCTCATTCATTTATATTGCTATTTTTCTTGCTTACTTGATTCGGATAAACTCTCAAAGGTATATTCTTAGTAATAAATTTGGTTTCTTTTTACAATTTTTGATCGCATCTTATCTTGATCATAGCTTCTCAGCTGTAGTTGGCATTTTGAGTACAACAACTGATAAAGTTTTTGATAATGCGCTATATTCCACGAACTATTTTCTTTGCTGATTTGTTGTTGTAATGGTAATTTAGGCTGTAGTAGTTATTGCTCCTATTCTTAATGCATGCTTTTGGTTTTTCTGTTTAGACAAAATTAGAAGCAGAAGTAATGAAGAATGACTGGATGCATTGAAACCCATATACAGAGAATTTAAGAATGACAAAGGGTTTTGGAGCACCCAATTCTATACGTTATATTATCTAAGAAGATTGATATTTCTTATAGCTCAGGTATTTTTAAATGAATGGCCTGCAGCTCAGCTTGCAATCAATGGAGCTCTATCATTATACGTATATTTTATATAGATTATTTATTTTTTATGTGCTAATCGCCCTTTTAAGAATTGTTTTATTGTTTGGATTCAAATAATAACAGAATGCGGGATTTTTGTAGTCTTTATCTTGGTTAGTCTCTGCTACATGGATTTTGAATGAACGGACGATGCCATCATTTATTTTATAATATCCCTAATGGGGATACAAACTTTATGCTCAGCATTAAACTCTTTAAAAGAGTGGTGCCGCAGTAAAAATAGAATAGAAAATTCTATTCCTCAGCGTCCAAAAAATGATGCTAGAAATGAAAGCAATTCACATATTGTTTTAGACAATACATCAACGATGTTTGATATTTAGCTTTCTAATTAACTAAATTAAATATTAATAAGAATAATAAAAATTAATTAGGCTTTGCCATGCATTTTTATTCATATTAAGGTTTAATCTTTTTTTATTAGATACTTTTAGCATAATAAATAAGTATGCCTAGAAAGTCTGCATTTTATTGCGAATAAGCATAACTATTCTATCTGAAATTTTAAAATTTTTCTTCTATTTTGCCTCCAGGCCAGCTGATAGCCTATTAATGCAATTCCATCTGCTACTTCTGTAAAATTCAATTTCATAAATAGCTGGCTTATACTATAAGTAAATTTTAAAGGCGCTTTATAGTCTTTTCACATTGCATAAAATCTAGGATGTGTATCTTTATTTTCTCTCCGTTAGATTTCTGTTAATAAATAAATATGTTTATAAATAGCATGTAAAAATTAAAATTAAATAGCATAATGCTAATTTTTGAATAGGCTTCTTATATTATTAATTGCCTTTTCCTTTCGTTTTTTAGTTGATGCGATTACAAAAATAGACCATAAGGTGCTATAAAATGGTATTTGCCATTTCGTAACTTTTTCTATTACTAGGATCTATAGCTCCTTATTTCAATTTGATATTTTGCTTTATAGCTGCTTTTAAAACTATCTATGTGTTTTCTTAAACTTATCAAGGAATCAGGATGGCCTAAAGTTTTTTAGATCCCTAAAAACCGTTTAATTTCTGATATTAGTTAAGTATGCTTATAAATAACTATAAAATTGTAGCTAAAATTTATCTATATATTTCATCAAACAATCCTTCATTGCCTTCTTTTATTTCTCCTGCAGAGCTGTTTCTCCAATCTTCAATTATCCTTTCATCAATATCTAAAATTACTGCAATCGGTTTAGCATATCCGACTTGATTCACTAATGCCACAATTTCTTGTTTAATTTCACTATCAAGCCACTTGTTTTTCTTTGTCTTAGCGATTTTTAATGTGTGCTTAATTTCTTCACATTTATCAATGATTTCTTTTGATAAAATATTCCTGACTTCATTTATATAAGAAATTTTATTAGTTTCTTCTTTTTTCTTGACCTCTTCTAATAAGGATTTCTTTTCTATAGTGTTTTTAATTTCTTCTGTGTCGTCTATGCAGATTGCAGATTTATCAGTTGTAAGGGTATTCACGCTGGAAAAGCAATTGGGATTTTCTTTTAATTTTTTACGTCAGGCTCGTAGACGTTTAGAAGAAATGTTAAAAAGTTTTTTGAACACGCCCGATCCTCCGTACTCATCATATATTTTTACAAGTTCTTCTTTGATGTAGTTTGGAATTTCTCTCTTTTTTTGACGGCTGTTTACATTTAATGGTGTGAGCAAATCACGGACTCTAACCAATCTATCGGCTAATGCTCTAATTTTATCTACTTCAATTAAATTCGACATTTATTATGATCCCCTAATTTATGAGGCGTAAAAATAAGCTCTTTTTAGGATTTGATTTAATTTCTTCCTTAAATGCCGAAGCCATATTTTGATATGGAAATAATTTGCAAGATGATGGAGAAGCAAAAATAAAAATTTCTGATCTGCTTATAGGGCAAAATATTATTATTGAAATCGGTTATGGCGTGTATACAGTTCCGAAGTCTCATTTTTCTGTGAATTTGAAATTAATTTGATTGAGAGGTATGGGATTATTGAAATTATCAATGAAAATTTGGCACAGAGAGCAGGAGCTTATATAAAAGTGCTTGTAAAGTAGAAAATCGGAGATATTAAGTTTTATAAGGATGGGTATACAGATATTAAAGGAAAATTTGATTATTATTAAATGCCGAAAGTTAAATAATTTTTTGAGACTAATAGAGTGTCATAGCTTTGGTCTTGGGACTTTAAGGAGTTTGATTGAGCCTGCAAAACGTTCTTACTTTTAGGAATGGCCTTTAAGCCCAGCCTGCAAATCAATGGCTTTGTAAATCTTAGTTTCTCCTCGTCGGTATTGATTTTGTGGATTCTTTTCTTGAGCTAGCCCTCGGTAAGCTTTGAAATCCATTTCATCGATAAATTATAATTAATGATTTTACTATAAAGATAAATTTATGACGAAATTCTAAGGATAATAGCTAATTAGATGCTTAATAATTTTTTATCTCAAAGTCTATAAGCTAAGTATGATGGAAATCAGATACCTTATATTAACATAACTAAGATTTACATAATTAAAATATATTTTCAAAGCTAAAAACGCTTCTATATACTTTTAGGCTCAAAGGTCACACTGATGGCTATACTTTTCATTTAAATAATGAGCTATTTGGTTTATATACTTTGCTTAGTTAGATTCTCTATGTTTGTCTCTCTATTGAGCCTATATTGCTTCTTTTCAAGTTTTTCTTAACTTAATTAATATTTAGGAGCTAATAACCCTGATATCTCTTCAGATGCCAATGTTTCGTTAAAGCTTATTTGGCAGTAATATTTTTTACCTTCTTTATTTTTAGTATATCTCAAATAAAATATCACAGATAAAAATTAGAATATTCAAAAGTTAAAGTTTCTGATACCAAAATTGTTGCTTCCATATAAAATAAAATATTATTCTCTATTATTTCAAGCTGAAAAATACTCTTTTAATCTTCTTCAACTTTTAAAAATGATACCCTATGCTAGATAAAAAAACGCACGAAAAAACGCTTTTTTTTAATTTTGATATTTTATTGAATTTTTTATCAAAATCAACCAAAAGTGCAATCACCCGACTTTTTAAACACTTTAAACTAAAAACTTAACGCAAAAAAATTTTCTAGGTATAAATTTAGCAGGTTCTTATAATTTTAAATGGTAGCCAGAACAATAAGACAAAATTCTCCAGAATCAGCTTTCAGTGATTTCACCTATCAATTCAACAACACCATTGAAGGAAACCTAATTGGGCACCTCAGAAGATATGGCCAAGCCACTCTGTACGAATTAATAGAGTGTGTGGCGAGCAATAAGAATCTCCGGACCAAACACTCAAAAAGATATAGAAACAAAAATATTGAAAAGCTAACTCTATCAAAACTCGTAGCCAAGCAGCATATTTTCATCGAAAACCAAAACGGTCTTTGGGCACTTGATGTAATTATTATTTAGGAAAAGGCTGCCACAGAATATGAGCAAAAAAAAATTTTAGAGATCAAGGAAATAAAAGAAAAGAAGCATGAAATAAGGGCAAAATTAAATAAAAAAGATAAAACCAAGCAAGAAAAATTCAAAATTTTTAACGAGTTGATCGATATGGATATTTTTCTTAAGCTCGAGCAGCTTGAAGAAATTTTAGAATCTTCCAATGAAAGTGCTCAAAAACAAATTTTTGAATTTTTTGAGCCTTTGTCTATCACTAATACAATTTCTAACAGCTAAATTTATTAGAGCATCAGCTTTAGCTTTTAATCAATATGTCTTATCATTAAAATTGCTTTTATGCCAAATACTAATTAATTATTCGCCACTCATTTAGCATATTCTTATGCTCTAAAGAAGACTATAAGGACAAATTAAATAATCTTTTATACATTCAGACTAAAGATTATCAATTTCAATCTTGTCCTTTGAATCTCTAGGGTTGCAATAGACAAGCCCAATTATTTTATTAAGAATAAATACATTTGCAAAGATCTAGTTATCGATTTCAGAGTGTAGGATGGCTCAATTTTAAGTCTTAAATATATCTGTTTATCTAATTATTTGATAAAAATTAAGATGGTCAAAATTAATACTGACATCCAAACTCAAAATGAACCTCACGACATTGAATATTTTCCTGAAACTGAAGAAGAGCTAATAATTAGAACTGCTCCTACTTATAATCATCAAGAAAGCCCTTCAAGTCTAAATTCAAAACAGAAAAATAAAAAAGGGCAACTCAGCCAACTTAATGAGTCATCTGCGGTTTTTGAAAAAACCGCAGTTGGGTGTATCATAAATTTTTTAAGAAAACAGAGCCCCTCGCCTATTGAAAATATAATTAAGCATGTGAAGTCTAATGAAGACTCCCTTATAGCTTCACATAAAGGGAAACACAAAAAAAATGCTTTTCAAATAGTCGATTATGCATTAACTTGGTATCCAAAAAATTTTCTATTAAACGACAGTTTCCACTATTATTTAAATGTAAATTTTATATAGGAAGAAGAGGCTCAAAAGTATGAAAGAAAATTTATTTTAAAGGCTGTAACACTTTCAAAGAAAAACAAGTCAATATATAAGGAAAAAATAAAGCAGAAAAGGGAAAGAGTCGAGAAAATGAAGAGAATTAAAGAGAAAATAGAAGCAGAATTGAGCAGTGGTGCAAGCGAGATTTCAATAATGACTAAGACATACCTGATGCTGATGTCAGGTAATGAGAAGGCAGCTGAAGAGCTACGGATAGTAATCAGGAATGCTTATCTTACATTTAAAAATATAATCTAGAGTATAAGTAATGCAATTCAATAAGCTAATTATCTTATAGAATTTGGACGATTCTGCTGAGTGTCTTATAGATGATATAAGGGTTTAATTTTATGATTATGCATGCTTCAAAAATTTAATTCTAATTCATATCTACTCTATAGCCCAGGACTGATTATAGCTCACCCTAGGTATCAACTTTTGCTCCTACACGACGAGGTAATTCAAAAGTTAAGCCAACTCTACAAGTTGAAGCGAGAGTTTAAACCTAGGGTGAGCTATAAGCTGTCCTAGTTATAGCATTTCAATAAGAAATAATGCACAAATTTTTTATTGCTGCTAAGTGGATATTACGATTAAAAATCTGACTCCTACGGTAAATTGGAACATTTTTTTATGAGGAAAATTTTATAGTTAAAATACTAATTTGCCTATAAAATTAAAGAAAAAAATTTAAGAGATAATATTTAAAAGTTTTCACAATGAATTGATTAATTTTTGAATTAATAGTTGATAAAAATAAATTAAAATTAAAATAATGGTTCAATATCTAACAGAATTTTGTTCCCATTTGTGGTGGGGGAGTGGAATTTTTCGTTTTTGCTTTTAAACAAAATAAAATCTATTAATAGAAAGAGATTAAGCTTTTCTTTTATGTATAAGCCAAGCCTATATCCCAATTTCTTACTAGGCACTTATTATAAGCTTTCTAGCCGCCATATTAAATCTCCAGTAATTCGCATGTACCGCATCCATTTTTATTGGTCCTTTTTATAAATAAAATTCTGAAGTTGAATGATTTAATTCCTCCTTCTCCTACTCGCTCTAAGCGAAGAAGTCTTTATTTAAGCTACAAATGCAAATTAAAGCACTTTTGTAAAATTTCTTTTAAATTTATCAAGTTTTATAAAAATGTATTACTTATTTAGGCTGCATTTTTTAGTTAAAAATCTTGATTACTTAATATTTATGTGAAATTGCTAATTAAAAGCTATTTTAAACGTTTGGTCATTTTAAATAGGCATAACTCATTAAAATTATCAATTTTTAGACCAAAAGTTGCCCTCCTTTTCTCAGCTTCTATCAATGAACATCAAACAATTTTTTAACCAGAAAGACCTCCAATTAAATGCTTCTGCCAGCCGGCTGCTTAGCCCTTAAGTGCTTCTAAATCGTTAGGTCCCAAAAATTTTGTTAAAATCAGTTCTATCATCCTATCCCGACCTTCCTGATTTCTGATTTTCACCTTCTTTTTACCTCAAAATTATCTAGAATCTTTTCCCAACCTTCCCATCTGCTTTTAGAGGGCAGGAGCTTAAGTTTTCCTCCCCGCATCTTTATTATTATAGACTTCCCCTGCAAAAGTCCCTATACTACAGATAAATATGAAATCTCCCTTTCTTCGCAAAAACAAAAATCGTTAAAATTTTTTCAGATTTCTGTTTTGTAACGCACTTAAGCCGATTCAAAATTTCTAACTCAAAAATGAAAAGTCTGATAAGCTTTATCGCTTTAATATGACTTGCTTTAGCTGACCCTACAATGAGTTCGAAGAATGGATTCTTAGATCCTGGCAGAATTACCTGGTGGCAAGACAAGTGGGCTCCTAATCCAATTGAGCTCACTCAAACTAACTCTGGTAATAGCAATGTTTATGTGATTGTCCATTTTAGACCTTTTACATCTGTAAATTCTGATGGGAACTCTGGGATTTTACAATTAATAGTCCCATCAAGCTTCTCAAGCACTGGAACTTATACTTCAAGCTCAATGACAATAACAGGTGGCACAGATATGACAGCACAATTCCAGTTATCAACTTCTCTACCCTCTGCAGGAGTTTATGGACCTTTCCAGCTGATCACTAGATCTTCATCAACTGGGCAAATCTATGACACAAACTACGTATTCGGTTGTGTCGCAGTATCTGCCTCTGTCTCAAGCTCATCTTCTCTGACAATATCTGCTGCTACACTAACTTCAACAACTGGTATTGTCGGCTCAAAAGATGCCCTCATTTTCTCTTTTTCAATTCCTGCTGGTACTAATCTTTGGAAGCATGATATTTTTGAAATTGTCCCTGATAGCCATTGGACTGTCTCTACAAGCCCTACTTGTGCATCAGTAGACATTTCTACAGTGACTAACAGCATCAAAGGCCCTAAAGGTGACAATTCTTTGCCTTGTGCTGTTGCAGCTTCCGGAGGCGCTAACGGAGGATTTAGCACAGCAGCATCGACAGCTACCCCTGCTACAAATAGTGTTTATATATATGGACTGTCTCAAGATGTGATTATTAATTCAAGCTATCAGATCAAGCTTCAAGTTTCCAGCTTCACTTTTCCATCATCAGCAGTGTCATCATCAAGCTACTCCTGGACACTAAAATTATGGAGATGGGGAACAACTAATTTGCTTGCTCAATACACTGGAAGTGGGCCTCTTACCCCAGCTACAGGCTCAATCACAGTAACTTCATGGGCTCCTTATAACTCCAATGTTGCTTCTACAGATATCCCAAGCACCAATTCTAACAACTTTTCAATCTTCACCAAGCTTACTTTTCAAATAGCCCATCCAATTTCATCAGGAACAATTGCTATTACTTTTTCTAATGCAGATATATCAACCTCAAATTGGTTTCAAGAGCCTAAAACTAATTCAGGAACAGCTGGAAAGTGCTTTTTGAACAATTATGTATCTGGAGTTACTTGTAGCGTATCCTCTTCGACTGCTACCATATCAATTAGTGGAGCTACTTTGGCAGCTTCTTCATCAATTTCAATTACACTTTTAACTGCACTAAGTTCAGGCGCAAAAGTCAGTTCAATAATTAGCAATGACGGCACTGCAAATATTGATACATTGGCTACTGGATTTTCTTGGACTTTTAGCTCTGCTTCTTCTTATGCATCAATGACCAGTTTCAAATTTTATGCAACTGACCAGAATAAGTACCTTGGCAGCACTGGACTCACCTCTGGGATACAGAAAGGAGGCTATCTTGCTACTACTCAGTATTTACTGTGGTATGTACAGCCATCAACTTCATGGGGAACTGGGTCAACTCTTAAGGTTTATTTACCTTTCTCTAATTCTGGAGTGCAATTAACCCAAACTTTTATAAAATCTACTGCAGCATATTCTGATTTGACTTTTGCTGATAATACTCAAGACCAAACACTTTTGACGACAAATGGAAACACTGCAACGCCTACTTCTGGCTCTTCAGGATCTATCTCAATTGCTTTTGCTTCAACTAATGCTCCAGTTCCAGGAACTTCTCCATACTTCGCTTTTTCATATGGAGATCCATCAGGTGGAAGCGACAGCAAAACAACTGCTCTCCCATTCGTTCAATCAAATGTTGCTACTTTCTATGAATGCTGGGCAAAAGGCTTTTCGTCAAGCAGCTCATCAACGGCTGTTGAATTCTCCAGTTACGTTTTCTCAGTTTATAATTCTCAATCAGATTCTCTCTTGACAGCAACTCCAATGTGCACAGACACATTTGCTGGAATTCCTCTTATAGTTAACTATCACGCTTTAAATCTAGCTTTCAACTTTGGAGATACCACAAATCACTATTCTCTTGACATCTCATTTTCTGGGGTTTCTAGCAATAATTTGGGCTCAGGTGTAACAGATGGTAATGCTTTTCCAGTGACTTCTACATCCTCTTCAATTACCCCATCAGCCACTATTACCTCAAATAAAGTGACAATATCTGGGCTAGGATCTGTTAGCAGCGGCAGCTCAGTTGTTTTATTGCTACCAAATGGATTGCCGACTGGACCAATAGCTGCAACCTTAACATTTTACTATGTTCCAGCTGGATCAGATCCTTCTATACAATATGTTTTATATACTGGATCATCCTCAACCAGTTTAAACAGTGCTTCTTCTGCTGCTGGCTACGACAGCTCATCAGTAACAAGCCCTACATCTTATACAGTTGGTGGTAGTGCAGCTACTACTACTGGATCTGTCAAAGTGCATACTGGAGCTTCAGTTAGTGCATCAGATTGGATTGGAATCGGCTTGCCTGCAGGCTTCACTCTGTCATCATCTGGCTACTCAGTGACATTAGGAGGTGTATCCTCAACAGCTTACACTGTTTCTTCATCAAGCAACTCATTTACAGGAGGATTTATAGTTGGAACTGCAGCAAGTGCTATTACTCTTTCAACATCCACAGCATCAACTTTTACAATTGGTAACTTGATTCCTTCATCAACAACAGGGACGACTTCAAATTCAAATTCAGTCAGCTTAGTTGTTTACTCAGCATCTGCAGCATCAACGCCAGCAGCATGCTATGCCATAGGTAGCATTTCAGTAACATTAAGCGCAGCCACAATTACATCTGACACATGCTCACTTGATAAAGCATACACTCAAGGCTCAGATTCCGTAGATTCTACCCTCACTCTTTCATTCACAACAGTCAATGCTATTCCTGGAAATGGCATAATAACACTTACTCTCTCTAGTAGCACATGGACTACAAGTTCATCAGCTGTAGCCACAACTTGTGAAGGAGTTGGCTTTACTAATTATTCTAATTCTGTTTCTAAAAGTTGTACAATCTCTGGAACAACTGTGACTTTGACAGGATTTGCATCAGTTGCAGCAGGAGTTATTACTGTAAAAATCTATCATATAATTCCTACTACTACCACTGCAGGATCTATAACTTGTTTTTCAGCTGTAAGCACATCTGATGGAAGTGGCAATTATATAGACACCCTTGGCGTTGCAGCAAACTCTGTCACTTTAACAGCCACATCAGCAGCTGGGACAACAAATAGCGGACTAGTAGCGAAAGCATATCCTAATATAGCTGGAGCAACTTCTGACATTTATCTGAGTTTTTCTTTTTCTAAAGCAATTCCAGCAGGCAGCATTATCCAAATCAACCCAGGGTTTGTAAGCTCTTGGGCTTTATCGTCATCCACTATTCAAAATTCTTGCTGGACTGACCAATACACTTCTTCATGCTCTGTGTCTGGTAGCTATGTATCTTTGACATTAGGAAATTCCCTGGCTGCTAGTCAAGCAATTCAAGTTTACCTTGATAGTGCTTTAACTTTGCCTACTTCTAACTCTACTACATCAGGATGGACAATTTCTACCACATGGAATGGTGTATCAATCACTGCAGATTCCACATCAGGTTCTACTGCAACTTTCCCATTCGTTATTGGGACTGCTGTTAGTAATGTCATTACACTGGCATCTATTGTCCAAGTTAATACAACCTCTGCTGGAGAAGTTTCTTCATATCTTTTTACATTTTCATCAGCCTCAGCTGTAGCAACTACTGATTCATTTATTATCCAGTTCCCTAAAGACTTTGACCCTCATGTAGGAGATGCAAAGGCTGTTTTGAATGATTGCTCCCCTAATAACTTTTACCTTACTTGTGGATCTAGCGCACTGGGAATTCCTAGTGGAACACTTTGCAGTGCTGATCATTGGTATGTTGTCGTAACAGGAATCACTAAGACATTAGCCGCATCTGCAAGCATTGATATCCAAGTCAATATGGTCCAAAACCCAGTAGCAGGAACTACTGCTGGAAAATTCAGCTTTTACCAATATGGATCTGATGGATCTGTAAAGTCTTACCTCCAATCAGCCAGCACTGTTACCATTGGAAGCAACGTAGCAAATATTGTTTCACTTAAAAACGTTACTGTTGACTCCACAGAGCTAGCAAATTCAGCTACCTATACTTTTAACTTCTACGCAGCAGCTACATACACCCCAGATTACATCATTTCTATCTTATTCCCTCAACAATTCAACAACCAATTGAAAATGGGTACTTCATCTTCATGCAAATCAGTTTATTATGATGAATCCTCGTCATCTACAAGCACTACTACCAGCACTGCTTTCAGCTCTGCAACATCTTGCTCTGTCAATGGAAACAACGTTACCCTTGCATTCCCATCAGGGACAAGCCTAGCAATGGCATCCACCTCAAGAATCCAGGTCCAATTGACTTCTTTCTATAACCCTGAATGGGGATTCACCAGAACTGCTGGATGGGATGTGACTGACTATGCTACATTTACTGGGACAACTTCTCCTGACGAGTGGAGCAATAAATTTGATATTGCAGTCTCTCAATTCAGCACAGGCAAAACATATGCTAGAAGCTATGGAGTCCTTCACTCAGGTTTTATTGGGTATACACTGAGCACGACTGATCTTAGCATTGGCAATTATGATCCAACTAATACTTCAGGAGGTATAAAATTATTGCCTGGACAACAAAGCTCAGATATCACTATTTCCCTTCTCGACAGCAACAGCTGGCCTATGAAATCAAAATCACTTAAGCTGTCTCCAACTTCAAACGCTAATTACCCTGATAATGGAAACCTCAAATACACTTCAGCTCAATATAGCTTCATAGCCTTCCAAATGGTTTCACAAATTAAATTCAGAGTATCAGCAACAAGCAGTGCAGCTCAAGGAATTTACTATATCGATTGGGGAACACCTGTTGAAACATTGCAAGATGGAGTTTCTAGTCCTTTATATAGCGCCCCATTGAACATCTTGGTTGAAGTTTGCAGTTCTTTAACAGCTGTATCTATCACAGTGGATCCTCTGCCAAGCATCTACCAATACTACACCAGTCTTCCAATCAGAGTGGCTCTTGCAAACTCTCCAGCTACTCAATTAATAGTAACCCCTTCAGCTTCAGTCACTGGATTTACAATCACTCCGACTGCTCTTACATTTGGTCCTGATGTAAATGAACTTTATTTCCAAATTCATGTTGGCTCTACTTATGTAGCCTCCACAACTTCTCCATCTCTTACATTTACCCTTTCAGGAACTGATGCTGCTGCCTTTACAGCTCCAAGCAAGGTGACAGTTTCAGTTTTAACGACTTATCCTTCTATAGTCGCAGCTACTCCAGGACTATCAGGGTCTAAAGTAAGCGCATCAGAATACAAGATTAGTGTGACGACATCAATAGCCGGAGTTTTGTATTGGGGTCTTGGATGCCAAGGTTCTCAGGTTCTTACTTTTGCTGGACTCTCAGCTTTGGTTTCTGATCTTGTAACCCCATCCAGCAGCATTCTAACCCTAAACGAGCAATTAGCAATTCAGTATAATCATACAGAGACAGATATTAACACTTCTAAAGGGGATACCGATATCTATTCTTTCTTCAAAAGAATCCATGCTGAACATTGCAATGATTATTGGGCTTCTTCTCACTCCCCCCCCCCCCTCCGTGAGCGAACAAAAAAAATTTTGTTCGCTCACGGAGGGGGGTTAATTTTTTTTTTTAAAAAAAATTTATATATAAATTTTATAAAAAATATTTTTTTCGAAATTTAAAAAAAATCCTAATTTGCAAAAATTGGGAAGCAAATATTAATTTAATTTGCAAAATTTATGTTTTAAAACGCAATTTGTTTAAAATTAAACAGAATTAGCTCTAGATTTCATTATACTAATTATCATTTATATATCAAAATTTTTTTTCCATTAAAATTTTTTTCTATTAAAAAAATTTTTGTTCACTCACGGAGGGTGGGTTTTTGGTCAAAAAATGGCGATTTTTCTAATGGTTTTGTTCGCTCACGGAGGGGGGGGGGGGGGGAGTCAGGGTTATTACGACTTCAGGTGCTACACTTGACTTCAACTGGCTTATGGCTGGAACCAGCTATACTTTTACAGCTTATATTGCTACAAGATTGACCAATGATACTACGGTTTACCCTATAAAGACTTATAACTTTACCACAGATGCTCTTGCTTCTATCTACACAACATCAGTCACTTTTTCAGGATCTGTAGCTAGCAGCTCCAGCAGCAATATCGCCAAGGTTTTAGCTAAGAACATGGGCGTGAATCCTTCATGGTTAACTTTATCAGGGACATCATCTAGTAGAATGCTCCAAAGCAGCACTACTAGCACTACGACATTTACTTATAATGTTCTTGCTGATAGCAGATATCCATCCTACACATCATCATCTATGATAACCAACCTCAATACTAACCAAGCCCAGGCAACATCAGACTTCACTAACTTATACGCATTGACCGCAACAAGCTTGGGGACATCTGCATCCGTCTCGACAGGAACAACTCCATCATGGTCAACTGCCCCAGCAAAATCTACAGTCGCTGATACATCTGCAACTTTCACAGCAGCTTCTTCACAGGCAGGAACCATCTATGTGTCATGCTCAGATGACGATTTGACAGGTCGCATCACTTATGCTTGGCAAGTTATGGATGGGCTAGATGCTACATCTTCTACAGTGCCATCATCAAGCGTTACAAGCGTTGCTGCTACTAGCGAAACTCTTACTTTTCCTTAAAGTTTTGAGCTAACTACAGTTAACTTTTTAATTTTAGGAGAATTTTTATCTCCTTTGAATTGAAACAAAATTTTATTTTTTCATTTTTCAATTGGCAATATTTTAAAGATGATATAATAATTTCTAGAGCTTGGTCTCTAATTTAATATAGATTAAATTTTATCAATTCAAAAATTTGCATTTAATTATATTCTTAGTCTTAAAATGTTTTTAATTATGAAAATTTTTTCAAAAAATATAAAACGTCTTATTGGGAAAGAGTTTTTAGCTTTAATTAAAAGGAAAGGGAATTACTGTCGCAGGTTTGAAAGCAGGCACTGCTTATGTTTGCTATTTTACTGCATGCAATAGTTATCCATTAAATCCGCTTTGTATTGATTATGTCGCAAGCACCTCTACTGCTCTGGCAAGCGTTTCAATTACAACTACAGGATCTTCAAGCAGCTCAAGCAATGCAGTGTTTATGGAAGTTAGCGCAGCGCTGACATTCTTCTTAATCTTACTTAACTAAAGCATTTTACTTAAATTTATCCTATTAATTCATCTAATATAAGTTTTTAATTGATAATTTCTTTTTAAGCTTTAATGCAAAAATAAAAATAAACCTTTAATTAAATATATTTAAAAGCTTTAATATGGATAGATATAATTAAAATCAATATTAAAATACGATTATTTAAGTATTTGAAAAATCATAAAAAAAGCCTGCCTCGAAATGCTGTTCTTGTTACTCCCCCCCCTCCGTGAGTGAACAAAAAAATTTTGTTCACTCACGGAGGGGGTTTAATTTTTTGTTTTTAAAAAAAAAATTATATATAAATTTTATAAAAAATTTTTTTTTTCGAAATTTAAAAAAATCCTAATTCGCAAAAATTGGAAAGCAAATATTAATTTAATTTATAAAATTTATGTTTTAAAAAGCAATTCGTTTAAAATTAAACAGAATTAGCTCTAGATTTCATTATACTAATTATCATTTATATATCAAATTTTTTTCCATAAAAAATTTTTCTATTAAAAAAATTTTTGTTCACTCACGGAAGGTGGGTTTTTGGGCAAAAAATAGGGATTTTTCTAATGGTTTTGTTCACTCACGGAGGGGGGGGAGTTAGCAATCTTTTACAGCGTTATCACAATGAGTCAGGAAATAAATTGATTAAAATAAAATTTAAATAAATATTCATATGTTCAGTTTTTTAATTAAATTTTATCTATCAGACAATATTAAAAGCTCAAATAAATGAAATCGAATTTCGAAAGGGGTTGCTTTGGATTATACTGCTAAAATGCATGGTATATCATTTTTTAAGTCAAAACCACCAATATTGGGAGATTGATCCTTCGAAGAATTGATAATAGACTTCTTACAAGCCAAATGCATTTTTAAAATGCCAAGAAAATTTAAAATCTTTTAGAATGCTCATTATATCCATAATAAATCAAGGGTCTATACTTCTCTCTTTAGACTTTGCTAATTTCCTAATCAATATATCTTATACCATCTTTCTATTAAAAGACACTTTATCTAACTCATTCCCGACATAAGTGAACAATTTTATCTCTCTATTAATGGGTTCTTTAATAATTTTTTTCCATTAAATCGGAAATCTTGAAATTAAGAGAAATAGATAGAAACTTAATTAAAAATAATTATTAACTATATACCATATAATACCATTTAATAGGCTTTGCCCATTTATTGAAAGGTGGCTAAGTCCAAAATTTCCAAAATTATTTTTATCCCACTCTTCTTTTGGCCTTTTATTCTAAAAGCTTATTCAAATTATCTAATTTCGAATTATCCACATTTTACCAAATATTATAGAAAGAAATTTAAAATTATCTTCTCGTAATGAAAAGTCTTATAAGCATAATAGCAATTTTATGACTTGCTGCTTCAGATCCAACAATGATATCGAAGGATGGATATCTCGACCCGGGCAGAATCACTTGGTGGCAAGATAGCTGGGCTCCCAATCCAATTGAACTCTCTCAAACCAACGCAGGAACAAGCAACGCATTCATTACAGTAAATTTCAGACCTTTCACATCTATAAACTCAGATGGAAACCTCGGAATTGTCCAAGTGACAGTTCCATCAAACTTTGTAGGCTCTTCAAGCGCGACAACTTACACCTCAAGTCTCATGGAAATAAAGGGAAGCACTGATTATTCTTTCTCATTTAAAGTCTCATCTCTGCCTTCTCCTGGAGTTTATGGGCCACTTCAGATCGTTACAAGATCTATAGCTACTGGGCAGCTTTATGACGCAAATTACGTATTTGGCTGTATAGCAGTTGGACCTTGAGCCTCCAGCCCTGCTTCAAATTCCTTACAAGCAGCTGCAGCTACGTTAACTCCGACAACCGGCTATGTTGGCTCAAAAGATTCAATTATTTTCACTTTTTCTATTCCTGCTGGGGTAAATTTGTGGAAGCATGACATTTTTGAGATAATTCCTGACACATATTGGAGTATTTCTACAGATACTTCTATTAGCTGTTCTTCAATAGATGTTTCAGCAAATTCTACTAACTATATTAAAGGTCCCCAAGGAGATAATAACTTACCATGTGCTATTGCTTTATCAGGAGGTGCAGGCGGAGGACTTAAGCCTTCTCAGTCAACAAATGGAGAGACAAATAGTGTTTATATTTACGGACTTTCTCAAGACGTGATTGTAACTTCAGCTTATGAGGTCCAGCTTAAGGTTGTAAATTTCATTTTTCCTGGATCAGCTAGACCTTTGACAAGCTATACTTGGAAATTAAAGATTTGAAGATGGGGAACAACAACTTTGCTTGCCCAATTTATGGGTAATGGACCTTTAACACCAGCAATAGGGTCCATAAAAGTAACTTCATGGGCTCCTTATAACTCCAAAGTCTCATCTACAGATATTCCAAGTTCTAATACTTTTTCTATTTTCACAAAACTAACTCTTCAAATTTCTCATGCAATTACGATAGGGTCAATAGCAATTACTTTTAATAATGCAGATATTTCAACTGCCAAATGGTATCAAGACCACGCAAATCCTTCATCAGGAACCTCTGGATTATGCTATCTCAATAATTATGCTCAGGGAGTATCTTGTAAAGTCAGCAATTCAATTGCTACAATTACATTTGATAGCACGAGTGCAGGCTTAGGAGCTGAAAAGTCAATTTCTATTACATTATTAGCTAAGTTATCAGCAAATGCTCAAATAAGCTCAATAGTAAGCAGCGATTCAGCTGCAAAAATCGATAAACTGGATTCCGCATTCCTTTGGTCATTCGGCACTTCCTCATCTTATCATGCAATGGGAGATTTTGAATTTTTCGCGACAGATTCTTATAAGTATAAAGGAAGCTCTGGGTTTACTTCAGGTCTCCAAATAGGAGGTTATCTTGCCACTACCCAATACTTGATGTGGTTTATGCAGCCATCAACAAGTTGGGCAGCTAACACAAAACTTACAGTCAATTTACCCTTATCTGTTTCAGGAGTACAACTAGCTCAAACTTATATCAATATTGCTGCTCAGTATTATGACGGTGCTTTCTCTGATTCAGCTGCAGATACCGCGCTAAATATTCTATCATCTACTGGAAATTCTCCTAACTTCCCCCTCCGTTAGAGAACCAAAAAATTTTGTTTACTTGCGAAGGGGTTAATTTTGTTTTCGAAAAATTTATATATAAATTTTATATAATTTTTTTTCAAAAAATTCCCAATTCTCAAAAATCGAAAAGCAAAGATTTAATGCAATTTGTAAAATTTATGTTTTAAAATGCATGCTGTTTAAAAAGTAACAAAATTAGCTAGAGATTTAATTATAATAATTATCACTTATATGTTAAATTATTTTTCATAAAAAAATTTGTTCACTGGGGGAGGGCAAAGAATAGGGATATTTCCAATGGTTTTATTCGCTCACGGAGGGGGATAAGCTTTCTGATGACGCCCCGGGATCAATAACAATCACTTTTGCCTCTGGCAAATTCCCATCCGCCAATCAGTATTTCGCCTTTGCATATGGAGATCCTTCCTCCGGTAGTGACTCCAAAACGACAGCCCTTCCATTTGTACAATCAAATGTTGCTACTTTCTATGAATGCTGGGCACAGGTAACACCATCAGGGAGCTCCTCACTCCGCCCTTTAAATTTGAACAAAAATCTATTTCAAATTTAATTCTTTCTTTAAAAAAAGTTATTAAACTTTTCTTTATGAATTTTTTTTTTTAAATATAAAAATTTTAAGTGAGCACAATATTTTAAAATTTTTATTTATTTAATTAAGAAATAATTAATAATTAATTGATTCAGTGTGAAACAGTTTAAATAGCACTTTTTCAGTTAAATTATGTCAAAATGAATTTTATAAAAATTAAAAACAAATTTTAAAATTTTAAAAAAAATGAATATAAATTGAGCACAAATATTATTTGAAATTTAATTTATGTTTATGATGAAATAATTAAACAGATTATCGATTCAGTGTCAAGACTGTTTAAAATGCATTATAATTAAATTAGATAAGCATTAGTATTTTCATCTTCAATTTTTTTTGAAAATTATAAAATACTCACAATATTTTTGATTATAATTTATTTTTAAGAGAAGAATTAATTAAATTATTAATCGATCTAGTGTCAAAGTGTTTAAATAATAAATTAGGTTAAAAAATTAGTATTTCATCAATAAATTTTCCTATGAAAAAAATTTTGTTTAACTTTAAAGGGGTGAAAGCACCCAAAAAATGAAATATTGCTGTTTTGTTCCATTTGAAGGGGGGAGTCAGCTACTGAGTTTTACAATTATGTTTATTCAGTCTATACCTTACAAACAGACCCTAGCTTGACTGTTGCTCCATTGTGCACTGACAAATTTGTAGGAATCCCTATTGCCGTTACTTATCATGCCTTGAATATGGCTTTTAGTTTTGGAGAAAAAATCAACCTTTATTATCTTGATGTGACTTTTAGTGATGGGACTAATTTGGGCACAGGGTTAAGCGATGGGAGTAGCTTGCCAGTGATCTCTACGAAATCTGGAGTGACACCAGTAGCTAGTATAACATCAAATACTGTGACCATTTCTGGACTTGGATCTGTGACCAGCGGGAATACTTTGACAATTTTGTTGCCAAATGGAGCTAGTGGGTCATCTTTATCAGGAACAGCAACATTTTACTACGTTATAGCTGGAGGAGACCCTAATATAAAGATGTTTTTGTACTCTAAGTCATCTACAAACAATTATAACACTGACACCGCAAATGGCATTAGTTCTTCAGCAATTTCTACCCCTCAAAATGGAGCTTATACAGTAGGAGCAGCTTCTATAATGCGTTGGAAAAATTTCTTAACGGTGTGATCGGATCGGATGATGCCATCTTTTTAAAATTTATGGCATCAGTCAATCCGATCAACTCCATTAAGAAATTTTTTCCAATGCGTTATACTACTTCTAGTGGAAATTTTCAGCCTTCTTCTTCTGGAACAATTTCGCAATCAGATTGAATTGGAGTAGGCTTGCCTTCTGGGTTTGCCATATCAACATCTAGTGCTTCATTAGCATTTGGCGGAACTTCATCAAAAGCAACTTATTCAGTTTCTTTATCAAGTAGCTCATTTATTGGAGGATTTATTTTGGGGGAGATTTCAAACCGTATCTCGCTTTCATCGACTTCAACTACAAGCATTTCAATAGGTGGCTTGACTGCTCCAATGTCAACAGGGCAAACTGCTGATGCAGCTTCTAATAATTTAGTTGTCTTTTCAGCATTACAAACGGCAGGATCACCATGTACAGTTATAGGTAATGTAGGCATAACAGTTAATGCAGCAAAAATTACATTAGATTCATGTGTGCTTGATAAACCATATACTCAAGGCTCAGATTCTGTGGACTCCGCTTTATTACTTTCTTTTACAACTGTAAATCCTGTTCCTGGAAATGGAAAAATTACTATCACATTGGCATCGAGCACATGGACATTGCCGAATTCTTCGCCTTTGGTTGTGACTTGTGAAGGAAAATCATTTACTGATTATTCTGATACTGTCAAAAGAGCTTGCAGTATATCAGATACAACTGTAACCCTAACCGGGTTTGCTGAGATTTTAGCAGGGCAAATTTCTGTAAATATTTATCATGTAATTCCATCATCATCTGCAACTAGTTTGCCTTGCTTTACAGACGTAAACACATATGATGCAAATGGATTTCTTATAGATTCTGCCAAAACTTTAACAAATTCGTTTTCAGTCTCAACTTCAAGCGATATAGGGAAAACAAATACTGATGGTTTTATAGCGAAGGCGTATCCCAATGTAGCAGGCGCAGTCTCTGATATTTATTTAGGTTTTTCTTTCTCAAAAGCAATTCCTCAATATAGTATCATAAAAATAAGCCCAGGATTTGTAAGCACATGATATTTTTCTGGAGATATCACCAATTCATGCTGGACTAGCAAAGACACCTACTCCTGCTCTGTTTCTGATAGTTATGTAACATTGCAGCTGGGTAGAAGTCTCCTAGTTGGTGAACAAATCCAAGTTTATCTTGATAGTGCTCTTACCTTGCCATCTTCTTCATCAACTTCGGCAGGTTGGACAATTTCAACATCTTGGAATGGAACACCAATTACAGCGGATCCAAACCCATCAGCTTCATTTTTATTCACTGTTGGAAGCTCAGTTGATAGCAAAATTTCTTCCCTGTCAATTAAACAAGTTGACTCAAGCAGTGCTGGAGAATCTACCTCATATACTTTTACTTTCAGTTCAAGCTCAAACGTAACGGCCGCTGATTATTTTGTGATTAAATTTCCTAACTCCCCCCAAATTTTTTTAATATAAATTTTTTTACAAAAAATTTTTTGATATATAAGTATAATGAAATCCGAGTTAATTCTATTTAATTTTAAGCAGGGTTGCATTTAAAATATAAATTTTACAAATTAAAATAATTTGTATTTCCAAATTGAGATTTTTTTAAATTTCAAAAAAAATATTTTCTATATATGCGAACAAAATTTTTTTGTTCGCTCAAGGAGGGGGAGTAGGGAATTTGATCCGCACATAGGGGATGCAAAATTATCTCTAGCAGATTGCTTTTCAAGCAATTGGTACCTTACTTGCAGCTCTACAACGCTAGGGATTGATAGTGGATCATTTTGCAGTGTGGATCATTGGAAACTTACCATATCTGGAGTTACTAAAGTTGTGACAGATACTACATCAGTTATTGATATTACTGTTAATATGGTTCAAAACCCAACTGCAGGAACTTTATCTGAAAAATTTAGTTTGTATCACTATGGATCAGATGGATCTGTAAAGGCATATATTCAAAACACTGGCTCACTAACAATAGGAAGTGTTGTAGGAAATATTGTTTCACTTAAAGATGTCACTGTCAATACAGCAGATCTTTCAAGCTCAGCTACTTATACTTTCGATTTCTATGCAGCAGCTACATACACAACAGACTACATCATTTCTATCATTTTCCCACAACAATTCAATATCAAGCTGAGAAATATAAGCACTATCAGCTGTGAATCTAATTATTTTGACGAATCATCCTTGTCTACAAGCACGACAAATAGAGCTTTCAGCACTGCAAAATCTTGCAATATCAATGGAAACACAATAAGCCATGCTTTCCAATCAGAATCAAGCTTAGAATTAGCATCAACTTCAAGAATCCAAATCCATCTGACATCCCTTTACAATCCTGAATGAGGGTATACGAGGTCTTCAGGGTGAGATGTCACAGATTATGCAACCTTTTCTAACCATTTACCTGATGTATGAAGTAATAAATTTGATATCGCAGTTTATGATTCTAGCACTCCAAAGACATTTGCAAAAAGTTATGGAGTCCTCAATTCTGCTTATGTTGGATATACGTTAAGCACAACTGATATAAGCACAGGTACATATGAACCAAATAGAGCATCTGGGGGTATAAAATTATTACCTGGGCAGCAAAGTAAAGATATCACTATTTCTGTTCTTGATAATAAAAAATGGCCTATGAGGTCAAAATCATTGAAGCTTAAGCCAATTACAAACGTGAATTACCCAGATAATGGAAACATTAAATATACGTCTGCGACTCACAATTTCACTGCTTATCAGATGACTTCTACAATTAATTTCCGAGTTTCAGCAACAATTAGTGCTGCTACAGGAATTTATTATATTGATTGGGGAAAACCAGTCGAAACATTACAAGAAGGAGTTTCAAACAATATATATAGTGCGCCAGTAAGTATGTTGATTGAAGTCTGCAGCACTTTAGCTGCTTTAACCATTTCTATAGACCAATTGCCCACCTTCTATCATTCCTACATAAGTCTCCCTATTAAAGTTACTCCTTCGTATCCTCCTGCTACCCAATTAATAGTAACCCCATCATTTTCATTAGCCGGAATGACGATCAGCCCAACTTCTCTTACATTTGGCCCTGACGTGGATGAGCTTTATTTCCAAGTCTATGTCGACTCTAGTTTTTCAAGCAAGGAAAATTCCTTGTCATTTAAATAAAAATTAAAATGGCGATACAATCAAAATGCCCTAAAAACGCAGCAGTCCAGATCTTATTGCCAGGATGAACTGGGACAGACTCCGAGCCAAGAATCAAATGCAAGCTCAAGAGAAGTGCATCCGGGTAGGTTTTGGAAGCTTTCCTGAGGTTGGAAATGGAGATGCCCAGCAATGTCCTTTTGGATCTGAAGACAGTGGGCATTCCTCTACCAATAAACTGGAGTTTCAGCCTAGACCTCAGTGGAGTAGTTTTTTTCCTGTAGCTGCTGAAGGAGGGCACTTCGGCGACCGATAGACTTCAAGGAGCTGATCCTTGGAATCAAGCTACTCCAATCACCCGTAGCAGTAGAAATCCATAAGCCGCCCACTCAAAACTGAAGTCATAAGGCAAGGAGGAGACAGAAAGTACCGGAAATAAGGATCCCCCCCCTCATTTTTCCAATTTTCTAGTCTTTTTTTTCTAACTCCCCCCCTTTAAATTGGAACAAAATATCTGTAAAATTTCCACTTTTTTGGTAAATTTAACCCCCCTTTAAATTGGAACAAAATTTAATTTTATAATAAAAAATTATATATAATTTTTATCTAAAAAGTTTTGATATAAGTTAAATGTTTCTTCTTAACTAAAATTAAAAATTTAGTTATATCTTGCTCTTTTTTAAAGAAAAAAGTATAAAGAGCATCTTATTTAAATAAATTTATTATCCTTAATTGCTAAATTTTTAAAAAAAAATAAATTTTTGTTTTTTTTGATAAAAATGATATTTTTTATTTGGATAGTTTTGATATAAATTCAATAGGAATTCTTTATAAAATTTCAAAATTTAGTTATTTCTTGCTTTATTTTAAAGAATAGAGTATAAATAACATCTTATTTAAACAAATTTAGCACTTTGATCGATAAATTTTCTAAAATTTTTTATTTTTTAATTTTTTTTATCAATAAAAATAATAATTTTTGTTAAATAATTTTGATACCAATTAATAGTGGCGTATTAACTAATAATGAAAATTTAGTTATATCTTGCTTTGTTTTAAAGGATAAAGAGTAAATAGCATTTTATTAAACAAATTTATTGATCTAATTCGATAAGTTTTTGAAATTTTTTTTTGTTGAAAATTTTTATATATTTTATAAAACATTTTATATTGATATTTTTTTTTAAAAAATAAAATTAACCCCCCTTTAAATTGGAACAAAATTTTTAGTTCCAATTTAAAGGGGGGGGGGAATAAGAAAAAAAAAATTTTCAGGACCTTATTTGTCCAAAAATCTAGTCAAAAAATGATTTGTCCTATTTTCTAGTCTTTTCTGGATTTTTTCGAATGTCCTAAATTTTAGTTTTTTACTTTAAAAAAACTAGAAACTGAGGCATTTGAGGTCATGAAAATTTTTTTTTACTATCAAAATTTTGACTAGAAAATTAGACAAATGAGGTCCTAAAAAAATTTTTTTTTTCCTATAAAAAAAACTCGAAAAAATGGACAAATGATAAAAGACTAGAAAATTGGACAAATGAGGGGGGGGGGATCCTTAGCATCCACTTTCGGGGGAAAGACCTTCTGGGCTGGAGTCAAAAAGTGGTAGATCCTACTATACGGGAGGTCTTTTTGGCTGTGCTACCAATATGGCTAACGCCTGACTTTTAATAACCTAGCCAACCCTCTCATTTAAACTTTCAGGAACTGACGCCTTAGCTTATGCTACACCAATTAAAATGACAGCATCAATTTCTTCAGCTTTACCTACAGTCGTGACAACTACTCCAACCATTTCGGGGACATCGATAAATGGGTCTGAATACAAACTATCTATAGGTACTACACTGCCAGGAATTCTGTACTGGGGACTTGGATGTCAAGGCAAACCAATATTGGATTATGAAGACTTAGTGTCTTCAATATCTGATCTTGTTCATCCTTCTAGTACTACTCAAACCCTTCAAGAGCAGTTGGCAGATGAATATCAACACATTAATACTGCAGAAAATGATACGGATATATACTCATTTTTCAGAAGAATTCATGCTAGCCATTGTGATAGTTATTGGGCATCGTCTCAGGTTATTAGCACTTTAGGAACCACTCTTGATTTTAATTGGCTAATGGGAGGAACGAGCTATACATTTATAGCTTATATTTCAACAAGGATGACTAATAATACAGCTGCTTATCCTCTTCAGACTTATAATTTTACCACAAATAGCATTGGGCAGCTATACACTACCTCAGTCACTTTCAATGGAACTGTTCTCAGCAGCTCTAGTGAGAATATCAAAAAGGTTTTAGCGAAGAATATGGGTATCAATCCTTCATGGCTAGTTTATAAAGCTTCGGCAAGAAGAAGATTAGCTGAGACTGTTACCACCACGTTCACTTATAGTGTTCTATCTGACAGTCGTTATCCGTCGTTTACTTCACAAATGATTATTGAAAATCTCAATAAAGCCCAATCTATATCTGATTTTTCAAGCTCATCATTGGAAGTCTTAAATATTGGGCAGCCAAACGCCATTTCAGCTGGAGAAACTCCTCTATGAAATACATCTCCAGTAATAGATTCAATTACAGATAAAGCCGTAAAATTTGTGGCAGCAACATCTGTGGCTGGAAAAATTTACACTTCGTGTAGTAACAATGACATTACAGGCCATACAACTTATGCTTGACAGATTGTGGATGGGTTAGATGCTACTTCTACAAAAGTGAAAGCAGGCAGTGCTGTAAGCACTACTTCTAGTATAACTTCTATTCAAGTTTCAGAACTAGATGCAGAAACTTTTTACATTTGCTATTTTACAGCCTGCAATGATTATCCATTGGCGCCTAGCTGTATTGATTCGAACTTGCCAAGATATTCGATCAGAACTCCAAAGGCAACGGGAAGCAGCTCTAGTGCACAAATGATGGGAATAAGTGCAACTTTGGCTTTAGCCTTAGTTTTTCTTACTCATTTAAGAGTTATGTAAATATCTTATTTCTTAAAGAATTGCTAAATTTTATTTTAAATTATAAATAAATTATTTTGTCTGGATTAAAATATTCTCATTTGGCAAATATTTCAAAAGCTAAATTAATTTAATTTATAAAAGTTATGTTTAAGAATGCAAGCTAGAGTCAGTTAGAGGTATTGCTATAATAATTATAAATTATAATTAAAAATGTTTGATAAAGAAAAATTATTATTCTCGCTCTATAAGCAAGAGCTAGCTAATAATTTATTTAAGTTTGTTTAAATTGAAAAGTTGAGCATACTTTTATGGTAATTATCTTCATTATAGTAAGTGCTTATTATGAGATTTTAAATAAGGAATGAGAAATTTAATGCTTGAACTTATAATAATAAGTAGACTTTATAGATATATTAGATCATTCTAATAAAAAATAAGCTTGAGTGATTTATCATGATAGCACTGTCTATCAAATAGATATATTAAAATATTTGACCCTATGTAGTTAAAAAGCTATTGCGCCAGGAGAGGTAAATTTGACCCGAAGGCACTGGTATATCCACTGAAGTATCTCCTTGGCATTGAGCCAACTATAATTTTGCAAAACCTTTTAAAAAATTCAACAAATCTGGAGATTTTTATTATCCCTTCTATATTCTTTAAAAGCAAGGATGTTTTACTTACTAGCCAGTTAAAAATAAGTTTACTTCGCTTATATTAATTACAAACTAATTTTTTATTTAACATTTATTAATGCAAGAATTCTTAAATCTAATTAAAACAAAAGGAAATATTACTAATAAAAAATATAAAAACCAAATGTCTTTTGAAAAATAGGGTTTATCCTATAATTTAACCCTATTTGCACATTAGAGTTTTTCTTAAGATATTTTAAAATTAGTATGTAAAATCTCTTCAGCCCTTGATATTTGCTCAAAACATAAAGCTTTATATATTATCCTTAACAATCTAATTAAATTTTTAAAATTAATTATATCATGACTATCCTTCGTACTTTCACAAATTTCCTAATCTTTTGATATGAGCTTAAAGGACATGACACAGGCTTGAAAGAAGTTTTCTGTATTGAATCAATTTATTAAGTCAGAATAATTAAAAATTCCATAAGAAGAAAGAAGAGAATATGATAAAGCTTAATCATCAAGCATGGTAGGATGATTAGAATTAACAAAAACCCAAATCTCAAAGGCAATGACACATATAAAATACAAATTTTTAGTCAAAATTCAGGAAGAGCTATTAATTAATTAAAAAATCACTTATTTTAGCATTAAAAAATTAAGTGCAGTTCAAACTCGTTAATCTTCGAGCTTTTAGACTGCTTTTAAATTCATTCTTGTTAAAAAACGATTTAAAACTTTAATTTTGTTAACAAAATTAATGATCTACATTTATGCTCCATTTGTAAATCTTCATACAAAGTATCAAAATAATAAAAATCACAGGCTAATAGAGTAATTTGCAAAAGTATTCTCTAAAGAGTAAAATTTAAAGACAAGCAAATATAATGTTCAGAGAAAAAATTCTAGCAAATTTTAATTATAAGTTCAGTTTAAAATAACTATTTTATTTAAAGCGATTTTGGTAGATATCGTAAGATTATCCAGCTAAAGCTAATAGACTGTCATATTAAACAAGATTATTGATATAATTCAGACATACCTTCTATTTTTAAAAAATTTTAAATTACATATAATATTTTTAAGAATTTAGAATATTTAAGATAAAACTATTTGAAAGTATAAGAAAAGTCAATATCTCTTAGATTAAGAAATAGAAAGGAAGGTTTGAATATAAATAATAAACAACAGAGTCTTAGAATATAGCAAAATAGTCTCATAATTTAATTAGGCGATAAAAATAATGGATTCAGAAATTAGAGACTCAAAAGCACTTAAATGCAATCCTTTATACCGATTTTATAACACTCTTGAAGGTGCACTAATAGAATTTATTCGAAATCAAGGACAAGCTTCACTGCATAAGATAATCGAGCATATCGAAAACAAAAAGGAAAGGCTTAGGACAATATCTTCAAAAAAATACAAGAAAGAGAGTGTTGAAGAATTAGTGTTCCCAGTTCTGCTCGGCAAGTAGCAAATATTTAATGAAATTTCAAAGGGAGTTTGAACTGTCAATGTAATTCAAATTTAGACCAATTCTGCACTAGAATATGAACAAAAAGTTGTTAAAGAAATAGAAAGGAAAAAAGAGAAAAATAATCAAGAAAGATCTGAGAGGTCTATACAACGTAAAATAAAACTACAAGAGCAAGAAGAATTTAAGATTTTTGAAAAAAATATAGATAGTGATATTTATAACAAGCTTGATCAATTGGTAGAAATTATGGAATCCTCGAATGGAGAAATGCAAAGGCAATTTCAAGCATTTATGGAGCTTAACCAGCTCTGAAAATAGTTAAATCAGCTTATTTCTTAATATAAAAAAATTATAACGAATTATTATTTTTGTTACGATTATTTGGCTATTGTAGATAAAATTAAAATGGCAAAAGCAAACCTTAAAGTCAAAAGAAAGAGAGATAATACGAGATCCAAGAGCTTGCAGAGAGCAAATAAGAATTGTCAAGATTATTAGCAGGGAGTATTAAATGGGAATAAAAGGATTCCCTTTATTTAGTGAGAGCTTATATTTCTTCCTTGCCACAAGCTTTCTATAAAAAGCAAACGAGAGGCGAGTAAGGCAATTAAAATCAGTGCCAAGAAGCTTAATAAATGATAGTTGAAACTATTGAACAAGCGATTAAAAATTTTATTTTGGATTTATAATTCGCAATTCATTATTTAATAAAAATTATCAACTAAAAGCCACGAAAGAATTGCTTTTGGGAAAAATAAACTAATTTTTCATATATGAAACAGGGAAAGTAAAATTCCTAATTCCATTATATAAAAAAATAATATGGAATAATTAATTTTTATTCAGTAATGCCTTCAATGTTGCCATCAAAATTCAAATTCAGAAATTAGCTTCTTTTTGCAGTTGCTGAATAAAGAAAGAAGTCGATCAGAGATAAAGACTTAAGGCTTATTGGTCCTTAGAAAAACTCTGAAAGCTGCACTCTTCGTCTTTAGCTACGAATATTGCAACTTATTAACTCCTTTTGAGCTTATCAAACGTTCTTTTATTTGATGCTACTTCTGAGATTGATGACAAAAAGCTAGCAAAATCTATTGATAAATGCGCTATATTGATACCAATGCAAAAAATTATTGATATCATAGTGTATTAAAACAAGCATTGCAAAAAGCCAAGCAAATATAAATAATGAAGCCATGAGTAGCCTGGCTAATAAATATAAGTCGCAAAAGTCCATTCAAAGTCTGAAAGCAAATTTAGATTAAAAGAGTTAAGAGAAATAATCAAATGGCATTAAATAGCCAAAAATTTTTAAATTTTTTAAATAGGGTTTTACCATTTTATTTACGATTGTCTGACTTATGTAGATAATTTAAAAGATGGTGAAGAATATTATAAGCCAGTTTGAGAACGTATCATCCAGTAGAAGCCCTAGCATGCTAGAAAATCCATATTGCCAAGAAAGTGGTAATGATCGGCTCATAAAGCTTAAGAACACTGCAGTTGGATGTATTATCAATTTCCTAAGGAAGCACAGCCCATCTCCAATAGAAAGTATAATAGAGCATGTGAAGTCCAAAGAGCACACCCTTGTCACCTCAACAAAAGGAAAATACAAAAAGGGTGCCTTTAAAATTGTAGATTATGCACTGTCTTGGTACCCAAAGCTTTTCTTATTAAATGATCGCTTTCACTACTACTTAAACGTAATTTAAAATTAGGAAGAGGAAGCTCAAAAGTATGAAACCAAGTACAAGCTTGCTAATAGCGTATACCTAGAAAGGAGTAAAATAAAAAACAATGAAAAAAATAAAAAGAGAAGGGAAAAAATTGCAAAAATGCAGAAGATAAAAAGGCAGATTGAAGAAGATTTAATGAGCAATACAACTGATCCTTCACTAATAACCAAAACTTATTTGGTTATGGTTTCAGGAAACAAGCAGGTGGCTGATGATCTTAAAATGATGATAAGATCATCTTATCTTTCATTTAAGGGAATTAACTCTAAAAATGATTCTTAAAAAATTCTTAGTCTATGAAAGCATGTGTCTTTTAAATTATCCCTAATAAACTGTGGACATTTCTTTCAAGCCTTAGCTGCTCTTCTGTAGGTCAATCTTTTACTTTAGCAAGCTATATCAAAGGACTTAAAGGAGATAATAGTCTACTATTGCTATTGCTAGAGTTCTCTATTACAATTCAGTTTAAAATAGTAAATCTTTTATAAAAATCAGAATAATAAACTTTGAATCTAAGTTGAATAATAATATCTCTCTAAATCTGATTATTAGATCGTTTTATCAAAATTTAGACTTTGAATTTAATCGTCTTTAAAAAGAAATCATCAATATGTCCCTTAAAAAAATAATAGAAAAATATAAAGGTTTATAAATGTCTTTGAAAAATTATTGATAGTTCAATGCTAAGGGGATACTTCGCTTGGATTCCAAATTTAATGCCTTCGGGTATAAATTACCTCTCCTGGCGCAGTAACTTTTCCTTATTTAGATTTTTTACTATTTAAGAGACGCTTATTAAACTTCTTATGCTATCCAATTTTCATAAATATAATCATTTAGTTACTATTTTAGTTAAATCCTTAGTGAATAGATGTATAATAAATTATTATTTTTAAATTTATGATTCAATGCTAAAGGAAAAAGCAAAGAGAGTCAACTAATTTAACCTTTATTTTTTGGTTGATAAAATTACTGAGCTATCGTAATATTTCATAAGGTTTTTTATTTAAATTAGTTCTTTTAGCATAAAATTTTATTTTAATTTATTTGATAAATTAATTAAGTAATTGTTTTGAATTTTTATTAGCTCAATAAATCTAATATTAAATTTAATAAAAAGTTAACTTTAAATAAAATAAAATAAAATTGAATAAAATTTGAAATTTTGTTTTTGTTGAAGTTTTAGTAATGAACTGACAATAGATTCAATTTTAAAGAATTGAAGAGTTTTTTTCAACTATAATAAAATATTGAACTTTGTCCAAAAAGATTTTTTTATTTCATAACCATTTTTATCTAATGTATTCTAAATTAATGTAACAGTTAGTATCTTTTATATAAAAAATAAGATATAATCATGACCTAGTCAAATTATAAAATAACTGGAATTTTTAGCTTTAATTCAGCCTAAGATTTATTCCTCGTCCTAGAGTTGAGATACGTAAACCCAGCTTGAATCTATATGGCATTAAGGCTCTAAAACAATCAAAAGCATTAATAAATTACTCAGGAAGTACATTAAACATGAATTTTATTAGCTTCAAAATTAAAATAGAAACAAAATTCAAGAATTTAAAAGTAAAATTTCTTCTAAATCTTCTTTTTAGACGCAGAAATTTTAATTTCATAAGTATTTTTTAATTTGATTTGATGAAAATATGCTTACTCCTTTTTATGAATGAGCAAAAGGATTGGATAATTCCTTTTTTTTAAAAATTAAACTATTTAGATTAGATAGATTAATGCTGTGCGTTTATGGTCTCTACTTCCTGAATTTCATGCATTCAGCAGCGTTAGCTATGGGTGGTCTCCCTCAAGGCAAATATGAGCTCGAGATATAACCCCAGCTTCTTTGTAGGCGTTTTCCTTTTAATCCGTATCATAGGGATATTGCTGAGAATCTCCATTTGTAATTTCAGATTTGTTGGAGAGAGTAAAAAATATTTTGCTTGCTAAAAGAGAGATTTAGATAATTTTTTATGGATTTAAATATTGGTGTTTCAAAATCATCCAAAAGTGATTCTCTTTCCCGATATTATACTACAATTGAAGGTGTGATGATTGAATACATTAAAACCCACAGCCAAGTAAAATTGAGTGATCTATTAGAATTTATGGACCTTAGGAAAAAAGGGCTTAGGAATGTTTACTCCAGAAAGTATAAAGTGAAGTGCATTGGAGAATTGGCTATAGCAAAGTTGACTTCTAATAGAAAGATATTTAAAGAAAGCACTAGCGGAGTTTGAACAATTGATGTAATTCTAACTTAGTCTAACGCCTCTTTAGAGTATGAACAGCAAAAAATCAAAGAAATAGAAGAAATACGAAAAAGGAGCAACAAAGCAAGGGCTGAATGAAAAAAAATTTCTGAGATTAGAATGAAAGAAGAAGAGAAATTCGATATTTTTGGAAACTTTGTTAGCGATGAAATCTATAACAAACTTGAGCAATTGGATGAAATCATGAGTTCGTCTAATCAAAATATCCAGAAAAATATTCTGGCATTATATGAAGATTAATTAATATATCAATGCTTTAGGTGTAAAAATTAGGGAATAGTCTAGCATAATATATAGCTATTTTCACTAGCATTTTAAGCTGTAGTAAATATTTTCTAAAATGGTGAAAAATGTAACCGATAGTGATTTTGAGAACGAAAGCCAGAAAGAGTGAATATGATGTGGGTCAGAAGGAACGGAAATAGCAGATATCAGCTGCTCTGAAGGCAGTCAGACAGTATAGCTCTTTCCTTTGAATAGCCCGATAACGGGATGAAGCCAGCCCGTTATCGAGCTATTCAAGGGAAAGAGCTATATCTGACAGCCAAAGCCTCTTAAGGATATGTAGTCTTCAAAACTATGAAAACAAATTTATGAAAGGAGAAAATAGATCAATAAAGTTCAAAAAGACTGCGATTGGGTGTGTAATTCATTTCCTAGCTCATACTCTAAACTATTTATCTAAAATAAAATAACTATTATTAAATAAAGCAATGTAAAGGAAAGGAATTTTGCATTCCAAGCATGGTGTAAGAAAAAACAGTCCCTCTCCTATTGAAAATATAATAAGGCATGTAAAATCCAAAGAGCATTCCCTTGTCACATCAGCGAATGGGAAATATAAAAAAGATGCTTTCAAAATAGTAGATTATGTTCTAAGTTGTTATCCGAAGCTCTTCTTATTGAATGACAATTTCCACTGTTACTTGAATGTAATTAAGAATTAGGAAAATCAAGCAATGAATTATGAAAAAAAGTATAACTTACTCTCCCCTTTTAAATTGGAACAAAGAATCGGTGAAATTTGCATTTTTGGGCACTTTAACCCCCTTTAAAATTGCTATAAAATTTGTTTTTCAATAGGAAAATTTTATCGATGAAAATACTAATTTTATAAAATTATTTTTGACCTAATTTAATAGACAAAACACAAGTAGAATGCCATTTAAACAGTAAAAATAATTAAATATCAAAGTATTGTGCTCGATTTATATATTTAAAACAAGAAAATTCTAAATTTTATAAAATTAGTTTTGGCTAATTTAATAGATAAAGTGCTATCTAAATAGCTTTAACATTGAATCGATTAATTTTTTATAAAATAAATTAAATTCAAAGAACTGATCTCAATTTATATATTTTTTAAGGTTTAGTAAATGCTAAAAATTTTTTATAGAGAAAAATTTTAAATATAATTTTTAAAAACTACCCTTAAATTGGAAAGGGATTTTTTTTCTAACAATTTAGCTAAAGCGACGATTTCTGAAAAAACTAGACTCAAGTACAAAGAAAAGGCAGAGAAGAGAATGGAAAAGCTTGCAAGAATGCAGAGAATAAGAGAGCAGATTGAAGATGATCTAAGAACTGGCACAAATAGGCCTTCTATATTAACCAAGACATATCACTATCAAATTTAAATTTCTTATCAGAAGTCTGGTTGGTCATTGGCAAAACGATCTATTTCACTCTAAGACGTTATCAGGATGTCTCAGTTACTTAATTACTTGCTGTATCAGATTCTAATTTCAGACGATAAGAAAGCTGCTGAGCATATCAAAATGACCATAAGGTCTGCATATCTTTCGTTAAAAGGCGTAAATCCATAATCTTTAATTTCTTCATTACTCAGGCTTTGTTCACAAAACAAATATATAGTTGTGAACTCAATGAATATTAGATTTTTTCTACACTTATTTTATATTTTTTTAAAGGCTCCATGCCAAATGACAGTGGATTTTTGACAGTGTACATTTCATCGAAATACATTTGTTCGAAAATTTTTAAATAGTGTGACTTTTGGTCGAAAATTAACGTTTTTTTTTTCGTTCAAATGTCTCGATATCAAAAATTTCAACCAATTTTCGGAAAAATACATCAGTGAAATGGACACTATCAAAAAAGCAATGCCATTGGACCTGCACCCTTTTTTAAAGTATGCAAAGCTAAATTGCCTCACCCATTCTTAATTCTTAATTTTAGGTTTGACCTTAATTTCAATTACTAATTTGGTCTTAAATTAGGTTTAAATTTTTTTATTTTTGTAGGTTACATTTTTTAAAATTTTATAAAGTACTCCTACTAACTCCCCCCCTCCGCGAGCGAACAAAAAAATTTTGTTCACTCACGGAGGGGATTAATTTTTTTTGTTGAAAAAATTTATATATAAATTTTATAAAAATATTTTTTTTCGAAATTTAAAAAAATCCTAATTCGCAAAAATTGGAAAGCAAAGATTAATTTAATTTATAAAATTTATGTTTTAAAAAGCAATTCGTTTAAATTAAACAGAATTAGCTCTAGATTCATTATACTAATTATCATTTATATATCAAATTTTTTTTCCATAAAAACTTTTTCTATTAAAACAATTATTTCACTCACGGTGGGTTTTTGGGGAAAAAATAGGGATTTTTCTAATGGTTTTGTTCACTCACGGAGGGGGGGGGGAGTAAGTTATTTAGTCTCTCCTTAATACTCATTCTTAATTTTAGCGTTAGTATTGCTTTTCATTTCTAATTTGATATTAGATTAGATTTTAAGTTTTTTTAATTTTGTATGTTACATTTATTTTTATAATAGGTCTTTTATTAAGATTAGGACTTTAAACCTATTCTTAGTTATGTTCAGAATGCTTCCAACTCAATTTGAATTATTATAAAAATTAAACTCCAAATCACTGAGGTTATTCTTGAGATATCCATCTCTTTGCAACAACTCTAAAATGATAAAATATAATCTTCTCCTTGCCATTTTGGCTTGGAAGGAAGAATCCATTCGATCTCAAAACTTAAATTAAAGTTTATTTGTTTTAAAATCTATAGTTTTTAATTAAGCTTTAATTGCTCAAGCCTTAGTTAAAAGATCACTGGCCTGAAAAGGCTTAATTGTAAGAATTAGCAATATTAATTGATTCAGCATGCCATTTAAATGATATATTACTACAAACCGCACCATTTCAATATTATTCCCTCAACAATTAAACAATAATTTAAGAAATGAAAGTAAAGCGGCTTGCAAAGTCTGTTTATTAAACGAAGAATTCTCATCTACAAGACAACTACAAGTTCAGCCTTCAGCTACCTCATGATCTATTTCTAAAAATACTGACTCTCTTACTCCAGCCATTTAATAAAGAATAAAATTGAAAGGTTAAAAAATTATTTATACTTAAATTACTAATCTTAAAAAGTCTTATAATTCTTATTTTATAAAAAAATAATTTAAAAAATTATGCAATTTACCAAATTTATAATTAATTTAAAAAATTCACGATAAAATAGAGTGAAAAGTTAGTTTTTCAGGCTAACTAACCTCCGCAACTCAAACTTCATCCAGAATTCAAGCTCTATTGCCAGGTTTCTATAACACTGAGCAGGCTTGAAGAACTAATGGATGGGATGTGGCTGATTATTCAAGTTCCAGCTTCAGCAAATTCAATCTATAGTAAAAATTCGCCATAAAGCCCAAGAATACGCAAAAAATTAAGGTCTCCTCAACTCAGCATATATAGGGCACACTTTCGACTCGGCTCTATAAAAGCCAGCAGCAGCTTCAGCCATCAAGCGTTAAGCTACTACCTGAGCAGCAAAGTTCAGACATTACCATCTCTCCTAGTGATAGCAGCAAATGACCTATGAAATCAAAATCATTTAAGCTATCTCCAACTTCTAAGACAAATCACCCTGATAGCGGTAACATCGGCCTTTATAGTCTCACCGCTTATCAGATGAATTCTCAAATTTCTATTAGGTTATCGCAACAATTGGCATAGCATCAGCTATTTATTAACATGGAATACAGTAATTAATAAAAAATGACTAATAGGATTGCTTATTTATATTAGAGACTAATAGTATTGCAGATTTAATTTAATAAAAAATAGATATATTGATTGGGGAACACTTTCTAAAAATCAAGATAGAGTTTCTAGTGCTTTATATAGCGCTCCAGCAAGCATGATGATAGAATTTTGCAGCACACTATCTGCTATATCTATTTCTGTCGACGATTTGCCTACCCTCTATCAATACTAAACTAGTCTTCCAATCAAAGCAAAGCCAGCTAACTCTCCTATTTCTCAATTGATAGCCATCCATACATTTTCAGTTGCAGGAATCACGGTCACCCCGCTTCTCTTACCTTTGGCCCTAATGTAAATGAGCTTTATTTCCAGGTTCAAGTTGGCTCATCTTATAAGGCTTCCATAACATATCCAACTCTTTCTTTGCCTTTTCAGGTACTGATCCTGCTAGCAAGATGGTAGCTACTGTATCCTTAACTTATTCTTCTGTCATTACAGCTACTCTTGCATTCTCAGTCACAAAAGAAGTCAAAGTTTTTGCAACCACTTCCGTCGCTTGAGTCTTATATTGGGTCTTAGATGCTGAGGTTCTCCTTTCAGGGCTCTCAGCTTTGGTTTCTGATCTTTTGGTGCAGCCTAAGTCTATTCAAACTCTTCATGAGCAATTGGCTTATTAATATCGGCCTACAGAAGCTGATATCTATACTAGAAAAGGCAATATTGGTATCAATTCCTTTTTCGGAAGAATTCATTCTGAGCTCTGTTGGGCTTCGTCTCAGGTCATCACTACTGCAGGAGCAACTCTTGATCTCAAATTATTCATAGCGGGGAGCCAGCTAGAGTTTTCTGAATATATTGCAGCAAGATTGACTAATAATGTTGGCGCTTATCCTCTTAGTATCAATAACTTTACTACTAATAAATCTAAACAATATTATTCTACCTAGTCACATTCACAAGTTCTGTCACTTCAATTTCTAACACAAGCATTGCTAAAGTTTTAGCAAAAATATAGGCGTTAATCTTTCATGACTGATTTACGTCGGTTCATCAAGGAGAATATTGGGTAAGTTCTTCGACTATAGCAACGTTTAATTATAATGTTCTTTCTGATAGCAGATATCCACTCTATTTTTTTATTTAAGTTTTCCAGCCTAAATAATAATCAAGCCAAAGCAAAATCTGACTTCACTTCCCAATACTCATTAACTGCTTCAAACTTGGGATCATCACAGCTATTTCAACTGAAACAACTCCAGCTTTGATAAATGCCCCAGCAAATAGTGCTTTTGCTAATATTTCGCCAGCTTTCACTGCAACTTCTTCTGTAGCCAGAAATATTTACGACTCAATACTCAAATAATGATCTTGCAAGCCACATTGCATATGCTTGGGAATTGTAGAGGGATTAAATGCCACTCCTGATTATTTGCCTTGTGCAAGCATAGGTAGCATTGCTACCACTAGCGTATCTCTCACTCTTTCAGTTTTATCCTGCCGACATAAAAACTTTGTATTATAAAAGTTGGTCAATTTTTGATGCTTTTGGATATTTTTAACACATACAAAATTGTATTTTAAAAAAGAGTTCGTTTGAAAGCAGGGATTTCATATGTTTGTTACTTCATGCCTGCAATAACTACCCAGTAGTTCCTTCTTGTATAGACTATACATCAACTACTCCTTTGCCAATTATATCAATTAAGAAGGCCGGATCTTCGAGCTTAGGGAGCAGCAGAGCAGCTAAGATGATAGCAAGTGCAATTTTTGCTCTCATCTTAATTTTAGTTAGCTAAATCTTTTTCTTAAATTTTTGGATCTTCAATCTTTTAAAATTTGGGGTTTTAGATTTTTGTTACTATCGAGGCAAACGCATCAATTTAGTTTAGTTAAATTTTTATAATTAATTTCTATAAACAATAATTTTAAATGGATTCAGAAGCAAAATTTTCAAAATTGGCAGAGGATGATTCTATTTATCGATTTTATAGCACAATTGAAGGTAGAATAATAGAATTTATTAGAAGTCGTGGGCAAGTTACTTTGGTTGAGTTGATAGCATATATAGACTACCATAAAAATAAGCTTAGAGATATTTCATCAAGAAAATATAAAGAAAAGAGCATTGAAACTCTAGTTATTTCAACTTTAATATATAAGAAGCAGATTTTTAATGAGGTTTCAGATGGAAATTGAACCATAAATGTAAACATTATTTTAGATTGATTCTGCTTTAGAGTATGAAAAAAACGTGATCAAAAAAATCGAACACTCTTGTAAAAAGAGAGTTGAACAGCATAAAAAATATAAATCCAAATTACATGAGGAAGAAAAATTCAAAGTTTTTGAAAATTTGGTCGATAATGATATTTACAACAAGCTAATCCAATTGGATGAGCTAATGGCATCTTCTAATGAGCAAGTGCAGAAGCAGATTTTAGAATATTATGATAGCAGCAAAAATATAAGTATTAATAGATAATAATTTATTTTATAATTATTGGAGGAATGCTATAAAAATAGCTCCTATTTTAAAATTAATTTGGCTACGAAATTAAAGAATGAGAGTATGCTAAAACAAAAAAGTAGGAAAAGATTTACTACATTAATTACTCTTTCATCCCTTTAATCGAAACTGATTTTCAGCTTTCAGTCAACAAAAATATTTGACGGCTACTTTTTTGACGACTTATCCTACCATTCTTCAGCTCTTCTAGGCGAAAAAGTTATTACTTCTGGGTACAAGATTAAGGCGGCAATTTCAATTGCTCGAGTTTTGCATTGGAATCTTGGATACCAAGACTCTCATATTCTTATTTTGATGGGCCATCAGTTTTGGTTTCTTATCTTTTATCTACATCTTACTCAATTCAAGCGCTTCAGTAACAATTAGCATCCAATATCAGCATATAGGCACTGACAATTTTAATTGAAAATAGCGTATTTTAAAATTAGTTCTTATCTGAATTGACTTTGTCTTGGATATATTTTTTACGTGAACTCTTACCAATATCGTCGCAAAACTAACTGAAGGCTAAAAGAGTCAGCCTGTCTTTTAAGAAGCTCAAGATTTATTTGCTAACTCACCTCTATCACAGAGGATAATATTTTGTGAAAAAAATTTTGTAGAAAATATTAATTTAATTTGTAAAATTTATGTTTTAAAATGGTTCACTTAAATATTTGGGTTTCCAGCAGAAAATTCTCTTTGTACATTTTATGATTATGAAGTTTGGCCTTCTCCAGCGAATGTATTTCCAGGTATCACATGGCTTCAAGAGCTTGCGACTCGCAGAGGGGATTCTGTCCATTAGAGATTCGAATTTTTTGGAAGGATGCCACCAACCTAGGCGATGGAGGCTGGAACCTTTAGGGTGCCTGACAGGCCCTTGCTGGTATTTGCACGAGTAGAAGGACGACCGTATAAATCCGAACACCCGAAGCCTATGGACCATTCAGAGGCGAGACAGTGCTGTGCCTAACGTGATGATGAATGAGGAACCCAGGGACAAAGCCCAGGGAGTTGATGTGAGATTGTGCTTCAAGCTAGAGGGCATTAATCTAAATGAAATTTAAAAATTTATGTTCTAGAGTGCAAGCTATTTAAAATTAAGCAGAATTAGCTAGAGATTATTATAATAATTATCACTTATACATCAAAATATTTTTTCATAATAACTTAAAGAATATGAGTGCAAACTCCTCATTGCCAACATTTATAAGTTTATCAAAAAAGACCCTTGGCTATGCCTCTAAAATTACGATGTTTACAATCAACACTATTGCTGACAACAGATATCCTTCACAACTCCAGGTTTGCCAATTACCAAAGTAAGCCCATTTGAAGTCAAAGTTGGAGTCACAGCCTCGATAGCTGGAGTTTTATATTGGGGAGTTGGATGCCAAGGTTCTCCTATTCTTACATTTAATAGCTTGTATTCTTTGGTTTCTGATCTTGTTACTCCATCTAGCACTATTCAGACACTTCAGGAGCAATTAGCTTATCAATATCAGCATACAGAGACTAACATTGACACAACTAAAGGTGACACTGATATTAATTTTTTCTTCAAAAGAATTCATACTGAGCATTGCAGCGACTATTGGGCTTTGTCTCAGGCCATTCAGACTACAGGCACCACAATTAGCTTGAATTGGCTTATGGCAGGGACAAGCTTACATTGCAACAAGATTAACCAATGACACTGCTGCTTACCAGCTCAAGACTTATAATTTCATTACAGATTCTGCAGGCCAACTCTATACTACATCTGTAAGCTTCTCAGGGACTGTTCCTAGCACTCAAAGCAGCAGCATTGCAAAAGTATTGGCAAAGAATATGGGTGTGAAACCCTTCATGGCTTACTTATGTAAGCTCAACAAGAAGAAGACTGGATGACGCCTCTACAACTACAACATTTACTTATAACGTTCTTTCTGATAACAGATATCCAGCCTATACTTCTTCCCTTATGATTTCTAATCTCAATACCAACCAAGCTCAAGCAAAATCTGATTTCACAAGCCAATTATCATTGACCACTACAGCTGTTGGGTCACCATCAGCCATTACAGCTGGATCAAAGCCATCATGGTCAACTGCTCCAGCAAAGGGAACTGTCTCTGATGCATCTGCTACTTTCACTGCAACTTCTTCAGCAGCTGGATATATTTATGCCTCATTCTCAAATAATGACCTTACCGGTCGCACTACTTATGCTTGGCAAGTAGTAGATGGATTGGATGCAACTTCATCCTAAGTCCCATCAGGAAAAGTAGCCAGCGTTGCTGCTACTAGCGAAGCATTAACAGTTTCTGGCTTGAGTGCAGGAACCTTAAACTTTAACTTAAATTACTATATAGAGAAGTTTCCTCCAGGCCTGGAGGCCACTACTCGCCTCCGCATACACTCTAAGCTTGCTTGTCAGCTCAGATATGGCTTTCCCAGAAAATTCGAAACACCTGGAGCCCAGGACGCAATGCTAAATATCGCGCTAGCTATTATGCTCGATTCGCCAAGTGACATCCTCTGGCCTTGGTGGGCATCCCTTTCCAGCTCCAGCAAACGATCTCCCTTGGGTAAAACTTGGCCGGACTCGATCATGTGGTCGCAACAGTCCGACATTGTACTCCACCAAAAAAGGAAAAATCCTCCACAAGCTTCTCAGCTTTCCCAATGAGCCTACCAAAAGGTGCTAAGAGGGGCTCAATACTCCATTTTAATGTTTATTGACTTCAGGAACCAGCTACATTTGCTATTTCACTGCTTGTGACAATTACCCAGTAACTCCAAATTGTATTGACTATTCCTCAACCTCTGCTTTGCAAAGCATATCAATTAAAACTAGTGGTTCTTCAAGCACAGACAGCAGCGCCGTGGCTATGGGAGCAAGTGCAGCATTGGCTTTCATCTTAACTTTACTTACTCCCCCCCCCCGTGAGTGAACAAAACCATTAGAAAAATCGCCATTTTTTGCCCAAAAACCCACCTTCCGTGAGTGAACAAAAATTTTTTTAATACAAAAATTTTTTATGGAAAAAAGTTTTAATATATAAGTGATAATTAGTATAATGAAATCTAGAGCTAATTCTGTTTAATTTAAAACGAATTGCTTTTTTAAAACATAAATTTTATAAATTAAATTAATATTTGCTTTCCAATTTTCGCGAATTAGGATTTTTTTAAATTTCGAAAAAAAATATTTTTTATAAATTTTAAATATAATTTTTTTTAAAAAAAAAAAATTAACCCCCCTCCGTGAGTGAACAAAATTTTTTTGTTCACTCACGGAGGGGGGGGGGGGAGTTAACTAAAGCTTTTCATATAAAATTTGGCTTTTTAATTATGATTATTTTAATATTTTCTTTCAATTTAATTTAAAAATTCTTTATTAAAATTTGCAGGATAAATTAATAAACACAGAACAATAATTTATGAGACGTCTTTCTTAGCAATAGGATCATCATTATCTGCTATAATTTGTTCTTTGTAATTTTTATATTTATTTTCTAGCTTATCTAGCATATTTTTAGCCTCATCAATAAAGCTCACGCTTCCTAAATTTTCTTGTAAAACATACTTTATCATCACTTTTATGGAATTAATAGTATCATCGCGTCATATTCCATTTTTCGCCAGTTTTGTATCAATTTCTTTGGCTTCTTCTTCATCTACGGCTTGTTTCATAATTTCTAAATCACTTAACAAATTTTCATTATTGTTCTGATATATATTTTCTTCTAAAAACTCTTTCAGCTCTTGCTCATCCAAATCTAAAGCGTATCTGCATTTATAAATTATTTCATTTAATTCATTTTGGGGGTCTGAATATTTGAAATCAATATGAAACCCTAAGATTTTTCAGTCATTCTTAATAAGATCTTCAGAAATTTCGTGCCAAGTCTCATTAATTGCATGCATACATTCCCTTAGATCATAAATTTCTGTAAAGTCAAAAACCGATTGCTTGGTTCCTGTATAATTATCAATTAATTTTTGTAAAAAGCGCAGCTTGTAGATGTACTTGAAAGCAGGAATAATTGATTGACATAATGGTTGGAGTGAATGAGTTGAATTTATTGGAAAAGCCATTGTACGCAGATAATGGTGGCGAGGAGTATCTATCATATTATGAGCAATTGAGCAGTCGTATAGCAATAAAGCATGCTGTGGCAGGTTGGAAGCAGCTAGAAAAGCTTTAGTTTCTGGTATAAAATGATCATAAATTCAATTCTCAAATGTGATACTCGTTATAGCTGTCTGATTATTAAATTCATAAATAGCAGGCAAATCTCCTTCTATTGGATCGTTCCCCACAACTAGCAATCTCAATTTGTGCGTCCCTGTAGCATTGCAGCAGAGAAGTATTTTTATTTGCTCAGAGTTAATTTCCCTTTGCAGGGGATTTGAAATTAATTTTTTTGGAATTTTTCTTCAATTCAGCTTAATTTCGTCACAATTATATATTTGCTCAGGAGAGTACCCCTTGTCCCAGATGAATTCTTTAAACTTTTTAATAAAACACTCTGCTGATTCTTTATCTGGCTGAAAGGGTTTGTCAACATTACCGATGTGCTTAAAGTTGTATCTTTCTTTAAAATGCCTAACTCAATTAGGGGCAGTCCTGAAAATACCGCTTGACGGTATTTTCCGGAACTTTTTTTTCCTATTAAAAGAACATAAAATTTCAAAAAATCTTCGATTTTCCATGAAAATACCATATTGGAACAAAAATTTTTCAAAAAAAAGTTCCTGAAAAAACTATATCATAAAATTTTACTGATTGAACTACCTGAAAATACCATAAAGGTGAAAAAATTTCGATATCATGACAGCATAGTTTTAAACAGAGAAAAAAACAAATAAATCTGGAGTAAATGGTCTCTTGTTTGCTGAAACACAATAATAATCCCAACACAAATAAAGGGGATTATATGCATTCCAATCATTATTGGTTAAAAAATCAATAATTTTTTTTTTCCTCAAAATCGCATGAAAATACGTCATAAAAATTTTAAATTGTGACATGTGCGATTTTAATTGTATGCTCAAAATAAGTATTAATAAGAGCCATATGCTATTCGAGCTAAGGAAACTATTAATGCAAGCAAGCAAATTCAAAAGATATAGCAATAGAGTATATTTATATATATATAAAAATTATTTCAAAACTACGAAAATGTCTTTTTTTTTTGAAAAAATCGCATGAAAATACCAATAGTAAATTTTTAAACGGTCCAAAATTTGCCTGAAAAAACCGCTAATGGAAAAAAAAATTTTCAAAAAGTCCATGAAAATACCAAATAGGAATTTATAATTAAATTCAATTAAATTTAGGTTCGGCAAATTTATCGAAATCATCTAAAGTCAAATTAAAGAAACTAAATTAAGTAGCATTGAAAACAATAGTTTAAAGTCGACTACATGAATAATATTACAGAAGCATGTATCAATTTTTTCGACATAATTTAAATAGAAAATTTTATTTTTAGCTATCTAGTGGAATAGAATTACGAAACAGTGAGAAGTAGTTTAAACTGCACTTGGTCAAATCAAAAAAAATTGCTTTGAAGTCGCCTTTGTAAATCACTCATAGGTCAATTAATGCAAACCTAAGAAAAGCATGATAAATTTACTTAATTCTGAATTGCAAATTCAATGATGTAAAATAAATTTACTTTTTTGACTTGACAGCTTTTATCCTCTAGAGAAGGCTATAGACAATAGTAGTGGAGTCGATTAGTTTTTACCATTAAGATAAAAATAGTTAAGTCGGTTATATCAAAATGCCTAGATATCAAAACTCATTTAAATAATTACTTAATGTTTTTTATATTAACTAATTTAATGCTTTTTATGGGGACTTATAGATTCTATATAATCATAAATGGCTGAACGTTTTATGCATCCTTTATGGAATGCTAATAGAAATTTTGAGATCGAAAGAAAAATGCAATAGCTAATTGCCAAGAAAATGGAATCCTTAAGCCAAATATATGTGATTATGCAATGGAAATTGTTTATGTATCTTTGTGGTGAAAGTCCTTTTCTTCGTTGCACAAATTGCAATATAAGCTTTTTAGTACGAAGAAGGTCTATATTTTACTATTCAGTTTTAAAATAAAGAAAATCGTACAACTGATATTCCGTTGTTTCGTTAGAGAACAGCCTCTTATTAGTATAGTATAAGACGCAGAAATTTTGAGAGTGTGTAATAAAGTTTTCAAAAAGCTTTAATTAAAGAAAAAATAACTGAAGAATATTCTACAGATACGAAATTTGGCTTAGAGAATGAAGCTGGAGAAGTTTATCTAACAGTTGAAGCAGACGAAAATCATTTGACGACAATGAATGGCGATCTAAAATGGCTATTTGGTCTATATAACAGAGGAACTTAAGATTTCAGATTATATTATGTTGGAAGTGATATAAGCTGGATAAATTTGCATTGATTTATTATAAGTTCAAAATCCAGCTGAAACATTTAGTGATGAATGAGCAGCCTATAATAAACTCCCTACAATTGAATATCTCCATCCAATTTTTATCATATCAAAGCTTTGGCACAGGAAGGTTCAAAACCAATAATATAGAAAAACTTATGAAGCAGAATAAAGAGGCTAAGGGCTAATATAAACGGATTCCACCCAAGAAATGAAAAAGAGCTTGAAAATTATACCCTATATTTTTAATGGCTCTTAAAGCATAGGCCTATTACTGAAAGAATTGATCTTTTAATCGAAATCCTTAATTTTAATAACTTCTAATCTCTTTAATGAATTAAAAGATTTTATTATTAAGTTTAGATAGCTCAATATTAGAAATTGCTTTAGCAGACTTGTCTATTTTTATCTTAATGGTAAAAACTAATCGACTTCACTGCTATTATCTATAGCCTACTCCATGAGCTTCTCAAAATAGAATTTTAAAGGTTTCATTTAAAAGACTTGAGTTTTTTTCCTTGACTTCAATGGATTTATTGTTTTTCTTCACTATAAGAGGATGAAAGCTGTCAAGCCGAGAAAGAAACTTCTGAAAATCATAGCTGTACAAGACAATGTCCGTTATTCTGAAATTCAGCATGCTTCTATCTACCCTTCCTAGCTCTGCTCTTAGCTGTTGTCCCTCAAGTTCATATATCAGACAGTCTTCAATAACGTGACATTCATCTTGGGCAACGCCCAAATTTTCACACAGAAGGCCGCTCGAGGTTTCCTCATGTGCGCACTGGCAGCATATGAGTTGAAGCCAGCCCTTAGCCTATCTATTGCCCGTATTATGTGGAAATCTTTGGTATTAGATAATAAATAGAACGGCTTGGCCAACTTTGTTTTGGATTCTTGCAGTTTAAACTACTTCTCACTGTTTCGTAATTCTATTCCACTAGATAGCTAAAAATAAAATTTTCTATTTAAATTATGTCGAAAAAAATGATACACGCTTCTGTAATATTATTCATGTAGTCGACTTTAAACTATTGTTTTCAATGCTACTTAATTTAGTTTCTTTAATTTGACTTTAGATGATTTCGATAAATTTGCCGAACCTAAATTTAATTGAATTTAATTATAAATTCCTATTTGGTATTTTCATGGACTTTTTGAAAATTTTTTTTTCCATTAGCGGTTTTTTCAGGCAAATTTTGGACCGTTTAAAAATTTACTATTGGTATTTTCATGCGATTTTTTCAAAAAAAAAAGACATTTTCGTAGTTTTGAAATAATTTTATATATATATAAAAATATACTCTATTGCTATATCTTTTGAATTTGCTTGCTTGCATTAATAGTTTCCTTAGCTCGAATAGCATATGGCTCTTATTAATACTTATTTTGAGCATACAATTAAAATCGCACATGTCACAATTTAAAATTTTATGACGTATTTTCATGCGATTTTGAGGAAAAAAACAATTATTGATTTTTAACCAATAATGATTGGAATGCATATAATCCCTTTATTTGTGTTGGGATTATTATTGTGTTTCAGCAAACAAGAGACCATTTACTCCAGATTTATTTGTTTTTTTCTCTGTTTAAAACTATGCTGTCATGATATCGAAATTTTTTCACCTTTATGGTATTTTCAGGTAGTTCAATCAGTAAAATTTTATGATATAGTTTTTTCAGGAACTTTTTTTTTGAAAATTTTTGTTCCAATATGGTATTTTCATGGAAAATCGAAGATTTTTTGAAATTTTTATGTTCTTTTAATAGGAAAAAAAAGTTTCCGGAAAATACCGTCAAGCGGTATTTTCAGGACTGCCCTCAATTAGGGCTTGCTATTAAATCTTTTTTTGGAGGATTTACCCCTGCTAATTTTCCATAAAAAAACTGAGCTTTTTCTGAAATTGATTTATATTTAATTGGCAGCCCGTATGAGTATCATTGATTTATCCACAGGCTTACTCCCCCCCTCCGTGAGCGAACAAAACCATTAGAAAAATCCCTATTTTTTCCCTAAAAGCCCACCATCCGTGAGCGAACAAAAGTTTTTGATATATAAGTGATAATTATTATAAAGAAATTTCGAGCTAATTCTCTTTAATTTTAAAACAAATTGCGTTTTAAAAACATAATTTTGCAAATTAAATAAATGTTTGCTTTCCAATTTTTGCGAATAGGATTTTTTTTAAATTTCGTAAAAAAAAATTTTTTTCAATAAAATTTATATATAAATTAACCCCCTCCGTGAGCGAACAAAGGGGGGGAGCTAGAGCTTTCACTAGAATAGGGTGATAAGAACTACTTTCTTTTTTTGGCAAATCAATATTAAAATATTCAGGATAGCCATTAGCATAAAGAATTTGGTTTTTATCTTTTAGAATTTCTGTAACGGCTTGACGACGAACGTGATATACCTTAGCTAGATTAGTTATAGATATTTTACTTCTATGAAATTGCTCAATTATGTCTTTCTTTTCCTCTAATGTAAATTCTCTCCGTATGCGGGGATAACTGCTTGCTGTGGTTTTCTCAGGCTTTATTGAAGGAGATTCAGATTTTGCTGTTGATTCTGTGTCGCCCGATGATAAATCCATTAAAATACTTAAAAGAGCTTTATGAACCCCCCAATTTATTAGAATAATTAAGCATTTATTTGTATCAAAAAAACATTTTTGAAATATTTCACCTTTAAAAAGTTATTATTAATAAATAATTAATTAAAATCACACATTTTTTAATTTTAAAGCATTGATATGCCGTTTAAATTTGCTATTTTATAAGCCTCTCCTTTTCTCTTCAAGTCAAATTTATAGACGTAAAAATCCATAGTAATTTTGTCAGATTCATAAGCATACAATCCAATATAAACTGCATTTTCTCAGTATCTTGTAAAGACTTGATCATGAAAAACAGCTGAAAAAACTCCAATTGGAGTCCAAGCATGCATATTATCAATTTCGCTTTCACATATGCTCCCTCCATAATGCTCAAAAATATACCCTCTTTGTTCTGAGCATGAAATTGCAAATGGCTTATTAGGAACTTCAATATCAGCATAGCTATCTAATGAGATATCATATTGATATATTTTTGATTCTCGATTTAAAGCAAGATATATTGAATTCTTAAATAACGCACAAGAGCAATCTCTACAATAAGCTGGGACACTCGCAAGCCTAAATCAACGATTTTGCAGAATATCAAATTTTTCTGCACGGTGGCTAGTATCATCGCCTCCAAATATATAAACGAGGCCTTCAAAATATATACCTGCAGCAAATTTAGAGCGAGCTCCAGGAGTCAACAATTGCGTAATGAGAAATCTTTTTCTGTCTATTATGCATGTTCAATTATTTACTCTACTGGTTGAGCCTCCGTAGCAAAATATTTTACAATTTGGAAGAGAAACTATGCATGTTCCGTGGCCAAGACATGGAATTTTAAAATTCTCTTCTCGTTCATTGTGTGTTTCAACATCAAACGTAATAAGTTTTGAAACCCGATGGTCATTGTCAAATAAATACATATTCCTGTCAATCTTTAAATAGCTCAGATATTTATCTTCAATGCCAAAATAAGTTTCCAATAGCTTCGCCACTTTATTTTTCCTCATCAGAACTATATTTAAATATCCATCAATCTACAAATAAATATGGAAAAAATTCTTACAATTAATTGTAAATATGAAATTTAAAATAAATTATTACAATACAGATTATTTCCTCTTCTTTAAGCTTAAAGGATCATTTATGTCAGTCACATTTATTTGGTTAGAGAAATATCCATTCAGTATCTCCGTTGCATGGCTCTCTAAGTTGATACTTCTTTTCGCAGGAAGCTCTGGATTTTTATGCTTAGATTCATGACACATCTTTGATATACTTGATGCTGGGACAACTGGCAATTTTTTGTAATTATGATGGGATTTCTTTATATGGTCTGAAAGCTTGCACAGGCATGTAGTTGTAAAGCTGCAATTAGGAATGTTGCAAGAAAATTTGTGAAATGTTGCGACATGAGTTGATAATTCTTCAATTGAATTTAATACATAAAAACAACTGCTTGATGGGCAAACAAGACTTAAAGGTTTGCCAGTAGAAGAGTCATTGCAATTTTCTGTTTCATAGCTTTGAGGAGGCTTTACATTGTCTTGCTTTCGCTTTCCATTAGACTTAGGCAGAATTTGTATTTCAAATAAATTATTAGTACAACTGGGAGTCAATAATTCTTCTTCTCCAACTTGATACCAAGCTTCTTCTATCATTTTTATAATATTTTTATAATGCCCCAATTTTTAATAAAAATAATTTTAAATAATTTTTATCACAAAATAATATTTTATTTTTTCACTATAATCAATTAATTAATAATTTGTGTGAACTAAATGTATTTAGTTTGGCCATAAATTGAGAAAAGAATATTATAATTTATTTGAAATTTTATATGTATTTATATATCCATATATGCTGGCTTTAATTCAATCTAATGTAATATAATTTATAAATATCTTTAAACACGACATTATTTATTATATTTATCCTACTTTTATTTTAATAAAACTTCATAGGTCTTGATGAAATACGGGTAATGCGACTTTATTTTTTGATCAATTTTGAGCAGTGATGAGGGATAATAAGACATTTTCAGGTGACTATGAGATTATATATCGAAGACATAGGAAGAGATTAGGGTGTTTGAGAAGTATTAAAAAGCCAAGACCTTATTGAAGGTTAAATATGATATAGTCAATTAAGGGTGAAAAAGAAAATTGCTCTACAAAAGAATTAAGAGAAGAGGAGACATGAATAGTGATGAAATTTCAGATTGATAAACGCGGGAGATACTTTAAAACCAGGATATAGAAGTTAAGAACCAATAAATGGAAAGCAAAAGATGGGAGCATGCAGCAGAGCTGCATGAAAAGGAGAAGGAAAAATCTCAAAGCTATTATATAAAGATCTCAATGACCAATTTACGGCGAGATTTAATAAGATAAGATAGATCCTTTAAATATTCAAAATTGAGGGGACTTATATAAAAATAAATGAACAGTGAAGAATTAAAGAACTTTTTACACTCTTTTAAAGATGATCTCTCCAAGATGATACGCTTCGAAATGAATAAAGCTTTAGGCAAGTACGTTGAAACTGCTCAAGACTTCGCCTGAGACGAAACTCCAATCCAAAATCTCCATGACTTTTTCCATACCCCAAGAATTAGGCATATTTACGATTCCTCCCTCGTCGTAAACTTTTCAGATTACATCAAAAGACTTAAGCTCTCCAAAGAGCTCGTTTACAAAAAGCTTAACGAATCCAATTACTATCTACCTGAACTTAGCTTTTTTACCTCAAATTTCCTCGATGATTTAATTGCAGGCTCTAAAAATTTGCTTCAAAAATCTGAAGTCAAACTAATAAATTGCTCAGGAACAGAAAAAAGTACTTTCTCTTGTCTAGCAAAATCCTATGTAAGGAAAGACAAAAATCTGCAAAGCTATATGCCAAACACACCAAATATGGACCCAGGCTACGTGATAAATGTAGTAAATACATTCTATCCACTTGAAGAAGGGAAAAAAATTATTGATTTTTCAAATCAAATTAAGGAAAATTTGAAGAAAATACAGACAAATATTCCTGCAGTGCCTGATATATTGTTTGATTGAAAGCCTGCTGAATTTAATATGGACGGGGTGAAAAATAGTGTGAATGAAGCAATGAATCAGATTTTAGTGCTGAAAGACAAAATAAAGAAACAAAAGGAAGAGCAAATAATGGAAGAAAAAGCGAATCAAATGGTTGTAAATCTTTTAGAAGTTGATTATAATGAAGCACAGTTTGCACAGCTGATGAATTAATTGTTATTAATAAAATTAGGTCTCGGTTTAAAGCAAATTTTTTAAGATTATATGGAGAATTTCGAACAATTTAAATTATCATAAATTACTTATAACCAAAATACTGCAGCGTATCTTTGGTATCTCCATCGTTTCCCATTAAAATCCTTAGCACATCTGCTGCTTCAAGTCTTTTATTATTAGTAATTTCTCTGCATTTCTTCACAAGTTTATCAAAGCGTTCTAAAACGCGATTTTCAGCACAAAGATTAAATAATTCATCCTTATCAAGCACAGTCCTAGTGTCTTCATATACAGTCACTCTTAAATTTTTATAATTTTCTATTTCAGTATCACTCTCAATGTCCATTCTATCGTCAGGATTATTTTCTTCCAATGTATTTTGAGGAATTTTGAGGGTTTCTGACGCTTCTATATTATTCATGACGACTTTGCTTATTGTTGGAGTACTAAAATCTAATTTTTTCTCGATTGGTGCGGGCTGTTTAGGCATTGATGGGTAATCTTCTGTTAAATCGACTAATTCAGACTTATCTTTTGAGATGGTTTTGGCTGCTTGTGAGGGATTATTAGAGAATTCAGAGCTACTGGATTGTTTTTTTGCAGTGGCTGCTTTATATGGGTTTTCTTTGGTTGAAATGATTACTGGTATGCACACCCTGGGAATATAATAGCCTCGATTTTTATTTTCAGGGTCAAGTTTTTGTCTTCGATTGAGTGTTTCTGATGCATCTATGAGGACTTCAGGGTGCATTCTTTTTGCAGGCAAAGAGATATCGTCTGAACTCTTTTTTTGGTTGTTTTCTGATTGCAATCTTTCCATCATAATTTACCTTATATTTAAAGTTTCTAAGCCCCCAGAGCAAGCTAAATCTTATCAAATTTAAATTCTGTGATTTGTATTAATTTTTATCTAATAATAGTAAATTTTCAAAGCGAAAAATCTTACTTCATCTCATCAACATTTTTGATCATTAATGAATCTTTCAGAATTTTATAGTATTTTTTTGCATTTATTAGGGGGGTTTTATTTTTTCAAAAATTAAATAAAATTTAACTATGTCTGATTTCGATGAAATTTACCATCCAAGCCCTGGTGCTCCACAAAAGAAAACAAAAATCGAGCCTACAGAGCCAATTCATGAAAAACACCCCAGCAAAGAAATTTTAGACCTTAGCGATTCCGACTCGTCAAATTCAAGCGTCATTGAAGAACTTGATGCTTCAGACCGAAAAACCTCTAAAGATCTCCCTCCTCCTATAAAAAAAGAAGACGAAGACATATCAAAATACATAAAAACCTGCTCTGTATATCTCGCATATTATATGAAAAAGCTCCAAGGTCCAATAGCTTGCACTTATTTAATAAAATCTCCCAATAATGAGATTATCGATAAGGTAACGAATATTTACTACAAAAAATCGCGAGCATTATCCTTATTGAAACATATTAGAAGAGCAGTGAAGCGATGCCATCAGAAGTCAATAACTCATATTGATATGTATACAGACGACGATAAAATTTTTGGGACTTTTGATAAAGTTTGAAAATGGATTAATCAGTTGTATCAGCAAAGATTAAAAACTAATGGACTTTTAAGCCGCTTGGGAATGACTTGCAAATGAAGATGGGTGCTGAAAGTCGCCAATGCGGAGGCCATTAAGATTGCTAGAGATGAGTTTGAGAGATTAGTTAAGAATGAATCTGATGAATCTTCTGCGTCTTCTAATGAAGAAGAAAAAAATGAATTAGAAGGAAGCCTATAATTTATATATTAAGTGCGAATAAAATAGTAATTTCTATTTATAAATAATTTCAATGCTAAATTTATTAGCCTTTCAATATAAATTACTCCTATTATAAGCAATTTTGATAATTATAATCATTTGGAAAGCACTCATCAATTAGTTCCTACTAATATATCGGGATGCTGGTAATTGATTTATATGAGAAAATATATAAATTAAATTGATATATAAGATACCCACTTTTATTAGATGCGTTAATAGTTACTTATCCCATAATAAAATTCATTAAATTCATTAAAATTTATAAAGAGTTGGGATAATTATGGATGGCTCAATGCTAAGGAGATACTTCTGAATTTATTCAAGATCAATGCCTTCGGGCTTAACTTACCTCTCCTGGCGCAATAGCTTTTTATCTGCCCTTTTAGCTATTAAAAGATTGAAAATTACTTACTCCTTTATATATTTAATAATTTTATTGAAAAAAAAATAGCTCAATAGCAATTAGGTATTTACTGGCTTTATACGTGTCTCAGGGCTTCAATTTTGCCTACTATAAAAGCGCTTTTAATAAAAAAATACTTAATTTTATCTCAAAAAATAGAGTCCTTCTTAGGATTGGTAGTTAGATTCTAAAGGTCTGTACCTTGCTGTTCAGAGTGATATTGCTCTAGTATGCAGAGTTCAAAAATGCAATTTTAGAGTTTTAATAGCATGATCTTATCTTAAATATAAAGAAGTTCATAATAATCTGATCTGATCTGATATCCTTAGAATAAAAATAAAATGCTAGTAGATTGTTATTATGGGTTTAAGTATTTAGCATGATCTTTTACAATTATGTCTAGCAATCTAAGGTGGAAAGCTCAGCTCTATGAATCCTAAGATTAGTGATTTATGCTGACCTTCTGCTGATATTTATTTAGGACATTACGTCCGCTAAATATTTCAACATTTCTTGATTATAAATAACTCCTGATTATTAGATATCCACTTTTATCAGATGCATCAATATTTACTTATCCCATAATAAAATTCATTAAATTCATTAAAATTTATAAAGGGTTGGGATAATTATAGATGGTTCAATGCTAAGGAGATACTTCTGAATTTATTCAAGATCAATGCCTTCGGGCTTAACTTACCTCTCCTGGCGCAATAGCTTTTTATCTGCCCTTTTAGCTATTAAAAGATTGAAAATTACTTAGATTCTAAAGGCCTGTGCCTTGCTGTTCAGAGTGATATTGCTCTAGTATGCAGAGTTCAAAAATGCAATTTTAGAGTTTTAATAGCATGATCTTATCTTAAATATAAAGAAGCTCATAATAATCTGATCTGTCTGATATCCTTAGATGAAAATAAAATGCTAGTAGACTTGCTATTATCGGTTTAAGTAATTAGCATTATCTTTTACAATTATTTCAAGCAATCTAAGGTGGAAAGTTCAGCTCTATGAATCCCTGAGATCAGTGAATTTTGCTGATCTTCTGGTGATATTTATTTAAGACGTTATAGCTTCGTTAAAATATTTCAGCATTTCTTAATTATAATTAAATCCTATTCTGACTAAGGTAACTAATAATAGGATTTAGTCATTTAAAGCCACATAGATGCTCTAATAATCATAGTTCCATATTTTTAAAGTGTAGATTTCTTATCCCATAATAAAAATAAAGATAATAAGCTTATTATTTAAATTAAAATGAATATATATATTCAGTTCTAAGCTAAGGAGATACTTCGTTTATATATTCAAGTCCCTCGGGTGTTGGAAATTCAAGACCTCTCCTGGCGCAAAAACTATTTTTATATATGCAATCTCCAATATTATTCTTATCTTAAACTATGCATTATAAATATAATAGCGACCATCATTCAGTAAGCATATCAAGTACGTCTTGAATTATCTCATTTTTTTATTTTATATAAGTTTTAGCATGATATGCTCTTTTTAAAAAGTTTTAAAGGTTAGAAAAGTTATATAGCAAATGACACTAATCAAAAATTAATTATTTTCCTATTATGGATTAGTCTCATGTGCAGAATAGTCAGACAACTCTTCTTTATCTCTTTTTTCAAACTCTTCTCTAGCAATTTTATTTGCTTCTACATTAGCAGGCTTAAAAACTCATTTAAACTTATGAGTCATATTAAATTTGGCAAATAAATCACTTGTCTTCATTCTTTCCTCTAATAACTGTGGATTCAGCTTCTTAAACTTGTCAAAATTGGTAAAAACTACGTCATTGTCTGTACATATGTCAATATGGACCATCGACCGACGGCCACAGACTTTTATGGCTCTCCTTAAGTGTTTTATTACTGACAAAGCTTTGGATTTTTTGTAATAAATATTCGTCATCTGCTCAAGAACTTTACCATTAGACGATTTTATCATATAAGTGCAAGCTACTGAGCCATGGAGCTTATTGCAAAAAGTCCCCAGCCAAATTGAGCCCCTTTTTATGTCTCCATAATCTTCTAAGCTATTTTCTTCTCTTTTAATGTCATTTAAAGCTTTTACTTCTTCTTGTGGGTTAGAGGACGAAGCGGTTTCGGAGTTTTCGTTTAAATCAGATACGTTGGCAGGTATTCTTATCTCATCATTGGAATTAATTTCTGTGGGTTCAAGCTTTATTTTCTTGTGAGGTAACTCAGAAAAATCAGTAATTTCGTTGGCATCTGACATCATTTAAATATAAGGTATGCTAGCCCCCTATAATTATACATTTGAAAAACCACCAATAAGAAAACCAATTTAAAATTAGGGATTATTATAAATCTTAAATTTAGAGATTAATTATATTTTAATTTAAAAATTAATTTAATTTTAACTTAATTTTAATGCTCCAAAATTCAATCAACTTGTATACTCCGATATTTTTGAACTCCATTTATTAACTCCCCCTTTGTAGAGGGTAAATTTTTTTGCTTGCTAACGGAGGGATTAAATTTTTTTTAATATTCCCACAATTTGCAGTAAAATGCAATTTAATTTATAAAATTTATACTTTAGATTTCAAGCCGATTTTATTATAAAAATTAAAAAAAAGAAAATAGTTATATAAGCATTACATTAAATTATTTATACTCACTTGTGAAGACTAATTTTTTCTAGAGATAAAAATTTCGATGATTTGCTCGATCATGGAGGGAGGAGTAAGTATTTTATATTATTAAAGAAAGCTATCTTTATGAAGGTAAATTCTTTGATACTCATCCATTACCTTTTCTCAACCATTTTCAACTAAAAATTCTCCTACAAGCTTGCACTTTCCTTCATAAGGTAAATTGCAATCATCAAGCAATATAATAGAATCCTTATGTAGTTTATTATATGTTTCCATAATTTCGACTAAATGATGCTCTTGAGAGAGCTCAGGGCTATTTTCGTCATAGTCAAAACTATCAAGATATAGAAAGTCGATTGTTTCATTGATTTTTGACAAATATTCAATGCTATCACTTCAAATCAATCTTGTATTATCCCCAAAAAAACTGACAGCTTCTCTTGATATCTCAACTGTTTCTTGATCTATATCAATTGAGGTAAATTCTCTGTCAGTAAGAAAAGCAAATTGAGAAAAAATTAATGTTCCACACCCGTCTCGGACACAAAATTTATCATCTGATGCTCGGTATGAGCCAGTTTCTATAAGTCTATAAGAATTGCGATCTATCATTAGCTTAAGAGCTGATAAAAACGTTTTGTAGCGTTTATCTGAAGGCCTTATGCGAGCTAAGACTGTAAAAGTGATAAGATTTAGATATTCTTCAGAAAAACTGCATGAGTTTTTACAATAAGGGCTAGGAATTTCTTGCAGCTTGAATTCTAAATCGTTTCCTAATGCAAGTTCAAGTAATAAACATAAGAGGGTAAATTTATTTAATGTCATTGAGCTATTATTCAAATTGAATAAAAGAAAAATACCTATTCTTTTGAATTTATAATAAAATATAAGTATAAAATGTGTAAATGTTTTAGATTTATTATATGCTTCTGAAAATCAAAATTAAGAATTACTTGCAATTTAAAAAGAAGTGCATAAATTAAACATTATTTTTATTTCATATCATCTTCACTTACAGAAGTTTTAAGTTTTTTGTGTCCATTAACTTCCCACCAAATTGTCTCTTCTCACACATTTTTTCCATTTGCCTGATTTTTTCTCTTCTGGTTCTTACTAGAATTTTCATCAACCTCATACCATTCATTCAAGCCACCCCAAGTGTTAACTATGGGCTCATTTTTCATTCTAGCTCTTTTAACTAGCATTTCTTTCAAAATATCTTTTGGATCATACCCAGAATTAGTTGTAACAGTTAGCTTAGGTCTCTCAAACTTTTTTGTGCTTTTTCTTATATTCGAAAAAGGATTTAATGCTGTCTTCTTTGGGATATTTTTTGGCTTGGGATTACCATTAAACAATGCATCTGAATATTTTGGCTTTTGTGATTTATTTTTCTTGGCTAAAGCAGAATTAAGTAAAGTTGAAGTAAAGAGAGTTTCACGTCCAATTTGGATTGGCTTATCATTATCGAAGGATAATTCAGTAGAAGATTGTTCGCTAGTTCCACAAAGTGATAAAGATTTATTTTTTAAAACATCAGGGTTTAAGTTGCTTAGGACTTCGTCAATCATCTGAGGAATTTTTTCTTTTTTTAGCCTGGGCGTGTATTTAATGCCATTGGAAGGTTGCTTATCAATGCTAATTTTTTTGAGTTCGGGATTATCATTATCTGTAGAGGGAGAATCTTCAGGTTGGGATTGGGAATCTTGGAATTTCATCACTTATTTTTATTGGGGCTTTGCTTTTGAAAATTTTATAATTCTCATTTAAAATATAAATAACCCCAATTAATGTTTTTAAAATAAATTTAAAAGCATAAGCACTATTGATTTGGGTATAAATAATATTATAAATATAATTTTATTTAGCCTAAAACTATCTTATTTCTCATTTTTCTAATCTAATAATTTTTTAAAATTAATCAGACTTCTTTTCTAATAAAAAATGGGTATTTGCAGATCTTATTGCTTAGATTACCAAGATACAAATTCTAGTAAGGTTGCCAAGAAAGCTCCAGACTACAGTGCATATAAAACAACGCCCCAGCCCCAAATAGCTCAAGCTGCACCAAAACCATCACGAAAAAACATGAATTATATCAATGACTCAAGCAAATCACTTCTCAAATCATTTTATAGGCTTCATAAGTCTGAAATAGACCCAGAAATCTTATTGATTTATCTAGAGGTCTTAAATGGCGAGCCAAGAAACGTCCAAGAAGTTTCATTCAAATTTAGAGCAATCAATGCGAAACAAGCAAAGTTTTTAAGTGTCATTTTGCCTTACTGTCCAGATCTCTACAAGCTTAATTTATGAAGGACAAATTTAGGAGACTCAGGGATAAAATACATAACAAAATGCCTTCCAAACTTGCTGCGTCTTCAGCAGCTTTCAATAGAAGAAAATAACATCACAGAAGTGGGCTTTTCATATTTAGCTAAAGGACTAAGACACTTAAAGAATCTGAAAATTCTAAGCATCCATCAAAATATTCTGGGAATAACTGGGGCTCAAAATATATCAGTTGCCTTACAAACTTTGGAAAGGCTTGAGGAACTTTATCTGGACTCAACAAAAATTGACACGGAGCAACTGTCTATTTTGGCTGGAGGGATATCGGAACTATGAAATCTTAAAAAACTAGGACTTGCTTTTAACCAAATTGATGGGAAATCTGCAAGCACAATTAAAGAAATTGTTGATAGACTTAAAGGTCTTAAAGAAGTGTTTCTTTCTGGAAATCAGCTGAATGAAGATGAAGCTGAAGCCATGGTAAATTTATCTCAGCGAGTTAACATTCGTGCATAAAACAAATTTTCCATATGATTTTAGATTATATAAATATAAATTATCTTGGAAATTATTAAAACTAAATAATAGTCAGCTTATGGCATATAAAAACTGCTTAAAATTCAATTTAGCTACTATTAAAATCTAAAAAAAAAGTGTCATTATCATATATACTTATTTACCTTGAGTAGCCTACAAGAAGCAGCTTTCGAGTAAACCCAAACAGATTTTAATGCATAAAAATTTCAATTTACCTCTTTATGGGAAAGTAAATTAAGTTAGCTTACAAATAATTCAACGTTTTTAACAGTAATAAAGCTTTTCTTTATATTATTGATAGCATTCAATTTAGAGTCATTTGATTCGCTAAAATAACTTTACCGCACTAAAATGTGAAGCATGAAAAAACTAAATTAGCAAATATATAATCTATCTATAACTTATAACAATGCGCGTGCATTGTTTAATCTCTTATGAGCTTTTTCACAACCTGTCAACAAATGCATAATCAGTTACAAAAGTCATTTTAAAATATATAATAAGGCTAAAATTTAATTTAAAAATATACTTAAATGTGACAAGAAAAGCTAATATTAAAAGCTGCATCTGCTAATTAGTTTGATTAATTAAATATTTTAAAATATTATTTAGTCTTAATTAAATTTTTAAGAAAAATATAAAGTTTTTGAACAAAGATTCTGAAATAGCTACTGAAAATGAGTGATTCAAGCTTATACTGTTGAGATCTACTTGCATACAAAAAAAAAGACTATTATGTATTGCAATAATTTCTTATCATGTATATCCATGCCAATTTGAATTTGGTATGTGAAAACCAAATATGCGTTTCAAAATGCTAGTGCGGCAAATTCATAATTTGAAATTTCATATGAAAATGGCGCGTATAATGCCCATAATAAATTTATGCAATGCATAATACAATCATATATAAATCAATACACTTGGCTTTTACTAAAATTAACTATTTCATTTCTTACTAGTTGGATCTCATCATATGATGATATTAAAAAGGTATTATTATAAGCTTTTCAGCTGCTTCATTTTCTGACAAATTCTGATATGCTCCAATTTTATCATAATTCTGATCAGCAATTTGAAAAGTCTTTTTTTCATGTGTTTATTCAGATTTGACTCTTTTAAAGTCAATTTAACAAGCAAAAATTTCATATTACCGCTATTAATAAATTATTTCTCTTCTTATGAAATTGTTAAATTGCTCTGATAACCTTACTAATTTGTTTTTTCCCATAAAGAAGTAAAATGAGATTTTCTTATGTTAAAAGTTGTCTGGTTTACCTAAAAATGATTCTTACTGGACTATTCGAGGTAATTAAATATATTTAAAAATGAGCAAAATGGATCAGTCTTTCAAGCCGCTTCACGTATCATCTGAAGGAGTTGGGCTAAAATTTCGAAGGTAATATCCACCTAGTTCTAAAAAACACTTTATTTGAAAATTCGAATTAGATTTAGAAGAGCACACCGTTGAGCTCGAGTGCTCATTTTTGACAAATAAGCGAAGAGTTACCTTTGATAGGACTCTGCTATTTACTGGCATGAAACCAATAGGAGGAGTATTCCAATACAGGTTTTTCCACAACAAGCATGTAATTACTATTGATAATCCTCGGACAGACGCCGATCTCCTTGTAGACAGTCTTTCATTTAATTTCTTATACCAGCAAAGAATATGAAATAGATCTTATCCTAATCCAGGTTTTAAAAAAGAAAACTCACAAGGAGAATACCCAAAAGAAACATTTGGTAAGCCTGTAGAGGATAGTAAAGCACAAAATAGCCAAGTTTCTGACGTGGTTGAAGGTAAAAATGTGAAAAAAGAACTAGGGAGCGATTTTCTGGAATTAGATGCAAACGACCTGAGTAATAATTTTTTTACTGCTGGCAATGGGATTAGTGTAAATTCCAAACAAAATTTACAAGAAAATATACCTATTCGTTTAACCAAATATTTGATTGATTAGAGATGCAAAACGAAATATTATGGGGGAAATAAATGATAATGGTATACCGAGAAAAGAAGCACAGGGGATAATAAACTTACAGCTTTGTTTGAAAATAAAGCAAAAACATCAAATTTTGAAATATCAGATAAACTTCCTAGCCACACTCCTGTATTCGCAAACAAAAGCCTCGCTATGAAATTGCCACAAAATGGAAGCAGAGGGCCATACATTAAAATGGCATGGCGAACCCAATCAACCCTCTTAACTTCTGTAGCTTTCGTCTCACAGGGAGTGCAGGGGCCTTGAGGCAGAAGGGAAGGCGTTCGGGAATGTCTGTCCAGCCGTTTTTTTTTGGGGTAATGTCGGGTTGATCGACCGCATGCTTTACTCCAATGCCAAGTAAGTGCCTCAATTGGAAATGGGTCCGAGAGTTGGAAAGGGCGTCCTGGTCAATTGAGACTATTCCGAGGAGTTACCCCTGTGCTTGGATTTCCATTTTGGCCGAGATTCGACCAGAAAATTCAACCCTTTTGAATTTTCCAGGTGGGCAACTCTGTTGGCATACAGCATGGCGACGCGACTTACCCAACTGCCGGATAGCGAGTGCAGACCCTCATCTGGCAGTAGCAACCATCGAGATGCTGTGAAACGCGAATTAGCGAGCAAGAGGGGAAGCATTTTGGGTGGTGATAGTCTTTGTAGAATAACAGCAGGCTTTTCTATAAGAATTTATAATTTAATAGGGAAGCAGAGGTCCAAATTCTCAATCCCCTCCTCCAATAACACATAAGTACAGTCAAAGTCAAGATTTACTAACAGACTTTGGGTTTTCAAGCCAAATTCAAAGCTCTCCTCATCAGCAATTGATAGAAACCCCTCATCCTTTAGAAAATGTATTCTCCACCAGTCAACAAGATAGTTCTATAAATCCTTCTTTAATGGGCGTAAATCTAAATCCTCAAATGGACATCTTTTCATCGCCTCAGACTTTTGATTCTATGAATCACTCTCACCCTAATGATTGGCTTAATATTGATATGCAAACTCATATAAGAAATGAAGAAAAATCTGTGTTTGAAGACATATTTTCTTAATTTATATACTTTTATCAACGAAATTTTTGCTAAATAACTAATATTAAATTTAGTTAGTTTTCCTTAATGCTTCTTGCATTGCTGAATGAATGATCCCTAAGACTGCAAAAATTCCTCCTAGGATGGCGCTCATTGAGACAAGAAGGCTGGTTAATGATTTCGTGACTCTTGTGTATCTCATAGTTACACTATCCACATCATATCTATACTTAAATGGGTAGGCATACAAGAAAAATCATAAATGAAACAGCAATTTTTATTAAAAATTAATAATTCATGAAATTTGTAAGTAAATTTGCCTATGAAGAGCATAAAATAAATAATTCCGAATCCATTATTAAGTGGCTCAGAAGATCCAACCATAGAATATTGGTAACTATTTAGCTCTTCCCCTGACGCTTCATCATAATACTGAACTGGGATTACTTTCATGTTATACTCATACTTTATCACGCTTCCTTCTACATCCTTCTTTACAAGTCCATCATATGGAGCAAAGTTTGTCTGTTCTCCATTGCCAAAAATTGAATAAATATAATGATTTTTTTGTTCTTTTCCAAAACTTAAATGATTAATGCGATGGCTTAATTTGTGCTTCCTTAATTCATTAACATTTAGCATTATTACTCACTCCCCCCCCCTTTAAATTGGAACAAAATATAGGTAAAATTTCCACTTTTTTGGTAATTTAACCCCCCTTTAAATTGGAACAAAATTTAATTTTATAATAAAAAATTTTATATATATAAATCATAATTTTTATGTAAAAAGTTTTGATATAATTTAAATATTTCTTCTTAACTAAAATTAAAAATTTAGTTATATCCTGCTCTTATTTAAAGAATAGAGTATAAAGAACATCTTATTTAAATAAATTTATTATCCTTAATTGTAAATTTTTAAAAAATTTTAAAAAAAAATTTTATTTTTTTTTTGATAAAAATGATATTTTTTATTTAAATAGCTTTGATATAAATTCAATACGAATTCTTTACAAAAATTCAAAATTTACTTATCTCTTGCTTTATTTTAAAGAATAGAGTATAAATAACATTTTATTTAAACAAAATTAGCACTTTGATTAATAAATTTTCTAAAATTGTTTTTTTTTTAAATTTTTTTTTATCAATAAAAATAATAATTTTTGTTTAAATAGTTTTGATACCAATTAATAGTGGCGTATTAATTAATAATAAAATTTTAGTTATATCTTGGTTTGTTTTAAAGGATAAAGAGTAAATAGCATTTTATTAAACAAATTTATTAATCTAATTCGATAAATTTTTGAATTTTTTTTTTTTAAAATTTTATATATAAAAATTTGTTTTTTATAAAAAATTTTATAATGATTTTTTTTTAAAAAAAAATTTTCTCAACCCCCCTTTTAAATTGGAACAAATTTTTAGTTCCAATTTAAAGGGGGGGGAGTCAGATTTTTTAAGTGGCACTCTCTTTTGCAGGGTGCAATATCAAAACCTCTCTTTTAAATCCCAGTTATGGCATCGAGAATCATCTTGTGCAGCAAGCATATCAGAAGTCCCGCCAAAAGGGCTAGAAAGCCTCCACTGATTGCATTGGCCTCACTCCAGACTTGACTCCTGCGCATGCTCCGCCTAAGGGTCGCCCTCCTCAAATATTTCAAGCAGTAAAACTCCTATGCGTCCTAAAAATCCTGGGCCAAGTGACTTACCTTATACGAAAGCCATATCTGGCATTGTTGATAAATGTTCACCAACACCAGGCAAACCGAACCCCATAATAATAAAATTTGCGGAGGAGGAAAAGTTTCCTTATATAGCCATTTTATTATTATTATCTGCTTCTTCAAATTCAGATATGGAAGCCTTATCATAATTTCATGTGCTGCATGAAAACTTATATGAAAATTTCCAGGAGTTTTGGTCACTGAGAAATTGCCTGAGAGCTCACAACCTTCTTCATCATCAGTCATTTTTATTGCAGCGCTCTGACTAAGTTCAGGCAATTTCTCATATATTCGATTGCCGTTTTTATCAAGACGAGTCTTTGTTAAGGCACCACCAACGTCAACAACATGATTCCCTAAGCTATCTAGCTGATCTAAGCTTACTGTAAGGCAGGGAGCCCTGTATAAAGTAATGTTTATATTTATTGGAAGCAATTTAGCACCTCTATCTTGATCGATCATGGTTTCTTTATTGATGGTATTCTCTAGATAGTAAAAGAGCTCTGATGAAAATAAAAAGCCCATAGCAGTGAATGCAATAAGCGTGATTATTCCTCCTAATGAAGTCTGCTCAGAGATGCCAAGTGATTTTCTAAATAAGTCAAAACCCTTTACATTTCTCATATTTTATGTTTATTTGCATACCAATTAAAATACATATTGAAGATTATTTCATTTTTTTCTATTTAGAAATCTAGTTTGCATTAACATAATTAAAGAACCAAATTATATCAGCATCAAAATGCTTTAAAATTATTAGAAAGCCATAATAAATATATATAGATTTTGATATAAAAGCGAAATAAAATTATGAAAATCTTCATAACATAAATAAGCCATTGCCATTAATCATCCTTTTCCATTGAAAATAAAAATAATACATCTAAATCTGCAGCATAAATAATTAATAATAAAAAATGTTATGCTGCTTTGACTTCAATGGAAGTATCGGGCAAAACAATTCTCAGCAGCTCTCCAAGCTCTTCAAAATCCTGAAATACATTTTTGCAGCTCAGATAATTTACGCAGTTTTGGAGCTTGTCAGGAATCCCTGAAACAGCATAATGATGTTTATTGGAGCATTAAATCTTTATTTCATTATTAAGTACCGAAATTGGTGCAACTGTGTGATTTATATCCTTATCACTCTGACAGATTTTCTTACACTTGTTTTATTTACATTGGACTCGATCGGCTCACCTCAAGGTTTTGGAGGATCTCACTTATTTGAAGTATTTTTATTGACAAAAGTCCCTTTTTACCTTATTAGTATGTATTATTGTTATTTGACGTACAAAGAAGTTAAAGGTAAAATATAAGCAGCTATTTATATAACAGAAAACAGAGGAAACTTTGAAATGAATAGCAGTTGGAATCAAAGAAACCAAGGGAATTACCAGCCACCTCCACCTTCAGCTCCTCATTATTTTGAAGGGAGAGGGCATCGTCTTGATTAATCTATACTAATTATTAGAAATGGATAAGTTTTGGAGAAAATAATCGTGTTTAATAGGACAATAGTTTAAATACTTCAATTTTTTATAATTTTTTGGCTCAAAATAAATCAGATAATAACGCTATCTTCCTGCTGATTAATTATATTAAACAGAGGGAGCCACATCTTGCTGATGCCAAATATGATCTGAGCCAAAAGAAGGCTCAGGCTATATTCATTTTTCATAAAATTTATTTTAATCATTCTTTTCTATTTCAGCATTAAATTCAATCGCTTTATAAAGAAAATTTTTCATTTGATTCTTATAAAGATTCAAAAATGGATGACAGCACTGTTCTAGTTGAAGAAATCGACCCAAACTATGAGCCTTCAAAAACAGACGTTGAAGAATATGCTTTATGGCTTGGTTTAGAACTGCCAGAAGATAAAGATTTGCTATACATAGCAAGAGAAGGGCTGATGGCTCCATTGCCTTCAGAATGAAAACCATGCAAAAACAAGAATGGAGAGATTTACTATTTTAATTTTTCTACAGGAGAAAGCGTATGGACTCACCCATGTGATGAGTACTATAAGAAGATGGCAAGAGAAGCCAAGGCAGCCAAAGCAAAGCGTAAAGAAACTCCAACGAGGAAATCGTCAAAAAGCCCAACTCCAAAAGAATTTGTTGAAAAACCTCAAAATTTGCCTAAAAAACAGCCAAAACTGATAAACGAAATAAATGCAAGCTCAGAATTTGTTAATAGAAAAAACCAGATGGAACAAGCTTATAATGAAGAGATTGAAAGAATTAGACTTGATTTTGAAAACCAAAGAAAACAACTGAAAGCTCAAATTGATAAAGAAATAGAAAGGGAAAAACAAGAAATTTTAAAAATCCATAAAGACAAAGAAAATAAATTGCAAGCTGAGCATCAGGAAAAATTAGAAAAACAGCAAGACTCAATCAACAAATTAGTAAAAAAAGCTGAGCAAGAAAGAGAAAATGCTTTAAATAAAGAAGTGACTGCCAAATTAGATGAATTAAGAAAGGAGTTTGCAAATGACCTTGAAGAAAAGAAGAGAAAACAAGCTGAAGTTTATAAGAAAGACCTTGAAGTTGAGCTAAAAAGAATTTCGATGCTGAAAGAAGAAGAAATAAAGCAGCTGCAAGAAGAAATTGATACTTACAAGGAAAGAGTTAAATGAGAAGTAAAAGAGCAAGAAGAGTGCAAGCAGAGATTCGAGAAAAAAATAGATAGGCTAAAAAATGATGCTGAAAATGACTATCAAAATGAAGTGAAAAAAATTGAAAAAGAATTCGAGTGGCAAATGTTTCTAGCCAAAGAGCAGCAAGAAAAAGAACTTTCTGAGGATGAAAAATTCAGGCTAAACGTAATAGAAAACGAACTAAAAACCAGTACAGCATTGGAAGTAGCAAAATATAAAAACGAGCTACAAGAAAAATTATTTACTCCCCCCCATCCTTGATCGAACAGCTCGCCATCGTTCGATCAAGGATGGGGGTTAAAAATAAATTTTTTGGGAAAAAAAAATTTTATATATAAAATAAAAATATATGATTTTTTGTTTTTATTTACTTTTAAATAAGAGGGTTAAGAATATTTAATAATTTAATAATTATTTTTACAGCAAAAAATTGAATTAATTTCATAAAAATACCAGTTTTTAATATTTTGATTTATTAGTTACCCCTTTAAACTTATAAATTTTAATTTGTTCCTTATTAAATTAATTTTTTTTTTAAAAATTTTAAAGAATGTCTATTTTATTAGATTATTAAGTTTTTAAGCCCAGTTTGATGACTAAATCACTTCGTATGGTTGATTCCAAAGCTTTTTGTCGTCTCAAAATCTCTGAAAACAACTTCATTAGGCACATCTTCCCAAGCTTTTGATAACTAATATATTTTTATATATATAAAAATTTGCATGATATGAAAATCGTTCGATCAAGGATGGGGGTTTATTTCCCCAATTTTTAGGAATTTTTACAGTCAATCGTTCGATCAAGGATGGGGGGGGGTGGAGTTAGTGAAAAAGAAAGAATAGAATCAACGTTCAAAGAAAGAAAACAAAGCGAAAGAATTTTGAGGGAAAAAGAATTCGAAAGCGAGCTTCTACAAGAAGAGGAAAAGCAAAAGCAAATCCTTCAAGACAAATTATCAAACCACCGAATTAACCAAGAATTATACTTAAAAGAGCAGCTAAATGATTTAAGAGAGAGGCTAGAAGGAATTTTAATTTCTGAAGAAAGAAAGCTTGAATCAGTAAGGAAGCCTGATTTGTTTTTTAAAGAAAAACTAGAAGAAAGGCTTTCAAGTTTGCAAAATGAGTATGCATCTGCACAAAGAATGCTGGAGTCTAAAGAAGAAACCTTAAGATATCTACAAGAAGACTTGAATAAAATTAAAAGCGAGCTCAAAGCAAAAACACCTGAAAAAGTTAAAATTGAAACAAGAATCAATACAGATACTTCATTAATTGAGGAATATCAAAGGCAAATCAGAGAAAAAGAAAGGGAAATTGAAAAATTTGCAGAAGTCCACCCTAAGAGAATTGAAAATTTGGAAAAAGAAGTTTTTGAGTTAAGAAAAATACTTGATAAAAAACAAAGGATTGAGGAAGAAGAAAATTTGAGACGAAAAGAAAGCCAAGAAGTTGTCAGCAAATGGAAAGAAGCCCTCAAACAAGAACGAAGAGAACTAAAAAGTTTCCAAAAAGAGCTCCAGATGGATAGAGAAAAATGAAGAAAAGACCTCCAATATTATAAAGAGCACCCCAGTGAAAAACGACGCCAAGAGCTCGCAAAAGTTAAAAAATTAATTGAAAAACAAATAGAAGTTCACAATAGAAGGGTAAAAGACTTAAAAGCAGCTGAAAAGCTATTGAAAGGTACAAGAGACGAAGATGTGTCTTATTCAAGAGTAGAAATGGAGTCATTAGAAGAAGATCGCATACTTGATGAATGAAGAAACCGAGGAGGCGATAGTTTTGATTCTCCTCCTGAAAATAATGAGCCTCATCCTCCAATGTGGGCTCAATATGTGAGACCAGCTTGGAAAGCCAATAATATCCGTGTTTATCAGCGTGAAGTCAATGCATATGCGAAAAATCGAGAATATACACGTGATGTCCTTACAAAGCATGGAAATTGGCTGAATAATATGAAAAATGAACTGGGTAGAATAGCATACCCTTAATGTAAATGATTAATAGAATTTAAAACCATTTTAATCCCGATAAGGTGGCTTTTATGTATTTTCATAAGAAATAAATGAATTTGAATAAATTTGATATACTCTTAATGACTGTCGAAAAACAATGCCCTGGAGGTCTTGGCTTACTCCGCAAAGATAGTTCTTATTTCTAAAAATGTCATTAATTTCTTTACGCTAGTTTTATATTCATTAATAATTTCTATACGATATTGAAGCGCATGGCTCCTGCAGTTTCGTTTAGTCAAAATCAGGTTAATTCGCTAATTCTGGTCGGAATATGAAATAAGAATTTCATATCAAAAACTTGGCTAGCAGATTTTTTAAATGCTTTCAATAAGTAAAATTTAAAGCTCTATCACCCCGTGAGCGAACAAAACCATTGGAAAAATCCTATTTTTTGGCCAAAAACCCACTGGGACTTGAAGAGCTATCATAAACTTAATCCTAAACTTAAAGAGCATTGTAAATTTCTTAAAAATTTAATAATAAACATTGAATTAAAACAGAGTTCAATATTCCTGCAAGATTTGACAAACTAGCCTAATTTTGGTTAGCCAAAATACCAAAATTTATGCTTTGCACTGATTTAATAAATAAAAAAAAGCTTAAATAAAGAAATTAGAGATTCTTAAATAGTTAAATACTGTCTTAGCATGGTATACCAAAATCTCCAAAGTACTGCTTTTCGACTATCTTATATTGCATATATTTTTTAAAATAAATATTTATATATGGAGCATGCTAATACTCTATAAAGATGAGGAGCTCAAAAGAATCCCTGGTTTGTCCATATAACAAAAACCACGTCATGCCAAGCAACAGGCTTGAATGGCACCTTATAGAGTGTAAAGACAAAATAAATCAGTCAAGCGGTTTTGCAATCTGTCCTTACAACGCATTGCATCATGTTCCTACACAACTGCTCGAAGCACACATTCAGACCTGCAAAAATAAAATTCAAGAAAGAGAAGATGTATTCAAACAAATGCAGGCGACAATTAATTCAAATCCGTCTCATTACAAAGGAAAAGCACAAAGTGATTTGCCACCTGGATTTGCTCCGGTTGCAACCAAGGCTAAAAAGAAGAAAAAAAATAGTAAGAATAGCACAAATAACACAAATAAGAAGGAGAGTGCAGAAGACCCTAATGATGTGTATTTGCCTACGAATAAGTGGTTGGAGCCTGATTCAGAAATGATTGGATGCATAGAAGGGATTCAATTTGGACTTCCGCCTGGTTTTGAAGAGTTTACACATGAAAATAAAGATTCAGAGTCAGATTCCAAAGCAAAAGAACTGCAGCCATCACCTATAAATTCTAACTCTTCTTAATAAAAACTTTTTGCTCAAAAATTAGTGCAATATCCTTTAAATATAATTCTGAAATGAATTACAATTTTTTTTCTTCCAAAGTTAACATGTAAAAATAGAAGTGAGTAAGACAAAAAATCAGCAAGATCCTCTTGATTCTTCAATTCCTACTCCAGACACAAAAGTTTCAGATCCAAAGCCTCTTCCTCAAAAATCTGAGCCAATCCTCCCGACCTCAAAATCTCAATCTCCAATTAAACCTCACACACCAAAAGACGAAGACGAGTGGGTCACAGTTAAATCCAAGCCTAAAAAGAAGCCATCAAAAAAATCTGACTCCAATAGCTCTCTTCCCATCTCTCAGTCAGATTTCAACACCCTAGCCGAATTCCAAGTTTCTGCCTCTATCACAAAAAACAAAAAAACTCTGAAAAAGAAGCTCAAAGAAATCCAGCTCCTCGAAGAAGCCTACAAAAGAGGTGAAAAACTCGATCCCCAACAAATGATGAAACTCCAAAGCAAAGAAAAAATTGAGCGAGAATTAGAGTCTCTTTAATTTTAACTAATTTTTATAAAGACATATTGAAACTGAAGAGTTTAAGTATATAAAGACTTATCGATAATTGGTGGGATTGGCTTGATTTCAGTGTCTAACTCTTGCTCTATCGCAAATAGATTTTCTTTATCTTCTTCAGTGATGAAATTAATTGCCAGGCCAAGATGCCCAAATCTTCCTGATCTTCCGATCCTATGCAGATAGGTTTCAGCGTTCTTAGGGAAGTCAAAATTAATGACCACGTTAACAGTTTGTATATCAATCCCCCTAGTGCATAAATCAGAGGACACCAAACATCGGCAGCCTCCATTCCTAAAATCATGGAAAACCCTATTTCGGTCTTGCTGCTGCATTTTTGCATGGATAAAGAAGCAAGAGTACCCGAGTTCTGTAATTTTTTTGGCTAGTAGCTCCACACGAAGTGTGGAGTTGCAGAAAATCATGGCTTGGTTGATTTGAAGTCTTGAAAACAGGGTGTTTAAACAATGGACTTTTTTCTTTTCTTGGACGTGGGCGTAGTATTGGGTGACGCCAACTAATGTAAGTTCGTCCATTAAGTTGATTTCGTGGTGCTCTGGCAGATACCTCAGTACAAATTCTTTCACTGTCACTGGAAAAGTTGCGGAATATAGCAATATCTGGCGGTCAGCTGGGAGGAAAACAAGCAGTCTCTCTATAATTGGCTGAAAATCTGGAGAAATCAGCTTGTCGGCCTCGTCCATCACACAAATTTGTGCTTTAGACAAATCAGCGACGTGTTTGGAAGCAAGATCTAAGACCCTCCCAGGTGTTCCTACAAGAATGTGAACTGTTTTATAAAGCCTATAAATGTCATCTCTCAGGGAGGTCCCTCCTGTGGTAACCATGCACTGCACGTTCATATGTTTGCCGATTTCTTTGATTACGTTGCTTGTCTGAAGTGCTAACTCTCTGGTAGGGACTAACACCAAAGCTTGAATATAGTTCTGAGACGTGTCACATTTTTCCAGGATTGGGATTACAAAGGCTGCTGTTTTGCCTGTCCCGTTTTTAGCTCTTGCTATAATATGCTGTCCAGCAAGAGCTATGGGGATGCTTTCTTCTTGTACTGGAGCTGGCCTTTCAAAACCTTTCTCAAAAATTCCCATGAGAAGTTCTCTCTTTATACTGTTCTAGAAGCAAATAGGAAAAAAATAGAAAAAAATGAGAAAATCCATATTTAGTGGAAAAAATATAAGAAGTAGTCTTCCCATTCATTTCCTTTGGTACTCGTCACATCTGTGGTTTTAAATCTAGTGTCAGGCTGGGGCCGGACTATTTGGTCTCGTGGCTCTTCTGAGTTTTGAACTTTTGGTGTATATTGTCGTCTATCTGCGTTCATAATAAAATTATGGCGATTTATAAAAATCTCTGAAAATCAGCATTTTATTGGGATTAGGAATTATTTTTAGAATTGGATATACTTGAAGGGTTAAGGATAATTTTATTAGCTGATGATAGAGATAAATAGCCTGAAAATCTAAGCTTAATCTGAAATTTAGTCAAGTTGGAGAAGCTGACTTTAGCGTGAATATTTCATTGGGCGGGTTTAAAAAGTGAAATTTGAATGCTCGTTATGTATTCTTATGTGCTGTGCATGCTGAATTATTTAATCTTAATTTACCTTATATAAATGTTCTCTTCTTGATTTCGAAGTCAAATTGAAAAAGCCGCAATGTTGATTATTCAAGATTTTGATATATTTCTGATTCTTCATATATGGGTAATAACTTTGACTTAATTATTTATTATTTATTGAATTCTTTTTTGTGGAGATATTTTGAGATGTTTAAGCATATCAAATTTATTGGGGCTTTTGCTTGATTGGTCTTTTCTGATATAGAATCAAGGCTTATTTAATAAAAGTTGCTAATTGCTTCCTGTAGCGGATACATTAAATGGCATGGAGAATCAACCCACCCTCTTAACTCCTGTAGTGATATCCGAAAGGGTGCCAGGGGCCTTGAGGAGGGAGGCTGACATTCGATGCATGCAACCTGGGTTTTCTTGGTTTGGTGAAGCCCAATGTCAGGCTGGCCGCAAGCTTTACTCCAATGCCAAGTTTTTACCTCAGAGGGAGATGGGTCGGAAGTTGAAAGGGATTTCTCTAGAAGTGCCATTGGCGTTCGTCTTGACCAATCGGGACTATTTCAGGATGAAGCCACGAATTGCGCTCTGGGCTACGGGTTTCTACCTTAGCCGAGAGTCAATCAGAAAATCAACCCTTTTGAATTTTCAATGATGAGAAACCCTGTTGACGCATGGCGTGGTGACCAAAACTTTCCGACAATCAGGAGCATGTGCAAGCCCATGCATAGTAGAAGCAAGACTTTGAAGGTCGTATTACGATTGTCGGCGAACCAGAGGAGTGGAGCGCTATGGAAGGGAATAAGGATCTTCTGTTCCGCAGGGAGCTTTTCTATAATCTAATTAATGTAAGTTTAAGCTTTCTGTAACGATTTATTTCATTTGAAATTTTGATATCATCTTATTCTTTTGAAAATTAATTGTCAAATGTCTTGATCTTCTTAAGTAATTTATTGAGCATAAGTTTATATATGATTTTAATAGTAATAATTCATACTTTCCTCAAATAAATTGCTGATAATTTAATTTCTTTCCCAATAGAAACTTCCATTTATGTAATTTACTTATAATTTAAAATTATTATGTTTTGATGACAATTTATTTTATATTTTTATTCCAACTCTTTGAAAATTTTTCTTTATCAACAATTTCTCATATTGTAAAAAAACTAGATAATTGATTTAGTTGTCTTTATATTAATACAAAGTTCTAAATTTTCTCAGTCACAAAATAACCTTTTATTAATTTTGTAAGTTTTAAGGTCTTATAAATTATTTCTCAAAACGAAAATTAAAAATGTTTACAAGATGCAGCTATAGTTATAGCAAATCTCAATACTATACTCAATTTTCTCTTAAATTTTCAATTATTTATTCTAATTTATTGTCATTGATGATATCCAAAATAACTTTCCCTTCAGCAGGCATATCCATATCTTGATTCTCCAAATTTTCTTTAAACTTTTTACTCTCCTCTCTATAGCTTTTCAAAATCCTCCCTCCATGCTCTTTTCATTTTTTCCTGAAATCATGAACTTCGATCTCAATCCTTTTCGATTCGTTCAATTTATCTTTCATAGGCATTCCCTCAATCTTTGGATAGACTATTTAGCAACTACCTTTGCTTTCCTCATAAGTATAAAACGAGTAAACTAGCCCTGCCATTCCTGAAGTAGCTACCAAAGTAACTATTAAAGGCTTAAGAATCCGCCCCATATTATTTTATTTATAAAACAAAATTTACGAAAGGGTAATTAAGGGATTACATTATGATCTTTCTCCTCTGATTCTTCTGGCTAATTGCATGTCTCTTGGCATAATAGTCACTCTTTTACCGTGAATTGCACAAAGGTTGGTGTCTTCAAAAAGTCCGACGAGGTAAGCTTCAGCAGCTTCTTGGAGTGCAAGGACAGCTGAGCTTTGGAATCTGAGATCTGTCTTGTATTCTTGAGCAATTTCTCTTACAAGTCTTTGGAAAGGAAGTTTTCTGACTAAAAGTTCAGTGCTCTTTTGGTATTTTCTGATTTCTCTTAGAGCCACTGTGCCTGGTCTAAATCTGTGTGGCTTCTTAACACCTGAGGTGGTGGCTGAGACCTTCTTAGCGGCCTTAGTTGCAAGGTGCTTTTTAGGGGTTTTTCCTGCTGAGGTAGTCTTTCTTGCTGTTTGTTTAGTTCTTGCCATTTAATATAAAAATCTATTGTGTCCGACTGCATTTTATAGTTAAAATTTATCTCTTATTAGCACAATCTGAATTTTGATAGGCAGAAAAACAAATAGAAAGGAAAATTAAAATCAGCCAATCAGATTTAAGATTTTTTCAAAAAGGGTAGAAGATGAAGATTTCAGGCCAAATGCAAATGAAGCTTTATAAAACATGGGAGGAAAAGGTGGAAAAGGAGGAAAAGGATTAGGAAAAGTTGGAGCAAAGAAAAGACATAGAAGAGTTATAAGAGAAAACATCCAAGGCATTACTAAGCCTGCCATTAGAAGATTGGCAAGAAGAGGAGGTGTTAAAAGACTCTCAGGATTAGTCTATGATGAAACAAGAAACGTACTTAAAGTATTTTTGGAAGGTGTTGTAAGAGATGCTGTAACCTATACTGAGCACGCAAGAAGAAAGACTGTGACAGCACTTGATGTAGTTTATGCCCTTAAAAGACAAGGAAGGACACTTTACGGATTTGGAGGCTAAGAGGTTAATATAATGCTAATTCAGTTTTAGTTAACTTTGTGCTTTAAAATATACTTATACGTTTTCAATTGCACTTAATAATGGACTATAGTTGGAAATTTGATAATCATGAATTATACCTTATAAATATATTATGATTATTTGTTATAATTAGCTATATAAATTTATTTTCTGTCAGACCTATCAATAATGTGGCTTATTTTAATAAATATTTAGCCATGCTTAATTCAACAACCATAACAGGATTATTGATTTTTACTACAGTTAGCTATGCCGGATACAAGCTCTATAAAAAAGCATGGGGAAATCCTCCTTTGAACAAATACGACGATAAAGATCAGATTGCTTCAATTCCTGGGCATTGCTTATTCTGTAAAATCATTCACACTAATAAAGAGCCGTTTTACCGAGATGATAAGGTTGTAGCATTTTACGATAAATACCCAATTGGAAGAATTCATATACAAATAGTTCCTTTGAGGCATATTAAAAATGTTTGGCATCTAAAGAGGTCAGATATTGAACTTATCGAGCACATGCGTCAAGTTGGCGAAAGATTGCTAACCTTAGCCATTTTTTTAATTTAAAATTTTAAATTAAAATAAGGAATACTTCATTGGGTACTTTATTAATAAATAGAAGTAAGGAATATAGATCCTAATGGAGAATATGTATTCGGGTTTCATCATCCTTTATGCAACAGCATTCCTCATCTCCACATGCACGCAATTGTGCTACCTTTAAAAAGCTGGAGTGGCAAAGTTGAAATAAGTAAGCCAATATTTATTACCCCCGAAAAAGTAATAGCCAAACTGGCTCCAAAAGAAAAAATTAATTAACCTTTAACGTGAATAAGTAGATTAAATTTCTCACCTTAAATAAAAATTCATATTTTATTTAAACATGAGTCTTTAAACTAGGTGGTGAATAAATTCAAAATCATAATGAAGCTAAAATGCCTATTCTTCAGCTGAATTTTAAAAAAATATTGATTTTATCATATGAATCATTGAAATTGATAAATATTCTGTTAATTACAAATATAATCAACAACTAAATCCTTGTAAAAATGAGAAAGAATAGATACTGTTCAAGGTCAGAGTACAATAAAAGCATTTTTATTAAGCTAGAAAAACTTTTCGGACGCCAAACTCCTACTATGGTAGGAGAATGTCGCAAACTTTCTGAAAATTTTAGTTCATTTGCAAAGAGTCCCAAAGAAGAAACTCCGGTTAAGTTATCAAGAATTAAAGTAAAACCGCTATGCAAATTTTTACCGCTGCCTCCTGAGTATCAGTCAGGAGTATTAAAGCCTATTGAACCAATAAAAAGTAGGGAAGAAACAAATCTCCATTATTATGAAGAAGATGGAAGCAGTTTGTATATACCAATAAGTACCTACAAAGAAATGTCAAAAATTTATTATAGCGAAGACGAATTGCTGAAGAAATTCAAATGCCCCGAAAGCCACGCACTCGGCCAGGTCATAAAAAAGCTCGAAAATAGACTTCAAAAAAAGAATAGAAATTACTCTGAAATTGGAATGACAAAGAAGAGGAAACAAATTTATTTTCCTACCACATCTGTGACGCCAACAAGATTTGAAACTAATAATAAGTTCAAAAAATTGTTTGCTTCTGAGTCTCCAACAGTATCAAAATCTGTTAGAAATACGAAAATCCTCCTTAACACTTGTGTTGATAGACTACATAAGCATGGAGAAGATAGTGTTTGTAAGATGTGTCTTTCAAACTATTTAGGAATTCACCTTTAAATGCAAATTTTATATGAAAATCCCCGAGTAATAATAAAGAATTCGAATTTTATAAAATATTATAATAAAAATTTTCATTCAAAATTTTATTATAAAAAATAATAGCATGGATACTGCTTTATATAAATTATCAAGTAGTGCAAAATATTTTTATTTTATTAATGAATTTGAGGCACAAAAAAAAGTATTATTAAATGTAAAGAGTTGTGATGTTTATGATGCACCAATTACTAAAAGATAGAGCAGTTTTCAGATGACTTTTTTGTAATCATTATAGCTTCAGGCTCTGTCTCAACTATTTTTGCTTTCCTTAAGATATCTCGATTTTTAATTTCCGGCATTTTTGATTTCGGAGTATTATTTTGATCGATTGCTACATCATAGGAATTTTCTTCAATAGGATTTTGATTTTCTTCAAAAACTACCAAACTAGCATCTGTTGGGGAAAGGATGTGTCTATTAACCTTTGGAGTCGATATTCTGAATCCTCTTGTAACCGTTCTTGAAGCTTCATCTTCACTGAGATCAGGAATTTTTATTGGAATTAAGGTTCTTGACCTTCTCTTATGTTTACTCCCCATTACTCTAAACTGAAACAAAAAATTATATTCGAATTTAAAGGGAGATTATAAATTTTTTTTTCCAAAAATTTTAAAAAATTAAAAAAATATATAATTGAGCCAATAATTTGCATTTACTAACTCCCCCCCCCCCCTCCGTGAGCGAACAAAAAAATTTTGTTCGCTCACGGAGGGGGGTTAATTTTTTTTTTTAAAAAAAATTTATATATAAATTTTATAAAAAAAATATTTTTTTCGAAATTTAAAAAAATCCTAATTTGCAAAAATTGGGAAGCAAATATTAATTTAATTTGCAAAATTTATGTTTTAAAACGCAATTTGTTTAAAATTAAACAGAATTAGCTCTAGATTTCATTATACTAATTATCACTTATATATCAAAATTTTTTTCCATTAAAATTTTTTCTATTAAAAAAATTTTTGTTCACTCACGGAGGGTGGGTTTTTGGTCAAAAAATGGCGATTTTTCTAATGGTTTTGTTCGCTCACGGAGGGGGGGGGGAGTAAGAATTAATTCAAAAATTAATTGGATATGTTTTAAAGATGTTGAAATAAGCACTTATTCATTAAATTATGTCAAAACTGATATTATAAAATTTCATATTTTACCTATTAGATTTTCCTTACGAAAAAAAAGATTTTCCATTCCAATTTAAAGAGGGGGTGGCTAAAGCACAAAAAAATGGAAAAATTACCATTCGTTGTTTCAATTTAAAGGGAGGGGTAGCGATTTTTGTGATTTCTTTTGCGATATTTATATTGGCATCTGATGCTTGTAAGGCAATTTCAGGGGCTTCTTTTAACTTTATGTGTGTTAGAGATTTTTTCCGTTTGATTCTAAGAGGCTTTTTTGGCTCTTTTTGGTTGTGCCAAACGAAATAATTTGCTGGAATTTTTTCTCTATTTCTGATATTTTCAAGTAAAGATTTTAAATAGGAGTAGTCAGGATTTTCCTCAAACCTTAAATTTCTTACGTATACTATGAATGCTTCAAAGGCTTGCGGACAGCCCTGGCATAAATCAGGAATTGTGATTGCTGATTTTATATTCAAAACTTGTTGCCAACGATTGGCACTTGCGACTTTATATGTGCTACTTCATGGTAAAATTCCCTTATACATATAAACCAGCATATACCCAAGTGATTCTAAGTCATCCCTTCTGCTCTGACGAAGCCCAGTATGATCATTTAGAGACGCGAACGTTGAATTCCCTACCTTTGAGCAGTGATTTTGAAATGCTAAATGATGATTATCATAAATATATTTCTGAGAAAGCCCAAAGTCGACCAGATATATAGACTTTTCGTCAAGAGACAACAAAAATTGCTGGGGTTTAATGTCCCTATGAATATACCCTTTGTGATGTATGTATTCAAGCCTTGAGAGAATTTGCAAGGCAATATGCACAGTAGTGCCAATGTCAAATTTTCCACCATACTCCTTTTGGACACTGCCTAGGTTTTTCCCTAATAGCTGTATGACCATGTAAGGACCCCCCCCTCATTTGTCCGATTTTCTAGTCTTTTATCATTTGCCCATTTTTCTAGTTTTTTTTATAGGAAAAAAAAAATTTTTTTAGGACCTCAATTGTCCAATTTTCTAGTCAAAATTTTTGATAGAGAAAAAAAATTTTCAGGACCTCAATTGTCTCATTTTCTAGTTTTTTTAAAGTAAAAAACTAGAATTTAGGGCATTCGAAAAAATCAAAAAAAGACTAGAAAATTGGACAAATCATTTTTGACTAGATTTTGGGACAAATGAGGTCCTGAAAAAAAAATTCTTATAAAAAAAAGACTAGAAAATTCGACAAATGAGGGGGGGGTCCTTAGCTTATCTCGTCAGTTCTACCTGATTCATATAATTTAGGAATTCCTTCACCTCCTTGAAGGGCAGAAAGTATTTTAGATTCTAATAATACTTGGTTTTTTCTAGCTATGTCAATTTTAATAGCTACAGATCTGTTGTGTCTTAGATCTTTTGCTTTATAAACTTCCCCAAATCCTCCTGAGCCAAGTACGCTTTCTATGTGATATTTTTCTAAAAATATATCGTTTTCTTTCAACATACTCGATTTTATATTATTTTTTTTAGTTATTTGTAATGATGTAAAAATTCATTAATGGCCTTAATAGTATATATAACTCTACTATGAATATAAGCAATGATATCAAGATAAATGCCATATCCTAATATTTATTTTTCTATCATAGTCAAAATCACTAAATTAAAGATAAAGCAAAATAATTCTAAACTTATTCTAATTTTTATTTTCATGATTTTGGCTGTAAGAACAGCTTTAGCATTCTTTATTTTAAATAAAATTTCCAAAGAGCAATAGTTATTAAAGATTAAAGGTCTTCCTTCTTCTTTTTCTTTTCTTCAGGATTGATGAACTCAATTATTTTTTGTTTTGAGTAATCATATCCTGAATAGCGGACTGGAATGTCTTTTCGCTTTTTAGGCGAAAAGTACATGGTCGGATAATAGCTCACATCAAACATAAACGGAAGTTCGTTCAAGCTGCCATCAATTTTCACGATTTCAAACTGAGGTTCTTGCTTGAAATACTCAGCAACTTCTTCAATAGTTTTAATGACCTCAACTGATTTCGGATTACTAGTGGAGTATATATAAACTAGCTGATTTTTATTAGAATTTTGCACTTCATCTTCAAAAGTGTCACCAACAACGACCCTTACTCTATTTTCTATCTTCTTGCTGGGTACAGGCTGACTTCGTACATATTTTTTAACTTTTCCTTTTTCCCAACCCTCAAGAAATTCTTTAATAGCAGGACCTAAAAATTTGTTATCATTTGTTAAGAGTTGTGATTGGCGAAGTACGTATTTTTTTTCTTCTCTATATAAAACAAGGACAATTTTGTCTGTGTTCAAAAAATCAGCCTCAAGTTTTTCAATAAAGCTCTCTCTATCAACAATCACAAACTTGAATTTATTAGTAGAAAAATATTGGTTTACTGCATCTGCGTATCTGTTAATGTAATATTTGATTTGTGAAGAATACATTTTCGGATCAGCATTAAAATATAAAGCGACCAAAGGAGTCGGCCCATTGAAAAATTCATCCTTATTTCTCTGTGTCACCCATGATATATTTGGATGAATTTCTGTTTTAATGAAATTTTCAAAGTCGCTTTTACTAGAAAACTTGGACGCTGATTTGAATGGGGTATCATAACTTGTCAATAAAAGGGTAGGTCTTATTACTGCAACTCCTTCTTTTTCTAATCCGAACTTCTCAGCCCATTTTTCTCCTTTGACTCTGCCAAATTTGTAAGCGTCACTATTTTTTTGAGCAAAATCGTAAAATAGATCATAACTTTTTCCTGAATAATCTTGGAAAACTCCTAGTACAAGGCCTTGAACTTGTCGGTGAGTGGTCATGTAGCTATTGAACTCTTCTTCAGTGCTAAAATCATGGAAATCAAAAACCATTTCCTGGAATTCGCTTATCATAGCATTGGTTTCTTTTTTGCCTAAATAAAGTCTCGGCTCAGTCAATCCTGACAGATAATAAACAACAGCAGGATATCCCAAAACATCATGCTTCAAAGAGAAATCTTTATTTCCAGGCCGAGATATATCAATCATAGCTAACGTGATAGGAGCTTCATTGAGCTTCAAAGTAGCTGCTGCATTTTTGTACTTTGGCAGAAATTCTTTTGTGTCAACTGCATATGGACTATAGAAGCAAAAAATTCTTAATTGGTCTCGGAATTCGTATTGAAACTCGCTTATTGCTTCTCCTTCTAATTGATATACATTCATTTCCTTTGTGTAAGCCATACACTGTGCAGTGAAAACCAGGATAAAGAAGCCAAAGGTTTTCATTACGTGTATTTTATTAAATAAGGAGAATTTATTTTGGAGGTTTTTTATTAGTAAATTAACTTATTCCTACCCAAAGATAATGCTTGTAATAGTATTTGAAAGCAGCATAGGGAACATGAAAATCAAAAGCATGCAGCATAGTGCTGAACAGACCCAGCAGTAAATTTTCATCCTTACTTCAGGTCCACACATCTGGTTCAACATTTTAATAGGATTAAGCGAAAACTGCATTCTCCCTTCAGGTGCTGGAAGTGGTGGATCTATATTAGGCTCTTCTCTACCTTCTCCGACCTTGCAAGCATCAGCTTTAGCTTCAGGGACTAGCTCAAATGAAATAAGGACTTTTCCAGCTTTAATCTCTGTCCCGTCTTTTTCTCTTTTCTTAAAATCGACCCAGAATTTTTCGCTTTCTCTTCTCATCAATCTGTCTTGGGCTCCTTCAGCTTTTCCAAGCATCTTTGTCCTTAATCCGCTATCCCAAGCTTCAAGTGCTAAATCTTTGAAATCAAATGAGGCGTCACCAATGATATCGTTTGCAGAGAAAAAGTCTCTGTCCCATAGCTGCAGATTTACAGCACTTTGCATTTTTTCGTGGACAGGGATGCGGAATTTCATTCTCCAGTTTCATGAACCTGCACCTCTTTGGCAGCGGTAGTGGGTGTCAGTTTCTTTTGGTTCTAGATTGTTGACCCAGGCTCGGACATAGAGGTCGCTGACTCCTTCAGGGTCTGCGTTAGGGACACCTTCACTTTTCCATATGATAAGTCTGGTTTCGAAGATGGATTCTGGCTTAGGAGTTAAATCCCAAACAGGCGCTGGGCGATATAAAGGATGAGTTTCGACCCAAAGTCTGATGAAACCTTGAGGACTCCTACAGGATTTGATATAAAGAGGTCTAGTTTCAACTGGCTTCTGTGGAATACTGTTCCATGTGCTTGAATAAAATCTATCTTCTAAGTCAATTTCAGTTGAACCAATTTTTTCGTCAGGTGCAAAATCATCATAGTCATAAACTTTGATTTTAAGAAGAGAATCCCCAGGTAAGGTTGCATTTAGCTCATAAGAGCGATTAAAATCTGGATTTGAGTTGTCGTGGATATAATTCTTGCGGTCATCTATGACATTTTTTCCAAGAGATATTTTGATATATGGATCTGAAGGGGAGTTTAAGTCTTTTTGAGATAGATTAAAAGCGTTAAGGACATAAACTCTGACCAAAACATCAGTTTTTACTAATAAGGATTTAGCGATCTTGTCGAACTCATCGTTTGGAGGTGAATTTATATCGCCTTGGATTCTAATTAAGCCTTTAAACTTGCCTGCTGACCTAACTGTTGACTCTTCTCCACTAGCATCTACTCTATCTCCTGAATTCAAGCCTCTAGACTGCCCTTTTTTAATATCGAAAACATCTAAAGCAGTTTCTCCGAAGAAAATTGATTTTTCCAGTTCTTCATCTAATAAATATCTATAATGCTTTCTCCCGTCACCTGGAATCCTGTTATACCCAACTCCAATATAATGATTGTCTATAAATTTGGCCTCAATATCTCTTTTCTTAATTGGATCATAGTTAAAAGTCGGCATTTTAAGCATGTCTCCGTTTTGTGCTTCAGAAAGGCTTAATGGATTTGTAGTATATGATCTTTTAGGAACTATAACTGCTTTTTGTTCAGGGAAAATCGAGGTTTTTGTCTTAACAGTAGAAGAGTTTTCTTCTTGCTGATTTTCACTTAATAATGGGGCGCTTTCGTCTTGTTCTGGCTCTGCAGTTTGATCGACATCACCTCTTTCTTGTACAGCCACCTCCTCTGTAGCCACAAATATTTTTTCAGCTTGTCCTGGCTGAAAGGTTGGAGATGACATAGCTCTTGCTAAATTTTCAGAAACATCTTCTTGGGCTATTGGCTTCATTTTTACTGATTCTCTTCTTTTCACCAAAACTTCGCTTAAATCAATAGAAAATGCTCCTAATAAAGGCTTAGAGAGCCCACTCAACATATAGTCATGGACATAACACTACATAAACATTACAGTTAAAACTGGACAGTATAATGGCTCAATTGGTATTTTGCACGTAAAACTTAAAACTGAGCTGATATTTGGGTTTGGCCCTGATTCAAATGGCTGCGTTTCTAATTCTTGGATCAATAAATCTTCTCCTGGGATCTGTATTGAGTTTAAGTTTACCTTCACATAAGCTTTATTGACTGGCATCCATCCTAATGCAGGCTTAAGCGCTCTTAGGCCTAACGCGATGATTTCCACATTTACTTCCATACAGGCTGGTTTAATAGCATATCTAGGAACTCTTGCAGGGTCATGAATACTGAATGACATAAGAACTTCTCCTTCTTCAGTTCCTTCTCTTCCCATATTAAGTTTATACCACCTTGGCCTAGGGGAAACTTCACAGTCTACCCCTGCATCTGCTAGATCTACAACGCACATCCCAACAAAGTCATCAGAAGATCCTGCGTCATAATCCCAGACTTGGACTATAATTGGAGGGCCAGATTCTATAGATGGAAAAGCGACCTTCAGTGACAGAGTTTCATACCACATCGGATTCAAGGTTTTTGGTTTAGCTTTAGGATCTGTGCTTGCCTCTTCGCCTGAACAGTAAATTTTGATATAAGGATCAGCTAGACCGTCTGAATCTGCAGGAGGTAGACCTTTGCATTGAAAAATGTTGCAGAGAAGGATTTTTGGAGCTCCTGGCATAGGAGGGGCAAGCTTAGACCAGTTTGAAAGATCGACTTCTTCGTTTTCAGCTTCTCCAAGGTAGATTCTAAGCTTCACAAATCCTCCTTCCCAGTCATTTTTGATCTTCCCAATTGCCTTTTCTCTGTAGAGCCTTATCCATTTTTCTTTAGGATTTGGATCCGAGTAGTTCTTGGCCTTTAGTCTGGCAAACGAAATTGGCTTATTGTCTTGCATCAAGTACACGAAAATATCAGGCAGCAATGCTTTATAAGGAATCCCTGTTGCTTTGCGCTTAAGATTTTCATTCCACCTGCAGACACCTTTTTGAGCATTTGGAGACTGTGTTTTCAGCTCAATGCCAGCCCATTTAATAGAAATCCAATAAGCTGAATCTTTAGTAGGTAAACATTCTGCGTGGAAAACCTGAGCCATAATATGATAATCAGTTTCTATTTCATAGGTTTGCTGGACGAGTTTTTTAATTCCTGGTTCTTCAATTGGCTGCACTTTCATGACAGCTTTATTTGTATTTTGTGAAAAAGCTCTTAAAAGCACTCTTCCTCTCCAATGGGATGCTAAGTTATCACAGTTATTCATAATTTCTGCCTCTTCGTTAGTGACATTAGGTGGAGCTCCATAAATATTTGCCCAGAAATAATCATTATAAACCCCTTGCTGGATTTTATCCCAGCTAAAACTCATGCTACCTACTAAATCGTCTTTTGAGACTGTATCTCTATCTAAAACTGTAATAGTTAACCTTGAAGAAACACAAGGGACAATTACTGGGACATAAACTTCTTCATACCAGTATGCTGACATAGTAGCTTTATCTGCAATTTTTATTGATGATTTTTTTTCTGCTGTTCCAAATGTAACTAAATGGTAATTATAAATTTCTTGGAGTAAATTATCTAATATTTTTATAAATGCGGATTAATAAGGAAAGCTTTTGCAGAAATTATTTAAAATTTATAAATTAATAATGCCAAACTAAAACAATAAGCATCTAAAGTCCCTCCATCATCCATAATTGGTAAGTTATCAGCTTTAAGAAGCTGCACTATAAGTTGCGTTGTTTCTAATTTAATTTGGGTAGGCAGCATTAATTCTTCCTTAGCTGCTGCAGATTCAGCCACACAAAGATCAACAGGCTTATCTGACTCGTGGAGAACTGAAATACTTAGCTTTAAATACCCACGCATCAGGCTGAAATCTTCTGAGTGCGGGTTGCAAATAGCAAACCATCTGTGAAGAATGGCATGGTTTTTCTGCGAATAAATGAATGACAAGTCGATCTCATAACTTCCAATGATAGAATTGCTAAAGAACTTCGAGTCCTTCACCTCAATTTTCAAGCGCTGGCTCTCCATATCAGCAGATTGGCAGTTTGCTTTCTCAAAGTAAAAATGCTCTCCCCAGTAGACCATTGCTCCAGCCCCTACATCGTCTAATGCCTTAGTGCACTTTTCTTTGTCAAACACTTTGACGCTAATAAGAGGGTCTGATTTTCCACTGTCATTTAGTGGTAAGATGCCTTTGCCATCCTCAAGGAAGACGTGAACTGAATAGTCGCCTTTTTTAAACTTGCTGTCACTGTCTTCTTCAGACATTTTATTATATACTTATAAAAGCTAAAAGGTTTCATCATTTATATAATTCGACCATTTTTGCATTAAATCATGATAAGTAATTTATTTAATCATCTAATGGAATCTTTCCTGTCGTTAAGTATAGAATAGCATTTGTAAAGTTTCCTTTTGTAGCTTTAAGAGCTTCAATGGCTTGGAGCTTGCTAACTTTGGTATATCGCATAACTATCAAAACATCATATTCATTTATTTCTGATTTGGGAGTCTTCTGGTGCAATTTCTTTGTTTTCTTTTCTTTTATAGGTTCTTTAGGCTCCTTTTCCTCTTCCATCTTTTTTATTTCTTCTTTTTGTATTAAACTTGGCGAAAAAGGTGCATTAATTGAAGAGCTGAATATGTTGTTAAGCTCTTCGTAATTTTGTTTATCATAATTGAAGTACCAGGAGTCCAGAAAACTTGAAAAACCTTTATCCAAAGGTAAAGGATGTGATTTTATTGAATTTTTAAAATTTTTGACTAAATTCAGATATGTGTCGTCTATGTTTGTCAGCTTTGAAGCGCTGATCCATTTTCTTAAAGTTATTTGAAGGAATTCGATGTCCTTCAGGATGCATTCGCACTGTTTTTGGATTGCCGAAATTGCTTCGATATTTTCTTTCATAACAAATTTCATTGTTGACTGCAAGCGCTTCAAACATTTATGTAGCTTACTCCACTCTTAGATTGCAACAAAAAACTCTACTCAAATTTAAGGAGTACTCTTTTTTAAAAGATAAAAATTAAACGCAAAATTTTTTTATTTAATTCGATTTATAAAGATTAATTCAAAAATTATTCAATTTAGTATGCAAACTGTGTAAATAGTATTCTATTTTCACTTTATATAAAATTAGGTCAAAGGGTGATATAAAAACTTGTTCCAATATAAAGTGTGCTAATGCTCGAAAATAGGAAATTTTACCAATACTTTGTTTCAATTCAAAGGGCAGAGTTAGATATAATTTTAGAACTATAGGCATTTTCTTTAATTTCTTCATTTTCGATGGAGATTTTAAAATCATTTGTCTGAGGAATATCATACCCATTTATCATGCTAAAGTGATAATTATAAGTCTAAATATATAAAAATGGCGTGGCGAGCTAATAAAACCTCCTAAAAATTGCAACCTGATGGACCCAGAGACCTTGTGGAAGGGAGATTTGACGCTCGGTATGTGTATCAAGCAGGCTTTACTTGGTTTAGTGGAGCACAGTGTCCGAGTTGGCGGACCGCAAATTCACTTATAGGTCAAGGTTTTATCTCTGAGGAAGGTGGAGCTCAGAGATGGAAAGGGTGTCCCAGCACTACCAGTAAGATCCCTCCTGATCGATTTAGAACGTTGTCCAGCTCGATACCAGGGGTTGCATCTGCACTACAAATTTTCATCTTGGCCGACAGGTGACAGACAATTTTTTTTTCGACTCCAGAAGCCAAGCCCCTTACGGCACGGTAACCCAAACTTTCCTACTATCAGGGAGCGTGCCAATGTCTGGTAGAAGCAAGATTTTGAAGGCTGTGAGATGAGTGTTGGCGTGTAAATGTAAGATAATTATAAAACTGAATGACTTATGTTTACTTCAATTATCACTTTACATAAATTTAGCCTACTTCTGAAGAGAAGAAACTTACTCCCGCCTCCTCTCTGTAAGAGAACAAAAAGTTTTTCGATATATAAGTGATAAGTATAATAAATCTCTTATTAATTCTCTTTTTAATTTTAAATTTGTTTTAAAATAGAAATTTACAAATTAAAAATTCGCACCCCTGAATTTGGATTTTTTTAAATTTCCAACAATAAAAATTTACTTTAAAATCCATATATTAATTTAAAAAAATTAACCCCTCTCCCGCTAGCGAACAAACTTTTTATTCACTCAAGAGGGTTCTGTTTGACACCAATTCTTTTACCCTTAATTTACTTTGTTGTTTCTGAGAAGGACTTGATAGCTACTTCTAAGCTTTTCTTCACTAAAGGGCTTTTCCCTGCCACAGCACCAGCTAAGGGTCTTCTGAGAGGGTCAAGACAAAGCAGCTAGAGCAGAATCACGAACGCTGAGATGGACAAGTGCGAGCAAATACCAAATCTATGTACTCCCTCGGCATAGGCTGCTCTATGCTACCGGTGACAATCGGATAGGAGAGCCCTGGAAAATGGGAATCGTAAGCAAGTCCATAAGTATCTGATGCGTCTTCTAGTGAGCTTGACCGCTCTGATTGGTATACCGACCAGAATTCTAATTAGAAATTAAGTATATAATGATATAACGATAAGAATAGCTATTTCTCTAAATTTAATAACTATAGAAGACTCTTATTGAATAAAAGCAAGCTAGTGATTTATTATTTGCTTATGAAAGCTTTCCAATATTTCTCTATTGTGCCTGTAAGGAATACATTACACTAATAATTTAGTTTTATCATGTCATCTTCTTCAGGATGATTAAAGCATACCCACCCTTTTAGCACAACTAATGGCAACAGTCTTTCCTAATTTGTGCTACTCACCTAAGCTTGAATTTTGTGAGTACTCCATTTACTCGTGATTGCCAAGAAGTTGAACTCTATACCTTCTAGAGCTAAGGGCTTAAACTTTTTGCATATGGGATAAGCCTTGATTGGCATATGTGGATAAAGAACACCATAAAACAAATCTTCTAATAATAAAATTTGTAATAAGAGTTCCCGAAGAAAATTTACTCCGAAAGTAGCTGTTTTATTTATTATGTCTATACGTAATCAATCCTGAGTTTTCTTTCAATTAATCTGAAGTAAGTAATTTACAAGCATTTTAATATCTATTGTATGATAGATAATACATTTATTTTAATATTTAATGAGTTTTTCTTTCAAATTGATTGTCTAACATATTTCTACACTGATCAGTATTTTAATTAATAGTTGGAATGGGACACATAAATTCAAGGTTGAGCTATAAATCGCTGCAAAGAGATAATCAAATGCCTAGCATAATTCTTAGAATATTTGGATTATGATTTATTGAAACATACCCATAACAATCAATAGTAGCAATTAATCTCACCCTCAAACAAATTTTGTAAAAGCAAAAGTCAGTAATCGGTGTTGATTTATCTTTTTATTATACCAAATCTATACAGAAGCGTATTCAGACCTTTTGAGCACTCTACTTGAAATGCAATTTAATTCTCCCCTTTGGTGAATTGGCAAAAATTTTTACTTGCCTCAGAGATCTATAAAATGAATTTACCTGTAGAAATATTTATTTTCCAAGTTTTAATATGCCAGCAAAAAGAAAGAGACCAGCTTAAATATAACAAGCCACTAATGAAAAAATGTATGGGGGTTATGATTAAATAAATGCAAGCATATTATAATTTTTTGTGATGGAATCCAAAGACCACACTATCAAAGAACTCTCCAGGATTCTTGGCAGCAGAAAAACTCTCTATGATTATTTTAAAGGCAGGCAGCATTTTTTACTTCCAGACTACAAAATAATAAGCCTAGACTATCTTTACAAGCTTATGTCAGGTGAAAAGCTTGCATTGTCTCTTTCAGACGTTAAGTCATGCTTATCTTCAGATAAAATAAGTTTATCCCGAGAAAGAATGCAAAAATACTGTTTATCTCACGAAATTATCAATAAATATATGCCAGAAACTCCTGTTGACAAAGATTTTATTATAAAAGTAATAGCTGCTCTTGATAATGAATATTACAACAAAATATTTGAAATGTCCAAAAGCAAATATATGAGCAAGGAAAAAAATATGAGGAGGCTAAGGCAGATTAAAGTAATAAAACTATGCCCGGAATTCGGGAGAATTTTATTTTTGATACCAAATATGGTTAAATCTGATGAATACACAATTGCCCCTACAATTGATGAGATTGATAATGATACTTTTCAGTCCCCAGAAGAAAATCTAACTGACGACATGAAGAGAAAAGAATAAATTTAATTTTAAAAATATTTACTTTTAAGAGCCTAATCTGCAGCAGTACTCATAAGTAATTATTGTGCACTGACTATTTGTAAATAAATAAAAAATATAAAAAGGTCAAATGTGTCGTCAGAAAAATCTGCACTTTTAATCTTAATAATTGCAAGCTTGTAGCTCCATTCCATTTGCGAAAAAAAATTATTATTACTTAAGTGGGGAGAATTAATCATATTTTAAACTTAAATTAGTTTTATAACTTTATGCCACCATATCAATACCATTTGCGTCAGGTAACCATTGGATTTGTTTATCTATCAATATTGCAAAATAAGGCAATGCAGCTAATGCAGACAACAACACAAAAAAATTATAATTGAGATAGTTTACGAAGTTAGCGTAAAAGGTTAATTTACTGCTCTAATTGCTAAAGACTTTTAGATGCTTAAATAAAATATTAATGATTTTTCTATTAAGAATCGTTAGGGTCTCTATAAAAAAATAACGAGACTGTTAAAAGATCAATTTTATTAGCTGTTACTACTTAAAAATTTTATTTAGAAGTTATATACTAATTGGTGATATATATTTAAATCATGGGAAATTGCTGCAATAAAGCCAATGAAAAAGAAAAAGCTAATTCACAGTCTTTCATACTAGACAAAGAAAACTGGATGCTAAACGGATTTTGCACGCCTTCTATATATTTTGAAGAAGACAATAACATTAATTACGCAAAGAGCCAAGACAAACTTGGTAAAAATTGCCAAAAAATAAGAAAGTCACTAAACAGAGAATTCGCATACTCTGAAAGATTATACCAAGTAGAGCTACTCAAATTATGAAAAAACAATATAAGAGCAGGCATTCCTAATTGCCTTATCCGTCCTCTTTTAATCAAGCTTTTAGACATAAAAGATCAGGCCTCCGTTTACAACATCACTTCAATTCAAGCTTACCCTGAGACTGACTCCCACAACAGTGAGTTCAAAGCTCCTGAGTCTCCCCCTACGTTTTCTTCAAATTCTTTATCTGAGCTAGTCCCAAAGTTTTATGTCACTCCAGAAGGTAAAACTGCCCTAGAGCGCATACTATTTGTTATAGAAAGCTCGCATATTATAGAATTTTGTCCAGAAATATCAAGCTTTATATCATTACTCCTTATCTATTTCAAAGAGCATGAAGCCTGCTCAATAGTTTCAAAAATAATCCGAGCTTCTTGAGAAAAAGATGAAAAATATAGATGGCATTTCACGTTGACAGAAGAAGAATTAGTGAGATTTATGACTTTTTGCGAAGCAATTTTAAAGAAAAATATCTATACTTTAAGGCCACATTTCATGAACAATGTAAATATAATAGGTGTCGTCAGGGATATGTATATTACTAATTTTATTGGGTATTTTAAGTTACCTAGTCTTTTAAGGATATTTTTATACTTTATATCAGGAGGAGCCAAAGCATTTTTGAGGGTTGTGTATGCAATTTTTTATTTCTTAAAAGATGAGATACCAGAAGAAGCAGTGGATATCAAAAGCCTAGTTAAATCGAAATGTGACACTTTAGATATTGATGGAATACTCCAATGTGCTGCTCAGGCAAAGTTGTTTCCTTGCCTGAATACAAATTCAAATTACCTGGAGATGCCAATTCCAAAGCGAAATTCAAGTATTTTTATGTCAACGCTAATTGTGGAGTCATCAATATTAAGCATCACTGACCTCTATTGAATTTGGTCAAATATGACCGATTTTTATAAGACATTTATTCCAAAATTAATTTTTTCAAGCAAAACTGATGGTTCATCAATTTCAGCGATTTTAGGGAAATGCTCAAACATTGACCAAAAAGTCCCAGTAATTTTGGCTATTTCTTCAATGGAAAATTATGTTGTTGGAGCATTTTTGGACTGCATATTTCATATGGAAAATGATTATTTTGGAAGTGGAGAGTCATTTGTATTTTCCCTTAGTCCAGTTAAGAAGTTTTTTCAGTCTACAGGAAATAATGAATTATACTGTTATGTACAAAAGGACATGATGATATTTGGAGGTGGAGGACATGGGCCAGCATTAACAATTGATGGAGATCTGATGAAATGTTCTTCATACCAGTGCGAGACTTATCGGAATGATGTACTTGGGAGCTCGACTTTTGATATTAGATGCCTTGAGGTAATAGTGTTAGCTGGATCGTAAATAATTTAAATGAACATATTTTTATAAAAAACAATATTTATCAGACAAATTGAAAAATAATATATATGGATTTAAGCTTGATAATAAAAATTACGTTAGCCTATGCCTTATTTGCTTAACAGCACTTTTTCGACTTTTCTTTTTGTTGAACTGGCCTAATATGCACTAGTGGAACAGGAGCTTTTTGAGGTTCTTTTGTTTTTTCTCCATGCTTTTTATAAAGGACTTCAGCTACCTTGGCAAAAACCCTAGCTTCCCTTCTTATTTAGCAAACTTCAATTTATTCTCTATTCCAATAAATTAAAATTTTTTGTCACAAAAAATATACTTCAATTCCAGCCGCAACACTAAAGTATGATAAATCTTTAATTTTTCTGAATTCATAAAATATGAACTAATAGCATAGAAGCAAAGTTCGATATTAAATAATGCGAGTAAGTAAAAATACTTACATCGGCAACATTTTCTGCTGTTTTCGCTGAAGCTTCCGTAAATCCATCTAACTTATGCTCTTCAGCAAATTTAGTTGCTTGCTCAGCCGTCACTTCTCTCTCTTCCTCAGCTAAATCAAGCATATTTCCTACAAGATAAACAGTGACTTCAGGATCAGAATTTTGCCTAATTTCTCTTAACCAATCTTCTAAGTTTTGAAAGCTTTCCATTCGTGTAAGATCATACATTAAAACGACTCCATGGGCATTCCTATAGAAAGAACGGGTTATAGCTCTAAACGATTCTTGTCCAGCGGTGTCTCATATTTGAAGTTTTATAAGCTTATTAAGGACTTTTACAGTTTTCGCTCCATACTCAACACCAATTGTTACATTATGGTCTTCTTTGAAATCGCCTTCTGTGAACTGCAAGAGAAAACAAGACTTTCCAACTCCTGAGTCACCTATTATAAGCATTTTGTATAGTGCGTCTGGTTGAGGTTCAGTCATTGCCATTATATTTCTTACTACAACATGGGACTTTCAATTACCGGATCAATTATACAATATAAATTTTTTACTCAACTATTAAGAAAGAATTCAATTGGATCAAATTCTAACTTAACAATCGTAAAACTTATAGACAAAAAAAATTATTATCAACTAAAACTTGCAATTTGGGCTAGGAAAAATTATAAATTTAATTTAAAATATATATGAAATATCCAACTAACTAACTAATTAATTATAACGTTTAAACGTCCACTACGGGTAGACTATCCCAGACCCGCCACTTGCCTTTCGCCGCATCGGGCCCACGAGTTGCTGGGCCAACCCGTCTCGATCACCAAGGTGCGCCTAGGGCAAATGTCACCGGCTTCGACGGCTCATGAGTGAGCTACTGCATCTGGACATGGGTTGTCTTTCCGAAAATCCAAAAAATGGATTTTCTGGTCGGCTCTCGGCAAAAAGAAAAACACGCAGCCTGGGACGTAACGCCCAGTTTCACGCTAGGGAGTTGCCCGATTGGTCCTTAGGACTCTGCTGGGCTTCCCCTTTCCAACTGTCATGTCTTCCTTCCCCACGAGGAAAAAAAACCAACCCTGAGAATAGACTAGGGCTAGGCTCTGAACACAACCAGAATTGCTTATCTAGCATTGCTGTCCCTCTCTGAGCTGGCAAAACCTTGCCGGATATAATTAAATATGAGTCGAGGCTGCATGGCCGGGAGGCCATGCCCAGACGAAGACGCCATATTTAATTATATATGAAATATCCAATTAAGGAACTAAAACTTTGCTGAAATTGAAAACTAATATAAATCCTTGAATCTGACTAATTTGTTAATTTCTAGAATATTAACTATACTACTTAATTGCTGAAATTGATGTTGAATGGAAAATAAAAACATCCATAAAATCGAATAGACACATTTTACTTTTACTATACTTCTATTTCATTTTTTGTATAAATCTGAGCACCATAAATATTTTCTTTTAAAAAATCTATATCATATTCTTTCTATGAATTCCTCTCTATTTCATTTGAATCATTTTTTATTTGTAATATAGGTATCAATTTTGCTTATTTCTCTAAAAGTTATAAAGAATATTATACTAGGCTGCATCTATTTCTTCAGATAAAATCATCATTAAATAAATCGAAAATTTACAAACGTAGTTTAATTATAATTATTCAAGCAAAAATAATTTATCACACGTTTAAGCTCGTTCTTGTAAGTCTTGATTGCCGTCAAGATCATTGTTGTTTATTAGTTTTAAAATTGTTTCTTTATGGAAATCCATCATTTCTGATAGCTTATCGTTGAAAATTCGGGTATATTCATGAGTACACGCAATTATGACTTCAGACGAACGGTTGAAGGCACAATTATCGTGGCTTGGCTTCCTTGAAATTTCTGAGCACTTCCTGTGGATTAGTCCAGAACCTGGAAAATTCTCATTCGTGTTCAGATCTTTCGTGGGTTTGAAAAATTCAGGCAGGCTATTCACAGATCGTGAAAATTTAGATTTATTATGGAACTCCGATTGAGCCAAGGAGGCTTTTTCAATCGCGAGGAGTTTCATGAAGGCCTGATGACTTTTGTTCTCCATTAAATTATAGGGAGGGTTTACTTAAATGGAGCCGGAAATCCAGCCGCCGACTCGCCCTTAAAGGGAGTTTATTCTCTGAGCTTGCCCAAAGTGCCGGTCTAGCTTTGAATGGCGCAATGGTTCCAATTGGCATTTCTTTTAATTACCTCCAGATCTCTACTTCGCATCTCTTCATAAAGCTCTTAGTTACCCTGTCCATTCGGGAGGGCATTGTTACGTTCTGCTTGGCAATTTCCTTAAGTACTTAAGAAACTCATGCTTTTACAACGCAATATCCAGCAGTCTAAAGCCTATTGCAGGAGGGTGGATTTCGGTCAAATCCTGGATGAGTCTCTCTCTTGCCTCTCTGTATCGTGCACATGCCTCGATTAGGTGGGCCTCGTCATCGACTACTCCACAGATAGAGTAGTCTAAATTGTCCCTAATTCTTCGCATATAGATGCCGGATGCACTCGAGTTAAAGCCAATTTGTATCTGTGCTGGCCTAAGCATTTATCAACTCTCCATGTTTACGCTAAGTTGCAGTGGCCTTTCCATCACGAGATTCCCTTGTGTAAGTAGGCATACAGCTAGGCTGTCTTCTCCTCCTCCGTCAGGATTCGCATACTGTTGGTGTGCCCAACAGTCCTGATCTTCTCTAAACCTCCGCTGCCCATAATTTGTCGTCGCTGCTCCTTTACCCATTGAGACAATCTTCGATAGAATAACCCTTTAGCTATTATTCATATTGAGACTGCCAATTCAGGTCATCCTCGACGTTAAGTAGCATAAAGGCTCTAGTGAGCCAGTTGCTACTTCTTTGGCATCTCAGTCTAAAGCTAAGGGATCTTGCTGCAATTCTTTCCTGCAGGGAGATCCATCTTAGCTTCATTAAGGCTGTCTCAATTGATTGTGCTATTTGGGATTCCTAGGAGCTGAATTTTACATGTGATTCCCCTTGGGTCTTGACATGTTTTCTGAGCTGCATTTCTTTCTTAAGCGCCGACGGTAGCGACGCAAGCTTTAGAATAGTTGCCTTCCATTCGAGAGTGGTATCTCTGAGCGAAGCAAGCATGATTAAATTATAGGACTTTCTTGTAATATGACAAACAAATCCACATCATTAAAGATAAAAAGTGATGATGATTATTTTAGTGGGGAACATCAGAATTGAGGAAATTAAGTGAAATAGAAGTAATAAGGATGATTTAAAGATAAATTATTAGAGATAATTATAGCCTATATTATCAATTCATATTTGTGTAATAAAAATGATTGTAATCACATAAAAATGAGAGCTAATAAGCCAATAGAAAAGCTTCAATCTGTAGCAAATTTTTAATTTTTTTAGTTAGTTAAATAGTAAATCGGAGGAGCATCGAAACTGAATTTATTGTGTCCAACTTTTGGTAATTTTCATAATTATAATTTGAAATTTGACTTAAATTTAAATATCAGGAAATCTCAATTATAATTAAAATAATTGAGATCTGAAGGATTCTAGAAAAAAATTAATTAGTGCTACCATAAGTAAGCTCCTCATTAGTACTTAAAATTGTCCTATTCAATTAAGTTTTATTATTTGAGACTTAAAATATATCAGAAAGCTATTATTTTCCAGTAAATATCCAAATAATATTCTCAACTTAGGAATTAGCATATTCATATCTCTAAAATAGTTATAATAAGTTGGCAGTTTCCTTTAATAATTGGCTAAAAAGCTAATTTTTCATAATTTGCTATGCCAAATATATTTAGCGCTTTACGCATCAAAGAAAAAGTCATATTTTTTATAAAATTTATTCTAAAGTTTTGTAATTCTCTTCAAAGCTACTACACACTCTACATGAGGAGTGTGAGGGAACATGTCGACTGGCTGTACCCTCAAAGGCACAAATGGAGGAGCTCTAAACTTTTTTCCAGATTCTGGAGCACACAACTGTACTAAATCTTTAAACATTGTTTCTGGATTGCAAGACACATAGACTAAATTGTCCAATCCTTTTGTAGTTCTTAACGCGGTAAGAATGTTTTTGTGTAATCCATTCCTGGGAGGGTCTACAACTCCAGTTATCACTTGTCCTTCAACTTCTCTTGAAATATCTTTCATTAGATCTTCTGCCTTTCCTACTTTATATTCTGCAGAAACGTTATTCATTTGAGCATTTATGATTGCATCTTCTACTGCTTCAGGTAAGCTCTAATATTTTAGTGTTTTTTAATGTTGCCAGCACAAATTTCCTAAACTTTATGCGAATTTAGAATTATTTATTTTTATTAAAATATTTTTTCGATTTAAAAAGTATATAGCTCCAGTCCCATTTTTACTCGTTTAGGAGCAATATCGTTGCCTATTTAATCTGCACAAAAAATGTCAATTTTTCTGACAAATACAATTTAAAATTGCAAATACAAATTATAGCTCATAGTTGCCAATTTTTAATTAACCCTTTTCATAAAAATTGGCATTTTCGTGGGCTATTCAATAGTCATAGGTATTACTGCTAAAGAATCTATAAGGGGTCTTAATCCATACAATTTCAATCCCTATTATTCGCTTTACTTTATCACTGCAGCAAATCCCAATACTCCCAGTTCCACAACAAATATCAAGTAACAGCTCTCCTTCAATAGAATTCATTACCTCTGTATAAAGAATTTCACAGCCAGAAGTATTGACTTGGAAGAAAGACAAAGGAGATATTTGGAAGGTCTTATTAAGCAGCCTCTCTGTAATAAATCCAGAGCCGCTTAACACTTTTATTTGTCTAGGAGATTTCTGAACAACAAGCACCAAAGTGTCAACTTCAGATGATAAAGGCTGCAAAGCTTGCTCAATTTTACTGATTTGATGGTTGTCATTTACCGTCAACACAAGCATGCTTTGGTTTGTATATGTTGTTGTTCTTAAAAGCACTGTTTTCCACACACCTTCATTAGTCTTTGTATCGACAGGAGGAATTCCGCTTGCTTTTACACATTCTTCAACTTTTACTGCAATATCTTTTGAAAATTGTGAAATATTTATGCAATTTTCAGGAGAGTCCACTCTCAAATTTCCAGCTGCCATTTGGCCATTTGTGAAGCCAACTTTGATTTCTCGGTTTTCAGCATAACCAATTGTATATTCTACCTTATTTCTATACCCCTCAGTAGCTGGGCTACTTTTTACATCCAGGACCTGTGGAGGCTCACTTAGCCATTGCAAAGGGACGGTGTCGCTTTTTTTGGTTTTTATTTCCATATCTTTTAGGAAGGTCCCGTAAAACTTGGAGACTTGATTTTTTTTCTCAAGAAGCTGTGCTGAGTACTGCATATTCCAATAAGGCGTGACTTTATCCTCAATAGGTCCTAAAGGCTGAGCTTCAATTGTAACCTTTGGCGGCTTGCTTAAAAGGATTTCTTCAATTGATTTACCTTTACCGATTGCACGGTCGGTAGCTTGCTTGAATTTGTATTTTTTGTTCACGATCTCAGGCTGGAATGCTTCTACAAAGGTATTCATTCTTTCTTCAGTGTCGAATTCTAAGAAAGCATATGGCTTTTTTGGAGGGCGTGCGAGGAGTAAGCCATCAATGCTTGGCAGATTGTCTTTAAGGATTCTTGCAAGCTTTTTTTCAGAGATCCATTTATCAATGCCTTGCCAGCACAGCCTCTTATTCATTATTTAAAGATGAATAATTGCATTTAAAAAGATTAAATAGGGATAATTGTCAAATGATATAATAATTATCCAAATTTCTAAAGTTTATGCGATATTTATATTAATTATTTTGCTGTATCCTAGATTCAAGCATATATATAAATTGCTTTAATTTGGTATTCCAAATGCTTATTTTTAAAGCCAGCAGTTATAAATGGGAAATAAAAATAGCGAAAATAAGACTCAACCTACAAGAAACGAATACTTATTAGACTCAAAATCTCAATACAACAAGCATTTAGATCCAAATTATACTGGAGAGCCTATTGATGACAGTATTTATTATGGACCTACATATAATCGCAAATGTACAGATTTTTTATTTTTGTTTTTATTTATTGCATTCTTATTGTCATGAAGGAATTAAATGATGAGGTTGACGGGAATTGGACTCCATGGACACTCCCATGGAGTGATAGGGCCCATTCTTATGAAGTTGAAAACAGGGCTTCTATCTCTATTGAAGCAGGCCTTCTGGCTTTAGAATGCTTACCTAAAGGAAAATTCTATTCTTCCCCCGAAGGTTTCCTGTTCCTTCTTAGTCTAGACATGCTTTGCCTACTATATGATCTTTCTTATCAGGGCATGGGTAACCTTCCAGACAGTGACTCTTTCCCAGAGAGCTAATCTTTGGAATATGTTGCTTAGACCGGAAATCAAAATACCAGTCTTTCATTTATCCTCATTGGATATCTGAGGTTACTGGGGACTAGTTTTTTGAAGGCAATATGAGGCGCAGGTCAGTGGGTTATCCCGCTTATGGTCAGCGCCACTTTTAACTTAACTTATTGGCATGAATAATTATCGGCTTTTATGGATTTGCCCATGGAGACCCTGATCTTTTAACCCATCCCTATGACTCATCAGGCAATCAATGCGGCATAGGAAGTGCATCAGACTATAAATATTTATATTACCCATTTCCTCTTTCCGGCTACTTCAATTATAGTGTCTGCATTAAAGATTGCCCAGATAGCTATGAATACAACATAACATGCTATAAAACTCATATTTTTAAAGACTGTATATTTGGCTTTGAAGAGTATAGTAATGAGCCTCTTTCTGAATATGGCTATATTAGAGGAGTATATCCAACAACAGGCTATTTTTCAAGATTTTGTTTTCCAGACACCTCAAATAGAAAATGGTTATTTGATTCATATGACGAGGTTAGAGACACCAGTGACTATCAAATTCTTATAAAATGATTTTCTGATGTTATTGTCACCTGGCCTGTCATAGGAATTGTTGTGGCTGTAGCTTTTGGCTTTGCTTTTATTTATTTGATTTTTTTAAGGTATTTTATAGGAATAGTCGTCTGGCTTTCGATTTTAGGAGTTTTTTCAGCTTTGCTCATTTTTGCAGCCCTTATTCAATGGACTGCTACAAATAAATACCAAGACGACACAGATAAAGAAACAAGAAAAACGCTCTGAGCATTTTCTGCATTTTTATACGCATTTGATGCTTTATTCTTAATTTATATTGTTTTTATGTGCAATAGGATTAGGCTAGCCATTGCTATTATGAAGACGAGTACATTGTTTCTTAAAGATGTCTGATACGCTATTTTTGTGCCTCCTTTATTTTTTGCTATCACAGTTGTATTTTATATTTATTGGGTTTGCGCAATTTTATACTTATATTCAGATGGAAAAATCAAAAAAAATTCTGAGTCACCCTATTTAAGCTGAAATGGAGACTCGCGAAATGCAATTGTTTTTGAGTTCTTTGGGATGCTGTGAGTGAATACTTTTATTGTTGCGCTTAATAATTTTATATTATCAAGCGCAGTTTGCATTTGGTATTTTTCTCAAAATACTGATTCTAGAGCACAGACTCCTATTTCTACGTCATTTTATAGAGCGTTTAGATACCATCAGGGATCTCTGGCTTTTGGGTCATTTTTATTAGCAATCATATGGGCTATAAAGATTGTCCTCAAAGTTTTAAAAGCAGTGCTGAAGTCAACTCAAACAAAACAAAAAGAAAATAAATTAATTGTGCTTGCAATATCATGCTTGATTTGCTATGCTAATTGCTTTGAGAGATTTGCGAAATTCATAAACAAAAATGCTTATATCCAGATTGCAATACAGTCTACCAGTTTTTGTAAGGCAGCCAGAGATGCTTATTTTTTAATTCTCAGAAATGCGGCAAGATTTTTTAACCCTCGGAACTTAGACCTAGATTAATTAACTTAAATTCACCTTTGCCTTTGGAGGCACAGAAACATAATGTCTATTTTTCCTCTGTTTTGTCGCTACCCCTGACTGTTCGTACGGTCTGCCAACAGAATCGCTCCTTCTAGCTTCCTTGAGGCCATTTGAGAGTCCAGAACTCCCAGGATCATCAGCGGCTTTGGCTAACCCTCGGAACAATTGGAGGGATTTTTATGGTGCTTGGCAAATGGGTTATTACGATTTTTACTACATGAGTAGGCTATATGATTATTACTAACAACTCTAAATGAAATGACAAAATTTATTCTCCTGTATTTCCTACAATAGTATTTTTATTTATATCATATATAATTGCGTCCTTATTTATTGGAATTTATGAAACTGCTTGTGATTGTTTGCTGCAGTGCTTTTTAATTGATGAAGAGTTTAGCAATAAAAAACAAAGAGCTCCAGAGCATGCACCAGAGCTGCTGGTTGCATTTATGAACCGAGAAAGAGATCCTGGAAGAGCTAGCAAAAGATGCTGTTGTTAAAATTTGTATTGTAGGATACCGATAATTTGAAGATATAAAATTAATTTAATTTAATAAATTTTTAATATTTATATATTTCAAATATTTTGCAACGATTAAAGAATTAATGAAATTATGTTTTATTAGGAGGAATATTAACTGATCGTGAATCTTTTACTGTACTCGTTGGTTGTAGCGGATAGTCTCCTTTAATCCTCCAAATAGCTGTAATTGCTATTAATGTTAAAATCACACTAACTATAGTTGTAATAATAAAAGATCTCATAAGTGAAATTTTATATTGCTCAGTTTCATTATTTCCTAAGGTTTCGCTTTCTCATATATAATTATAAATTTTTGTGCTATTCTTCAGTACATATACCCAATATTCTTTTTCATTATAACTCACAAGAGCATAAGTCAAATTAATTTTTGCATGACTATCATTAATCGATTGCCTATAAATACTGAAATTTCCTAATGCAGGAATTGTTTCATTAAAATATAAACTCATAGCCGCTTTAATTATAGGCTGCGATGAGTTACTATCAATTTCAATCATTGGAGATTTGTGACTATCAATCCTAATTTCATTAGCAGAGCCGCTGGTTCATAGGGAGATTTTATGTAAGCTCAGTTTATTTTCTGCTGTGCTATTCAAGAGTAATACCAGCGTGTATTTTATTCCAGGGCTTGCTGGGAATTCCTCAATTTGAATAAGCTTAATACTTTCAAAAAGTCTTGCTTCTTTACCACTAACTTCTTTATATTCTGCATTGATAAGTGCTGTTGCTAATGCATCTCATTTGCCTGCCCAAACAGGGCATTGAGATAAAAAGAAAACTAAGGATCCCCCCTTATTTGTCTAATTTTCTAGTCTTTTTTTCTAACTCCCCCCCCCTTTAAATTGGAACTAAAAATTTTGTTCCAATTTAAAGGGGGGTTAATTTTTTTTTTTTTTAAAAAAAAATATCAAAAAAAAACATTTCAAAAACTTATCGAATTAGATTAATAAATTTGTTTAATAAAATGCTATTTACTCTTTATCCTTAAAACAAAGCAAGATATAACTAAATTTTCATTATTAGTTAATACGCCACTATTAATTGGTATCAAAATTATTTACACAAAAATTATTATTTTTATTGATAAAAAAAATTAAAACAAAAAAAATTTTGAAAATGTATCGATCAAAGTGCTAATTTCGTTTAAATAAGATGTTATTTATACTCTATTCTTTAAAATAAAGCCAGAAATAAGTAAATTTTGAAATTTGATAAAGAATTCCTATTGAATTTATATCAAAACTATCCAAATAAAAAATATCATTTTTATCAAAAAAAAACAAAAATTTTTTTGAAAATTTTTAAAAAACAAAAATTAATGTTTTTTTAAAAATTAGCAATTAAGGATAATAAATTTATTTAAATAAGATGCTCTTTATACTCTCTTCTTTAAAAAAGAGCAAGATATAACTAAATTTTCAATTTTAGTTAAGAAGAAACATTTAACTTATATCAAAACTTTTTAGATAAAAATTATATATATAATTTTTTATTATAAAATTAAATTTTGTTCCAATTTAAAGGGGAAATTTTACCGATATTTTGTTCCAATTTAAAGGGGGGGGAGTAAGAAAAAAAAGTTTTTCACCTCATTTGTCCCAAAATCTAGTCAAAAATGATTTGTCCCATTCTCTAGTCTTTTTTTATTCGAATGTCCCTAAATTTTAGTTTTTTTTAGTGAATTTTTTTTTTTCTATCAAAATTTTGATTAGAAAATTGGACAAATGAGGGGGGGATCCTTATGAAGCTAAGTTTAATCATCAAAATTTTTGCTATTTTTAGAAATCCTTTTTGAAATTTTATTAATTAATAGTCGATTAAAAAGCATTCTAATATAAAACTGTTAAAATAATATTTCTTCAATAACAAACTTAAATTGTTTTAAACATAAATTAATAAACAATTTCGATTTTAAGTTAATGCACATACTTTAGCATATTTCATTAAATAAAAACTTAAAACCCCCATCATTTTATTTTAGCAAATTTAAAATGGCAGTCGTCAAGGTGTACACAACATCTCTACATTCAAGCAGGATTGAATTTGATCACTCCCAGCTCGCTGTCCAACTTTTATCTGTGAAAGGCATTCCTTTTGAAGAAATTGACCTCAATAGCGCCGGTCCAATTGGAAACACCAAAATGAGAATCATACTATATTCCTCTCATCAGCTTTTTAAAATCAAACGAGAAAACAATACAAGCTCATGGCCGCTCCCCCAAATCATGATAAACGGTGTATACATAGGAGGCTACCCTGAGCTCCAGTATCTTGAAGACTCTGGAGACCTCACCAAAATCCTTACAGGAAAAAGATGCCCTCATGTATATTTGCATTTTCTCAAAGGAAACTTGCTAGGCACGCTATCTTCATATACTTATTGTCCAATTTGCAATCCTAATAGCTCTTTAATAATCAGGATTGACTCTAATTATTCAAACTCTGTAGAAGATTTTCAATTAATCAGGACCCTTTTGAACTCTCACGTGACATTTTCAGTTATTGACATAGACAATCCAAAAGTTTCAAAGGTTACAGGGCATTCTCTCCACGGGCATACAATTTCTAGAGAAGCTTTAATCAGCCATGCTGAAAACAATTTATTAATAGGGATGCTCAATAAAGAAATTTGCATAAAATGCTTGAAAAAGACAATCCTCTGTGAAATCTGCAGTGAGTGTAAAAAGGTAATTTAAATTTGGTAATTTTGTTATAAATGGTAGAGCAATGAACCCACACAGCCCAAGTTTAGATACTATAAGTAGTTGGCTTGAGAAATCTATTGAGTTATCAAAGGCGACTTCTTATAGAAATATAAACAGATCGCTTGTTCAGCATGAAGAAAATAAAGTAAACAAAAAGCGAAATTTGGCAGTCATAAGAGGATTTGAAGATCGTAGCTTGTTTGGACAATATGATCGATACAGAGAAATAGGAGAAATCGCAGAAGAGTCTATATCGAAGCTGCAGGATTTAGCACATGAGGTTGATTATGCTACTATTAAAGAACCTAAGCTTCATTTCTTTAAAAATAAGCTTGCGAAGCTTATATCAAATCATTCCAAAACGTTAGGCTTGCTAAATGGTTTAAAGCAATCAGAATTATTCTCCACTTTGAGTCGTATGATAGAAGATGAAAACGATAAGCCAAAAAGTGCATAATTATATAATAAATAAGAAATTTACATGATTATCATTTTGATAGTGACTTTGACTCTAGTAAGAAGTCATGAAAATATTGAACTTTCTCTATTTTTGTCAAGTTTTTATGACACTAATAAGCCAGCTGATATTATCGAAAACTGCGAAATCCAGCCTGAGTGAAAACAAGAAGCTTTTTCAGACAAAGAAATCGATGTCTCATCTTTCAAAAAATTTTATATTTGGACTGAAAATAATGAGCCCAGGAATATCTCGATAGCTGCTACATCTTTAGGAGAAACCTTAAAAGTTTCTATATCTGAGAAAGAGCATAGCAACTTGAAAAATCAAAACATAACTATGACCCTTTGTGATGCAGACGTTCAGATTTTCCTTGTTGAGTTTGAGTGCGTATCTGATGACTCTAATGTTGTCAGCATAGAAATATGGGATGGAGGCAATAGCTATTATTTAGATTTCACAAAAAAATGTGAATCAGGGGTTAGAGATGATTTGATGATTTATTTTGGGGAAGGGTCTTTTGAAGTCACAATTGTAGATGAAGGAGAAACTGTAGATGAATGGAAAAACGGAACAAAAGAGGTTACCGGGCATAATGTGGGATTCAGCTTGTATATTGATTTAGGAGTACAGCTATTAAAAGAAATAGAAATTAAAACAGATCTTAGGTACAATGCAAGAGGGTCCGCTATAAATTTGCATTATCTTATCCCAGGGCAAAAAATCATAAGTTTATTATTTCTAGCTCCTGGATCTGGGTTTGTTGAAATCACATTGCATATTGATCCTTATAAGCCAGTGATATTTAAATGAAAACAAATAGTCCCAGAAGCTGATATATATATTTCATATGAATAATTTCAGCTCTCTCACTAGAAATCCTCTAGAAAACATTATAGGCTATTTATATTAAAAGATATACACTTCAAGCAACAACATTAAACGTAGGAACTGAGCCTAGCATATATGATATTGTCCAGGACGGGAAAGTTCTGAAAGATTACACAAGCATACCGAGCACTGAATACTGGACAAATTTTTTTATTTCTCATAAAACTCCTATAAAAATAGACACTCCAAAGCTCACCACAAACCAACACATTTTGCAGCCTGAGATGATTCGTTATTCCAAGGACATTAACACAAGCCCATCTCTCTTTGAATTACGATATAGGTGCATAAGTGATGGAATCACTAGAGTTAAAGTGACAATTCCAATAAAAGATTCTGCTCCTGTAGAGTTCGATCTAATGAAAACTTGTTTAAAGCCAAGAATTAAGATTGAAAAAGACCACAATTCAAGCAGTGGAATCTTTATAATAGGAGTGCTGTTTTCTGCTTTAGCAATGGTTGGTATATAGGTAATTCCTATAATTGGCCCTAGATGAGGAGTTAAAAAATGAGCCTCTCTCCAGCTGGTTTGACAATCCTGAGTCGATTAAACCAACTGGAGATTTCCCTCCAATCTTCTGCTCTTATAGGGCTACTTAAAAAGAAGAAGAAGAAGAAGAAGAAGAAGAATAAGAAGAAGAAGAAAAGCATTACTTTAGCCCTACAATTTCCCCAGTACCACTCCCAGAACTTTCAAAACCCCCAAACTCCAAAAGCTCCAGGTGGCCGCTTAAAGAATTATTTTACCCTACCCTACTAGCAATAGTAAAAGCAAAAGCAAACGCCAACACCAAACGCCAACACCAAAAAAAGCAGAAGCAAAAAGAACGACACACCTATGTTTTCAGGCCTATTCAAATTCTGTGGAGTGACCCACAACTCCCCCCATCATCTGAGCTTTTACCACTCCACAACTCCCTGGGGCATCGACCCCAAAAGACCAGTAACCCCAAAGGGCCACCACTGGCAGTTTTCTCCGGGCAGCAAACCCTTCCCCACGGAAGCAAACCTCCCCCGCGGCGACCTTCCGGTTGGGCCGCTTAAAGGAATTGCCTATATTTATGGGCAACAAGAAAAAATATATTTAGATTTTTGATTAACTAAAGCTAACTTATACCAATTAATTCTATCATTAAAATATTATCTATGTCGGACTTCCAGTTCCTCCATTAACTTGTCCATTCATCATATAATTCAAAATATCTCGTGTATACTTTAGCCTTTTCGCCATTTCCCCATGTGTGCTTTCCAGTGCTTCTGCAAGTGGAATAGTGATTCTTTCAGCTTTTTTATTAACATAAGTCACTACTTTTTCTTCACTTGACAGAATAACTTCAGTCTGATCCTGGAAGCTCACCTGTACAATCTTATTAGAAAGCCTAAACAAAATTGCACGCTTCGTCCTCATCCATTTTTTTACATAAGGAGGTGGATTTTCGTTGGAAAAATGTAGCTCTTGGGCTACTGGAGAATCCCCTTCAGTTTCCAAGTAATTCTTAAAATGCTGTAGCAAAGCGACTTTTTTGTGAAGGCTTTTAGGGTAATTGTCAAGGGAATAAGAAAAAATGATGTCTCTTCTGTCAGTTGTTCTCTCAACATAATAAAATTGTGTTGAGTTCGGTTCAATTATAATTTTGCATGAGTCGTTAAAGTAGACTCCTGCGCATCCATTTGATAAAATATACCCAAGACCGTATTTGCTTGAATAGTCAACTCATTTTTTCACCCAAATGTTTTGGGTTTGGGGCTCGTTTTTTGCTTTGATTGAAGCGACTTCAGTGACTTTGGGGGATAAGGTCCTTTGGGTGTTTTCAACAGAGTTTCGGGTGCCATGGGTTTTAGGTCTTAGAGAAGCTGCCATGTCTCTGGGAGAAGTAAGTGTAAGGGTGTTGCGAGAAAGCTTTAATGGAGCAGTATCTGTAGTAGGCTGCTGCTGAGTCCCCATTGATGAAGGCAAAAACTGTTTAATGTATTTGTCAGAGGGAGGAACTGCAAGTGTACTTATAGGTAAAAACTGAGGGATTGAGTGTCCCATATGGAAAAAATCATGCTCTAATATTTCATCAAGATTTGGCCTTCTGGAAGGCTCAGTCCTTAAAATTCGAGTTATCAAGCTTCTAGCTTGTTCCGATATTCTTACTGAATCCGGAAATGAGTAAGCATTCATTTTGATCAAGTTATAAGTCTTTTTTACGTCATTGGTCTCAAAAGGGGGTTTTCCAATCAGAAGTGTATAAAGGATAACCCCAAACGACCAGATATCGACCTCATAGCTGTGGCCTTCTTTCCCATCCAAAATTTCAGGCGCAATATAATTTGGCGTCCCACATATAGTTTTTCGCATCTGGCCATCATATTCAAGCTTACTTGCCAATCCAAAGTCGCCTAGCTTGATTTCCATTTTTTCACTGATAAACAGATTTCCAATTTTTAAGTCTCTGTGGATCACTTTTTTGGCATGCAAATACTTCAGCGCTGAAATTATTTGAATTGAGTAGCATTGAACTTCAAGCTCAGTCAGTCTTTTACGACGCCTGAGAAGCTCGCTCATAGTTTGATTTGGACAAAGCTCAAGCAAAATGTAAACGTTTTCATTGTCTTCGAAAAAATGTTCAAAACTGACTATATTTGTATGCCGCAAAGATCGGTGGATTTTTATTTCTGACATCAACTTTTGTTTGGCTCGGGATTTTGTGAGTGAGGCCTTTACAACGACTTTTCCAGCGTAGACTTTGCGAGTTTCTAAACTTGTGAGTTCGTAAACTCTAGCAAACCCTCCTTTACCTAAAAATTTCCCTTTGGAATATCTTCGAATAGTCACTTCGCCGCTTGGCTTAACTATTTGCTCTTCAATTAGTCCTTCGTTGCTGGTAGAATCCTTAGATGATGATTTTCGTACTGATGATCTTGAGCTCAAAGCCATCTATTATGATAAAAATATACAACCTATTAGAGAAACGAAAATTTAAAATTCTCAAGCTGCTTTAAAGAAAAATAAGAAAGATTTTTTAAATTTCTGGATATAGTAATTATTGACATTGGCATTTTAGATTAAAAGTAAAAATCGTTGATTTTGCAATTAATTATTTTAAAGCAAGGCTTCAGTTTGACTTAAAATTTTGATAATTAAATATGGCATCTGGATATGCAGCCTAAACCACATATTTAATTTAATCTTTAAGGTTTTTTAATCAAAAATGTGTAACTAACTATACTAATTAAATAATTCAGTAGTGTGGGAGCCTATAAATCTGGATTTTACCTTGTGGAAAGGAAATTTGAGTTGGAAAGGGAAGCCCTTAAAGCCTAGTCAAATCCTACATCTTCGTAGCGCGAAGTCAGGAGTTAGCAATGGCCGTCCATGGTATCAGGAACCGAAGAAGGAGCAAGGTGGTATCTGAGCTAACTTGTCAAGCAAATCATCTCAACCATTCCAAGCTTCAGCTGAAAATAGTCGTAAAATGGATGAAACTCTCGAAGATCTTAATGACTGTGTAAACAATATGGCTGTTAGCCTACCTATAATTACGTTTAAGTAAAGACTAAAAGTTTGAATCATTTAGATGACATATTGAAAAAAATAGCTACTAGTTAAAGTGAGTTTTTACGGATATATTTTAAATATGGGCTGTGGAGCAAGTCATGCAAAACGAAGCAACTCAATCCGACAGATGGTAACCAATAGCCTAGGCTATCCCAAAATTTCATTTAAAAATAATGAACCCTAAAAATAATCAGCTTGCAGAGTTCGATCTTCCTACAAATTACGAAATTATGCCTCTGCCAACAGTTATGAATTTGCTTACTCCCTGCTCCATGAATAAGCAAGCTTCCTCACTGAGTAGATGATTTTAAAAATTTATAAGGAAAATCTATCATCCCATATAGCAAATATTTGAGAATGCGATTTAATTTATAAAATTTATGTTTAAAATCTAATAAAATAAGCTAGAAATATCATTATAATTATTAAAAAGAATTTCTTACTATCAAAGAAGGGATTTAGTTTTGATAAAAATCAAGGCGATTACGTGAAAGCAAACTTTATTTCAATTTACAATGAAAAGGAAGACCGATATGAGTATTTTGTTCAACAATTACTGGGTGTAGAAATTGAAAAAGAGAAGCCTCAAGAAGGAAAAGTCTGGGTTGTCTATATCAACGGAAAAAGATATAGCTGGGACGAAATATGTGAGTCAGAACAAACAGTCAAAGTCACGGACGAGATCTTTTGGAGGCTTCAAAACTCCGATGAAAATTTACCCTTAGTTACAGCAATAGCACACAAATAAAATGGCGACGACACCGACCCGTCCTCTCCCAGAACTGAGGCGAGATTGGGGACCTTGCTGCGGCCTGAAGCCAATCCGCCTAGGGAAAGGTCTGGAATGGGTACTGGTAGTTTGTGTCCGGCTAGGTTTCCCTCCCAGTCCAGCAATGACAATCCTAGGGTCGTCCCGATAGGACACGGGCAAAAGGGTTTTTCCTCTAGGGACTGCTAGTGCCAATTTGGAGGGCATGGCAGGAGCCGACAAGAGCTAAGGAGTTAATCCTTAGCTCTAACCCTAGTCTGGCAACGTGAAGCACGGTGACCCAGTTCGCCTACTTCCGGGATAGCATGACCAAGCCCCATGACCGGAAGGAGCTGAGTGGTAGCCTGTGGCACTTAGGTGCACACTGGAAGCAGGGCAAGGAAAGCAAGCGAGGCGTCCAAAAGGCGGAAGAAAAGGACCTTCGGTCCTGGCCGGGAGCTACTACTTTATAAATTTAACTAAGACTAAGACTAAGACTAAGTTACAGCAACAGCGCCAGCTACTAGCTAATTATAAGTAAACTAGTATGAAAATAAAACAATGAAAGCTAAGCTTATTTTTTAATAATAAATTTTATATTTATTTTATAATGCATCAACCACTTTAGATGCTCTTTGGCCTGCATTAAAGCATCCTGTGCCGCATAAAATAAGCATAATTGTATACATGAAAAAACTTAATATGAAATGAACTTCTAGCAAAGTAGCTAAATCACTGATCTCACTCTCTATTCTTTGGTAGCTTATATCATATGAGTACAATTCACTGACATTTTCAAGGTCCAGCAGACAGATAATCACAAAAATCATTAAAAGCATCAGACCTACCCCTTTCGTTAGAAATATAAAGGACTGATTAACACAGTAATTGGAAAAGGGGGAATTTTCCATACTCAAAGCTAAAGGTGACTTACGCTTTAAATAAGTCCGCAGAGCTAAGGTAAATAAAATACAATCAGCTATTACTACGAGGATTTGGATTGGGATTAATGGAGATGAGTTGCTATGCTTGAGGTCATAAAAGGCTCTGGGAGACGAATCCAAGTCTAGTGAGTTTATATCTACTTTGGCAGCAATAATCATACCTAATGTTGTAAATGATAGAAGTACTGATAGTGTCTCTCCGAACATGCTTTATTAAAAAATGGAAAGGAATTTTCATCAATTAGAAAATTAAAAAAACGAAAAGAGTTTATGATTTTTTGATGATTATTTAAGTTTTATAGCGAATAAATGATAGATTTATTTTGTTAATAAGTTAAAAACATGAAGCTTTCAAGTAATTAGAAATTTTACTAATTTAAATTAGCGAAGCTATAAGTAATAATAAAAAACATTTTGGTCATATGCACAAATTTTTTCGGTTCAAGTCATTTGAATGAATTATTCCTAAGTTTAACAATACCTCGGGGATTTTGGTCGAATTTTTTAACCTTGAAACAAATGTTTCATAAGAACAAAATTAAACCAAAAATTCCAAGAAAATGATGCAGGAGGAAAATGTTCCAATAAATGGTGTGTTGCAAAAATTTAAATCTCATATATTTTTTTAACTTATGAGAAACTCTGTATCTATTATCATTTCTACCCATAGAGTTATAATATTTATAATTTTTTAACTGGCGGATGATATCCTATATGGAAGACTCGACAAAATTATTTTATCATATATGAAATTAGGCATAAACTTAAATTATCAATCGCATTTGCCGAATTATTATTAATTTTCCAGAATTTTTGCAGCATCTCGCATATTTTCTCTCAGTTTAACAACATCCATAATCTGCTTACAAACAGGACCTTCAAGCAGACTATTGCAAACCATACAAAGCTTGCTATTCTCTTTCTGTCCTTGACACACTATACAAATATTTGAATCGCAGCATGCTTTTTTGACAAAATGCTCTTTTTCAAAGTACTGCTGGCAATTTTCACACTGTCTCCGAACAACCTTCATCAACTTTTCAAACGAAGCTCCATTAAGCTGCTTTTGGCAAACTTTGCATGACATATCAGTTTCATAAACTTCCTTCAAGCATTTTTTGCAGTGCTTATGTCCATCACAAAGAGTGGTCAAGTAATCATAAACGTAGCTGAGCTCTTGATTGCATCCATCACAAATGCCTAACTCTTGTTTGGCAACTTGAACAAAAGTAAACTTCTTTAAGCAAATACACGTTGTTTTTCCTTCTGAAATTGATTCAAGGATGCATTCTTTGCACATGTGCTTGCAGGGGTCTCTATGATAGAAAAGTGATACGTCTTTTTTGATTTTGCATTTTTGGCATAATTTTAAGCGCTCAAACTCGTTTTCTTGGTCAATCTGCCTTTGGTTGCGGAGGTTTTCTCAATTTTGTCAGTCATCGGCGTTTAGTATGCTCTTTATGTCATCTTCTTCAATAGTTTTATTGCATTCTCTACAGAAAACTCCATATTTTTGTTTTTCATAAGTTGTTAAAAAGAAAAGGCCATTTGTTCCTAAGTGCAGGATGTCGTAAATGCATTTCTTACAATAGCTGTGAGAGCAAGAAAGAAACATCTCACTTATATTTTTAGCACAATAAATGCACATCACAGATTTTTCAGTATTCTCACTAATTTTCTGCAGTCTTTTATCGTTTTTAAAGGATTTGCTCAATGCTTGAGCTTCTCATAAAATTTCACGAGAATTTTCACTTTTTATTAAAGCTTTTGAATCTAAATATAAAGAAAGGCTCAAAGCAAGCTTAAGAATCGACTCAAAAGCTTGCTTTTGCTGTTTATTTTCTTCATTTTTCTTATCAATTTCTGTATTTAATTTTTTTATTACATTTTCTTGATCTTTTAAATTTGCCTGATATTTGTTTATTACATTTTCTTTTTCCTTTAAATTTAACTCATATTTGCTTATTAAAACTTCCTTTTGGAGTAATTCATGATTTGGAGGCTCGAGGTTTGGTAAACTTTCATAATCCTCGTTTTCGTCATATAGAATTATTTGTGGCTGCGGCTTTATAATAGGAAAATCACCTTTTAGAGTGTCCTTGTCATTCTGATTGCTTATAATTTGATCACACTGCGCTATCTTTTTAAAAGGTGCTGAACTTGGATTTTGGTTAAATTTTCGAGGAGTATAATCACTTGTGGGGTTGCCGGTCGGAGTTTTAGAATCATTGGAAATGCTGATGACTTTAGGGCTGTCCACTTTGTACACTACATATTCTTCATCTGATTCGATACTTTCTTGTTGGATACTTTCAACCTTTTTTGCCTTAGGTGCGATTTCTTTTGGCATTGGCGCTTTTACCGCGGAGCTATTGGATCTCTTCAATTTAGCTTTTTTCATTTGATCCGCTTTTAGAATTATTGTAGAATTGTAAAAATAATTGTAAAATAAGCATTTTTAAATCATATGCACAATAGAATCTACATTTATTATGTAAATTGAAAGGACTTCAAATAAAATAAGCAGAACACTTTTGTATATTCAATTTGAAAAAGGTGTTTATAAATTCTATTGATAATTCATTAAATAAAATCTTCTTGCTTATCAAATCACAAAGAGCAGGAATTACAAGATTAAACAGTAGTCGATTATGCCAACTATAAACATTAAGCTATTTTAAGCTTTTTATGTATAATCTATATATGCTTTTTATTAAAAAATACACACTTTTATAAGATAAATTTTGTGATTCTCAACGTAGAAGCTATAAAATCTAAGGATATTATTTCATTAAAAGATCAAAAGACCCTAACAATATGATTTTGATTTAAAATGAAATAGATTTAGATTTAATTAATTTAGCCTATAATTTCGAGTATATCAAATAATTTTCTTTTAAAATTTTATTGTTTAGTTTACTTTTTCGATATTTGAAGCCCTAAACAACTAGAAAACTGTTTGCATAAATATATTGCTGCAAGAATAGTTTAGCTTCAAGTGGACCTTAATAAATTCTTAATAAATATGGGTGCAATCTTAAACAAGAAAAAACTGCAAAAACTAAAAGCTGAGCTAGACACCCAAAGAAAGATAAGCCACGAACTTGAACAAAAATTAAAGCGTCGACAAGAAGAATATGAAATTTCAGAAATTGATCCAAACGAAAGCTTCAAATTTATTGTCCATCAAGAACAATTACGAGCACTCAGTTCAATTCAGTGCCTTAATCAGTACATAGGAGTTGAAGGAATCGATATTGAAAATCTAGTTGCAAATATTAAAGCTCTTGACGACATTCCTGAACCGCAAAATAACTATATTAGCCTAAGATTTGAGGAATCAAAAATAGAATCCAGGGTTTGCCTTAATCTTGCAAGACTAATTGAAAAAGTCCAAGAGATGAACCTGACAAAGTCCGACATTATTTCTGCCGAAATAGACAAAATTGAAGATCTTGTAGAGGGATACCATAGTTTAAAAGTCAATTTAAGTAGGATAAGAGAAAAAGAAAGGTTAATTGAAGAAGGAGAAGATGAAACAGTCAGAAGTGTCTCAATGGGACTAAAATATAGATGTGACTTAGAAAAAGAAATTGAGATTGTACAAAGACGATTGAAATACCAACACTTTAAAAAGGATTATTTAATTAAAGTTGAAAACATAAAGCATGCACAGGCAAAATTAGACAAAACAGTAGCAGAAAAAGAAGATCTGCAAGCCAAATGGGACAAGATGAAGTCAGAAGACGGGAAAATAATATCTGATCAAATGGCAGCAATAAAATCCCAAATCGAAGATAAAGATAATTTAATTGAAATAATGAAACTACAAATTATTGAGGATGAAGATTTTATTGAACAGCATACCAAGCTAGACGAAGAAAAAGAAAAAGCTCAGCTTCTTTACCAAAAAAGTGTTGATGAAATCCAAGAAAAGTCTTCTCATGGAAAACAGCACATCTTTAGAAATGCGCTTTTACAATCACAGCTGAAACCTTATGAGACCTTAAAAATTCAGCTCCATAGTGAGCTGAGAAATGAAACCAAGTTAAAAAATCTCGTGAAATATTGGCTCCTTGTCATTTGATCGTTGTTTGGAGATTTTTGGTATGAAATTTTACAAGGTATTTGGCCGATTTTTTTTCACGATAAAAATTTTGATAGAAATTAGCCTTTCTTTGCCGAAAATGTCATATAAGGAAAGTTTTAACCAAAATCTGGCACAAGGAAAAGTTTCTATGAAATGACTGGCATCAGAAATATCTTAGACATCTCATTGGAAAAAGTTCAATAGACTTAGAATCAACTTTTAAACAAATGGAAGAAGCTGTGGAAGAGCTGCAAAGAAAATGTGAAGAAATGCAGGAAAGTTATGAAGAAATAAGTGAGAGGCTTACTCCACTACTCTGTGAGTTAACAAAACATCTTGAGCTCAATGAGTTTTTATTTAAAAAATTTATATATAAATTTTACAATATTTTTTTTTTTTCGAAAATAATCCCAATTTAAGAAGTAAAAATTAATTTATTTTTTAAATTGATATTTTAAAATTTAGCTGTTTAAAAATAAACAGAATTAATCAGAGATTTTATTATAATAGTTACACTTATATATTGAAATTTTTTTTACGCTTAAGGAGGGTTTTTACCAAAAAATAGGGATTTTTCCAATGGTTTTGTTCGCTCACTGAGGGGGTTAGGAAATTGATACGAGCAAAGGATAATAAATTCAAAAGGTGGATTGTCAGCAGGCTTTGCTTAGTGCAGAGGATGGGCACTGAAAACTTCTTTAGGCGCTGGAAATGGGAAGCTTCAGATAAAAGTGATGAGCAGCTGCAGGAAGAAGCATTGAAAATTGAAAAAGAGCTTACAAAGCTAAAAACTATATATAACATTAGCACTTAAATTATTTCTAGCTTAAAGATTTGTATCTATCTATTTTCATTAAAAATTTGACCATTACCGATATCTAACTATCGAACCTATAAAACCAATTTAAAAAACAGATACTAAAATTCCATTTATACAATGAGCGAAAGAGATGAAGATGAAGAAAACCCTCTAAACAACGGAGAAATGAGAGACGAAGACGAAGAAGAAGTTGTCCCACGCACCAGATGACAGCGCTTCAAAGATTTTATGAGCTTTTTGAAAGACTACCAAACTTCAAAAGATGTATCAATTAAAGATCGCCGACTAGGATATATTTATAAAATCAGCTTTGTCGTGATTTTGCTATATTTGATTATAGTTGTATTCTTAATAAACAAGCAATACCTAGACATAGAAAAAGTCAATGGAGATATTTACGTGACCTTAATTGGCAGTGCAAGATCTACAGGCGATAACGAATATGTCTGAGATATCACTGAAGAAAACCCTTGGGGCCATGAAACAGTCTCAGCATTCGTCCCAAGCAAAGTTATAATAACAAAAAAACAAACCTACGGCCTATGTGTGGATCCTCTCTTATATTGCGAAACAGATGATGATTGTGACCCTATCGATCTTCCCAATGTAATTGAAGGAAACCATTGTCAGGACACTTCAGAAGGCACCAAAGGCTGTGGCTCTTGGAAATGGTGTCCTCCCGAAAATAATGATACCTCAGTTATATATTATCTAGAAGGAGCATCTCACCAAATTTTATGGGCCAGATGAAAGGTAGAATTTGACATGGTGGGTTCAACTACAAAAGATACATACAGCACAGATGATATTGAGCTGTATCCAGGACCGAATTCTAATGCATGGGAAGTTAATGATATAACACTCTTAACTGGGAGCAATTTTTCAGATATCACTGATAAAGGCGCTGTTATTCAAGTCTCAGTTGTAGTTCTCTGTGTAGCAAATCCTTTTGAAGACTGCAACACACATATGCAAGCGAGAAGACTTGATGAAGTGGACGGAGGTGGGTATAGCATTCAATATGCCCACTACTACAGAGAAGGCGATACGCTCTATAGAGATTTATACCATATGAAAGGTGTAAGGTTTCTATTCGACTCACTAGGGGTTTATATTGGGATTTCGCTCTATAAGATTGTGCTACAAATTTCTTCAGCTTTGGGTCTTTTGATCGCAGCCAGCGCTATCACAGATGGAGTCATGCTTTCGCTGCTTAAAGAGAAATCTCACTTCAGGATGCTCAAAGTCAAAGAATCACAAGATTTTAATGAAGATGATTAATTTCTTATATTTTTAACAGTCATTGCATTAATATTTGAATGCTTGCTGCCACTTGAAAAAACTCTTGGGTCAGGGATTTTTAGTCTTAAATAATCTGTTCGTTCTGAGTATGTAGGACTGACCATATTTTTCATAGGCTTAGTGGCAGGTATATACTCTGATTCTAGATCTGATACAATTATTGGGGAGTCTTGTATACGGTTTTGAGTTCTATTTGTATCATGAGTTCCTGGAAGAGCCTTTTGGTCTTGCAGCAGAGAAGAAATGCTGCCTCTATCCTCTCTGTTACGTTTTACAGGAATCTCTTTATTTTCTTTATTATGGTTTACATTTATCATCGTTTCTTCAACAGATGCGTTAACCGAAATATCATTTTTATTTGAGTTTTGGATTTCTTCTTCAATTTTAGCGTCTTGAACAATAATTTTTGATGGTATTGATCATATAAAATCACTGATAAATCTAAGCAATGCAATGAAAATCCCTGACCAGCAAATTCATGAGGATATATTGTTCAGAATAAACTCTGAGCCATAATTTTTATCGTATAAAATAACAAGTACTAAAAGGGCAGCTTCGTAAATATGATAGAGGATGGTAAAAATTGAGTTTCTTATCACACTAAAGGGCAAGCATACAAGCAGATATAATACTATGTAAAAATTACTTAAAAAACACTCGATTGAAAGCATGATAATGCATTGGACATAAGGATGGTTATATGCAAAAGTAAGAAGTAAGCTGAATGAAACTCTTGAAATAATAAAAAATGGGTAATAAAGATGCTTAAACTTAAATTAACAGATGGCGCTAGACTAGTTTTATCGCAATCACCGATGATATCTGATACAGTTATATCAACTGCGTTGAGACCTTGCCTTCTGGCTTTGTTGTTGAGTGAGCAGTCTCGGACTTATGCCTTGCTTGAGATTGAGGAGTGTAAGGCTGTCCGCACAAAACACCCAAAAAATGGGTTTTTTTGTCGGCAAATCGACAAAAAAGAAAAACTCGTAGCCCAAGTGTATATCCTGCTTCACTCTTAAGAATTGTTGACTTGGCTGGGCCAACTTTCGAGTCTCCTTCTCCCTTGATGTATAATCCAACCCTGAAATTGGACTAGGGCTAGACTCCAAACAGTACTGAAATTGCTTCCCTAGTATAGCCATCCTTTTCTGAGCTGGGCAAAAACCTGCCGGATATAATTAAATATGTGCTCCAACAAACTCAGTGTAGGTGACTGCGAAGCGCTAAGACGCCATATTTAAATATAGTATAATAAAGATGCAAAATTACTCATGTTTGCTTAAACTCTTTTACAAAATATCGTATAAAAGAATGCTCAGTTTTCTCCTTTGCTATTGAAACAGCAACAAAGAAGCCTGTTAAAAAAATCCACACAATCCCCATTAAAGCAAGAACAACACTTATTATTATAACAACTCCAGAATCAGAAATCTGTATAAAAAATACTTGATTTAGCTGAACAAATCCATAAAGAGTCAAATCTAAACATGAAACTAAAAATACCCAAGACAAGATAGAAAATTGAGGCCTTGTGCGTCTATAATCAACCCGTATATTTGGAATAAAAATAAAGAGAAGCACACAAATAATTAGCAAAAAGAAGTATTGCTCAGCATTCTCCAAAAATAAAGTTGTTTCAATTCTATTTTTTTCAAAATTTGGCTGTTCAGGCCTATATGTTGTTCATGTGTATCTATATCCTTCGAAAAAGTAGTTGATAGATAATCAGAATTCTTTATAATATGAGCTTGTTGAAAAATTTAACAGAGGTACCCATCTTGCAAACTGTAAAAAAGTTATTGACTGGGTAAAGCTTCCATATAAACCTATATGGTTCTGTTTGATTGTAATCAAAAATAGCATAACTCCCCATAGAGCAATATATGTATAGAGCGTGTAAAATCCATATGATTTTCCATCATCTCCTGACTGCATTTCATATGCCAAGCTTTGTTTCGCCAAAATCATCAATAATGCTATCATGAAAATGTTTAAATTTATTAATAGAATTTATTTTTATTTTTACAATTTATCTATACTGATATATCCTGAATATAAAATTATATTTTTAGGTATCCAATTATTGATGTTTATTAGTATAATTTTAGACCTAATCACGTTCATTGTTTTAGATCTTGGCTTTTTTCTTATTTCAAATTCTCGCCTGCTAAATGATTGCAAGTCTTTTAAAACTTCTTTTGTCAATGAATCTGTAGAGCTATTTCTGCTTTCATCAAGATGGGGTATTTCTAAAAGAATGCTTGATTGGGAATTATCTAATTTCATAGATGACATTGTTAGCAGTTTAGCTGCAGATGTATTTGGAGAAAGAAAATTGGAATTGCGCTTTTTATCTGCTGAAAGAGGTCTGGCGTTTGTGACGCTAATTGCAGGTTCTTGCTTATTATTGGGAGATGAGCAAATAACAGTCTTATCTGCTAAGCTGATTTTGTGCTTCCCATAAGATGACTTCGCAGTTCTCCTTGAAATACGATCCATAATAAGCCCAAATGATGCTGGATTCAGCTTCTTTTGGATAGAAAATTCAGTTTTATAATGCACCAAATTTAGAAAGTACCATTTTTCATCGGCATCTTGTGCAAAATCTGCTTGGAGCTCTAGGCAATTAGTTTTTCCGTTAATAAAATTGCCTTTTTCTATTATTCGTTTCAAAGTCTCCATTTGTGATCTCAGAGAGTCATTTATACTAAATTCGCTTTCAGTATAAGATGAGTCTCGAGTTTTTCTGACCAAGAATTTATCTTCAGCTGTAAAAACTTTTTTAGGCTCATGGGAGTAAAATTTTCTAAATTTTTTCCAGCCACTTTTGCCTTCTATAGGATTGGCAGGTTCTCCTAGAACATCAATCCTATTCTTTATTAATTTACAATAAAAAATGCCTTTGGGAGGGATATACGTGATTCTTATCTTAAATATTTCTTTCTTTGGGCAGATTATAAATCTTTGTACTAGGATTGGATTTCCTGATTTATTCTTTTTATTATCAATGCTTGTTTTATATCTATATAATATTTATGCAAATATAATATAAGCATTTATTAGAAAATGAGTAATATGCTGCTTCCAAATCCCATAGCACTCTTTTGTGCTCATCAAGCATTTGCAAGAGTCAAAAAAATTACCTCTATCTGATTTTATTATGTTAACAGGAAACTGCTCTCTTTTAAAATAATAGCAGCGCTTAAAAAATTGACGCACACTAATTAATGTTTACCTGCTTGAAGTTATTTCTTCATGTCATGATAGTTGTCCGTTGTCTTTTGTGTATATCATGTGGGGTTCACTGCAGCCGAATAGATAGACAATTGTTTCTGGTATATTTAAATAAAATTTTTGATTATTTCTTTTTAAAGCTGATAAAATAAGCTCTATGAATTCTAGCCCTACCTTTGGATGGTTTGTTTGCTCACTTGTTCTTCTGAGTAGAAATTTATGAACCTTGAGATTTTCCATTGATTTATTTATTAAAAAGGTTATTTAGTATTGAATGTCGGATTAGCATAAAAATAGTTATGATTTGGATGAATAAGAAATAGATATTGAATATTTTGTAAATTTTGAAAAAATTTTGAGAATTAGGTGTGTAATAATCTTAATCTTATTCAAATCGGCAAGTATGATAGGCATTATCGCTATATTTATAAAATAAAATGGCAATATTTATTTTTTATAAGAAATATTAGTGGTATATTCAATTAACTAAATTATACTATTGGGCATTTAATTTGCTTATTCTGCTTATTAAAACCATTTTACCAATTAAAATATAATTTAACACTTCTAAATATCAAATTATTAGTTATTTCAAATCGATTGTAGCAATAACACAAGCATATTCTAAATAATATTATCCATATTAGCAGCAGCTGTAATATTGATTATCAAAGAAACTGAAAGAGATTTGTCTTGTGGACTGAGGAGGCTTTGGAAGTATCCACTGCCGGGGACGTTTATCAAATATTGCATTCTTTCAGTTTTTTATAATCCCTTTGCTAAAAGGATTAAAACTTCTTGGGTAAATATTTAAATATGTGATTTTATTTCATTTTTGGCTTTCCCATGTGGTAGATGCAATTGATACCAAGTAAATATGATAAATCCCCATTCCTAATGTCATAACTCCCATTAAGCCAGAAATTGCGAAGACTACTATAAAAGCTCCATACGCTTGCTTATCTCTGGACATCCCGCTTACACAATTATTTGCAAAAAGGATCAAGCTTAACGACTCACTCAATAAATACAAGCAAAATCTAATTCCTCCATTAAATTTGAACAAAAAATTCTGTTCCTATTTAAACAGGTTTTTTTTTTTAAAAATAAAATTATATGATTTTATATGATTAAAAAAATTAAAAGCATGAATTGAATTATTTTTTGAGTTATTTTATGAAGAATCGATTCTAAAAATTAATCTATTCAATGCGTTAACTGTTTAAATAGCATTCTACTTGTGCTTACTCCATTAAATTAATTCAAAACTATTTATATAGAAAAATTTCGAAACATTTTGTTCCAATTTAAAGAGGTGAAGGAAAGTGATTTAGCTCTCCAACACATGAGCCTATTCAATAACAGTGGTGATCAAATGATGCGACGCATAAATCACAGTCTTTGCAATGCTTACTCCCACTTGCTCACAGAAGGGGCTAATTTTTAGTAATTTTTTTTTCAAAATTTGAAAATATCCCTTCCCTATCCTCAAAAGTTGTAAAGCAAAAATTAATTTTAACTTTTAAAATTTATATTTTAGATGCAAGCTGTTTAAAATTTAACAGAATTAGCTAGAGACTTCGTTATATTAATTGTCACTTATATATAAGAATTATTTTTCATGAAAAAATTTTTCTTCTTTCACAGAGGCTGATGAGCCAAAAATAGGGATTTTTCCTATGGTTGTTTTCACTGACAGAGGAGGGAGTTAGATCTATATGGAATGATAATTTTGCAAGTATTGCAGGTGAATTGAGGAGGAGGCTGCCAATCGTCTTCAATTTGTTGATAGTGTGAGGTATCATAGTCTTTTAAATAGCCTGGATTAATTCCACAAGTAAAATATTGGATAGAAGCTGCAAGTTTTAACAAAATGAATGTGAAGAACGGATATGACATGTTAGAGGTGAAGTCACTTGGATAGTAAAAGAGAACTGTAAAAGCCAATGCGTGTGCAAGGATATAAAATATTCTTGTGCATAGAGTAGATGCTTGCGCGTTTAATCTCATATTAATCTAACATATTTTTAGCAGAAGTCGATAAATTTAGAGTCGAATTTTAAGGGAAATCTACGATAAATTGGACATGAATCATATATTTTATTAATGAAATATCCTTGTTTTTAGGAACATATAATTAATTTAATAATTATAAAAGACTAAAATGGACTTTACTTACCGCTCAATGCCTATTCGATCTCTCAGCAGAATTAATCCTTTAATCAATCAGCCAAAACAACAAATTAAAGATGTTCCAAGAACAGGCCAGCAAAGACTCTGAATTTTAGTATCCCATTTCCTGTCAATTCCAGAAATTTTTAATCTCATGAAAACCTGTAAAATGCTATACATTGTTTCTTATGAGCCTGAATTGTGGCATGATATTCTTATCAGTCAATTTCAATCGAAATTTGTTTTATCAATAATAAATGGATCATACCAAGATGTAAACATAGTTACTCGGATTGACTATAAATTAGAAGCAGCTATAATTGATGAATACATCCCAATTTACTGTGATGAAGTCACAAAAGAAGATGAAAATGATCTATTTGAGCTTTTTCAAACGACTGGACTTATTGTTGATCAAGCTCCTCCATTGACAAGTGCTGATTTAAACAAAGTAGATCCAAATGAGTTTCGAAATATTGCACTTATATTATATCAATTGAGCTGCATTGAGTGCCATAATATACATTTCATTATCTAAATACGCATTTTTTGGTTATAATAATGCAATTAATCCTATTTAATATAGAAGTAATAAAAATTGACTGCTTTTATTGTAAAGTTCTGAGGAAGAGTATATGTTTAAAATGCTTGAAATCGGATAAATATAAAATGTTAAGTATCGGAAGCTGTAAGAGTAAATTCAAAATTACTCAAGAAGAGCTAGATTCCCTTAATTTAAACTATGCTGAAGCAACTAATCCTATAAATTATGGGTTTTCAAATATGAAGCTTTACTATGAGTTTCAAGTTAAAAAAGCATTGGAAAAACATAAAATTCCGTCGTATATGAGATTTAAAGAAATTGAAAATAAATTGGAAAAAGAAGGATATGCGGATGCAGTAAGTTTAGCTTATGGTAAAATTGTAGAGAAATTTTTGAAAGGGAAAGATGATAATTTAGATAGATGTGTGATTTATATCATTAAAAGATATGAGAGAAGTAAAAATGCAGCGAAAAATGGTAAGAAAAGGAAACTGAAAAATTAAGCTTACATCTATAAAATTAAACTAGCTGGAGGCCGCCGCTATAGTATGTTAATGTTGCAAGTTAATAAATAATTAGAAGTTCTTTAGGGAAATAAGATTCTTAATTGCATTTCCTTTTTATATATTCCTTCTTTAAATTAACTAAATTTTCTTAATAATTAATTTTAAATTATAGTAGATTATCATTTATTTTTTAAGGTTATAAAAACAATAATTATTAATACCTAATTCAATAAAAATATTTTAAAATATGCTAAAATATTTCTATTATTTCTTTATTTTACATATAAATTTGTTTAAAAACTATTTCTAGAAATATAGTTAAAATATTGCGGGGATTCTTTTCTCCTCAATTTTTCTATTATAAATGGTTGCTGCTAAACATTGTGGGTATGAACTTGAACGCCTCCTTGTGAGTTTTATATAGACTTTATTAAATCAAAAGCCGATTAATGAATTTAAAGTCGAGACTAAGCTCAACCTTTCAGAGCAGCGTGTTATTCACTCTGACGTTGACAGAACTCGGCCAAAAGTTCTTAGCGATAATGAAAGAATTCAATTGGAGACCATGCTAACGTTTTATTGCAAAGAACTAAAAATCACATACAAGCAAGGGATGAATGAGCTAATGGCACCATTTCTTCTGATGACTAGAAAAGGAATTGCTTTACATGAAGCTTATGCTTCATTCAAGAAATTCATACAAATAACTCTCCCTACTATGTTTATTGATAATGTAATTTTTTATTTAGGCCTTTCGACCATTGCATGGACTCTTTTTAATATTTAATCTGCTTTTCAGATACCATGAACCAGACCTTTGCTCTTTTTTTCAAGAAAACACAGTATATCCAGAATGTTACGCGACATCATGGTTTGTGACCGCTTTTGCAAGCAAAATTATCCAATTTTACATTAAATACGAATTTTCCTGCCATAAATATTCTAGTTTTTATATTCAAAACTATTAGAATAAAAATATTGAGACATTATCTTATCTCTGGGAAAGTCTAGTACAAGAATCAGACGTATTATTTATTTGCTACATTTCAATTGCGTTACTTCAGCGTTACAAAAGTAAACTATTGGAAGAGCAAGGGCCTTCAATCGCTCAAGTCATATCCAAAATCAAGCTTGAAAGCATTGAAGAAATCGCTTACCTCATCGAAAAAGCTCAAGATCTGAAGAGAAAAATGCCTTTTTCTCTTCATATGAAGCTACAAAATTATAATATTTATAATTTAGACACCATTGACTCAGTACTTGCAGCACTCAATAAAGAGTATTGCTTGAGTGTCCTTCCAAGAGAAGTCATGCAAAACTGCTACCCGGGCCAAAAATTTTGCACCTGCATTGACGAGAAATGCTCATGGTGTACTTCACAAGTCCCAGAGATTCCTATCGTTTTAATCGACTGCCGGCCAGACTCAGAGCAGAGGCATGGGAGATTCCCTAACTCGATTTTGCTCGACAAGCGGGCGTATAATGACGAAAACATTATGATTAACATCCCAGATTCTTTTAATGAATTAAAAGGCGTATTTCATATCTTTCTTCTGGGAAATAAAGAATTCCGAGCTTCAGATTTCAGTTTAAGGAAAAATTCTGATGAAGAAGATCCTGTTCAAAACATGTTGGAAAATTTATTGCAGCTTTTCATTATAAAAGGGTTTCCTTATGTAAGCTTGGTAGAGGGAGGCTTCCAAAAGTGCCATGAATTCGCGATGCATTATAAATTAAATATTGAAAACCATCAAAACGCTTCATGCGATGTTTGCAATCCAAATGTCTCCTGTTCGTCGATCGAGTCCAAGCTGAGAAAGCTGAAAGATGTGATCCATGGTAAGGTTAGAGCATTCACCACTGTGGTCAAAGATATTGGTAAATCTATCAGCCCGACTGAGCCAGCTAAAAAATTGTCAGACTCAGAAAAATATTTGAGCGACCCAAGTGCGAAATTTTATTTATGCAAAAAATATGATGAAGAAAGCAATTGCGTCATACAAAGCTCGATGTCATTAATAATTACAGAAACTGAAATTGCGATAGGGCAAATCAGAAATAACAGAAAGCGATCTATAACTCAGGTTATCGATTCTAAAAAAATAAGCAGCCTACAGAAATTTACAACCAAGCTTAACCCTAATACGATGCTGAATTTTTACTTTGGAAAATCATCAAAACCAATATGTATCATATTAAAAAGCACTCGGGAAGTCCACGAGTGCTCATCACTGATATCAAAATATTATTTAATTAAGATATGGCGTCACTCGAATTTTCTGGTCTCCCGCCGAAAATCCATCTCTTGCATATTTAATTATAAGTTTTGGTTTCCTCCTGGTTTAAATTATCCCAGCTATGTCAGGGAAGCAAGAGCTAGGTTTTTTTTTACCGGCCTCCTGTCTTTAGGGAATAAAATTTTTCAGAAGGGTACCACCTACCTCAGGAGGTTGAGGCTGAAACCTTTAGGGTGCCTGATAGACCCAAGTAAGTAGCCTGAGCTCAATGAAGAGTCTTCGAATCCCAGACTTCAAAACTAGCATCCTCATTGTGTAAAGAAGTCAAGGTGGTCATACTTTAACGGGCCTGGGGAAGATGGTGCGAATTTCACCCAGAGCGATGTTGGAGGCAGCAGTGGCAGCATTTAACTTGTTGGATACAAATGAATAATAAATCTAATTGAATTGATATCAAAATATTATAAAAGTAATAAGGAGTGGTAATCACTTTGATATTAACATTTTTTAGCTAAAATGTGTTAATAATCATTTCAATAAGCATTCTAATTAATACAATAATTATTCTTTCTTTTCTTCTTCTTCTTCCATTATTCCAATTGCTGTTTTTTTAGCAGTAGCTTTTGCTAGCTTTTTTAATCCCATTTTTTTGACTTGGTTATATGCACTTCCTACATTCCCAAGAACACTGAGGCTTTCAGAAGTGGCAGATGCTGCTTGCTCTCCATATCTGTGTTCGACTACGCTTACAGTTGTATTGGCACTTGATTTCGCAAGAATTATTACAGCTTCTTCCAGCCCATCATATATGGTTACTACGGCGTTAATTCCAGCCATTCCAAGCTCTTTTGCGGATTGATAAGTTTTTGACCTTTCCAAGCGGTTTCCAGTTTTTGAGTTCTTGAAGTGTGAGGATATTGATGAGGCTATCTGTGTAGTCATTTCAACAGCTCCACTTACAAGAGCTTTAGAAAGAGCTAGGACCATTTGGCTTGCCATTTTCATTTTACGGATTCTCGCTTTACTTTTTTCAGAAACTTCAGTAGGCTTTGGCTTTTTCTTTATTTTTTTCTTGAGGTACTCCCCTCCTTTAACAATTCCTTTTGATGTAAAAGTTGCTCCTCTTATGAGCCCTTTCTTGATTTTTGTTCCTCCTAATTCTATATAGTGGCTTATCTTACCCACTTTGCCTTCTTTTTTTTCTTTTTCTACTATTTCTTGGCTTTCTTCTATGTAAACCTGAACCTCAGTATCACTGGTACTTTCTTCAGGCATTGAATTTCTTCTATCTTTGATTTTGGTGAACTCAGTGCTATCCTGAAGAATTATTTCGAAAACGTCTAATTCTTCTATATCAACTTCAATAGGAAATATAATTCCATAGAAGCCTTCCGTGCTTGGGAATACGTAGCTTCTCTTGTCACCTTTCATTACTGGGATTTCTTTTGATAGGGAGTAACGAAAATCGCCCACTGTTAATAAATATAGATTTTGATCTGATAAACGATATAATCGTAGCTCACCAGTAGTAAAAAGCCTTTTTTGATCTCCGACTATACTATATATTTCAGTATTTTGAACAGAGAGTAGCAGCTCTGCTTGGACATTTTCTTCTTCCATTTTATTAATTATCATTCATTGCCTAAAAAATAGCACATATATATGAAATTCTTTTCACTATTGTATTATCAATATATTAAGCATAAAAAACAAATTGCAATATAATATTTATTAAGAATAATTAAGCTGGAGCAATAACTTCTCTACATGCTAAGCAAGCAGCGTTTCGATTTTGACATTTGTTGCAAGTATGATTTACGCAGCAACCTTTACGATATATTTCAGCTCTTAGTAATAAATCTTTGCAACTGAAGCATCTAAAATACAAACTATCTTTTATTTCAGCAAGTGTGCTTGCGTTCAGTATTTTTTTGCACTTTTTGCATTTTTTACTTTCATAGGCTTCATTTAAGCAATCATTACAGTGCTTATGCGATTTGCAGATTGATTTAAGCTGTTCTCCAACAATATAAACATTTCTTTTGCATCCATCGCAAGTATCCTCTAAATAGCAAATATTGCTATTATAGGCTTTGCCGCAACTATAGCAGCTCGTCATCCCTCCCCAAGCTAATAGTGAAAAACACTCTTTACAAGTGCATTCACAAGGGTCATTGAAAAATTGGCCAACCTCTTTTGTCTTCAGACACCTTTTGCATCTGATTACACAACTTGGATCATCTTTTCTTTTTTGTTTTGCTTCAATATTCATATTTTTATGATTTTTTTGCTGTTTCTCAAAGTGGACTTTGTTTTTCTCTTGCTCAGCTTCTCGAATCTCAAGAAAATTGTTAGCTTGCTCGAACTTTTCTTTTAATACATTTTTATAGTCGTCGAGGCTAAAAGAAGAATTGCAGCTTGGGCATTTTGGCTCGCCGGACAACTTTTCTTCATCAGTTAAAAGCAGAAATCCTTTAGTTTCTTTACGTATGCTGGCTTTTAAACATTTTGAGCAGAAAATGTGGCCACAAGATAGTTGGATTTCTTCTTTAGGCTTCTTGCAATCTTCGCAATAATAAAAGCTTAGTAGCTTGCTTATTCTCTCTGAAATTTCGATATTTTTAGAGTTTTTGAGTTTTTGAATTAAGTTTTTTATGTTTTCATCTTTGCCAAGCTTCATTGCTCCTATCTGTTCGTTCAATGTCTCGATGGCGCTTAAGAGATCTTCAATTTTTTCTTTATTTTTGTTTAGCTTGAAGTTGAACCCACTGGACTCGTTTTTTATCAATATGAGGCTTGGCTTGTCTAGATGTATCAATTCGCCTAGGTTCTTTAGGCTTGTCTTATAAAGTAGTCCAAAAGGGATATTTTTTATTTTAGCCTCTACATATGATAAGGGCTCTTCAGCTTGTTCAGCATCATGTTCTTCTATTGACTCTTGGCTTTCTTCAGACTTTGATTCATTGCTTGAATCATAACTATCTGATTCATCATCACTTTCTACGTTAGAATCAGAGCTTTCTTCCTTTTCTTTGCATTCATTTGTGTTTGGATCTCGAATATACTCTTTATCACTAGAGCTATAGCTGCTGTTCATTTTAGAATCACTCATATTATTGATTATTATTATGGATTCTACATAATTGCTTATTGCCTATATGAAATATATAGTTGGAGTTATTAATCAACTTCAAATATCTGGTTTTGGGATTAAATTAGATAGCAAATTATTTTCTTTCTATTTGTAAAACCAAGGAATGATTCTCAAAGGATTGAGTTAAATTATTAAGGCTTCAAGTCTTTGTGAATAATTTCTTATACTAAATAATAATTCATAGCCAAAAAAACGAAAAAGTTAATTGAAACAAAACTTGACTCATAATTAAAATAGAGTTATATTACTTAACGGTGTTAAATTTAATTATTTTTCCAATTTTTTAATTAATTTTGAACAATTAAAGATTTATATAAATTGATAAATAAGAAATAGATATGGATGGCTCTAGCATTAGTGGTTATAAATAAAATGCAAAAGCCAACAATCGCCTACTGGGGTGTCAGAAGCTTGGCTGAGCCGATACGAATGCTGCTTCACCATCTTGAAGTGGACTTCGAAGACAAGTATTATGTGTTTGGAGAAGAAGAATGGCCTCAAGACAAAGAACGTCTTGGTCTTGATTTCCCTAATCTTCCTTATTACATTGATGATCAAGTCAAATTGACAGAAAGCTATGCGATCTTTTTATACATAGCTTTAAAATACAATCCAAACTACCTTGGACTAACATGCATGATCTAGGCACCACCTGCACTCTAGGCATCAATCAAGGCTTGCCTAGAAGAGCTAACGGCTCGGCTTACGGGTCATCCGATAGATCGGTTTTTTTTTTCCTCCAGAGCAAGGTCGGCAAGATAACTGAGGATGAAGAAAGCAAAAGAACTTAAGGCTCATGCTGATATGCCAGGAACTTATCAAGCATTAGCTTAACCTAAGCTAACCTTGGACGAACCACTATTGAGCAAGCCCATGTGAATATGGTTTATGGCGTCTTAAAAGATATTTTTATGCCATTTGCATTGGCTGGCTATGAGCCAGACGCATCAACCAGAATGCCAATGACTCTTGATAGCAAGAGAGCTGCCCTAGAAAAGGTCTCCAGCTACCTTGAAGGAAAAAGATTTTTCAATGGCGATCAACCTACCTATGTAGATTTTTATGCTCACGAACTCATCGAAAGAATTGAAGCTTATAGCCCAGACTATTTGGCAGCTATATCTCCTAACTTTGCAGCTTTTAAAACTCATTTCAGAGAACTAGCCCATATGGATGAATTTCTTTCAAGACTTAGATTGAAATTCAATCTTAGTAGAGCTCATTGGGGAAATTAAATCCTTAATTAAAATTAAGATTTAAACGAATTTATATGAAATTAATATAAATGTCGCATGAAAATACTTTATTTGTTAAATTCAAATATTATATTATTTGATCCGCCACGATAAATTGGCTATTCCAATCCTAAAAATAAGCTATGTCTATTTCAAAGCATACCCTATAGCAAGGCTTATTAGAAGTACAGTAATAATAACCCCAAAAAGTCTTTTATCCATAAATCTGTCGCCATCTCTTCCGAATTTTTCTATGCATAACCAATCAATCTATAATTTTTTGCTTAACTAAAATTATTAAATCTTGAATCATTTAGAGAAAATTATATCTTTTTAGCTAAATTCCTTGTGCACTCCAATGCAAAAATCAATAATATTTGTCCAGTAATACAAAATCCAACAATAAAATCCAGCCCAGCAGATGCAGAAGTACTGATAACCTCACAGCACTCTTGATTCAAGCATCCATATTTTTCAGTGCTTTTGTCCACAATTTTTACAATTTGGTCTTTAGGGCATTGCAAATCTTCTTCAGAGGCTTGTATATCTATAAATTTATTTGAGCACCCTATATAATTTAAATGCTTATCCTGCATCATGTTTAATAAAGAGTAACAATTCGTACTGACTGATTCTAGGAAATCTTGGGTTGAAAAAATAATAAGCATGCAATAAAGGCCAAGGAAAATAAACATAATTACGCACAAAATTTGAGAAATAATTATAAAAGACATATGCTCTTTAAACGCTGCAAAAAATGAAAATAGAGAGTAAGCTAACAAGCAGCACCCAGCCACAATCCCAGCTTGGATTATTACTGGGGATAACTCTTCAGAAATATCAAATGAGCTCCAATACCACCAATAAATCCCTGGGCATAAAATTAGTCCAATAGCTGCAATTAGAACGCTAATTTGAACAACTTGTACATAATTATGAATGCTCTGATAATCGATGCTCAATTTGCAGGCCAAATAAAATATGTATATGTAGCCAACTATATATTTCAAGGATGCTCCACTAATTATAAATAGCATTCATTTGACTTTTTGACTTAAGTTAGGATCATCAATTGGGCCTAATAAAATTTCATGAGATATAAAAGAAATGATTCCTATGAAAAAGTAGCATGATGATGTCAAATGAAGTATATATAAAGAATTCGTTAGAAAATCTTGACTGCCAAGGCTGTTCCATTTAATAGCAATTGTTTCGTTCTTAACTAGGGACTCCTTGGTATATTTGGCACCGAAATATGCACAGACTGTTGAGCATAAAGCTATTAGTGACACAAATGGAGGAAAGACCAAAAAGTGCTTGTTTGTTTTTCAAAAAGCAATTGCTCCACATACAAAAATAACAACAGGAGGCAAAATCATGCCTAAAGCAATTTTCTCAAGCCTGCTAGCACATCTCTATAAAAAAGGAAAATTTTTATATAATGATTTTTTTCAAATTTTTAGAAAAGATTATAAAATTTTATGCTTTAGAATTCAAGCTATTTAAATTTAATAACATTTGCCATATATTTCATTATAATATTTACTACTTATATACCCAAAAGAATTTGATATAACAAATTGGCACATTAAAAAATAATTACTTGTTTGCGGAGATGAGATTTTTCCAAAAAAGTTAAATGGTTTTTCTTCATAAAGGAGGAGTAAGAGCTGTTTCCTCTTCTTTGATGGTCATTCGATTGACATGCCTTTCTGAAGTCTTAGCTATAACCAACTCATTCTTTCCTTTTTCTCCTGCAAAGCGTTCATTATTTTCTTGTCGTTGATTTGCCCTTCTTTCGTCCTCATCTGAAAAATTGGAGTATGTTTTCACACCTTTTGGCTTTAAATCCATATTACATTCGCAAAATTTAAAAAGCTAATCAAAGAGAATATTCTTCCAATTCAGTCTTTATGAAAGTCTATTAGACTCAAAATAAAAATATTTTATTTAAAATTTATAAAATTAGTTATTCATGTATTATTTTCATAATGGTAAATTTCTATATTGCCTAAACTTCAAAAAGTTCCTTCCACCCCCATTTAATTTTTCCAACAAATTTTCTGCATTAAAATTTTAAATAAGGGAAAATTTAAGAGATGTCAGCGTCTAACACCAAAGAACGTAAGCCTGCTCGTACAAATACTTCACCTCCGGACGCAGGCCAGCCTGAATTCCGAGATTACAAGGCTGCAAAAGCAGCTTTATTGTCTTCTCTTTCAATTTCATCTAAAACTCAGCCAGAAATCAATGTCATTTCTGACATAGACACCCAGGATAATAAAAGTTTGTCTGCTAATGAAAATAAGGAGCAAGAACGACCTCCACGAAAGCTTTCTCCAGCTTTTAAACAAGAAGAAATTGATAACACCAACGAAGAAACCAAAATCCCTGCAAATGGAAAAAATCACTTCAAAGGCGGTTTGTCTACTATTGAAGAGGATATTACTTCACATGAATACACACCAATGGGGACTGGGTCTACTTTTTCCCAGATTTCTGTTGCAAAAGCAAAAATAAGATATAGTGAAGATGATATAAGAAAGGCAGGCGATGAGGATTTATCCTGGGTCTTGCCTATTCAAATTGTAAGAATAAGGAGACGAAATGAGCCAAAGCCAGAGAGGCGGGTTTTAGGTAACACTAATTACAAATTTAATTGGCGCGCAGAAGAAGACGAGACACAGAAAAAGATCAGGCAGGGTGCACTTGAGAACACAAAGAAAATCAACACAGAAAAATCAACAAAAGAGAAAAAGCTTTGTGACATTAAAATAATTTTGAATAAGCTGACTATGAGAAATTTTGATAAGCTGAAAACTGAATTATTTGAAATTTCTAAATTGGATGAGGAATATTTAGAGGCTTTAGCAGACGCAATTTTCCAAAAAGCTTGCTTTGAGAAAAAATATGTTGGAATGTATGCAGACCTGTGCAAATATCTGACTGATGCGTACTTGGATTTTCAGCTAGCAGGAGGAAAGGTGGAGTCTTCAAAGAGAACACAAGATAGTTTGTTTAGAAAAATGCTGCTGAATGTTTGCCAAGAATCTTTTGAAGAAATGTGAATGAGTGAGGCAGACCATAAAGGGGATTCTGCTTATAAAGTAAAAAGCCTTGGGATGGTAAGATTTATTGGTGAGCTATTTAAGGCTGGATTTATACCTCCTAAAGTAATTTTTATGTGCCTTATGGAATTGATAAGCCCGAATTTTAAAGAGACATTTAAAAATCCTGATTTTGTTAGTTTGGTCCTTAATGATGACAAATTAGAAGGAGCTGTTTTGATGCTAACAGCTGGAGGTGCTGCTTATGAAAATGAAAAGTATGTATCCAAAACAAACGCGGTAGTTAATACTCTTACTTCTCGATTCTTTATTGAAGACAAATGTTTGATCTAATTGGAGTTCTGAAAAATTATATATTAGATAACTCATATAATTTTAGAGAATTACGTTAAATTACTTCTGCCTTCTAAGTGGCTGTCCAAATTTTTTAAAATTTTTTCATTCTTCAATGTCTTTTGGAGGAATTCCTCCCTGGATCAACTCTTCTTCGTGGTTTTCGATATCTTGTTTTCTGTTATTTCAATTTCCTTATAATTTATCTCTTGGATTAGAGCTTGACGTGATATAATGCATTCCACACCATGAAGTATGCAAAATCCACATTTTTAATGTAGATCGACAAGCCAAGCTTGACTCCAAGAGTGATTTTTTTTATAAAATAAGAAAAATTGTGAAAAAGACTATATTAAAAATTTCTCCACAAGAGTCGCTCTATCAAGAATGAGGGAGGATTTAAAGAAATAATGGACCGTGGTCTAACGGCAAATTCAAGAGTGAAGTTCTTGATTTTGGTAAAAATTATTTAGGACATGCTTGAATTGAGAGCCTGTGGCTGGCAGGATAAATTAATTGAATCGCCTACTATAATTACTAATTAACCTTAAGCTTATTAAAAAATCTCATCAATGTTGACGGAGCATCAGTTATACAGCCGTCACAATTTCTCTAACTTATTAACCTATGAATAAATTCTCAAAATATTTTGTGAGCAAATATAATAGCCTTGCTTTAAATAATTTTTTGGTTTTAATAAAATTTGGAGGAGGCTTTATAAGATCTTTCTGCACTTTTCAAGAGATTTTTTAATGCAATTGCACTTTTTGCTATCTACCCTTTCGGAAAATTTTGAGAATTATTTGCTAAATTAATTCTAAAAATATTGATGTTCCAATAAAATCAAAAATTGTTGGCGAGAAGGAATAAGTGACAATTACGCCTAGCGCATAAATTGCATCTTCATTTGAGTTTATCACCCAGTAAAACACTTTTACTCCTCTTTTCTTTAAGTGATTATTAAGTCCTCTTCCGAAAAATACAAAAGCTCTTGCCATCATTTCACTATATAGAGTTTACTAACTCTTCCACACCCTTTAAGAGTTAAAGAAAAGCATTATTGGGGAAATTAGTCCCTCTTTAAAAAATTTATAATATAAAATATTGTATATATAATTAGTAATTTATTAAGATAGCCATTTAATAACTTGATCTTCTGTTATCTGAAGCCTTTTACGTGAGATACGAGCTCCGCTCTAAGCAACTGATAGGCAGTTAACAAGTGTTAGAACTTTATTTGCCCTAGCTTCAATAAACACTTTTTTCCGCTACTTAATGCCATTGGATAGTGTCTCTATTAGGCAAACTCTCAGAAAGCATAAGTTCCCCTTCACTGAGTCCAAAGTAAGTGAACTACCATTACCAGAGCACCTCCATTTTAATTTTGCATATATAATTAAAATTGTTCTAGCTAATTTTTAGAGAGCCCTCCTTCTTCAAAAAAAAATTTTTAAAATCTCGTAAACTTTTTAACATAATTTTAAAAAATATAACTCCTTTGAAGAGCTAAAAATATTGCTCTCTCTTGGAGAGTAAGGAAATGCAATATACCAAGGTGAATTTGCATATTTTAGAGCATTAAAAGGCTTTGTCATAACTGGCGCTCCTAATATGCGCTCTTCAACAGGTATAAACGCAACAAATCCCAGAAAATACGCAAAAAATAATTTCAATGCTTTTTCTGCTGAAATAAAGCTCATTTCTTTCGAAATAATTTCCTGAATCTTTTCATTCTCCTTTTGTCTGCTATTTCCAACAAACTGTATAAGAAGTACTGTCAAGTGTTGGCGATCATAATCATCAATCAAGCGTTTAACCTCTTTAATTGTGACTTCATCTGGCTCTTTTATTTCGATTGCCATATAAATATCTGGGAATTCTTTGAAAACAGACTCCAGGTCAGTAAACTTATAAACTTTGTTGTCAAACGTTACTTTTTCAAATGCAAAATGAGTAAAAAAAGTAGGCATATAAGGAGGGAGATCATTGAAATTAGTCTCACTAATCAATTTATAGGGCCTTCCTATAGATGGCGCGCAATGCGCCATCACCGAGCCATGTCGGGAGAGGGTTCCACACGAGGAATGGTTCTACGTGTGGAACCCTCTTTTTGACCTGTGAGAAAACTACTTTCCACGAGCCAAAAAGAGGGTTCCACACATAGAACCATCATTCCTCGTGTGGAACCCTCTCCCGACATGGCCCGGTGATGGCGCATTGCGCGCCATCTATAGGAAGGCCCTATATCGACTCCGCATAATCTTTTCAAGCTGTTTTCATGAGAAACAACTATTACCCCGTCTTGGCTTCTGACTACATCCATCTCTAGTATATCCACATTGATATTATACGCATGCCTAAAGCTATCCAAAGTGTTCTCAGGCCTTTCCAAAGATCCGCCTCTATGAGCAGCAATCCACTTATCATAATTCTTATTCGCTTTTTCAAGCTCAGCCCTCGGCTTTCATATTAACTGAGGATATAAAGTAGTCACGCAGCCTACACCTGCATATATGGATAAAGCTCCAAATAAATACTTTTTCAGCATTTATATCCTCTTTAGATTCCTTTACTAATGGTAATAATATTTAATTGGCCAACATAATTTCTAGAAAAGTGTATCCAAAAATCCCTCGAAAATTAGGCCTTATAAAAGTTTGTTAATTTAATATCATTTTTATTATCCATAAGCCATTCAACCTTCTATGGTACCGCAAAATAAGTCACCATATACAATTAGCTTTCTCTGATCATAGGAAAAGCTAGCCTTATATTACTGAGCCCGAATAGGAAATTTTAAAAGTTAGAAGAGAGAATCCGGAAAACTGTTACAGCCTGATACTGGCTTAATTAAATTTAACTTACTGTATAAAATTTATAAAATGAGAAGCTTGACAAAAAATCCCAACCACCTCTCTGCGATCTCAGTGGCTGGAAAAGAGAGAGGTTCGCTACTGGGCACGAGAATCCCACAAGTCCCGAAATTCAATAAGAAAATTGAAAAAGGTTTGAAAAATCTTTTTACAGAACACCAAAGTGGTTTTGGAGCTCTTCTTAGATATGACAACGCCAAGTTCGTAGATAGGTTGATGCTTGAGAGCCAAGAAGGATGGAGCAGTGGGAGTTCTTGCATCAGCGCCTGCAGCAGCGGATCATGCAGCTTCCTCCAGCCGAGAAATTTGGACGATTCTTTAACAAAGTACAATTCAGAACTCAAAGATCAGCTGAAAAGTAAGATTAATTTAGACTGTCTATTAACACAAAAACCTGACATAACATTTGACGACATTGCTGGGAACGAATATGTCAAAGATCTTATCAGGGAGACTGTTTTGCTTCCTGCTTTGGTCCCTTCTCTTTTTTCTAAGTCCAGAGGCCGTCCTAGATCATGGAACAAAATTTTGCTATACGGACCTCCAGGGGTGGGAAAAACAATGATTGCTCAGGCCATTTGCAATGAAATTGAGTCTACCTGTTTTTGGGTCTCCTACTCTGACATCACTTCTAAGTTTATTGGCGAAAGCGAAAAGCTTCTGACCATGCTTTTCCAAATGGCCGGAGAAAGCAGTCCTTCTGTGATTGTTTTTGACGGAATTGATTCGTTAGTAAGAAAAAGAAGTGGCGCTGAAAGCGAAACTGAGAGGAGGATAAAGACCGAATTTCTAACAGCAATGGACATCTTGCAGAATGAACGGAAAAATGTGATGGTCATTGGAACCACAAGCATGCCCTGGGAGCTCGATGTGGCTGCTTTAAGAAGATTTGACAGAAAAATCATGGTCTCAATACCTGATAAAGACACCAGGAGCCACACTTTTGAACTTCTTGCAGGACAAAACCACGATTTGACTGAAGAGGATTTTAATTATTTGGCAGAGATAACTGATGGGTACTCAGGGTCTGATATTAGCATTGTTTGTAATGAGGCTTTACTAAAACCGGTAAAAATGCTTCAGTATACTTCTCATTTTAAGAAAGTGAGAAAGGACGATGTGGATTATTGGACGCCTTGCAAAGCATCAGATCCAGAAGCGATTGAGAGATCTTTAACCAGCATAGAGCCTTCTCAGCTTCTGCTGAGAAAAGTGAATTTGGACGATTTCAAATCAAGCATCAACAATTGTAAGCCAACAGTCCAGCCTAATTTGATTGAGCTTTACCTTAAGTTCTTAAACAAATATGGGCACAGCGAACAAAAGCGAATGATGCTTAGTGAGGATAGTCGGCACTTAAGTTATTTTTGCTAATTTTTATTTTCGTGTAATCTTCACTTGGACAGCTGTAGAGGAAATTAGTTTATTTTAGTGTTAAGCTAGAAATATCGGGATTTTTATTTTAAATTTGAATTCCTAGACTCACAAATCAAATTTATCGTATCATATTATTTATTAAAATTAGCGAAATTATTAAAAAATAATAGATGTGCCCAAATTTATAGATTAGAAGCATCTTATAATGGTAAAAAAGGTCGGGAGCTATCAGCTTGATAGGAAGATTGGTGAAGGAAACTACGGAACTGTATTTATTGGGGTGCATTCTGAATCAAAACAAGTAGTTGCAGCCAAGTCTGTTCTGTTGGGGAAGCTGAATCCTAAACTAATAAAGCAGATGGAAGCTGAGATAGCTGTGCTAAAGGGGTCAAATTGCCCTAGCATTATTAAGCTTTACGACGTTCTTAAGACCCAAAACAACATTTATCTCATCATGGAGTTTTGTGCAGGGGGAGATCTCGAGCATTATGTCAAAATTCATGGAAGAGTTGCTGAGCCACTTGCCAAAAAATGGTTGAGTCAACTTGTCGAGGCTTTTATTTATTTACAAGAAAAAAGAATCATGCACAGAGACTTGAAGCTTGCCAACATTTTACTGACCAGTGAAAACGAAAATGAAGCTGAAATTAGAGTGGCAGATTTCGGCTTCGCCAGGATTTTAAATGAGAACTCTCTCGCGATTACTCAGCTGGGCACTCCAATGTTTATGGCTCCTGAAATATTTAATAGCGATGCTTATAGCTTTAAAGCTGATGTGTGGAGCTTAATCCTCCACTTGGTTAGTGAGCAATTTTTTTTTAGAAAATAAGCCAGCGAGAAAAATATTTTTTTTAGTTAGATCTAATTGAATGACTATAATTGATATCTCCAGAAAATTATATTAAATTTTAGACAGTATTTCTAAAAATCATATATTTTTTTCATTAATTTTTACAAAAAATAAAATTAGCCCCCTTCCATTAGCAAGCAAAATAATTTTGTTCAATATCTAAGCACAGAGTTAGGAGTCCTGTCCTATGAAATTCTACTTGGAGCTCCAGCATTTTTGTGCAGAACCTTGAATCAACTAAGAAAACTTCAAAAAGAAGAAATAAAATTCCCAGAAAACTCACCACTGTCAGATGATGCTAAAAACTTTATCAGATCAATGCTTACCTACAACCACAACGAAAGGCCAAGCTTTCAAGAGTTACGTTCACATCCATTTTTCCAAGAAATTTACAATATCCCTCATCCGATTCAACCTCATGAAATCGCTGCAAGCCCTGAAATACATATGGAAGACCCTCCAAAAGAAGAGATAAAGGAAGAGCAAAAAGAGCCAGCAATTGATACCATCAACGAGGAAGATTATGAAATTTTGGAAAAATGCGAAGTTGAAGACTCTATTCCAGAAAAAGTTGAAGCTGTAAGCCCTGCTAAAAAGGTGGAAGAAGTAAAAATTGAGCCTCCAAAACCTGCTGATGTCATTGAAAGGCCTCCTTCTATTGCAAAACCTCCTCCAAAGCAAGAAACTGCATCAAACTTAGTCAGCAAAACCACTGATCTTGACTACCAAGCAAGTCTCCTCGATATCCTTATTGAAAATGCTAACAATTACTCTCAGCAAAACCGAAATGTATTAGCATTTGCTGTAGTCAGATATTGCAAAATAAAATACGAAGAGCTTTTCAACTCTTCAGAAAAAATTGCCCAGGACTTTTCTTTAACCAGAAGCAGAGATGAAATGTTTAGCGAACTTTATGATAAAATCCAAATGCAGCTGATCATTGTAGGCGAGCAAGCTGAAAGTTTGGAGGCCAGAATTAAGCCTTATTCACTTCCAAACTTAGTGCCAGAGCTAGTTGAAGAAGGATTGACACTCCTTAACACCAATGAGCAGGCCAAAATCAAACTTTCTATCTCTTTGTTTACTATTGCAGCGGAAATTGATCCAAATAATGCAGTCTTAAGTGATCTCATGAAAAGTGCTTATGAAAAGTTCCAAAAAGGTATCAGAGATCAATATTAAAAATATCGTAAATCTTTGAAATAATTTATCATTATAGTTTAGTAGACTGAAATAATTAACTTGTAATTTTTATGTTCCAAAAAATCTATTGCATATTTGCTTTAAACTAAGAGTCATATAGGCATTTTGGTTCATTTCCTATACATTTAGCCTATTAAAGAAAGCATTTAATAAAATGATTAAAATATGCATATGACACACATAAAATGGCATCAAAGGTTAATTTAGCAGATCTCATTGATGATATTGACCAACAAGACCAGGTTTCTGGAGTATCAAAATCATCCTTAAAAAAGCGATTAGATTCCATTCATCGAGGCTCAGTACGATTTATTTAGAGAGGGCAACCTTTAAATTCCATAGCCCAAAACAAACTTGAGAGAAAAGCAGCTTACAATTTAGCTACCAAAGAAATCTCTAAATGGCAAGAAACAGTAACAGCCAATAAAAACGCACCCCAACTTGACTTAACAAATGAGCCTCTTCCACGTCCTAGCATTGACACAATTGTAAAGAACGGAGAAAGGAATTCCATGCAAAAAGAAATTGACCAAGCCCTCGGGATCACCTACCATGACTCTGGATCTGAAGAAGAAACAAATATCACAGGCCAAAGAGCTAAATTAAGGAGTCAAATGTTCCACCAATATCTCAAGCAAAAAAGGATCGCCAAGATTAAAAGCAAACTCTACCACAAAATCAAAAATAAACACAAAGAAAAAGAAAAAGCTGAAGTAGACGAAGATGAAGCCAAAGAGCAAGAAGAAATGCTAACTCCCCCCCAATTAATAGCGGACGAAATCAAATTTTTTTTCCCTAAAAATGGACCTTTAGATACCATTTAATAACGGAAATTTTTTACTATAAAAAATTTTAAATTATATAAGATAATCGTTCATTATAAATTTACTAATATACATAAAATGGCGGATGACTTCTGACCCGTCCTCTTGAGACGGTTACCTGTGTATATCCGGGCATGGTTTTTGGAGCCAGGAATTGGCCCAGCTATGTCTTGGGACCTCAAGGCGAGAGGTCTAAGCGCAAAGATCGCTGTTTTTGTGACCAAGAATTGTGCAAATAACTAGCTTATCACCAGTTGTTAGTCTTTTCTCTTTCTGGTTTCTCCATTCAACTCCATTTTATTAGATTTAGTGCTACTCTTTTGACTTAAAAATGTATTTTTTTCAGACCTTTTATAAAAAATTTTAAATAGAAAAATATATATAAATATCAAACTTTTTAAGTTATGACCCATTTAATAGCGGACGATTTTTTCGTCCGCTATTAATTGGGAGGGGAGGAGTAAGAATTCAGGAGAGGATTTCTTTAAAGCACTCCAAAGCAAATAAATACAAAAAATCTTTATTGAAGTACTCAAAAAGAGAACATGACGCAGCAAGTAAAGGGCTAAACGAGACTGAAGAGTTAAGGAAAAGAATTATGAACCCGTCTAGGATGAATAGTGAAGGGAAATTGGCTTATGAAAGCAGCTCTGATGAAGATGAAGAGTTCTTGGCTGAACAACTTAAGCTAGAGCTAGAAGACAATAAAGACACAAAAGGAGTTTTGGGGATGAAGTTTATGCAGGAAGCTATTAAACGGCAAAGGGAAAAAGAAAAATATAACGAAGAAAGCTTACTGGAGGATCTGCAGAAAGAAGAGAGCCAGACATCAAAATTTAAGTTTGATGGAGAAGAAGGAAAGCCAAAGAAAAAGAAAAAAACTGAAAAACAAGCTGAAAAGGTTGAAAAAGTCAAGGAACAGCAAGATTTGATTGATGAAGCCTTTGGGGTGGATGAAATGGACCAGGTAGCTGCAGAAGAGTGGGCAAAAGATGAAGAAGCAAAACAAGAAAAGCAGCCTAAGTTCAAAAAGGGATGGGGAAGATGGACTGGGTCTGATATAAAAGAAGTAGAAGAGCCGCAAAAGCCTCAAGTTTATAAAACAGACAAAGTTTTAATTGATGGAGAAAGAGACAAAAGGGCTGCAAAATATTTAGTCAAGCAGCTTCCATTTCCTTTCAAGACTTCAAGACAATTTGATGCAGTTCACAAAATCCCACTTGGAAAAGATTGGAACTCAAAGAAAACATACCAACAGCTGACAGCGCCAGAAATTTTGACTCGTCCTGGTGAAATAATTTCTCCGATTTCTGCTAGCCAAATAATAAAAAACTAATTTAGAATTATAAAGATTTTTCGTAAAACACAAATATTATCTCATTATAAATCGACCTAGTTCATAGTTTGATAGAAACTCACAGAGCATCGCCTTTTATATTTTAACTTTTCAGTCGAGTTTGAAGGATTTATGCTTTTTTGTCTGCTCAATCTTAGCACGGCTTTATCTATAATTTTTTTATTTTTTCGCATACTTTGTCTAGATTGCTTACTTTGATAATTAAAAGTTGCTTTCATAAAAGAATCTGACTCAAGGTTTCTTACTCTAGGATGTTTTCGCAATGATCCAGCAAATAGATTTGAATAAGATCCAGGAATATAGGCAGCTTGTAGGCCTCCACTGTTATGTGCAATATAAATATCTCTTCCAGAGCCATCTGAGTGATACTTTGTGATAGGTGCAGGCAATTTGGGCACAGGACTGTAAAACCGTCGATTTTTCCCCAAGCCAGTGCCATTAAAACTTAATGATTGTGTTGGAGATGAGCTGATGAACCCTCCATTATTTGCAGAAATATAATTATCTCTCCCTCCACCATCGCTACTGTAATGCGTGTATTTCGGCATAAAAGTACGGTATAGAGCCATAGACTCCATTTATTGCTAGATATCTTCCCTCATTATTAAAATGAGCAAGGCTAGAAAAATAATAATAGCTGAAATTTGGCTTCAAATTAATAATTTACCCTATATCCCAGCTTAAATTTATTACATTAATTAAGTTGCTTTTTATTAATCTCTTGAGAAATTATCTGATATTTAAATAAAACAGAGATTTATGATTTTATTTGGTGCTATCCTAATTTAAGTATTTCAGGGCCAATTTCATCTCCATGGTGACGCTTTTGTGGAGCCAAAGTTGTTGCTAGATCGACCCCCTCGTTTTCCTCAGACAAATAGCTGCTCTTTATTTTTTCCAGCCTTTCAATTTGCTCTGCTGATAAGTGATGAACTTTTTCAACGATTTCTTGCTCTGGAGAAGGAGACCTTCCTCGTTTTTGTGCTATAGGCTCTGTAAGTCTAAAAGTGGCACTTTTTTTAATATAGTCATATTTTCCAGTTGCAATCGCTGATTTGGCTTCCATTTCTTTGATTTTTTCATCTAAATCCTCATTTAAAGCAGAATACGTCAAGCTTTGCTCACTCACCCCATCTCTTAAGGAGCAAAATAATTTTGTTCATTTAAGAAGGGAGCTTAATTATTTTTTTCGAATTAAAAAACTCAATTCGAAAGTGAAAATTTTTTTAAATTTGTAAAAATTTATTTTTTAAATAATTATATATTAAATTATATTTTCATAAAAAATTTTTTGCTCTCTTATGGAGGGTTATTTTACCCAAAATATAGGGATTTTCCAATGATTTTGCTCGATCACGAAGAAGGAGTCAATATCTCCTAAATTTACATGCAAATTTTTTTCGTTCACAAGCACATGAGCCTTCCTAGCTTCCTTATGCTTAAATATTCCTTCTTTAACAGTTCCATCATCCATATGGATCCATATTCGTGAATTTTTCTCAAATTCAATTTGCGAGTTTAAGAGAAACCTTTCCCTTCTCTTTTTTAATAATAAGCATCGTTTGCTTATTTCTCTTTGCAAAGGAACAGGAATCCTAGGTAGTTGTAAAGAATAAAAAGATTGATCTGTGAGAAGTTTTTCTACAAATTCACCTATTGTGGTCTCTTCCCCATGAGAAGGCGAAAATTTTTGATTATCAACTGTATAGTGCTGAAGCCTGTCCCACAGTTCTTGTGGATTTCCAACGAATCTTAAATATAAGAACCCTGCACATCTAATATAAGGATTTTGATTTTCCATCAAAAAACTGAGCTGACCTTCAGTCAGCTTCATCATAAATAATTTTACTAAACAGCAGAAAAAGCTACTTGGGGTGTTATTAGTGCCAGGGATTCATGGGACCACATAAGTGATATTTATTTCTATTTGTTCCAAGACTTCATTCAGAGTTTTCATACTAAATAGCTCATTGAAATAAGGCGCTGATAATACATTTTTCCTCATCAAAGAGCTTAAATTCCAAGTATGTGGGTCTCCATACATTGGCATGGGTCCATGCTGCTTCTTTTCAGGCTTAATAAATTCTAAATGCGATGTTTGTGTTAAAGTTTCCGGAATATTCCCAATAGATTTGCAGATTCGGCAATTTTTTGAAGGCTTAGTAGGGTGGTATTTGCAAGAATTTTGACTCATAATAAAATTTAAGCTAATTTAATATGTATTTTTATTTCAAATTCTTTGACATCTTGACCTCTCATAAACTTCCAAAATGCACTGATCCAGATGTCGTTTGAGGGTTTCCCGACTTCAATAGAAATTGTATTTTTTTCTCTTTCTATGATTAAAGATTCGTCTAAACTTGACCCTTCACTAGTGACTAAATCCATAACAGGATCATATGAATCCAGATGAAGCTCAGAAGGAGGCACTTTGTCACCTTCTAGCCTTATATAGGCAACAGCTGCAGTAGGGTTTATCAAAAGCAAAATTAATGAATTGCTTTTTATTTCTCTTATATAAATTCGTGGGAAAAAATATACAAGTAAATTTTCCATTTTAAACGGGTTAGAAAATGACTGGTTTGTTTCAGGCTTTACTACGTATTTTTTGCAATATTTGCATCTTTTTGACCGTCTGGTCAAAAGTGGGATAGGCTGAGCTGAGGCTTTATTTAACTCTCTGGGCTGAGCTCCTGCGTTTGATAGCCTTTGTTGCATTGAAGTAATTTCATTGTAATTAATATCTTCATTTAGCAATTCATCAAAGCCAGGACTTTGGTGTTCAATTCTCTGTACAGGATTAATAAGAGGCTTTGGCTGCACTGAGTTTTCTAAATCTTCAAAAGTCCATGTTTCTTTTTGTAAATATTTAACTCCAATTTTTCTTCGATTTCTACAGGCTTCCTTATAGGTATCAATTAATATTTTCAGCTGGTCTTGCAGAGGGTTATCTTTCATAAAATAATCTTGGTTTGACATAAGAAGCTCATTTAATGAATTCCCAAAGAGTCCTAAGCTCATTGAGTCTCAATAGCAGCTTTGGCATCCAAAATGGTAAAGTTTTTGCTGTCTTGTCGAGTTCAACAATATTTGCAGAGTACTAAAACAAGCTGGGCATTGAAAACATCGTGCACACTTGTTTTTAAATGCAAAGGCTTCTGTATTAGGCATGTTTTCCATGCAATTTCTGCAATAAAAGGAATCTATTTCTTCAGTAACACAATAAGGGCATAAAGCTTTAGAGCAGCTGCATAAAAATTACGGAAAGCAAAAAAACATGTCTTCAAGGCCCCATTCTTTTCCACAGCCACATTGCAAGTGTATATAAGGAGGATTCCAGCTTGTTGCTCTCCACATAATATATTTATTATTAAATCCTTAGTTGGGTGTTTAAATTATGTATTTGTTTCCATGATTGGTTTATTCCTATTAAGGCAGAAAAGGAGCCTAAGATACCAACAAGAGTTGAGTATCCTCTGGCTTGGTCTAAATAATATATTGGGATTGGGATTTCTAAGATTGATTTAAGAAAATTTCATACTAAAAGATTGTTTTGTATTAACAATTGTTTGTAATCCTCTTTAGCTTGCTTATAAATAAGCTCAGAATTTTCATTTCGATGGGCTAGCTTAACAACTTGATGTATTTTTATCTGCAATTTATGTATCTTGATAGAGTCACTTACTATAGTTACAATGCTTTTCAGCAATCAGGCAAGATTCCTTACAATTTCAACAATCATCGTTCAATTAGAATCAATAGGAATTCCAATAACTTTTATTTGTTGAAAGTAAAGAAGATGGTCTGCGAATAAAAATATCAGAGAAATTATGTCACTTGATCACTCTATTTTACTAAAATTCTTCAATCTGTACCTTTTTCTACACCTCCCCTTGACGGCGAGCGAGAATATTTTCTCACTCATAAAGAGATTAAGATATAAGTATAGGTTTCACCCATGTATTGCCTTGTAAGGGCGGGGAATTGGAGAGTTGAAAAATAAGCGTCTCTCATGTAGATTTGATTAACTTGAGTGGCTTAACCAACTGGAGAGCTTCCCTCTCCAATCTTCTACTCTTATTGAACCATACATGGGAGATATCTATACTTAATTTTTACATGAATAATATTTGAAAAAATCTAATTTATTTTATAAAACTTATATTGAGTGTAAATTTATTAATATTATATAAGATATCTTATATTAAAAATTCTTTTCCTATCTTAAAAACAGGATTAATTTTCCAATAAGATTTCATCTAACTTTTCCCTTTAAATTGGAGCAAAAGTCCTGTTTCAATTTAAAGGGATTAATTTTTTATAATTTTAATTTATTTTCATGAAGAATTAATTTAAAAAAATTAATCTATATTCAGTGTGAAATAGTGTTTAAATATCATTATACCTTAAATTAGGGCAAAACTAATTTTATAAAACACTATTTTCACCTTCAATTTTTTTTCTTCAAATTATTCACAAATTGAAAGGGGGGTTAAAATACCAAAAAATAGAAATCTTTCCGATTTTTTGTTTCAATTTAAAGGAGTAAGTTTATACACTTGAAGATGAGCGTAAGCATTATCATAACTCCTAAAGGAAGTCCAAATCTCAGAACTTTGCGAGCAATTGAAATGTTCATTGATAATATATTTGCCTGTAGCGCAATTTCGCTATAATTTGTAAATCCTAGCCTATCGTGCAGTATCTTTGAAATATATTGAATAAGTTTTTAATTCCCCCTCTGTAAGCCAACAAAGCTATTGGAAAAATCCCACCTTCCTTGAGCGAACAAAATTTTTTAAAAAACAATATTTCGATATATAAGTGATAATTATTTCATGATCTCTAGCTAATTCTGTTTAATTTTAACAACTTGCATTTTAAAACATAATTTTACAAATTATATTAATTTTTACTTCTCAATTTTTGCAAATTGGGATTTTTTTAAATTCGAAAACAAAAATTTATTATAATAAATTTAAAAAAAAAATTAGCTCACCATGAGTGAACAAAATTGTTTATTCTCTCATGGAAGGGGGAGTAAGCAATTTTCTCTAAAATCTGTTTTTCCAAGCGCAATTAAAATTTTGTTTGATAATTCCATTTTAATAAAGAATATCAGGTTTAAAACCTAAGCTACTCGCACCCAAAAATTTCTTCTAAATTCTTCCATTTAAAATATCATAATTTATTTATTTAATATACCTAATTATAATAAATAAAAAATACTTAATGGTAATCTTTATCCTATTTTTATATAGTATGAAGCTAATAATATGAATGCCTTTACTCATTGCAATTCACTATAATTACTCAAATCCAAAATTGTTACGTTGAAATCGCAATGCCCTTAAATGTGTGGTCCATGAATTTTTCTCATTGAACTTGAACTCATTTTTAATAGGCTCTTCTGGAATTTCTTTAACCTTATAATTGTCAAGCTTTCCTTTTTTAATACTATTGAAATTCCATATTATAAGAAATTTGCCTCTAGATGTGATGATCACACTCTCTTCGTCCCTTTCAGCGACATCGAATCTAGCAGCTGTGAATTTATGGTTTGTAAGCTGATACTTATAGATATCTTCTGGCTTTAAGACAAGTTTTCTAGGTTTTTGTTTCTTTTTGCCAAGCTTTTTGAGAAATCCAGACTCACCTTCGTTGCTTTGTGTGGGGGTTGCAATTAGGAACTTATCAGTTGTGGCGAGAATTCAAGACCCATCCTTTGTAGCATCAATGCTTGTGATTCCCTCGCCAAATCCTGGCAAATTGTTTCTGGAATTTTCTCCAATTTGTTTATACATTCTAATTTCGCCTGTTTTGTTCCCAACTGTAATATTGTCGTCATAAATAATAAAATGGCTAGGTACGGAAATGGTTAACTCCGTAAACCCCTCCTCCTTTGACTCCCACCCCCTCTGTGATCGAGCAAAATGTTTTTGTTTGCTCAGGAGGATATATAAAGTTTATAATAATTTTTTTTTTGAACTTTACAAAGAATGGAAAGCATTTATTAATTTAATTTGTAAAATTTATGTTTTAGAGTGCAAGTTGTTTAAATTAAACAGAATTAGCTAGGGATTTCATTATAGAAATTATCACTTATATATAAAATTTTTTTTTTCACGAAAATTTTTGTTACCTCACAGAGGGTGGGTTTTTTGGCAGAAATAGGGATTTTCAAATGGTTTTGTTCGCTCACGGAGGGGAGTGAGAATTTTATTATTAAAGGGCTCGGTTTATTTGGTGCACCTTTATCCAGAATGCCAAATATGGCTTATCGCATAGGGTAAGTCCTTGGCCTAAGGGCATTATGACGTATAGGAGTTTTACCGTTTGACACACCCAAGGAGGGTGACCCTTAGGCGAACTTTTTTATTTTATTAGGTCATGGAACCTAAAGGGTCCAACAAAAACAAAACCGTCTTGACTGAAAACCCAGAATTGTGTCGTTTTGAGGATGCTGGTGAAGAAATTGACTGCTATTCAGATGATTTTGATGAATATGGAGATTCTTATGAAGATTATGAAGACGAACTGAGTGATTGGATGAATCGGAAATATTGGAAATGGACATTGAAATCTTAGAAGACTTAGGATTTGGAGAAGACAAAGCAAAAGAAGCATTGAAACTAACTCAAGGAGACTTCGAGCAAGCTCTTGAGCTTTTAGCAGTAAAAGGTGCACAAGGAGAAGAAAATATTGATGCGTATTGGGAGCAAGAATTGCTATTAAAAATTGGAAGACTTCAAGGAGAAGTGCTAAGGAATGATGAAATCATTGCATTTAAGCCAGAAGACACGAAAGGAATGAATGCTAAGCTAGTTTGCGTGAAGTGTGAGAAACTAATTTGTGCGGCTATGGTTCAACGGAATGAGGAAAAATCGGAACAGAAGTCGAAGCAGGAAATAAAGCAGGGGCTGAAACGGGAATTGATGCAGGAATCTGAGCAGGAACTAGAGCAGGAATTGGAGCAAAAATTGAAGCAAAAACCAAGAAAAAAACTGGAGCAGAAAATGAAGCAAACATTGAAGCAAAAATTGAAGCACAAATTGAACCCGAAATTGAAGAACAAACATTGAAGCAAAAATTGAAGCACAAATTGAATCCGAAATTGAAGAACAAATTGAATCAGAAATTGAAACAGAAATTTATGCAGGGATCTAGTCAGAAATTGGAGTAAGAATTGAAGCAAAAATCGAAGCAAAAACTGGAGCAACTATCGAATCCAAAATTGGAGCGGAAAATGGAACCAAAATTGAAGCAGAAATTAAAGCAGAAAGTAAAGCAGAAATTGAGGCAGAAAATGAAGCAAAAATGAAAGCAGAAATTGAAGAGTAATTGAAGAAGAAATTGAATCAGAAGCGGAAGCAAAAAGTAAGGCAAAAATTGGAAGTGGAAATTGGAGATCCTGGAGTAACTTGGAAAAAGGCCCATAAGGCTCTGCCTGCTGAATAAGACAAGATAATATAAGACCCTTAGGCGGAACACGCGTAGAAGTCAAGTTTGGAGCAACGTCAACACAACCGGTGAAGGCTTTTCTAGCCCTTTTGAAAGAGTTATCTGAAATGCTTGCTGGACAAGATGGCAGTCGATATCATCAACTGGGGAGTTAAAAGGGAGGTTTTGTTATTTTCGCTGAAGAAGATAGTATCACCTTGAAATTCCTAATTAGTCGTGTAATATTGCCATCAATTGTAGTCGATAAGCAAGTAAAATGGTAATTTTTTGCGTATAATTTACTTTCACAAACTTGCTTTTTCCCTGACATTCTTGTGTCGATGGTAAATAAAGAATTTTCGCCCATTGCTAAAAACAGGGGATCAATTGTAAGCTGAGATAGTTTCTCATGAGAACATATAGTGTCTACACCACTATAGCATGCCTTGACGCTGAGTTTTTCATAGCAATCTGAAGCTCTGACGAGCCGCATAAAGGTGACAAGTAAACTTCAAGTTGGCAAAAGCACACCCTTTTGCCAGATTTGTCAACTTGGAGTTGACTTTTCACTTTTAGGTGGCTCTTCAGATCTCCAAATTGCTATAAAAAATCAGCATCAAGGGAGGTTATAAAGGTGAAGACGCTATATTGATACAATATCACCTTTGCCTGGTGAATATTTTTGCACTATTTCACCATTTCTATTCATATCCATTTCAAAAATTCCGTTTTTGTCTTTATTATTTAGCAGAAGAAGCTTTGAGCCTTGCTGATGGAATAAAAGCTGGCTTGGCTGGACGATTTTTCGATTATATTTGACTGGGATGTCATTCACCAAGTTCAAAGACTCGTAGCCTAACTGATAAACTCCTATGCTATTCTCCTTTGCTGTAAGCATGTATGGGCTTCCATAATAAGTTGCACTGTCTAGAATGCAACCAGTTACTTCTTCAGACCTCAGCTCATTTCGATACTCAATTTCCATTTCATCGCCATCTGAGATCTCTTCTTGATCAGAATCTTCCTTTTTAAGCCATTCTTTATCCTCACTCCTCCTCTTGGATGAGCCAATATTATTAAAATTTTGGTTATATAATATTGATTTGAAATTTTTAATAACACGAACTTTATTACAAACTATAGACATTTGTGCTCTAGAGAAAATATTTTTATTATTTAAATTGCAAAATTATTTTAATAAGAAAATTTTAAAAAGAAATGACGAATATTTTTACAATCCGATTGCAAAAGTCAGCAGATAAGTCAACTTCCACACTGAGATATCTTGAGCTTTCAAATTGAGCAACAAGAAACAAAGTTTGCAGATGAAATATATTTTCTATCAGATATCCAGTCCAATATCGTTGTGTATTATTAGCTTGCTCAATTCAAGAAATGGTATGATTATAAGCATCAATTTCATACGCAAAGTCTTTATCCATAACATTCCTCATAATGATTTTTGATTCTCTTACCAAATCAAGCGTATATGAAAATTCTTCATGTTTTACCACTAAAAAGCCTATCCCTTCTTCATACTGTTCTCTGGTATTTTCTAAATTTAAATATAAGTTTCCAGGAGAACAAAAAACGATCTGGTCTGGGGTATAAAGATTTTGCAATTGAAAAATAACTTTTTCCTTAAAATTAAAATCTCTTTGTATCTTATCTTCCTCTTCTTTTTGCAGTGGCTGAGGCTTTATTTGAGTCTTTTCTTTATTAAGACTTGGTGGCAATTGTGTTGAGGCGTTCAGCTTATTCTGAGCTGGCTTAAGATTTTTTGGTCTGTCTTCAAATCGCTTTACGCCTTCTTCTTGTATATTAACCATTTCCTGAATTAAATTCAGAAATTTTTGACATTCATTTGGAGAGCTGAATTCAAAGCCAATTATAGAAGCTGTCTCTATAATAAAAGTATTCAGATTTTTTCATTTCACAGAGTCTATTTGGGTTTGATCATAGTCAAAAACTGTGAAATGAGCCATTTCCATTTCTTCATCAATCTCAAATGAGAGAAACTCAGATTGTTCTTGATCTGGGTCGTAATCATCATTTTTTATATGAATTTTTCAATTTTTTATTGTGATCTTGGCATTCATAAAGATAGTAGATTTGGCGTAAAAATCGTTGGGGATATCTGCAAGCTTAATCAGTGATCCTGAAGCTACAAATTGAGAGCCCTTGAATAAGCCTCTAATCCTTTCTACCATTTATTTTATATCTATAATAAAAAGTCTATAAATGCTTTTATTGTCCAGAATCAGTGGACAGCTTTTTCCATCTTTTAAAGAAACTTTTTTATTAATCTCAGTATTTATGAGCTTTAAAGTAAATGTTGTTAGAATTTCACAGAGTAATAAATATAACCCAGCAAGCTCAAAATCAAAAAATCTAGAACTCTTATCTGAATATTCATATTTCGGTAAAACTTCGCCACCTCGCTTTTATCAGGCATATTTTTATATTTTTCTTTCATATCAGGCGCAGCTTCTTCCTTTTTCTCTTCTTCTACCCTAGCATTTTCCTCAACTTTTTCTTCTTTTTTCTCCTCCTTCACCTCTTCTTCTTTTAATATCTTAACCTTCTCTTCATTTCCTTTATTTTCTTCAAGTTTTCCTTCTTCTCCTTTATTTTCTTCTTTTTTTTCTTCTTCAATTGGCGCTAATCATTCTTTATGCCTGCTCCAGATTTCTCCTAACCTCCCACATTGATCACACTTAAAATTTCACGAGCTTTTAGCGAAGCTTTTCCTTACTTCATCTGAAGCACGTAAAGCACCAATTGCGCCTTCAGATTCCTCAGGAAAGAAAGAAACAAGGCCTTCAAGCATTGTGCGAATTGTCCAAGCAGGCTGCCATTCATCAGGGTGATAGCTGGTATTACTCATACATATTTCTCGGCCCACTTCAAAGCGTCCGTTGTTGTTCAGCATTAAAAACTTAGGAGGCTTGAGGGGATAATTCAGAGGAAGGATCAATCTTCCATGATAAAGACCTTCTTCATATGGAGTTTGGCTTGGACCTTTCAGAGTGAAATGCCAGTCAAATAAATCAGTTCCTACAGGCTCAGCACAGAAATTTGGGGATATATGCTTTTGTAATTCAGATAATTCTTGAGTTATACGCTTCACTGCAAAGTGCTCCATTACGTGTTTTTATTTAATTATTCCAAATATTAATTGCATTTATTTGTATGAGATAAAAAATTTTAATTAATTTATTTAGTAATTATAGGCATTCAGCTCCACTTTTCGATTTTATTTAAAATAACTTTACAAAAATCAATTTTATGAGTATCCTTTAGAGACTCATCATAAGTTGCTAATAAATTTCTTTCAATAATTAAAATCATTCCTTAAGCTTATATTATTAAATTCTTTTATTTAAGTTGAAATAATTTCATTGCTTCAATATGTCTTCTAAATATTTTATCAACATTATCCATATACATAAACTTAACTAAATTCGGAATTAATTCGCAGCAACTGCAACAATAAAAAAGATCGTCATAACTTCATTAATGGTACCCTGAATAATGAGTAAAACTCCAGCAATTATTAAAATATGGGACAGCCTCAATCGCATCAAACTCTGCAGCACCAAAATGCTTCAAAGCATAAGCATAGCCATAGGCTATCAGATGGAGCTCGTCCTCTTGGATCTTCCAAAACATTCAGCATCCTTTTCGATTCTGGACAAGTTCAAATTAAAGTACTTGACGACCACTTAACTTGTGGCTGGCTACTATCTGAAGTAATTCGGCTGCACAAAGGAGATAAACAAATAATTGGCCTTCAAACTATAAATAATATAGATATCCTCGATCACTGGCTAAACGACTTCGAAAGGCCGCTTCAACCTTTCAAAGACAACGAAACTTTTCTGCCTGTCTACGAAAAGCAGATTTTAAAAGAAATTTCGACGGCTCATTTTCTACCGATTAGAACAATTGGCAAAGGAGGGTTTTCAAAAGTCATAGAAGCAAGAAAACTGGACTCAGGGATTATTTACGCGATTAAAATTATGAATAAGAGCTTTGTAATTAACGAAGAAAAAGTAATGCAAATAATAACCGAAAGAAACATAATGGAAAAAGTCAAGCATCCTTTTATAGTCAATTTGCATTGGGCTTTCCAAACTGTAACTTCTAAATAGGGTAAAGAACTTTTTCTTGTTATGGATTTTTGCCCAGGCGGAGAGTTGTTTTTTCATCTGCATAATTTGGGGAGGTTTACAGAAAAGCAAGCTAAATTTTACTTTGCGGAAATTTTGCTTGGGTTGGAGTATTTGCATAATATGAATGTTGTATATAGAGATTTAAAACCAGAAAATATTTTATTAGATATGGATGGGCATGTAAAATTGACAGATTTTGGACTATCAAAAGAAGGAGTTACTAATAGGTCTAGAAGCTATTCTTTTTGTGGCTCACCTGAGTATATGAGCCCTGAAATGTTGAGAGGTATCGGGCATGGCAAAGAGGTGGACTTTTATAGTTTACTCCCCATAAGTGAGAAAAACCATTGGAAAAGTCCCTATTTTTTTTGGGTAAATAGCTATCTTTCTTAAGCAACAAAATTTTTTTAACATAAAAATTTAAATGTAAAATATTTTGATATATAACCTTTAATTTTAAAACGTGAATTTACAGACTATATTAATTTTTAATTTACAATTATGCGAAACAGAGGTTTTAAAAACTTAAAACAATTTTAACCTTCGTGAGCGTACAAAGTTTTTTGCTCGCTCACGAGAGGGAGTTAGGGGCTTTATTATTTGAAATGCTTACAGGGCTTCCTCCTTTTTATGACTCAAATAGGTCCAAAATGTACATGAGAATACTTCAAGAAGAGCTGGCTTTACCCAACTTTATTAGTGCAGATGCAAGAGATTTGATTTCAAGGCTCCTTGAAAAGGATCCTGAAATGAGGATAGGATCAAAAATTGGGGCTGATGCCATCAAAGCACATGCATGGTGCTCAAAAATCAATTGGAAAAAGCTTGAAAACAAACAGATTTTGCCACCATTCAGGCCAAATTTGAGATATTCAAATTTTGATCCTGAGTATATGGCAATGCCAATCGATTTAAATGATTTTTTTGAGGATTCTGAGATTCTGCCTAATGATCTTTTTGAAGAATTTAATTTTTGTGGAAATAGTAAAGAGAGAGCGTCTTGCTTTCATAAAATTGGAATCCCAACAGATATTTCTGCTTTGTCGACTCAAACAAGTAAATCTATTGGGATTTTGAGCAGAAATGCATCGATGAGCAAGATTTCAATTATTGCTGAGGAGGATGACGCAACAGATGCCAACACAACTCATATAAAAGAGTTTGAGCCTGCAAGTTCGCCTAAAGCGCTACTAGATCAAGCCAAGCAAAGAAGAGATACAGAAATATCAGACAAAAAATTTACTTTTTCCTTGAAAGATTTGAAAAATGCTCCTAACTCCCCCTTCATGAGCGAACCAAAAATTCTCTTTTGCCTGAGGAGGTTAAATGCTATTTTAAAAATTAATATATAAATTTTATAGTAATTTTTTTTATTATTAAACAAAATTCCAATATTGAAATAATTTTAAATCAAATATTTTTTAATGCAAACTTTTAATTCAATAGAATTACCTAGAGATTTCATTATAATAAATATCACTTATACAAAAAAAAATTTTTCATAAAAAATATTTTGCTAGCTCGCGGAGGGGAGTAAGCGAAAGTCTCTGAACTTGGCTATATTTCCAGCAAATTCAAAGCCAGCCCGAATAATAAATCTAATTAAATTAAATAGATATTTGCTATTTAATTTCTGATAAAATCAACAAAAACTTTTTTAAAAAAATAAATTCAAAATGATTCGGTATAAATGATCGGCAAAACACAGAAATTCCTCATACAATTGCAAGTCCAAAACCTTTTATGACTTTTGATCAAGGAATGAATAAACTAGTTGATTCTGCTTCACCGTCAATTAGACCAGCAAAAAAGCAGAAAAAGCAGGTTTACAAGCCAGGAACAGCGAAAAAGCAGTCAAGAAATGAAGAAATTTTTAAGGTCAATAGAGTCCCAGAGTTTTTCAATGAAGTTAATAAGAAGCCTGGAACAACTAAAAGGCCAATAAAAAGCAATGGTAATGTATAATTTAATTTAACTCATTTTAAATTCAATCATGGATAGCAGACAAGATAAAACACAATTGCATTAATTAAACGAAAATTCTTAGGCTTCAATCGATATCATTCTTGATATATTATAATTTATCAGAATTATGATAAATAAAGATTTATAACTAGGATGAAGATAGGCAAATTTTTAAAATCCTGCTAACTCCCCTCTATGAATGAGAAATAAATATGAAAATCCTTGGAATTTGCTACTTTGAGGAATTTTTTATCATAGCTATAAACTTTTTAAACTAAATTCTGCTAGTTTCACTTCCTTTTAACGAGCAACAAATTTTGCTCGCTCGAGGAGGGGTTTAGCATTGAATTCTCTATAAACCTAAAAAACTTTAGTAGTTTAGGAGTAGGGTGAGTGGAAATCTTTTAATTAAGTATTAGATGCATTGCACAGATATCAGCATTAATTTATATATCAAACTATCAGCATCTTACTAAAATCCCTATATTCCCAGCTTTTTTTGAAATTTCCACCAACCCAATTATTATATTTAGGCTTTTCTGTAATGCTTTTATATATCTCTATTCTCATTAAATTTTTATTTATCAAAATTAGACGCGAGCCTTTTATATTAATTTAATTAAATTTTGTAATCATATTTAAAATATTATTTATCCTCAATTATCAAATTCTCTTAGTTACCCTACTCAATCTAAACATCATATTTTCTTCTATAAAATATGGAATCTGATATATCCGAAAAGCAAGACTCTCCTTTTGAAAAGTTCACCCAAATAGAAATTGAACTACGTTTTGGCACCAATTCTAGTGTGGAGACTGAGCTGATTCTAAACATAACAGAACCCCACCTCTCATATAATTTTTCAGGAGAAGTTCTTCTCTCGCCCCTTGTATCTTATTTGATTTCCTTAGGCTATCCTTTGGAAAACGCAATTATTTGGTACTTTTCCCCTACAGCAAGGCTCAATGTATATTGTGGCAGCCATCCCGTTCCTTTTTCCATTGCAATCCCACTATTTGAACTTAGAGATGGTTCTTTATTGTTAATTTGCAGAGGAATAGCGAAAAATGAATTTGGGCCGACTCTGAATATGGTCAGCCATGCAGATACAAGAATGAAGCAAGAGCATGATAATTTTAACAATCACTCTGCATCAAGGAGAACAAAAGAGAGGAAAATAGGATACATTATTGATAAAGTCAGCAAGTGAAGAAGACTTTATAATGGTATTACCGACGAGAATGGCGATTTTGTCAAAATGACGCTTGAAAATGCGGCAAATAAAGTGAAAATTTCGAAAAAATCGCTTGATGACTATTTATTGCAGCTGAGGATAGCAAAGAGGTTTGGGTTTAATTTTCAAGAGCATAGGGATGATAAAGTTGGAATTTTGAGGGCTTATGTAAAGAAGTTTAAAAATTTGCAAGTTTATGCAGCGATGATTGATAAAGGCGAAAAGATTCCTGATGAGATCATTTCGGCTTTAAGAGAGCCTGGGACATCTGCATGCAAAAGTAATCGATGCTGTGCACCCGGATTTGCACTAGCGTTTAAACAGGAGAATAATCTTATTAGTTCAAAGTTTTTAGGTTACTTAAAAGTTTACCATTTTAATAAAAACTCGCCCATAAGGGCGAGTCGGGGGCCGGATTCCCGACTAAACTAACCCCTTCCCTCCCTACTTAAAAGTTTAATGTCTTTGCTCTTTATTTTGGATTCTGTAAACGAATTATAATTTGCACGAGCTCGCCAATCCTTTAAATTGGCCTAATCTTGATTCACAGTGTGTACTTCTCTGCCAAGGTTAGATCCTTAGACGCTCGTCAGCTTGGCGAAACCTACTTAAGTCCTTCTGGTATTCTAAGTCTGAGTCTCCTCAATCAAAGCTCATAATAAATTCTCTGGTTAAAGCAAACCTTATAATCAAAATAGGTCAGAGGATCAATAGAACAGAAAATTAAGACGACACCAATTTCGATTTGATAAATAATCCTCAGCAGATCAAGTTTTAAAATGAAAAACTAATTAATTGCTATATTAGATAATATTTATATCGATTCATTATTCTTATCCTTTAATAATTCAATATCTCTATGAGCTATTTACATATTTTAGTATTTGACATTATTTATAATTCTGATCCACTAACTCTGGAGGTATATACAGCTAATATTAATTTTTTGACTATTATATACCAAGAATTTAAATTCTCTTTATATTGGCATATATAGACGCATATTTTATATTGGGTTATCTCCTGTTGGCTTTATATAACCCACCGATGTTTGCCGCATAGATTTTTTCAGAGGCGTTTTTGGCAATACTTCTTTGAAGCTCCCTTCCACCAGAACTGCCTGCTTTGTAGCTTCAACTAAAAAGCTCAGGTCCTCTTTTAAGTGCTTTGGCAGCAGTTTTTCAGGCGAACTAATACACTCTTGAAGAGTCATAAACTTATCAATCCACTCTCCTAGCAGCTGATGTAATTTTATTACTTCTGTTTGCTTCCTAATCAGTTCTTTTTCACAATTTTCCTTTAAATCCGAGAAAAACTTGCTCCATCTGTCCTTTTCAACCCTTTGAACTTTAAAAATATCCTGCTCCAAAGTCTGCAATATATTTTTATAATTGTCGACCTGCTGCTTTTGGAACTCATTTGATTTTTTTAGCTCAAGGTTGTACATTTTTTGAAGCTCCAGGCTGGTTTCCATAGCTTTAAATCTGATATTTAACTGAGGATGGTCATGAGGTGCGGTAAAAACTTCGAGACTTAATGTACCTTGTATTGAGTTGTCTGCACTATGGTCTTGGACTGGTTTTGGAGTCCTTGAACTTTTAAATCTGCCTTGCTTTTGTGAAAAAGGCTTTAGTATAAGGGACCGTGGGATATTGAATTCAACTTTGGGGACGATTTTTTCATGGTCGATCTGATTGAGGAGCTTTATCATGTGCATGTGAGAAATATGCAGATGGTCAATCATTTTTTCAAGTCCTCTTATTTGGTCTTCTTGACGTCTACAAAGTGTCTTTTTCATCTGATACTTGTGTTCTTGCAGCTCTATTTTCCAATTCAGTGCATGAATAGTTTTCATCAGGTTTGCATTAATTATTCCTGCTTGAATAATTTGGCTCTTCAAATGGAAAATTGAAATTTCTCTATTGAGTTCTGCATTCCCTTCTAGAGCTCTTTTGATTTCTGATGAATACACGTTTGACAAGTTCAGCTGCTCTGCGTCAGTTGTGAGCTCAACTTTTACTGTTTCTAAATTAAAAGCTGTTGTCTGCTCTGAAATAGCTTCATTTTCTTCAGTAATGATTGGGACATAATCTTTAGGGATGCTGGCGTCTGTAAGTTCTTCAAATTCTACAAAAGTTGTATGCAGTTTATTTTCTTTCATCCTTTTTTGTCGATCGTCAATATCCTGGATTACTTTTGTAATCTTTTTAATTTCTCTATGCAAGCTGTCATTTTGTTCTTTAAGTGCCTTAATTTCACTTGATTCTTTATTTGCGTTGAGTGCTGTTTTTGCATAAATTTCGTAGTACTCGTGAGAAAGCTGCTCAGCCTTCAGCAGCTTTGTTCTTGATGAAATGAGCTCAGTCTCTAATTTTTTGGTTTTTTCAACGAGTTCTTGGTTTTCTCTGGACAGGTGTTTTACTTTTTTGTTTAAACCAGTCGTATCCCTTTCGAATTTTTCGACGATTTTTTGAAAAGTTTCGCCTTCTGCATATGGTGAGAGAGAAAATTCGGAATTTGGCTTATCAAAAGAAAAAGCTAAGGAGTCTAAGTCATATATTGATTCTGGGGACTTTTTGTCGAATCTTGATGAGTCAGTTGTTTTGTTGCTTCTTAAGTCTTCTATTGACACAGCCAGTCTCATTTCTCCGTATTTGTTTATTTGAGAATGAGAGTCTTTATCATCAATTTTTTTGTTAGCGGGGGTGGAACAAAGCGATTTGGAGTCGACTGTAGAATTTAGCTCCCTTTCTCCCCTTAATAACTGTATTTCTAATTTTGCAGAGTCAAGCTCTAGCTTCATTTGCTCTATGATCTGTAAATAGCTGTCAATGGAGTTTTTAATATTGATTTTCACTTTATTTTTTATAGCTTTAGCCCTTATTGCAAAAGAAAGAGTATTATAAGTCTCTTCCATAAATCTAATGGATGGTGAGCAGGTTACCAGTAAAGTCGTCTTATAGTTCCCTCCTAAAGACTCTTGCAGCAGCCTTGTTAGTTTTGAATCCCTATAAGGGATATGATCTGCTTTTGATGACAGTGCATGTATAACATTCCCTAAAGCAGATAATGACAAATTGATTTTTTTAGTTTCTTCTAGTTTTGTGCCAGTTACCCCTGATAGACTAACTTTTTCACTGCCAGCCAAATCAACCAAATTTAACTTTCCCCTTTTCTCGCTGTCATTTGGGAGTTTCTGGCAAACTTCTATAATAAAAATCAAATGCGACCTTGAAGACGTTTTGTTCAGTCTCGTGCTCGCTACTGATCTAATTTGTTCCCCAAGTGACAGCAGTTCTAGCATGTCGTCTTCTGACGTAATAGACACTTCTGTGAGCCCCTGCACATAAATTCCTTTGCTTGGGCATTGTTTTATCTTCAAATTTAAAGGTTGAGGATCCAATAAGTCTTTTAACGTTTCTTTATAAATTTCGAGCATAGAACATTTAATAGTGTACTCTATGTCTCCGCCATCTGACTCTACAGCTTCAAAAATTTGACTGACAGATCGTGGGATCACTCCACGGGTATCCGTGTCATAAATATTCAGCCCCATCATGGTATGTGTTTTCCCTGAGCCAGTTTGGCCATAGGCGAATATTGTACCGTTGTAGCCATTAAGGACATCTTCGATCGTTGGTTTTCCCACGAATTCATAGACTTCTTCTTGAGAAGAATCTGGGTCAAAAATGCGGTCCAGAGTGTAGTACTCTATTTCTTTGCCTTTTACGATGCCCACTTGGTTGTCGCCTTGAAAAGTGACTGATTCTCGACTTTCTGAAAGTCGCTAAATTAAGCTTACATATTCAAAGTCTAAAAGTGGTCGAAATCTGGCAATGACTTTTATGTTGCTAGGCTTTGATAGCGCTGAAGCAATGCAGGCTTTTGTTCTTTCTGGAGATGAGCCTAGAGATTTTCGGCTCTGAGATTGATGAGTTTTCAAAGTTTTAGACATTATGTGATAATTATCTTATAATTTACGGATTAATTGGAAGTGGAGTTATATTGGAAAGTGAAAGAATTTTTATTAACTCCCCCCCCCCCCTCCGTGAGCGAACAAAAAAATTTTGTTCGCTCACGGAGGGGGGTTAATTTTTTTTTTTAAAAAAAATTTATATATAAATTTTATAAAAAATATTTTTTTTTTCGAAATTTAAAAAAATCCTAATTTGCAAAAATTGGGAAGCAAATATTAATTTAATTTGCAAAATTTATGTTTTAAAACGCAATTTGTTTAAAATTAAAACAGAATTAGCTCTAGATTTCATTATACTAATTATCACTTATATATCAAAATTTTTTTTCATTAAAATTTTTTCTATTAAAAAAATTTTTGTTTCACTCACGGAGGGTGGGTTTTTGTCAAAAAATGGGCGATTTTTCTAATGGTTTTGTTCGCTCACGGAGGGGGGGGGAGTAAAGAAATTTGTGGATATTCTTTTATTAGCAAAATTGATAATTCAGAAATTTATGCTTATTATAAATTTTTGAAATTTATTAAAATGATTTATTGTTGGAGCTTAATGAACTTAAATCACTTTCAGAATCTACATCAAAAGTTGTTTTGTTCAATTGATATGGCTCGTCAGCTGGCTCAGAGTATTTAAATGGTGAAGATTCTTGCTCAACATAGTTAATTTCATATTCTTCAGGTTCTGAATACGGAGTTTCAGTTCCAACAGCGTTATATCCTCCGGAAGAAGCTTGATTTGGTAGGAATTTTTGAGAAACTTTTTGTGAAAAGGTCATTTTATTTTTGCTATATTTCTGAGTGCTAATAATTGAAGCCTTGGATGTTTTTTTCGGTTTCTTTTTTTGCATTTTGTTTTCTAACTCCGTTTGATTGATGAAATGGTCGCTGCCTGCCCATTCAGAAATGTTTGAAAAATTTATATAAAATTTTATGTTCCAGTGATTAGAGAGGCAATATACTTTATACCTCTTAATGCTAATTAGTATCAATTATAGGTGTTAGATTTAAGGCAAGGGAGTGGTTTTGAGCATATGAAATTCGATTCAGGATAATTCCCCCAATTTTAGAAAATTTTAACAGAAATTGTTATCAAGGATAGGCAGTAAGTTAATTTTATCTTGCTTAGAAGGCTCTGAGACTTCAATTGAATATGGCTCTTTGCTTTCCTCTATTTTTGAAAAATCAACATCATCAAACTTCCCTCTATTCTGATTATTATCCACCCCTGGCAGTATATATGTATTAACTTCATCCTGATTTTGATCATATTCAGGAACATTAGGTGTTTGAGCTTCACCTTCTTGTGAGCCAAGGTAATTACAACGAGGATCAGAAGAATCTCTTGGTGATGATGCTTCAATATTTGTGCCCATTTCAATTGATGCTTTTTTTTCATATTTTTTACTTTCTATATTTCTAGATGAATTCAGCATTCATAAAGTGATAAAAGAAATTATCTCAGCCATTGCTCTAACCCTCCTCCGTGAGCGAACAAAAAAATTGTTCGCTTACGAAGGAAATTAATTTTTTTTCTTCTAAATTTAAAAATTCCCAAATGTCATTATACTAAGGACCTCCCCCCTCATTTGTCCAATTTTCTAGTCTTTTATCATTTGTCCATTTTTCTAGTTTTTATAGGAAAAAAAAAATTTTTTAGGACCTCATTGTCCAATTTTCTAGTCAAAATTTTTGATATAGAAAAAAATTTTCAGGACCTCAATTGTCTCATTTTCTAGTTTTTTTAAAGTAAAAAACTAGAATTTAGGGCATTCGAAAAAAATGCAAAAAAGACTAGAAAATTGGACAAATCATTTTTGACTAGATTTTGGGACAAATGAGGTCCTGAAAAAAAAAATTCTTATAAAAAAAAGACTAGAAAATTCGACAAATGAGGGGGGGGGTCCTTATTATTAGTTATATATAAAAATTTTTATATTAAGATAATTTTTTTGTTCACTCACAGAGGGGGGATTAAGCACAATAAAGCCATAGACTGCAACAAAAGTTACAGATAAAGTGGCATTGTCTTTGCTCGTTATTTCCGTATTATTAAACACTATACAAGCCAGACCTCCTACAATAATAAGGCCAAAATATCCAACAAACAAAATAATTGTCATTATTTTTGGAATTTTTTTACTTCTCATTGAATTTTCGGGAAACTCATAAGCATTTTCATTGGAAAGTTTCCTTATCACGCTTTGAATTATCATCATAGACAAATCCAGCCCCATTATTATTGCAGCTGCTATAAGATAAGGTGGGATTAAGCTGTCCTCAAAGTCTTTTGCACTATAAAGTGCTACGACAAGGCACGTGATAATAAGAATTAATGTAAAAGTTGGAAATATAAACGAGCTGTAATAATTCATCTCCTCTGGATTAATATTAGCAATCGATTCTCCGAATTCTTGAGATTGGAAGTTTGTCTCACGAGTTTTTAATTCTGGGCAAGAGCCTGGAATTTCTTCTTCCATATTTATTCTATAATAAATCGATTTTTGTTGATTAAAGTAAATATATTGAAATAGTTGGAGAGGTCAAGAATATAAGGTTTTTAAGTAAATTGTAATTAAAGTCCATATTTATTCATAGAAATGATGAAACTGCTGAATATTCAGCATAAAATATAAAAAAGGCATAAGATAGCTCAAGCTTGCATTATATGATTGAAAAAATTAAGCTCGGGTGCATTTATTACTCTCCCAACCATGAGTGAGTAAAGCCATTGGAAAAATTCCTATTTTTTTAAAAAAAAAACGTTAAAATTTGAGGCAGCGCTAGCCTGTACTCTTGGCGCAGCAGTCCAGATTTTATGGCTACGGTGAATTAGGACGGACTCCTAGTCAAAAATCAAGTGCAGGCTCAAGAAATGCATATCAGAGAGGTATGGCTGCTTTCCTGTGGTTGAAAATGGAGGCACTCAAAAAGTCTTTTGGATTCGAGGATCTATGGACATTTCTCTACCGGGAAATTGGGAGTTTCGGCCCAGGCAACATGGGAATAGTTTTTCCTGAAGTCGTCGAAGGTAGGCACTTAAACACCTGAGACCCCAAGGAGATAATACTTGGAATCAAACTATTTATAATCGCCCATAGCAGGGTCGCAGAAATCCATAAGCTTACTCAAAACTGAAGCCACAAGGCAAGGAGGAGGCAGAAGATACTGGAAGTGGCGCCCATTATTTGGGGATAGACCCTCTAGGCTGAAGCCGAAAAGCGTATGAACTCCCGTATGGAAGGTATTTGATGACTGCGTCACCATTATGGTTAGCACTTTTTTTAATAACCTAGCCCAACCCTGTTTTAGGAAAACAATCTTAGTGTGTGTGCAAACAATTTTTAATATAAATTCTTTTCATTAAAAATATTGTTTTATATATCATAATATTATAATGAAGTCTCTAACTGATTCTTTTAAATTTTAAGCAACTTGTATTTAAAACATAAAATAATTTCCAATTCCTACAAATCAATATTTTTTTAAACTTCGAAAAAAAATTTACTTATTTAAAACAAACAAAAATATTAATCCCTTGTAAGCGAATATGCATAAATCTGAGACCCAACTGCTGAACTGCTACACAAGCTTATGAAAGATTATGGATTAGATTATCCATTTGAAACCAGTAACAATATTGTATGGAAAGAGGTAACTGATACAAAAAGGTAGATTATTCAGTTATGAACAAGAATAGGAAAAGTCTTATAGAGATTGCTAAGTCAAAGAGGACATTAAATAATTATGTGGACTAAAGTCGTTAATTGAATGTGACTCAGCAATAGAGAGCAAGATTGTCTGGGTCTGAGCTATGAATAAAAATTTAGTAAAAAAATGCAGAGTTAAAGCAGCATGACGCTATGGAGTAGGACCTGTGAAATCGCTTGCGGCATTGAGATCACCTAATCAGCAAATGAGAGAAGATAACTTATGCGATAAATGCGGAGGAGAGAAACAGAAAAGCATGTGATAAATGAATGTCTAAAATTTTAAAGAATTAAGATTTAAAACAATAAGCAGGCCGAGGGTATTGATTGGCAATGACGTGGAGAAGGTACCACTACATAAGCTTTTAATTGCAGAAGTATCAGAGTTAGCAAAAATCGTCCATATTGGGGAACACTTGGCAGCAATTGATAGAGTTACAAAGGAAGCTTTATTCAAATTTTATGATGTAGTGAGAGGGTCGAGACCAAATAGCAAACACAATTGAATAGAGAAAGACTTTTTGGAGGAAATTCGCATGGAGTTCTGCGATGGAGAACTGGAAGAATTAGAAAATTTAGTAGAGATGGCCAGACTTTAGGCTTTATGGCCATATTTTAATTAGCTAGTTGTCAGAGAGCGAAATGTTTTGCTCCTTCATGAAAGGGGGGAGTTAGTAGAGATTAGTTTACTATTTAAAATGGAGCCAAAAGGAGACTCAGAATTTAAATTTATAGATGATTAATTAACTTTCAATATTTTTAGTTCTAGCTAATAATTGAGCACACGTTTAATACCACAGCTTCATAATCAATTTTATAAATAAAAATTAGCATATAATTAGTTACTATGAAATGCAATTGTAAACAGCTCTCAGTGTTGAAAATAAGTTAGCTTATCTTAATTATTATGCTAAATTTTTACAAAATATTATATTGCAACACCTGCAATTATACAGTTAGCTTTTACATTATATGCTTGGAAGATTATATACCTATCAGGCTATATATTTTTAATGATTATGATTAATATTCATATTAGCTATTAATTAACTATAGCAGGTATAAAAAAATGGACTTTGTAATTAAGTGTTTTGAAAGACTACCATTTTAAAGGCTTATAATAATAAAAATGCAATGTCAAAGTTTATAATATATGGAAATGATGAGCGACACTTGAACTCTTCAATTTGAGACTTTTATTTTCTGATACATCAATTAATATACTTATTTGTGATTAAAATAAAATTTAGCTTTCTCTAGGAAAAACCCAAATAATCGATAAAATGCATGAGCAGAAAGTAATTAAGTGCTTCAAATGGCATAACTTCTTAGTCGAATCAATTTAGAAGTGATCTTGATTTAAGACAATTATTAAGTTTGAAAGGGTCTTTCTTACTCCCCTCCCTCCGTGAGCGATCAAAAAATCTTTGTTCACTTAATTTTTAAAAATTAATATATAAATTTATAATAAAAAATTATTTTTTCGAAATTTTAAACAAATTACAACTCGCAAAAATTGGATTCTTTAATTTGTAAAATTCATTTTTTACATGCAATTTCTTCAAAGTTAAACAGAATTAGCTGAGATTTCATTATACTAATTATTACTTATATATATCAAAATTTTTATATTAAAAAATTTTTGCTCAGTTTATGATGGTGGTTTTTTGGGCAAAAAAAATAGGAATGGTTTTGTTCGCTCACGGAGGGGGTAGTTAGAATAAAAAAAGTATTTACTCCCCTTTCTAAGAATTGTGAAGATTTGGTATATGTGGTCTTCAAGAGCACAAATAATAAATGAGAAGATTTATTAGATTTCTCACAAAAAGCTAAATATTAATATGTAAATTTCTAAGACATTGATGATTAAAAATCTTAAAGATTTTCAATAAATCATAAAGCAAATCATCAAGCGCAGCCTAATTTAATATTTGAGCTTTCTATTTGCAATTTTTCAAATAAAGCCGGTCTAGATCTGACATGAAAAAATATTAAATCCAGCATAACTTTGATTTGAATATGCTACCTCGGCCTCTCATATTTGAAATTATCACATATCTTGACATCCCAGATCTTCTATCCATTTCTCTTGTTTCCCGAAATTTGAATAAAGCTGCAAACTCACCATGTCTTTGAAAAAGAGAATTTTTCAGATATTGGATCCCAGCTTTATGTGATAAAATCCCTCTCTTGCTTTACCAAGATTTCAATACCGTTGACTATGTTAGCCCAGACTGGAAAGCCCTTTGCATTAAAGGTTTTCAGCTTCGTAAAAATTGATTGAAACTTTCTGGATTTGCCCTTTCTTCTCACGAAGCTCTTTTTCTATACAATGAGTTTACCAGCAACTTAAAGACCCCGATTATACCTTTTCCAGCATTAAGAAGAGATATACAAAGTTTCCCCACGATTTTGCAAGATTTATTAGGAAACCCAGAAGACCAATTTGAAGGCGATTTTGACTATGAAGAATATACCATAGCTTTTGCAAACTGTTTAAGAGATAAACAAGACGAGCTTTTTACTGAAATTGGAAGTATTTCTGATCTTAATTTATTAACAAGCTACCGATGAAATATCGCTAATTTTGATTTCCCTGAAGAGCGGTTAAGTATAGAATCAACCTCTACCGAGTCTTCAGAAAATTTGGCTGAGTTTTTTCCAAAAAAATCAACAGTAAGCATGATTTTGAATTTTTTTGAAACTATTCAAAACACTTTAAAATTTTTTTGTGATGGGACTGCAGGAATTATAGCTGAAAGTGAAGATGCTGCATATGAGTATTGCAATAGATGGACTGATTATTGTGCTTCAATGAAGACTATTAATGGACTATTTCTTCCTTTGACAGAAATGATGAATGAAATTTATGAATCAAAATTCCCTGACAGTCCGAATTTTCCGAGGATGAACCTGATGAGAATTATGGCGGCTGTTTGAAGAAGGCATGTTTTTGAAAAAATAAAAGAAAAAATTGTGGCGAGCTTGATAAAAAATGTGAATTATCAGAGAAAAAAGGTATATGAAGAGCAGAATGCTGAACCAGAAGCTTGTGATCTGATAAAAAGTCTGATTGAAGCAGTGATGGACTTAAGCTTAAATGAGCTCAATGTCTATTTTAAAAACCATTCCCAAGTAATCTTGGATGGTCCATATTCCTTTCTTCACTCAGAGCTTATTTTAGAGTCAAAAGAATATTACAATTCATTAACTTTGCCAGTCGATACCCTTATGATTTTTTTTGAAAACGAGCATAATTTCTGTGCAGCGATTTTACCTCAGTCTACAGTTTCTCAGCTAAAACTGCTTAAATACAAAAAAATCCAATCAGAAATCCTTAAAGTCTTAACCATTGAGATCATTAATTATATCCCTCAATTAAATCCAATTGAAATAAACAAATTTCCTAGCACTTTATCATCTGGAATAGGAGAGGCCCTTATCCAGCTTGATACAAGCCCATCCAAAGTTGCAGATTTTTTATTGAACTGTGAACCCTCTTCTGAAATTATGCAGAAATTCATTGAAATTCAACAGCTCATAGAAGATAAATCTAAAAGTGAAGAAGACGAAGTTATTGAAAGGAGAGCAAATATGTTAGGAGTCAGGTTTGACGCATCACCCGAGGAAATCATGCTATATTCTTTTTCGAAAGATTTTAATTTTACTCAGATGTCGGGTGTATTAAAAGCTTTTTCAATTATTAATTAGGTGGTTAAATATCTAAATATTTATGAACACAATTGAAAAATAAAAATGCAAGAATTCGAACAAAGGGAAATTGACTGTGAAAAACGCCTGATAAAAGAATTAAAGCTGCTGACTGAAAAAGTTAAAATTTTGCACACAAGTGAAGCTGCTGATAGAAGGAGGGAAGAGGAAAAAGAGTTTGCGAAGAGGATTCAAAAGGAAAATCTAGAGTTAAATCTGCAGATCCAGCAAATGAAAAAAGAAATTATGCAGAGAGACCAAGTGATACAAGAGTATGAAAATGCGTTGGCTCAGTATGAGCATGCATATAAAAAGGAGCAAGAAAAGCATAGAGAAGAGCTTGAAAATATGAAAATGCTGACTAAAACATATCAGGATCACATTTTGCTACTGAAAAAGCCACCAAGAGAAACTCCTGAGCCTAAGCTAATTGCAAAAGATATTAATCTGCCAACTTATGTAGATCATGGATTTAATGATACTTTAGGAAACAATTCACAAATTTTCGAAAATGAAATTTCTGATTATAAGCGAAATATAATGACCCAAGATCCAAAAGGAAAATTTCAGATTAATGAATTATAAAATAATTAATTTTAAATTAAAATTTATAAATCTTCTTTATCCCATTTTTCTCATATTTTATTTTTCATCTATTTTATTAATACGAAAATGACTGGGATATTATAAAAATCAACAATTGGAATAAAATCTAATTTTATTTTAAAATAAATCTATAACAATTATAATTAATTTTCGATTATTTTAAATTGTCATTTTTCCAAGAAATGAATTTAACTTCATATCTGCTAATATCGGCATCGCTTAATTTCATTGATTTTATTGCTTCTAATGACTCATTATGAATGCAACTGTGCACATTTGATATTCTTTTCGAATGTAACTCTTCTGAATATTTTCCGCACTTACATCTAGATAAAGAAGCGATCCTAAAGTACAAATAAGCTTTTTCTGGGTCTGATTTCACGTATTTTCCTTTTAAAAATATTTTTGCAACCCTGAAAGCTGCCTCATGGTTAGTTCGTGCAGCCTTTCGCAGTCAATAGATTGCATGTGGCGCATCAGGTGGTCTTCTTTTATTTCCCTTAAATAGAAGTTTTGCATATCATATCATTCCATCAACGTCGCCCATTTCTGCTTGTAATTTAAATTCTTTCAACCATTCTCTTGAATGTTTATTGATCCTTTCCCCAAGTGTCTCTCGAAATTCAAGTTGCATGCTTTTTTTATATTGTTTGTTATTAATTAATTATAATATTCTTATTTTCAGCTGTTAAACTATGAAAAATCTAGCAGTAAGGTATTCTGACATCTTAAAAGGATTCGTTTTTTAATAAAATGGAAAAATAAATAAATATCAAGCTGCCATTTTAGATAAATTATAGTTTATACAAATCACATAAAAGGTTTTCTGATCTCTCAATTATTCTTTTTTATTTGTATATATTAAGCATATTTGATTCTAATAAATATAGCAAAAACCGTTTCACTAGATAATAAACAATGGCAGTAAGAGTTTTCTTTGACATCGAAATTGATAATGAGCCTTGTGGAAGAATTGTTTTTGAACTGTTTAGCAACACTCCTCTCACTTCTGAGAATTTCCGAGCTTTATGCACTGGAGAAAGAGGTATAGGTTCAAAATACAGGCCACTGCATTACAAAGGTTGCATTTTTCACAGAATAATTCCTGGGTTTATGATTCAAGGAGGGGATATTACAGCTGGAAATGGAACTGGAGGTGATAGTATTTATGGCCCACAATTCGATGATGAGAATTTTATTAACCTTCATAATGCTCCAGGGATTCTATCAATGGCTAATGCTGGGAAAAATATGAATGGATCGCAATTTTTCATCACTACAGTTCCTTGTGACTGGCTAGATGGAAGGCATGTGGCTTTTGGAAGAGTTGTAGAAGGCATGAGGGTTGTTAGAGCTATGGAACAGCAAGGAACCAAAAGTGGGCAACCTCAACATAGAGTCGTTATATCTGATTGTGGCCAGCTATAAATGCAAACTAATTTATAAATTAGTATTTATCAATAATTATATCATTTAAAATTTGAGTAACAATTGCATATTTCTTAACTATAAATACAATGACACCCTATGTGTAGGACCTCTTCGCGGAATTTTCTTAATCTCATTGTCAAGGCAAATTGAGAGAAAAATCAGTAGAGATTCAAGGCTGGGAGTGGTTTGTGTATACCTAAGTAAGCTTTGGTTTAGTTCATGTGGTTGGAAATCGAAATGGCTGTGTCCTTTGGGACCAAGGATAATTCTCTCCGAGAGCCAGAGTTTATCGACCTGGGCTACAGAGGCTAAGTCTTTTTCACATAGCTGTTAGAAGCATTGGTCAATTATTTTTTTTTTCGCATATTAAGCATATATTTGATCCTAGTATTAATTTTTTTCAGATTTCTTAAATATAGCAAAAATCCATTTCACAAATAATAAACAATGGCAGTAAGAGTTTTCTTTGACATCGAAATTGATAATGAGCCTTGTGGAAGAATTGTTTTTGAACTGTTTAGCAACACTCCTCTCACTTCTGAGAATTTCCGAGCTTTATGCACTGGAGAAAGAGGTTTAGGAATAAAAGGAAAGCCACTGCATTACAAAGGTTGCATTTTTCACAGAATAATTCCTGGGTTTATGATTCAAGGAGGCGATTTTACAGTTGGAAATGGAACTGGAGGTGAAAGTATTTATGGCCCGAAATTCAGTGATGAGAATTTTATTAACCTTCATAGTGCTCCAGGGATTTTAGCAATGGCTAATGCAGGGATGAATACGAACGGATCCCAATTTTTCATCACTACAGTTCCTTGTGAGTGGCTAAATGGAAAGCATGTGGTTTTTGGTAGAGTAGTAGAAGGCATGAATGTTGTTAGAGCTATAGAAGAGCAAGGAACCAAAAGTGGGCGACCTCAATACAGAGTCGCTATATCTGATTGCGGTCAGCTATAAATGTACACTAATTTCTAAATCAGTATTTATCAATAACTATATCATTTAAAATTTGAGTAACAATTGCACATTTCCTAACTTAAAATCTTTAATGATTACCACTTTAAAACTTTCACCTAAATGCAAAGCTTAATTTTATTATACCATTTCTTTCCAATGCCATATCATAAATTCTTTTAATTAAAAACCTTCATTTATTACAAGATAATAATAATCTCAACCTTATAAATGGACCCACACGCTAAATCCTTCCAAAAGAAAAAGCTCTTCTACGTTCTCACAAGTGCAGGAAAACCCGTCTGGACTCGATATGGCGAATGTGCAGACCTTGCAGTTTTTATTGGTGCATTGGCTGCAATTATCTTCAAATTTCAGAGCTATTATAATGGTGTTAAAGACTCCTTGCGGTATCTCCGCACATCTGATACATATATAGTAATCTTGTGCACCGAAGCTTTATATTATGTATGTATTTCCAGAGGTAAAGACAGCATTGAATCTATCTACCATCAATTAGAAATGCTGCATGCAAAAGTTTTGTCAACTTTAACAAGCAGCATTACACAGACTTTACTAAGCCGCCCTGGATTTGACGTAGGAAACCTTATGGGAGGAACTCACGATGCACTTGACACCTTAATCCGGACAAGTGCTATAAGTCCTTGTTTTCTTGAAGGATTCATGCCGGTGAGGATGCCAATATCTCAGCGGTCTCAAATCAGCCAAGCATTTAAAAACAGCAATCACGAGGATATCTTGTATGGATTCCTAATGACCCCTGAGTTCATGATTTACAAGTACTGCAGAAGAGGGGAGCAAATCCACCCAATTGATATATTTTTGCTGACTAATTTGCTGACTTCTTATGCTTCATTGAGGTCGACTATGTCTTGGACTCCGATTTGTCTTCCTAATTATAATAATGAAGGATTTGTGTATGCTTATATCACTTTTATTCAGGACACGAAGATAGGAATTATATTGATATCAGATAATGCGAGTGCTTTTAAAGATCTTAAATTTTGTGCAGACGGGATTGAAAAAGAAATTGTGAGCCTTATCCCTGTCCTGATGGATGCTATAAGAATGATGCCATACTCAATCACTACTTGTGAAGCAGCCGATTTTAAGCATTTTTTGTATATGCCTAAAGGAGATCAATATTCCATGCCAAGTTTTTATCCATCAACAAGGACGATTTTGGCTGAAATTCCTATTGAATGTTATAAGAAAACTCTGAGAAGATATTATTCTGCTTTTAAGCTTTCGAAATGTGCAGAATACTTCAAAGGATATTATGTCCGAATTGATATTTATAGAAATGAGCAAATCGTGTGCATAAGACAGCCAGAATATACCTTGCTTGGATCGATATCACCTCTTATTTCGAGTGCAAGTGTAGTGCAAAGCGTTAACCAGCTGCTGAGATGGCTGAAGTCAGAAGAACAAAATCTATTTATTAAGTAGCTAATGTTCAATTAATTGATTAATCATAACTCTCCCCAAAAAATGCACAAATTGAGTCTTTAAAGCTTCGGAAGTATTGCGCTGGGAAAAAATAATAATACTAATTATTTGGTCAGCATGATGATTTAGGCATGCATGGCCCATCCTTTTAAATCCTTTGATTGATTATATCAGCAGCCATATTGCCTAGCAAATTCCAGAAGGCGCACCAAAAGGCCATAAATTCGTGTTTGGCCTCACCAGAACCTGACTCCAATGAGTCTTCCGCCTAAGGGTCACTCTCATCGGATGTGTAAAAGCAGTGAAACCATATGTCTTGGCCCATAACTACCCTATGCAATAATTCCATATTGGCATATAGATAAAGGCCACAAGGAAGGATTGTCGTAGACAATCACTTCTATACATAGCCATTTTTATTATGCTGGGAAAAAATACAGATTTGCTCTATTCGTTTTCCCAAAATGCAAAGTCACAATTAAGTATCCAGGATACTGCAGGATGGGCTGAGAAGTAATATCTGATATTGACGCAAATGGGATTTTTTGTGTTTTTGTGGTCGAAGCTACCCAAAGCTGGTCAAGATCTCTCTTTATTGTTACTCGGACTGGGTGACCAACATGATTATAGAGTCCAGGAATTGTATCAGGAGAGCGGGTATTCATAGTTGCAGCAGGGATAGCATCAGATGGGGGGCCTTTTTCAATTACACGCCTTTGCTCTGCTGAAATATCATCAGTCGGAATCATATATTTTTCTAGATAATCATTACGTTCTTCTGTAAAAGCGATTGGCCTTGCTGAGGAAGTTGCTGAGATTTCTGAGGCAGTCGAGCCAATTAGCATTAATTTTGCATTTGCTTTTATGTTTAAAGAGCCTATTGGCTGTGTATCATCTTTAATTGGTCCTGATTGGAAACTTACCTTTAAAAAATAATTTCTGCATGGGGACTGGGACTCCTGTTTTGGACTCTAAAAATTGTTTCAAGTTAGTAATAGGCTCCTCAGGGCTGATTTCTATATCTATCATCTGCTTTGCGTAGGATACTTTAAAATGAAGTATTTGTTCTGACATTTACAATTATCTTAATAGAAGACTTAAATTAATTTTTAGTTTATTATAAATTCTTGAGCTTATGCGATTATCGAAGTAAATGCTAAAGAGCTAAAATATAATTTAATCAGAATTAAGCACAAATTTGTGATATATCAAAGGAGTTTCACTATTGATTTTAAGCAAAGAAACATTGATTAGTTCCTTTGTTTTAATAGATATTTAAACAAATAATGAATGTCAGAGTAATCAATAGCACTTTTTCTAAAGAAACCAAAGAAAGCATCATCCAAGTCCTTAAACAAACAACTGACACTGTTGAAATCAGAGACATTCTAAAGCGATTAATTCCAGACCTATGGGTTGTGGTTGCAGGAAAGTCATTTGCATATTCCATTAGCCGCGCTACAAAGAGTTCTGGTCTATTCGGCGTCACAAAGCCAGGCGAAAAAGAAGTAAAATTTCTGATTTACACGCCCCCACACAGTGATTTCAGTTCTTTTATTCCTCCTCCTTTTAAAAATGACGAAGAATCCACATCAAAAATCACAACTGTGAAGTCAACCATCAAGGACAAAGAAATGCTTGACGAAATAATAAGCTTTTTAAGCAAAGCCGATTACAAAGACACAACAAAAGCATGCGAATTAATTAAAGCAAAACTTATTGATTATGAAGACCATTTTTGGCATGTCTTTATAGGGAAAGATTTTGTATGCACTCTCCCACAGGCTGAGCCTGAATATTTGCTATATGTAAAAGCAAAAGAGAGTGAGTTAGATATAGTGATATTTAGGCAGAAAGGAGTTAAGCGGGAAGTCAAATGGACAGGGATTTTGACATGGGTGTTATATGTCTGTTTTTCTTTTGTTTTATTTTTAGGGCTGATGGGGTTAATTAAATGCCATGAAGGATCGACATCGTGGGTTTGTGAGCATCATAAATCGCTGCTTTATATAGCATTGAGTATGATTATGAGCAAAGGAGTCAAAACAATTGTGGCGAAATTTTATAAAGTAAAACAAAGCTAACCAAAAGAATTAATATAATAATTTTACTTACTAAACCCCAGCAATAAGGAAATTTCTTTGCTTATTTGTGGGATTTAGCATAGAATTTTTAAATAGAAAATTTTATATGAATAGATTGAAACTTGCTTACTCTTGGGGTGCTAACTCCCCCCCCCTCCGTGAGTGAACAAAAACCATTAGAAAAATCGCTATTTTTTGCCCAAAAACCTACCCTCCGTGAGTGAATAAAAATTTTTTATGGAAAAAAAATTTGATATATAAATGATAATTATTATAATGAAATCTAGAGCTAATTCTGTTTAATTTTAAACGAATTGCTTTTTAAAACATAAATTTTATAAATTAAATTAATATTTGCTTTCCAATTTTTGCGAATTAGAATTTTTTTAAAATTTCGAAAAAAAATATTTTTTAGAAAATTTATATATAATTTTTTTTAAAAAAAATAAAATTAACCCCCCTCCATGAGTGAACAAAAATTTTTTTGTTCACTCACGGAGGGGGGGGAGTAAGTAAAATGTGATAAATTAAAATTTTGGGCATGTGCTCCAATAATAAAGCAAATTTCGATCTGTTCATATAAAATTCACTATTTAAAATTCTATGCTAAAGCCCCCTATCGAATATTACTGGGGAGTTAGGTGTTAACAGAGGGTTTGATACAAATGAGGCTTGAGATGTTGGGTTTAAAGGCGAAAAAATGGAATCTTTAAATTGGTAGCTGCCAGAAAAAGGACTTGGAGCATCTTGATGTAATGCAAATTTTATTTTGAGATCTTCCAGCTTAGAGTTCTGTGGATGAGTGCTAAAAGGACTAATTGAGTGTGAAGAATTTAACGATGCTGCTGATTTTTCAGTAGAATTATCATTTGAAGGGAATTTTGCTGAAGAACCAAAAGTCTTTGAAATTTTACTTGTTTCTTGCTCAGAGCTCGCAGCAGTTTTTGCTTCTTTTATCAGCCCATCAGCACTACATGTCTCCTCAACATTTATTGGATTTTTACGGTTAAAAGTTGGAGTTGCTGGAGTCCAGCATGCTGTTTTATCTTCTGTACTTTTATGATCAATTTTTATCGCAAGTTTATTGCCTTCATCTATCTTTCTAATGTCTTTTCTAGAAACTGAGTTTTTTGTCACAATTTCTTTAATATTGCTATTACTCTTATAGCTATTATAATTTGCTTTGCTTCATACATCTTCATTCTTATCATATAAAGCTGATAAAAGTGATGGGGAGCTTATATCACCTATATCGCTTCTGAATTTATTTTTGCTTGATTTTTCTTCTGGGATTATTGCAGGCTTCTCGAACTCAAGCTCTTTTTTCAGCTCAGCCTTTCGTTTTAGCTTCCAATTTTTAAAGCAATTGAAGTCTACATGCTTTTGGACTGAGAAATCAATTTCTTCAGAATATCTGACAAATGATTGACTATAAACATAATTTTTTTCATTTTTCTCTTTTTGGGTTTCACATTGGTAATATTCTTCAAATGGGTAGAGTGAGTAATCTTTGAAATTGGAGTGTATATAAAGCTGTCGGCCGTTGGGTCTTGCCAAGCTCTCATTAAGTTTTTGGATCTGAGTTGGCATGTCGTCTTTCAGATGACTATAAAATTCAGCTTTTTTGTTAAAAGAAGAGGCTAACTCCCCCCCCTCCGTGAGTGAACAAAACCATTAGAAAAATCGCTATTTTTTTGCCCAAAAACCCACCCTCCGTGAGTGAATAAAAATTTTTTACTGAAAAAAATTTTGATATATAAAATGATAATTATATAATGAAATCTGGAGCTAATTCTGTTTAATTTTAAACGAATTGCTTTTTAAAACATAAAATTTTATAAATTAAATTAATATTTGCTTTCCAGTTTTTGCGAATTAGGATTTTTTTAAATTTCGAAAAAAAAATATTTTTATAAAATTTATATATAAATTTTTTTTAAAAAAAAAAAATTAACCCCCCCTCCGTGAGTGAACAAAATTTTTTTGTTCACTCACGGAGGGGGGGAGTAAGTCATATTCTCTCTTCATTGGCAGCTCGACTTGAGTATCTTGGCAAATTTCTTCAACGAAATCTTCTACGCTCGTGTCGTTTTGAGAATTTATCACTTGTAGACTCCTTTCGTCAGATTCCTCAAATCCTTTTGTGATAATTTTTTCATCTTCTGGCTCTTCAGATAACGATTCGTCCAATTTTTGCCGTTTTCTAGGCATATCGATTGACTGCCCATCATCAGTTATGGCATGCTGAGGGACTTTGCAAAAATGCAAAAAAATGATTTTTTTCGTAAAAATAAAAAACAATCGGAAAATTGAATTTAATTTTTGCGGTTTTTGCACTATTTTTGCAAGTCTCCGCATGCTGACCTTTTTCAGCACGTTTTCTGTGTATTAATTTTATAAAATCATTTTGAGTGTAAACGATATATCCAAGAGCGATTAGCGTTGAAGCAGCAAGTCATATAATCGTCAATTCTAAATCCATAGTTTTATAAAACACAATTTGGGCTCATACTTATAAAATGGCTGAGAAACCCAAATTTTTATCCTGCAGATTTATTATATTTTAGCAGGCCCCCCGAAACTATCCAAATTTGCTATGTATTGTTTAATAAAATCATCTTTATATTATTAAAAAAAAAATAGCTTAAATCATATGAAAAATTCATCAGAAAGATGCATATAAATAGCGAGGCCGCTATTGTTTAATAAACATAATGGAAATACTCCAACCAGCTATTCGTCCTAATTACTGCCAACTTGGAACCCCAATTCCCCTCTACGGCAACTTCTTCAAATTCAATCTAGCTGCAGGCACTGACATCATCCAGAAGTATGCAGTCTTCTTCAATCCTGACATTGCAGCATCCCTTGGAAAGCACCGTGAAAAAGTCCTCAGAAAAGCAAGTGCTCAGATTGTCCCAGTCATTGGAAAGTATGTATTTGCTAACACAGCAATTTATGCAGCCCAGTCAAACTCAGGAGGTGGAGATGCAAGCCAAACTTATACAGTGAACTATGACAATACAGATTACACTATTACTCTTCAACCTGTTGGACGGGTTGAAAGTCAAGAAGAAACAAGGCACTTCTACAATAAATTTTTTAACTCAGTGCAAGGAAAGCTCAGCTTAGTCATGATCGGCAGAAAGTTCTATAACCCAGACCGAGCTATTGACTTGCCTCAGCACAAGATGAGCATATGGCCTGGGTATGCATCCTCTATTGGAAGCTATGAAGGCGGGGTCATGATCAATATCGATATCTCTCACAGATGCTTGAGGACTATCACCTTGTATGACCAAATCATGGAACTCAGAAACAAGCCAAACACAGATTTCAGACAAGCAGTCATGAAGCTGTTAATTGGCGCTATTGTGCTGACCCTCTATAATAAGAAAAATTACAGAATTGACGATATCGACTGGGACTCAAGCCCTCTCAGTACCTTTGCAGACAAGGCAGGTGGACAATGTTCTTATAAAGAATACTACGAAAGAAGGTGGCAAAAGCCAATCGCTCATGATGACCAGCCACTCCTCCTGTCAAAAACCAAAACCTTAGATTGCTACTTGATTCCTGAATTCTGCGTTATGACGGGCCTGACTGACGAAATCAGAGCTGACTTCAACATCATGAAGGATATGGCTAATGCGACCAAAAAAGAGCCTCAAAGCAGACTTCAAGAGTCTGGCGGCCTCATCAAAGCCCTCAAGGACAACCCTAGGACAAATGCTGAAATCAATGAATGGAGGGTCAACATCACCCCAGACCCGGCCGGATTTGATGGCTACGTTTTGCCTGCAGGAAACATCATGATGGGAGGTGGCAACTCTTTTAAGATCAATGAGCAAAACGGAAGCTTTGATCGTGACGTGCAGAACACCTTAACTTAACTTAACTTAACTTAACTTGAGATTATTGATAAGCTCCCTGTCGGGCCCGAAAGCCCTTATTCCCTCCCGTAACGCTCCACTCGCGCTTGCTCGCCAACAGCCGTCTCACGGCCTTCAAAGTCTCGCTCCTACGGACATGGGCCTGCACATGCACTCCGCAGTTGGGAAGTTTGGGTCACCGTGCCGTACGCCTGACGAAGATTGCCTGTCTCGAAATTTCAAAAAATGGAATTTCTGACCGACTTTCGGCAAAAGGGAAAAACTTGTAGCCCAGGGCGAAACTCCTGGTTTCTCGCTAGGGAGTTGCCCGATAGGCCTTAACAGGCTGGGCTTCCCTTTCCAACTTCAAGTCTCCCTTCCCTCGAGGTAAAATCTAACTTGGAAAAAGGACTAGGGTTAGTTACCTAGCATAGCTGTCCATTTCTTCGCTAGCAAAACCTTGCCAGATATAATTAAAATAGGGCTCGATACTGCTTGGCCGAGAGGCCAAGCCAAGTTGAGACGCCATATTTTAATTATGACGTGCAGAACACCATGTTCCAGCAGCCTCCATTAGACCGCTGGGGTATATTTTACTGCGAAAATGATAAAAGGCTTATCGATCAGTTCATGACTGTAATGCAACAAGTTATTGGGACTTATAAGGTAAACTGCCAAAAGCCAGCCATGTTTGGAGTAAAATCTGACAGGTGGAATGACTGGGACCAAAAGCTCAAAGAATCTCTAAACCCTCAGGTGCAGATGATAGTCTGTGTATTACCAGGCCAAAGAGGAAAATCGAGGCTTTATGACGACCTTAAGCGCCTTACTTTTTCACAGCTTCCTGTCCCAAGCCAATGCATCTTAAACGGAACTTTGAAAAAAGACAAAGGCCTCAGATCTGTAGTAAACAAAGTCATGATGCAGATCAACGCCAAAGCAGGCGGGATCCCATGGGCGATGCAAGGGCTGCCTCTTACAGACCAGCCTACAATGATAGTAGGAATTGACGTCTTCACAAAGCGAGGCTCTCACAGTGTCCTTGGCTTCTGTGCCACAACTGACAGCAACTTTGGCCGCTACGTTTCTTGTCCTAAAGTCAACAACCCTGGCGAAGAGCCTGCTGCAAAAATAGCTGAATGCACTTACCAAGCTTTAAGCCAATTTAAAGCAGAAAACGGAATTTTCCCAAGAAGGGTCTGTGTCTTTAGAGACGGTGTTTCAGACTCCCAAATCAAAGTCCTCCTCAATGGCGAAATTCCTCAAATGAAGCAAGCTTTTAAAAGACTCAAAGATGAAAACCCTCAAATGGACGAGCCCAAACTCATCTTTATCGTTGTGAATAAAAGAATTAATGCAAGATTTTATCACAACCAAGGAGGGAGGATTAATAATCCACCTCTAGGTACATGTATTGATAGAATGGTAATTGATAAAAGCGGATATGACTTCTATGTCATGCCAGCCAAAGCAACTCAAGGCGCAATGACTCCGACTTATTTCACTGTTGTGTATGATAACTCGGGAGCTAGAGCTGAAGAAGTAGAACAATTAGCGTATAGACTGTGCTACTCGTATTATAATTGGAGTGGATCGATTAGAGTTCCAGCTCCTTGTCAGTATGCACATAAGCTTGCTTATCAGTATGGAGAAAGAGCTAACCAGCAAGGTCCGCCTATTCCTCATCAGCATTGGCAAAACACAAGGTCGTTATACTTCTTATAATTAAAATTTTTTTGCTTTAAAAGCGTTTTATAATTATGAAACTGTATTGATAAAAATTTTAAAGAAATTAGTTATAATTCTGATATATGATGAAAAATTAAATTTTAGATTTAATGTAATAATTGAAATAGCAACATTTTGCCAAGACAAATATTAAGCAATTGACTTGTTTCTTCAGCAGTCCCACGCTAGCGTTTGATGAGATAGCATATATATATCTGATACTCAATATGATAAATTAAAATTGCAGCAATCATTAGCAAAATACAATTTAATAAAAGGAAATTTTAACAACGAAGGGCTTAGCTTTTATAAAATAGTTTTTATTTTAAATTTATAGAATTTTTACTCTTAAATTTAAATTTTATTGAACTATGATTACATTAATAATACATTTTGTTAAGATTTAGCTCATTTGGAATATATATTCATCAGAGTTTGAGTTTTCTTCAATTTGCATTAAAGGGTTCTGGCTTGGAGGACTTGCTGTGAACGAAAATCCATCATAAGTTGGACTACACGCTCCAGTTTGGGCAGTTGAATCAAAACAAACACTATCCCTCGCTGGGGAATTCGTGAATTCTCTGCTGAAATATTTTATACTATTACAAATTTATTAAACCATATATTACTTTCCCCAAAAAATATTGTTTTTCATACAGGATTGTATATATCTGCAGGCCCACATACATTTGGCACAAAGGGCGGTTGAATTAATTTGTTTTCTAAAAGGAACCAATCCAAAGTTGTAAACCATGGATGAGTTTTAATCTCATCAGCGCCTAAATCTCCTGACCCAAGTCTTTGTTCTGGATCTTTTTGCAATAATCCTTGCAAAAGATCTTTTACTTCTGCAGACATAGTGGGACTGTACTTAATTTCTTCAGATAAAATTTTTCTTCTCATTTCGGGTCGATGATTCATATAAAAAGGAGGCAGCCCGGTCAGCATTTCATAAATAATGCAACCCAAGCTTCACCAATCTACAGCTTGGCCGTGCCCTTGCCTCAATAAAATTTCTGGAGCCAAGTACTCTGGAGTCCCACAAAAAGTTCTAGCTGATGTGTTGTCCACGATATTTTCTTTTACTCTCCCCGTGATTGAACAAAAATGTTTTTTAATGGAAAAAAAATTTGATATATAAGTGATAATTGGTACAATGAAAAGTCGAGCTAATTCTGTTTAATTTTTAATAAAATGCTTTTTAAAACATAAATTTTATAAATTAAATTTGCGAATTAGGATTTTTTTAAATTTCCAACAAAAAAAAATATTTTCTATAAAATTTATATAAATTGTTTTAAAAAAATAATTAGCCCGTCTCCGTGAGTGAAAAAAATTTTTTTGTTCACTCACGGAGGGGGGGAGTTAGAAAGTCCGAAGTCTGTTATCTTTGCAAACCCTTCGGCATCTATCAGTACATTTTCAGGCTTTAAACTAAATAGAAATTACTCTCTATATACAATGTCATTCTTGTGTAAGTGTTCGAGAGCAAGAATTATGCAACCTGCGTAAAATCTTGCCCGCTCTTCATCAAATCGCTTAACCCCACTTTTCTCCGTGATTGAACAAAAAATTTTGTTTAATTTGTAAAAATTATGTTTTAGAATGCAAATTCTACAGAGTTAGCTCGAGATTTTATATAATAATTGTCAAAAATTTTTTGTTTGCTTAGGTTATTTACCCAAAAAACAGGGATTTTTCAATGGTTTTTTTGTCTGCCAGAGGAAGAGTTAGCATGATTTAAATGAAAAAAAAGTTCACCGCCTGGGCAATAGTCAAGCACAAAATAAAGTTTTTGGGCATTTTGAAAGGCATAACAAAGCTTAACAATATATGGGTGCCTTATCCTTTCCAAAATACTTCTCTCAGTTCTTGTGTGTTCGATTTGATTTTTGGCAGCCAAGTGTTTCTTTTTTAGAATTTTCATTGCATAGACTTGTTGTGTGTCCCGCTTACGGACAAGAAGAACTTTGCCGTAAGATCCTTTTCCGATTACACTTAATCAATTTTATTAAAAATAATTATTAATTTTTTTTTATTTAAATAAATAAAAAATAATCAATTTTATAGTCAAGAGGGTCAGTAAGTTGAAATCTTCAATTGAAATTTGATGTCGGTGTTCAATCGCCATAATAAATTATTTGAAAATCAGGACTGATCATAATGTCAACATATTTTCAAAAATTATGGAGACTCGCATGATTTTGCCATGAATATAAATATCTCATACTTAATCTGTGCTTAAAAAATAATTTAAGATATATTTTTATGTAGAAGCTTCTTCTATTTTCATAAAAAGGATAAAAATTAACTTTTTATTAGACACCCTCAGCCATAATTTTTAAATAATTTGATCAGAATTAATATTTTTCTTTTATTTAGTAAGAAATAATAATAAAGCTTATATTTTGCAAGGGCAAATAGGTGAAACACTAGGCATTGAAGTCTTGCAAGATAATGATGATTCTTGTGCTAAATGCAGGGTGTTCCCTTCAATCCCAATCATTTGGCTTTCTTCGACTTCTTCAATATATAATTCTTCATATGCTACCATTCTATTATCTCTCAAAAAGTACTTTGACGTTGGATCAAAATATGACCCTTCCAATATTTGCTTGGAATTTATTAATTCTAAGCCTCATAAGCTGCATTCTTTATTTTCTAGACTGCAAGTATCTTCACAGCTCATTCCTTCTTCTCCAATGACAATGCTGAATTTCTTTTTCAGCCTAAAATATAAAACTGCCAGCTGAGGATAGTCAATCAAATCAATATTTTTCGGTTTTTTGCAGGCACAAAATCCAGGCTCCATCCCTCGAGCCACTGAAACTATTTCACACAAGTCTTCAGTCCTATTATCAACTCTAGAAATATTGAATAGCTGATATTGTGCTTGTATTGTATGGCCTGTATGCCGTATTGTGAATTCCGTTTCATTTATTGGGTTTATCCCTGAATTCGTGTGGATTTTATAAGCCATAAATTCACTATACTGAGCAAAATAGCTATACAGTTCAAATACCATTTTTTGGTCTTCTTTAAGGCTGATTCTGGTGATGAATTCTCTATTTTGTAGATTTTCATCTTTTATTTGGTGCTCTTTTGAAAATATTATTTTGTCTAAAGATACATCGATGCAATATTCTGAAGAGTCAGCAAGTTTCTTTCTCTTATTAATTGAAGATATCCCTTGATTTGCAAGTTTTGGAACAATTTGGTCCCAATCTCCTTCTCCTTCTTCCAATACTGTTCATTGGATGCAGGAGCAAAGATAGGCTGGTATATCTAAATCATTACATTTTCTATCAATAGGTGATGATTCTAAAAAGACGCTATGAGAAGCAGGACTTGGCAAACTTTTTTTCCATTCTTGATACATATGGCTGCTAATTGATAATCTCCCATATGGAACTGTGGCAAGATGTTTTAATGTTAAATGCCAATCAAATTTTCCTGCAAGTCTTTTTGTATTTGTTTGTAAAATTGAGTCGGTTCTTGGGCCCATTTTTTTAATGAGGTCGCTATTTGTAAACAGAAACTGGAATGGCAATTTATTTTCATACTGTCCTTCTTTTGTTATATCTCAGTTCCCAACGTGCCTTCCATGATCAGATCCAAGTAATATTGCAAAATCTTCATCAGTGTTCTGAGAGAAGTATGAAAAAATCTCATTTAGCAAGTATTTTGGATATAATTAAATATGATTTATTAGAATTAAAAGATTAAATTCAATATAAAATGGTATAAACTAAATCTGGATCAACCGTCCGTACAACTAATCCAGTGTCTTCATGGCCAGCAGATAAATGCATATACATAAATTTGTTGATTTTAGAGTAATTTTGTAAAAATTGCAAGGAATAATCAAAAATATGCCTGTGAAGATCTTTTACGCCATAGCATCTCCGTTTTTTAGAACTATCGACAAAATCAAAGAGAGGAGCTCCTGTGCTAACAAATTTAGAAATACGGTGATCAGTTAAAATTTTCTTGCCTAGGCCTTTTGTCATGAAGTCTCATATAGTTTCATAAGCAAATGCTGTAACAAAGCCATAATTTTCAAAATGTTTTCATATAGCTGATTTCTGGATTTCAGCATATTTTTGTTCGCTTCAGTCAAGCTGGTAATATTCGCCTTTTAACAGACTTTTATGTATTGTTTGGTTATGGCCAAAAAGCATAGGTATCATATTGGGATATGTGTTTTCTCCATTCGCATTATTTACAGAAAAATCATAGCCTGCTATGTAGTTTTTATATTTTCCCTCTACAATTTCTTTGTTAAGAAAATCAATAGTCTGAGGGAAACTTCTATAAAAGTGCTGCCTAGATACAGAATCAACAATAATTAAAAATACAGAAAGTGGACGTGATTTATCGTTTTTCATCATGGAGTTTAGCTGTTTTGTTTTTTTAATAGCTCTTTCTGCTGCTTTTTCATTTTTCTTATTAATAAGAATTGCTTGGTGACTGCTCCCGCAGCTTCCGAAAACAAATTCTGTGTCTCCAATTTCAAAAGGCTCAGAATAATTTTTTCATATAAGGTCACTCTTGAAAGGTCCAAATATTTCTTCATTTGGAGAATTCCCAAGGGCGTACCTTGCGATTTTATCTGTGCAGTTCATTTCAACTTTTCTAAATAATTCTTACTTAATAGACTCATTATAAAAAATAAAAGGGAAGTCTTTGGCTATACATTTTTCAAAATGCACATTTGAGCCAAATAATAAGGCTTCCTGTTTAGATGTATATCCCTCTATTAATGGGACACATTCGCTTGAGAGGCTAGAAAAATCTATATTTCGCTCAAAAAATGCTTGGGTGATATTAAGGTCTTGAGGATTGTGCCATTTAATTAAGTTTGAAGAAAGGTTGGAGATTTTTTTATCTTTTTTATCTTGATTTTTACATAGTATGACGAGGTCATCCATGCTTATTTGGTTGCTAGACTCATTTTCTTTTCTTGAATTTTCGCTTTGTTCAGGATTTTTTGTCCTTAAGTCTTTGTCTAAAAAGTTTGGCTTTGAAATTTCTATCCCAAGTTGAGAGTTCATGCACTCAACCTCAAAACTTTGAGGTTTGTTATCGGCGCTAAAAGAATAGATCACATAGAGAAATATCATCCAATAGACTAAATAAATGACAACAGTCCTCCTTGCAATTAGTGGCTTCTTTGGACAAAAGTTTACCATTTCTCTCTTTAAAAATTATAATGGAAGTTTATCTAGAGATAAGTCTAGGAATTTAAAAATTAAAAGTGATAATGGTATAAGTGATAGATGTAAATAAATTTCCTTTTGTAGATGTTTATTTTTCGATAAGAATTTAGAATGAAACATAAAAATTTTTTATTGGAGGGAAATTTTCCACAAAAATATGCAATGGGTTAACAATTTTATTAGCAAATAAAGGGTAAAATTATTCGAATTAATAAAATTTTTGTCAAAATTCTTTCTTTTTCATATTAATATTTAAAAAGTCCTTTTATCTACAATATCTCTTCAAAAATTTTTGGCTGGTCCTAATATGGAAAATTTTTCACCAAACCTCCATTTCTACTTAACTCATTGAAAATTTGCTTAATTAGAGAATGCATTAAATTTTCGATTTTAATTAATTTTATTAACCCCATATTAAAGGTACGATACTGAGTCTGTTTTATAATTTTAGTATTCCCAAATAGTCCAGAATTATATTTTAAAGTTAAATTAAAAATTCTAATCAATTCTTTTTCAATAATAATTTCACTCTGTAAGATGGAGCCTTAATTATATTTAAGACAGATTTGTTTTGATAATATATAGGCTATTTAAATCATATTAATTTTTATTTTTCATAAATACTCACTGAGCTTTGCATTTTATTTACAGTATAGGAATGAATGATTAGTATAAATATCAATATGGAACTCCGACCAGAAACGTAACCTAGATTTAGACACTACCTATTTAAAATTATTATGATAGGAGACTCACACGTAGGAAAATCAAGCCTACTCCTAAGGCAATCAGAAAAAACATATAAAGAGAATTATTTATCAACAATCGGCTTAGATTTTAAGCAAACAAGTGTAGATATCGATAACTCCCTTGTACAGCTTCAAATTGTAAATTTCAATTAGTGAGATACTGCAGGGCAGGAAAGGTTTAGAACAATAAATATATTGAGTTCAATTATAATTTATCTATATAAAATCATAAAGATCCATCCATAAATAAAAAAGGCTATGAATTTTAGGCTGAATATAATTTATCTTAATATAAATAATTATTATAGAGGTGCGGAAGGAGCTATCATAGTTTTTGATAAAAGTGATAGGACATCTTTTGATAACGTCGACGATTGAATCAATGAGCTAGAAAAATATGCAGTACAGAACCCTATTAAAGTGCTAGTTGGGAATAAAAGTGACATAAAAAGTGACGTTGGGACTGAAGAAGGAAAGCTAAAAGCTGTTAAATATAAAATGGATTATATTGAAACGAGCGCGAAAGAAGACTATCAGGTTGAAGCATTATTTCAAGTTCTTGCTTCGAGATTGATATCTAAAGGAGCTCTAAGAATTCCCAAAGGGAACAAAATTAAGAATGTAAATGCAGTCAAGAAAAGAGGATGCTGCAGAAGTTAAACTTTTTAATATTAAATTTTAATATAATAAAATGGCGTTGTGAATCTACACACACTCTTAACTCATGTAGCTGAGAGATCTGAAAAAGTGTTGAGGACTTTGAGGAAGGGAGGCTGGCGTCTATATATGTATCTGGCTGAGTTTTTCTTGGTTTGGTGAAGAGCAATTTAGGGTTGGCTGCAGGCTTTACTCAAATCAAGTTTTTACCTCAGAGGAAGATGCGTTGGAGTTTGAAAGGGTTTCCTAGCGGCGTCAATGGCGTTTTTACAATCGAGACTGTTCCACAGCGTGAAACCAGGAGTTATGCCCTGGGATACGGATCGCCATCTTAGCCGAGAGTCGATCAGAATTCAACACTTTTGAATTTTCAATCGTGGGGCAACCATATTGAAGTACGGCACGGTGATCCAAACTTTCCGACTACTAGGAAGCAGGCCCGTGTCTGGTAAGAGGAAGACTTTGAAGGTCGCGCTACGATGTCGGTGAAGCAGACGAATGGAACAAAATAGAAGGGAATAAGGATTTTGGGATCCCGGCATGGAGCTTTTCTATTATCTAACTAAGTGTAAAAATATTAAATTTTATAATTTTCTCGATTTTGCTAAAAACCAGCTTTATCTGACATGGGAACAATAGGGTATATGAAAGAATGAAATTAGTATCTCATAAAATAACAATTTTAGTCTTTATATTAATAAAAATTTGTTATTTCTTCTGAGCACTACAAAATATAGGTTAAAAACCATTAAATTGATTTTTTTCTTGTTTCCGAACTGAATAAAATATAAACCTGCGATCTCTAATAAAAATAAACAAAACATAAACACCAATAAATTAATAGAAATTTATTTATATAGAGACGATCATGCTAAAAAAACCTGCTATTATTTTCAATTTTTACATAAATGATTTAAAATATTCAATAAACTAAAAAAAGTATAATGGAAACAGGCCCTTTTCGATCAGTTAAAGCAGGAGACCGAGGTGAGCTTGACAGAGCAATAGGAAGAATGGAAGCTCGTCCAGATATCAGAGACAGCCAAGGGAATTCTCTTCTTCACATCGCTGTTGAAGTCAAGAGAAATGAGCTTGCATGCATTGCTCTTCTGCTAGAAAATGGTTGGGATCCTAACCTACAAAACAACTTAGGAGCTACCCCACTTCATTATGTAGCTCTCCGAAAAGACTCAGGCAGACAAGTTGCCCAGCTTCTTCTAGAACACCGTGCCAATCCTAACATTGCTACAAACTCAGGACACACAGCTCTGCATCTGGCCTGTGAAAGGTATAAGTCTGAGCTTGTTGAGATTTTATGTGAAAATGGTGCATTGCCTTCTGCTTTAGACATAAAGCATAATACTCCTCTTCACATTCTTTTATTAACACCTGGGCGTGATACAATAGCTAGAGATATCGTAGAAATTCTATTAGCTCACGGTGCAAGGCCAGGCCAAAAGAACTCAGACGGAAATGATACTTTATTATTAGCAGCAGCCCAAGGGTATGCCAAAGTGATTCAATTTTTACTACAGCATAATCAGGACCCAACAGTAGTTAATAACTTTAACAACAATATTGTCCATGAAGCTGCTTTGCACGGTCATTCTGAGCTGGTTGAGATTTTGCTAGCGATTGAGGTGCCTTTTTTGAATTCAAAAAATATCGAAGGGGACACTCCATTGCACATTGCAGTTAAAAACAACCACGCTGACGTAGCTGTGGCACTGCTGAGAAAAGGAGCATCAATACAAATCAAAAATAACCATGGGCAGACTGTCAATGAAATAGTCTCTCAAGAAGCCAAAGACGTGTTTGCTGCTAAACACCCTGATTTAATCAGAGCCTTAGCAACAAGGGTAAAACCACAAGCAAGAAAGCCTGAAGATGATCCTGCAGTTTGCGCTATTCAATAATGATATAAGTTTATATTCCCGTAATCTGAGAAATGCTAATAAAATGGAGAGACGAGCCAAAACAATTGAGACTCATCTAAAGCGCATTAAAATTCCGAAAGGGCTTCTTGAAGAATCGGTAAAAATAGGCCTAGAATGTGCTGATAAGGTTACAAAGCTCTTAAAGGTATCTGCTGCTGTTGGATTACTGTCGGCGTCAAGAAAAAGAGGAATCCCGTATTCTGTCTCTGATGTGGCAGAGATGATGGGGATTGATCGCAAAAAAATTTTCCATGCGTTTTCTAAGATGCATATTGGCGATGCAATAACCCCAATCGAGACTCTCAAAACAAATTATTTGGAAAAATTCCTGAAGGAATATTCTGGAGACAATTCTCTTACTTTTTACTTGGTAATAAACAAAATCTGCTGTGCTTTTTTTTATTGGTAACTTTTAATAATAAATAACTCTAATTTTAAATATTATCAAAAAAAATTAAAACAAAAAAATTTACAATTTCTTTCAATATATTATCAAAGCATATCTCATCATTTAGTTAAAGAGTTAGAGAAAAGGCGTTTGAGCTGCTAAAACTTGCAGATGGTGAGACTCCGCGGGCTGCCGCTTTATCAGCATATAATAAAGCTCTTGATGAGTGCGGATACAACTACGAATTTAACACATTTCCTATGAAAAGAAAAAAGTCATATGATAAATTGCTAGCGCAACAGCAAGAATTGCTCAATGCTAACTCTACCCCCGTTAGCGATAAAAAATTTTGTCCAATAATGGAGTTTCGCTATTTTTTTAATTTTTCAATAAATTTTATAAATTTTTTTTCGCATTTTAAAAAAAATAAATTTGAAATCAAAAAAATAAATTAATTTGTAATATTTATGTTTTAGGATGCGAGCTATTAAAATCTAGCACAATTAGCTAAGATTTCATTATTCTAATTAACACTGATATATCAAATATCTTTTATAACAAATTTTCTATTCACTCACAGAGGGTTTCTTTATAGGGATTTTTGGTTGCTTTCGGATAGGGGAGTAAGCAACCTAACATTATCGTTTCTAAACAATATAGTGTACGACTGTTGTCTTTGATTTCAGGAATGCAACCCCCTGAAAACCCTTCTCTTCCTTCTCTTTCACTTTTAGACCTGGAAAAGCAAGAACTTTCCGATGCTTTAGGGTTATCTTTGTCAAAATATGCAGCTACCTATTAAAAAATGTTAAAATTAATACCTTTCTTATAATTTTATTATCCCATTAATAAACGCTTCCAAAAATTCCAACTAAAATTCCAATGATGAAAGCTAGCATTATATGCAGCTTTCCGTAACCTCCTAGTCTTCTTCGTTTCCCTTTTCTTTTCCGTTTCTTGGTCGCTTTTAAAGGCGCAAAAAAATCTGGATTTTCATTTTTATCGCTTTCAGTATACAAAGTTTCGCTTCGAGTCGTTTTAATGCTATCTAAGTCTGAATTTATATCGTCCGGAGATATCCCTATTTATATTAATATTATTATTCTATAGGCTTATTAACTAGAGCTCACACACTCAGTTATTAGATATAGGCATAAATTTTCAAAGACAACGCGTAATTTATGAACTTCAATATTCGGATCTTTTCAATCAATTTTTGTAAAATCGTTGGTAGTGGCACTTTTGGCTTGAACAAGAAACTTGTGACGTCTCTTTTGCACACCGGAAATAGGTAAGAGTATGATCTTAACTTTGGTGCATGAATATGGAGTAATAAATCCTTTAGATGGACAAACAGTGAAATCATATGGAGAAGTTGTCTTTAACTTAAAAGCAATTTTCGATGATGTAGTGTTATTTAAAGCGAGAAATGTAGTCACTTTTTCAGAGCTGTGTTGGAAAATAAGCTTGCTGTTTGGAGTAAGTTGAATTAATTCTCGAGATTTATTTAGCGTTTGCTCTGCCATCTTAAGTAAGTATAAAATCTACTACATAAAATTCTGTGGAAGTTTTTCTAATTTTATTGATATAATTACTCACACTAATATGGAGTTCCATTTTTCCCTTCAAGCATAAATTATAAGTTCATTCCTGAAACAAAACTATTTATTTTCTTAAAATTATTATATAAAAAATTAACTAATCAATCTTAATTTATATTTCCTTATATTTCTCTTAATTAACTATTAATATTTAACTATTTACAAGTGAGTGATTCATATATAATAAAATTCCGAATCAGCCTCAAAATAATTGATAAGTAACTATTTCAGACTTGCATAAAGGTGCATATTTTATGAGAAATATTGGAATCCATTTTAACATTTTAACGGTAATGAAATCCAAAATCATAAGTTCTCGCTTGGGTCTCAAGACTCCTTCTAAACAAGAAATCCCAACACAAAGAAACAATGAAAATAGCTTGCACTCATCTCCTGCAATCAATCAAAAAAAGAATCCTTCAGGCACAAATAGAAATGGAAGGCTTGACTTCAATATGCTCAATTTATCAGAAAGAAGAGTCAGAGCTAGCCAATCCCATCGCAGAGACAGATCTGCAGAGGAGCTTTTTGGCGATTACAACGAAAATAACATAATTAGAAGTGACAGCAGAAGTTCAAGCACAAAAAAAATAAAACAGGTATCTGAAAATAGCGAAATTATTTATAAATCGTTCGACGGGACCAAAGCCAAGCCAAGCTCTGTAATAATTCCGAAAGTTTCTTCCTCAAGAGAAAAAATCCTACAGATAAACGCAAGAAGACTTAAAGAGCTCAATATCAAGCAGCCATGCGAATCAACATTGCCAAAGCCAAATGAAGCCCAGATTGAGACTATTTCGATTTCTGGACTGAAGCCTTATGATGATATGAATACACTAAAAGACATTTGTAAAGGATGGCATATTGTAAAGGCTGATTTGGAAATGAATGATATTGAAGGAAAATGCAATGGAAAGGGAAGTGTGCAAATTCGATATTTCCCTGGCTCCGGAGACTCAGAAAAGCTGAAATTTCACTTGATCTCGCATGGTTTAAATGTCTCATCGATATCTTCAGTAAGGGGAAGAAAAGGGTGCTGGGAAATACTTATTTCAGAAAATTAGCACATTTAAGAGCGAGCAAAACAATTTAAAATTTAAATATTATTTTATATATAAGTAATTTAAATTAAGCTACGATTTTTTAAAACCAGAAAACAAACTTTTTAGAGCAAGCAGAAGGATTTTGCTCACTGATAATTTTTTTTTAAAAAAAATTATTTATTAAATAAGCATTAAAATCACACTATGCTATTGCAATGACAGTAAAAAATTGAAAAACCTAAGAAAAAACCAACTACGTACAAACAATCACTAGATCGAACTCAGAGTCCAGAATTGGCTTGGATAATTCAGTAATTTTTTCTTCATTTAGTTCTTCCAAAAATAGACTAAGCAGTTCTCGTGAGCCAAAAAATGACTGCTATCAAGATTCGTTAAGATCTTCAAGATCTAAAAGCAGCAATAATCTAAAGCCAAGATCTGGAAGTGCAAGCTGCCGGGAACAATTTAGCCATCGAGGTAACTTTGAAAACCTTTCAACTGGCCCAGAATTAAGGTCTTTTGACGCAAGACCAAGCTATATGAGGGAAACTCTTTCTTCACAAAGTAAAAGAAGAGCATAAATTTATTAAATTTTGTGAGTAATGTAAATTATAAGAATCCAGAGATTAGATGATAGGAAATTTTGACTGCTTATATAAGATCTATATAAGTAGCCAGAAGATTGGGTTTAGAGTGAATAAACTGATTTATATGATCGTCTCTGGCTAGTCTATGCTATTTTTGCGAATATGTTTAAAATTATTTATCATTTTTATAAGAAAAAGAGTATGTCAAAATTATTTTTATAAAAAATGCACAATTATTTATTATTTCATTTTTTAAACTTAAAAATATGCTAATTTCTTTAAAATCAGCACAATTTGGAGTTTAAACCAGCAATTTAACCAGATGTTTAAAACTGTTCCATTTTTTGATATCTACTTTTGAAGGGCCAATCAAAATTAAAGACAAGTCTAATATTTTAACCATTTTATGGCTGAGTTATAATTTACTATTTAAATGGTAAAATTTACTTAGGCTGGCGGAAAAGGAAAAGGAGGCAAAGGAGGAAAAGTAGCTGCTGGAAAACATAAAAGAAATCCTACATCAAGATCTATCAAGGCTGGGCTTCAATTCCCAGTAGGAAGAATTCATAGACTTCTAAAAACAAGAATGCTAGCTTCTCATAGAGTCGGTGCAACTGCTGCAGTCTATACAGGTGCAGTTTTGGAATACTTAACTGCTGAAGTTTTAGAATTGGCAGGAAACGCAAGTAAGGACATGAAGACCAAAAGAATCAGCCCAAGACATATCCAGCTGGCTATTAGAGGAGACGAAGAGTTGGACACTTTAATCAAGGCCACTATTTCTGGAGGTGGAGTTATCCCCCATATTCATAAGAATTTGTTGATCGTACCCAAAGAAAAAACAGTTGAAGCTTAAGATTAATCATAAATTATCTTATAAATTTCTCTTCTAGACTGAGCTCTTATAGCTGTTAAGCTACTAAAAGAATATTCAAAATCCAGAGTGAAAATTTTGAATTTTAATTCTTTATGTGACACCCTTGGATCTTTTGGAAGCCTTAGCCTAATTAAATTATTTTTGAGGTATAAGAAGGTTAGTAAGACTCTTCTGTGTATAACATCAAGGCTGGGGCCGATATTTCAGGGTTTAAATGAATTTATCAAAGATACCACCCGACCTCTTTCTTGGTTGTTCCATATTTTCAACCGGACTTATTTGTCCATAGCTTCATAAGGTAGTTAAAATAATTTTGTGCAAGAGACTGATTAGTTTATCTTGCTAGTTTAGTATTTTTTGGAAAGAGCTTATTTTATACAATTTTTATAATTTTCTGTACAATTCTTAATTGAAATAAAATTGCTTTAAATAAATAGAGAAATATATTTGATAGTAATTTAACTTTAAATTTACTGTGAAATTATTATATAATTATTTAAAATAAAATGTTTAGAAAATTTCCCAGTTAAGAATAATATGTTTTATCTAATTTATAAAAGTCATTACTCGTAATCAGGCTTATATTTTCATGATAGCATTTTTCTTAATATTTTCATTTTTACTATAGCTTCTTGTCTTAAAAAGTTAAATAAACTTAGCTTTCAAAAATGAATCGCGCTCAAAATAAAATGCAATCTCAATTTAAAATATAAGATAATAAGTAGAATTTGAGATTCATAATTTAAACATGGAAGTCAAAGATTCTAAATCGCTGATTATAAAAGGGGGATTGTTATTCTTAAAAAGTATTTCTACTAAAAGATCTCTCAAAGCATTTCTGGTATGAAAGCACATCATAAAATTTTCAAATTACTCAGTGAAAAAAATACAAAAATTTCAAATATGCTACCAAAACAGATCAAGTAGTCCATTCGTTTCTAGAAGTATCGATCTAAATACAAGTGAATCCAAAATTCCGATTCCAAGAAATTCAGTTGTATGTTCTGACTCTGATCGAGGCCGCAGAAGATCTCAAACTCCATGTGCAAAAAGACCTTCAACTCCAATAAAGCCTTGCCCTACTCCTATTCAAAGCACTCCAATTAAAAGAAGTAATAGCACTCCTACCAAAGGAAATTCATTTTCAAGCAGCAAATCTCGAAGTTCTCCCAAAATTTCTACCGATGATATTGGTTCAAGGCTATACAATAACGCCAAAGAGATCGAAATTAAGAAAGAAAAGATAAAAAATCAGTCGAAGCCGAAATATACGTTTACTCCAGTGCTATCTGAAAGAAATGAAAAAATTTTATCTCAAAAAAATCGATGCAAGTCCAAGAGTCTAGCTGATGAAGTTGCTGTGGTTTCTGGGATGCTAAGCTTCACGAAACTGAATATTCCATTTAAAGATGTTGGGAACTCTGTGATATTTAAGCATTTTGATTTTAAATCCCCTCCTCATGATAGAGTAAGACCGTTGATTCCAAGCTTAGAGTTGAATTCTGCAAATGCAAGTATTTCTTTAAATCAAAGTGATATTAAGGAAAATATCTATGATTAATTATTATAAATTTATATGGAATTATGCAATGCTGATTTAGAGTCAACATGTAAGCAAACCCTTCTATAGGTATTTTTAGCATTTTTTCTGCTATTATTCTTTAAAGAAAAGAAGAACTTAAAACTTATTGAAGCTGCTATAAGTAATTCAAGATTAAATATGAGATTAAGGATAATTTGGGCTAGATTAAATTATACTTAATTCGGTTATTAATCGATTTCTATTTATAATTGCATGAATTATTGAATTTTTCTTTGCAAACCTTTTTCTATTAAATTGCATAGTTAGTCTCCTAAAATTATCAACTCAAATCATATCTACTTTTATTAACAAAATTCATCTTTAAGATCTCATTTCAATTATGCAACTCCATCCATTTTCAGTTAAATTTTCTAAGTTTGTTTCTTAAGATCAAAATTTACCAATTTAGGACTTTATACACCTGCTAGCATGGAAATTAATCACTTAAGGTTAATTAGTCGAAGAGATAAGTTCAATTTCTTGATTTCCATAAAGTAAGATGTTTTAAGATTTCTTCGAGTTCATTTGATGCTTAAGATTGTTGGATTTAGCTTGTGCTTATTGGAAAACTTTTAACCAGAGCTACAAATATCGTTTCAACATGAAATTGGCATCTTCAATTACTTCTTGAATTTACACAAGTTTTTAACCCAAATGAAGGCTTTTGAGTTTTTTATAATTGCCTTGCTGCTGAAATTGCAATAATCAGCCAAATAGAGCTTGTTGAAGTTATAAATTGTCCATTTTGGCTCCAAAAGCTACGACTCGTAATAATTAATAAATGGTTGATCAAGAACGTGTACTCCAAATAACCAAAGACATTTTCTCCTTTGCAGACACCGACGGCTCAGGTGCTCTTGATAGAGATGAATTCAAATCTGCAATCGCAAAAATGATCACTGATCACGGCATGAATGCCATCACTGAAGACCAGATGAATGAAGAATTCTCAGGCCTCGACGTTGATGGAAGTGGAACTGTGGACGAGAACGAGCTTCAGGCATTTGTTGCAAAGCTCCTCTCAGCAACAGCTTAATAATTTTGCTTAATTGGTGTTAAGCAAACTCGGTCTTTATTTAATTCTCTAATATGGCAACTAATAATTACACAAGAGATGTGATAAATATCATTTTTCCTTCTCTTGGTGGCATTTTCATATTTTGAAGCACTTTATTTGAGTGAAAGCGACTTTGATGAATTAATAAAAAGGGGAATAAACTTTTAATATCCTTTTTGCAAATAAAGAAAAATTGAATCAAATAAGTTTCTGTAATTAGATAAAAATTTGTTATGGATTTTGTTAATTTCTCTGCTCTTTGAGTGCACAAAATGCTTTTACCCTACTTATGGAGGGAGTTCGCTTTTCAATTTCTAAAAAATTTACAAATGCCAAAAGTAAAAATTTTATTTAATTTATAAGACTTATGTTTAAAATATGGGCTGTCTAAAGTGTAAAAAGAATTAATTAGAAATTTAATTAAAAAATTATTATTTATTAAAAGAAAAATTTAAATAATAGTTTTTTGTTTACTATTGAATGGAATTTTTTTCAACAATATATGAATTTTTTGTTGTTGATAGAAGATGATCACTCAAATAAGGAGTAAGGTAAGATTAAGAATTTAGATGATTTCCAGAGATCTAATTTATTACTCAATTTCCATTGCCGACACTTCAGTTATCACCAAAGGATATTCCCTCTTAATTGCTAAATAAATCTTACGTGTAACTCCTTTCGGGAAATTATACTGAATTGAGCTTTGATAAGCCTTTTTATTATAATTTCTCAACGTTCTTTTATGGTCATGCCCATCTTTATCAATTGCAACTAAATCCACTGAACTTCCTGATCCTAAATCATTAAAGATTCCAGCTTCTATTGCTTTCGCCACCAATTGCATAGCTTCTTCTTTCTATAATAAATATTACAGTCATATGATCTCTGTACTCAGTTTCAAACATGCTCATTGCCGCGAGACTTCCAGATCCCATTGTATGAAAAGGATGATGACGATATGTCCCATCAGCAGATATGCATTTTTAGCATAAATGCTCTACTAACTCCCCCCCCCTCCGTGAGTGAACAAAACCATTAGAAAAATCGCTATTTTTTGCCCAAAAACCCATCCTCCGTGAGTGAACAAAAATTTTTTAATAGAAAAATTTTTTATGGAAAAAAATTTTAATATATAAATGATAATTAGTATAATGAAGTATAGAGCTAATTCTGTTTAATTTTAAACGAATTGCTTTTTAAAACATAAATTTTGCAAATTGAATTAATATTTGCTTTCCATTTTTGCGAATTAGGATTTTTTTAAATTTCGAAAAACAATATTTTTTATAAAATTTATATATATAATTTTTTTAAAAAAAAAATTAACCCCCCCCTCCGTGAGTGAACAAAATTTTTTTTTGTTCACTCACGGAGGGGGGGGTAGTAAGTAGTATTTTTAATAATCCAAATTTAGTAAGCTAGATGGTATAGCTATATCCCTATATATAGATTTCTTTATGTAATGGATGAATGAACGACCAAGACAGGGGACGAGCTGAATCTCTATACTAGGAAGTGTTAAAAAAGTGAAATTAGGCTAAATTAACTAGGTTTTAATATATGGTGTTCTTTAGAAATTAAATAGACTTAAAAATTAAAAACTTAGTTGCTTTTTTGTAGAAAGATATATTTTTAAATAAACAATGCCAATTTGATTATGATCAAATATCCTTAAAAGCCAGAACTTGTACTGAGTGCTCAATGCTCTGTATGAAATTCTTAATAGCTCATAATAATGTTTTATATTTATCATCTCTAGTCTTAAATTTTAAAAATAAGTGCTTTTTCTTGTCAATTTTTCTCACCTGTCAACCATTTTTTGGGAATGCCACTTCTATAGCATATCCTGAAATTGGTCGTTCAACAATCCATTACATCTTACCCTACAAAGAAATCTATATAGGTTTATGGGCTATATCTAGCTCACCGAAAAACGCTACTCAGCGTGCTATTAAAGGTAAATCCATATATCATAAACAGCTGCGCTCCACTTGCATCAACCCCTCCTACAATCAAATAAGCCCCGATATTTCCTCCATACTTAAACAAATGCTCTGTTAAAAGAGTAATTGCTGTGATCACTCTACTTTGCCTTCCTGAATATAATCTGAGAAGTTCAAGCTGATATCCAATGTTGAGTGTCACATGCTCAAGATCAGCTGCTGTACCAGCTCCAGCTGCAAAAATGTTGGGAGCAAGCATATGGAGCTTGTCACACATCTTATCTAAAACCATTGATCCTCCCGTCGCACGAGTATCTGCACCTAATACGACCCCTCCTTCGTACATTAAGCCAACAATGGTTGTCCCAGTTTTTGTATAAGGCTTAGGAGCGACACCTTGGTCTAGGAGATTTTTATTTCTTTCGAAAAGATCGTGGTTGAACCCATCTATTGGTAGCTGATCTAAATAGTCCATATTATACCTAGCCCAACATTTTTCAATTAAATATTAGTTTTAAATAGAATTTAATTAATATATTTATTTGGGGTATAATTAAAAGGAAATGATTTATTTAAAAGATAGGCGAATTGCAAATGATAGTTTTTCTTAAAGTAGTTGTGCTATAGCCCTTCACCTGGTATTATTAAGCCGCTGATGCAATAAAAAATTAATGATATATTATCAAGTCATATTATTCTATTAGAAATAAAATTTATTCATTTATTGAGTTTGATGGATCTTGTTCGAAATTTTGATTCTCTGTATCACTAAAATCAGGCACATTTGCAGGAGTTTCACTTTCAAAAAAATCATTTAAGTTATTTAAATCTATTCTTTTTCCGTTTTTTGACAATTTTATAGGGCGTGAACGTGTGTCTTTCGACATACTTCTTTTAGCAATATAATATAGTTCTTTTAGGGAATTTATTAAGGGGCCAGCTGTCTGTGCTGCCATAACGAAAGCAACGAAAATCATTATACAGTTATCCATAATATCCTGTGAAGTAGATTTGAGGTCAAAAAAATATGGACTGAGCATTATAAAAGTTATAGAAATCCCACATTCCGTAATTAAATTAGTGATTTGAATTACTGGATCTTCAAAAGGTTTATAAACAAAAATATATAGTGCTATCTATATAAAAATTACACATAATGCTAGCACTGTATTAATGGTGAGCTGACTCTCGGGGAAGTCATTTAAAAAGACTTGAGTTGCAATGAAAAGCAATCTTCTTATGAAAAATAGAGTATAATATTGTGTGCTCATAAATCCTAACTCTGATTTAACTGAGAAAAGAAAGTTTATTTATAAAATATCTCTTTGACAGCTTTTGCAATTAACATAATATATTTATATATAAATAAATTAATTTTAGCAAATTATGGCTTATTATATTTTAAAAATTATTATAAAATATTTTTTTTCAACAAAACAAATCAAGTAAAAAAAGATAATATAAAATCTACAGATTTTCTTTAATAAATAGGGGTTAAGTCGTTCTTAAATTCATAATAAAGAGAGTTCCATGGTATTAATCATTTTCTATTTCTTTTATATACAATATTGTTTAAATTTTTATATCCAGAATATGAGAGCAGCAGAGGAGTTATGAGAATGAGTATCTAAATAAATATTACAATAAAAACCCAACAAATAAGGAGATTGGTGAACCCTACAACACCTGGATGAATCTCAGAGCTGCTTGAGCTGATAATACCAACAATAGCAGCAAAGCCAGCCTCTAAATATATCATTATTCAAAATCTTAAAAATACCCCGAATTTGTACTCATAGTAAATTTTTTTCAGTTTTCGTCCTACATGTCTCTCTGACTCGTACCTCAATTTAATAAAGAGCAAAGCCTTCATTTCTCCCACTAAATATTTCCCTTAAACACCATTTAAAATAAATAAATTATTGATTATCTTTTATCTATAAAATATATTTTTATTACAACTATAATTGTTCTAAATAAATCAATAATTTTGTTTAAGTCAATTTGAGTTAATTTAAAATCCTAATAATAACTTGATAAAAAATATTTTAAAAAAATCGAAAAATTTTAAACAAAACTTTTATAGCAACTACACACTTATTGCGTGCCATAACGCAGCCTCCTTCCTGCAGCTTGAAGAGCTGAGATAACCTTAAGGCGACTAGTTAACACCAAGCTGACCCATCCTGTCAAAAGGGTATGCTTTTGTCAACTTTTAGAATTGGCTTTTTGCCTAAGGTGACTCATCAACTCTTCAAGTTGTGGGAGTAGTAGGATGCGTCAGAGCAGGCAATAAGTGTGAAGACACTACATAGTTTTATTTCAACTAATGCTTAAAATTTTAATTAAAATATTTGAAATTATTTTTTGGCTTTTTATCTACTTAATCTTTAAATAAAATTTATAGAATTTATAATCTACACCCAATTAGCAACAAATAAAAGAATGCTCGTTATTAAATGAAGGGGCTGAGCATTTAGACAAGTAAAACGTTAAAGGCATCATCAATATAATAGCGCACAATATTGTCACATCATTTCCTATATTTATCAGAATTAAATCACTATCATATCCATATCTCTCTGCCTGATAGTATGGAGTATTTCCTTGCGCTTCATCCAAAAACAATGAAAAAACATTAGGGACAAAATTAAACCCATTCATTGCTTTAAAAAATGCAATAGCTTTATCTGTCAAAGGATAGCTTGCATAAGGTATATACGCTAAAAGTTGAATAGTATTCAGCATTGTTCAAAATCCAGAAATACTTGGATTAAGCATTGCTATAAGGGCTCCCATCCCAACCAAGACTTTTACCCCTGCAGAAACTTGGTTTTGGATTTGTTCTATTTCTCGTTCTTCAGAGGTTTTGAGCGAATTATATAGAATTCCTGATAAATAATTTTTATAAATTAGACCCCCAGAAACTGACTCAATTTGTCTTGGATTTATAAAATATACTGTAACTACTGTGCCTCTTTTAATGCCTCCTCCAAAATCACACACTATAAGGTAGCTTTTGTTTGAAATATATCTAACTGAAAATGACTCCACTGTCTGGTTGAAAATTTCTATATAAATTTGATCACTTGCCAGATTTGCTATAAGAAAATCGCTGAAGCTTAAAATGAGAGTATTATTTAAATTGACTGTAAGTGTAGCATTGAATGGAACATATATACAAGTTGTATTTCCTATATATCCAGGAGAGCAATTGCATTTTCCAGAGGTTAACTCAGCATTATTAATACATCATGTGCATTTGTTCTCGTTATCACATTGAGCACAAAGAGGAGGACAGTCATAGCAGGAGTCGTTTGCTTTGAATTGCCATTGATGGCAAGCCTCACATATTCCTGAGGTTGAGTTCCAAGCAAGACCATAGTCACATTGGCAATTTGTAATGTTAGAGGTGCCAGAAGCACACTCAAGGCAGGAATCTGCAGTATAATCAGTGCATAAGGTGCATTTTGGGTTATCGCAAAGATTGCAGAATTTGCTGGAATCTTTGCAGCTTAAGCAGGCACTATTACAGTAGGCGCATTTATTATATTGTGGGCCAATTCAATATTGGCTAATGAAGCAGTTAGGGATACAGACTCCAGTGGTCAAGCATGCTTTGCAGTTTTCTGCGCATTGAGGTGTAGGTAATGCAAGGGATGAAATAATTTTGACTGAGTTATAGCCCTTGATATCATATATAAATCCTTTAAAATAATTTGAATAGCCTAATGCTTCTTTAGCTGCACCCAATGTAAAAGTTATATCAACGTTAGTATCTTTAAAATAATCAGATCCAAGATCGAATTGATTATCAATAATTCCGTTTAAATAGAATGACATTTTTGTCTGCTTTAAAGCTGTATAGACAGCTGTAAATGCAATATGATTTCAATGATAAGATTCGAGATTCTGTAGCTCCGACCTCTAGTTAGTCAGCAAAAAACTGCTAATATATTTTTTTTTTACATATAATATATAATAATGAGAATTATTATGAAATCTCCTGCTAATCCTATTAAATTTTAGGTAGCTTGCGCTCTAAAGCATAAATTCACTTAGATTTTCATTTCAAATGCTAATAATTTGATAACAAAAAAATTTATAGTTTTAGAAAAAATTTTTGGCTCACTTGATTTGATTTGTGAGTAAGATTATTTGCTCGCTAAACAAGAATGGAAGTAAGTAAAAAAAAGAATTTAATCCACTAGCTTTAAAATTTAATGAAGCCATTAATGCAAACTAATCTCCTTTCAATAGCCCAACAAGGGCTGGATATTGGAGAGTTTCCCTCTTGTTTCCTGCCCTTACCGGGCTATGAAAGGAGATACCTATATATAATTTAACTTAGCCTCTATTCATGTCTCTAGAGCACACAGCGCTACCCACTTCTTTTTCTCCTTTTGTTCTTAACTTTTGCACACACTTCGAGCCTTACAGTAATTCTCGCTTTTTCTAATCCTGATGAAGCTTTTCAGTAGTATGGTAAACAATAATGGCTTGACTCATTGCCTCAATCTACCCAACTTTGTTTCAGCTCTTCATTCGAAGACATTTTATTATGATAATGATACCATTACAACTCCAGCTACCAATTGGATAGAGAAAATCGAGTTATAAAGTAAATCTTGCTTTGATACAATCATTCCATAGCCATTCTCTGCATTTATCCATATAGAAAAAGTAAAAGAATATCCAAAACAAAGAACAGGGCTTTTATAACCTGGATAAATAGGTAAATGCATAACTGAGTTTACTCCATTAAAATAAAACCCTCTATATGAAGCAGCTATTGGATCAAACTCATCATAATCTGGGTAAAAGGCTGTGCTGTTTCCAGTCAGCGCTGGAATTTTGCTCTGTTTATCAATAACCACTCCTTCTAAAGTATCAAAATCTAAATAAAAAATAAAAGTATTCTTTTCTACACACACTGATCCACTTTCCATAAAACCATCAGGACATTTAGAAATGCACCATCCTAAATACTTATAAAATCCAGATGCACAAACAATGCAGTCTCCAGAGGTTGAAGCTGTACAATTTTTGCAGGTATAATCACATAAGGCGCATTCTTCATTTGTCAAATCCCAGTAATATCCATCATAACATGCACATACTGTAGAAGATAAATAAGCATGATCTCTGCAGGCTATGCAGGTTGATGTATAATCATCACATACCAAGCAAATTACGTCCTGACATAAATTGCAATTTTTATCATCTCTTACGCATCCTCATATACATTGAGTTTGGCATGAAGAGCAAGCTAAAGTATTAGGATAATAGGGTAAGTCACAATTTGGAATGCAGGAATTTGATAATTCTATAGGACATAATGAGCAGCCTGAGCAAGTCCCAGAAATTATGATATTTATTGTAGGCTCATCAATGTTATAAACATTGATATTTCATAAGAAACCTGTATAAAAATTCGAATTTAAATCAGAGCTAGTTCCAAATGATATAAAAAATGATGAAGAAATATCTTGATACCATGAGGATCTAAGATCAGATGATATTTCATTAGAAGAATCTATGTAAAATGAAATTATCTGTTGGGGGGTTTGGCTAATTAAACTTTTGACAGCAATAAAATTTCAAGATCCTAAAGTGACTGATAAAGCTGAAGTTGTATATGAAACTGTTGTCCCATCTTTTAATTTCATTAAAAAATTAAGCTTTCCTGAGCTCAATGAAAAAGTCAGAAAACTTGAAAGTGAGTTTTCTTGCTTACTACTCTATCCTAATAAAAAATTATAGAAATTTCCCATAGATGGCGCTGTTTGCCCTTGATTTGCCCACTGGGGAAATTTTTTTTGGTTCGACCAGTACCATATGGTTTGGTCAAACCAAAAAAATTCGTCATGGGCAAATCAAGGGCAAACAGCGCCATTATGGGAAATTTCTATACCAATTTCTACTCCTGGTAAGGGATTTTCAATAATTTTTATTTGAGTATTTATCAATGACTCTAAATACTTTTCTACATCTTTTAGATGTTAAAAATATACATCATTATCAAACAGAAAAAAATATATTTAATTTATAATTGAGAGATTTAGAAATTAAGTACCCAGAATCTAAAGTTGGATTTATTCATGCTGATATTGTAAATTCCGCTCCAAAAGTAAAGGATGGAGGATTATCAATTGATTTCATAAATGATGTCCCTCTAAAATAATACCCTCTCTGTATTGCTGCATACGGATCTTCAGTAGTATAGAAAGGGTAAAAACTATTATCATTTCCTGTTTGAAAAGCTACATTTCCTACTGAGTCATAAACAATATCTTTTATCTGGCTTAGCCTCAAGCTGAAAGCCAGTTCATTAGATAATATACATTGATTACCACTTATAGTATATCCTGAAGGACAAAACTCTAAACAAACGTTTGAGAGCATAAACAAGGAAGATCCACATTGAATGCATTCTGTAAAAGAAGGCCCAGAGCAAGATGTACAGATCGTGTGGCAAAGGTCACAAGTCTCTGTATTCCCATTTCAATAAGCATTTAGATTGCATTGGCATGAGTTTCCTACAAATCCAGCATTTGTGATGCAGGTTAAGCACTTATTTGAGAATGATATACAAGAATAGCATTCTTTTTCTCTACAAAGTCGACATGTCAGATCGCTTCTGCATCCATAAGAACACGAAGAACTCCTGCATGAAGCACAAGCAGAGCTGCTTGGGTAATTATCCAATGAGCAAGAGCTAGGACAGAAATCTCCACTTGTGCAGCTTGTACAAGGATTGATAGTACAAGCTGTAGATACTCATGCAGAGTTTGCATGACTCTCATCATTATAAATTTTTAAATTTCATAGAAATCCTTTGAAGCCAGTTTTAGATGTTTGATCAGAGCCAATCAGAAAAATTCCAGAAGCATTATCTCGTAAGTATGTTTCAGATGTAGAAGTACTTGTTATTAGTAAATTGGTATCGACATAAAGATTGGAGCTATATGTTCCATCTCCATTTATTGTCCCAGAAAACGACAAGTAATGCCAATCCATGAATATATTTTGAGAACAGATTGAATTTAGCGATGATCCATCTTTAAGTAACAAATTAAGACTCTGATATCCACTGCTATCAATTTTTATAGAAAAATATATAACGCTACCATTGTATTTTTCAATTAAAACCCCTTGATCTAAAACTTTGACTCATAGCATGACTGAGAAATAAGGACTAAAAACAATAAACCCACTCATGTAGCTTTGATCAGTAAAATAATATCCACGATTAATAGCTGGAATAGGGTCATTTGCATCAAAAATTGGATAAGAGTTTGCATTACTGCTCCCAACGGTAAATCCTGATAAAATATCAAGAACTATATAATCATTGAGCTCCAAATCAATAACCAAATTATTAGTCAAATCACATTTATTCGTGACTGAGTTTTGGCTATAGCCGCTCGGGCATTGTGCATCGCATAGGACATTTAATAAATAAAATGAAGAATCGCATGCTGAGCATTGGTAATAATGTGATGACGAGCAGGTAGAGCACCCAGTAAAGCAGGGTAAGCAAGAAAAGCCGTCAGGAAATAAATAGTAATCTGAATCGCAGCTGCATGGTGTATTATGAGCATGAGAAACACATGAGCTGCATTTATTTGTATCAAACCCAGTGCAAACACTACAAAGAGGATCGTCACAAATATTGCATGACCCAGTTCTTGTGCATCCTAAACTGCAGCCTGCATCGCAATTCATGCATGCTGATGAGACTGAATAATCGATAATATCGCACTCCCATAGACAGGAGGCTAGTAATCCAGAGCCGCAAATTTCATTTAGTTGTGTCGAAAAATCAAAAACCGCAACGTTTCAGAGCTTGTAATTATATATAAATCCTGTAAAATAAGACGTTGAACTGCCACCGATTTTAATTTTTTCATTAGTTTGATCTCTATAGATAAGAGTATTATAAGTTGATGATGCGGCTTGGTTGTTATTATTATATATTGTCAAAGTAGTTGCAATCGTAGGACTGTTAAATGAAGAAGTAAATGACAAAAAAATTCACATTGCAAATGAAGGACTTGATAGAGTTAGAGATGAAGTTGCTTCTAATGGACTTTCTAATGGTATTTTTATAGAGCCAGTTGAATCGATAGTAATCCTAGAATTTGATAAAATGTCTCCTACAGCTGTTACATAAATTCAGAGACCCATTGCAAAACTGTGCGAAAGATATATATTTGTATTTGACAGTAAATATTGACTTCCATTGAAATAGAGACCTCTTTGCTTTGCAGGAATGGGATCCACTGTTTCAGGTGAATTAAAGAATTGGTAGGAACTTGAACTTGTTCCAGTAGTAAAAATTGAATAAGTTCCTTGAAAATCTCCATTAAATGATACATCTAATACAGATGAAGTAACTGTCACACATGGACTTGTAAATCCGTAAGGGCAATCTCTTAGACAAACATTTGAAACAAGAGTATAAGTTGCCACACAAGATGAGCAGACAAAGTATTTATTTGTTTGACACTGACTGCATAAATTATCACAAATTTGGCAGCCGTCTGAGCTTTGTTCCCAAAACGCATTATTATTGCAAACACATGTGGTTCCTGATATACTGGCATTTGTTATACAGGATGTGCAAGGACCATCAAAAGTTGTGCACGCAAGACATTCTTTATCTTTGCAAAGTCTATAAGTGAAAGTTGATCTGCACCCATAAGGACATGAGCCAGTACAAGAAATGCAAGAGGTTGAATAAAATTGCCCAAAAGGACAGCTATCTGGGCAGATCAGCTCAGAAGGACAAGTAGTACATCCAGAGCATCCTGATGTTTTTCATTCTTGTGCTGCATAAGTATTATCATTATAAATTTTTAAACTTCATAAAAAGCCAGTAAAGCCTGCTGATGCTGTTGTATCTTTCGCAATATAAAGTGAGCCAAGGTCCTTATAATATGAAAATGAGGCAGAAGTAGCTGACGTAGCAGACATTCCATCAATTGATAGAGAAATAACAGTATTTCCAGATGAAAGATCCCCAGTAAAGGCTATATAATGCCATCCAGATAAAATACTTGAAGAGCCACTAATGCTAGCTCTTTCCCTCACTTACCAAGAAATTTTATACAAAATATAATATTTTATTGAATATTTTAATTGTTAATTTAATCAAGGTTTCTGCTAAATCTAAATTTAAACATATTTTTAAAAAATATTAATGACTCCTTTTCAATTGCCAGAAATTGTAATGAACAAAATCTGTATAAAATTATAATGGAGCAATTTAATTTAAAAATATAAGGGAAGGAGTAAGAGAACTTGAATCTATAAGCCGAAAATTTATGGAAGGGATTCCAGATGAAAAAGTAATATAGCAGTATTTTGTAGTTCCATCGAATTTCATAAATAAATATCCATCATTTACTCCTTAATTTTTAATTACTGTTTAACTTTTTTATAAAATATTTAATTAAATTCATTAATTTATTTTTTTGTAAAATTTTTTCAGTTAAGGCAAATAAAAAATTATATTAGCTTCCTCCTTACAAAATATAGGTTAAATTTTATTTTTGGTTATTTAATTCCCTTTAAATTAGAATAATTTTTCATTTAAATAGAAAATTTTATAGTGAAAATAATTAGTTTTGACCTAATTCATTAGAAAAAAGTGCAAATAGAATATTATTTAAGTAGTTCCACTCTAAATCGTTTAATTTTTGGATTACTTCTTTATAAAATAAATTTAAATCTTAAACTCTTTTATCAATTTATATCTATTCATTTTATAGAGAAGATTTAATATAATTCTTTTTTATAAGAAAATTAATCCTTTAAGCTTGGACAGGATTTTTTGATCCAATTCAAAGAGGGGTAAGCATCAAAATATTAAAACAATGTTAACTATTAAATGCATCTTCTAAAACTTTTAAAAAGTATTTTGGTTTTCAATTGCTTATTTGAGGAAGTTAGAGGTTTGACCCAAACTAGCAGTGAAAAATACGGACTTATCCCCCCTCTTTAATTTTTTCCAATTCAAGATAATTCTTTTTTAAAATAAAGTTTAGAAATTGAACGGATGGTTTTAAAATTTAAATTTATTTATATGAAAGATTAATATAAAATTTTAATCGATTTAGCGCAAACTAATTAATTAGGCTCTAGTTTCATCAATCTCCATTAAATTCGATTAAAACTATTTTAATAATAAAATAATATTTTCATATATAAAATTAAATAAAATTTTGTTCCAACTTAAAGAGGATTAATTTTTCCATTTTAAACAGGGTGATTTAATATAAATGATGCAAGACTCATATAATTACTACCTGAGAAATAATATCCTCTATAAATCGAAGGAATTGGGTCAGCCGTTTCCCAAGTAGGATAAGTATTTATGCTTGAAGATCCTACTGATACCCCGTTTACTGTGTCCAACTGAATCAAATTTTGGAGAGCAATACTTAAAGGGTTTGATGTAGATAAAGTGCAAGTATGGCCTGACGAGTCAGCTGTATACCCTGAAGGACAATAAGTAAGGCACATGGTTTTTAATAAATAATAGCTTGAAAGGCAAGAGCTACATTGATAATATAGAGTCCCAGTGCATGAAGCACATCCAGAATAGCAAGGAATACATGAAAACCCATCGGAAGATACCATATATCCAATATTACAAGCACATGGAGTTCCAGATGCATTAGTAGCACAAGTGGTGCATTTATTTGATGCAAATCCAGTACAAACACTACAAAGGGGGTCATCACAAATATTGCATGATCCATTTCTCGTGCAGCCTAAACTGCAGCCTGCATCGCAATTTATGCATGCTGATGAGACGGAATAATCGATAATATCGCACTCCCATAGACAGGAGGCTAGTAATCCAGAGCCGCAAATTTCATTTAGTTGTGTCGAAAAATCAAAAACCGCAACGTTTCAGAGCTTGTAATTATATATAAATCCTGTAAAATAAGACGTTGAACTGCCACCGATTTTAATTTTTTCATTAGTTTGATCTCTATAAATAAGAGTGTTATAAGTTGATGATGCGACTTGGTTGTTATTATTATATATTGACAAAGTAGTTGCAATCGTAGGACTGTTAAATGAAGAAGTAAATGATAAGAAAATTCATATTGAAAATGAAGAACTTGATAGAGTTTGAGATGAAGTTGCTTCTAATGGACTTTCTAATGATATTTTTATAGAGCCAGTTGAATCGACAGTAATCCTAGAATTTGATAAAATGTCTCCTACAGCTGTTACATAAATTCAGAGACCCATTGCAAAACTGTGCGAAAGATATATATTTGTATTTGACAGTAAATATTGATTTCCATTGAAATAGGGTGTAACTTATATGCCACCGAGCTTCTTAGAAGACTTTTGGCCTTTTTTTCTGGCTAAATAATCAAAAATATACTAAAATAATTTCCGAAAATTATACTCTAAAAAATTAAATTTATAGCCAATAAATATAGTGAGCACCCTTTTAGATTTTTAAAGACAATTATTTAAAGGATAAATTTATATAAACTTTTAAGAAAATCTAAAAAATCATAAATTAAACATTTTTTTTTTTAACTTTTAAAAATTTTTAAATTTATTTAATGGTGGTTTTCAGAAATAAATAAGGAGTCATCTATTATAGTCAATATAAAATTTTCCCAAAAAATTTAAAAATTTACTTCCAAAAAAATCTCCACAAGCGTTGTGTGAAATAACCGAAATAGAGACCTCTTTGCTTTGCAGGGATGGGATCCACTGTTTCAGGTGAATTAAAGAATTGGTAGGAACTTGAACTTGTTCCAGTAGTAAAAATTGAATAAGTTCCCTGAAAATCTCCACTAAATGATACATCTATTACAGGTGAAGTAACTGCTGTGCATGGACTTGTAAATCCGTAAGGGCAACCTCTTACTTTCCTTATCCGTGGAGAACAAAAATAATTTTGTTCGCCTAAGAGGGGTTAATTTTGTTTTAAATCTTATATATATATTATACGAAATTATTAAAAGTAAAAATTAATTTAATTTGTGAAATTTATGTTTTAAAAATGCAAGCTGTTTAAAATAAATAGAATTAGTTAAAGATTTCATGTAATAATTATCACTGACATATCAAATTTTTTTTCATAAAAAATTTTTGTTTCTCTGAGGGTGAATTTTTGGGCAAAAATTAGGGATTTTTCTAATAGTTTGTTCGTTCTCTGAGGAGTGGGAGAGTTAGACAAATATCTGAAACAAGAGTAAAAGTTGCTACACAAGATGAGCATAAAAAGTATTTATTTGTTTGACACTGACTGCATAAATCATCACAAATTTGGCAACCATCTGAACTTTGTTCCCAAAACGCATTATTATTGCAAACACATGTGGCTCCTGATATACTAGCATTTGTTATACAGGATGTGCAAGGACCATCAAAAGTCGTGCACGCAAGACATTCTTTATCTTTGCAAAGTCTACAAGTGAAAGTTGATCTGCACCCATAAGGGCATGAGCCAGTACAAGAAATGCAAGAGGTTGAATAAAATTGCCCAAAAGGACAGCTATCTGGACAGATCAGCTCAGAAGGACAAGTAGTACATCCAGAGCATCCTGATGTTTTTCATTCTTGTGCTGCATAAGTATTATCATTATAAATTTTTAAACTTCATAAAAAGCCAGTAAAGCCTGCTGATGCTGTTGTATCTTTCGCAATATAAAGTGAGCCAAGGTCCTTATAATATGAAAATGAGGCAGAAGTAGCTGACGTAGCAGACATTCCATCAATTGATAGAGAAATAACAGTATTTCCAGATGAAAGACCTCCAGTAAAGGCTATATAATGCCATCCAGATAAAATACTTGAAGAGCCACTTACGCTAAAAGAACTTGAATCTGCAAGCTGGATATTCAGAGAAGGAATTCCAGATGAAAAAACAATAAAAGAATATTTTGTAGTACCATCAAATTTCATAAATAAATATCCATCATTTAAAGGTTTTATCCAAATCAAAAATGAAAAATATGGGCTGAGTGTGAATGATGAAAGGCTCATAAAATTACTTCCTGAAAAGTAGTAGCCTCTATAAATTGAAGGGATCGGATCTGTTGTTTCTCAGCCTGGATAAGTATTTGTATTTGATGATCCTACTGAAACTCCACTTACTGTGTCCAATTGAATCAAATTCTGGAGAGCGATACTTAAAGGGTTTGAATTAGATAAAGTGCAAGAATGCCCTGCTGAATCAGCTGTATATCCAGAAGGACAATATGTAAGACATAAATTTTTTAATAAATAATAGCTAGAAAAACAAGAATTGCATTGATAATAAGAAGTTCCAGTGCACGAAGCACATCCAGTAAAGCAGGGTATGCATGAAAAACCATCAGCAGATAGCATGTATCCAATATTACAAGAACATGGAGTTCCAGATGCATTAGAAACACATTGTGTGCAGAGACCTGTTAAGAATCCTGTGCATACGCTGCATAACGTTACAAGATATTAATTTGAATTTTTTCTAGTAAATTTTTCTCGATATTTTTGGTCAAAATTCGTGAAAAAATTTGCTCGAAAAAATTAAAATTTCGATCAAATATCTCACGAGGAAAAGTTTTGAGCAAATATCTTATTAGAAGTGTCACATAAGGAAAATGCTCCGATCAAATAGCATGTAGCCGCTGCAAAGAGGGTCATAGCAAACATTACAGGATACATTTCTTACACAACCGTTTGTGCAAGAGTTGCAATTTGTGGGTGTTGACCCATTCATCCACTGAGATAGGGGGCATGTCCAAAGACAACTAGCTATTGCTCCTGAGCCACATATATCACTTCCATTACTATAAATGCAAATTAGTTATTGCTTTTATCTTTTAAAATGCAATCTGTCTTTCCAATTTTGAAAAAGTCAGAACTGAAATGATAATTTTGATTTGTTTTAAGGCATAGACAAGATGGGAAAAAATTACTGGACGGTGTCAGTTCTTAACAAATTATAGAAAGCACATAGCGATTTATTGTGGCTAATGCACTATATTTGGTTTGAATATTGAGTATTGAAATTTGAGGTTGCAACATTTCATAGAGTAAATTGATAAATATATCCTAGCCCTCTTCCTAGTTCAGGAGCTTAAATTTAATTATTTAATTTATTTTTAGGCTCGAGTCATCATTAAAAAAATATCACCAATATAAAGTCTATGTTTAATAATTGAGCTACCTAAAAGTTAATTGCATTAGAGTAAATTAAATAAAACTAATCGTATATCAAATATTATAAAAAATGGTTCACTCACGGGAGTAAATAATTGCTTGAAGAGCTTTTTCCAAGAATTAATACATTATTTACAGCATCCCTATATATATATCCACTAGATGTTGCAGATGTTTGAGGAGAATTATTTAAATAGGGAACAATAGTAGTTGAAGTAGTAGATGATGAAAATGAAATAATGAATGACATATAAACTCAAGCTGAATTTGAAGGATTAAGCGCTACAGTTGTTATTGTAGTTGTAGATTCTGTCTTGCTCTCTAGTACAATAGTCATAATGCCAAGAGCAGAAATGGCTATTTTATATCCTGAGCTATTTGTCAAGATATCTCCTGATCCTGATAATATTCAAACCCACATCCCAATTGAAAAATTAAGTGAAATATAAACAGTTGAAGTTGTTTGCAGGTATGAACCTCCAGAAAAATAAAGCCCTCGATTTTTAGCTGGGATAGGATCAACTGCTTCAGGAGAATTAAAAAAATAATAACTACTTGAGCTTGTCCCTGTTCTAAATAAACCATAAGCTCCGTAAAAATAATCAACAAAGTTTTGATCTATAACCGCTGTTGAAACTGAAGCACAAGATGTGCCAAATCCATATGGGCAAGCTCTTAAGCATACGCTAGAAACTAACACATTTGTTCCCGAACAAGTTGCACAAATAAAATTATCCGAGCTACATGATATACATAAATTATCACAAAAAACGCAGGTTCTTGACGGCGTCACCCAATAAGTTCCTGCATTGCATTGGCATACTCCACTAACAGGGCTAGCATTAGCAATACAAGTCGTGCATGTAAGAGCAGCCACATTGCAAACCATACATCTTACTTGATAACACATATTACAGTAATCAGCCACACTGCAATCTCCACTCACCAAAATGACTCCTGAAATTTTAGGATTTTCTATGTTTTTATAAAACCTAATGACCAATTTCCCACTTGAATAAGCTCCAGTTATTGCATTTCCACCAATCGAAACGGTTTCACTTGACAAGGTAAAAGTTGTAAAAATATCATAAGCAGTTAATGCTCCTGCAGATGCTACAAGGTCTAAATTAGTAGCAACAGCATAGCTTCCAATTTTTACAGTAAAGACTCTCTTATTTGTATTTGTGTAATAAATTTCAGCAAATTGAAGGATCAGCACATATGTCCCGTCTGCACTGACTGGGAGATCATAGCCTCAGGTCGCTGAGTTGAATCTTTCGGAATCATAAACAAAATCATTCACTGTACTGGCTATTGAAGCACCTGAGTTTGTATAAGTGCTGCTTCCTGAGGTATAATAATTATCATCAGTGTATGAAAAACCAAATGAAGAAGTATAAGCTGAGCCTCCTGCATTGACTGCTAATATGATAGTTGAGGGATCAAGTGAACAGCAGAGCAAGAAATTGAGATAAACCAAGGCAACATGAAATAGGAGAACTTTCATTTATATTTATTACGTCATTAATTTTTTATATTTATAAATTTTGTATAAGCTAGCAAATTTTATAATAAATTATATTAGAAATTTCAATGCTCTAATGTATTGGTAATGAAATAATAAAAATGCCATCTGAATAAGTTTTCTCTAAGAATTTATTTATGCTTTATACCAACAAATATATTAAATAATATAATTGATAATAAGCTATATAAATTTTAGCATGATTTCAATAAAATAATCATCAGGTATGCTAGTGAAATTAATAAAAAAAAATGCTTTGTGTCGAATATATTAAAAAATATTTTTAGTATAAAATTATTGATACATACTTTATTTAGTTTCTATTTTAGTGTCTTTTTTTAATTGTTCTAAAGTTGGTTGGCAGGTGCTTCGGAAGTTATTGTTTAAGTATTTCTAATAATCCTTTTTCATTTTTAGTTCTTTTCTGCTTGATAAATTTCTTTATTGATACTTCTTTTAGCATCATAATAAACTTCTTTTAGAAAATTTATAAGAGGCCCAATTCTCTGAAAAGCCATGAGTTCTACACAAAATACAATTATGCCTGAATTTTTTTAGATTATTATTGACAATCTATTTTAATCTTTAATTAGCATGTGCTTGTCAGCTTTTTTGAAAATTAAAAACAAAAAACGACAAATATCATTTCGGTGTTCTGCTGAAGCATAGCGAGCTATTATGGTGCATAAATTATAAATTGTCCATTATATTAATCCTAGCAGAATCGAGATAAAAAAATATGGACTGATGAGCATAAAATAACAAAATTCCAGACTCAGTAATTAAGTTTTTGCCTGAATAGCACAGTCATCAAAAGGCTGATGAAAAATTAAAAATAGAGCAATCTATATAAAGCATTCACGTAAAGATTAAACTGCATTTATTGTAAGTTGACTTTAGGAAAGTCAATTAAGAGTACTTGGGTAATAATAAAAATTGATAAAACTTGCATTATCTTTAGAAAATTAATTTTCCTTGCTCTTATGCCTGGTTATTTTATCATGAAAATCAGTAAAAATTTAACTTTAGCATGCAAAATGACTTCTAATATATAAAGGATAGTCTAGAGTAGTGCTCTACTTCAAAGCTACTAAATATGGCTGGGCTATAAATAGATATCAAAAATCTTGTCGGGTACATATAATGATCCTGTTACTGAAAGGACTTTTGCTAATTTCTGGCCTTTTTATGTATACGAGATTCCTATATATTACTAAGGCTAGATAAATTGTTTAGTGTGACTTCAATAAAAATTGTTAGGAGTGCAGATGAAATTAAAAAAAATAAATTCTTTATTTCTAATATATTAAAAATATAATTTATGCTTTACGATTATTGATATAAATCATATTTTCTTTCTATGCTAATATCGTTTTTACTGCTGATTATTCTGCAACTTGTTTGGCATGGTGGCTCCGAAGGTATTGTCCAAGTATTTATAGCATCCATTTTCTCATTTTTAGCAATCTTTTTTTCTTGATAAATTTCTTTACTCATACTTCTTTTAGCAACATAATAAACTTCTTTTATAGAATTTATTAGAGGCCCAACTGCTTGCACTAGCATTACTGAGATCACAGAATGCATAATTATATTGTCCATAATATTAGTCACGGCTGGACTTAGATCAAAAAAATAAGGAGTAAGTAGCGTGAAAATAGCAAAAATTCCAAACTCAGTAATTAAATTTGTTGCCTGAATAACAAAGTTATCAAAAGGACGATAAAAAATTAAGAATAGAGCAATCTATATAAAGCTTACACATAAAGATGATACTGCATTTATTGTGAGCTGACTTTGAGGAAAATCATTTAAAAACACTTGAGTAATAATAAAAATCAAGCGCCTTGTAAAATATAGGGTATAATATTGCGTGCTCATAAATCCTTTATTATTCTTGAATTCGTAATACAAGGAACTTCAATTTGCAAACCATTTCCTATTTTTTCTATTTATAATTTTGCTTGAATTTTTGAAACTAAAATATGCATGAATAAAAGGAGTTATTGCAATAAGTATCTAAATTATCATTACAATAAAAAATCAGCAAAGTAGATAATTAGTCAATCTAAGTGGATTTTCTAATCTTCCATAATCTTCTGTACTCAAAATCCCAATTATGGAGGTAAAACCAACTTCAAGATAACATACAATCCAAAATCGTAAAAATGTACCAAATTTATACTCTCTAAGTACTTTTTTTAATTTCTTTCCAATGAATCTTTGTGAGCATTTAGAAAAGTAATAGACTACAGGGATTACTATTATAACACCGCAAAGAACAGTTATATCATTTCCAATATTTACAAGTATCAATGAGCTTTCATATCCAAATTTTCTCGCCCATAATAAGGAGGATTACTTTGGTTTTCATCAATAAACAGTAAAAACAAGTTTGGAACAAAATTGAAGTCATTCATTGACTTCAAAAACGCAGAAACTTTATCTGTTATAGGGTATCTTGCATAGGGTATGTAGGAAAAAAACTGAACGGTGTTCAGCATAGTTCATAATGCTGAAGGATTTGGATTGAGCATTGCTAAAGCTACACTTAACCCAGCTAAAGCTTTTACCCCAGAAGAGACTTGCTTTTTGAATTTGAGCCACTTCTTGCTCTTCTGAAGTCATTACAGACTCATATAAAGAGCCTGATAAATACTCTTCATAAAGTAAACCTCCAGAGATAGATGCAATACTTGTTGAATTTATAAAATGGACTGTAAAATTAGTGCCCTCTGATATCTTTCCATCAAAGTCACACGATACTAAACATTGTGTGCTTGATATTTTAGAAATTGACCATGATGGAATCGTATGATTATTTATTTTGACCAAAAGTTGCTCGTTTTGTAAATCCTGCTTTAAGGCATCACTGAAGGTCAAAATCAGGGTATTATTTTGGTTGATGACGAGAGTAACATTAAAGGGGATGATTGTGCAATTAGATATTCCTGTATATCCAGGAGAGCAAATGCAGCCTCCAGAGCTCAGCACAGCATTGTTAATGCACCATGTGCATTTATTTTCACTATCACATTGAGCACAAAGAGGAGGACAATCATAGCAAGAATCGTTTTCTTTGAATTGCCATTGATGGCAAGTTGCACACATTCCTGAACTTGAGTTCCAGGCAAGACCATAGTCACATTGACAATTTGCCGTGTTTGAAGTACCAGAAACGCATTTAAGGCAGGACTCTGCTTCAAAATCATAACAGGATGCACATTTTTGATTAGCACAAAGATTACAAAAAGCACTTGAATCCCTACAACTAAGGCACTCACTGCTGCACTTGGAGCATTTATTGTACTCTGGGCCAATCCAGTATTGGCTAATTAAACAGTTAGGAATACAGATCCCATTTGTAAAGCATGCTTTGCAGGCTTCTGTGCACTGCGCTGCGGGCAGTACAAGTGATGATATGCTTTTTACTGAGTTGTGCCCCTTAATATCATAAATAAATCCATTAAAATAATTTTTATAGCCAGATACATCTTTTTCTGCCCCTAATGTAAAAGTCATATCTGTTTTGGTGGCTTTAAAATAGTCAGATCCTATATCACTTTGATGATCTGTAATTCCATTTAAATAGAATGCCATTTTTGTCTGCTTCAGATTTGTATGCTCAACTGTGAATGCAATGTGATTTCATTCATAAGATTCAAGACTTTGCAAATAAAAGAAGGCACTCAAATAAGGGCACTCTAAAAGCTTACCCATAATCTAGTGAATATAAATGCACATGATGCATTAGCAATGCAGTACTGAACTCTGGAAATTGTATTTGCTCTCCTGGATATGCAGGAACAATTGCATGCACAATCATCCCCTTTAATGTCAGCCTTGCTGTTAGCAAAAATAATACCTTGATTTTGAGCTTCAGCGACATCTTAAAAGAGGGTTTGAGAAATGAACAAATTTTGATAAAAATCCATAATAATACAATACCTTCATGATCAAAAATGAAATTATGGTATTACAGAAGACTCTCTATGAGGCAAACTCCTATGGAGCAGGTCAAACCAATTCCGCTGTGATAATTTCCGGCGCCTTAGCTGCTTTTTAATAAGCGTTTAGTTTTTATGATACACTGCATAGGAGAAATCATGCTTAGGTTAGTTTGGTTTTTCCTATCATGCAATTTTTATCTATTATGGACTACGATGACACTTTTCAAAGAGTAGCTTTAGCCCAATAATCTTATCTATACGATTTGGCTTTGCTTGTGGAGTCATATGAGCTAACTCCGCTTGGTTATCACTAATCTTAATCTTCATGATCAATTTCTCAAATTTCAAGCAAAGAGTTTTTAATATCATGCAATTTTGATGGAAAGATTTCAGAGGGCACTACTATTACAGTAAATTTTATAAATTCGACTAGTATTACATCTATCTCTGGAGGTGTAATTCATGAAGAGTATTTATCAGGCTCTTTATATGAATCTGTAATGACTTCAGAAGAGCAAGAAGTGGCTCAAATTCAAAATCAAGTTTCTTCTGGGGTAAAAGCTTTAGCTGGATCAAGTGTAGCTTTAGCAATGCTCAATCCAAACCCTTCAGCACTATGAACAATGCTGAATACTATTCAATTTATTTCCTACATACCTTATGCAAGCTTACCTATTACAGACAAAATTTCTGCGTTTTTAAAGTCAATGAGCGATTTCAATTTAGTTCCAAATTTATTTTTATTATTTATAGAAGAAGATAAAGGTAATATTCCTTATTATCAGGCGAGAAAATATGGATACGATAGCTCATTGATACTTGTAAATGTTGGAAATGATATAACTGTTTTATGTAGTTTTATATTTGTGCTCCCTATTGTTTATTCCTTTTCTAAATGCTCTCATAGATTCGTTGGAAAGAAATTAAAAAACACACTCAGGGAGTATAAATTTGGAACTTTTTTACGGTTTTGGATTGTATGCTATCTTGAAATTGGTTTTGCATCTATAATTGGAATTTTGAGTACAGAATATAGTGAAGCATTAGAAAATCCACTTAGACTCACTAACTATGCTCTTTGCTGATTATTCATTGTAATGATAATTTAGATACTTATAGCAATTACTCCTTTCCTTCATGCATATTTTAGCTTTCAAAAATCTTAAGAAAAATTATAAATAGAAGACATAAAGGAAATGATTTGCTAATTGAAGTTCATTATATTACGAGTTCAAGAATAATAAAGGATTTATGAGCACACAATATTATACACTATATTTTGCGAGGCGCTCAGTTTTTATTATTACTCAAGTTTTTTTAAATGGCTTTCCTCGAAGCCAACTTACAATAAATGCAGCTTCATCATTATGTGTATGCTTTACTTAGATTGTTTTATTTTTAATTATTTATCGGCCTTTTGATAACTGTGTTATTCAGGTAACAAATTTAATTACTGAGTTTGTGAATTTTATTATTTTTCCGCTCCTTAGTCTATATTTGTTTGATCTAGGTAGAACCTGGATTAATTTTACGGACAATTTAATTATGTATTTTGTTATGTCTCTGATGGCAGTGCAGACGATAGGGCCTGTGGTAAATTCCATAAGAGAAATTTATTATGTTGCTAAAAGAAGCATGAATAAAGAAATTTATCCAGAAGAAAAGATACCTAATGAGAAAAGGGGAATTATCAACGCTTTTACAGTAGCTTCGGAAGAGCCTAGCAAAATAAATTGCAGAAAAAACTTTAAAAATGGCATTAGAATTGAAGCTAAATAAGACATATGTTAGCATTTATAATAAAATAATTATGTTTTACATAGAATTCCTTCTTTTATTAATTCATAATTACTTAATACCATTAGTGATGAGCAAGGCTAATTTTCTTATTATATTATTGACAATTTAATTATAAATTTTATTGTTTCTCTTATGATAGTTCAAACAGTTTGGCCTTTTATTTTCCTCAATTAAGTTTATCATATTGCTAAAAGAAACATGAACAAAGAAATCTATGCAGAAGGAAAGATACCTAAATCGAGAAAAGAATTAATATAAATGCATGAACAATGCATTTGGAAGCACTTTGCAAACCAACATGTAGGAAAAGTAATAAAAATTATACTAGTATAGGATTCTAATTGTATTAATCAATACTTGTATATTAAATCTAACTTCAATAAATTTGACGAGCATATGAACTATCAGAATATTTATTATTCCTTTTTGTTTCTTAACTAATTTATATTACTAAAATCTTATAATAAAATACTCTCTTAGTGACCGGCTAAAATATTTCTAAGGGTAATTCATCTCCTTCTTTCTTATTGAATGAATGTATAATAGAATTTACAATTCCATATCATTTTCAAAGCTTGGCAAAGTTAAAATACAACTTTATTTGCATTTATTCGCCATTTAAGATAAGACCTTTAATAGCAAAAATACAAAAATTTACTCTGTACATCAGAGATTAAGCTATTTAATTGCAAAAGCAGTTAGAAAATTTGAGTTTTAGTGATAATCTTGTATATAAATTATATGTGTTGATTTGTTAATCAAAATATATAACTTCTACATATTAGACAGGAAGACACAAATCCCTATGGCTAAATGCTTGATTGGAAAATATGAAATTCAAGAATAATTAAGCAAAAAGAAGTAATAAAAAGTTTTGCATAAAATATGCCAAGCCTAGGAGAAGTGTGAAGAAAATTTTTCCAATTATGTATAAGTTTATAAAGAATAAATAAATTCCTACAAAATAGGTACAAATAGGAGAAAAGTTGATATAAATCGATTATCAGCATAAAGAGTATTTATTACTGAGATTAATAATTCCATAAATATTATTATAAGTTTGTGCTATTTAAGCTACGTCATATATCCTAAATTTGTTTAACTATAATATCGTTAGTTGCTTAAATTGCAACTTTACCACCTAAATGTAGAATATTTTCCACATATGAAGCCCTTTTGATTTCACATGTGGAATCATCTTTTCACAGGTGGAAAATATTCCACATTGAGGTGGTAAAGTTGCAATTTAAGCAACTAACGATAAATAAAATGAAAGTTCGCCTGCTTCATGTTGCCTTGGTTGCTCTGAGTTTATTCAACATTTTTTCGCTTGATGCATCAGATGTTGTTTTAGCTATAAATGCAGGAGGTTCAGCTTATACATCCTCTTTTGGCTTTTCATACTCTAGTGATGTCTACTATACATCAGGATTAAGTAATAATGCTGTCGCAGGCGCACATGTGGCCCATACATTAGATGAAAATATTTATCTATCTGAAAGATCAGACTCAGTAACTTGAGGATATGATATCCCTATTAGCACAGATGGGAAATATGTTCTTATTCTCCAATTTGCCGAAATCTCTTTTTCAAGTGCCAATAGCAGAGTGTTTACTATACAAGTTGGAGACTACCTTGTTGCTTATCAAACTACTCCTATCGCATTCAGCAGGGCTGCAGAAATCCATAATTTGCCCACTCAAGGTAAGGAGGAGACTGAAGGTGCCGGAAGTGGCATCCACTATTGGGGATGGACCTCTAAACTGGAGTCGAAAAGCGGATGAACCTCCCGTATGGGAGGTTTTGGTGCCTGCATCATCAATATGCTAACTTCTGTCTTTTAATAACTTAGCTTACTTAACCTTGTTGCAAATCATTTAGATTTAGTGGCTACTGTAGGAGGATTGACTGCTTACGATATTTTTATACCTTTTATACTATCAAGTAACTCAATTTCAATTAATGGAAATCTAATAAATGGAGCTTATTCAGGTGGCAAACTGGTTATTAGACTTTATGTAATTACTGATAAGCCAAAACTTTCTGGCATAATTTTGGTCAGTGGAGACTGTAGTGTGGCTGATAATTGTAATATGTGCTATCAAGCAAAATGCTCAGTATGTAATTTGGCTACTTGGAAATGCACTACTTGCATAAATAATGCGACTAAAAATTCTTCCGGAGTATGCGATTGTAAAACAGGCAATATTTGGGTGGCGTCTTCAAGAAAATGCGTTACTTGTGACAAATTGTGTGCATCATGCTCTGTTGATTTTATTTGCGCAACTTGCGTAGGTGCTAATGTATTAGTTTCAAATGTTTGCTTAAGAGGGTGCCCTTATGGATTTGGCTCACCTTGTGCTACAGTTTCAACACCAGTTATTGATCAAAATTTTGCTGATTATTTTTATGGGGCTTATGGATTGTTTAAAACAGGGTCAAGTTCAAGCAGCTATACCATATGCATTTTTACTGGGCCATCTTGTGCAGCTCTATCTTCAGTCACTCGCCCTTTTTATAGTCCAAAATTTTTAAATCAACAATTCCTCAATTTAATAGCATAGCTATGATGGTATTTCAGATTTAGGAAAATACAAAACTGAACATCAATATAAGTCGTATACTATTTTTAAGATATTTGAGACTTTAAAGAGTGCCAATAGTAATAAAATATTTCAATGCAAATCTATAAAGGCATAAAAGTTATACAACTTTTTCAATACTCCTGAAATAGTCGACCCCATCCCTGTAAAAAACCGAGGGCTTTATTTTTCTTGATACTCATATCTTGAAACGACTTCATCTGTTTGTATTTCATTTAATTTTTCAATTGGGATGTGGATTTTTATATCCACAAGCTTAGGAGATATCTTCTCAAATAGTTTTGGATATACAATAAGTATTTCTGTAATTGGAGCTATGACAATTTTATTAGAAGATAAAAACGAAGGTAAGATTAGGGTAACAACTTCATCACTTAGCCCTCCACGTTCAACTTGACTTTATTTTTCTTTTGTTACTTCATTTTCATCATCAACAGTTTCAACAACAATTGTCTCTTACCTTAACAATTCTCCGCAAGCATCTAAAACGTCAAGCGGGTACATATTCAGAGATACTTGCAATAATGTATTACTTCTTGGGGAAAAACGATCAGGTACTTTTTTGGGATATATTTATCACTTTACTCTATGAAATGTAGCTGTTTCAAATTTTAATACTCAATACTCAGACCAAATATGTGGCAGTGGAGCAAGAGCTAACTGTCTTTGGGAATGCGGAATTAACCAGTGAATCAATGGAGGAAACCCTACAAATTGTAACTCATGCTCAAAAGGTTGTGTCAGAAATTTATCATGCAATGTTTGCGATGATACTCTTTGTAGTATCTGTACAGGATTTTTAGCAGGCTTATGCATAAAATGCGTTACTAATGCGTCTGGAGCCCCTTGCGCTTGCAATGCTGGCTATTACTTAGATCCATTGGTTGGAGAATGCAAAAAATGCATTTCTAATAACCCTGGAATTTCCTGCGCTTGCAATATTGGCTATTACTGAGATTCAACAGCCGCAAATTGCGCTCAATGCGATTATTCATGCACAACTTGTACATCATCATCTCCAGGGGATTGCATTGCTTGCGCATCTGGTTTTTATATGTATTTAGGATGGTGCATTTCTAAGTGCCCCGATGGATTTATAGAAAGTGGGCCAACGTGCGTTGAAAATGATCCTTTCATCTTCTATCTATCTTTTGATACTCTGGAAGGAGCTGTTTTAGATAAGCAAAGCAAAATTCCAGCACTAACTGGAAACAGCACAGCTTTTTACCCAGATTATGATGACTTTGATCCAATAGCTGCTTTATACAGAGGGTTTTATTTTAACGGATTGAACTCACTTATGCATTTACCTATTTATCCAGGCTATAGCAGCCCAGTTCTTAGCTTTGGCTATTCTTTCACTTTTTCTATATGAATAAATACTGAGGATGGTTTTGAAACTATTGTCTCAAAGCAAGATTTGCTTTACAATCCAATTTTCTCACTCCAATTAGCAGCTGGAGTTTTATCGCATTGAGCACAAAGAGGAGGACAATCATAGCAAGAATCATTTGCTTTAAATTGCCATTGATGGCAAGTTTCACACATTACTGAGCTTGAGTTCCAAGCAAGATCATAGTCACATTAGCAGTTTGTAGTGTTTGAAGTACCAGAAATACATTTAAGGCAGGACTCTTCTGTATAATTATAGCAGGATGCACACTTTTGGCTAGCACAAAGATTGCAAAATTTACTGGAATCTCTACAACTATGGCACTCACTGCTACACTTGGAGCATTTATTATACTCTGGGCCAATCCAGTATTGATTAATTAAACAGTTAGGAATGCAGGCCCCATTTGTAAGGCATGCGTTGCAGGCTTCTGTGCACTGTGCAGCTGATAATGCCAGTGATGATATGCTTTTTATTGAATTATAGCCCTTGATATCATAAATAAATCCATTAAAATAATTTTTATAGCCAGATACATCTTTTTCTGCCCCTAATGTAAAACTAATATCTGTTTTGGTGTCTTTAAAATAGTCAGATCCTATATCACTTTGACGATCTGTAATTCCGTTTAAATAGAATGCCATTTTTGTCTGCTTCAGAGCTGTGTGTTCTGCTGTGAATGCAATATGATTTCATTCGTAAGATTTAAGATTTTGCAAATAATAGAAGGAATTCACTCCAGAACTCTTAAAGTTTAACGCAACTATTAAAACTCCAGCTGCTAATTGTAGTGAGAAAATTGGATTGCAAAGCAAATCTTGCTTTGAGACAATAGTTCCAAAACCATCCTCAGTATTTATTCATATAGAAAAAGTGAAAGAATAGCCAAAGCTAAGAACTGGGCTGCTATAGCCTGGATAAATAGGTAAATGCATAAGCGAGTTCACTCCGTTAAAATAAAACCCTCTGTATAAAGCAGCTATTGGATCAAAGTCATCATAATCTGGGTAAAAAGCTGTGCTGTTTCCAGTTAGAGCTGGAATTTTGCTTTGCTTATCATAAAGAACTCCTTCCAGAGTATCGCTGATGCAATATTTTATGTAACTATACACATGCCCAATTTATTTTGAAAATCATAAGTATAATCATAAAATATTTTCTTTCTGAATTGGTACTCTGAGAAATATTTTCTTATTTGTGAATTTATTAATGTGGGATCATCGTTCATGCCTAAATCATCCTTAAAAATTTAAAATCTAAATAAATAGCAAGAATATCAAGAGTTAAATAAGAAATTTTCTAATAGCTTGGTGTATACTTTGAGTAAAAGTGTAAAATACTTAAAAATTTTTGGCTATGTAATTTTCGAGAAGTAAGAAAGCAGTTAGTATTGACCTATCTGTTTTCTGATTCCTTTCTTTCTTATTAATAGGTCTTTAACTTATAATAATTTGGCTGCATTATAATATTTTATTTAATTAATAATCATTTTGTTTTTAACTATGCAAATCTTTTCAGTGTTATACTTTTTTCATAGTATTGTTTTTAAATTTTCAGTAATTTTAACAGGACAAAAACGAAGCTAAAAAGTTCAATACATTTTTGAGTGGAAGAAAAATTTGTAAATCGTTATATCAAAAGATAGGTAAAAGATGAAAGGATCTTTTACAACACACATTGACCCGATTTCTACAAATCCATCTGGACACTCAGAAATGCACCATCCTAAATACATATAAAACCCAGGCGCACAAACAATGCAGTCTCCAGAAGTTGATGATGTACAATTTTTACAGCTATAATCACATGGAATGCATTTATCACTGTTTAAATCTCAATAATAGCCAATATTGCAAGCACAAGGAGTTCCAGACGCATTAGAAATGCATTGTGTGCATAAACCAGCTAGCTTGCCCTATGTGCAGGCCAAACAATTGTATCTCTTTTTATTTTTTTAATATGTATTTTGCAATATTTTAAAGTAAAATTAATAATAATCATAATAATTTGCATTTATCTCTTAAAGAACAATTTTTAGTAAGCCGAAAATTATCTCGCTTTCAAATTTGTTGATAACCATTATTTTAGCTAATTACATTTATAAATAGTCAACTAAACAAAGGCTCCTTATTTGGATATTCTTCGTAAACATTATATGTATTAAATATAAGCTTTCTTAGTAGACCATATAGATTCTTCATTATAATTGTCAAACGCTTTTGATCTCCGTAGGAGAAGTAAGAACCCTGTACAAACACTGCAAAGAGGATCATCACACACATTGCAAGATACACTTCTGACACAACCATTTCCGCACGAGTTACAATTTGTAGGTATAGAAGTTTCCTATGTTTGGCGCTGTAAGGCCGATAAATTCTGATCGGAAATTATCGGTAGGTTGCACCAAATCAATGCCTTGGTCGGACCAAAAAGCGATTTGGTCCGACGAACTTGGAAAGCTCCTGGGAAAATGTCTGCGCTTTTAGCGCTATATAGAGGAAACCTCTATATTACTCCGTTCATTCATTGAGATAGAGGACAAGTTCAAAGACAATTATCAACTGCCCCTGTGCCACATATTTGGTCTGAGTATTGGGCATTAAAATTTGAAACAGCTACATTCCATAGAGTAAATTGATAAATATATCCCAAAAAATTGCTCAAAGAGCTTTTCCCGAGAATTATATAATTATCGACAGCGTCTCTATATATGTATCCACTTGATGTTGTAGATGTTTGTGGAGAATTGTTTAGATAAGGAGAAACTGTTGTAGAAATTGTTGATGATGAAAATGAAACAATAAAAGAAATATAAACTCACGCTGAATTAGAAGGGTTAAGTGCAGCTGTCGTTACTGTGGTCATAGCTTGCACCTTATCCTCTAGTATAATTGTCAAAACTCCACTTGCAGATACAGTTATTTTATATCCAGAACTATTTGTCAAGATATCTCTAGAACCAGATAATATTCAAACTCACATTCCAATTGAAAAATTAAGTGAAATATAAACAATTGAAGTTGTTTGAAGATATGAGCCTCCAGAAAAATAAAGCCCTCGGTTTTTTGAAGGGATGGGGTCTACTGTTTCAGGAGTATTAAAAAAATAATATAACTTAGGCGTCTTTATAGATTTAAATTAAATGAGTCTTTTAGCTATTGGTACTCTTTAGAGTTCCAAATAACTTATAATTCCAATTTTTTTAAAAAATCTAGCAAAGTCGAAATTTGCTATTTATATATTGCTCTTGACTGCCAATCTGCAAGTAAAAAAGAATAAGTATACCTACTGCTGCTCAGTAAAGGTGTGTTTGGTATAGCTGCTTGAACTTGTCCCTGTTTGAAATAATCCATAATCCCCATAAAAATAATCAGCAAAATTTTGATCAATAACTGCTGTTGAAACTGAAGCACAAGATGTGCCAAATCCATAAGGGCACGCTCTTAAGCAAACATTTGAAATCAGCACATTTGTTGAGCAACTTGCACAAACATTTTCTGAACTACATGATGTGCATAATTTGTCACAAATAACGCATTTTCTTGAAGAGGCAACCCAAATAGAGTTTGCATTACATTGGCATACTCCAGAAACAGAACTAGCATTATCAATACAGGTTTTGCAATTTAAATCAGCCGTATTGCATTCCAAGCATCTTGGCTGATAGCACATATTACAATAATCAGCCACACTGCAATCACCTCTCACCAAAATTATTCCTGAGAGTGTTGGATTATTTTTAACTGGGTAAAATCTAATAACCAATTTTCCTGCTGAATAAGCTCCAGTAATTGTATTTCCAGCAATTGAAATGGTTCCACTTGATAGTGTAAAAGGTATAAAAATATCATAAGCAGTCATTGCTCCTACAGTCCCAACTACGTCTAAATTATTATAAGCAATATAATCTCCAATTTTGACATTTCATACTCTGGCATTGGCAATTGAATAATATATCTCACTCCGCTCTCCGTGTGAGCGAACAAAAAAATTTTATTCACTCCTGGTTAAAATTTATAAATTTAAAAAATTCCAACTAAGAAGGAAAAATTATTTAATTTATGAAATTTATATTTTAAAACGCAAGTTGTTTAAAATCAATCAGAATTGGCTAGAGATTTCATTATAATAATTATCATTTATATATCGAATTTTTTTTCTAAAAAATTTTTGTTCGCTCACAGAGGATGGGTTTTTGGGCAAGAGATTTTTCCTATGGTTTGTTCGTCATAGAGAGGGGAAGCCAGCAAATTGAAGAATAAGTACGTATGTTCCATCAGCGCTAATAGGAAGGTCATATCCTCAAATCCCTATATATCATCTTTCAGATTGGTAAACAAATTCATTTTCTGTATGAGCTATGTGGCTTGTTGTAGTATAAATATAGGTTCCTGCTGGATAATAGATATCATCAGAGTATGAAAACCCGAAAGAGGACATGTGAGATGAGCCTCCTGCTTTGATAGCGAAAACAACAGTTGAAGCATCAAGAGAGTAAACTACTAACACATTCAGAGAAAATAAGGCAACATAACTCAGGCGAACTTTCATATTTTAGATGAAAATTGCCTAAATTTAGAGTTATGCAACTAGACTTAAATAGCATAAAAATATAAAAAGGCTTTGATTGAGATTATAATCTTAATAACTAATATTTCCTAATTCCTATAATTGAAATTGATGTAAAAATATTTTCTCTACCTTTTAAGTTTTTTATTTACCCTTTATATAATTATTATCATAATAGGAAAGGCTTTTTTTTAATTTGCTTCTTTTATGTGTAATTGTTTTTGCGTTTTCATATTTATCTCTTCATATTTTTAGCTAACTCCCCTCTCCGTGAGCGAGCAAAACCATTAGAAAATCCCTCTTCGCGAGCGAACAAAAATTTTTTATGAAAAAAAATTGATATATAAGTGATAACTAGTATCATCGAATCTCTAGCTAATTCTGTTTAATTTTAAACAAATAGCGTTTTAAAAAATAAATTTTACAAATTAAATTAATATTTGCTTTCCAGTTTTTGTGATGTGGGATTTTTTAAATTTCGAAAATTACCCCTCCATGAGTAAACTAGAATTTTTTGTTGCTCATGGAGGGGGAGAGTAAGGGACTGATGTCTTCTTGTCTAAATCAAAGAAATCATTTTTTAGGCTTCTATCTTTTGACTAATAAAGCATTGATTGTATAGCTATATCGAAATTAATCTTAAAAATTAAAATTAAGCTCACTTAATTTTATTCCTATTTTCTAACTGTTGACTCGTTTCTAATAACTTCATCCTTGAGTTGCAGAATAAAATTTTTACCTTTTGATATTAAAAGTTTTATTTTAAATGGCGAATAAATGTGAATTTGTATATTAACCTTTGTCAAGCTTTGAAAATGGTAGTGAATTTAGGATATATATCTGCAGAATATGAATTGATCTCTATCTCAAACTGCCTAATAAGGCCTGACATCTGGCCAAGCACAGATCCTAACCGCCCATCCCCACACCTGCCAACCCTCACCCCCTGCGATCATAGATCCCCATCCCACCCTACCCCCGTATAGATCTCACCATTATATAATTGAATCCGATTAAAATAATAATATTAAGTTTAAATAATAATTTTGAAAGATGTTAAAGCATATAGATTAGTATGAATATAATAAGTGAGATTTTTATTAGTATGCAAGTTCTTACTTACTTACTTAATTATCTGGTGTTTAAGGTGTCTAGTGCCGCAGCCCAAAAGGGCCTATGGCAAAACTGATGACGTAGGCGAGCCATCTTGGCACAGGTCAGCCCCGTCCAAGCCTTCTATCAACTCCTGCTTCACCGGCCTTGCTGCACGTCTCACCCGGCGCGTTGCCGTCGCCCTTGTCGCTCGACTCAGCTCCTGCGCGTGTTCCGCCTAAGGGTCATCCTCCCGTGGGGATGTGCTGAGAGGTAAAAGCCCGAAATCTTGAGTGGACTGAGGAGTGGTTCCCTCTAGTTATCCCCAGAGTTAAACCGCTATTGCTGTCCAGAAGTTCTCGAGTGAAAACCTAACCCTATAAATAAAATTCCATGAGGGAGAGAAAATTAGCAGAGCTAATTTCTCTCGAACCGAATGCCATTTTATTTATAGTATGCAAGTTCAATATTATTTAATATTTATTAAAAGTATTTTGAGTTTGTACTTTTTTCATGTTTTTTGAGGGTTCATTTATAAGTTTTAAAAATTAGAAGATTTCCTATGTAATTTTTTTTCAGGCTAAAAAAAAGTCATTTTGACTATAAAATACGCCATGTACTTTTTCAGAATCTTCAAAATTTAAGCCGAACCCAAAAGCTGAGGAAGTAAAAAAGAAAAGCAAGAAACTGTTCCAAAATAGTTAAACTGGAATCTATTAGTTTAGGCATATTTGCGCCAATATCGATAAAGGCGCAATTATCATCCCCCGCTTCAGATCCTGAGTTAATTATAATTTACTGATTTTAGAATTAGTGATGATGAATATCTTACTTACTTACTTAAATTATCTGGTGTTTAAGGTGTCTAGAGCCGCAGCCCAAAAGGGCCTATGGCAAAACTGATGACGTAGGCGAGCCATCTTGGCACAGGTCAGCCCCGTCCAAGCCTTCTATCAACTCCTGCTTCACCGGCCTTGCTGCACGTCTCACCCGGCGCGTTGCCGTCGCCCTTGTCGCTCGACTCAGCTCCTGCGCGTGTTCCGCCTAAGGGTCATCCTCCCGTGGGGATGTGCTGAGAGGTAAAAGCCCGAAATCTTGAGTGGACTGAGGAGTGGTTCCTCTAGTTATCCCCAGAGTTAAACCGCTATTGCTGTCCAGAAGTCTTCGAGTGAAAACCTAACCCTATAAATAAAATTCCATGAGGGAGAGAAAATTAGCAGAGCTAATTTCTCTCGAACCGAATGCCATTTTATTTATGATGATGAATATCAATTATCAAATACTGATGCTAAGCCTTCTGATACTTCAGAAGATAAATTTTCAGATTACCTTGAAGATGAACCTTTTCCATCAAATGTTTCAATAATTCCCAAGACATAGATGAAGAAAAAATGCCAGTTAAATCTCCAAATAGAAAAGATTTAGTTATTATTCCAATGAAAGGAGATGGAAATTGCATGTTTAGAGCTATATCGTGCCATTTAACAGGTTTTCAAGAATCTCATAGAGATATACGCAATTTAGTAGCTGACTATTTTGAAAAGAATGAAGAAAGGTATAAAGAAATTCTCGAAGATGGCCTTAAAACTGAAGAGATGTGCGAATTTACTATGTAAACAAATTAAAACCTATAGCTTTTAAGGCAGTGGTATAGAGTTATGCTGTGCTTCAGAATTATTCGGAATTGCCATTAGAATTTATTAAGATGAAATGCCTCAGCCCTATATTATTTTCTTCAGTTTCAATTTTAAATGTGTGATTCTCTCATAATAATCACTATGATGTTCTAATATCAGAAGGGTTTATTCCTGAGACGAAAAAATTAAATTAGCTCAAGAAAATTATTTAGAAATAGATGTTTACAAAAAAATTCTCAGTTCAAAAAGATATAATAAGCAAGCAAAAAGAAATTGAAAGAGAATTTGAGTTATTTCCAGCACTTCACAATATTAGCAAATGCTTAGATCATGTATATTTTTATTATCTAAAGAAAGAGGCGACGCTGAAAGATATTATCCTCCAGGCATCCTTGAAAACAGGATTGTGGAAAGAGTTTCTGGAAAAAAAAAACTTTAAACACCGAGTGCATAAAAAATATGAATTGTTAATTGGGGAAAAGTTAGATTTGACAGAATCAAGACTCATCTGAATTACTGTAAAAGTTGTTATTCCATTTATTTGGGGAATTTGTAAATATTGGAACTTGCTCATGTTAGAGACAAGCATAATCATATTACTTCAAGAGATATGCAATTATGCATTAAACAAAGCAAAATATATTGGCCAAAAATTACATATGACTGTCGAAATTATACTGCAAGCAGCTTAATCTGCACTGTTGAGTGGGTCCAAGACCTAACTATCCAATCAAGATACAAATTGAATCCAAGAAGCCAATGGAGAGATTTCAAATGGATATATTTAAATTATGCGATGAATTATTAAACTATTCAAAAGTTCCTTATATATTGTCTATAGTTGATCATTTCTCAAAGTACATTTGAGCATATTGCTTGGGGAATAAAACAGCAGAAGAAGTTTTAAAGGATTTTAATTTGGCTCTATCTCCACCATTATCAGTCTGTAAAATCTGACGTAGGTTTGATAAAGTAGAATTCTGCAACACAGAGTTAAATGTTTCTTGCATTAGATATAATATTCAATATATTACAAGTTCTCCATAAAACCCCAGAACTCGAGGTACTGTAGAGAATCTAAATAAATATTTGCATAGAAACTTATATAATAGCTACTTAGCAGATAAGAACTCAGGCACATGAGATATAAATAGTGCTCTTCTCTATTTTACGTTATTATAATAGTAGCAGAAAGCATACTATAATTTACTATTATTAATTATTTTCCTGTGATTATTTTATAAAACAATTTAAGTATTTTTTAAGAGCACACTATAACTAACTTTATCCCACTTGAAGTTTTTTATTTCCTCATCAGAAGATCTCTTTAAAACTTTGAAGCAAACGTCAGAAGATACTATCAAACTTGTTAATAAAGTGGCCATTCATAGCAAACTTGTTAAAAAAAAAATGGCTCAAAAACGACTAGGCCTCGATTTCAGGAGCTAAAAAAAAGTTCATATCCTGAACTGTTATTTCTGTTAAATGTGGATATTTTGAGGTTTTATCCTATTTTTCTAAAATAAAGGTTTTTGAATAATAAAATTATATATTCCTTTTCTGAAGTGCATCTTTATTCGTCGACAATATTCCTCAATCCAAAATGCTGGCCAAGAAAATAGTCAGTGACTAATATCAGTTTGTGACACTAAAATTATTACTGTTGAGCATTGGATTGAATTGAGAAGATTAAAGCAATAACTCTTGCAAATTCTTTTAATTTTATATTAATTCTCCATCTGCTTAAATTTTCAAAATCTTAAAAATAATCGACAGCAGTAGCAATAGCTGTACACAATTTATTGAGCTATTGACCAAACAATGAGGCTTCTTTTATAAAATTGCGGTGTTTGTATTCAATTCCTGATAAAAAATAAATTTTTGCTGAGACATAATAAATATTTGTTTAATCTAATTTTCTTTGTCTAATTGTATTGTTAAAATTTTTTGAAAAGAAAATCTTTCATAATAAACTTTATATCATCGTCACAAGCTGCACATAAATCAAAAAAAAATGGACATCTATTAATTAGATTTCTCAAACAAAATTAGTCTTTATGCAAAATATAAATTTTATATCTTAAAGCTATGGAAAATTAGCATAATATTTATTGAATTTAAGCCAATTATTCTATGCATTTAATAAAATAAAAGAAAAATATTTTAGTGTTAATTATGATGCCATTTCAAATTTAAGACTAAAATAATAAAATTTGATAAACAGATCTGATCATATATAATTCTCCCCCATTTTTAAATAAAAATATCGATAAATAAATTGCTATGCAAAATCGAATTAATATAAATTTATCTGACTGCTGGATAAATAACTATATTTTAGTCAGGAAAAATTAGTAAAATAGAGATTTTCTTTTTTATCTAGTTAAATGAATATTAATCTCTCGAATTCGAGAGAAAATATAAAATAATATGGAGGCTTGTCTACGTCATCTTGCCTTAATTGTTCTAAATTTATTGACTTGCTATTCAGTTGAATATACAAAAAATGGCGGACGTGTCAACCTACCCTCTTGGAGCAACAATCCAGACCTTATGGGTACAGTGAACTGAGACGGACTCTAAGAATCAAATTCAGGCTCAAGAGATGTATATACTGTAGGTTTTGGTTGCCTTCCTGTGGTTGAAAATGGAGGTGCTCAACAACATGCTTTGGATCCGAGGTCCAATGGGCATTTTTTTTTATAGAGAAACTGGGGGTTTCGGCTTAGGCTATATTGGGGTAGTCTTTTTCCTGTAGCTTTCGAAGAAAGGCATTTCGGCACCCCACAGACTCCAAGGAGATCCTCCCGTAGTAACAAAAATCCATAGCCCTTCCACTCAAGACTGTAGCCGCAAGGAGGAGACAGAAGATACCAAAGTGGCATCCACCTTCAGGGAAAGACCCTATGGGTTGGAGTCGAAAAGCGGTTCAACCTCCCGTACGAAAGGTCTTTGGTGACTGCATAACCAATATGGCTATTCCTGCTAAGTTTAATCTCATATTCACTTGACCCTTCAACTATTGTGATGGCTATCAACTCTGGAGGCTCAGCTTACACTTCCTTCTATGGGTTTTCATATTCTGCCGATACTTATTCAACTGGAGGGACTATTTATGTAGTCGGTGGCTCTGTAGCTAACACCAAGGACGATTCTATGTACTTGTCTGAGCGATACGCCAAAACTAGCTGGGGATATAGCCTTCCTCTCAGCACAGATGGGACTTATGTGCTAATTCTCCAGTTCTGCGATATTTTATTTACGACTACAAATATAGCGTTTTCACCACTATAGATCACTATGACTTTCAAAATATATAAATTATTTTGCCTATGAATATTAAATACTGCATAGTTTTTTCTAAAAACCTGGTGATTATGCAGGAAAATATTTACCTGTAGCCATTTAAATAGATTAGATATACCAGAAAGTTTACAGTGAAAATCGGAAGCTATGTTGTAGCCAATAACCTTGATTTAGTATAGCGCTTTCCCGAGGATGGCGCGGAATGGCGCCATCCTCGGGAAAGTCAACTAAGCATCCACACGGGAACTGGGGAGTTCCACGTGTGGATGCCATTTTTGACATGTGGGATCCAAACTTCCACATGTCAAAATGGCATCCACACGTGGAACTCCCAGTTCCCGTGTGGATGCCTTCCTGGCTTTCCCGAGGATGGCGCCATTCCGCGCCATCCTCGGGAAAGCGCTATAGCTACTGCAGGAGCTTTAACAGCTTATGATATATTCACAGAATTCACGCTTTCAAGTGGCACAGTTTCAATAGCCGGAAGCGCGATAACAGGTGCTTATACAGGTGACAAATTGATCGTTACTTTTAACCAAGTTTTGCAAAATCCTCAACTTTCAGGACTAATCATATACCCTAGACTCTATTTAGAAAACTCTTTTCGGCCAATAATAAGCATATATCCCTAAAAAATTAATAAATTAGGAATTTTGGCAGGAAATTATATTTTTCTTTCTTTATAATATAAATTTGATATAAAAAAATCCCTATTCAGCCAAAAGAATTAGTAAGTGGAGACTGCAGCGTGGCTGATTACTGTAATATGTGCTATCAAGCAAGATGCATGGTATGCAATACGCCAGCTTTGTCTTGCACAATTTGCATTGCTAATGCTACTCCTGTCAGTGGAGTATGCCAGTGTAATGCAGGATATTACTGGGTGACAACAGCAAGAACGTGTGTTGCTTGTGATAATTTATGTATATCTTGTAGCTCAGATAATTTTATTTGTGCAACTTGTTCAGGCTCAAATGTATTAGTCTCAAGTGTTTGCTTAAGAGCTTGCCCATATGGATTTGGCACATCTTGCGCTTCAGTTTCAACAGCAATTATAAGCCAAAACTTTGCTGATTATTTTTTAGGAATTTATGGGGTATTTAGAACAGGGACAAGCACAAGCAGCTATTACTTTTTCAACTCTCCTGAAACAGAAGATCCTATCCCAGCTAAGAGTCGAGGGCTTTACTTTTCTGGAGGCTCTTATCTTCAAACAACGGCTATAGTTTATATTTCTCTAAATTTTTCAATTGGGATGTGGGTTTGGATATTATCTGGCTCAGGAGATATATTGACAAATAGTTCTGGATATAAAATCACGATATCTGCAAGCGGAGTGATGACAATTATATTAGAAAGTATAGCAGAAACAACGACTACAGTATAGCTTGGAAGGGTTTTAGCCTCTCATTAGAGATTATAGGACTCTTTTGTGGCTAGTCAATATAATAAATATTTCTTATTAAGCTTGAAAATTCAGTCTTAATTGCCGAAATTATGCAGGATTATCACTAAGACGAGCCAACAGGCTCGGCTTCTGAGCCAATAAGCTCCAAACAAAGCTCAAAGTCTTCTCAAGCTATAACAACTGCAGCACTTAACCCTTCAAATTCAGCCTGAGTTTACATTTCTTTTATAGTCTCATTTTCATCAGCCACAACTTCTACAACAATTGTCCCTTACCTCAACAATTCTCCACAAGCATCCGTAACATCCAGCGGGTATATATATAGAGATGCTATCAATAATTATTTAATCCTTGGAAAAAGCTCTTTAACCAATTTTTTAGGGTATATTTATCAATTTACTCTATGAAATGCAGCTGTTTCAAATTTTAACACTCAATACTCAGACCAAATATGTGGCACAGGGGCAGTCGCTAACTGTCTTTGGACATGCCCATTATCTCAGTGAATGAATGGGGCAACGCCTACAAATTGCAACTCATGCACAAATGGGTGTGTCAGAAATGTATCCTGCAATGTTTGTTTTGACCCTCTTTGTAGTGTCTGTACAGGATTCTTGACAGGCCTATGCACACAATGTGTTACTAATGCATCTGGGGCTCCTTCTTCTTGTGCTTGTAGTGCGGGATATATTCTCTCTTCTGATGGGTTTTCATGTGTTCCTTGCTATACAGGATGTGCTTCATGTACTGGGACTTCTTATTATCAGTGTAGCTCCTGCCTTTCAAGCTATTATTTATTAAAAACAATGTGTCTTACTTATTGCCCTTCTGGATATACAGTTGATTCATCTGGGCATTCTTGCAATTTATCTACATCCAATCCTTTAAGTATTGCTTTCCAGAATTTGATTCAATTGGACACAGTAAGCGGAGTTTCAGTAGGATCTTCAAATACAAATAAATATCCGACTTGGGAAACAACTGATCCAATTCCTTCAATTTATAGAGGATACTATTTCTCAGGTAATAATTATATGAGCCTTGCATCATTTACGATTAGTCCATATTTTTCTCTGCTAATATGGATAAAGCCTCTAAGTGATGGATATTTATTTATGAAGTTTGATGGCACAACAAAGTATTCTTATGTTAGTATATCGTCTGGGATCCCTTCGATGAATACTCTTCTAGCAGATTCCAATTTACTTAGTGTAAGTGGCTCTTCAAGTATTTTATCTGGGTGGCATTATATAGCATTTACAGGTGGCCTTTCATCTGGGAATACCGTTATATCTCTATCAATTGATGGAGCTTCTATCTCTTCAACTACTTCTGCATCATCCTCTTATTATAAGGATCTTGGCGCACTTTACATTGCGAAAGACACTACTGCATCTGGAGGCTTTACTGGGTTCCTATGAAGTCTAAAACTTTATAATGACAATACCTATGCAGCTCAAGAATGGAAAACTTCAGGGTGTCCTATCGGCTGTACTATCTGTCCTTCCGAATTGAAATGTCCCGACAGCTGCCCTTTTGGACAATTTTATTCAAGTTCGTGCACATCTTGTACAGGCTCATGCCCTTATGGGTGCAGATCAACACTGACTTGCAGGCTTTGCAAGGATAAAGAATGTCTTGAGTGCACAGCTTTTGATGGTCCTTGTACGTCCTGCATAACTAATGCAAGTATCTCAGGTGCAACATGTGTTTGCAATAATAACGCTTTTTGGGAACAAAGCTCAGATGGGTGTCAAATTTGTGATAATTTATGCAGCCAATGTCAAACAAATAAATACTTTTTATGCTCATCATGTGGATCGTATTATCTTGTTTCAAATGTTTGTCTAAGAAGCTGCCCTTATGGGTTTACAAGCCCATGCGTTACAGTTGCATCTCCTGTTATAGATGTAAGTTTAATGGAGAATTTCAAGGGATTTACTCAATCTTCACTACAGGACTTAGTTCAAGCTCCTACTGACCAAGCATAAAACCCGACGTTGCTCCCACTCCCTTCTAAAATTCTAAAGAGGGCTGTGTTTGATAATTAGTAAATATAATATCAAACACCAATGTATATCTCTCACACAGTTTTGCAATGGGCCTCTGAATTTATGTGACAGCTACAGGAGATATTTTATCGAATTCCAGAATTATTGTTGATTCATCTGGGTCTATAAAAATACCGTTAGAGAGTCCATTAGAAGTAACTTCTTCTGAAACTTTATCGAGCCCTTCTTTTTCAATGTGAATTTGCTTATCATTTACTTCTGCATTTAACAATCCTGCCATTACAACAACGTTGAAAATATATAATAATAACAATCTAGTCGCTTCGTCAACTTATAATACTGTCATTTATAGAGATCAAGCTAATCAAAACATTAAAATCGGCGGAAGTTCAGCTTCCTATTTTAAAGGCTTTATTTACAGCTATCAGCTCTGAAATGTTGCTATATTTGATTTTACAACGCAATTAGATGAAATTTGTGGCTCAGGACTGTTAGCAAATTGTTTATGGGCATCTGATATTAACGATTATTTTGACTCAACATACAAAAATTGTGATACAGGCTGCAGTTTAGGATGCACAAGAACTGGTTCATGCAATATTTGTGACGATCCGCTTTGTAGTGTATGTACTGGGTTTGATGCAAATAAATGCACCACTTGTGTTTCTCATGCTCACAATACCCCATGTAGCTGCGATTCAGGCTCTTCTTTATCATCTGATGGCTTTTCTTGTATACCCTGCTTTACTGGCTGTTCTTCATGCTCTTCATCACAATATTACCAATGCTCAGCTTGTGTTTCCTCTTATTATCTATTAAATGTCCTATGCGATACACAATGTCCAAGCGGTTATAGCCAAAATTCTGGAGTGAATTCCTTCTTTTATTTGCAAAATCTTGAATCTTACGAATGAAACCATATTGCATTCACAGCAGAACACAAAAATACGAAGCAGACAAAAATGGCGTTCTATTTAAACGGAGTTACAGATCATGAAAGTGATATAGGATCTGACTATTTTAAAGACACCAAAACAGATATGACTTTTACATTAGGGGCGGAAAAGGATCTATCTGGCTATAAAAATTATTTTAAATGATTTATTTATGATATTAAGGGGTACAACTCAGTAAAAAACATATCATCACTTGTACTGCCCGCCGCGCAGTGCACAGAAGCCTGCAAAGCATGCTTTACAAATGGGATCTGCATTCCTAACTGTTTAATTAGCCAATACTGGATTGGCCCAGAGTATAATAAATGCTCCAAGTGCAGCACTGGGTGCCTTAGTTGTAGGGATTCAAGTGCTTTTTGTAATCTTTGTGATAATCAAAAATGCTCATCCTGTTATGATTTTGAAGCAGAGTCCTGCCTTAAATGCGTTTCTGGTACTTCAAACACGGCAAATTGTCAATGTGACTATGGTCTTGCCTGGAACTCAAGTTCAGGAATGTGTGAAACTTGCCATCAATGGCAATTCAAAGAAAACGATTCTTGCTATGATTGTCCTCCTCTTTGTGCTCAATGTGATAGTGAAAATAAATGCACATGGTGCATTAACAATGCTGTACTGAGCTCTGGAAGCTGTATTTGCTCTCCTGGATATACAGGAGCATCTACATGCACAATCATCCCTTTAATGCTACTCTCGCCATCAACCAAAATAATACCCTGATTTTGACCTTCAGTGATGTCTTAAAGCAGGATTTACAAAACGAGCAACTTTTGATCCAAATAAATAATCATACGATTCCATCATGATCAATTTCTAAAATTTCAAGCACACAATATTTAGCGTCGTGTGACTTTGATGGAAAGATATCAGAGGGCACTAATGTTATAGTCCATTTTATAAATTCAACAAGCATAGTGTCTATCTCTGGAGGTTTACTCTATGAAGAGTATTTATTAGGCTCTTTATATGAGTCTGTAATGACTTCAGAAGAGCAAGAAGTGGCTCAAGTTAAAAAACAAGTCTCTTTTGGGATAAAAGCTTTAGCTGGGTTAAGTGTAGCTTTAGCAATGCTCAATCCAAATCCTTCAGCTTTATGAACTATGCTGAACACTGTTCAGTTTTTTTCCTACATACCCTATGCAAACTACCCTATAACAGATAAAGTTTCTGCGTTTTTGAAGTCAATGAATGACTTCAATTTTGTTCCAAACTTGTTTTTACTGTTTATTGATGAAAACCAAAGTAATCCTCCTTATTATCGGGCGAGAAAATTTGGATATGAAAGCTCATTGATACTTGCAAATATTGGAAATGATATAACTGTTCTGTGTGGTGCTATAGCAGTAATCCCTATAGTCTATTACTTTTCTAAATGTTCTCAAAGATTCATTGGAAAAAAATTAAAAAAAATGCTTAGAGAGTATAAATTTGGTACATTTTTACGATTTTGGATTGTATGTTATCTTGAAATTGGTTTTACCTCCATAATTGGGATTTTGAGTACAGAAGATTATGGAAGATTAGAAAATCCACTTAGATTGACTAATTATCTACTTTGCTGATTTTTTATTGTAATGATAATTTAGATACTTATTGCAATAACTCCTTTTATTCATGCATATTTTAGCTTCAAAAATTCAAGCAAAATTATAAATAGAAAAATAAGAAATGGTTTGCAAATTGAAGCTCCTTGTAAAGGATTTATGAGCACGCAATATTATACCCTATATTTTACAAGGCGCTTGGTTTTTATTATTACCCAAGTGTTTTTAAATGATTTTCCTCAAAGTCAGCTCACAATAAATGCAGCATCATCTTTATGTGTAAGCTTTATATAGATTGCTCTATTCTTAATTTTTTATCATCCTTTTGATAACTTTGTTATTCAGGCAACAAATTTAATTACTGAGTTTGGGATTTTTGCTGTTTTCACACTGCTTACTCCTTATTTTTTTGATCTAAGTCCAGCCGTGACTAATATTATGGACAATTTAATTATGTATTCTGTGGTCTCAGTAATGCTAGTGCAAGCAGCTGGGCCTCTAATTAATTCAATAAAAGAGATTTATTATGTTGCTAAAAGAAGTATGAGTAAAGAAATTTATCAAGAAAAAAAGATAGCTAAAAACGAGAAAAGGGATGCTATAAATACTTGGACAATACCTTCGGAGCCACCATGCCAAACAAGCTGCAGAATTAGCAGTAAAAATGATATTAGTATAGAAAGAAAATATGATTTATATCAACAATCGTAAAGCATAAATTATATTTTTAATATATTAGAAATAAAGAATTTATTTTTATTATTTCATCTGCACTCCTAACAATTTTTATTGAAGCTAAACAATTTATCTAGTCTTAGTAATATATAGAAATCTCGTATGCATAAAAAGACATAAATGAGCAAAAGTCCTTTCAGTAGCAGGATTATGGCAGCAAAAACAGCTGTACCTTTAATGAGCTCCATTAAAGAGCTATATGAGCTTGCTAAAAGAAGCATGACAAAAGAAATACGCTCGAATCCAATAAAAATATTGAAAAGCACAAAAAGAATTGATATAAATAACTTGAGTAATTTCTTTGAGGATAAAACTCAGCTATTATTGAATTTGCAGATGCGGAAAATAGGAATTTTAATCAAGAAATACCAAGTCAAACGAATAAATAAGGATTAAATGATATTTTAATAATAAAAATCGGATTTATTTTTAGATGTGCGTAGATTTTTCTAAAATCAATTTTTAAAAGCAAATAAGTATGAATTGTCCCATTTATCATTTTTAAGTCCTTTAGATTTTAGGCAACAAGGAGTTGACGATTATAAAATTCATTCGATTAAGATGAAAGTAAGATTATTTTAGCTCAAAATAAGCACGAAAAGGCTTTGCATAAAATAACCAAGTCTTAGAAGAAAAACAAAGAAAATCTGGTTATTTATTATTATAAAATATTATAAAACAAAAAAAGTTTAGAATATAATTATTTAGCATTTGTAACAAGCATAAAGAAATTCATTATTAAGATTCCACTTTTCAGTCAAATATTATTTACTATTTTGGCTAATTTCTTATTAAAAACCTAAATTTATGCAATTCTTATACATAAAATGAAAGTTCGCCAAATTCATTTTGCCTTGATTTCTCTGAATTTATTGTTTATTTGCTCGCTTGACCCCTCAACAATCATTTTAGCAATAAATGCAGGAGGCTCCGCTTATACATCCTCTTTTGGCTTTTCATACTCTGGTGATATTTATTTTACACCAGCAACAAGTATAGCTACCGATCGTTCCGACAAAGATATAGACATAGCTCATACAGTAAATGAATTCATTTACCAATCTGAAAGATATGATTCAGTGACTTGAGGATATGACCTCCCTATTAGCACAGACGGGACATATGTGCTTATTCTCCAGTTTGCTGAGTTCTATTTTAAGAACCCCAATTTCAGGGTTTTCACTGTAAAAATTGGAGACTATGTTGTTGCTAATAATTTAGACTTATATGCTGCTGTAGGGTATTGTACAGCTTATGATATTTTTACAACTTTTACACTATCAAGTAACACGGTTTTAATTTCAGGAAATACAGTATCTGGAGCTTATTCAGGTGGCAAATTAATAGTTCGATTTTATTTAATCCTCTCCTTAGGGCAAAATATTTTTTTTGGGCTAAAAAACTATCTTCAGTGAGCGAACAAAATTTTAATGGAAAATGATATATAAATAATAACTAGGATTTTAAAAAAATTTAAAACCCTTTATGAGCAAGTATTCCATCAAGGACGGGGATTTAAATAAAGAAAATCCAAAAATTTCAGGAATTGTTTTGGTGAGTGGAGATTGTAGTGTGGCTGATTATTGCAATATGTGTTATCAAGCAAGATGTTCGGTATGTAATGTGGCTACTCTGACCTGCGCTACTTGTATCACTAATGCTAGCATTATAAGTGGAGTATGCCAATGTAATTTAGGCACTTATTGGGACACGGGTTCAAGAGAATGTTCTTTTTGTGACAAATTATGTGCATCATGTTCAGATAAGTTTTACTGCGCAGCTTGCTTAGGCACAAATGTGTTAGTTTCAAATGTTTGTTTAAGAGCATGCCCTTATGGATTTGGCACGTCTTGTGCTTCAGTTTCAAGCGCAGTTATTGATCAAAATTTTGCAAATTATTTTTATGGAGCTTATGGATTATTTCAAACAGGGACAAGCTCAAGCAGCTATAGTAAATGCACCTTTACTGATCCGTCTTAGGCAGTTCTATCCTGTTCTATTCTCTCGTTGGTTATCTAACAGTTTTACATAGCAATTTTTGAATTGGAAATTCCTTACTCCCCCCCCCCCCTCCTCCGTGAGCGAACAAAACCATTAGAAAAATCGCCATTTTTTGACCAAAAAACCCACCCTCCGTGAGTGAACAAAATTTTTTTAATAGAAAAAAATTTTAATGGAAAAAAATTTTTTTAATAGAAAAAATTTTAATGGAAAAAAAATTTTGATATATAAGTGATAATTAGTATAATGAAATCTAGAGCTAATTCTGTTTAATTTTAAACAAATTGCGTTTTTAAAACATAAATTTTGCAAATTAAATTAATATTTGCTTCCCATTTTTGCAAATTAGGATTTTTTTTAAATTTCGAAAAAAATATTTTTTATAAAATTTATATATAAATTTTTTTTAAAAAAAAAAATTAACCCCCCTCCGTGAGCGAACAAAATTTTTTTTGTTCGCTCACGGAGGGGGGGGGGGGGAGTTAGTTTAATCTTATTATTAAAATAATCTATTTGAGATTGCAGTGTAGACAGCAAAAGATGTTTTCAGTCTCAACCCATAAAGGCACCTAAGTTTTATTATTTTTTCAATAATCCTGAAGCAGTAGATCCAATACCAGCTAAAAAGCGAGGGCTTTATTTTTCTGGAGGCTCATATCTTCAAACAACTTCAATTGTTTATATTTCACTTAATTTTTCAATTGGGATGTGGGTTTGAATATTATCTGGCTCAGGAGATATCTTGACAAATAGTTCTGGATATAAAATAGCGATTTCTGCTAATGGAGCTATGAAAATAGTTTTAGAGGATAAAACAGAATCTACGACTACAATAACGACTGCAGCACTTAACCCTTCAAACTCAGCGTGAGTTTATATTTCTTTTATTATTTCATTTTCATCATCAACAATTTCTACAACTATTTCTCCTTATCTAAACAATTCTCCACAAGCATCTGCAACAACCAATGGATATATATATAGAGATGCTGTAAACAATGTATTGATTCTTGGGAAAAGCTCGTCAAGTAATTTTTTTGGGTACATTTACCAATTCACTTTATGAAATGTAGCTGTTTCAAATTTTAACACTCAATACTCAAACCAAATATGCGGCACAGGAGCAATCGCTAGCTGCCTTTGAACTTGCCCTCTATCTCAATGAATGAATGGGGTAACGCCTACAAATTGCAATTCATGCATAAATGGTTGCGTTAGAAATGCATCCTGCAATGTTTGTAACGATCCTCTTTGCAGTGTCTGTACAGGGTTCTTAGCAGGCCTATGCATACAATGTATTTCTAATGCATCAGGGACTCCTTGCGCTTGCAATATTGGCTATTATTGAGATTTAACTAGTAATAAATGCTTATCATGTGATTATACCTGCAAAACTTGCACATCATCAATTTCTGGAGACTGCATTATTTGTGCGTCTGGCTTATATATGTATTTAGGATGGTGCATTTCTAAGTGTCCAGATGGATTTATAGAAAGTGGGTCATCATGTGTTGAAAAAGATCCTTTTATCTTTTATCTTTCGTTTGATACTCTTGAAGGAGTTGTTTTTGATAAGCAAAGCAAAATTCCAGCTCTAACTGGAAACAGCAAAGCTTTTTACCCAGATTATGATGAGTTTGATCCAATAGCTGCTTTATACAGAGGGTTTTATTTTAATGGAGTAAACTCAGTTATGCATTTACCTATTTATCCAGGCTACAACAGCCCAGTTCTTAGCTTTGGCTATTCTTTCACCTTTTCTATATGAGTCAATATTGAGAGTGGCTTTGGAGCTATTCTTTCAAAGCAAGATTTACTTTACAATCCAATTTTTTCTCTCCAGTTAAGTGCTGGAGTTGTAGTGGTTTCATTAAGCTTTAAGAGTTCTGGATTGATTTCTTTCTATTATTTGCAAAGCATTGAATCTTATGAATGAAATCATGTTGCATTCACAGCAGAATACACAAGTTTAAAGCAGACAAAAATGGCTTTCTACTTGAACGGAAAATTAGATAATCAACGTGAATTAGGATCTGACTATTTTAAAGATACCAAAACAGATATTACTTTTACATTGGGAGCTGGAAAAGATCTATCTGGTTATAAAAATTATTTTAAAGGGTTCATTTATGATATTAAGGGTTATAACTCAGTCCCCTTTTTAAATTTATTTTATGAAGAATAAAAAAATTAATTGATATAGTTTGAGATTTATTTAAATAGCATTCAATTTACATTTTGTCTATTATATTGGTCAAAACTAATTTTATAAAAATTAGTAATTTCATCGATATAATTTTCCTATGAAAAAGCAAATTTGCTCCAATTTAAAAGGGGTTAAATTTCCTAATAAATGCAAATTTACCGATAATTTTTTCCAATTTAAAGTGTGAGTCAGTAAAAAAAGCATATCAACACTTGCATTACCTGCAGTTCAATGTACAGAAAAATGTAAAGCATGCCCTGCGAATGGAGTCTGTATCCCTAATTGTCTAATTTCTCAGTATTGGATTGGTCCAGAATATAATAAATGCTCCAAATGCAGCAGTGAATGTCTTAGCTGTAGGGATTCCAGCAAATTTTGCAATCTTTGTGATAATCAAAAGTGTGCATCCTGTTATGATTTTACTGGAGATTCCTGCCTTGAATGTATTTCTGGTACTTCAAATACAACAAACTGTCAATGTGACTATGATCTTGCTGGCTATACGCATTTTACTCTCCGGTTTTGACAATCACTTATATTATCAAAATTAGTTTTACTGAAAACTTTCTAATTTTGCCTAAATATCTTAAAGAAACAAAATTGCATTATTTCAATTAAATTGTCTACCAAAAATTAAGAGAAAGTTTTGCACCACACTTGCTTGGAATTCAAGCTCAGGAATATACAAGTTGCCCGATGGTGACGCTCAATACGCCATCATCAGGCAACTACAGTTCAGGGTCCACACTGGAAATGGGTTCCACATGTGGAGCCCTTTTTGGCAAGTGAAAGTGAGGATTCTCCACGTGTTAAAAAGGGCTCCACACGTGGAGCCCATTTCCAGTGTGGACCCTATACTGTAGGTTCCCGATGATGGCACATTGAGCGCCATCATCGGGAATTTCCTATATGTGAGACTTGCCATCAATGGCAATACAAAGCAAATGACTCTTGCTATGATTGCCCTCCTCTCTGTGCTCAATGTGATAGTAAAATTAAATGCACATGGTGCATTAACAATGCTGTATTAAATTCTGGAAGTTGTGCTTGCTCTCCTGGATATATAGGAACAACTTCATGTACATTTATCCCCTTTAATGTCAGTCTTGTTGTTAACAAAAATAATACTTTGGTTCTGGCCTTCAGTGACATATTAAAAAAAGGTTTAAATCACGACCAAATTATGATACAAATTCATAACAATACAATTCTATCATGATCAATTTCTCAAATTTCAAGCAAAGAGTATTTAATATCATGCAAATTTGATGGAAAGATTTCAAAGGGCACTAATATTACAGTACACTTTATAAATTCTACAAGTATTGCATCGATCTCTGGAGGTGTAATCCACGAAGAATATTTATCAGGCTCTTTATATAAATCTTTGACTTCTGAAGAGCAAGAAGTGGCTCAAATTCAAAATCAAGTTTCTTCTGCAGTAAAAATTTTGGTTGGATCAAGCATTGCTCTAGCAATGCTCAGCCCAAACCCTTCACCTCTATGAACTATTTTGAACACTATTCAATTTATTTCCTACATACCTTACGCCAGCTACCCTTTAACAGACAAAATTTCTGCATTTTTTATATCAATGAGCGATTTCAATTTAGTTCCAAATTTATTTTTATTGTTCATTGATGAAAATCAAAGTTACCCACCTTATTATCAAGCCAGAAAATATGGATATGATAGCTTATTGTTACTTGTAAATGTTGGAAATGATATAACTGCTCTGTGCTGTGTTATAATTGTGATCCCTATAGTTTATTTTTTTTCTAAATGCTCTCAGAGATTCATTGGAAAGAAATTTAAAAAATTACTTAGAGAGTATAAATTTGGTACTTTTTTACGATTTTGGATTTTATGGTACCTTGAAATTGGTTTTGCTTCTATAATTGGGGTTTTGAGTACAGAAGATTATAAAATCTTAGAAAATCCGGTTAGATTATCTAACTATTTCATTTGCTGGTTTTTTATTGTAATCATAATTTAGATTCTTATAGCGATTACTCCTTTTCTTCATGCATATTTTAGCTTCAAGAATTTAAGCAGAATTGTAAATAGAAGAAATAAAAAATGGTTCACTAGATGAAGGTCCTTATATTACGAGTTCAAGAATAATGCAGGATTTATGAGCACACAATTTTATACTCTATACTTTGCAAGGCGCATAATTTTTATTATCACTCAAGTATTTTTAAATGATTTCCCTCAAAGTCAGCTTACAATAAATGCAGTGTCATCTTTATGTGTATGCTTTATATAGATTGTTTTATTTTTAATTATTCATAGGCCTTTTGATGACTCTGTAATCCAGGTTACAAACTTAATTACTGAGTTTGGGATTTTTGTTATTTTTATGCTCCTAAGTCCATATTTTTTTGATCTGGGCTCTGCGGGGAATAATATTATCGACAGCTTAATTATTTATTTTGTTATTTGTCTTATGGCAGTACAAACAACTGGGCCTCTAATAAATTCTATAAAAGAAGTTTATTCTGTTGCTAAAAGAAGTATGAATAATGAAACTTATCCAGAAGAAAAGATAAATAAAAATGAGAAAAGGATTTATATAAATACCTGAACAGTGCCTTCGGAAGCACCTTGCGAACCAAAATGCAGAAGCAAAAGTATAAATTATAATAATATAGGATAAAAATAAACTTTTATCAGCAAAACTATAATTTTAATAAATTCTAAACAAACATCTTATTTTTATGAATTTCGATTATTGGGATCACGCTAAATAATTTCTAGCCTCAGTATCGTTAAAAATTGTAAAAAGTTTTCAATATTATAAATCTTATTCTTTGGCACAAAAAATAAATATATAAAAATAAATGTAAATCTATAATTATTTTAATATAAATGCTGACATATATTTATTTAGCTTCAATTCTAATGTCATTTTTAATGTTGCTTCTGCAATCTATTTTTTCAGGCTCTTCCGAAGGCATTGTAAAAGCGTTGATAATTCCCCTTTTCTCATTAGGTATCTTTTCTTCTGGGTAAATTTCTTTATTCATGCTTCTTTTAGCAACATAATAAACTTCTCTTATAGAATTTATCATAGGCCCTATCGTCTGCACTGCCATCAGAGAAACAACAAAATACATAATTAAATTGTCTGTAATATTAATCCAGGCTGGACCTAGATCAAACAAATATAGACTAAGGAGCATAAAAATAATAAAAGTCCCAAACTCAGTAATTAAATTTGTTGCCTGAATCATACAGTTATCAAAAGGCCGATAAATAATTAAAAATAGAGCAATCTATGTAAGGCATACACATAAAGATGAAGTTGCATTTATTGTAAGTTGGCTTTGAGGAAAGCCATTTAAAAAAACTTGAGTAATAATAAAAACTGAGCGTCTTGCAAAATATAGTGTATAATATTGTGTGCTCATAAATCCTTTATTATTCTTGAACTCGTAATACAATGAACTTCAAATAGCAAATCATTTTTTATGTCTTCTATTTATAATTTTTCTAAGATTTTTAAAGCTAAAACATGCATGAAGGAAAGGGGTAATTGCTATAAGTATCTAAATTATCATTACAATGAATAACCAACAAAGAAAATAATTAGTGAGTCTAAGTGAATTTTCTAATGCTTCACTATATTCTGTACTCAAAATTCCAATTATAGATGCAAAACCAATTTCAAGATAGCATACAATCCAAAACCGTAAAAAAGTACCAAATTTATACTCTCTGAGTGTGTTTTTTAATTTCTTTCCAACGAATCTATGAGAGCATTTAGAAAAAAAATAAACAATAGGCAGCACTAATATAAAAACGCATAAAACAGTTATTTCATTTCCAACATTTACGAGTATCAATGAGCTATCGTATCCATATCTTCTAGCCTGATAATAAGGAATATTACCTTTATCTTCGTCAAAAAATAATAAAAACAAGTTTGGAACTAAATTGAAATCTCCCATTGACTTCAAAAACGCAGAAACTTTATCTGTTAGAGGGTAGCTTGCATAAGGTATGTAGGAAATAAATTGAATAGTATTCAGCATAGTTCATAATGCTGAAGGGTTTGGATTGAGCATTGCTAAAGCTACACTTGATCCAGCTAAAGCTTTTACACCATAAGAAACTTCATTTTGAATTTGAGCCACTTCTTGCTCTTCAGAAGTCATTGCAGATTCATATAAAGAGCCTGATAAATGCTCTTCATAGAGTAAACCTCCAGAGATAGATGCAATTCTAGGCGAATTTATAAATTGCACTGTAATAGTAGTGCCCTTTGATATCTTTCCATCAAAGTTACATGAAATTAAAAACTCTTTGCTTGAAATTTGTGAAATTGATCATGAAGGTATTGTATTATTATGGATTTTTATCAAAATTTCTTCACCCCTCAAACCCTCTTTTAAGATGTCACTGAAGCTCAAAATCAAGGTATTATTTTGGTTAACAGCAAGACTAACATTAAAGGGGATGATTGTGCATGTAATTGTTCCTGTATATCCAGGAGAACAAATACAATTTCCAGAGCTCAGTACAGCATTGCTAATACATCATGTGCATTTATATTCACTATCACATTGAGCACAAAGAGGAGGACAATTATAGCAAGAATCATTTGCTTTAAATTGCCATTGATGGCAAGTTTCACACATTCCTGAGCTTGAATTCCAAGCAAGATCATAGTCACATTGACAGTTTGTAGTATTTGAAGTATTTGAAGTACCAGAAACACATTTAAGGCAGGACTCTTCTGTATAATTATAACAGGATACACATTTTTGGTTGGCACAAAGATTGCAAAATTTACTGGAATCTCTACAACTAAAGCACTCACTGCTGCACTTGGAGCATTTATTATACTCTGGGCCAATCCAGTATTGATTAATTAAACAGTTAGGAATGCAGATCCCATTTGTAAGGCATGCTTTGCAGACTTCTGTGCACTGTGCAGTGGGCAATGCCAGTGATGATATGCTTTTTATTGAGTTATAGCCCTTAATATCATAAATAAATCCTTTAAAATAATTTTTATAGCCAGATAGATCTTTTTCTGCCCCCAATGTAAAAGTAATATCTGTTTTGGTATCTTTAAAATAGTCAGATCCTATATCACTTTGATATTCTGCAATTCCATTTAAATAAAGTGAAATTTTTGTCTCTTTCAGATTTGTGTATTCTGCTGTGAATGCAATATGGTTCCATTCATAAGATTCAAGATTTTGCAAATAAAAGAAGGAATCTACTCCAGAACTCTTAAAGTTTAATGAAATTATTACAGCTCCGGCTGCTAATTGGAGTGAGAAAATTGGATTGTAAAGCAAATCTTGTTTTGAGAGAATAGCTCCAAAATCATTCTCAATATTGATTCATATGGAAAACGTGAAAGAATAGCCAAAACTAAGAACTGGGCTACTATAGCCTGGATAAATAGGTAAATGCATAAGCGAATTCACTCCGTTAAAATAAAACCCTCTATATAAAGCAGCTATTGGATCAAAGTGATCATAATTTGGGTAAAAAGCTGTGCTGTTTCCAGTTAGTGCTGGAATTTTGCTTTGCTTATCATAAACAACTCCTTCCAGAGTATCAAAAGATAGGTAGAAGATGAAAGGATCTTTTTCAACACACGTTGACCCAATTTCTACAAATCCGTCTGGACACTCAGAAATGCATCATCCTAAATACATATAAAACCCATGCGCACAAACAATGCAGTCTCCAGAAGTTGATGATGTACAATTTTTGCAGCTATAATCACATGAAATGCATTTATCACTATTTAAATCTCAATAATAGCCAATATTGCAAGCACAAGGAGTTCCAGACGCATTAGAAATACATTGCGTGCATAAGCCAACTAAGAACCCTGTACAGATACTGCAAAGAGGATCATCACAAACATTGCAAGATACGTTTCTGACACAACCATTTGTGCATGAATTGCAATTTGTAGGCGTTACCCCATTCATTCATTGAGATAGAGGGCAAGTTCAAAGGCAGCTAGCTACTGCTCCTGTGCCACATATTTGGTCTGAGTACTGAGTGTTAAAATTTGAAACTGCTACATTTCATAAAGTGAATTGGTAAATGTACCCAAAAAAATTACTTGACGAGCTTTTCCCAAGAATCAATACATTGTTTACAGTATCTCTATATATGTATCCATTGAATGTTGTAGATGTGTGTGGAGAATTGTTGAGATAAGGAGAAATAGTTGTAGAAATTGCTGATGATAAAAAAGAAATAATAAAAGAAATGTAAACTCACGCTGAATTAGAAGGGTTAAGTGCTGTAGTCGTTATTGTTGCCATAGATTGTACCTTATCTTCTAGTGTAATTTTCAAGACTCCACTTGCAGATACAGCTATTTTATATCCAGAACTATTTGTCAAAATATCTCCTGAGCCAGATAATATTCAAACCCACATTCCAACTGAAAAATTAAGAGAAATATAAACAATTGAAGTTGTTTGAAGATATGAGCCTCCAGAAAAATAAAGCCCTCGCTTTTTAGCTGGTATTGGGTCTACTACTTCAGGATTATTAAAAAAATAATAGCTGCTTGAGCTTGTCCCTGTTTGAAATAATCCATATCCCCCATAAAAATAGTTAGCAAAATTTTGATCAATAACTGCTGTTGAAACCGAAGCACAAGATGTGCCAAATCCATAAGGGCACGCTCTCAAGCAAACATTTGAAATCAGCACATTTGTTGAACAACTTGCACAAATATTTTCTGAGCTACATGATGTGCATAATTTGTCACAAATAACGCATTTTCTTGAAGCAGCCACCCAAATAGAGTTTGCATTGCATTGGCATACTCCAGAAATAGAGCTAGCATTATCGATACAAGTTTTACAATTTAAATCAGCTGTATTGCATTCCAAGCATCTTGGCTGATAGCACATATTGCAATAATCAGCCACACTGCAATCCCCTCTCACCAAAATTATTCCTGAAAGTGTTGGATTATCACTAACTGGGTAAAATCTAATAACCAATTTTCCTCCTGAATAAGCACCAGTAATTGCATTTCCAGCAATTGAAACAGTTCCACTTGATAAAGTAAAAGGTATGAAAATATCATAAGCAGTCATTGCCCCTACAGTCCCAACTATATCTAAATGATTATAAGCAATATAATCTCCAATTTTGACATTTCATACTCTGATATTGGCAATTAAATAATATATCTCACTACCCCTTCCGTGAGCGAACAAAAATATTTTATTCTCTTACTGGAGAGGTTAATTTTTTTTTTAAAAAATTTATAAATTTAAAAAAAATTCCAATTGAGAAGCAAAAATTAATTTAATTTACAAAATTTATATTTTAAAAATGTGAGTTGCTTAAATCAATCAGAATTAGCTAGAGATTTCATTATAATAATTATCATTTATATATCGATTTATTTTTTTTAAAAAAATTTTTGTTCGCTCACAGAGGGTGGGTTTTGGGCAAAAATAGAGATTTTTCCTATGGTTTGCTCGCTCACAGAGGGAGTCAGCAAATTGAAGAATAAGCACATATGTCCCATCAGCGCTAATAGGAAGGTCATACCCTCAAATCCCTGTGTATCATCTTTCAGATTGGTAAACAAATTCATTTGCTGTATGAGCTATATGATTTGCTGTAGTATAAATATAGGATCCTGCTGGATAATAGATATCATCAGAGTATGAAAACCCGAAAGAGGACATCTGAGCTGAGCCTCCTCCTTTGATAGCTAAAACAACAGTTGAAGCATCAAGAGAGTAAATTACTAACAAATTCAGAAAAATTAAGGCAACATAACTCAGGCGAACTTTCATATTTTATATGAAAATTTCCTAAATTTAGAGTTATGTAACGAGACTTAAATAGCATAAATGTATAGCAAAGCTTTGATTGAGATTATAATCTTAATAATTAATACTTCTTTATTCCGATAATTGATTCTAAAATATTTTTTATCTCACCCTCTAGGATTTTATTTACCCTTTATACAATTATCATCATAATAGGATAAATTTCTTGATACTTCTTCTAGGGCTTTTTTTTATGTAAACCTTTAAATTGCTTCTTTTATGCGTAATTGTTTTTGCATTTGCATATTTATCTTTTCATATTTTTAGCTAAGGGATGGATACTTTCTTGTCTAAAATCAAAGAAATCATGTTTTAGACTTCTATATTTTACTAATAAAGTAATGATAGTTTAACTATATCGTAATTAATCTTAAAAACTAAAATTAAGCTTACTCACTTTTTTCCTTATTTTTCTAGCTCATTTCTAATAGCTTAATCTTTGAGTTGCAGAATAAAATTTTGTCTTTTGGTATTAAAAGCTTTATTTTAAATAGTAAAAAATATATTACCGATAAATAATTAAAAATAGAGCAATCTATATAAAGCATACACATAAAGATGACACTGCATTTATTGTAAGTTGACTTTGGGGAAAATCAGTTAAAAATATGCATGAAATATTGGAGTAATTACTATAAGTATCTATGTTATCATTACAATGAAAATTCAGCATATAAGATAGTTGATGAATCTAAGTGGATTTCCTAAAATTTCATAATCTTCTGTACTCAAAACCCCAATTACAGAGGCAAAGCCAATCTCAAGATAGCATACAATCCAAAATCGTAAAAAGGTATCAAATTTATACTCTCTAAATATTTTTTTAAAACTTCTTTCCAATGAATCTTTGAGAACATTTAGAAAAAAAATAAAACGATAGGGATCGCAGTTATAATGCTGCACAGTGCAGTTATATCATTTCCAATATTTACATGTATCAAATAGCTATCATATCCATATTTTTTGGCTTGGTAATAAGGCTGATATTTGTTATTTTCATCAATAAAAAATGAAAACATATTTGGAACAAAATTGAAATCGTTCATTGACTTAAAAAATGCTGAAACTTTGTCTGATATAGGGTAGCTTGCATAAGGTATGTAGGAAATAAATTGAATAGTGTTTAGCATAGTTCATAGTCCAGAAGGGTTTGTATTAAGCATTGCTAAAGCTACACTTGATCCAACCAAAGCTTTTACCCCAGAAGAAACTTGCTTTTGAATTTTGAGCCACTTCTTGCTCTTCAGAAGTTTCATATAAAGAGCCAGATAAATATTCTTCATGGATAAAACCTCCAGAGATCGATGTAATGCTTGTAGAATTTATAAAAATGCACAGTAATAATAGTTCCCTTTGAAATCTTTCCAGCAAACTTGCACGATATTAAATACTCTTTGCTTGAAACTTGAGAAATTGATCATGATGGGATTGTATGTTTTATTAATTTGAATCAAAATCTGTTCGTTTCTTAAATTCTGCTTTAAATCATCACTGAAGGCCAGAACCAAGGTATTGTTTTTGTTAACAACAAGACTGACATTAAAAGGAATATATGTGCATTCAGTTGTTCCTATATATCCAGGAGAGCAAGCACAGCTTCCAGAGTTTAATACAGCATTGTTAACGCACGATGTGCATTTATTTTTTACTATCACATTGAGCACAAAGAGGAGGACAATATCATAGCAAGAATCATTCGCTTTGTATTGCCATTGATGGCAAGTCTCACACATTCCTGAGCTTGAGTTTCAAGCAAGACTATGGTCACATTGGCAGTTCGTTGTATTTGAAGCACCAGAAGCACATTCAAGGCAGGACTGTACGGTAAAATCATAACAGGATACACATTTTGGGTTAGCACAAAGATTGCAAAATTCATTGGAATCTCTACAGCTAAGACATCCACTGCTACATTTGGAGCATTTATTATATTCTGGGCCAATCCAATACTGAGAAATTAAACAATTAGGGATGCAGACTCCATTTGTAAGACATGCTTTACAGTTTTCTGTACATTGGGCTGCAGGCATCACTAATGCTAATATGCTTTTTACTGATTTATAGCCCTTGATATCATAAATAAATCCTTGAAAATGATTTTTATAGCCAGATGAGCCTTTTTCTGCTCCCAATGTAAAAGTGATATCTGTTTTGCTATCTTCAAAATAGTCGGATCCTATATTGCTTTCGTGATCTAAATTTCCATTTAAATAAAGTGATATTTTTGTCTGTTTCAAATTTGAATATTCAGCTTTGAATGCAATATGGCTTCATTCATAAGATTCAAGACTTTGCAAATACAAGAAGGAATTCAGCCGAGAAGTCTTAAAGTTTAATGAAACTATTACAGCTCCACCTGCTAATTGGAGAGAGAAAATTGGGTTGTAAAGCAAATCTTGTTTTGAGACAATAGTTCCAAAACCATTTTCAATGTTGACTCATATTGAAAAGGTAAAAGAATCGCCAAAGCTGAGAACTGGGCTGCTATACCCGGTATAAACAGGTAAATGCATAACTGAGCTCACTCCATTAAAATAAAAACCTCTATATAAAGCAGCTATTGGATCAAACTCGTCATAATTTGGGTAAAAAGCTGTGCTGTTTCCAGTTAGCGCTGGAATTTTGCTTTGCTTATCAAAAACAACTCCTACCAGAGTATCAAATGACAAGTAAAAGATGAAAGGATCGTTTTCAACACACAAAGACCCACTTTCAATAAACCCATCTGGACACTTATCAACGCATCATTCTAAGTACATATAAAATCCAGACGCACAAACAATGCAGTCTCCAGAAGTCGATGATGTGCAAGTTTCGCAGCTATGATCACATGGCAAGCATTTATTACTAGTTAAATCTCAATAATAGCCAAGATTGCAAATGCAAGGAGTCCCTGATGCATTTAAAATGCATTGTGTGCATAGGCCTACTAAGAATCCTGAGCAGATACTGCAAAGAGGATCATCACAAACATTGCAGGATGTATTTCTAACACAACCATTTGTGCATGAATTGCAATTTGTAGGCGTTACCCCATTCATTCATTGAGATAGGGGACAAGTTCAAAGGCAGCTAGTTATTGTTCCTGTGCCACATATTTGGTCTGAGTATTGAGTGTTAAAATTTGAAACTGCTACATTTCATAAAGTGAATTGGTAAATATATCCCAAAAAATTACTTGACGAGCTTTTCCCAAGAATCAATATATTATTTACAGCATCTCTATATATGTAGCCATTGGTTGTTGTAGATGCTTGCGGAACTTGTTGATGATGAAAATGAAATAATAAAAGAAATGTAAACTCACGCCGAGTTTGAAGGGTTAAGCGCTGGAGTCGTTACTGTAATAACAGATTCTGTATTACTCTCTAAAATGATTGTCATAGCCCCACTTGAAGATAGCGCTATTTTATATCCATAACTATTTGTTAAGATATCTCCTGAGCCAGATAATATCCAAACCCATATCCCAATAGAAAAATTAAGTGAAATATAAACAGTTGAAGTCGTTTGAATATATGAGCCTCCAGAAAAATAGAGCCCTCGATTTTTCGCTGGGATGGGGTCTAATATTTCAGGAGTATTGAAAAAATAATAGCTGCTTGAGCTTGTCCCTGTTTGAAATAATCCATAAATTCCATAAAAATAATTTGCAAAATTTTGATCAATAACTGCGCTTGAAACAGAAGCACAAGATGTTCCAAATCCATATGGGCATGCTCTTAAGCAAACATTTGAAACTAGCACGTTTGTGCCTAAGCAAGTTGTGCAGCTAAACTTATCTGAGCATGATGAACACAATTTGTCGCAAATAATGCATTTTCTTGAAGAAACATCCCAATAAGTGCCTAAATTGCATTGACATACTCCACTTATAGTGCTAGCATTAGTGATACAAGTAGTGCAGGTCAGAGTAGCAGCATTGCATACCAAGCATCTTGCTTGATAGCACATATTACAATAATCAGCCACACTACAATCTCCACTCACTAAAATTATTCCTGAAAGTTTTGGATTTTCTGCAACTAAATAAAATCGAACTAATAATTTGCCAGCTGAATAAGCTCCAGATACTGTATTCCCTGAAATTGAAACTGAATTACTCGATAGTGTAAAAGTTATAAAAATATCGTAGGCTGTACGATATCCTACAGTAGCGACCAAGTCTAAATTATTAGCAACAACATAGTCTCCAATTTTTACAGTAAATATTCTTTTATTGGTATTTGAGAAATTGACCTCAGCAAATTGGAGGATGAGCACATATGTCCCATCTGTGCTAACAGGGAGGTCATATCCTCAAGTCACTGAATCTCATCTTTCAGTTTGGTAAATAAATTCATTTACTGTATGGGCTATATTTCCGCCTTTGTTGCTAGCTTTACTTGTTGATGTGTAATATATATCAGAGGAGTATGAAAAACCAAAAGAGGACGAATAGGCTGAGCCTCCTGCATTTATTGCTAAAACGATTGTTGAAGCATCAAGTGAGTAAATAGCTAATAAATTCAGAGAAATCAAAGCAAAATAAAGCTGGCGAACTTTCATTTTATTTATAAAATTACACAAATTTAAGATTGTATGAGCAAATTAGCACAGCACAAGCATCTAGTAATATTTAATTGAAATTCTTAATCATTTTATTATTAGCTTCTGGTGATTTAAATTAGTCGAGAAATAAAATGGAAACAAAAATTTTACTAAATAACTTATATTTATTTTTTATGCCAAAAGAATAAGATTTATAATATTGAAAACTCTTTATAGTTTTTAACGATACTGAAGCTAAAAATTATTTAGCGTGATCCCAATAATCAAATTTATAAAAATAGATGTTTGTTTCGAATTTATTAAAATTATAACTTTGCTGATAAAAGTTTATTTTTATCCTATATTATTATAATTTATACTTTTGCTTCTGAATTTTGGTTGGCAAGGTGCTTCCGAAGCCATTGTTCAGGTATTTATATAAATTCTTTTTTCATTTTTATTTATCTTTTCTTCTGGATAAATTTCATTATTCATACTTCTTTTAGCAACAGAATAAACTTCTTTTATAGAATTTATTAGAGGCCCAACTGTTTGCACTGCCATAAGACAAATAGCAAAATAAATAATTAAGTTGTCGGTAATATTAATCCCCGCAGAGCCCAGATCAAAAAAATATGGACTTAGGAGAGTGAAAATAGTAAAAATCCCAAACTCAGTAATTAAGTTTGTAATCTGGATTACAGAGTTATCAAAAGGCTTATAATAAATTAAAAATAAAACAATCTATATATAAAACATACACATAAAGATGACACTGCATTTATTGTAAGTTGACTTTGAGGAAACTTATTCAAAAATACTTGGGTGATAATAAAAATTATGCGCCTTGCAAAATATAGAGTATAAAATTGTGTGCTCATAAATCCTGCATTATTCTTGAACTCGTAATATAAGGAGCCTCACCTAGTGAACCATTTTTTATTTCTTCTATCTACAATTCTGCTTAAATTCTTGAAGCTAAAATATGCATGAAGAAAAGGCGTAATTGCTATAAGCATCTAAATTATAATTACAATAAAAAATCAGCAAATGAAATAGTTAGATATATTAAGCGGATTTTCTAAGATTTCATAATTTTCAGTGCTCAAAACCCCAATTATAGAAGCAAAACCAATTTCAAGATACCATACAATCCAAAATCGTAAAAAAGTACTAAATTTATACTCTCTAAGTAATTTTTTAAATTTCTTTCCAATAAATCCCTGAGAACATTTAGAAAAAAAATAAACGATAGGGATCGCAGTTATAACACAACACAAAGCAGTTATATCATTTCCAACATTTACAAGCAACAATAAGCTATCATATCCATATTTTCTGGCTTGATAATAAGGTGGGTTACTTTGATTTTTATCAATGAACAATAAAAAAATATTTGGAACTAAATTGAAATCGCCAATTGACTTAAAAAATGCAGAAATTTTGTCTGTTAAAGGGTAGTTTGCATAAGGTATGTAGGAAATAAATTGAATAGTGTTCAGAATAGTTCATAGAGCTGAAGGGTTTGGATTGAGCATTGCTAAAGCTACACTTGTTCCAACCAAAACTTTTACTCCAGAAGAAACTTGATTTTGAATTTGAGCCACTTCTTGCTCTTCAGAAGTCAAAGATTCATATAAAGAGCCTGATAAATAATCTTCGTGGATTACACCTCCAGAAATCGATACAATGCTTGTAGAATTTATAAAGCACACTATAATAGTAGTGCCCTTTGAAATCCCTCCATCAAAATTGCATGATATTAAATACTCTTTGCTTGAAACTTGAGAAATGGATCATGATTGAATTTTATTATTATGAATTTGTATAGAGGTTTCCTCTATATAGCGCTAAAAGCGCAGACATTTTCCCAGGAGCTTTCCAAGTTCGTCGGACCAAATCGCTTTTTGGTCCGACCAAGGCATTGATTTGGTGCAAACCTACCGATAAAATTCCGATCAGAATTTATCGGCCTTACAGCGCCAAACATAGGAAACTTCTATATCATAATTTGATCGTGATTTAATAAATCTTTCTTTAATATATCACTGAAGGCCAGAACTAAAGTATTATTTTTGTTAACAACAAGACTGACATTAAAGGGGATAAATGTGCATTCAGTTATTCCTATGTATCCAGGAGAGCAAGCACAGCTTCCAGAATTTAATACAGCATTGTTAATGCACCATGTGCATTTATTTTTACTATCACATTGAGCACAGAGAGGAGAACAATCATAGCAAGAATCATTCGCTTTGTATTGCCATTGATGGCAAGCCTCGCATATTCCTGAACTTGAGTTTCAAGCAAGACCATAGTCACATTGACAGTTTGTTGCATTTGAAGTACCAGAAACACATTCAAGGCAGGAATCTCCAGTAAAATCATAACAGGATGCACACTTTTGATTATCACAAAGATTGCAAAATTTACTGGAATCTCTACAGCTAAAACATCCACTGCTGCATTTGGAGCATTTATTATATTCTGGACCAATCCAATACTGAGAAATTAAACAATTAGGAATGCAAACTCCATTCGCAGGACATGCTTTACAATTTTCGTTACATTGAACTGCAGGTAATGCAAGTGCTGATATGCTTTTTACTGAGTTATAACCTTTAATATCATAAATGAACCCCTTAAAATAATTTTTATAGCCAGATAGATCTTTTTCTGCTCCCAATGTAAAAGTAATATCTGTTTTGGTATCTTTAAAATAGTCAGATCCAAAATCGAGTTCATTAGCTTGTATTCCATTCAAATAAAATGTCATTTTTGTCTCCTTTAAACTTGTGTATTCTGCTGTGAATGCAATATGATTTCATACATAAAATTCAAGATTTTGCAAATAATAGAATGAAGCCAATCCAGAGCTCTTAAAGTTTAATGAAACCACTGCAACTCCAGCACTTAGCTGGAGAGAAAAAATTGGATTATAAAGTAAATCTTGTTTTGAGAGAATAGTTCCAAAGCCACTCTCAGTATTGACTCATATAGAAAAAGTAAAAGAATAGCCAAAGCTGAGAACTGGGCTACTGTAGCCTGGATAAATAGGTAAATGCATGAGTGAGTTTACTCCATTAAAATAAAAACCTCTGTATAAAGCAGCTATTGGATCAAAGTCATCATAATTTGGGTAAAAAGTTGTGCTGTTTCCTGTTAAAGCTGGAATTTTGCTTTGCTTATCAAAAACAACTCCTTCAAGAGTATTAAATGAAAGATAAAAGATAAAAGGATCTTTTTCAACACACAATGACCCACTTTCTATCAATCCATCTGGACACTTAGAAATGCATCATCCTAAATACATATAAAAGCCAGACGCACAAATAATGCAGTCTCCAGAAGTCGATGATGTACAAGTTTTGCAGCTATAATCGCATGATAAGCATGTATTACTAGTTAAATCTAAATAATAGCCAATATTGCATTGTGTGCATAGGCCTGCTAAGAACCCTGCACAGACACTGCAAAGTGGATCGTTACAAACATTGCAGGATGCATTTCTAACGCAACCATTTGCGCATGAATTACAATTTGTAGGTGTTATCCCATTCATTCATTGAGATAAGGGGCAAGTTCAAAGGCAGCTAGCGATTGCTCCTCTGCCACATATTTGGTTTAAGTATTGAGCGTTAAAATTTGAAACTGCTACATTTCATAAAGTGAATTGGTAAATATAGCTCATGCACCCTAATAGATCTCTATACCCCAGCAGAATACCGACCAGAAAAAGTATAGTACAGGGCTCCTGCCTTATACAGTATAAGTCTGATTAGGTACCTAAAAACCATAAACGGAGACTTGTCATTTTCGCTTTTACTTTTCAGAAAAGCTAGCAAATGCAAATTAATTTTGGAAATTAAAAAGGATGGCCAATATTGATCTAAAATATTTCAGGGCTATATATCCCAAAAAATTACTTGACGAGCTTTTTCCAAGAAATATATAATTATTGACAGCGTCTCTATATATGTATCCATTGGCTGTTGTAGATGTTTGTGGAGAATTGTTGAGATAAGGAGAAATAGTTGAAGAGCTTGTTGATGCTGAAAATGAAATAATAAAAGAAATATAAACTCACGCTGAATTTGAAGGGTTAAGTGTTGCAGTTGTTATTGTAGTCATAGATTCTGTTTTATCCTCTAACACTATTGTCATAGCTCCATTCGCAGAAATCGTTATTTTATACCCAGAACTATTTGTCAAGATATCTCCTGAGCCAGATAATATCCAAACCCACAATCCAATAGAAAAATTAAGCGAGATATATATAGTTGAAGTTGTTTGAAGATAAGAGCTTCCAGAAAAATAAAGCCCTCGGTTTTTTGCTGGTATTGGATCTACTGCTTCAGGATTATTGAAAAAATAATATAACTTAGGCACCTTTATGGGTTGAGACTGAAAAAATCTTTTGACGTCTGCACTCCTGCAGTCTCAAATAGATTAATTTAACAATAAGTTTAAACCAAGGAATTGCAATTCAAAAATTGCTATTTAAAACTGTTAGATAGCTAACGAGAAAGTAAAAGAGGATAAAAGTGTCCAAGACGGATCAGTAAAGGTGCATTTACTATAGCTACTTGAGCTTGTCCCTGTTTGAAATAATCCATAAGCTCCATAAAAATAATTTGCAAAATTTTGATCAATAACTGCGCTTGAAACTGAAGCACATGATGCACCAAATCCATATGGGCATGCTCTTAAACAAACATTTGAAACTAGCATATTTGTGCCTAAGCAAGCTGTACAGTAAAACATATCTGAACATGATGAACATAATTTGTCACAAAAAGCACATTCTCTTGTGCCCGTTGCTCAATAAGTGCCTAAATTACATTGGCATACTCCATTTATAGTGCTAGCATTAGTGATACAAGTAGCGCAGGTCAGAGTAGCCACATTGCATGCCAAGCATCTTGCTTGATAACACATATTGCAATAATCAGCCACACTGCAATCTCCACTCACCAAAACTATTCCTGAAAGTTTTGGATTTTCTGCAACTAGCTCCCCCATCCTTGAGGGAATAAAATAATTTATAGAAAGGGGTTAATTTTTTTGTTTCATGAAAATTTTTGTTCGCTACTGAAGATAGTTTTCAGCCAAAAAATAAATATTTTTACCCCAAGGAGAGGATTAAATAAAATCGAACTAATAGTTTGCCGCCTGAATAAGCTCCAGATACTGTATTTCCTGAAATTAAAACAGTGTTACTTGATAATGTAAAAGTTGTAAAAATATCGTAAGCTGTAAATTCCCCTACAGTAGCGTATAAGTCTAAATTATTAGTAACAACATAATCTCCAATTTTCACAGTGAAAACTCTGTAATTGATGATATTATAATAGATTTCAGCAAACTGGAGAATAAGCACATATGTCCCATCTGTACTAATAGGGAGGTCATATCCTCACGTCACTAAATCTCATCTTTCAGATTGGTAAATATATTGATTTACTGTATGGGCTATATTTAAGCCGGGCAGAGTACTATCTTTACTTCCTGATGTGTAATATAGATCAGAAGAGTATGAAAAGCCAAAAGAGGATGTATAAGCGGAGCCTCCAGCATTGATCGCTAAAACGATTGTTGAGGGGTCTAGCGAGTAAATAAACAATAAATTCAGTGAAATCAAGGCAAAATAAGCCTGGCGAACTTTCATTTTATTTATATAATTTTAGGTTTTTAATAGGAAATTAGCTAAAATAGTAAATAATATTTGACCGAAAAGCGGAATCTCAATAATAAATTGCTTTATGCTTGCTACAAATGCTAAATAAATTTCATTATAAACTTTTTTGATTTTATAATTTTTTTAAAATCAGATTTTCTTTATAATTTATACTTTTGCTTTTACATTTTGGTTGGCAAGGTCCTTCCGAAGGCACTGTTCAGGTATTTATATAAATCCTTTTCTCATTTTTATTTATCTTTTCTTCTGGATAAATTTCTTTATTCATGCTTCTTTTGGAAACAGAATAAACTTCTTTTATAGAATTTATTAGAGGTCCGACTGTTTGCACTGCCATAAGAAGAATAGCAAAATAAATAATTATGTTGTCGATAATATTAATCCCCGCAGGGCCCAGATCAAAAAAATATCGACTTAGGAGCATAAAAATAACAAAAATCCCAAATTCAGTAATTAAATTTGTAACCTAGACTACAGAGTTATCAAAAGGCTGATAAATAATTAAAAATAAAGCAACCTATATAAATCATACACATAAAGATGACACTGCATTTATTGTAAGTTGACTTTGAGGAAAATCATTTAAAAATACTTGGTGATAATAAATATTATGCGCCTTACAAAGTATAGAGTATAAAATTGATGCTCATAAGTCCTCTATTATTCTTGAACTCGTAATATAAGGAGCTTCATCTAGTGAACCATTTTTATTTCTTCTATTTAGATGAGATGAGATACTTCGTACAGTTGCTTTATATGCACTTAGTTTGCTCATACTTTAAAATTATGATTCCTATTTATAAAAGTCCAAAAAGTTATTATTTGCGCTCTATAATTTTATCAACTGAGTAAACAATTTTTACAGTTAATCATCCAATTCTGTTTAAATTCTTGAAGCTAAAATATGCAAGAAGAAAAGGAGTAATCGTTATAAGAATCTAAATTATCATTACAATAAAAAATCAGCAAATGAAATAGTTAGATAATCTAAACGGATTTTCTAAGATTTTATAATATTCTGTGCTCAAAACCCCAATTATAGAAGCAAAACCGATTTCAAGATACCATACAATCCAAAATCGTAAAAAAGCACCAAATTTATACTCTCTAAGTAATTTTTTAAATTTCTTTCGAATGATTCTCTGAGAGCATTTAGAAAAAAAATAAACTAAAGGCATCAAAATTATAACAAATAACAGAGCAGTTATATCATTTACACATTTAAAAGTATCAATAAGCTATCATATCCATATTTTCTGGCTTGATAATAAGGTGGGTTACTTTGATTGGTATCAATAAATAATAAAAATAAATTTGGAACTAAATTGAAATCGCTCATTGACTTAAAAAATGCAGAAATTTTGTCTGTTAAAGGGTATCTGGCATAAGGTATGTAGGAAATAAATTGAATAGTGTTCAGCATAGTTCATAGAGCTGAAGGGTTTGGATTGAGCATTGCTAAAACTACACTTGATCCAACCAAAATTTTTACTCCAGAAGAAACTTGATTTTGAATTTGAGCCACTTCTTGCTCTTCAGAAGTCAAAGATTCATATAAAGAGCCTGATAAATAATCTTCGTGGATTACACCTCCAGAAACCGATACAATGCTTGTAGAATTTATAAAGTGTACTATAATAGTAGTGCCCTTGAAAATCCCTCCATCAAAATTACATGATATTAAATACTCTTTGCTTGAAATTTGAGAAATTGATCATGATAGAATTTTATTATTATGAATTTGCATCATAATTTGGTCATGATTTAAACCTTTCTTTAGCATGTCACTGAAGGCTAGGACTAAAGTATTATTTTTGTTAACAACAAGACTGACATTAAAGGGGATAAATGTGCATTCAGTTATTCCTATGTATCCAGGAGAGCAAGCACAGCTTCCAGAATTTAATACTGCATTGTTAATGCACGATTTGCATTTATTTTTACTATCACATTGAGCACAGAGAGGAGGACAATCATAGCAAGAATCATTTGCTTTGTATTGCCATTGATGGCAAGTCTCGCACATTCCTGAGCTTGTATTCCAAGCAAGTTTGGTGCAAAACTTTCTCTCATTTTGGTAGACTATTTGATCAAAATCATGCAAATTTTTTCTTCAAAAATATTGAGGCAAAATTAAAAAGTTTTCAGTAAAAATAATTTGATAATATGCATGATTGTCAAAACCGGAGAATAAAATGCATATAGCCAGCAAGATCATAGTCACATTGGCAATTTGTTGTATTTGAAGTCCCAGAAACACATTTAATGCAGGAATCTCCAGTAAAATCATAGCAGGATCCACACTTCTGATTATCACAAAGATTGCAAAATTCACTGGAATCTCTACAGCTTAAGCATTCAATGCTGCATTTTTAGCATTTATTATATTCAGGATCAATCCAATACTGAGAAATTAGACAATTAGGGATGCAGACTCCATTCGCGGGACATGCTTTACAGTTTTCTGTGCATTGGTCTGCAGGTAATGCAAGTGCTGATATGCTTTTTACTAAATAATTTATGTGTTCATTTTATAGCGAAAAGAAACTCTGATCCTATTAAATGGCAGCTAATACTAAAGTTTTATTCATAATAAAGGGTGCATATATTTATTTTTATACCAAAAGAATAAGATTTATAATAATAAAAACTTTTTACAGTTCATATCAATACTGAAGCTAAAATTTATTTAACTCGATTCCAATAATCATCTTCATTATATATGCCTATCGAAATTCATAAAAAATAGATGCCTTATTTCAAATTTATTAAAACTATAATTTTTGCTACACGATTATTGATAAAAATTTATTTATATCCTATATTATTATAGTTTTTACTATTGCGTCTGCATTTTGGTTCGCAAGGTGCTTCCGAAGGTATCGTTCAAGTATTTATATTGATCCTTTTCTTATTTTTATTTATCTTTTCTTCTGGATAAATTTCTTTATTCATGCTTCTTTTGGCAACAGAATAAACTTCTTTTATAGAATTTATTAGAGGCCCGACTGTTTGTACTGCCATAAGAAAAACAACAAAATAAATAATCAAGTTGTCGATAATATTAATCCCCGAAGAGCCCAGATCAAAAAAATATGGACTTAGGAGAGTGAAAATAGTAAAAATCCCAAACTCAGTAATTAAGTTTGTAATCTGGATTACAGAGTTATCAAAAGGCTGATAATAAATTAAAAATAAAACAATCTATATAAATCATACACATAAAGATGACACTGCATTTATTGTAAGTTGACTTTGAGGAAACTTATTCAAAAATACTTGGGTAATAATAAAAATTATGCGCCTTGCAAAGTATAGAGTATAAAATTGTGTGCTCATAAATCCTGCATTATTCTTGAACTCATAATATAAGGAGCTTCAACTAGTGAACCATTTTTTATTTTTTCTATTTACAATTCTGCTTATATTCTTGAAGCTAAAATATGCATGAAGAAAAGGAGTAATTCCTATAAGCATCTAAATTATCATTACAATAAAAAATCAGCAAATGAAATAGTTAGATAATCTAAGCGGATTTTCTAAGATTTCATAATCTTCTGTGCTCAAAACACCAATTATAGAAGCAAAACCAATTTCAAGATAGCATACAATCCAAAATCGTAAAAAAGCACTAAATTTATACTCTCTAAATAATTTTTTAAATTTCTTTCCAATGAATCTCTGAGAACATTTATAAAAAAAATAAACGATAGGGATCGCAGTTATAACACAACACAGAGCAGTTATATCATTTCCAACATTTACAAGTATCAATAAGCTATCATATCCATATTTTCTGGCTTGATAATAAGGTGGGTTACTTTGATTTTCATCAATGAACAATAGAAATAAATTTGGAACTAAATTGAAATCGCTCATTGATTTTAGAAATGCAGAAATTTTGTCTGTTAAAGGGTAGCTCGCATAAGGTATGTAGGAAATAAATTGAATAGTGTTCAGCATAGTTCATAGAGCTGAAGGATTTGGACTGAACATTGCTAAAGCTACACTTGATCCAACAAAAACTTTTACTCCAGAAGAAACTTGATTTTGAATTTGAGCCACCTCTTGCTCTTCAGAAGTCAAAGATTCATATAAAAAGTCTGATAAATAATCTTCGTGGATTACACCTCCAGAGATCGATACAATGCTTGTCGAATTTATAAAGTGCACTGTAATAGTAGTGCCCTTGGAAATCCCTCCATCAAAATTACATGATATTAAATACTCTTTGCTTGAAATTTGAGAAATTGATCATGATAGAATTTTATTATTATGAATTTGCATCATAATTTGGTCATGATTTAAACCTTTCTTTAGCATGTCACTGAAGGCTAGGACTAAAGTATTATTTTTGTTAACAACAAGACTGACATTAAAGGGGATAAATGTGCATGAAGTTGTTCCTATGTATCCAGGAGAGCAAGCACAGCTTCCAGAATTTAATACTGCATTGTTAATGCACGATTTGCATTTATTTTTAATATCACATTGAGTACAGAGAGGAGGACAATCATAGCAAGAATCATTTGCTTTGTATTGCCATTGATGGCAAGTCTCGCACATTCCTGAGCTTGTATTCCAAGCAAGTTTGGTGCGGAACTTTCTCTTAATTTTTGGTAAACAATTTGATTGAAATCATGCAATTTTTTTTCTTTATTCCCCCCCCTCCGTGAGTGAACAAAAAAATTTTGTTCACTCACGGAGGGGGGTTAATTTTTGTTTTTTAAAAAAAAATTTTATATATAAATTTTATAGAAAATTTTTTCTTCGAAATTTAAAAACTCCTAATTTGCAAAAATTGGGAAGCAAATATTAATTTATTTATAAAATTTATATTTTAAAAACGCAATTTGTTTAAAAATTAAACAGAATTAGCTCTATATTTCATTATACTAATTATCATTTATTATATCAAAATTTTTTTCCATTAAAAATTTTTCTATTAAAAAAATTTTTGTTCACTCACGGAGGGTGGGTTTTTGGGCAAAAAATAGCGATTTTTTCTAATGGTTTTGTTCACTCACGGAGGGGGGGAGTTAGGATTTTTAGTAAAAAATATTGCTCTGATTAGAAGGTTTTCAGTAAAAAATAATTTGATAGTATGTGTGATTTCAAAACCGGAGAATAAAATGCGTATAGCCAGCAAGATCATAGTCACATTGGCAGTTTGTTGTATTTGAAGTACCAGAAACACATTCAAGGCAGGAATCTCCAGTAAAATCATAACAGGATGCACACTTTTGATTATCACAAAGATCACAAAATTCACTGGAATCTCTACAGCTAAGACATTCACTGCTGCATTTGGAACATTTGTTATATTCTGGACCAACCCAATACTGAGAAATTAGACAATTAGGGATGCAGACTTCATTTGTAAGACACGCTTTACAGTTTTCTGTACATTGAACTGCAGGTAATGCAAGTGCTGATATGCTTTTTACTAACTCACACTTTAAATTGGAACAAAGCATCGGTAAATTTGCAATTTAACCCCCTTTAAATTGGAGCAAATTTTGCTTATTCATAGGAAATTTTTATTGATGAAAGTACTAATTTTTATAAAATTAGTTTTGAACAATATAATAGACAAGTGCAGTAAATGCTATTTAAATAGTTCTCAAACTATATGAATTAATTTTTTTATTTAATTTTTTATAAATTAAAAAATTCAAATTATTGCAATTAGAATGTTATTTAAACAATTTTCACACTAATTCAAATAATTTTTTTTTTAAATTTCTTCATAAAAGGAATTTAAATTCAAATTACTGCGCTCAATTTATATTTTTTGAGATCTCAAAATTTTTAATATAAAAGTATTTAAATAAACCTTTAAATTGGAACAGGATTTTTTGTTTCAATTTAAAGGGGGGAGTGAATTATAACCTTTAATATCATATATAAACCCCTTAAAATAATTTTTATAGCCAAATAGATCTTTTTCTGCTCCCAATGTAAAAGTAATATCTGTTTTGATATCTTTAAAATAGTCATATCCAAAATCGTGTCCATCATCTTGTATTCCATTCAAATAGAATGCCATTTTTGTCCGCTTTAAACTTGTGTATTCTGCTGTGAATGCAACATGATTTCATTCATAAGATTCAACACTTTGTAAATAATAGAAAGAAGTCAATCCAGAGCTTTTAAAGTTTAAGGAAACCACTAAAACTCCAGCACTTAGCTGGAGAGAAAAAATTGGATTATAGAGTAAATCTTGTTTTGAGAGAATAATTCCAAAGCCATTCTCAATATTGACTCATATAGAAAAAGTAAAAGAATAGCCAAAGCTGAGAGCTGGGCTATTGTAGCCTGGATAAATAGGTAAATGCATAACTGAATTCATTCCATTAAAATAAAACCCTCTGTATAAAGCAGCTATTGGATCAAAGTCATCATAATCTGGGTAAAAAGCTGTGCTGTTCCCAGTTAAAGCTGGAATTTTGCTTTGCTTATCAAAAACAACTCCTTCAAGAGTATCAAATGAAAGATAAAAGATAAAAGAATCTTTTTCAACGCACGATGACCCGCTTTCTATAAATCCATCTGGACACTTAGAAATGCACCATCCTAAATACATATAAAAGGCAGACGCACAAACAATGCAGTCTCCAGAAGTCGATGATGTGCAAGTTTTGCAGCTATAGTCACATGATAGGCATTTATTACTAGTTAAATCTCAATAATAGCCAATATTGCAAGCGCAAGGAGTCCCTGATGCATTAGAAATACATTGTATGCATAGGCCTACTAAGAACCCTGTACAGACACTGCAAAGAGGATCTTCACAAACATTGCACGATTCATTTCTTACACAACCATTTGTGCATGAATTGCAATTTGTAGGCGTTACCTCATTCATTCATTGAGATAGAGGGCAAGTTCAAAGGCAGCTATTGATTGCTCCTGCACCACATATTTGGTCTGAGTATTGGGTGTTAAAATTTGAAACTGCTACATTTCATAAAGTGAATTGGTAAATATATCCAAAAAAATTGCTCGAAGAGCTTTTCCCAAGAATCAATGCATTGCTTACAGCATCTCTATATATGTATCCATTGGATGTTGTAGATGTTTGTGGAGAATTGTTTAGAGAAGGGGCAATCGTTGTAGAACTTGTTGATGGTGAAAATGAAATAATAAAAGAAATGTAAACTCACGCTGAATTTGAAGGGTTAAGTACTGCAGTCATTACTGTAGTCATAGATTCGATATTACTCTCTAACACAATTGTCATAGATCCACTTGAAGATATCGTTATTTTATAGCCAGAACTATTTGTCAAAATATCTCCTGAGTCAGATAATATCCAAACCCACATTCCAATTGAAAAATTAAGCGAAATATATACAGTTGAAGCGGTTTGAAGATATGAGCCTCCAGAAAAATAAAGCCCTCGGTTTTTAGCTGGGATGGGGTCTACTACTTCAGGATTGTTAAAAAAATAATATAACTTAGGCTTCTTTATGGGTTGAAATTGAAACTTTTTTTTGTCTCCTCGATTGCAGTCTTAAATAGATTAAATGCCAAAATTAATTTAACAATAAGCTAAATCAAGGAATTGCCATTCATAGATTTCCATTTAAAGCTGCTATATAAATAGTCAACGGAGTGTAGAAGAGGATAAAAGTGCCCAAGACGGATCAGTAAAGGTGCATCTACTATAGCTGCTTGAGCTTGTCCCTGTTTGAAATAATCCATAAGCTCCATAAAAATAATTTGCAAAATTTTGATCAATAACTGCGCTTGAAACTGAAGCACAAGATGCACCAAATCCATATGGGCATGCTCTTAAACAAACATTTGAAACTAGCACATTTGCGCCTAAGCAAGTTGTGCAGCTAAACTTATCTGAGCATGATGAACACAATTTGTCGCAAATAATGCATTTTCTTGAAGAAGCATCCCAATAAGTGCCTAAATTACATTGACATACTCCACTTATAATGCTAGCATTAGTAATACAAGTAGTGCAGGTGAGAGTAGCAACATTGCATACCAAGCATCTTGCTTGATAACACATATTGCAATAATCAGCCACACTGCAATCTCCACTCACCAAAACTATTCCTGAAAGTTTTGGATTCTCTACAACCTAGCTCCCCATCCGCGAGAGAACAAAAAAAATTTTGCTCGCTTCCAAAAGGGTTAATTTTTTTAAAAATAAATTATTATTTATATATCATTTTTCCATAAAAATTTTAATATTAAAAATTTTCGTTCGTTTAGTAAAGATAATTTTAGCACAAAAAAGTAATTTTGTTGCCCAAAGAGAGGATTAAATAAAATCGAACTAATAAATTGCCACCTGAATAAGCTCCAGAAACTGTATTTCCTGAAATTAAAATTGTATTATTTGATAATGTAAAAGTTGTAAAAATATCATAAGCTATATGATACCCTACAGTAGCGTATAAGTCTAAATTATTAGCAACAACATAGTCCCCAATTTTTACAGTGAAAACTCTATAATTGGCGGCTGAGAAAATGATCTCACTCCCCCCCAATCCTTGATCGAACGATTGACTGTAAAAATCCTAAAAATTGGGGAAATTAACCCCCATCCTTGATCGAACGATTTTCATATCATGCAAATTTTTTATATATAAAAAATTAGTTATCGAAAGCTTGGGAAGAAGTACCTAATGAAATTGTTTTCAGATACTTTGAGACGACAGAAAGCTACTGAATCAACCATCCGAAGTGATTTAGTCATCAACCTAGGCTTAAAACTCAATAATCTAAAAATAGAGATTTTTTAAAATTAAAAAAAAAAAATAATTTAATTCAATAAGAAACAAATTTAAATTTATACAGTTTAAAGGGGTGACTAATAAATCAAAATATTAAAAATTGTAATTTTTATGATTAATTCAATTTTTTGCTGTAAAAATAATTATTAAATAACCTTAACCCTCTTAATTAAAAGTAAATAAAAAAATATATATATTATATATAGAAATTGCCCGAGGATGGCGCTATATTGCGCCATCCTCGGGCAATTGGAGACACGGCTCCACACGGGAATTGTGTTCCACGTGTGGAGCCATTTTTCCACGTGGGAAAATGTGGATTCCACACGTGGAAAAATGGCTCCACACGTGGAATACGGTTCCCGTGTGGAGCCAATTTTCGCTTGCCCTAGGATGGCGCCCATATAGCGCCATCCTAGGGCAAATCCTATATTATTTTATATATAAATTTTTTTTCCCAAAACAATTTTTTTAACCCCCATCCTTGATCGAACGATGGCGAGCCGTTCGATCAAGGATGGGGGGAGTCAGCAAATTGAAGAATAAGCACATATGTCCCATCTGTGCTAATAGGGAGGTCATATCCTCAAGTCTCTGAGTTTCATCTTTCAGATTGATAAATAAATTCATCTACTGTATCAGCTATATTTATGCCTGCTAGATTGCTAACTTTATTTGTTGCTGGGGTATAATAGATATCATCAGAGTATGAAAAGCCAAAAGAAGATGTATAAGCTGAGCCTCCTGAATTGATAGCTAAAACGATTGTTGAGACATCAAGCGAGTAAGTAAACAATAAATTCAGAGAAATTAAGGCAAAATAAATCTGGCGAACTTTCATTTTATATATAAAAATTATGTAAATTTAGGTTTACATAAGGAAATTAATATAAAATGTAAATAATATTTGACCCAAATCGGAATCTCAATAATGAATTTTTTATGCTTGTTATAAATGCTAAAATCAATTTCATTCAAATAAAATGCTATCTTTTTTAATTTTTTTTATAATAATTAAGCAAATTTTCTTTACACTTCTTCCAAGATTTTGCTATTTTTACACAAAGCCTTTTATTGCTTTTTTATGCTAAAATAATCTTACTCTCTATCCTTAATCGAATGATTTTCATATGGCCAATTCCTTACTTACTAAAATCTAACTTCCTTTGTTTTTAAATAATGAATCTTAGATATATTGCAGTATAATATTCTATCTATTATTGATAGCGCATAAAATGTTTGTTATAGGAAAATTTATGTTTATTTTGCAATGAAAGATTTAAAAAAATATCATAAATGTTTTGGATTGAAAAAAATTGAATGGAATAATGAAAGAATTGTTGAATATTTATCAATTATATTGAATTATTTAAGATATTTATGAAAAATAAAAAAATACTGAATTTTTAAAAAATTACTCAAGCATAAAGATATTTATTTTTCAGAATTATGAAGAGAAGTAAGTCTTTCTTAACTAATTAAAATTAAAAAAATAATGATGAAAATATTTATAATAATGAGCATGAAGCTCGGCAAAATAAGCCAAGGAAAAGTTTTATAATTAAAAATGATTCTTCTATCTCCTCATTTAAAAAGTAGCAATTTCGTGGCAAAATATCTTAGGCCTAGTTTTGGGAATTAAAATTGATATTTCAAAAAAAAAATTTGACAAGTTCGAACTACTTTGGCTATTTTAAAATTTCTTTATTCTAAAATTAAGTTTTATTATCAAAAATATAATTAATGTGTTAAATCATAAATTTTTCAAAATACTGGAGTAGTTAAGGGACTTAAAAATGAAAAAATCGGATAATTTACACATATTTCCTATTAAAAATTAATTTAGTAAACCTATGCACCTCTAAAAATAAAAATATTCCAATTTTTTATTATTAAAATATGATTTAATCCTTATTTATTTGTTTGATTTGGTATTTCTTGATTAAAATTCCTATTTTCTGCATCTGCAAATTCAATAATAGCTGGAGTTTCATCCTCAAAGAAATTACTCATGTTATTTAGATCAATTCTTCTCGGGTTTTTCAATATTTTTATTGGATTCGAGCGTATTTCTTTTGTCATGCTTCTTTTAGCAAGCTCATATAACTCTTTAATTGAGTTTATTAAAGGTCCAGCTGTTTGTGCTGCCATAATAAAAATAACAAAAATCATTACACAGCTGTCCATATTATCAAGCGCAGTTGATGTTAAGTCAAAAAAATATGGACAAATCATTATAAAGGTAATGGAAATTCCACATTCAGTGATCAAGTTGGTAATCTGAATCACAGGGTCTTCAAAAGGCTTGTAGACAAAAACATATAGAGCCATCTAAATAGAAATTACGCATAATGCACAGACTGTATTTATTGTTAGCTGGCTTTGAGGGTAGTCATTTAGAAAGACTTGAACTGCAATATAAATTAACCGTCTTGTGAAAAATAGTGTATAATATTGTGTGCTCATGAACCCTAAATCGTTTTTAAACTCATAATAAAGAGAGTTTCAAGGTATTAACCATTTTTTGTTTCTCTTATATAAAATATTTTTGGAATTTTTATAGCTTGAATACACCAATAGCATTGGAGTCAAAATTATGAATATCTAAATAAACATCACAATAAAAGCCCAACAAATCAGAAGGTTAGAAAACTCAACAGCACCTGGATAAGTTTCAGATCTTTTAGCACTCAAAATTCCAACAATAGCCGCAAATCCACTTTCTAGATAAATTAATATTCAGAATCTCAAAAATACCCCAAACTTGTACTCATTATAAATCTTTTTTAATTTTTTCCCTATAAGTCTCTCTGAGCATTTAGATAAATATAAGGTTATAGGCATCATCGCTATCATAACACATAATATTGTAGCGTCATTTCCTATATTTAGCAGAACTAAATCGCTATCATATCCATATTTTTCTGCCTGATAATATGGAGAATTTCCTTGTTTTTTATCTATAAATAAAGAAAATATGTTAGGAACAAAATTAAAGCCATTCATTGCTTCAAAAAATGCGACTATTTTGTCTGTCAAAGGATAATTTGCATAAGGGATATACGCCAATAGCTGAATAGTGTTCAGCATTGTCCAAAATCCAGAAGGACTTGGATTAAGCATAGCTAAAACAGCTCCTGAGCCAACCAGGGCTTTTATCCCAGCAGAAACTTGGTTTTGGATTTGGGCGATTTCTTGTTCTTCTGAAGTTTTAATTGATTTATATAGAGTCCCTGATACGTATTGGTCATGAATTACGCCGCCAGAGACTGACAATATTTCTTTTGGATCTATAAAATAGACTTTTACTATTGTGCCTTTTTTAATGCCGCCTCCAAATTCACATGTTATAAGGTAACTGCTATTTGATAAATAAGTGACTGAGAAAAATTCGACCGTTTGGTTAAGAATTTTTATATAAATATTGCCACTGGTCAAATTTGTGACTAGAAAATCGCTGAAAGTTAGGACAAGAGTATTGTTGAGATTCACTGTGAGGGTAACATTGAAAGGGATATATACACAAGTTGTATTTCCTAACCATCCTGGAGAGCAGCTGCAGCTTCCAGAGTTTAATACAGCGTTGTTAATACATCATGTGCATTTAGTTAGGCTATCACATTGGGCACAAAGTGGAGGACAGTCAATGCAGGAGTCGTTGGCTTTGAATTGCCATTGATGACAAGTCTCACATGCTCCTGAGGTTGAGTTTCAAGCAAGACCATAGTCACATTGGCAATTTGTGATGTTTGAAGTCCCAGAAGTACATTCAAGGCAGGAGTCTGCTGTAAAATCAGTACATGACGTGCATTTTGGGTTCTCACAAAGATTGCAGAATTTACTCGAATCCCGGCAGCTCATACACCCATTGCTACATTTTGAGCATTTATTATATTGTGGGCCTACCCAATATTGAGTAATTACACAATTAGGGATGCAGACTCCAGTAGTTAAACATGATTTGCAGTTTTCTGAGCATTGTGCTGTAGGTAATGCAAGAGATGATATACTTCTTACAGAACTGTATCCTTTAATATCATAAATAAAGCCTTTAAAATAATTTGTATATCCTGAAGAGTCTTTTGTGGCCCCTAAAGTAAAAGAAACATCAGTTTTTTTATCATTAAAATAGTCTGAGCCAAAATCAAGCTGATTATCAATAATCCCGTTCAAATAAAATGAGATTTTGGTATGCTTCAAACTTGTGTATTCTGCTGTGAATGCAATGTGATTTCATTCATAAAAACTAAGGCTTTGTAAATAATAGAAATAAGCTATTCCAGCAGTTTTAAAGTTTAATGAAACCATTACAGTTCCAGAAGATATAGTGAGAGAGAAAATTGGATTTTTTAGTTTATCTTGCTTTGAAATGATTGCCCCAAAGCCATTCTCCAGATTTATCCAGATAGAAAAGGTAAAGGAATAGCCAAAACTAACTCAATGAATCATCAGTAAAAATAAATGCATATTTTTATAATATATAAGCCTCCTTAGATTAATTAAAAAATTTATTTTTAAATTGGTGAATAATATATTTTTTTTTTCCCTCTTTAATAAAAAATATTGTATAAATATGGCTTCGATTAAAATTATAAATTATATCCTTTTTATTGCAAAATCTTAGCATTTGAAATTAAACTGAAAAAGTAAGGACTGGGCTGGTGTATCCTGGATAAATAGGTAAGTGCATAACTGAGCTTACACCATTAAAATAGAATCCTCTATATGCAGCAGCTAATGGATCAAACTCATCATAATCTGGATAAAATGCTGTGCTATTCCCAGTTAAAGCTGGAATGCTGCTTTGCTTATCAATAACAACCCCTTTAAGAGTGTCAAAAGATAGATAGAAAATGAATGGGTCTTTTTCTATACAAACTGATCCACTCTCTATAAATCCTTCTGGGCATTCTGAAATGCATCATCCTAAATACATATAAAGACCAGACGCGCAAACTATGCAGTCACTAGCAGCTAAATCCTCCTCCATGAAAGAACAAAAAAATTGTCCTATCATTAAACAATTTTTTTGCGAAATTAAAAAAATCCAAGCAAAAATAGAAAGTGAAAATTAATTTAATTGTAAAAATTTATATTTTAAAATGCAAGCTGTTTAAAATTTAATAGAACTAGCTAGAAATTTTCTATATCACTTAAAGATAATTTTTTTTTTATAAAAGTTGTTTGATCACTCACAGAGAGGATGTCTTTTGGCGAAAAAATAGGGATTTTAAATGGTGCTGTTCTCTCACAGAAATGGGAGTGAGGATTTGCAAGTTTTACATGTTGAATCGCATACAGCGCATTCTTCATTTGCCAAATCCCAGTAATAGCCGTCATTGCATACGCAAACTGATGAAGATAAATGAGCATGGTCTCTGCAAGTTATGCAAGTTGATGTATAGTCATCACAAACTAACTTCTCCTCTTCAGAATATGCAAGATATAGACCATCCTGAGCTATAAGACAGCATGGCTGCAAAAGAAAATTAATTGTTTTGGAAACTGACAATTATATATTAAAAATTAAATAAATATATCTATTACATAATTACTGAGAATTTTAGGTTTTAAATTATATAGAATTTTTCCATAGATGGCGCTGTTTGCCCTTGATTTGGCCACTGAGAAAAATTCTATATATCTTCATGTGTGAAATTTTTTATTTGCCAGGAGCCTTTCATAATCCTTGTACAGATTATATACGTATTAAGATAATATCTTCAAACACTGAGATAGTAAAAAAATACATTGAATTAAAAGAAAAAAATTGCTCAGGAGCGGCAAAGAAATCTTAACGAGAAGTAAGCAAATTACATCTTGACACAAGTTGCAATTTTTATCATTCCTAACGCATCCCCATCCACATTGAGCTTGACATGAAGCACAAGCCAAGCTATTAGGATAATAAGGCAAATCACAATTCGGAATGCATGTATTTGATAATTCTATAGGACATAAAGAGCACCCTGAACAAGTCCCAGATATAATAATACTTAACATAGGCTCATCAAAATTATAAATATTGATGCCTCATAAGAAACCTTTATAGAGATTTGCATTTAAATCAGAGCCAGCGCCAATTGAAATAAAAAATGATGAAGAAATATCCTGATACCACGAGGATCTGAGATCAGAAGAGATTTCACTAGAAGAATCAATGTAAAATGAAATTTTCTGCTGGGGAGTTGAACTAATTAAACTTTTAACAGCAATAAAATTTCAAGATCCTAAAGAAACTGATAAAGCTGAAGTCATATACGAAACTGTCGTCCCATCTTTTAATTTCATTGAAAAATTAAGTTTTCCTGAGCTTAGTGAAAAAGTAAGAAAACTTGAAAGTGAGTTGTCTTGCTTACTCTTCATCCATTTGATAGCGAAAATGTTTTTGCATATTACCTGAGAAAATAAACACTGAAATTACACTTTATTAAACAACATACTTATGGAATATTCATCTTGAGGTGCAGCTTGTGCAACTTCACCCTCAAAATTCCTCATTATCAAATGGTTTATTATTTTTCACAAAAAATTTCTGTAGGAGTTAGAAATTAAGTACCCATTGCCTAAAGTTGGATTTATTCATGCTGATATTGTAAATTCTGCTCCAAAAGTTAAGGATGGAGGATTATCAATCGATTTCATAAATGATGTCCCTCTAAAATAGTATCCTCTTAATTTTGCTGCATATGGATCTTCAGGAGTATAGAAAGGGTAAAAACTATTATCGTTTCCTGTTTGAAAAGCTATATTTCCTATTGAATCATAAACAATATCTTTTATCTGGCTTAGCCTCAAGCTGAAAACAAGCTCATTAGATAATATACATTGATTACCACTTATAGTATATCCTGAAGGACAAAACTCTAAACAAACGTTTGAAAGCATAAATAAGGAAGATCCACATTGAATGCATTCTGTAAAAGAAGGCCCAGAGCAAGATGTACAGATAGTGTGGCAAAGGTCACAAGTCTCTGTATTCCCATTTCAATATGCATTTAGATTGCATTGGCATGAGTTTCCTACAAATCCAGCATTTGTGATGCAGGTTAAGTATCATACATTAGATTAAGAATTTATAACACACATGGCCAAGCCAACTGGATGGCGTCTTGAGCCATTTGACAAAATGGGCAGACCTTGTATATAGTTTTCGCTAGCTGACCATTTTACCCCATAAACGAGTTCTCCTCGATAAATCAGCTTGCACTTAGGGTCTCCTTTTTCTGGAAAGCTGAGCAGTAAACCATAATTTTCTGTGAGTCTAAGAGGGCTACGAGGCTGTGAACTCCCTCTGCTGCTTATCAAGTGTGGCTGGATTTAGATTCTCTGGAAAAACAAACACTATAATAATAAAATAGCAATTTATGTTAAATTTCCTCACAAAATGTGTTCTCTTAAGCTCATTTTTTATAATAATACAGGTTAAGCACTTATTTGAGAATGATATACAAGAATAGCATTCTTTTTCTCTACAAAGTCGGCAGGTCAGATCGCTTCTGCATCCATAAGAGCATGAAGAACTCTTGCACGAACCACAAAAAGAGCTGCCTGGATAATTTGCCAATGAGCAAGAACTAGGACAGAAATTTCCAATCGGGCAACTTGTGCAAAACTAAGACTAAGAGTCTAAACTGCCATAAGCGGAACCACTCTTGGCGGACTACAGGAAAGGTGGCCTATGCTGGGTGCGCATACACCAGAGTGCAAATGGTGTAAGACCCAACTAAAATTCCATTCTTGAATTTTCTGGTAAGACTCACCCAGCCCAAAGACCAGCTTCCTAAGTTAGAGCAACCCACTTTAGGATGCCTTGATGGACAAAGACTATGTGAGAGATCTGTCTACCCATCTGGCAGGGGTTCAACCTGCTCCTGCAAGGAGTGCGCCTCGGAGACCAATTTCTGTTGATGTCACCATTGTATTTCTCAACTTGTGCAAGGATTTACAGTACAAGTTGTAGAGACTCATGCTGAATTTGCATAAGTCTCGTCATTATAGATTTTCAAATTTCATAGAAACCCTTTAAAACCAGTTGTAGATGAATGGTCAACGCCAATCAGAAGAGTTCCAGAAGTACTGTCTCTTAAGTATGTCTTAGGTGTAGAAGTACTTGTTATGAGTAAATTGGTATCAACATAAAGATTTGAGCTGTATGTTCCATCTAAATTAATTGATCCAGAAAACGACAAGTAATGCCAATCAGAGACTACGCTTTGAGATCCTACTGAATTTAGCGATGATCCATCTTTTAGTAATAAATTAAGATTTGGAAACATATTAGGATATGCATTAAAATGGTGCGGCAAATCAACCCATCCTCTTAATATCTTAGTATAGGGGTCTCTGGAAGTAAGGATGTGTGCATATGTCCAGGCTTTACTTGGTTTGTGGAGTGTAATGTCGGGCTAGGGACCGCAGCCCATCAGAGTTTTACCTTGTAGAGAGATAGTCTATTGGAGTTGGAAAGGAAAGGTTCAGCAAGGTCCTTTGGGCGAATGGAACAAATTTCTAGCGCGATTAGTTAAAATCTAGACAAGTTTTCCAGAAGGCAACCAAGTCAATCATGGGCACGGTGACCCATGTGAGCCCATTTCTGGAAGCTTATAGCCGAAGGCAGATGACTTGCAGTGGTAAAGCAAGGTGGATATATTGCTCATTTTAGGCACCACAACGATCTTTTCTATAGTCTTAACTATAGCTTAGAAAACATATTCGTATCAATTTCTATAGCAAAATATGCTATAGCTACATTGTATTTTTCAATCAAAACTCCTTGGTCTATAACTTTGACTCATAGCATGACTGAGAAATAAGGACTAAAAACAGCAGACCCTTTCATATAGCTTTGTCCAGTAAAATAATATCCACGATTAATTGCTGGAGTAGGGTCATTTGTATCAAAATTTGGATAAGTGTTTGTATTGCTGTTTCCAACGTCAAATCCTAATAAATTATCAAGCACTATATAATCATCAAATTCTAAATCAATAACCAAATTACTAGTCAAATCACATTTATTTGTGCCTGAATTTTGGCTATAACCGCTTGGACATTGTGCATCGCATAGGACATTTAATAAATAATAAGTAGAAACACAACCTGAACATTGGTAATATTGTGATGACGAACATGAAGAACAGCCAGTAAAGCAGGGTACACAAGAAAAGCCATCAGAAGATAAAGAATAGCCTGAATCACAGCTACATGGGGTATTGTGGGCATGAGAAACACAAGTGGTGCATTTATTTGCATCAAAACTAGTACATACACTACAAAGAGGATCGTTACAAATATTGCATGACCCGCTTCTTGTACATCCTAAACTGCAGCCTGTATCACAATTTTTGTATGTTGAGTCTAAATAATCGTTAATATCACATGCCCATAAACAATTTGCTAATAGTCCTGAGCCACAAATTTCATCTAATTGTGTTGTGAAATCGAATATAGCAACATTTCAGAGCTGATAGCTGTAAATAAAGCCTTTAAAATAGGAAGCTGAACTTCCGCCGATTTTAATGTTTTGATTGGTTTGATCTCTATAAATGACAGTATTATAAGTTGATGAAGCTACCAGATTGTTATTATTATATACTTTCAACGTTGTTGTAATCGCAGGATTGTTAAATACGCAAGTAAATGATAAGTAAATTCACATTGAAAAAGAAGGGCTCGATAAAGTTTCTGAAGAAGTTACTTCTAATGGACTCTCTAACGGTATTTTTATTGAGCCAGATGAACCAACAATAATTCTGGAATTCGATAAAATATCTCCTGTAGCTGTCACATAAATTCAGAGGCCCATAGCAAAACTATGTGAGAGATATACATTGGTATTTGATATTAAATATTGGCTTCCTTTAAAATAGAGCCCTCTTTGTTTTGCAGGGATAGGATCAACTGTTTCAGGGGTGTTAAAGAATTGGTAGGAGCTTGAACTAATTCCTGTAGTGAAAATTGAGTAAATTCCTTGAAAGTCTCCATTAAACTTTACATCTATAACAGGAGATGTAACTGTAACGCATGGGCTTGTAAACCCATAAGGGCAACTTCTTAGACAAACATTTGAAACAAGATAATAAGTTCCACATGATGAACATAAAAAATATTTATTTGTTTGGCATTGGCTGCATAAATTATCACAAATTTGACACCCATCTGAGCTTTGTTCCCAAAAAGCGTTATTATTGCAAAAACATGTTGTGCCTGAGATACTTGCATTATTTATGCAGGACGTGCAAGGACCATCAAAAGCTGTACATTCAAGACATTCTTTATCTTTGCAAAGTCTGCAAGTCAGTGTTGATCTACACCCATAAGGGCATGAGCCTGTACAAGATGTGCACGAACTTGAATAAAATTGTCCAAAAGGGCAGCTGTCTGGACATTTCAATTCGGAAGGACAAGTAGTACAGCCGGTGGGACATCCTGAAGTTTTCCATTCTTGAGCTGCATACGTATTGTCATTGTAAAGTTTTAAACTTCATAGGAAGCCAGTAAAGCCTCCAGATGCAGTAGTATCTTTCGCAATGTAAAGTGTGCCAAGATCCTTGTAATAAGAGGATGATGCAGAAGTAGTTGAAGAGACAGAAGTTCCATCAATTGATAGAGATATAACAGTATTCCCAGATGAAAGGCCACCTGTAAACGCAATATAATGCCATCCAGATAAAATGCTTGAAGAGCCACTTACACTAATTCGCCTTATTTAAAATATAACAAGTATAAATTAATTTCATTATTTATCAAATATTAAATTTTATCTCATCTTTAATTTTTCTTAAAATTAAATTGATTCTTTAATTTTAGCAAAAAAGGTAACTTTCTTTTATTTTAAGTATTCTAACGTGAGTTTTAATTCATAAGCGAGCTTCTGCTTAAAATAATTTTTTTAAAAAACAATTATTATTGCATAGTTAAAAAAATATAAAATTGAAAAAAATGAGATTTCAAAAATAAGAATCCTTATAAATATTTTAAATAACGAGAAAGGCTCTTATCCACCCTTATTAGCTTGAGCGACGATAAGTAAATTTGAATCTGCAAGAAGAATATTCATAGAAGGGATCCCAGACGATATAGTAACATAAGAATACTTTGTTGTGCCATCAAACTTCATAAATAAATATCCATCACTTACTTCCTATCCATAAGCAAGAAAGATATTTTCGTTCACTAAGATATAATGAAAAATCTTAAATTTACATTTAGAATAATTAACTCTAATAATTAAAAGCACAATTTTTCATTAATTTTACTACTCCAAGCAGAAGGAAGAATTAGAGGCTTTATCCATATTAGCAGCGAAAAATATGGACTAATTGTAAATGATGCAAGGCTCATATAATTACTACCTGAGAAATAATATCCTCTATAAATCGACGGAATGGGATCAGTTGTTTCCCAAGTCGGATATTTATTTGTATTTGAAGATCCTACTGAAACTCCGCTTACTGTGTCCAATTGTATCAAATTCTGGAGAGCAATACTTAAAGGATTTGATGTAGATAAAGTACAAGAATGTCCAGATGAATCAGCTGTATATCCAGAAGGACAATAAGTAAGGCACATTGTTTTTAATAAATAATAGCTTGAAAGGCAGGAGCTGCACTGATAATAAAGAGTCCCAGTGCATGAGCCACATCCTGTATAGCAAGGAACGCATGAAAACCCATCAGAAGAGACAATATATCCAGCATTACAAGCACAAGTAGAAGGAGCCCCAGATGCATTAGTAACACATTGTGTGCATTTATTTGCGTCAAATCCAGTACATACACTACAAAGTGGGTCATCACAAATATTGCATGATCCATTTCTAGTACAGCCTAAGACACAGCCTGTATCACAGCTTTTAAATGCTGCTCCATTCCATCAATAATTGATATTGCACGCCCATAAACAGGACGCTAATAATCCAGAGCCACAAATTTCATTTAATTGTGTCGAAAAATCAAATATTGCAACATTTCAGAGCTTATAATTGTAGATAAATCCAGTAAAATAGGAAGTTGAGCTGCCACCAATTTTAATTTTTTGGTTAGTTTGATCTCTATAAATAACAGTATTATAAGTTGAAGAGGCGACCTGATTGTTATTATTATATATTGTTAAAGTTGTTGTAATCGCAGGGTTGTTAAATGAAGAAGTAAATGACAAAAATATTCACACTGCAAAAGAAGTGCCTGATAGAGTTTGAGACGAAGTTACTTCTAATGGACTCTCTAGCGGTATTTTTATTGAGCCAGATGAATCAACAATAATTCTGGAATTCGATAAAATATCTCCTGTAGCTGTCACATAAATTCAGAGGCCCATAGCAAAACTATGTGAGAGATATACATTAGTGTTCGACATTAAATATTGGCTTCCGTTAAAATAGAGCCCTCTTTGTTTTGCAGGAATTGGATCAACTGTTTCTGGTGAGTTAAAAAATTGATAAAAACTTGCACTTGTTCCAGTAGTAAAAATAGAGTAAGTTCCTTGAAAATCTCCATTAAATGCTACATCTATAACAGGTGAAGTAACTGTCACACATGGACTTGTAAACCCATAAGGGCAGCTTCTTAGACAAACATTTGAAACAAGATAATACGTCCCACATGATGAGCATAAAAAGTATTTATTTGTTTGGCATTGGCTGCATAGATTATCACAAATTTGACACCCATCTGAGCTTTGCTCCCAAAAAGCGTTGTTATTGCAAACACATGTTGTACCTGAGATGCTTGCATTAGTTATGCAGGACGTGCAAGGACCATCAAAAGTTGTGCACGCAAGACATTCTTTATCTTTGCAAAGCCTGCAAGTCAGTGTTGATCTGCACCCATAAGGACATGAGCCTACACAAGATGTGCAAGAACTTGAATAAAATTGTCCAAAAGAGCAGCTGTCTGGACATTTCAATTCGGAAGGACAAGTAGTACAGCCGGTGGGACATCCTGAAGTTTTCCATTCTTGAGCTGCATACGTATTGTCATTGTAAAGTTTTAGACTTCATAGAAAGCCAGTAAAACCTCCAGACGCAGTAGTATCTTTCGCAATGTAAAGTGTGCCAAGATCCTTGTAATAAGAGGATGATGCAGAAGTAGTTGAAGAGACAGAAGTTCCATCAATTGATAGAGATATAACAGTATTCCCAGATGAAAGGCCACCTGTAAACGCAATATAATGCCATCCAGATAAAATGCTTGAAGAGCCACTTACACTAAGTAAATTGGAATCTGCAAGAAGAATATTCATAGAAGAGATTCCAGATGATATAGTAACATAAGAATACTTTGTTGTGCCATCAAACTTCATAAATAAATATCCATCACTTAGAGGCTTTATTCATATTAGCAGCGAAAAATATGGACTGATTGTAAATGATGCAAGGCTCATATAATTACTACCTGAGAAATAATATCCTCTATAAATTGAAGGAATTGGATCAGTTGTTTCCCAAGTCGGATATTTATTTGTATTTGAAGATCCTACTGAAACTCCGCTTACTGTGTCCAATTGTATCAAATTCTGGAGAGCAATACTTAAAGGATTTGATGTAGATAAAGTACACAAATGGCCAGATGAATCAGCTGTATACCCAGAAGGACAATAAGTAAGGCACATTGTTTTTAATAAATAATAGCTTGAAAGACAGGAGCTACACTGATAATAAGAAGTCCCAGTACATGAAGCACATCCAGTATAACAAGGAACACATGAAAACCCATCAGAAGAGAGAATATATCCCGCATTGCAAGCACAAGTAGAAGGAGCCCCAGATGCATTAGTAACACATTGTGTGCATAGGCCTGTCAAGAATCCTGTACAAACACTACAAAGGGGGTCAAAACAAACATTGCAGGATACATTTCTGACACAACCATTTGTGCATGAGTTGCAATTTGTAGGCGTTGCCCCATTCATTCACTGAGATAATGGGCATGTCCAAAGACAGTTAGCGACTGCCCCTGTGCCACATATTTGGTCTGAGTATTGAGTGTTAAAATTTGAAACTGCTGCATTTCATAGAGTAAATTGATAAATATACCCTAAAAAATTAGTTAAAGAGCTTTTTCCAAGGATTAAATAATTATTGATAGCGTCTCTATATATGTATCCACTGGATGTTACAGATGCTTGTGGAGAATTATTGAGGTAAGGGACAATTGTTGTAGAAGTTGTGGCTGATGAAAATGAGACTATAAAAGAAATGTAAGCTCAGGCTGAATTTGAAGGGTTAAGTGCTGCAGTTGTTATAGCTTGAGAATGCTTTGAACTTTTTTGGAGCTTATTGGCTCAGATGTTGAGTCTACTGGCTCGTACTAGTGATAATCCTGCATAATTTCGGCAATTAAGACTGAATTTTCAAGCTTAATAAAAAATATTTATTATATTGACTAGCCACAAAAGAGTCCTATGATCTCTAAGGAGAGGCTAAAAGCCTTCCAAGCTATACTGTAGTCGTTGCTTCTGCTATACTTTCTAATATAATTGTCATTACTCCGCTTGCAGATATCCTAATTTTATATCCAGAACTATTTGTCAAGATATCTCCTGAGCCAGATAATATTCAAACCCACATCCCAATTGAAAAATTTAGAGAAATATAAACAGTCCCAGTCGTTTGAAGATAAGAGCCTCCAGAAAAATAAAGCCCTCGACTTTTAGCTGGGATAGGATCTACTGTTTCAGGAGAATTAAAAAAATAATAACTACTTAAGCTTGTCCCTGTTCTAAATAAACCATATGCTCCGTAAAAATAATCAGCAAAATTTTGGTTTATAACTGCTGTTGAAACTGAAGCACAAGATGTGCCAAATCCATATGGACAAGCTCTTAAGCAAACACTTGAAACTAATACATTTGAGCCTGAACAAGTTGCACAAATAAAATTATCTGAGCTACAAGATATACATAAATTATCACAAGGAACACACGTTCTTGTGGTCGTCGTCCAGTAATATCCTGCATTACATTGGCACACTCCACTGACAGGAGAAGCATTAGCAATGCAAGTTGTGCAAGACAAAGCTGGGGCATTGCAGACCATGCATCTTACTTGATAGCACATATTACAGTAATCAGCCACTCTACAGTCTCCACTTACTAAATCTTTTGGCTGAATAGGAATTTTTTTATATTAAAATATAAATTTCCTGTCAAAATTCCTATATTTATTAATTTTTTTAAGATATATTCTGCTTATTATTGGTCAAAAAGAAGTTTTCTGTATAGAGTCTAGGGTATGATTAGTCCTGCAAGCTGAGGATTTTGCAAAACTTGAGTAAAAGTAACTATCAAATTTCCGCCTGTATAAGCACCTGTTATCGCGTTTCCTGCTATTGAAACTGTGCCACTTGAAAGCGTGAATTCTGTGAATATATCATAAGCTGTTAATGGTCCTGCAGTAGCTACTAAATCAAGGTTATTGGCTACAGTATAGCTTCCAATTTTTACTGTGAACTTTCTGCTATACCTAATCTGTTAAAATGATTACAGGTAAATATTTTCCTACATGTCCACCAGATTTTCAGAAAAACTATGCAGTATATAATACTTATTAGGCAAAATAATTTATATTTTTGAAAGTCATAGTGATCTATAGCGATGAAAACGATATATTTGTAGTCGTAAAATAGATTTCACAGAACTGGAGAATTAAAACATATGTCCCATCTGTGCTGAGAGGAAGGTTATATCCCCAGTTAGTTGTGCCATATCGCTCTGATAAGTACATAGAATCGTCCTTGGTGTTAGCTATTGTAGAGCCAGTGATTACATGATTACTTCCTCCAGTTGAATAAGTATCAGCAATATATGAAAATCCATATAAAGAAGTGTAAGCTGAGCCTCCAGAGTTGATAGCCATCACAATAGTTGAAGGGTCAAGTGAATAATAGATTAAAATTAGCAGGAAAGTTATATTGGTAACGCAGCCTCCAAAGACCTCTGTACGGAAGGCTCTATAGCTTTTCGACTCCAGCCCAGAGGGTCTTTCCAGGTGGATGCTTCTTCCGATACCTTCTGTCTCCTCTGCTGCTACGGGTGATTGCAGTAGCTTGATTCCAAGGATCAACTCCTTGAAGTCTGTCGGATGCCGAAGTGCCTCCCTTCGACAACTACAGGAAAAAGACTACTACTACTACTACCCTGTGATCTAGGCCGAAACCCCCAATTTCGAGAAATGCCCATGGTCCTTGGATCCAAAACAACGTTGTTGGGCAACTCCATTTCCAACCACAGAAAAGTAGACAAAACCTACCCGGATACACATCTCTTGAGCCTGCTTGATTCTCAGCTCGGAGTCCGTCCCAGTGCGCCGTACCCATAAAGTCTGGACTGTTGCTCCAAGAGGTAGGTTAACAAGTGCCGCCATTTTAATGTATATTCAACTGAATAGCAAGTCAATAAACTTAGAACAATTAAGGCAAGGTGACGTAGACAAGCCTTCATATTTATTTTATATTTTCTCTCAAATTCGGGAGATTAATATTCAATTTAGTTAGATAAAAGAGAAAATCTCTATTTTAATAATAAAATCCTGACTTAAATATAGTTATTTATCCAGTAATCAGATAAATTAATAGAAATTCGATTTTTGCATGGTGACTTATTTATCGATATTTATTATTTAAGATGGTGGAGAATTATATATGATCAGATCTGTTTATCAAATTTTATTATTTCAGTCTCAAATAGGACAGGGCATCAAAAAGACTTAACACTAAAATATTTTTTCTTTTATTTATTAAATACATAGCGATTAGAAAATGATTACTGCAGCAGAAAGGATTAATTTCTTAACTCCCCCCCCATCCTTGATCGAACGACTCGCCGTCGTTCGATCAAGGATGGGGGTTTAAAAAGAATTTTTTGGGGAAAAAAAAAATTTATATATAAAATAAAAAATATGCATATATATTTTTTTTTTTTATTTATTTTTAAATAAGAGGGTTAAGAGTATTTAATAATTATTTTTACAGCAAAAAATTGAATTAATTTCATAAAATACCAATTTTTAATATTTTGATTTATTAGTTACCCTTTTTAACTGTATAAATTTTTAATTTGTTCCTTATTAAATTAATTTTTTTTTTTAAATTTTAAAGAATCTCTATTTTATTAGATTATTGAGTTTTTAAGCCTATGTTGATGACTAAATCACTTCGGATGGTTGATTCCGCAGCTTTCTGTCGTCTCAAAGCTCTGAAAACAACTTCATTATGTACATCTTCCCAAGCTTTTGATAACTAATATATTTTTATATATAAAATTTTGCATGATATAAAAATTTGCATGATATAAAAATTTGCATGATATGAAAATCGTTCGATCAAGGATGGGGGTTAATTTCCCCAATTTTTAGGAATTTCTACAGTCAATCGTTCGATCAAGGATGGGGGGGGAGTAAGCAGTTTCTAGATTCAAGAATCATTAGCTAAAGATTTAATAAATATTATGCTAATTTCCCATAAGTCTAAGATATAAAATTTCATATTTTGCATAAAGACTAATTTTGTCTTGAGAAATCTAATTACTAGATGTCCATTTTGTGATTTATGCACACCTTTTGACGATGATGTAAATTTTATTATGAAAGATTTTCTTTTCAAAATTTTTAACAATTCAATTAAGCAAAGAAATCAGATTAAATAAATATTTATTATGTCTCTGAAAAATTTATTTTATTAGGAATTGAATATAACTAATACAATGAATAAAAGCATTCCTACTGTTTAAAAAAGAGAAATAAAATGGACGTTGATGGAATAATAACTTTGAGGAGACATCTTCTGATAGAGCGGTGGACTGGCGCGATGGGTGGCGAAAGTATGCTCTTCGTGAGTTAAGTAGACCAGTTCAAAGGAAAACCTGGCGAAGCAGCGTGCTTAGTTTCTCCCTCAAAAGGGGGTTTCCTGTCCTTACCTGATGGGCTAGCCTTGCCTAACACATGGATCTACTCATCAGGACTAACGGGACATCTCCAAGAGATGTGGCTTACCCTCGGAGGTCAGTCCCTTGGATAGGTGACTCAGATCAGAAATTCAAAGTGCGACATTTAGAGCCAAGACGGGTGACAGCTAGTGGGCTTAACCGCTTATAGCCAGATTAACTTTCAGCTCTTATCCTATTTACTATTTAAAAATAGTATAAAAGTAGCCAATAAATTAATTAAATTAAGATTTATCGATTATATATCCAAGTTTAGGAATTTCGTTAATTAGCTCAAAATAATTTTCTTTTTATTAGGGATAATAAATTTTCATCAAACAGCCAAATTTCGCTTTCAACAAATTTCTCCTTGTCATTGAGGTTGTTATGCCATAAAAATTACAAATTTTATTTGCTTAATTTAAATATTTTTTTATCTCTACTCTCTCAAATTTTATGTGTTTTATTCAGTTGTATCGGTAGGCTCAGTATCATTAAAAAATTCATTAAAATTGCCTAAAACTATTTTTCTCTCATTTTTAGATATCTTAGCAGGATTTGAACTAAAATTTTTTTTCATAGCTCTTCTAGCAGTATAATAAACTTCCTTTAAAGAATTTATAAATGGCCCAGAAGTTTGCACAGCCATTAGTAAAGCAACAAAATACATAATTAAATTGTCCAGAATATTAGTCCCTGTTGAGCCTAGTACCAAAAAATATGGAATAAGGAGTAAAAATATAATGAAAATCCCGAATTCAGTTATTAAATTGGTGACTTGAAGAACTAAGTCGTCAAATGGCTTATAGAAAATTAAAAATAGAGGTATCTACATAAAGAATACACATAGGGATGATACAGCATTGATGGTTAGCTGACTTTGGGGGAAATCGTTCAAAAATACTTGGTTGCCAATAAAAATTAATCTTCTTGTAAAAAATAGAGCATAATATTGTGTGCTCAAAAATCCTGAGTTATTCTTGAACTCATAATATAGAGAGCTCCAAGGAACTAGCCATTTTTTATTTCGCTTATTTATGATTTTGCTCATATTTTTGAAGGTAAAATACGAATGAAGTAAAGGCGTAATTGTTATAAAGATCTAACTCCCCCCATTTAATAACGAACAAAGCCGTTATTTTTTTCTAAAAATTTTGCCTTAGGACCCATTTAATAAGGCGCTTTCTCTTTCTATTACCATCATTTGACTCCATTTTATTATTAGACTTATTCCCCCTCTTTAATTGAAATTTTTAAAAAACAATGATAGATATTTAATATAAATTTTATATATGTTTTTTCCCATAAGTTAGATCCCATTTAATAACGAACAAAAAAAGTGTTCGTTATTAAATGGGGGAGTAAGTAAAAAATACAACTAAAAATCAACAAAGAAGATAGTTGGTTAACTGAAGTGAGTTTTCCAAAATCTCAGAATATTCTGTGCTCAAAACCCCAATTATTGCAGCAAACCCGATTTCAAGATAGCTTATAATCCAAAAACGTAAAAAAGTATCGAATTTATATTCCTTAAGTATTTTTTGAAGCTTCTTTCCTATAAATCTCTGAGAGCATTTAGAAAAATAATATACCAGAGGGATTATAGTTATAATACCACATAAAATAGTTGCGTCATTTCCAATATTTACAAGTAATAAATAGCTATCATATCCATATTTTTTCGCCCGAGAATAAGGAACTTTACTATTATTTTCGTCAATAAATAGTAAAAATAAATTTGGAACTAAATTGAAATCGTTTATTGATTTAAAAAATGCTGAAACTTTATCTGACAAAGGATAGCTTGCATAAGGTATATAAGAAAGAAGCTGAATTGTATTGAGCAGGGTTCATAGTCCTGAAGGATTTGGGTTAAGCATTGCTAAAGCAACGCTCGATCCAACCAGAACTTTTACCCCAGAAGAAACTTGTTTTTGAATTTGAGCCACTTCTTGCTCTTCAGAAGTCATTAAAGAAGCATATAAAGAGCCTGATAAATATTCTTCGTAGATGACACCTCCAGAGATAGATATTATACTTGTCGAGTTTATAAAATGTACTATAATAGTAGTGCCCTTTGAAATTCCTCCTTCAAAATTGCATGATATTAAATATTGTGTATTTGAAATTTGAGAAATTGATCAGGATGGAATTGTTATGTTATGAATTTGAATAAAAATTTGGTCGTTTTTTAAATCCTGCTTTAAAACGTCACTGAAAATCAGAATCAAAGTATTATTTTTATTAACAATAAGACTAGCATTGAAAGGGATATATGTGCATTCAGTAGTTCCTATATATCCAGGAGAGCAAGCACAGCTTCCAGAATTTAATGCAGCATGGCTAATGCATCATGTGCATTTAGTTTCACTATCACATTGAGCACAGAGAGGAGGACAATTATAACAAGAATCATTTGCTTTGTATTGCCATTGATGGCAACTCTCACATATTCCTGAGCTTGAATTCCAAGCAAGACCATAATCACATTGGCAATTTGTTATATTTGAAGTACCTGAAATACACTCAAGACAAGAATTTTCGCTAAAATCTAAGCATGATGTACATTTAGGGTTATAACAAAGATTGCAAAACTTGCTGGAATCTCTGCAGCTGAGGCAAGCACTGTTACATTTGGAGCATTTATTATATTGTGGGCCAATTCAATACTGACTAATTAAACAATTTGGGATGCAGGCTCCAGTGTTCAAGCATGCTTTACAGTTTTCTGTGCATTGAGCTGTTGGCAATACAAGGGACGATATACTTCTTACTGAGTTATAGCCCTTGATATCATAAATAAATCCTTTAAAATAGTTAAAATACCCTAAATTATCTTTAAATGCCCCTAATGTAAAGCTAGTATCAGTTTTGGTATCTTTAAAATAGTCAAATCCTAATTCCCGCTGATTATCTAGTTTTCCGTTCAAGTAAAAAGCCATTTTTGTCTGCTTTAAACTTGTGTACTCTGCGGTAAAAGCAATATGATTTCATTCGTAAGACCCAAGATCTTGTAAATAAGAGAAATAAATGAGCCCGTCAACCTTAAAATTTAATGAAATCACTACATATCCAGCACTTAGCTGGAGAGAAAAAATTGAATTATAAAGCAAATCTTGTTTTGAGAGAATAGTTCCAAAGCCATTCTCAATATTGACTCATATAGAAAAAGTAAAAGAATAGCCAAAGCTGAGAACTGGGCTGTTATAGCCTTGATAAATAGGTAAATGCATAACTGAGTTCATTCCATTAAAATAAAAACCTCTGTATAAAGCAGCTATTGGATCAAACTCATCATAATTTGGATAAAAAGCTGTGCTGTTCCCAGTTAAAGCTGGAATTTTGCTTTGCTTATCGAGAACAACTCCTTCTAAAGTGTCAAAAGATAGATAGAAAATAAAAGTATCCTTTTCTATACATTTTGCTGCACTTTCTATATATCCAGCTGGGCATTTAGAAACGCATAATCCTAAATACATAAAAAAGCCTGATGCGCAAATTATGCAGTCTTCAGAGGCGGCGGATGTACAGGTTTTGCAGGTATAATCACAGGGAGTGCATTCTTCATTTGTCAAGTCTCAGTAATATCCATCATAGCATACACAAGTTGTTAAAGATAGATAAGCATGATCTCGGCAGGTTATGCAGGTTGAAGAGTAATCGTCACATACTAAGCAAATTACATCTTGACACAAATTGCAGTTCTTATCATTTCTCACACATCCCCACCCACATTGAGTTTGGCATGCAGCACAAGTCAAGCTATTAGGATAATAGGGCAAGTCACAATTTGGAATGCATGAATTTGATAATTCTATGGGGCATAATGAGCATCCTGAACAAGTTCCAGATATAATTATACTTGATATAGGCTCATTAATGTTATAAATATTTATGCCTCACTCCCCCTTTAAATTAAAATAATCATAGAAAATTTTCCATTTTTTGGGTACTTTTACATCCCTTAAATTGTTTTTAAATTATAAAATACTAATTCGTTTTGATCTAATCAAGCATATCAATTTATTTCTGAAAAATTTAATATATAATTTATTTTTAAATAATTAGCACATTTAAATTGGAGCAGGATTATTTGCTTTAATTTTCATTGGGGATTCATAAGAAACCTTTATAGAGATTCGTATTTAAATCAGAGCCAGCGCCAATTGAAATAAAAAAAGATGAAGAAATATCCTGATACCACGAGGATCTGAGATCAGAAGAGGATTCACTAGAAGAATCAATGTAAAATGAAATTTTCTGCTGGGGAGTCGGACTAATTATGCTTTTGACGGCAATAAAATTTCAAGATCCTAAAGTAACTAATAAAGCTGAAGTCATATACGAAACTGTCGTCCCATCATTTAATTTCATCGAAAAATTAAGTTTTCCTGAGCTTAGCGAAAAAGTTAGAAAACTTGAAAGTGAGCTGTCTTGCTTAGAAATTAAGTATCCTGTGCCTAAAGCTGGATTTATTCATGCTGATATTGTAAATTCTGCTCCAAAAGTTAATGATGGAGGATCATCAATCGATTTCATGAATGATGTCCCCCTAAAATAGTACCCTCTTAGTTCTGCTGCATACGGGTCTTCAGGAGTATAGAAAGGATAAAAATTTTTATCATTTCCTGTTTGAAAAGCAACGTTTCCTATTGAGTCATAAACAATATCTTTTATCTGACTTAACCTCAAGCTGAAAACCAGTTCATTCGATAATATACATTGATCTCCACTTATAGTATATCCTGAAGGACAAAACTCTAAACAAATATTCGAGAGCATAAGCAAGAAAGATCCACATTGAATGCATTCTATAAAAGAAGGTCCAGAGCAAGATGTACAGATAGTGTGGCAAAGGTCACAAGTCTCTGTATTCCCATTTCAATAAGCGTTTAGGTTGCATTGACATAAGTCTCCTACAAATCCTGCATTTGTGATGCAGCTTAAGCACTTATTTGAGAATGATATACAAGAATAACATTCTTTTTCTCTACAAAGTCGGCATGTCAGATCGCTTCTGCATCCATAAGAGCATGAAGAACTCTTGCACGAAGCACAAGAAGTGCTGCCTGGATAATTTGCCAATGAGCAAGAACTAGGACAGAAATTTCCAACCGGGCAACTTGTGCACGGATTTACAGTACAAGTAGTAGAGACTCATGCTGAATTTACATATGTCTTGTCATTATAAATTTTTAAATTTCATAGAAATCCTTTAAAACCAGTTGTAGATGCATGGTCAACACCAATCAGAAGAGTTCCAGAAGTACTGTCTCTTAAGTATGTCTTGGGTGTAGAAGTAGCAGTAAATTGTAGAGATGAATCAATATAACTATAAGAACTATAAGTCCCATCTGAATTAATCGAGCCAGAAAATGATAAATAATGCCAATTGGAGAGGATATACTGAGGACTAATTGCATTTAATGATGATCCATCTTTGAGCAATATATTAAGATTTTGGTATCCGCTGCTATCAATTTTTATTACTAAATATTTAACACTTCCATCAAATTTTTCTATTAAAACTCCTTGGTCTATAGCTTTGACTCATAGCATGACTGAGAAATAAGGACTAAATACAATAGACCCACCCATATAACTTTGTCCAGTAAAATAATATCCACGGTGAATTGCTGGAATAGAGTCATTTGTATCAAAATTCGGATAGGAATTTGTATTGCTGTTTCCAACATTAAATCCTGATAAAGTGCCAAGCACTATATAATCATCAAATTCTAAATCAATAACCAAATTGTTAGTCAAATCACATTTATTTGTGCCTGAATTTTGGCTATAGCCGCTTGGGCATTGTGTATCACATAATACATTTAATAAATAATGCGTCGAATCACAAGTTAAACATTGGTAATATTGTGTTGACGAGCAGGAAGAGCATCCACTAAAGCAGGGTAAGCATGAAAACCCATCAGAAGAAAGAACATAGCCAGCATTACAAGTGCAAGTAGAAGAAGCTCCTGATGCATTAGAAACACACTGCGTGCAAAGTCCACCTGAAAATCCAGTGCACTGGCTGCAAAGAGGATCATCACAAACATTGCAAGATATACTTCTGACACACCCATTCGAGCATGAATTGCAATTAGTTGGTGTTGCATGATTCATCCATTGAGACAAAGGACAAGTCCAAAGACAATTAGATATTTCTCCTGGGTCACATATTTCATCTGAGTATTGAGTATTAAAATCTGAAACAGCAACATTTCATAGTGTGAATCAATAAATATATCCTAAGAAAGTACTGGACGAGCTCTTTCCTAGGATTATTACATTGTTTGCTCCATCCCTGTATATATACTGGCTTATTGTAGTAGGAGTTTTTGGAGAGTTATTTAAATATGGGACAATAGTTGTTGTTATAGTTGATGGCGAAAACGAAGTTATAAAAGAAATGTAAATTCAATTTGAATTCGATGGATTTAATGCTACAGTTGTTATTGTTGCAGTCGCTTCAAATCTGCTTTCTAGCACAATAGTCATTACGCCAAGTGCAGATATAACTTTCTCCTTCTTCCAGCCCCTTAAAAAAATTATACAAGTGAAACAGATTTGCCACTTATAAAACCATCAGAAAATTGGAATGCGAATGGTTCTCTTCTAACCTGCTAGGAGTTTAAATATAGTCATTTCCATTGGATAACCTTCAGAAATCCAAATAAGGACTCAAGCTATATCGTTATTTTACCCCCTGGACTATTTGCCATGATATCGCCAGAGCCTGATAGTATCCAAACCCAAAATCCAATTGAGAAATTAAGCGAAATATATATACTTGATGACGTCTGAAGGTACTGGGCTCCATAAAAATAAAGTCCTCTACTTTTAGCTGGGATTGGATCATCTGCTTCAGGGCTATTAAAAAAATAAAAAGTACTCGGATTTGATCCTACACGAAATATCCCATAAGTCCCTACAAATAAATTAGCAAAATTTTGTTCAATAACAGCCATTGAGACTATTGTACAAGACCCAAACCCATATGGACACGCTCGCAAGCAGACACTTGACACTAGCACATTTGGGCTTACACATGTGGTGCATAAAAAATTTGCCGACCCAGAACAAACATTACACAAATTATCACATTTTTCACAGCTTCTTGTCGAATAAGCCCAATAAGCATTAGAGTTGCATTGACAATCTCCATCTACAATATGGGCATTATCTATACAGGTTGCACATGATAAATCTCCTTCATTACAAGTCGCACATCTTTGCTTATAGCACATATTACAATGGTCTGCTACAGCACAATTCCCTTTTATCAAAATAAATCCTGATATTTCTGGAGCCTGTATAACTTGGATCATACGAAAATTTAAAATTCCTGCAGAAAATGCCCCAGAAATTAAATTCCCTCCAATATAAACATTTCCAGCAGAAAGTGTAAATTCGATAAATATATCATGAGCATTATTTCTCCCAAAAAGAGCGAATAGGTCTAAATTGCTTAAGACAGTGTAGTCTCCTATTTTAATTGTAAAAACCCTTGCATTTGCAGTGGTAAATCAGGTTTCAACATATTGGAGAATAAGTACATATGTCCCATCAGGGCTAACGGGGATGTCATATCCTCAAGTTCCATCAAATACTCTTTGGGATTTGTACATATCTCCATTATTTGTACGAGCAATTGGGGTAGATGAGGGATCCACATATGGCCCGCCTGTGGTATAATAGCTGTCTGGGGAGTATACAAAGCCAAAAGTAGAGGTATAAGTGCCGCCACCTGAGTTTATGGCAAGAGCAACGTCAGCAGGATCAAGAGATAAGCAACATTTTAGAAATGTGAGGATAATAGTAAGCTGTTTGGAGACACTTAGCATTTATTATATTTAATTCTCCTGAATTTTAAATAAAATTATTGTAATTGCTATAGGGAGAATAAATTGTAATTTAATTGCATTTTATATATTCTGTGCTGAAATGCCATGCAAAATTATAGAGGGTTATATTTCATAATTTATTTATAGAGCCTAAAACAATAATATTATAAAAATTTATTGTGAATAATTTATTTAAAATTGAAAAGATATTAATTTTTTGCACATTTATTAAGTTTATAATGCTTCTTCTCTTAATTCTTATCTTCTCTTTTTGCATATTTAATGAGCTGCGTCATCAAATAAGCTATCAAACTACTTAAAAATGTCTTTTTGATTTTTTTGATATATTAATTGAACTGAAGTGTAGATTTTCATTTACAATTCTTCTTGTAGCATTAAAATGACTATATTGCTGCTATATGAGTTAGGCTAGTTACAGTTATTGAGGGACTCTTAATCTCACAGCGCAAGTGGTATTCTCATCTCCCTTGCCCGCCCCCAGTTACTCTGCCGACCCAGAGAAAAAACAAATTAGATAAATAGCTCATGAGTAGAGCTGCCGGACTCCTCTAGGTATGGGTTTGGCATTCACCCAGATTAAAGAGACAAAGTTACCGTGTTGAGCATTTGGTGCTATTGCCAGCTTAGAAAATAAAAAAAAGTGAATATTTTAGCTAATTTCGGCCGAAATTGTAGCTTGAAGCCTAGAACGTAAAACCAAATATCATACTGGATACAGTTGGTCTGGTATGAAGAGAAGATAGAGATGGCATTGGACTTCTTCTGGGAAGGCTGCTATGGATTCTTTCTAAACGATTGAATTGACTTGAGTACAGCTAGTTTGACTAAAAAATTTATAAATTTACTTTGTGTTGAAATAATATACGTGATGGCAGACCTAACCTTAAGAAATAAATCAGCTGAGATTTTGAGCAAACCAAACAATCCAGAACTAGAAATGGATTTCAGAGCCACTTGCTTAGCACTTTATATCAATCCTAGTCTTTATGAACCGCCACTAATGCATGCTTGCCAAAACTATCTTAATACTTGTCAGCATGGAAAATCTCTTTATAATCTTAAGCAGGATTACAAGGAAACTAATTTGATTATTTATAACACTGAAACTGAAACCCAAGAAGTCAAAATCTTGCAGACTCCACAAAAACTAGATTTAACCACTTGCATAACTCAACTTCCAAATGGCAAGCTATTCTGTTTTGGTAATAATAAACCTTCTGGAATAGCAGTGCTAATTGATAGAAATGGTGGAGTCGAAGTGCTGCCATCTAGAGCTCCTTGTGCATTATCATCATGCATATATTTCAACAACAGCGTCTATTGCTTTGGAGGACAAGATAATAAAGTACGTTTAACTCTATCTAGTAGGTTTGATTTCGATCAAAATCGATGAATTCAATTAACTCCAATTCCAAAAGCTGATACCACATGCAATAGTATAATGTTTGAAGGAAATATTTTGATTTCTGGACTTTGAAATAGAAATCTTTTGTTATACTCAATTGATATTGACTCTTTCTCGACGATTCCTTATGAGTTTGCATTAGGGATAAGAAAGATCCTGATAAATGCAGAGAGACTTTATTTGATTGAATGCGATAAATTAGGAGAAATCTATGAAAGCGAAATTGGAAGTTACATGAATTGGACACCAATAGGAAAAACATCAACAATCACTTACCACCCTTTTCAGGTGTATTGTTCATATAATAAAGGAGGAATATATATTGGAATAGATGCACGTTTTTTCTTCAAGTTTGATTTGAATGTAAAGAGATTGATTGAATTAACTTCATAAAATGATTAGTAAAAGTAATTAAGTAAAACTCTAGTAACTGCCTGACAAGTTCTGCCTTTCTTCGATTGGCTTAATTCTTAAGGAATTGAATTTTAGGTTAGATAAATTGTTTCTTATCAGAAATCCTTACTGCTAATGAAATTAATTTTAATCTCTAATCTCTTTTTTCGATAATTCTTTAAAAAAAATTCAAACTTTTTGCCTTATCTTACTTTTTTTCTAAAAGTTTATATAAAAGTAAGAGTATAAAATTGTAGGCTGATAAATCTTGAATAACTCTTAAACTCTTAGTATTGAACTAAATAAATATTATATCAGTCTTTAAAAGGTAATAAACACAGGAAAATAATCTTTCTCAAGATTTAAAAGCGAAATTATCAAGTATTATAAAATACTGCAATTTAGCCTAAATTGTAAATTTTTACACGTTAAAAAATTGACATTCGCTGAGTTTCCAATACACTTATACATTTTTAAGTGATTTATACAAATTTTGATTGCTTTATTTAAATTTCAAAACTTGATTATGCAGTTTCTAAGCTATAAAAACCATTTCCAATATATCCTAGAGCAAAAAACCTGGCCTAGACCAGGTCTGTGGGGCGACATACACAAAAATTGCGAAAGTTCTGGTTTCAGCAACTCTTAGTAGACGATAAGCCATATAGAGATTAAGCTGAGTTAAATAAGTCTTTTCATGAAGACACAAGGCACATAATATGGTATCATTCCCAGAGCTTTCACCATTTTTAAATTGTGAGCTTGCAGGCTGTTGAGTCATCTTTGCAGTTAAATTCTCTCAAGAGCACACCCCAAATAGTGTTGCTGAAAGTCAAGAGAACAAATTTTATCTTTCTCTCATCATATGGTAACTAAAGTTTCTGTTACTGCTATCAGATGGAAGTGAAACAGTAATAGTGCTATAACTTTCCTTAAAGCCTGACCAGAGAACTGGCTCCACCATCCAAGAAACTATGCTTTACCCCCAAAAAGGCAAAATTATCACAGAATTCAGCTCTATTTATCAGCTTAAATGCCACCTCTTTTTATAATTATTAAAATTTCACACACATAATTTTTCCTCTAATTAACCATACCTCTTACAAAAATCCTCTCCTATTATCTTTCTTTATTAAATAAAATCCAATTATCCAGAAAATGAAACTTTTATTCATTTTAATTAGCTCAACATTTGCGTATGACATAACATCTGAACGAGACGGACAAATTTTTGGTTACGTGACTTTGTACTCTATGATTCCTTTATTCGCCCTTATGCTTTTATTAGTATTTTTATTCCATTCGCATAGCTCTGAACTATTAGGAGGATTTACTCAATTAGCTACATTTATGCAGTTTGCCAGATTCGTGCCTTTAATTAATTTTTCAAACTCAGTCTTTTATAGATCATTTTGAAAACAAATTTATTATTTTTATCAAGGTTATGTTTATTTTATCAGCAGTGAGGTAGAGCCAAATCAGCCACATTTTGAAGATATGGGAATAAAATCAGTTTTGGTGCTTTATAATGCTCAAGAATATTTGGTGGTATTTTTGCTGTGTTTTTTGGCTTTTGCAGTAGTCCCTTGGATAAGACCGAGGCAAACTAGTAAAGGAAGATTTTCTATACTGATGTGGTTTATTATAGCATCATGTTTAGACTTGATTTTTTTCTGTATTTTAGCTGTCCAAAACGCTGATTCTACCTCATTTTTGATAATACTAAGTGCAGCCATATCAGGAGTATATTTATCATTAATGATCATGTATTTTATGCTACTATTATATTCTCTATTTACAAACAGCTATTTAGAATATTTTAATTTTTGTATAAGAGAATTTAAGGACACTTCTAGAATCTACTGATTGTATTATCCGCTGTTTATATCAGCAAGGACTTTATTTGCAATACTCCTGGTTTTTGCTTATCAATACGAGTTTTATCAATGCATATGTATGATATCAGCAGAAGCAATAATAGGTATTTTTTATTCAGTTTTATATTTAATTGCTTTTCAGCCCTACAAGTCTTTTAGAAATACATTTTTTACTATTTTATATCACTCGTTTGAAGCTTCATTTTTAGTAATCCCTATATTGTACGATAAATCAGTTTGGACCATTTCAAATTTGAATATTTTAAATCTTGCACTGTGCTCAGCAAGCTTATTTTTAATAATTTTACGCTTTTCTCTAGACCTGATTTTTATTCATGATACAAAAAATGACCATCATATCAGCCCAAGCGAATCTTCAGGAAATATGACTGTGACCGAGCAAAGGAATGCCAATGATTCTACTATCAATAATAGCTTTGAAGGGCTAGAATATCAAAGAAAACATGTAAGAAAATTAAGTGGGAATAAACCTATGACGTATCTTGACCCGAATAATGCGAATGAATTTTCAATGCATTCTCGAAATAACTCAGGGGAAGCAAGAATGTATTTTCCCTCACAACGAGCGTCTTTCAATTATAGAGAACCTCCTACCATAAAAAATCCAAAGCCTGCAGCCGAAAAAGATTATTTACAAATACCATCATCTATAGTCACCCCAACAGAATCTAAAAATCTATCATTAAAAACAAAACAAATCCTCCCCAACCACAAAGCGAAAAACAGTAAAATTTTCAATCTCAATAATCTCACTGTCAAAAATTAAATTAAGCTAAATCTACTTATAATTCTGTTATAATACCATGTGAAAATCCTTAATTTTTTAACAAGCTCAAAGTCAGAACTTGGGGTTCTCTCCATATAAAAGCATCAATAAACCCGACCATAAGATTTTCTTCAAGGACTTTTCCTTTACAAACAATATTTCCTTCGACAGAAATTTTTCTTAAAATCAGGTCATAAATGTCCTTAATACAAAATTCTCCAGAAGTCTCAAACCCAAAAGCCTGATCCCCAGTGATGACTTGGAAAATGGTGGTTTTTCTATAATTAAACAATTCTTTTTGTTTTTCACAGACCTCTGTCTCACTAAAAGACTCGAAACACCTCAGAAAATCATTTGCTTTGCTTAGTCTTGGCGAAAAGGCAGGGAAATGATAAAGCACGAAATAAGTTAAAAATTGGAGAATTCTATTCGGGACATATGATTTTATGTCTCGGCCACAAGGACATTTTTTATTGCCTTCTTTTAGCCATCTGGCAAGGCAAATCTTGCAGACTGAATAAAAATTACTTACTTACTTACTTAATTATCTGGTGTTTAAGGTGTCTAGTGCCGCAGCCCAAAAGGGCCTATGGCAAAAACTGATGACGTAGGCGAGCCATCTTGGCACGGGTCAGCCCCGTCCAAGCCTTCTATCAACTCCTGCTTCACCGGCCTTGCTGCACGTCTCACCCGGCGCGTTGCCGTCGCCCTTGTCGCTCAACTCAGCTCCTGCGCGTGTTCTGCCTAAGGGTCATCCTCCCGTGGGGATGTGCTGAGAGGTAAAAGCCCGAGATCTTGAGTGGACTGAGGAGTGGTTCCTTTGGTTATCCCCAAAGTTAAACCGCTGTTGCTGTCCAGAAGTTCGCGAGTGAAAACCTAACCCTAATAATAAAATTCCATGAGGGAGAGAAAATTAGCAAAGCTAATTTCTCTCGAACCGAATGCCATTTTATTATTGAATAAAAATTACAATTATGATAGCAGCCTAGAAGCATAAAAGACCTTCTCAAAGCACCGCCACATAGACCGCATCTAAAATCGTCAGTAAGTTCAGATAATCGGAATTCCAGCTTATCTATAGGAAGGTTGAAATTTTTTATTTTTTGCTTATTCTGTATGCTATTAAATATGCCAATACAAAAAATAAACCATTTATAAATAAATTCAGCCTAAACAGCATATTTTTCAAAATCCGAGAGTTTTTGGAGAAAAAAGCCGACTCTTTTGCAGTCCTATCACGAAAGTTCGGTCTGCTCTCCCTAATTTCTCCTGAATTCTCTATTTTTTGCTGCGCCACCTGTGTGTGAAAATCTTTGGCTAACTGAAAGAGAATCTCTGACGTAATCGGTGCTGCTGAGTTTACAAAGATCCCATCAGTTTCGTCCATCTCATTTTCAGGCGCACAGTTCATGACCTCAAGGGAGTGAGTATTTTTCGAAGAATTATCCATTTATTTTAGTTAATATAAAACAATGAACTCCATTACAAAAAATATGATAGTTTTTCTCCTTTCAGATTTAAACGTACACCGTGGTCATTTCATAGCCCTTAATTTATTACTTTAATGTCGTTGAATATACTTTTTTATGCTGAATTTTACTATTAAAAAATTATTTTTTGGGGTTTATTTTGTAGGGAATAAATATGAAAATATATTCAATCCTTAACTCTGTTGGCAAAGCTTTTTCTCTATTCATTGGGCTTCGAAACCAAAAAATTCGACGCGTTAAACGAGCCCTAAATGGTAAAATCTAGCTAGTTGTAAAATGTGATGTTTTAATTCCTGTCAAAAAAGACCCGATTCAGGAAAAAAGAAGTTCTCTGGGTCTTGGAGTCCAAAATCCGTACCCAGCGATCAAGATATTTGGCCGAGCAGAAGAAGGGTTTAAAGCAGTATTTAGTGCGCCTATTTTGGGCTGCCAAGAAAAAAAAATCGGAGTAACTTTTTATCGATTTTTGCATAGAGTATGCATAAGACCTATACTTGATGCAATTGAATCAATTGAAAGTGAAAATTTATTCCCTTAAACCTAAGCTTTTCTTTATAAAATATTAAAAATTTTTCTATTTTTTCTGCAGAAAAGCGGCTAATTTTTTATTAAAAATACCTTTTTTATCAAAAAAGAATATCAGATTATTCAGATGAAGGACTTTGGGATATCAATACTACGCATTCATCGTTCGTCGCTTCTTCAGATGAATCCGAAAAAGCTTTGTCAGTTTGTTAAACTTAAGCTTAAACGTATTTATTAAATTTTTTTTATAAGGCTATTATAATGCCTAGCTATTCAGAGATCATCCAAGAAATTTTCAACGAAATCAACGTTCTTAGGACCAACCCACTAGAATTTGCAGAGAAAGTTGAAAAAATCCTGCCTCAGTACAAGACAAATAACGCCAGACATAGACCTGGAGCTGTTCCTGTTATTACAAGAGAAGGGAAAAATGCAGCAATAGAAGCGATAAATTTATTGAAAAACACTGAGCCGCTGAATGCGCTTAAGTGGTCAGAAGGATTAGCGAGGGCTGCACAAGCTCATTGTAATGACTCTGGATCTCTGGGGATTATAGGACATATAGGAAGCAGAGAAAACTCATTGCAAGACCGCTTGGAGCATTTTGGCAAGTGGGACGAGTGTATTGCTGAAGCACTGGACTATGGCTCTGTTGATGGCTTTGAGGAGACTATACTTATGATGAATAAATAATGCATTTATAAGGGAAAAAAATAGAAAATTAATATAAATCAGACTATTTTGACCTTTTTAATAGATGACGGGCTGTCATCAAGACCTCATAGACAGGCATTATTAAACCCGAAATTCAATATGATTGGGATCGGCTTTGGACCACATTTGGAATATAAAAGTATAGGATGTATTGTATATGCTGGGGATTTTAAAGAAAAAGATGATATGGAAAATGTGGAAATCCCTGATGGAGAAATAAGGATAATTCCTGAAGTCTATGATTGGCTAGATGGAGCTGTTAAGGTCACTTGCGAGGTTAGGACTGAAAGTGATGGGTCAAGAAGTGTTAGAAAAGTAAAAAAACACTGGGAAATGGCTGATGGCTCAACCCAAATCACTGAAGATACAGTTAGGACACAAAGAAATCCATCATCAGCTTCAGAAGATTAAAAATCTATTTATTTTATATTCTGCCTGAATTTTTAACTGTATTTTCTCTATTTTTTTAAAATATTATATTAATTATAGAAGTTATAGCCATTAAGCTATTTCATATTCTGGCAGCCTTCATCATACTTTCAAAGCCATTTTCTCACTGATCCCATATAAATGAAAAATTTTAACTCAACTACTCTATTTCCTCCTGACTTTTTCTTTTCAAATAAATCAAGATCCCTAAAGCCAAGCATCCGATATCTTGAGCCCTTGCCAGAAATTCAGCAAGAGCCCCGCCATCCTTATAAAATTATTGTGACATCTCCAAAATCTCATTCACAAGACCCTATGAAGAACTCGAAACTGATTTCTTCGTTATCTTGCAAACATTTACGAAACAGTTTGGACCCTTTTCAAACGCCTCCTATTCAGCCATCTAAAAAAAACCCATTAAAAACCCGTTTACCTCACTTAAAACCTCTTGTACATAATTCAATTTTCAGTCCTCGACTTTCTCAAAAGTCAATAGAAAACCGACCAAAAGATTTTGACAAGCACTTAACAGTGACATTTAGCCAAAAATCATTTATCCTCAATAGCTTAAGGGGGATATATTTATTTTAGATTGTTATTTGGATGAAAATTTAATTAAATTCAGTATAAAGTTCTAAATCAAATAAATAATCGTTAATTTTAATATCCTTCTCTTCTCCTTGGAGCTGCTTTTACAATCTCATCAACTCTTAAAATCATTTCAGCTGCTTCTGAAGCTGCAAGTAATGCTTGTTCTTTAACCCTCAAGCACTCTTTTATGCCGAGCTCTTCCATATCTCCGACACATCCTTTATTTATGTCAATTCCTGCTCTTGTGTTTCCATTGTGTATTTCTGCTCTCAATTGAGAAATAATTTCTGCACTGTCAAGACCACCATTGTCAGCCACAATCATTGGGAGTTTTCGTAAGGCGCGGCCATAGGCTTCAATTGCTAACTCCCTCTCCTCTATGAGGGGTTAATTTTTTTTTAAAAATTTTATTTAAATTTTTTTTTTGAATCTCAATTTGGAACCAAAAAGTAATTTAATTTGTTTTAAAATTTGGCAGATTTAGAAAGAGATTTCAATAATAATTATCACTTGCATATATTTTTTCATATAAATTTAAAATTTTTTTTCCACTCACAGAGGGTTTGGCCAAATAATATGGATTTTCCAATGGTTTTGTTCTCTCATGAAGGAAGAAGAAGTAAGGACTTTTTGCCTGGAATAGTTCTTGCTAGCTCGTCTGTCGCCTCAGCCATTGTGACTTCAGTATTTCCGCCTCCGTATACAACTTTGGAATTTTTGATGGTTTGAACAAGCACACAGAGAGCGTCATGAAGACTGCGTTCAGCCTCGTCTAAGATGTGAGTAGAAGCTCCTCTTAGCACAATGGTGCTGGCTCTACCTTCATGGCAGCCTTGGAATCTGATGACTTTGTCTTCTCCTATCATGATTTCATCAACTAATTCGCAAGTTCCATGTGCATTATTAAGGCGGATGCGACCTTCCACATCTTGTCGTAATTTCCTCAATACCTCAGGCAATGCCAAGAGGAGGAACCAAGTCGATAAACAGCTACAGCATCCTTAATGTACTCGTATAGAAGTTTTTCTCATGCCATAATGTATGATACTTAGGATTTTTTCTCAGTACATAGGATTGGAAAGAGCTCAGTCAACCATCGTCTCTAGGATTAGGTCCCATTCCTGCTCGAAATAAGGACCCTGAAGACAGCAGGATCATTGTGAAACTAAGAGTTACATCCCAAGCTCCAGGCCCATAGCTAGCTGATGTCCGGGAGCAAATTAGATATAATGAAGCTTTGGATTTAAGCCGGCAGTTCCTAAAGAGCTGATGAGCTTGCAGAAGTAGAAATCTTTTGCAACATTATACAATGCAACAATTTAATTTAAGTAATTCACAAGTCCCAAGCTTTGCAGTTTCTGGTGAGTCAAAGGTAGATAAACTGATTTAATAAAAATGTTCTGATATTAAAGAAAAATTATTTCTCTATTAATGTGCAAAATAAGCTTTAACTATCATAGCTTTGGCTTATTTATATTAATAAATAATAAAATATCAGCTCCTAAGACAGATGATAGTCTTTCAACCCCATCAAAATCGGCTCCATGCCAAATGACCATGTATTTTTAATAATAGGGGAAATTTTGTTCGAAGAATTTTTACATTTAACTAAAAAAATTTCGGCCAAATTTTTCTATGACGAAATATATACTATTAAAATTACACGATCATTGAGCCTTCACCCATCAAAATCAGCATGTTCAATCACCATAACTCCTTGTTCAGCCATCAAAGATTCAGGATAGTCATATATAAGTTGTCTGTTAATAAATATGCTTGGCTTATGTGCAAGAATCTTATCAACTTTTCTTTTCATTTTTTCCCTTTCTGCAGCTTCAATTTCAGCTATTTTATCAATAGAATCCACCTTTACCTTAGACCCGAAAATCTTGATTTTATCATAGTCCATAGGAGTGTTCGCGACAAGAATTCTTGGGGTGATTTTTTACCTTACTCCCCCCTCCGTGAGTGAACAAAACCATTAGAAAAATCGCTATTTTTTGCCCAAAAACCCATCCATATGAGTGAACAAAAATTTTTTTAATAGAAAAATTTTTTATGGAAAAAAAAATTGGTATATAAATGATAATTAGTATAATGAAATCTAGAGCTAATTCTGTTTATTTTAAACGAATTGCTTTTTAAAACAAAAATTTTAAAAATAAAATAATATTTGCTTTCCAGTTTTTTGCGAATTAGGATTTTTTTTAAATTTCAAAAAAAAAGCATAGGAATTGCCCGAGGATGGCGCTATCCTCGGGCAATTACTATATTTTTTATATAAAATTGTTTTAAAAAAAAAAATTAACCTTAGGGGATTTTGAAGCAATTTTTTTTTCTAAAATAAATCCATCAGCTAAGAAAGAGTCCCTTAAATTTCCTCCTGCCTTTTTAATAATTTGTATAAGCTTTAGATCGTCGCTTCCTCTGAGTCTTAATACTGCATCTACAGCAAGATTGACAAAATGCTCCTTTTCTTGGACAAGTAATTTTGAGCTCAGGGTGGTTCCAGCAATGCTTTCTAAGTCTCTTCTGAAAACTGCGGTATCTTGAGAATGGTCACTTGCAATGGATAGAAGGGTTTTTCTTGCGGCATCTTTTGCAAGTCTCCATCCTTGAATGATAATTTGAGGGTGGATTTTTGCAATTATAAGCTGTTCTGCTTCTCTTAATAATTCTCCTCCAAGCACAGCGACTGTTGTTGTCCCATCCCCGACTTCTTCATCTTGGGTTTTCGAAATGTCAATTAAAAGGGTGATAATTTTTTTTTTATAATTTATTAAAAAAAATTTAAATAAATTAATTTAACACCTAATTAAAATTTTTGCAGCTGCATTATCTACATAGATTGATTTAAGAATCGTGGCACCGTCGTTTGTAACTGTGATTTTCTGTTCGTTTGGATCAGCGCTCTTAAGGATTTTGTCCATACCTTTGGGACCTAGAGTGGTTTTGACAAGCTCAGAAATGGCAATGGCTCCAACAAAGGATGTAAGGCGAGCCATCTCTCCTTTTGATTCTTCTGCTTCTTCGTCGAAGATTTGAGGATTCACGTTGCCAGCTTCATCAGCCCTGCCTGCGTAAGGTCCACTCATATTATTATTAGGAAATAGTTAATAGAATAATTTAGGTAAAATTAGTGAGAGATGCTAAATATAGCTTCAGGCTAATGAGATTTGATTAAAAATTTTAGCAGGTCTCAGGAATTATTTTAACCCTTTGCCAGCAGGCATATCTGCAAGCCAGAAAAAAGGCGGAGCGTCAGACCTGAGAATTACCCTCAATGCGGCTCCTCTCATCTAGGTCTGAATCAACTTACGAATTACCAGAGTTCATGCTAGATCACGCCATTTTATTTTCTCAGGCTCATGAAGATGATTAAAACACGCTGCTTATGAGCATTTTAAGAGCTTGCGAGCCAAAAATCAGCCAAGATGATGATAAATAATAGTGAAAGTTCCATAAAAAGACTGTGAAATGTCTATGATATAAGGATAAAATCTAAACAGAGGATTAAAACGAAATGCAGTAATAAGCTTGCTGTATATAATTATGAATCTGAAAACATAAAAAATCTTTTTTGTCTAATCAAAGTCTAATAATTTTGTATATAAATTAAAAATTTTCAATAGAGAGCAAATTAACACTAACAAACAATAAACTTTTATTCTCTGAGCTTTATTTCCAAAAATGATGATGATTCTTGAGACTCGCCTTCATCACTATAATAGTCTAATAAAAAATCTTCATCAACAGAAACTAGCTCATGCCCTTAAATTGGAGCAAATATCAGTAAAATTTCCATTTTTTCTGGGTATATTAATCTCCTTTGAAATTGCGACAAAATTTTAATTTTCAAATAGTAAACTTTTAATGTGGGCATATTTACCAGCTTTGATATAATTTAATGGAGAAGTTAGTTAGAATACTATTAAGCAATTGGATTTATTGATTATTTTTTGAATTTATTCTTCATGTAAAATAAATTAAAATTGCATTATATTTTTTTTTTAATTGGGTAATTTTTTTGAAATAAATAAAAATTTTAATTGAAACAATATTTTTTATAATTTAAAGGAAAAGTAAGTAGTTTTGTCCATCATAATCAAGCATAACAAACTCAATTTCTTCATCTAAATTTGTTATCCTTGTAGGCTGATCATCAAAATCTGAATCTGTGATTGAAGCTATTAACAGATCATAAGTTTCGCCAAATTCATCTGCAGAAACTGTATAAGAGTCTCCGTCTTCTATTGTTACGCCTTCTTCTTCAGCGATATTATCAGCGCACAAAACCTGAACAAGTAAAAATATTCCAAGCAGAACTTTCATAAAGTATTTGAAAACGGCTAATAATTATATGCCAATTTATAACTCTATTTCAAAAAACGGGGATTTTTGATTTGTTCCTTGGACTCTTTTGGGTTCCTAAATTTTTATGCTAGAATGCGAGATAATTGATAGCAGAGATTTCCACATTTATTTATTATAAATTTTTGCAATAGTATTTAAGCCCATTCAGAAATATTTCGAAAAATTATTTAGCTAACTGCTTGAAGCTTCTAATGAGGCAAAATTTTAACTTTAATTATAAGAATTCGTGCGCAAAAAGGGCTTAGCCTAATAAAAGATACTAGACAATTAATGCTGAACTCTATATAAACTCTTCAAAAAAAATTATTAAATACTATGGACTGATTACCCTAAGCATCAAATGAAAATCTTTCATATTTCTCGGATAAGCAAATAATATATAAAAACTGATTATTAATTTATTTTATTAGCTCCCTCCTTTAAACTAGACAAGAAAGTCTATTCCTATTAAAGGGTAATTAATTTTTATATAAGCTGTCATAGAAAAAAAATTATATGAAAATTAATTTGTTCTGGAACTTTTTGGATTATTGGTAAAGCAATATAAATTTTTTTTCTTCAAATTAACCAAAAAATGGAAAATTTACCGATACTTTCCTCAAATTAAAAAGAGTAGGCTTTTGCTTATTAAATTATGGTGTCGCCTGCGTATCAAAATTCCAACTTATACTATCATGACCAATCCTTTGAGCAAAATATTAATCTTCTTTTCAAAGATAGCTGCACTGAAAAACGGTATTCTTTAGATATCTCCCGAGCTCATGAAGACTCAATTGCCTACATTTTTGGCTGACTAATACTAATTGTGTTAACTTTACTTATTTTAGGCGATTTAACTTTCTATGAAGCTGCCAGCTTTATTTCGACATGCTTGCCATGATTTGTGGCAAGAAATACCTCCCCAACTATCCAAAGAATCCTATTGGAAATTCCCACTTTTATGTGCCTATCAAAAATATTCTGATTTATTATAATTTTTCTATTATAATCTCTAGGCATTTATAATGCCTAATACACATAAAAAACTATAATTAAGACAGGGGATTTTTTTGAAAGCTTTGCAGGTTTTTCGCTAAGTTTTGTATTCACATTAAACTTATTCAGCCACTGGACAAATTTCTTATTCATCAGCCTGATTGAGATACTTTTCCTATATCTTATGAATAGCATCAAACTTTCAGGCCTTATTCTAGCAGTTTTTACCTTTACTTTTATATTTTCAGTCGCTGAAAAAGACTTCAGAACATTGTGAAGAATTTATCAATCGATAAAAAAATCAAACTCGACTTATTATTCATTTTTCCAAAATTTGCATTTTGCAGTATTTATTGTTAATTCTTCAGGAAATATTATTCATCTTAATAAAAATGCCCTAAAAATGATCGCAAAGCTACATCCTGGGACAAACAACTTTATGGAAATTTTTGTACAAGATTATCATGATTTAATAGAATTACTAATAAAAAATGCTATTCTGAAAGGATGTCCTGGAAAAGAAGAGTTTTTATGTAAACAACATGGAAAAGATATAGAATTTAATAAAAATGACGTACTAGGCTATTCTATTTATGCAGAAAGCATTACATGGAAGTCAGAAAACTGCGCAATGCTTATATGTACTGATATTACTGACAGTGTTAATAATAAAGCCCTTCAGATTTCTCTTACAAGAGCCGCAAAGCCAGCATTAGAAGCCTTTGGGAGATCATTAGGAAGCGATATAGATGATAGCCATCCTCAGAGCAAAGAAAATTTCCAAGAATTTATGACGATTAAGTATTTTCACTGTACAAGTTTAATATACCAATCAGTATTTTTTAACTCAATTGTGCTCAGTAAAGATTCTTTCAGCATAGACGATGACATACAAAATGCTATTGAAATTTCATATGGAAAAGCACAAAGGAAAGGGATTACTGTGACTTATCAAAAAGATCAAGGAATCCCAAAGTCAGTTATAGGGGACCAGTCTATGCATTTTTATATCCTGCAAACAATTTTTGCGTTTGCGATAGATACAGCACTCCCTAATTCTGAAATTTATTTACGGGCAGAAATTTCTGTAATAGTAATATAGTCTGCAATAGGCAAAGAACTTTGCTTAGCTTATACGCTGTCGATAAGGACAAGGAAATTTGAGAACGCGGATTTAAGAAAGATTTTTCATGTAAAGAGAACAGAAAAAAATAGAATTTCGATGGAAGAGCTTGTAGAAAATTGTCTTCAATATGGATTTGGGATTGCGCTGCTGGACTCTCTTTTAGCGTTTCTTTCGGGGCAAATCTCGGAAGCATCAATGGGGGAAATTGAGACTGATAAATTTACGTTAATTTTAAAAATACCTTACTCTTTTTTAAGAAATTAAATGGTGATGGAAGATGGACATTGAGGTGAAATCCTATGGAGCAGGTAGGAGACGTCCTGATGAAGCTGAAAATAGTAACTCTGTCACTTTTTGAAGTAGGCCTTTGGGTGGGATGTCTGCCCGAAGAGGGAAGTTTCGTTTTTCCCTGAAGGTTTTCCCTGTCCCTGCTGGCTAGATAGGTTATGCCTCCCGCTTAGTCTTTGCTTATTGGGATTAACAGAGCATCTACAGAGGTGGCTCTAACCTAGGGAGCTAATCCTTAGGTTAGGTGGGTTTACATCAAGTATGCAGGCTAGTGGTCTATCCACTTATGGCTTTATGACATTTAATTTATTCTATTTTGAGAAATAAAATGATGAAATTGGACTTGATGCTCACTCCTTTGGAGCAAGTAGGAGAACCTGAAATACTGCCTATGCCACTTTTCTAGTAGGCTGCCAAGAGAGCTAACCCCTGGACAGGCTTCCAGGCCGGATATCCAAAGGGCGGTATTTTGGAACAAAGGTCGGTGAACCTATTGATCTGCCCGTTTATGGCCAGCATAACTTAATAGTATAACTTACTCTATTTCTGATAAAGCGCCCAAATCAAAGCTTATCCGTATTACCTCAAACCAAACATATGAAACCCCATTGACAGCTAAATGAAAGCCATTACCAGAGAGCTGGATAGACGAATGTAAACAATTAGATAATCAAATTATAAAGCTGAGATCCCGCCATAAAGACAGCTATTTTGCAAAATTCGAAATACAAGCTCTTTCTCATATAGCAGAAACAAAATGGTGATGGTAGATGGACTCCGAGACGCACTCACTATGAGGTAGGACCCGTTCTTATGAAGCTGAAAATAGTGCCTCTGTCACTTTTTGAAGTAGACCTTGGGATGCCTGCCGAAGAGGGATGCTTTGTTTCTTCCTCGAAGTTTTCCCTGTCCCTGCTGGGCTAGATAGGTTTTACCTCCCACTTAGTCTTTGTTTATCTGGGCTAACTGGCTATCTCTAAGAGGTGGCTCTAGCCTAGGGGTATAATACTTAGGTTAGGTAGGTGCTAGTGGTCTATCATCTTATAACCTTATAGCTTTTAACTTTTCTCATATAGAGATAGAGCCCATTCAGCGCTGCTCTACATTTTCCAGCATTGAGGTGTCTGATTTTGACGAAAACTCTGATCTATTCCACAAAATTTATGTTTATAATTCAAATGATATTGTAAGACTTGTCACTTTTGACCCAGCTAAATATGAAACTAATTTCCAAGCAGAAAACCCCAGAAAAGTTTTTGTAAATAATCTTATAAATAGAAAAATCAAAATTTCTAGTCCTGGCAGCAAATCTCCACTGCCTGATTATTCACAAACAGACACAGTCAAAATTCACAAATTTATCGAAAAAGATTGCCAAAAATATAAACTTGACCCTCAAAAAATGAAAGTTTTGGTCGTTGATGACATAGAAAACCAAAGAGAAATTATTGAAGCAATAGTAAATAAACTATTCGGGGCTAGCTATGATAGTGCAAAAGATGGAAATATGGCGGTAGAAATGTTTAAATCATATATAGACCAAGGGTTTTTATATCAAATAATATTTATGGATGTTTATATGCCGATCACTGATGGGCTGAAAGCAACACAGCAGATTAGAGATATTGAAGCGCAAAAAGGCGCGCCAAGAACATTTATATGTGGGATGTCTGGAGATAGTGAATTAAGACAAAAATGTCTTACTCCCCCCCCTCCGTGAGTGAACAAAACCATTAGAAAAATCCCTATTTTTTGCCCAAAAATCCTACCTCCGTGAGTGAACAAAAATTTTTTTAATAGAAAAATTTTTATTGAAAAAAAATTTAGATATATAAATGGTAATTAGTATAATGAAATCTAGAGCTAATTCTATTTAATTTTAAACGAAATGCTTTTTAAAAACATAAATTTTATAAATTAAATTAATATTTGCTTTCCAATTTTTGCGAATTAGGATTTTTTTAAATTTCGAAAAAAAATATTTTTTATAAAATTTATATATAAATTGTTTTAAAAAAAAAAAAATTACCCCCCTCCGTGAGTGAACAAAAAATTTTTGTTCACTCACGGAGGGGGGGGGGAGTTAATGCAGGAATGGATGAGTTTTGTAAGGTTTATTTAGTATTGAAACCATCAAGTCCTCAAGATTTAAAAAGAATAGTGGAAATGAGCAAAGGTAATAAAATTTAAATGCTGATATTTAAAGCTTGTTTTATAGATAATAGTGTTTGATCTTGCTTATTATTAATCGAAATTTGAAAATTAAGTGTCGATTATATATATCATTTTATTCATTCTTGGGGGAATAGGATATAATATAAGAGCTTTTTGATAAAGTGGGTTCATAAAAAAAATTATATATAGAATGGAAAAGGCGATTTGCATATTTAGTTGTATTAGTATCAGATTCTGAGATTATATTAAAATAAAAAGTTTTATTATAATTTAATTTGGCAATTCTAGCTGTTAATTATTAACGATAGATTGTGGTATGAAATTTATTTTTACTAAGATAATCATATTTTCTCATAATATTTAAAAAATCTCTTTTTAGAAGCCATAATAAGAATAATATTAAAATTTTTTATTTATTTATCGTAAGCTGAAACGAAAATAATTAAAATGAATGAATAACTCAAGTATTTAAATGCCTTTGTAAATATTTGGTGTGGTATCAGTTATTGAACTGTTTATAAATAGATTCTATATAGACATATTTTTCCAGTGATTTTCAGCTTTATAAATTATTATGGAAATCCAGAGATTTGCTTGCAAGGTTCCAGGCTGCAATAAGGATTATTGCAACCAATTCAACCTAAAAAGACACTACGAAGGCCAACATATGGGTGTGAAGCGATTCAGATGTAAAATTTGTAAAAAATATCTCTCATCAAAACAAAATTTAAAGGAGCATCGGTTTATGCATACAGGGATTAAGCCTTATGCTTGCCCTTATGAAGGTTGCGCTGAAAGTTTTAGACAAGGAAGTCAGCTTTCTTTACATAAAAAAATCCATCAAGAAGTCATAAGGCGCTTTCGAGGAATCCCACAAGTTGAAACGAGCTTAAGCTTATTAACGTCTGCACTGATCAAGACAGAAAAAGAAGAGTTTGAGGAGAACAATATAAAGCTACTAAGTCAAGAAATTGTGTTACCTTCGATTACTTCTCCGCAAATTGGAATAACGCTTCCTTCGTGCGAAAAACAGCTTACAATTATGAGTTAAAATAATATCAGAAATAATATAATATAAATTCTGCTCAAATTAATGGGATTAATTGAATAATTAACAGAATTTGTGTAAGTATAGATTAAACTACAGATTTTTATTATAATAGAGAAGAATTCTTTTAATGATAAAAGAATCATTTTTCTTCAAACTTTAACTATTTTTAACATACTCTATAAAAAGTTTAAACATCTATTCCTTAATTTTTCCGACTTTAGGAGGCTTTGCAATGGAATCGTTCTATCAAGTATCGGGAAGGTAGAAATAAGTACATTTTAAAGTTTATTAAGAGTTAAAAAAAGACTTAGCTATTAAAATCTTGCAATTTCTAATTGTCAGAATTTACAATTTGCCGGCAAAGCATTTATAAGTAAGGCTCAGATAAAGATCCCAATTTAAATGAATTTAATTATAGCTAGAAATAGTTCCAATTTCGCAGCTTTTGCTATTTTATCCTTTTATCTTTTATCTTAGTCTACTTCAAGTCTTTCAGCCTCATTTCAACTTCTCGATGCATTTTATTATGCAAAGAGAGTTGGCTCCCTTGCCTGAAGCTTTTCCCACAACCGAGGACTTTACAGACAAAAGGTTTCTCTCCTGTATGCTTAAGCAAGTGTTCATTGAGATTCTGCTTAGATGATAAATAATGCTTGCAAATTTCACATTGATATCGTCTTACGCTGCCATGCTCTGCTTCATAATGCTTTTCCAAATTAGCCTGGGTGCTATAACTGCGGTGACATCCTTGAACAGTGCAGACAACTCTTTCTCCTTTCATATTTCTTAGCGCATCTCATACTGGTAAAAAATGGAAACTATTTAATATTAAATGCTCTGCTGGGATCCTCTTTACTTAATTTTTACTGAAATAGTAAAAGAAAATAGTAGAAATAATAAAGAAATAGCTGGATTTTAGATACTAAAATAATTTATTTTTCCTTTTATAAAAAAGTAAGCGCTAATAGATAGGATTTAGCTAATGAGAGTGGACCATTGGAGTTAATTTTAGGCCTCTTTACCTTGGTGGTTTCAAGCGCGAAGTCAGATTGCGTATATGACCTTTTTCTGGTATATAAATAATGATATTATCGCAGTCTGATAGGGGAGTTTGGACCTATTCGATGAAAAGAACTCTACTTTTATACCTGCATTTTATAGGCACCGAATTGCTTCTCCAAAATTTGAGCTTCTGACTGTAAATCTTTAGTCTGGAGTTGAGGAAAAGAGTTTGGTCTGTCCATAACTTAAAACGTGCTCCAAGTCTTGAAAAAATTGATATCTTGCACACAACTGTTTTCCTTTTTAAAGATTCTTTATGTAAAATATCATTTTTATAAGCATATTTATTGAAATCTTATAGCAAATTTTAATATGAATTAATAGAACTTTTCATATGCAATATAGTCAATTCATATTTAGCTATAAACTCAGCAATAAATAGCTAATACCTATACATTAAAATACGTGGCAGCCAACCCTTTTAACTCCACCATCCCATAGAGTATTATAGGGATCTCAGAAAAGGGAGGAAGGTGTTCAGGAATGTATATCTGCCAGGCTTTGCTTGGCTTGGTAAAGTTCAATGTCGGGCGAACCAGCATATGCTTTATTCCATATCAAGGTTTTGCCTCAGAGGTGCTGGAATTAGAATTTTTAAAGGGATCTCCAGCAGAGTCAGTAGTTATTTTCTGACCTATCGGGACTGTTCCCAGTGTGAAGCCAGGAGCTACGCTCTGAACTTAAGGTATCCATTTTAGCCGAGAGTCAACCAGAAAATTCATCATTTTAATAGTCTATGGTGGGAACCTTTTTTTTATGCTCGGTGCGGTGGCACAACTCATTCAACTACTACTAACCAGTGCAGACCTCACCCGGCAGGAGTAACCTTCGCAATCTCATAAAGCGCGGAAAGCAATAGGATATAAATTAAGATTAAGATTAAGATTACGATAACTCTTTGTTGACCCCCACTTAGCTTAGGATCTAACAATACTAACCCTTCCTTCATGAATTCCATCCACTAGCAAACAGCTCTGAACAACAGTAGGTGGAATAGGCCTAACTGTCGAACCGTTTCAGTTGCCTATGGCCCAGACGAGTCTCTCTTCGGTTCTTGAATGTGATTCAAGTGTAATTGGAGCTGCCGAAGCAGTTCCAACTCTGATTTCCTTCAGAAAGTAAGAACTTCCCTCACTAGGAAAAAGTATAGGGGACTGACCCCTTACTTATGCCTTCCATTTTTAATTGTGGAAATAAATTATCCTTCAAGAATTACAATGAGTTTTTCTATATTTATAATTAATAAGATTAAATAGCAAATTTCAAAATGTTTTTATTAATTTAATTCTGTCTAATTACCTCGAGAGCTTTCATATTCTTTGTCTATGTCTATCAATCTAGCTCTCCCAAGTGAAATTTTGAAGACTTTTTTAATTGTTTCATCAGGATCAAAACTATCCGGTATTGTTTTAACTCTATTAAAAATTTTGTCAGCCGCCAATTCTACTAGCTCATCCTTAACTTCTTTAAAAATAAGAATATAAATCCTATATAATATTTTTGGTCCCTCATTAAAAAATACATCTAAAACTCTCAAAGCTACTTCAGTTGGCAAATAATTTATATACAAAGTCATTATCCAGGAAGGCACAAACATAGATGGTGAAATCCCAATTTCTTCAAAATGTCTGAATAATGCTGGCAGATATTGCTTAATTAAGGCATTTACCTTATAAAAAGCTTTGTAGACTCCAGGCATCCCAGGCATATAGAACTCCCTCATTTCATATTTTTTCATTACAGCGATGAGCATCCAAAACGCATCCTCTTCTGGCATATAAAATAAAAATAATCCAGTCAAAAAACCCATGCCTTGGCAATATCCAATTTCAGGGTCATGAAGAGCATAAGCTTTTAAAATCCTAAAAAGTGTTTGCTGGCCGATTCCTTCATTGCTGAATAAAATATTGTCTGGAAATGTTCGATTTATGTCAAGCTGAATATCACGTGTAGCTTTATTTTCTATGACAGTTTCGGCAAGGCTTCTATAGTAGCCTGCATCGTGTTCTTCTTTAAGCTGCTTTAGATTGGCAAGTTCAGCTCAAACCCTTCCTCGGAAAGAGTCTGGGATGCCTTTCCGGATTCTTCTTCTGACCCATTCTGAGCGCCTGAGGACATTGTAATCCCATCTCTGAAGCATTTCTTGTCATTTTTCCATTCTAGCGTTTTCTCTGATGATGTCAGAGGGTCTTCGTGGTCTTGCTTGAGGGGCTGACCGAAATCCGTACCTGTCAATAACAAATTCTGCACTCATTTTCTTAGATCTAAATCTTAGATATGATTTAATTTGAAATTATAATATAATTTATAAAATATATATTTTGTGTTAAATAATATAATTAGCCCAAGATCTATTCTTAAAATATTTCATATATTTTCATGCAAGACTGGTGAAGTAAATACAAATATTAAAAACTCAACTTTTTTATTATCAAATTATTTATCAATATTGGAAGCAATATTTCTTTCTATTTATAAAACTTAAATTATAAAAATATAAAAATTCATATTTATCAATTAATATTTTATTGAAAAATAGAACTGGTTTCAGTAATAAACTGCTATATTCTATAAAAAAGCATACTATTTTCAATTTTTTCTGGAGAAACAGTCTTAGACTCTTCTGATCTTTGAATTTGCAGAATATTGACATTGTCATTTTCTAATGTACATTGACTTGGCATCGATTCAGGCTGCTCTAATGAAAATCGAAAAATTAATAAGATAATTGGAATAAAAATCCCAAATGCCCCTATAACGAATCAGATGTCGTTGCATTGAGATGTGTTGTTTTCAGGGCAAAAAGTCTCTAGTAAAGTTCCTGATAGAGATCCTGTTAAAATCATACAGAAATAAAAAGGGCAATTGCATAAGGCTAAATATGTCCCTTCTTCACCAGGCGAAGCTATTTTGAGAGTGTAATCGAGAAGTCTTGGAGACCATAAACTCTCACCTAAAGATATAATAATCACAAACAAAACGCAATTTCAAGTATTTGACCCTATGACTAGAAAAAAGGGAGCAAATGACCCTAGAAGGCCTCCAAAAGCAATAAGCAGGTAGCTAGAACAAATATAGCTGATTGGTGTAAAAATTATTGTGCCTATAAGCATCGTAGTTGAGTGTAAAGCTAGATACGCCCCAAAGTGTACCTTTTGGCCTACCCTTCTAATTCGCCCAATTTAATAAGAAGTCAATTAATAAAATTTAAAAAAATTTGTTTTTTCATAATATTCAAAATAAATAATAATAAATTCATTAATATAATTATATCTATTTATCCTAATTCAACAGCAATATAGTGCTCTTATAATTTTAGAAGGGCTTAAGCAAATATTTTGGGAAAGTCGCATCCAAATGCCCAAAACACCCACTTCTCATAAAAATCAGCAAAAGTATAAGCACAACAAATCTTCAAAATTTCCGTGTTTTTAACATATTTTTTGTTATCAAAATTTCTTCAGATTCGTTATATTCTGCAGATTTAGCGCTCGTTCTTATAAGAATTGAAGCTATTAAAGCAAAAAAGCTTGACATCACTGCAGTGCCATAAATTAATTGATAAGCAATATCCTCATTATAATTAGACCAAATATAATCAATAGAAGTCCCTGCTATGATACCAGAAAAAAAATTCCCGATCATAATTATTGAATTGCTTAAATTCCAAACAATTGGTTTTGTGTAAATTTTGGACCCAAGTTCTACTACAGGCCATGACATAGAAAGCCCTATCGTCAAAAATAAGCCAACACCTAACAGATTTATCACGATATTTCTTGTAAATCATAAAAGTGTAAATCCAATTAAAGAAAACGCAGTGGAAATAATTAAGGCTCTTTTGCAGCCTATAGAATTAATAAAAGGTCCTAAAATAATCGCGAAAATGCCTATTAATATACCAACGGCACCAAATATGATACCTACTTCAGAATCTGTGGCATTTTCTTTGGTGAAATAAATTGGAATCAGTGTGATAAGAATGTAATAATTTAGACTGACTAAAATATTTATGGTATAAATAACGAATAGCTCGTATTTGCTCTCTTTTCAAAAGATTCGTCAAAGCAACTTGCTGGAGGTTGGTGAAGAATCGATATTCGTTTCAGAATTGGGTTCGGAATCTTTGGAACTGATCCCAGGAGAGTATTGTTCACTATCAGATTTTGCAGCTAAAATTCGGCTTTTGTCTTTTGATTCTGAAGACTGTTCGGATTCCATATTTTAATTAGCATAATGGTAATTAATGTAATTTTGCGTTGAAATTACAGCGTCCATGCTTATTTATTTTGATCTAATTCGACAATGGAAAAATTAAAGCCTTAAACTTAAACTTATTAAAGTCTTCTTTTTGCCTGTTGCTAACGCATTCACCAAGGATCTCTAAAGGATTCACTCTTTGCAAAGTCAACATGAAAACTTTTTTTGAGTTGGGATAATTAGCCTGTGAGAATAGGGTCGAGCATCACCTTTCCTCTTCATCACCGCCTGACGCCGATGCCCGAATGGTCTAGCATTCCTATAGATACTGCTGAGATTCCCCTCTCTAACTCTGAGCATACCTTCTCCCTTGAAGTAAAATCCAATCCTGAAGCGGATTAGGGATAGACTCTGTGCATTATCAGAATTCTGACCTAGAAAGCTGTCCATTTAATATAAATAAAATATGCAAAGGCTTTTTTCCCCGGCCGAAAAGCCATTTTATTTTGAAAAACTAAATGCCAATTCATAAATTAAAGTGGCATTCAAGTATTAGCATAATATTTCCAATGGAATATATCATAATAGAAATTAACAATCAATTTAACATCTTCATAGTAATTCTTCATTGTTTTTTATTTTTTGAATTCAAATAATTAAAATTAAGGTTTTCGTGTTAGATATAAATAAAAGACTTCTGAATTAATATAAAATACAAAAATATTCGTTTTTTAATTTTATATAATAAAATCTAATACAATTATTTTTATATTTTTAAAATTAAATTCAAATTCTAATTGCTTTGTTTTTTATTTTTATTGCTAATAATATTTTCTAGTCACAATTAAATGCGAAAAATAGTTAATTTATTGTCCCAAATCAATCTTGATTAATATGGCACTCATGTTTATTTTATTATTGGATCATTTTAATTCGCCACAATTCATTGCCTTAAGTCACTCAATATTTTATTACTTATTCTATTGAATATCATCTGGGACATTATTTACCGCTTTAACAAGCTTTTTAAGCCAATCAAAGCATTTGCCGGGCGCAAAAGTGTTTGTCAGCTGTGGCGGAATGTTTCCTTTGACATCATTTTGGCTAATGAAGTCCATTACAACTGTATTCGGCGCATCTCCTTTCCCTATGATATTTCCTGAGATGATAGTGACTGCTCTTACACAATCCTTCTTGACTGGAATATCTTCCTTATCTGCATGCCTATAAAGCACAAAATAATCCCCGTCCTCGACTTTATAGCTTCTGACTTGTATGAATTCCCTATGACTAACCATAAAAAACATCCTGCACCTGTCCTATTTTTCGATATAATAAATATTATAGTAATGAAAATATAACCCAAAGGTGCATTTGTTATATAAATTATTTTAAAATATAATTCCTAATGTTGATTAATTTATCATTAAAATTACGGATTTTTATATATAGAACTGTGTGGATAGGGTAGAAGCTGAGGGTTTTATGACCAACCATAAAAGGCATAGGACTTTTGGCATAATAATAAGTTAGATCAGAATAATCTGTATATTCTTCAATAACCTTGTAATCAGACAAGACATCATCCCATGTTTGTCTAAAGCTAGGATCCCAAATCGCATGGAATACCCTCTTTGCTGTGGTGCTTTCTAGCACAATTCTCCCTTTAATAACCACAAATGCAGAAGATTCTGAGTTTTTTACCCAAACTGACACTTGTGGAGTGTCTTTATAAGCGGTCCAGCCTTCGTTACCTCCTGAAAGCATTTCTCTAATTTCAGTGAATTCATCACGAACTGGTTGTTTGGTAACTATGGTAGCTTTTCTCTTTAAGAAAGTTTTGAAAATATAGACTGAAACCAGTCCAATAGCGAGGAGAAAAAGAAAAGTCACAATGTCCATTAGTAAATATTTAATTAGGGGTAAATTTAATATTGCCGCCTATATTATAAGAGAGAAATTTAGGAAAGTTAGAAAAATTGCAATTTTTTGAAATAATTCAAGAAACCATAAATTTTATTTATTTTGAAATAGCCTGCATACAAAACCATAAATAATATTTTTCTAACTATAATATTTGGCATAAATTTATTATTATGGGGGATACACGCAAAACAATTCTTTTGTTATTAATCCCTCAAAATGAAAATAAATGTATCTAAATTATTGAATTTTTATAGCCTTTTTGCCGCTGTAGCCTTCATTAAGATACTTTCCTATATAATATCCACTAACCACAGTTCCAATATTGACTCCTACAATGATCAATGTAAAAGAGTTATTGAATGACAGCCCGGGATATATAACGATTCCTTTAAGAGCGCAAGGGACCATGACTACAAGTAGATAAGCCAGCATCACATATATCGCTTTAAAGAAATCTCGAAAATTGAAGGAAATTTTTGGATTCAAGGCTTCAGGGATAAAGAAAAGTAGCAGGATTCCATGATCTAGACTAAGGTGCCATACAGGAGGAAGTTTGACGCTATCTCCAATCATAGGATAAACATAGAGCCAAAATAATAGAGAAACGTTAAATCCTAACTTCTAGGCTCATATTTATGAATTTCTATTTTTAAAATATAGTAATATTTATTTTAGCACCCTAGTCTTTTTATCTTCCTTATTAGAGTAAGATTCATGAAACAATCACAAGGGCTTGTTAATTAGATTAGATTAAAATTATAGTGGGTCTACAGGGATTATTTCAGCTCCTCACCGTTCACGGTTAGATTCGTGTTGGTGATAAGCTATTTCTCACACCTGCTCTTTAGCTCCTGACGCCCCCAAAAAATGATGACGTAGGAGGCCTTTCAGAGAAATCGCCCTATCCGTCTTCTGGGTCCTATAAAATAGCAAAAGTCTCAACCGCAGATATTCCTCAAAGTATGGACAGACCAACTTTGCCTCCTCCCATAGCCTGTCTGAGCTGTATTACAGGATTGGTAATGCTCCTATGGAGTGTTGAAGGACATTGCACCTGAGCCAGGTCTGCAAGCTAGGAAAAAAGTCAAGGGTCAGCACTTAAACAAATAACCACTCCAGAGAACTACTGCAATGTGGCTATTCTTCTCTGTGTCCTGATCAACTCTCGGAATATCAGAGGCCATATCAAATAATCCCATTTTAATAATTCTGAGCTTGTTGAAGATTTTGACTTCCTAAATCGAGCTTCAAAATGAGGAGAGATGATGTATTGATTATGAGTGTCCAAATAGTCAAATATATTATTGTGCTCTTCTCATTTTTTATGGTGCTGCGCAAGCCAAATTTATTTTAGGAAGCCATATCCTTTAGATCTCCACTTGCCAAAATGGAAATGCATAACCTTCGTTATCAAAATGCGCTAAGAAAATTAAAACTTTAAAGCCAATTTCTTTGAATTCAAGAATAACTGCTGCAAGTCCAACTAAAATACCTAAAGTTCGAGACCAATCCCTAAACTTTTCCATATTGAGATAATATGGGATAAAAAACTTATTCACTTTTTATATCAAAACCAATTCAAAAATTTCTCCACAATATTAAAATTTCTTCCTTCAAAATCCTTCATCTCATCATTACAAAATTTTCTAATAAAAATCCCAATATTTAAAAAATTCTTACAATTATAAGCCTAATGCAGAAATTAATAGTTTCAACCCATTTTCAATTTAATCATTTATTCTAGTTTTAGTCCACTTGGTCTTTTCCGCAATGATTCCCTGATTCGAGGTGTAATCGTTCATATCTGGCTTAAATAGCATAGCTTGATAAGTCGTTCTGAAAACGCTTTTGCTGTTATAGCTGGACCTATCTCCGATTTCAATTTGGCTGGAATTTTTATAAGGTGCAATGAAATCAGTTTGTGGCAAACGGTTTCTATAAGAATCAGGATGATAAGGCACCAGAGGCTTTTTATTCATACCTACATGCATGTTGGGGAAAGTCTGATAAGTGGCGCCTGCGTGCGATACGACTTCAGACGAGCGTCGTTGGTTAGTCCAGGAGTTTTTGGCTTTATACCCTGTTTTCTTGCAAGGGAAGGAAACTGCTCGTGCTTGGCCATTTGAAGCAGAGACGTACTGGCACGAGTTTACTCTAGTAGTCTTGAAGAAAGGCGCTGACATTGTGTCTTTGATTGACTCAGACATTTTATAAGAATTATAACAAATTATCGGTTGAAGAAAATTCTTACATAAAAAATGAAAGCTCAAGGGGAGGTAGGGATTAATGAGCATGGAAACAATATTAATTTGAAGAGTTTGCCTAACTCACCTCTGGAATTGTATGTATTTTTTAAAAATAAGTAGGCTAATTTGCAAAAAAATTATTTTCCATTGTCAGATGAGTAAAATAAAGAAGTGCCCAAAATCCCCAATTAATGGCTTAGACGTTGTTGATTATATTTATGATAAAGTTTCTGATGTAAATATTGGAAGATTTGCAGCAAGATCAGTCAGTCCTGGAAATATAATTAAAAAAGACCTCACTTTAAGAGGTTTTCTCACCAAACAAGAAAATACTTCAGACCTTAAGCCTGCTTCAAAAAGCTACAAAATTAACGAAAGCATTCAAATTTTTAACAAAAAATCAAACTTAATGAATAAATCCTATCTTCTGCCTTCCATAAACAAAGAAAGCTCTATTGAGCAGCTATGCACAGAAAGAATTATGAGATTTTTATCTCCTAATAATACCAGAAGCCAGCATTTAAAAGGAATTTTAACTAGAAAAGACTATATGTCGCCTGAAAAATTAGTAAAAAGAAGAGAAAGGAAATTCAAAAGGTTCAAGGAAGCTTATGATAATTATCAGCAAGACAATAAAATCCAAAATTTGTCAAGGTCTATTTTACAGCAAGAAAAAGCTGTCAAAAAGTGCTCGGAAAGAATGAAATGGACGGCAAATAAACTTAAAGAAATGGACGAATGCGAAGGGAGAGTTTTGAAAGGATTTTTTAAGTATTTTTTAGACTTAAAAACTCAGGAGGATTTAGATGCTGTCAAAATTGCTGAAGAAATCAGAAGATCTCCAAGAGATTTGGAGCGAATCTTTAAGGATTTTAGAAGAATGATGCTTAAATATAAGGAAAGAATGATACTTTAGACTGAAATTGAAAGCCTTTTTATTTAAACTAACTCCATCCCGTGATTGAGCAAAATCATTAGGAGATCCTATAGCAAAAATTTTTGCAAAAATAATTATAAAATAAATATGACTGCATTTGAGACATAAACTTTTTAAATTATTTTTAAATTTTTTTAAAACAAATCTCTTCTCACCAAGGGAGGAGTAAATTAATTTGCCATTAAAGTATTGATTTTTTTTAAACAATAAAATAATTTACATATCCTAAACCTTCAGATTTATTATTTTATCTAATATTTATCATTTCACCTTTTCCAATTTAACATAATGTCTATAATTAAAATATGCTTAGCAGAGCTCAGAAGCGTCTCCAAAGAGAATTCGAAGAAATGACTCGCCATTACCAAGACACTTTCCCAGTCGAAATCCCAGAAAATGACACTAACCGCATGACATGGTATGTAAGCTTTATAGGAGCTGAAGGCAGCATTTTTGCAGGCGAAAGGTATACATTGGAATTCAGGTTCAGTGATAATTACCCAATAGAAGCTCCAGACGTAATTTTCAGAGGAGCATACCCTCACCACGAGCATGTGTATTCAAACGGCTATATTTGTCTGTCAATTCTCTATGATGATTGGTCACCTTCTATGAAAGTAAGCTCGGTCGTCATGAGCATACAGTCGATGCTATCAAGTGCAACTAGGAAATCAAGACCTGCAAATGATGCAAGCTTTGTAAGTTATGCAGGAGGAAGGAGTCCAAAGACGTTTAATTGGATTTTCGAGGACGAAAAGTGCTAATAATTAATACAGAAGGATTATCAAGTGTTAAAGAATCGGTAAATAGATGGTTTTGTAATTTTTGTAAACGGCTCAGATAAGATTAGATTAAAACTTGTTTATTGAAAATGATGGAGAAAAGATTGATTTGGAATGATAATATTAGAGACAATTCTGAGTCGTCTAAGTTAACTGCTATATAATAATCTTTCATGAATGTTTGCTGTGAAAATAGTAAAAATTCACTACTCCCCCCCCCCCCCGTGAGCGAACAAAAAAATTTTGTTCACTCACGGAGGGGGGTTAATTTTTTTTTTTTTAAAAAAAAATTTATATATAAATTTTATACAAAAATATTTTTTCGAAATTTAAAAAAAATCCTAATTTGCAAAAATTGGGAAGCAAATATTAATTTAATTTGCAAAATTTATGTTTTAAAACGCAATTTGTTTAAAATTAAACAGAATTAGCTCTAGATTTCATTATACTAATTATGACTTATATAGCAAAATTTTTTTCCATTAAAATTTTTTCTATTAAAAAAATTTTTGTTCACTCACGGAGGGTGGGTTTTTGGTCAAAAAATGGCGATTTTTCTAATGGTTTTGTTCGCTCACGGAGGGGGGGGGGGGGGGGAGTTAATAAGAAAATGAAACTATATTTGACAAAAAAGTTAGCAAAATATACAGATTTTAAAAACTATTTTGTTTTTAATTGAATCACCAAAATACTAATAAGTTTGTTATTAATTCGGCTGAGAAAATAAGACTTATTGATAGAATTTGTATATCAAAAATTTGGCATTTAGCTAATTACTATAAAGCAGCTAAAAATTAATCATATAGTCCAAAGCGATACCACAAATACTTCGAAAACCTTTTCTTCATATAAAACTCTTTAATTTCCCTATCATTTTATTTATTTTATATCTTCATAATGATCAAAATCTCTCTGAGACTCTTGCGAAGATTTTCTTCTAGTGACTTGTACAACATGGAAACCTATGAAAAAATCGGCAAAATTGGCACAGATTATGATGATGCCCGCAATTATGAAGCCTTCAGTATGAAAGAGTTCAAAAAGCACTTGACTCCTGAAGAGTGGGCAAAAGTCACTGCAAATGATCCACTATTCAAAATGCCTGAGCTAGAGGATTTATGGGACATTCAAGACCTTAAGCCTCATTTCTATAAGCATTTACCACCTTATCTTCAAAGGCCTGCAATGGCATTAGATGAGCGACAAAGAGCAGCCAAGCGAATGACACTCGAATGGGCAAAAGGCGAAAAAGACCTAAAAAAGAAAAGAATTGCAATAAAATCGACCTGGAGAATGCTGACCAATGACGAATGCGAAGTTTTCACTGGACTAATGCTTGTGAGGAATCCTATATGGGCACTTGGGCACGATAAAGATGTTGAATGGGCAAAACTGAGGTTCAGGACTATGAGGAAGCATGGGCTATTGGCGAAATTTGACGAAAGCTTTGAGTATGAAGACATCGAAGATGACGACGACGATCTTACATCTACCAGGTTGTTAAAGCTAGAAAAGGACTTGGATGAAGGAAAGCCTATAAGAGGCTATGAGCCTGTACCTAATTCTAAGCATTGGCTAGAAGCAGACCCTGACGAAGCAGACCCACATAGCATTGGATACGCTGGAGGCTACAGAGTTTGGCTTCTGCTGAAAAATAAAGCGACACAAAAATGGGAATTTCCAAGTGCCACTGTATTTGGGATGAACAGTTTTCATCAAACGAGGATCAATCTTGTAGAAAATCTGTTCGGAAAAAACCTCAAAGTGCATCATATAACCCCAAAACCGTTTATTGTTGACACAGAAGCATACCCAGAAGTAACTGAAAGAGATAGGCCTATAAATTTTGACGAGGATGTGTATGATCTTTATTTTAATAGACTAAAAATCCTTATGCCAAAAGCGAAAGAAGAAGATCTAACTCCCCTCGAGTAGAAGGTAGAAAATTTTGTTTTAAAAATTAATCCCTACCCCTCCCTCAGTTAGCGAGCAAAACCATTGGAAAAATCCTTATTTTTTGGTAAAACCCAACCTAACGAGCAAAAAATTATACAACATAAAAGTGGTAATTATTATAATGAAATCTCTTGCTAATTCTCTTTAATTTTAAACAGCTTACATTTTAAAACATAAATTTTAATAATTAAATTAATTTTTACTTTTCGAGTTTTATGATTGGATTTTTTAAACTTCGAAAAAAAATTTACTATAAAGTTTAGAAAAAAATAACCTCTCTCTGTAGGCGGACAAAATTTTTTGTTCGCTAATAAAGGGAAGTTAATAATTATTTTTTATAAATTATTGCAATATATATAAATGTGCTTATGATCATAAACTCTCAAGAAAAATATATTAATTTTAGGTAACTTGCATTTTAATTTTTCATTTTGAATTATATGGAAAATATAATATAAAATCAACAAAAATTTTCAAACTGAGGGGTAATCAAAATGCTCCAGAAGAAATACGATATGAAAAAAAACCTCGACCCACTCATAAAGAAAGTTAAAGGAAGAAAAATATTTTATTTCAGGTCAATTCACGAAAAAGGAGACATTAAGCTGGTAAATAATGATATTTATGACGATTATGCATGGGTACCTAAGGTGAAGCTTAGCAAGTATTTCGACAAAGAAAGATATGACAAGTTTATACAAGTTATGACTAGGCACTAACTTAAATATTTGAGGATTTTAATTGCTTTTTAAATATGGAAGCTGGTGATATCTTATTTAAAACTCAAATGTCCAGCAAGGACTTTGAGAAAAATGAAGAAGCCACGCTTTTTTGTACCAAGTGCTATGAGTATGGCCATATGGAGTATAAATGCATCCACAAGATCAGAAAATTCCCATGCATTTTTTGTTCAGACAAAGACCATAGACATGGGCAATGCTACCAAGTTACCTGTCACAAATGCAAAGGGGTAAACCTTACTTACTTCCCCCCCCTTCCGTGAGTGAACAAAACCATTAGAAAAATCACCATTTTTTGCCCAAAAACCCACCCTCCGTGAGTGAACAAAATTTTTTTATGTAAAAAAATTTTTGATATATAAGTGATAATTAGTATAATGAAATCTAGAGCTAATTCTGTTTAATTTTAAGCAAATTGCGTTCTAAAACATAAATTTTATAAATTAAATTAATAGTTGCTTTCCAATTTTTGCGAATTAGGATTTTTTTAAATTTCGAAAAAAAAATTTTTTATAAAATTTATATATAATTTTTTTTAAAAAAAAAAATTAACCGTGAGTGAACAAAATTTTTTTGTTCACTCACGGAGGGGGGGGAGTTAGATTGGACACCCTGCAAGACTCTGCAATTCAAAATTCTATTTAAGCTGCAAAATTTGCAAAATGATTGGACACACACAAGAAACATGTATGGTAAGGGATGAGCCAATAGAAGAAAATAAACTTGCTGAAGCTACCTGCTATTTGTGTAAGGGCAAAGGACATACAGTTTGTAAGGAGCCTTATAAGGCGGATAAAGAAGAGATTTTCATTGAGAAAAAGATAATGAAAAATGAGCAAGTCAAGCAGAAAAGAAAGAAAAATAAAAAGACAAGGAGTAAAATAGATAGATTAAGTGAGTTATGCGGGGTTTAGAGGGATTATTTCAGCCCTCTATTTGCCTTGCAGATTTCAGGCTTCTTAGCCTAGTCATCGGTTTGTATTTATACAATTTTATGTGGGAGTCGCCAAAAAAATTTGACGTTGCCATCTTAGGGGAGAGCACCCAGATACTTCCTTGGAAAACTCTCTTAACGGTCGGAGAAACTATAATTGGGGGTAGAATGTAGGGGATCCCCGACTTCTCCTTCTGGCCCCCATTTCCTTCGCATCCAAAAGTATGGAACTGCCTTTCTGGACTCCTTCTAATCCCCATTTGCTTCACATCCAGAAGTAAGGAGCTGCCTTTGTGAACTCTGGCATCTTGCCTGCGGATTGAAGCAAAAGTCCCTGCATTGCAGTCCAACCAAAAGAAAAGCCCATTCGAACACAAATAGTCCAGTCCCTTGCCTCTCCTTTCCCAGCCAGGCTAGGCTTAGACCGCAGCTCGGTCCCCAAATTCAGAAAATTCCACAACAGTTTGGTATGGTCATCCTTATATATGTGAGTAAAACAGAAGAATTGAAAATCAGAAGCATTATGAATAGAAAAAAGAATAAAAAAGCCCTGAAGAACTTCAGGAGAAAAGGGTAAACAATCAACATATATTTCCATATGATAACTTGTAGCTAATGATAATAGCTTATCGCCAGTTATTTTTATTTAATTAATTCCAAACTTTTATTATAGATGGACTCCAAAAAACAGCCTTTAATCAAGCCAAGACAAAACCGTAATACCAGTCCATGCATAAGATGACGGCACAAAATTGAGCAGCACCCAAAACTCAGATTCTTTTTGCAGATCTTTATTGGCCTTTTCGCAGCGTCTCATTTTTTGATTTCTTTTTGGATTCTTATAGTATCTTATATATAGTTTATGAAAGATCATAGAAAATACGAGCTATCTCTTGTCCCTCTGATATTTCTGGCAGGAGAAATCGCGGTTTTATGCAGCACAATGCTGGGGGTTGTAATTTACTTGCTTGTGAAGCGAAAAAATGGAATGGCTACTTGGCATCGCTCAGTGACAGGAATTCTTCTGCGGAATATTTTTGTTTCAACTTTATTTGAAATTACGCTTATTTTGTCAATTTTTTATATAGAAACCACCAAAAAAAGCATTTTAATTCATTCAGTAGCCACAATTTCCTCCCCTTTAATTATCCTTTGCCTGGTTTCTGCTCTGAAAGTTATTTTCTTAGAAACGTCTCATACGTGATATTGGCTTATTTTAAATGTTTTAGGGCTTTCTGAAATATTTATTTTTATTTGGAGAGAAGACTATGACTATTTTATTCCGTGGAGGATTTCTTTGGCGCCTTTATGGCTGTTTTTTATAACACATCTAGTTATTTGTTTCTTTTTCTTGGTTGAAAAAAGTGGAAGAATGGCGAAATTGCTTGTGGCGTTTTCTATTATTGGGTCGATATGCGGAAGTGGCTCAGTTACATTTTTAGCTTTATTTTTAGATGGAAACTCAGATTAGATTAGATAAATGGTTCTGGGTTGTAGAGGATTATGTCAGCCTCTACCCGTCCTTACTAAGCTTCGGTCTAAGGGTGCCCTAAGGCACAGATGGTTACACACAACGGGACTTTTCTTGCCAACGTCACCAGTCTCTCGAGAGGAGACTTGCCTGACCTTTCTTGGGTCTTGCCTCCATGGCCGAGGACTGTCTTAACCCCTGGCAATGTTCAGGGTATGAGGTTATTGCCTAAAGCTCTTTCTAAAACTACTTCGCCTTATGCAGGGAAATATTGCTTCCCAGAAATATGAGCTGACACTGCACCTTCGGTTCTCATCTGTTGGTTGAGGAAAAAAGCCTGCATATTGTCTTGACCGACTTCCTAAAACAATTGGATTCACTTACCTATGGCAGGTATCAGCTCTCAGAAACTCAGAAGATTGGGAAAAGTTTATGATTCTAGGATGGGCTGGATTATTTTTCTTTACAATCGCATACGCCAAAAGATTTGGAAAATGGGTGATTGACACCTTATTCTGCCATATTGAATTTGAGTTTACTCAGTCAAAAAAGCGTCGTAATTTAAGAACTAAATCATGGAGTCTTTTATTATAATGCGTTATTTAATCTAATAATTCTATGCCTTTTTCATTATTCTCTTCAAGTGACCTTAGTCGGGCTATTTGGGATTCTTTATTCCAATCTAGCTTTGCAAAAATGTAAAACAGGGGAGCGATTTCTATGATATAGCAGATCATGATCCCAAGGATTATTCCACCCAATTCTAGTCCAATTAAAATTCCAAATATATGCCTTTATATATGATATTTATTGGCTATTTTTAAAGCTTTTTTGCATTATTTTTAAATATCATTCATATATAAATTAATATACTGTGATGGAACTCCTACTATTAAATCAGCCCCTATTGCAATAACTAAATTTAAAGGCTGCTTACCTAAAGCCCTCATCGCCCCAACAATTACTAAATATATACTATCAGAAGCATATATAATTGCATATAGCGGGAAAATATCGCCGATTTTTCTCACTATATCTTCGCTGGAGTCATCCTCATCCATCATAAAAAATAATTTTCCAAACTCATACCTACTGATAAACAAAGCTAACAATATCATTCCATTCACTAAAGCACTAAGGATTATACTGATTTTCATATATTGTTTTGATAGGCTTATTTTCAGCTTTGTCACGCTATTACCAATTAAAGTAGCTGCAGCTTCTCCAAACCCTGTAGAAATAGTCTCTTCTATTAATAAAACTTTTAGTAATATAACCCACGCAGCCAAACTTACATCTCCATCATTAATCCAAGCCGCAAATAATGCAGAAATCTCAAACGCAGTCCATTCCACAAATATATGTGCTGTCGAAGAAACTGAAAGTTTCACTAATTCTCCCCAATTATCAAAAAAATTGGAAAAATCAAAGCCAGATCAGTTATTTTTATGGCATTTCATAATAAAAAGTGATATAAAAAAAATCCCAAGCCTGACCCATGCACATATACCTCCTGCAATTGCAGCGCCTTTCATACCATATGCAGGGACTAACAGATAGTTAAGAAGAATCTGCAGAGGGGTATCTGTAGAGCTACAAATAAATTCAGGGATTAAAACATATTGTGTGAACATAAAATGACTAACAATTTCATATATACATTTCGCTGGCATTGCATAAATAAAATATCTTAAATATTCCCCAGCTTCTTCGCTGCATTCTAGGCCAAATATATCAAATATTTGGGTACTGAAACCCCATGTGATTGCTGATGGGATACAGCAAAGAAAACCCATAAATAAAGACTTGTGTAAAATAAGGGTCTGGAGCCTGATATTTTCAACTCCGTGGGCTTGGGAGCATAAAGTGTCAATAGCTCCAGAAATTCCGATGAAGACTGAAGTAGCTGTCAGCTCGACCCAGATTGAGCTTATTCCGAATGCTTCGAGTTCTTTGGCCCCGAGGTAGTTACCAATGAACCACATCACGATTAGCTCTTGAATTTGTGTTATAAGAATACTATAAGAAAACATGCTTGCTAGCTTAAAGGTTCGTTTTACTCGTTTGAAAATTGGCTTCTTTTGGATTGGGTGGTACTCGTTGAGGTTTTCTTCCATGATTTACACCCTTTGATAATTTAATGATAAATTATAAAAGGAGAAATTAATGAACAAGTGGGAGAAAGATTTTTATTTGTGGAAAGAAATTTTTGTGGGAAAGAGAAAACGCAGGATTTTAGGTGCTTTAAAAACCAGGAATGGATTTTGGGGAGAGTTCTTTGTCTTAAAGCAGATCAAGAAGCATGCTGAGATTTCTTTAACTCTTTAATCCTGTACTGATATTTAAAAATGCGATTAATATGGCTTCAATCTCCATTTAATAAAATATCAGGCTAAGAGGAATTTGTAAAATTATATAAAATGGCAATTATGAGACTTAAATTATTATATTGTCTTCATGAACTATCATTTAAGTTTCTATAGCACAGCCTCCGGTTTTATCTTTTTTTGCTTAATTAAGTACAAAATCCGCCAAATTATAATTCTGATGTTAAAAATCCTTATTAATGCTAATTTTATCGAAAAATTTCATCAAAATTTATATTACCACTGAATTGACAAAATAAAAAAAAAATTAATTTACAGTCTGCATTTCACTATTTTTATCAATTGATAAATTATATGATTTATACAAAGCTTTTTTGGATGTTTTCTTGATATCTGATCTGTACAGTAGATTCTTCCCCTTTTTGGATTTGGATTTTTTCATCACTCATTCTCCTTGGCGGAGCTCTTGCGTCAAAGAAATAGCCTTCAAAAATCCCTTCTATTGACTTTTGTCGAATAGAGGGGTCAATGTCGTCTTTTCAGTCATTATTAACTCTTGAGTCAAAATTATCTTCACTTACTCCCCCCCCCCCTCCGTGAGCGAACAAAACCATTAGAAAAATCGCCATTTTTGACCAAAAACCCACCCTCCGTGAGTGAACAAAAATTTTTTTAATAGAAAAAATTTTAATGGAAAAAAATTTTGATATATAAGTGATAATTAGTATAATGAAATCTAGAGCTAATTCTGTTTAATTTTAAACAAATTGCGTTTTAAAACATAAATTTTGCAAATTAAATTAATATTTGCTTCCCAATTTTTGCAAATTAGGATTTTTTTAAATTTCGAAAAAAATATTTTTTATAAAAATTTATATATAAATTTTTTTTAAAAAAAAAAATTAACCCCCCCTCCGTGAGCGAACAAAATTTTTTTGTTCGCTCACGGAGGGGGGGGGGGGAGTTAAACAAATATAAGGCGCTTCCAAACTTTTTTCCAGAAGCTTTTTCCATGGGAAATCTCTGAGCCACTGATGGTTTTTCACTTCATGTGGTCCGTTATTTCCAAGCCTATTTTCCGGCTTTCTCTGTAATAATTTATTAATAAAATCGGCTGCTTCCATCGACCACCCAGGAGGGACTTCAGATTTTTTTAGCTGGACTTGTCTTGACATAATACCGTCTTTTATTTCTTTTCTATTTCTCCCTGAATATGGTCTTCTGCCAACCATAAATTCATAGGTTAACACCCCAAGTGCGAAATAATCCACAGCAATGCCATGGTTTTGTCTGCACATCACTTCAGGTGCCATATAGCCAGGAGTCCCAGACGTGTCTCTGAAATTCTCTGGGGTAAAAATTTTGGCGATACCAAAGTCAGTTATTCTTAAATAACCTTTATTATCTTAGTCTCAATTAGCTTAGTAGTGGTGACTAGGTCGCGGCCCCCCCTTTTAAAGTCCAAAGTGATGACTTCACGAGAATTCCGACGCCACTTAATATTTTAGACAGACTCAAGAATCCGAAACAAGCCTTATCTCTGGCCAGAAACCTCACGGTGCATGTTGCACTCGCTATGCCTAACTCAGCTCCTGCGTGTTTCTATTGAGGTTAGAAAAAGCTTTAAGTCTCTTGATGCACTTGGAGCAGTTCCCCAAAGTTAAACCTCTGTTTCTGTGCAAAATTCTCCAAAAAAGCCCACCCCATAACTAAAATTCCATGATGCGAATGCCATTTTATTAAATAACCTTTATTATCAAAAACCAAATTTTCTGGCTTTATATCTCTATGTATAACTCCGTTCACATGTAGATATTCTAAGCCAGTTACTATACACGCGACGAAAAAACGGGTTTCTTCTTCAGTAAATCTACGAACTTTACCTATATGAAAACGCAAATCGCCTCCTGTCATCAAGTCCATAGCAAGAAATAAATTTTCTTTATCTTGGAAAGCATATTGCATATTTACAATAAAGGGATGCTTTAAGATAGACAAAAGCTTCCTTTCGTTCATTACAGAATAAACGCTTCTTTTACTTACCACCCTAAATTTATACATTTCTTTCATGGCTAAAATTTGATGGGTTTTTCTCATTTCGACTTTTCAGACCCTTCCGAAGCCACCTTTGCCAATTACATAATGAAAATTAAAATCACTTTTGTGAAGCGAGGTTGGCTGGACTGTTTTTACTTCTTTTTGTTCAAGTGTATTTCCCATAATTAATTTACAATACAGATGGAGTATTTTTTAGCTTTTTATTTATTTTGATGTCATATTTTAAAATGCTCTTATGTACTTAAAAGAACTGAAAAATTTTGACTATTATAATGGTGGGGTTTTTAATTATTAAGAGAAAATGGAACAGAATTTGAGTAATAGGAGCTTTTAGAAAACTTTGAGTAAAAAATCGAATTCAGATAATTAGATATTTAAATAATAATACAGTCAATCATATTATAAGCTATTTTCTAAGCTCTGATATAATATAGGTTTCTATCTCTATACATATGTATTATATTCAATATGCTTATAATAGATTTTTTTTAAATTGAAATAATTCTCTTTCGCTTTATTATTTCAATTTGTTTATTCTTTTGGAATTTTTTATAATTTGCATAGATCTAAAATTAATAATAAATATTGTCTATTAGAACTATTCTAATCTTCATTGAGTTTTGCTTATAAGTCATTAAGACATAATTATTCATAAAGATAAGCTATTTACTCATTCATTGACTTTAAAATAAAGATTTTTCAATATCTTGCTTACTCCAGAGGATTAATAATTAATATAAATCAATACTGAAAAAGACATTTTAAGATCCAAATTTCCTACATTTTTAGTTTTTAATAATATCATGATTTATAAAATTCATTTAATCAGCACTCCCAGTTAAGTTAGGATAACATTATTAAAAGCTAAACAAATTTAATGTATTAAAATTTCGCCCAGCCTGCGTTGTTTGAACCTTTTGGAGGGCTAAACCCTAATAAATTAGCATTTTCTACAGTTTGCTGCTGAGTTTGTTGGGTGACTTGAACTGAAGCCGGAGCACTCCATATATTCTGTGGCTGATTTTGTCTTGTATCAACTTTTGGTCTTGGTTTTGGCTGTGCTCCTTGGTTTCTGATCTTCATAATTTCTCTTTGAATTTCTTCATCAGTCATATCTCTATCTTCCCTTTTCCTCACATTTTTCGCCTGAGACTGCTGTGGGGCTGAATTTCCAAAATTTCCAACCGACTCATAATTTTCTATAGCATTAATTAACTCATCCACAGAAGGTCTCAGTGCAGGAATGGGGTTTAAAATCCACGCAATAAAACTATGGAATTTATTATTAAATCTTGACCCTTGTGGAAATGAATAATGGGCATTAACAATAGCTAATTGAGCTTGGTCTTGAAAAGGATGTCTGAAAAATGCTAACTCCCTAACCTCCTATATAAATTTTATATTAAATTTTTTTTTTCTCGCAATAATCAATTTAAATTGTAAAGTTTATATTTTAGAATTCAAGCTGTTTAAAATTCAACAGAACTAGATCGAGAGACTTCATCATACGAATTCCCATTTATATATCAAAATATTTTATAAAAAAATTTATATTAAAACTTCTCTCACAGAGGTGAATTTTTAGCCAAAAATAGGGATTTTCCCAATGTTTTTGTTCACTCACTGAGGGAGTAAAGTATATAGAATGCAGCCAATCATCCAGACATCTGCTTTAAAATCAATTCGGTGCCTTGCATATAAATCTATCATTTCAGGGGGTCTGTACATTAAAGTAGTTTCTCGTTCAAAAGTTTCTTGATAACTCAATAAATCGTTTCTCGATGCAGTTGATAGCTCGATTATTTCTGAAGTGCAGCTTCCAAAGTCACAAAGCTTGAATTTTTTGTTGTGTAAAAGGATATTTTCTACTTTCAGGTCTCTGTGGATAAAGCCTGCTCTGTGGACTACTTGGACTGCTGTTAATATTTCTTTTATGATATATATTTATTTATATAGAAATAAAATTTTAATAGCAGCCTTTTTCTATATATTAAAAATTATTATAATGACAAGATATTTTATTAAATTGGTATATAAAAATCTGGGGAAGTGAAAGCTGGCCATTATATTTTTCTAGGAGATTTATAAGTGTCCCTTCAGTACAGAGCTCTAAAAGTAGTAAAACTGACCTCGTTTTGCCTTCTGTAATGACTGTGGAATCATAAAATCTGACGATATTATCATTTTCTGGGATAGCTCGCATAACTTCGACTTCTCGCTGCGCCATTCTATAGCGTTCTTGATCTTGGCATAAAATTTTTTTAAGAGCGTATTCTTTGTTTGTATTTATATCGACGCATTTGTAAACATATGCATACCCGCCTTCTGAAAGCTTCTCTTGGATATTGACTGTATAATTCCCGATTTGATATTGCTGCTGGCCATAAGCATAGTCAGCTAAAATTTTCAGCATGTCCATTTTAAGTATTATAAGCTGTTTCTGATATAATAAGTGATATTAATAGTTCTTAAAATATGAAGAGAAAGGAATTTAATTGTCAGATTCTGCTTTTATTTGCTTATTAAAAATTTTATTATTTTTTGTATTTTTCCTTTCAATTTTTATTGAAAGAAAACTAATAAATCGGCTAGTATTTATTTGTAACAAATTTTTAGATATAAATTAAAACTTATTAAGTTGAAGATTATTTCTAACGCTTTTTGATTTAAATAGTCTATTTTTTATAATTCTGTTAAAATGGGAATATACCTAATTATATTAATAGAAATTAGAGACTGCCAATGCTGTAATATGGTATTTTTATATACATTTATTTATATTTACTGGCTAAGTAAATTTTCTTACTTTACACACTTATTATTTTTTATTCTTAAGAGTTAGTTATTCCTAGACTATTTATCATTCTCAAGAAATTCATTTTATTAATAAATCATTGATTCATATCTTCCTTTAAATATTTTCAATCAATGGTAGAGTCCTCTTATGATCGTTCCACTTTTTTATCAAAACTCTCATTTTGATGAAGTCGAAATTATACTCAAAACCCTCATGCGGTTTTCCGAAAACCCAAAATCATTGATATAGACCACGTAGCGCATAAAATATCAAATAAATGAAAAAAGGAGCAGCAAAACAAAGACCCAAGCTTTTTTAAGGCTCTTTGAAAAGGTATTTTTTGAAAATATTGCATAATAAATATACCGATTTTTATTGAGGTCTTTTCGCTTATAGCAATTTCTATTCTTTTGGGTAGACTAGTCGAGTATTTTTGAAATGACGATGATATAAGCACAGGATTTACCATTGGCTTCGGGATCATTATTTTATTTACTATTTCAAGACTTTGTAGGAACCTTGGGAATTTTCATTTAGAAATGTTCGGGTTTTCAATAAAATGTGCACTTTTGAAATTGATGAACAAAAAGCTGTGTAGGCTTTCCCATGAAGTGATAAACTCTGGCGATGTATCAAGCAGAGTTGTTAACCTGACTGGGACTTATTTGCAGGCTTATGACTTTTTCTCGACGCCTGTTTATACTTTGGTCACCCCATTTGCTGCGATTGCTATATTTTTAGCGTTATATTATTATATATCAATTTTTTATAATTGTATTCATATTATGAGCCTAATTATAGGAGAAATTTGCAAATAATATGGTTAAATTCTATATAATTTAGTATACTGGGTATGCAGGAGTTTTAGGATTATTATTAATGACGACCATGTGGCCTATAACAACAAAGCTCTCTCATTGGGTAATAAAATTAAAATTGGCTTCATCTCGTATTGCAGAATCAAGGATAAAAAAAACCAATGAAGTTATTGATACCATCAAATTTCTGAAATCATATACCTGAGAATATGCATATGCAGATCTAATTTTTCAGCTGAGAGATCAAGAATTAAAGCAAACTCGCCGGCGAGCCTACATTAAAACAATAAGCAAGGCGATAGGAACTACTTCTATATCACTAGGCTGCATACTAACTTTTGGGATTAATTATTATAGAGATTAAAAATGGTGAGGAGAACCCATCCTATTAATAAGTGCAGCTAAAGCAACCCAGGGACCTTGCAGGAGTGAGGATAGAGTCCGGCAATGTTTATTCGGCCAGATTTTACTTGGCTTGATGGAGTCAATGCTGATCTAGGTCAACTAAGCTTACCTCGTGGGGTGATGGCGCTCAAAGTTGGAAAGGGTAGCCCCAGTAGCACCAGCGAGGTTACTTTCGGTCGATCGGTAATGTTTCCCATCGCAATACCGGGCAGTATGTCCTAATCTTTGAAGTTCCATTTGGCCGAGATGGATTTCTGGAAGTTGAACCCGTTGACTTACAGCATGGTGACCCAGAATCTCTGACTCTTAACGACCAACCATCGAGGTCAGAAGGGGCTGGCAAGTAAATAGAGGCGCATTATGGAGATGAATGAAGCCTACCAGAAAATTTTTCCTATAATCTTAATTAAGCTAAGTTAAGGATTATTTATTATAACGATGGCTATATCGACTACAAAATCGTGACCCCAACCCTCACATTTTTGCTGCTTGGAGAGTACTATATTGCCATAGTTTTGCCAGTCGCAATAGAATATTACTGAAACTCATACAGAGGACTAGTACTTCTTGGGAAATTTCTCCTAGAAAAAGAGCATCAAAAACTCTATTTAAAGTACCCTAAAGGAGAAATCATGCTAAAAAACGTTACAAGTTACTGAACAAAACAAGCCCATGACGAAGAAGAGGGCAATTTTTGTCTGAGAGATATCAATTTAACAATTCACAGAGGTGAAATGTGTGTCATATATGGACAAGTCGGCTCAGGGAAAACTTCACTTATGCTGTCACTATTAGGCGAAATGCATATTGAAGAAGGGGAAATATACCGTGGAGGAAAAGTTGCCTATGTCCCTCAAGAGCCCTGGATATTCCGAGGGACCGTAAAAGAAAACATTGTAATGGAAAGGCCATATGACGAAACTGACTATAGGCACGCTTTATATTACTCTATGCTAGAAGACGACATAAGCAAATTCAAAAACGGCGACGAAACAATTATAGGAGACAAAGGGTCAAATATAAGTGGAGGGCAAAAAACCAGAATCAACTTGGCAAGAGCTATATATTCACAAGCTGATATATACATTTTTGACGACCCTTTGTCATCAATTGACATAAGAATTGCTAGAGAAATTTATGACAGGCTTATAATTGGGTATTTAAATGAAAAAACTCGAGTTTTAGTCACCCATTTAATTGATTATATTCATGACTATACAAAGGTTTATAAGATGATAGGCGGGGTCTTGCAAATTGAGACGTCAATTTGTGACGCTTCCCCTATAAATGGCAAAAAAGTCGTCATTGAGGTAAATGCTCCTAATATATATGACAAAAAAACCCATGATGCAGAAAAAAGTCACCATAAAAGCTGGGAATCTTTTTATAAGTATTTCAAGCTTGGGTGGTGCTGATCGTCTCCTTTAATTATCTTTTTTATTATACTTGCGTCAGGATTGTATACATTGATGCCTTGGTGGATTTATTATTGGTCTGAAAAAAGCAAGTCGGACCAAAAATCTAGCCATTTTTATTGGGCTTTATTCGCGATTGGGCTAGGGCTAGTTCTTGCGTCAGTTATCAGAAATGCTTTAGTTACTTCAACATTGTTAGAATCAGCCAAAAAGCTTCACAATATTTCTTTTGCTGCCTTAATTAGTGCTCCTCTTCACTATTTTACCCACAAAAGTCAAGGATTTCTGATGAATCGATTTAGTAATGATATTGAACAAGTTGATGAATATATCCCTACCTTAATAGCTGAGTGTATTGGACTGTTTTTCTTCCTTATAGGCTCTTTTGTGATGATGATTATCAGTGATGGCTACCTTTCTATTGCCCTTGTCCCTATATTAATAGCATGCATTTATAATTTCAATAAAAGCAATAGATACCTGGACATTTTTAACGCAACTTATAATGCAAGCAAAGCTCCTATTGTAAGCCACTTATCGTCAACTGCTTCAGGATTATACTGTCTCCGAAGCTATAAGCTTTTATCAGCTCATAAGCAGTCATTTCGAGCTGCAGTAGAAAGGTCTGCGGCTTGTTTTTTTGCCCAATCAGCTGCAATGAGGTGGATGCTGTTTTTACTTGATATCCCATTTATAGCATTAATAGCCAGCTATATTATAATTTCAGTGCCGCTAAAAGACTTACTTACGTAAATTATTATTTAGTAGCTTCAAGCCAACCATTTCGGCTTTTAACGTCCCTTGCTTCGCTCCACCCTCTTGCTTGTCAGTCCGGTTTCACGGCCTAAAGATATGTGCTGTTCTATCTGGGCGATGGTTTGCACTCGCAATCCGGAGTTAAAGACGCTGGCTTACAGTGCCTTCCTTCAATGGAGTGCCTTTCCGGAAATTTATAGTAAATTTTCTGGCTAGTCTATTGGTCAGACTGATACTTGTAGCCTAAGGCGCAAATTCTGGTATAACGTTGAGAAATTGCTAGATTGGCCAAGAGAACACCCTTTGGCCTTGCTGGGCTGTCCCTTCCACAGGTGTTAATAGGGCATGCTAATTCGCCACACCATTTTTATGTGTGCCGTTAAAAGGCACATTAAGTGCCGCAACACTTGGGTCAGGGCTCAGTTTTGTCCAAAGAATTGGCATGCAAAGTGCATATGCCATGTATACTTTTAGAAAGGTAAAAAATTCTATTTACTGTATCACCGAGCTGCTAAAAAATTTAAAAATAAAGCCAGAAGACAATTCTTATGAGGCAAAACTAGAAATTACAAAAGGAGAAATCGAGTTTAGGGATGTGGTAGTGGCTTATGATGATGGTACACGAGCCCTAAATTCAATGAACGTTATATTTGAAGGAGGCTGCAAAATAGGAATTGTTGGGAGGTCAGGGAGCGGCAAAACTAGTATAATTAACACTTTATTGAGGTTTGTAGAAATCCAGCAGGGACAAGTTTTAATTGATGGAATGGACATTTCTCAAGCAAATTTAACACATCTTAGAAAATGCATCACAGTGATTCCGCAGACTCCGATAATTTTCCACAATTCAGTTATTTATAATATGGATCCTCTTAATGAGTATAATGAAGACGAAATTTGGACTGCGCTGCAGCTTGTAGGGATGGATGAAAAAATTTCTGTGCTTCTTGGAGGGCTTCATAACTATTTCTCGTCAAAAACGCTTTCTGCTGGAGAAAAGCAGCTTTTTTGCTTATTCCACCTTTCATGAGCGAAAAAATAAATGTTGTTCTCACTAGGGTTATTTTTTTTTCAAAATTTAAAAAATCCTTATTCTCAAATTTAATTTATAAAATTTATGTTTTAAACACAAGCGGTTTCAAAATAGATTAGCTAGAGATTTCATTATAATAATTATAAAGTATTTTTTCATAAAATTTTTTATATTAAAATAATTTTTTAAGCTTATGGAGTTTCGGTTTTTACCAAAAAAATAGGGATTTTTCCGACAGTTTTGTTTGCCTAAGTGGGAAATTAGCAAGAGCACTATTAAGGCAAAATAAAATTTTTGTTATGGATGAGATAACGTCAAATGTGGATTATGGCACTGAAGAAAAAATATATGAGACTGTTGATGCTACCTGTGGAGACTGCACAGCTCTTATCATAGCCCATAGACTGGATTTTATATTGACTTGTGATTTTGTTATGATTGTTAATGAAGGAGCGTGCAGTGAGTATGGGAATCCTAAAGAATTGCTGAAAGATAGGACATCAGCGCTTCATCATATAGCAAGTTTTTCAAATGTTTCTCCAACATTTTCTACAGTAAGAAGAAATAGCTTAGCTTTATATATGAGTACATTGGATAGTGAAGGATAAAAGTTTAATGTCATTAAATTAATATAATTGTGGAAAAGTATTCTAGTATGAATGAATAGATATAATATTATTTTATAGTGATTGTGTATGATTTATGCTAATAAATTTATAAAAAATACTGGATTTGAGCAAGAGTCTAACTCCCCCCCCTTTAAATTGGAACTAAAAATTTTGTTCCAATTTAAAGGGGGGTTAAGAACATTTTTTTTAAAAAAAAAATTGCAAAAAATTTTATCGAATTAGATTAATAAATTTGTTTAATAAAATGCTATTTACTCTTTATCCTTTAAAACAAAGCAAGATATAACTAAAATTTTATTATTAATTAATACGCCACTATTAATTGGTATCAAAGCTATTTACACAAAAATTATTATTTTTATTGATAAAAAAAAATTAAAAAAAAAAACATTTTAGAAAATTTATTAATCAAAGTGCTAATTTTGTTTAAATAAGATGTTTATTTATACTCTATTCTTTAAAATAAAGCAAGAGATAAGTAAATTTTGAATTTTTGTATAGAATTCGTATTGAATTTATATCAAAGCTATTTAAATAAAAAAAATATCATTTTTATCAAAAAAAATAAAATTTGTTTTTTAAAAATTTTTTTAAAAATTTACAATTAAGGATAATAAATTTATTTAAATAAGATGTTCTTTATACTCTATTCTCTAAACAAGAGCAGGATATAACTAAATTTTTAATTTTAGTTAAGAAGAAACATTTAAATTATATCAAAACTTTTTTACATAAAAATTATGATTTATATATATAAAATTTTTTATTATAAAATTAAATTTTGTTTCCAATTTAAAGGGGGGTTAATTTACCAAAAAAGTGGAAATTTTACCTATATTTTGTTCCAAATTTAAAGGGGGGGGGGAGTAAGAGAAATAAAAACGATTGAGGGTGATAAAATTTTAGTGAACATTCTATTCTGTAAAGGAGCGAAATGATATTAAAGCATAAGGGACATATAATCCTAATCATAAAAAGTGGCATTTCAAGTCCTCAATCTAAGCCTTGCACATTATCATCGATCGTTGATAGGAAATGAACTGCCAATCAAGTGATTTTCCTTATTGTTTTGCATCAAAACAATGCGTTTCAGGGTTGTATGAAATGAAAAAATAATTAAGAATTGCATAAAAAATTAGAATGCATCATTGCATATGATCGGCTGCTTAATTAGCACATTGAAAAATATACTTCATTGAATTGGAATCGAATTTCGTATTTTTTAGGCGAATTTAGGTATCATGCAAATTACTTACTCCCCCTTTGTGATTTATATATAAATTTTTATAGTTAATTTTTTTTTCAAAATTTAAAAAATCCATATTCGAAATAATTTTAAAACGAATATTAATTTAATTTGTTTTAAAAAACCTATTTTGATTAAAATTAAACAGAATTACTAGAGACTTCATTATAATAATTATCGCTTATATATCAAAATATTTTTCTTAAAAAATGTTTTGTTAATCACGGAGGGCGGTTTTTACTAAAACAATAGAGATTTTCCAATAGCTCAAGGAAGGGAGAGTTATGAAAATAAAAATATTTAAATTTTCTAGATAAAACTGATATAGAGAATAAAGAATGCTCTATAAAAAATTGCAAGTGGTGCCTTATGAAGTAATAATATTAGAATTTAAAAGAACTTATGGAGGACTTAATAGGACTTAAAAGCTTTAATCAAGGCTATCATTACTTATATAGCATTGACTGCATATTTTGTATCGCCCATCTGCATGACAGATTTTTCTGATTGCTAATAGAAATTCTATATATTTTTTACTGTTATCGTTTACTGTTTATGAGTTTTAAATATCAAGATAATTTGGGTTATAAATATGATATAAGTAATGCACAAAATCTTATGAATTTGGATTAATTTAATTAGGGAAATGTGAATACAGTATAATGATTTATTTTGCAAAAATATTTAAAATAAATTAAATATATTTTTAATTTAAAAAAAAATATAAATTGCTAATAAATTTTAAGAGAATACTGTACTTAAAAAATCAATCTAAATTAAACCAATAAAATGGTGCGCGGAAACAGAGGAGGAAAGCAAGGTGGACAAAGACATGCGAAAGCAGGCAAAAGAAATTTTGAAAAAGATCGTCCTAAATTCAAAAAAGGCCCAAGAAAAGAAGGAAAATTTAATAAAGGGCGTGGAAAGCCAGGGAAAAAGTTCGGGAAGAAAAAATTCACTAGCCCCCTCTAGCCATTAGACATTAATATAACCTATTTATTTTTTAAGAAATATTTTGTGTCTTTATACAAATTCAAATTATTTATTTTATATATAATCAAGTTGGGGAGTAAGAAGGAAGTCAGCGAAGATCAGCTAGATAGAGAACTTGAAAACTACTGGGGCAATGAAGCAGGATCCAAGCATCTTGATCAAGAAATGGACGACTACTGGAGTAAAAAGCCGAGTAAAACAGATTAAGCATTCAATAGATCCAATTTCAAGGGTCAAGTTTAAGTATCCCTAATATTACCCAATTGATAAAGAAATAAACCATATCTATTTATACAATTATAATGAGAGCTTTATTAATTTATTTGCAATATTAGCTCTTTCATATAAATTAAGGCATTTAAATTCCAATATTTATCATAAATTCAATCCAGCATGCAATACTTATTGATCACACAAAGAAATTCATCCCTTTTCAGGTGCCATTGCCAGTGCAGTTGTCTAATGCAAATGATCAATAAGACGAATACAATTTTCTTGCTTATAACCATCTATTAAACAAAAGTCCCATCTTCTGTGCTTGAAATAGGCTGATATCTAAAAATTTAGTCTACTCAAAGCTCCAGTCATTATTCAATGATTTCAATTTAATATTGCCAGTCTCCATTTACAATGGAATAAACTCAAATAAAACCTTTTTCATTTGCGTATATATTTTTATTTTACCACTGATAATTATAATAAATTCAACTAAACCTTCTCTTATAATTTAACTAAAAATTGGCTTTACTAATTATTTTCTATTTTAGAAATTTCAATATTATGCTTTATTAATTGTGTAATAAACCCGCTATGACATTAAAAAATATGAAATCTTACCTAAATCTAGTCTTATGCTACCCTCAAATTCCTCAAAATACAGGATGTATTGCACGAACATGTGCAGCCACTTTTACAAATTTGCATTTAATTGAGCCCTTAGGATTTGAGCTTACTGAATCACGGTTAAAAAGAGCTGGAGTTGATTATTGGCCTTACGTTTCCCTGACTAAGCACACAGGCTGGTCTGAATTTTTAAAACACAAAAAAAATCTACCTGGACGACTTCTTGCATTTAGTCCTCGTGGATTGTCAAATTATTTAGAATTTCAATATGAACCTAATGATTGGATTATACATGGACGAGAATCTGATGGACTTCCTAATGAAATAATGGCAGATTGTGATCATATTTTGTATATTCCTATGTTTTCACCTGATATTCGAAGCTTAAACTTATCAGTATCAGCATCTCTAAGTCTATATGAAGGTATAAGAGCTCTAAACTACTGCCAAAATCTGACTAGACCTTCATAAAATTGATTTATTTAAATTACAAATAAGTATAATATGATGAATTGAATTTTGTTTTTTCGAAAATTTTAAATTCCTATTTTCTGTGGGATTTGGTGATTTATTATATTTAAGGCTATTTTATTAAATGAATGGGAATATTATAAATTTGCTTTTAAACAATTGTCAAAGCTCTTCGTCTATTTAAAAGATGAGAATTACTCGGCATTGCTAATTTTACACTAGAAGGCTGCGACGAGCAGTCATCTTTGACAGAAACCGTAGAAAGCTTACTTTCTAGTATTTCTAACTCCCCTCTGTAAGATTATGCCATCTATATTTTTGTGCTAAAATCGAGCAAGCAAAAACCGTTTTAATAATTTAAAATTTCTTAGAAAAGGCCTTTAAATAAAGCAATAATTATTCTAATGCTTGCGTTCTAAAAAATAAAAATTATCAGATTTTTAATTTCGAAAAATTATTTACAATTATATTAAAAACAAAATTATGCCCTAAATGTGAGGAGGAGTAAGACCCTTTCGAGCTTTGGCTTCATCGCAAAATAGCGCTCATTTTGCTCTTCAGTCATTGGAGTAAACAAGCCAAGCGATTGGCTCGGGTCCAACAGTTGGAGCCATTGGCTCGAGTTCGAAAAATCAAGAGGAGACTCAATTTCATGTGTGCAAGGGACTTCAAAATTTTCATTCTGTCACTGCGAATTATCATTACTGTCTGTAGTGCTTGATGTGGAGATTCTTAGCTGTTCTTCCACTTTCGGATCAAAAAGAAAAGTAAATTCATTTTCGTCCAACATTTAATTATTATGTATGCCTATTCCTAGAGATCACAAGTTTTATATTAGACATCTGACCATATTAAATAAAAAAAATTTGTCTGAAAGCCTGCCTATCAACTCTGAGCTGGTATATAAGTCCACATGTTAAATTAATAAAATAATGTATATGGAAGGATTTATTTTGGCTTTTTAGAAAAAGTGTTATATTGAAAATATAAGTGGGGATGGCTTCTCCATATTTTCATATTAAAATTTTCACTGACTATGCTCTGTTTAAATAATTTAAAATGGTGTTGGGCTTATATGACAAATTTTTATATTTTTTAAATAAATATTTATTATGTAGTTTTGAGAAGACTCTGGCTATGTAGCTCTTTCAGCATGTCTTGAGCATGGTTTGCGTTTTGCTGAAGCTTCCTGACCGTTTCTACATCTAGAGGCTTTAAATGAAAAGTCCTTTTATTTTTCTCTGCATAAGTCCTTAAAATAAAATAATATTTTGCATACAGGCTTTTTTCAATGTTTACATTGAAGTCAATTAAATTCAAAAATAGTCGTTCAAGGGAGTTAATTTCTCTTAAAGAAATTATAGTAAAAAGCTTAGAAAAGTGGAAATTTTCATATGACATATCACTCCATACCTTGGAAGCTATAATTAGTGCTATAAAGGCCAGTTTTTTCCAATTTCTTTCATTGTAGCTAATTCCTGTAGCCTTAATTAGCCTTTCTATTAATGCATAAAATGGAATGACTTCCAATTGTCCTCTCTCGTTTGACAGTTATCAATATTAATTTTGGAGTTGGGCTAGCAATATCTGGCATCCTGCAACGAAGGACTTAAGCATAAATCAGCAGGTTTGTGACCTGATCAAATAGTGAGTTATTAGTGACTTCTTTATGCGAGCAAGATTCGAGCCTGCGCCGCCAGAGATGGAACAGGGTGAGTTACCTGTTATAGTTATTACCTTGAATTGCATAAGTGGCTGAGTTTTTTCAAGGGATTTTCTGAAAAAAGAGGAAGCCAAGCTAGACGACAACAACACGATTCTTCGGTTCAAGAGCTCCAAAGAGGCCAAGGATTAGACAAGGCGGAGTAACTAGAGTTGAAAGTATAAAGTTTGAAATGGAGATGCCTAACAACGGTTTCGACTCAACAGGGCAATACCTTTATTAAAACCAGTGTTTTGGCATGGATCTGGTGTTATCGTAAGCCATCCAATTTGGCTGGCAGTTAGCGCCACACAGAATGCCACCATTAAGAAGTTTGCACTTTAACTACCATCTAATAATCTCGTTAGCCTTTCTATATAAATTAGACAAATAATACTACATTCCTTTTCCATTCTTGCCCTGAAAATTACATTTTTGCAAAAATAATAAATATCAGTTTCACTGACAGCTCCACTTGGACTTGGGTCATCAAATTCTTTATTAAATAACTCCGCAATTTCAAATGGGATTTTTAGTTCAGTATTTTCACTTTTAAAGCTCAAAAGTTCATTTTCACAGAATTTTTGTAATTTTGATTTATCTGAATTATTTTCTGTAATTTCTTTCTTTTTTTTTGAAAAGCTAATAATTTGAAATAATGATTTAGCAAGACAATGGCATATTTCTTCAACATCAATATGTGCCAAAGTTGATCTTAATTTTGAAGAGTCATACGAATTCGCAGTATCCGCTCTCTCTTTTACAATTTTTGCTTTAATTTGTTTATCCTCTTCAATCTCAATGGCTAGCTTCGCATTTTTTTGCTCAGCGATTAATTCTTCAGTCATTAAGCCGATTTTTTTTCTGGCTTCTTCAATTTGTGCAATAATTTTGTTTCTTTCGACAGTCTGAACTTTTTCTTCTTCGAATTTTTCACTGCAAAAATCAATATTTTTTGCAAGGTCGATATCAGAGTTATCTTCATCTCCAGAATTGCTGAGTCTTCTAAATTTTCTTCTATGAACGTGGGTCGGCTCTACAGAAGAGGTTCGTTTTCCTGAATTTGACTCGTGCAGCATGACGATAAGGTTAAGCATTTCTCGAAATTTGTTTTTCTCCTCTTGAGTAAGTCCTAATATCTTATAAAAATGCTCCAACTGGCTCTCTGGGAAGTAAGCTAGCGAATGAATGTTATTTGTGTAGCCAAGTTTTGAGAGCCTTGGAGCATAATGGCATAAAGAAAACATACTTAATAGCTTCAAAAGGGGTGGAATCTGCGAAGTTTGCCGTCTAGAAACATCATTATGTCCATATAATGACATATTTAAAATTATATAAAATCGTAAATTTTCAATAAAAATTTCCCTAATTTCTGCTTATTAAGTTATCTTTTTGCTCAAAAAAATAAGAAAAGTGAATTTTTGGCCCTGATAAAATCTTAAAATAGAAATTATTTGCATAAGAAATGGCGAGTAATGAAAGAGGCTATTCAATCCAAGAAACCTTGGCAACGATCAGTGATTTAATTCACTATAAAAAGACTACAATAGAAAAACTCAATAACAGCTCTTATTCTTGTTTCCGTCACATCATTATTTTCAAAGACAACATCGACGAGTCAGGGATTCATCAAAAACTCGAAGCAATTGACCTAGATCTTAAAAAATTTATATCTGAAATGAAAAGCAGAGTCCCTGAAGCCCTCAAAATGCTGAATTTATCAAAAGACATGTCAAAGGCAACTAAAAGCCAGCAAAAAGCAGAAATAAAAAGCACTGATGGAATTAATGAAATTTTGGGGATTTTGGAATCAATTGCATTGGAATTGCAAAGAGAAGAAACGACTGACCCACTTAAAGAGTCATTGCTTAAGCAAGAAATGAGCCAAGTTGCAGATGAGCTTAGAGGGACTGGAAAAGAGCTTAAAGGCCTGATAAATTTCTGTAAGTTTTTATGCAGTAAATGGACCTCCTGAGCCTGAAGTTGAAGAGGTTTATACGCTTGGAGGGCATAGTGTAGCAGTTGCGCTGTCAGTTTTTATTTCGTTTGTATTAAGTCTTAATTTTTCACTACTTACAGTCGAAGGGAAAACTTATTTGGACTATTTTGGGAATTCAAATGCCAGCTATGTATTTGGGCCTCTTTTGCCTGCTTTTGGAATTCCTGCATATGTGATTATGCATTTTTCAGCGAGAGCGAATTTAAGAAAATGCTTGCTATTCTCTATGCTTTTTTCGATTGCTGGGAACGTACTTTATTTTATAGCTCGTGATGTTGACATTTTTGCGTTTTTTATTATTGGGAGAGCTGTTATGGGTATTGGATTGCCTGGGCTTGCATTAAAGCAGTTTATTGGGTTTCATGTAAAGCCAGATGAGAGAGCTAGAGTTTCAGTTATGTATACAACAGCGTCATTTATTGGACTTAGCTGTGGCTATTTCTTACTCGCCATTTATATGTAAATTTTTTATTTTATAAGAAATTAAATGCTTTATTTTTTATAATAAAATAATAATTTATATGTGCCTAAATCAAAAAACTACTTATAAATTGTTCTATTTTACGAGACTGCTTGTAGAATATATATAAATTGTTGTTCCCAATTTAAGGGAAAGGAGCTAGGATTTGCATTTGAAGATTCATCTAGCGAGGTATTAGGATATGAATTATCAGGAGTTACTATGGGAGGCTTCTTTTTAGGTATTACCTGGATTTTGACATTTTTATTATCAGGGACATTATTTTTGAATCCAGATAAAACGTATCCTTCTGATGATTCAAATAAAACTTCTATTAAAGGACTTTTGGTGTTTTCTTTTCTATTGCCTTCACTGCTGAGAGAAGGGTTCTTAAGCCCTGGCTCAATTCCTTCTGAGTTAAATTGGTCTGATGGGGCAATTTATGCCTATATTGGAGTTTTTTCTTTAATGATGGCTCCAGTAAGTGTTTTGGTATATGCAGCTGCTCATATTACTGAAGAAAAAATTTTATTGGCCTTTTCTAAAGCCTTTTCTTTGGTTGGCTGCTCATTTATTTTGCTAGGCCAAGATGCTCCATTTTGGTTTGTAATTGGTTCAATTCTTTTGCTAGTTGGAGTAAATGTCGGAGCAGGAATTGGTTTTTCTTTATTATCGAAAAGTATTCGAAATGACCTGATTGGGATGATCGGAAGCGTTATTGAGCTTGCTGGATGGGTAATAGGCTACTCGATGGGGTATTATGGAGGATTTATTGCTCACTCCCTCTTCCTACAAAAACCATTGAAAAAACCTTATTTTTTAACCAAAACAACAAATTTTAATAAAAAAATTGATATATAAGTGGTTATGAAATCTCTAGTTAACTCTGTCAAATCTGAAACAGCTTTCATTAAAATATAATTTTTTACAAATTAATTTACTTTTTGCTTTCCGTAAAAAAAATTTTATATATAAAAATTAAAAAAGTTAACCCCCTTCGTGAGCAGCAAATTTTTTTATTCACAAAAAGGGGAGTCAGCTTGTCTTACTTTTCTTATTGGCTGCTTCTTTAATCGGCGATATTGTAAAGTTCAAGAACTTGGACCATACTAAAGTAAAGCATAAAAAAGATAAAAAAGATAAGAAAGACAAGAAAGATAAGAAAGGAGCTTAACTTAAAATTTCTCATTAATTAATTCCTTAAGAATTCAACAGGACACCATATATAATAATTAATTTGAAATTATTATTATATAATTTTTGAACTTAAGCTTGGTAAAAGCCCATGCTTTCCTCTCCAAACCCATTCTTTTTCAATTTTATTTTTAGAATGCAAATTTTGAGTCGACTTATTTATAGCGTCTTCATAAGCTTTAGGGTCACTATTTCTGTGGTCAGATCCTCTAAGCCTTATGTGAACATCTGATATTTTAGGTACATGAAGGCTTTCCATTTTGGCAGGAGGGGCACCAGGAGCAGTACTTGCGAAACTTTTGAAAAATTTGCGGTCAGTTTGTTTTGCTATAAGATTCTCAGCGTTCCCATCGCTGAAAACTCTTCGATGGTATTTTTTCGGTTTTTCTTCAGATCTTCCATTAATTTCGGGCTTTTTTTCTTCAGATTTTTCATTAATTTCGGGCTTTTTATCATGCATTGAAGGAGACAGCAATTTCAAAGTAGTCGTTGAAGAGTGATGGTCGAATTTATTTATTGACTCTCCCACCTTTAAATTGGAACAATTAATCCTGTTACAATTTAAAGGCGAATTATTTTTTTTTTTAAAAATATAATTTGAGCACAATACTTTGATATTAATTATTTTTATAAAAAACATAATTAAAAAAAATAATCGATTCATAGTTAAATATAAATTAAGTCAAAATTAATTTTATAAAAATTTAAATTTTTTTGAAATAAATTATAGAGGGTTAAAATCCCAAAAATGGAAATTTTACATATATTTTTTGCAATTTAAAGGGGGAAGTGAGGAATTATCACTCTGAATGATCGTAAAATCTTCTTTACAGCAACTTCTTGACTGACTGTGATTGATTTCAATTTTATTGAGTATTTCATTTGATACCGGAGTCGATCTGTTTTTTCTCCTAACTTTAGCAAGCTGCAAAGTTTGCTCGTAGTTTTCAATAAGATTTGAGTCCGAACTTTGTGCCATTTCATCCCTAATGATGATAGAATTTCTGCCTGATTCTGGTCTTTTTAGATCAGACGATGATTTGCACCTTATGCATGTGTAATTGTCTAATGTCAATAATTTAGACATATACATTAAAATGACAAGGAAAACCAGCCCACCCTGGAGTAAACCGGAATTTTATGGAAGGGAGGATGGTGTCCGATAAGGTGTAAAACTCAGGCAAGGTTTTACTTGGTTTTGTTAAGTGCAAGTCAGATTAGGTTGACGCATCCACATTCAGGTCAAGGTTTACCTCTCCTCCCTCCGTGAACAAAATTTTGGAAAAATCCTATTTTTTGGGTAAAAACTCACACTCTGTGAGCGAACAAAAAATTTTTATGAGCAAAAATATTTTGATATACAAGTGATAATTATTATAATTAAATCTCTAGCTAATTCTGTTTAATTTTAAACAATTTGTATTTTAAAACATAAAAATTTTGCAAATTAAATTAATGCTTTCATTCAAATTTTTGCAAATTGGGAATTTTTAAATTTCGAAAAAAAATTACTATAAAATTTATTTAAAAACAACAAAATTTTTGTTCGCTCAAGTAGAGGGAATCAGAGGAAGATGGAATCGGAGTTGGAAATTAAAAATCCCAGCAACTCAAGTGAGGTTCCTCCTGATCGATCGAAAACAATTTCCAGCGCAATAACATGCACTGTGTCCTGAGCTACGAGTTTCCATCTTGGTCGGCAGGTGACCAGAAAATTTGCTCTTCAATTTTTCTGGAAGCTGAAACCGTTGATGTGCGGCATGGTGACTGAGCAACTCAACTCAAGGTAGCGAGCGAGTGCAAGCCCTTGTGCGTGAAAGCAATACAGAGTGATGGGTGCTCGGACTGGCAAGCAAGCGATGAATCGTTAAGGAGGTGAATGTGGTCCGCTCGACAGCTATAGGGAGCATCTCTTATAATCTAGTTGAGTTTAAATAATAATTTAGGCTCTCTTTCTGTATTTGGCGGCTCATTTAATATGATATTTTTATGTCCATGACTTATTTTTGGGGCTTGCCTGATGTGAATAGTCGGAATTTTTGTAAATCGAATTGGCTCTTTTAGCTGAGTAGATCCCATTTTTAATAAACTTTAACCAGTATCTATATTACAGGCAGCTATAATTGAGGAGCTACCAATTATTTCTGAATAAAATTCAAATAAAATTTTTCTTTACCGATATCCTAGCAGTAATTATTATTTAAAATAAGGGTTTTATGGCATTTCTTCAATACCTTATAGATTTAAATGATTGAAATAGTTTATTTTTTAAATTAAATTAATTTAAATAAGATTTCTCTGTTGTTTATGATTGATTATTATAATAAAGATGAACTTAAATTGGCTTACTCTCAGGTATTTGAGGACTCATAATGTCTTGAGGTTCTGGTGGTACGTTGGAATCCTTGGTGTTTGCTATGCTCCTATCCTTAATTGGGAAACTATTTATAGAGTTGGAAGCATGTTTGGGAAGAATCCAGCCAAGTCAGCAAGAAAAGAGTAAATAATTAACTCTTACAATTTAATTTGATCATCCCAAGAGCAGCCAATCCTTTTGATTAGTCGTTTAATGCTTTTGCACTGATTTCATCATTTAAATCCTGCAAGTCATAGTGTAAATAATACCTCTTTTCTCTTTAAATTTCCTGGATGCTCTTAAGCTTCAAAACCCACAACTTTTTTTCTTTTCTTATGTTAAGGCAATTCATACGCGTTGAGAATTAAAATTTTTAAGAAATTAAATAAAGAGATCATAGGAAGAAGACTGAATTTTTATGTCAAAAATTGAAGAAAATATAAATAGTCAGATCTTTAGCATTAAGCATCACAGAGAAGCATATTCTGAATTTCTAATCAATATTTTTATCCATTACTAAAACCAACAGAATTGATTTCAAAATAATATAATGATGATATTCATACTTTTTGTCCCTGCAATAGCAGACTATTTATATTGAGATGACCAAGTTGATGAAAAATATTACGATTGAAGCTCACTTCAGAGACCAGATGAGTAATCCCTATTTAGCCTTCCTTATACTTATTATACAGATGATTATGAAATCTTATATAACTTTGGAACAGACATAGATCTCCCTTGCAATGGAAAAAAAGGATCAGCAATCCGCAGATCATTTACAAGTGACGAATGCGTGATATTGGGAAATCATGAATTTAGTGCCTACAAATCTTTTGAGTTTGCTGGATCAGAGAAAAAAGGAATTAAAATTATGTATTTAGAAGGAGATAAATGCAAGAAAAATGATTTTGGGAATAGGATAATCACTTTTCAGCTTGTGTGTAGCGATATTGAGTCAGATTTTCAGCTTTTGAATGATATAAATGATTGCAATTTGGTTTTAGAAAAATATACATATTTAGGATGTGAGGAAGACACTCGGAATCAGTGGATCGCAAATTGTATTTTTACGTAAAGTATACTTATTTCCCCTAGATGGCTCATTTTATTTTTTAAAAAAATTTTTGTGATAAAAATTAATAGAGATTCCATTATTATTATTTAAAAAAAAATTCCAATGATTTTTATAGAGGGGAAATTAGAGCCTCAGCGGTTTTATAGCCCATTCCCGGCTATAGATCGGGCTTAGCCCGATCTTTGCCGGGAAACTCGGGGGGTTGTCTCTGTCACTTTGAGGTGACGAGTCAACTCCCCAAGTTGGCAAATCACCATATAGCGGCTATTTGCCAACTCGGGGAGTTGACTCGTCACCTCAAAGTGACGGAGACAACCCCCCGAGTTTCCCGGCAAAGATCGGGCTAAGCCCGATCTATAGCCAGGAACGGGCTATATTACTTGTTTGTATAGCTGCTTGCTTAAGTGACAAAGAAAATGAAATTGAGGTTGAATCAAATATTCCAGTATGGAGAGAAATGAAGACTGTAATTAGAAGAAGCAAAATCTTTGTAAAAATTATCATAGGCCTCAAATAATAAGCTGTCCTAGATTATGCTGTTCAAAAATTTTTTTGGGGTAAATTTTAGACTTAAATTAATTCAATATAGAATATATCGAAACTCAAAAACTCTGAGTATGAGAACGTTTAAAATCAATTTTAATTACCAAAAAATTCAAGCTTACAGTAATAAATTAATCCATTTAACAGCTTTATCTTAATTTATTATTTCTAACTATCTTCAGCATTCAATGCTTCATATTCAGCTCTCCTCGCCGGGGTTTCATAAAATTCAATTCCCATGCTATATAAAAGTAAAGCCAGCACAGGCACAGCAATCACAATTGCTGGAATCCAATCACTCACAGTTACCCTCAAAATCAATAAAACTCCTGTTAAAAGCAGAGCTGAATTGAATATCAATTCATCAATAATCGGCCTCAGTCCCACATTTGAATTTTTTTCTGTTTTATTTTTAGATACTGCACATGAAAAAATATGCAATCCACTTGCAGTCATAATAGGAATCGCTACAACTGCAAAGGACTCTGGGGAGTCATTATCAAGGTGGAAAACAAATAGCAATAAAAATGTACATAAAGCGAAAAACCACATAAAAAGTAAAAATGCTTGCCTTTTCATGTTCACTTCTGGGTCTATAAGCCCAGGCAGCATAAAGCAGCAGAAAATGAGATACACTAATAAAGTGTACCAGAGAGGGATAAAGGCTACAGCCCAGCTTGTGTCCATAGTGTCGTCTAAGGTTAGAGTGCCAAGTATCACAAATCCAATCAATGATATGGCAATGTTATAACTGATGATAAGGACAAATCTTCTGGATTTTCCTTGAGGGCAGTTTATGTTGAAAAAACAGTGTATTGCGAGTGGGAAAAAGCAGAGGGAAAGAAGGATAGGAATTGAGATCACGATTCAATCAGCATCTGTTCAGTCGTCAGCTTTAATTGAAGCAAGCACAATACCTATAAAAAATGATACTGTGCCCGCCGCTTTAGCCACTTGGAATTCCTTTTCATTGTCAAGGCCGAAGGTCATTTTTATAATTGATTACTACAAAACGCCTAGTTGCAGAATCAGGTCAGTTCAGAATCTCAATTAAAAACTTTAAAATAATATAGAAATATGTATTTTCAAAAATTGGATAAAAATAATATTTTCTGTAATGGATAAATTGAAATTATTAATTCTATATGCAAAATATCCTATTGATTATTTTTGATAAAATTAAAAGGTCATGTGAATGAAATATGTCTTTTGACTACTCTTTTAAATTTTGGACTACATAATTTTTGGGTATTTGAGAGTAGCTGATAGTTATGGCTTTACAGCAAGTATTTATGGCTTATTAAATATAAAGAAATGCATTTTAAGAAATGTTTTTATATTTATTTGCTAAATATAGCTAAAAGCATAGAATTTCCCTATAAGGCTTTTCTAGGGTATAGAGACCGTTTCTTTGGAAATTTTTGGATTTTTCTTTGTGATTATTTATTATATTAGCAATTCTCCATATGCAGTGTCCACCTACAGTCTCTTGTTCAGAAAACTCCAATTTTACACAGGAAATTAAAAAAAATCATTTCAGATTCCAGGTAGAATTTTTTGTGAAATTAAAATTAATTCACAGCAAATATGCATAATAAAACCCATTTTTATTTAAAAAAAATTATTATAAGATTTAAAACTTTGAGTATTTTTATTCTCTGTGTTAATACAAAACAAAATATGCCGGGGTCCATTAAAATGCGGAGAGCTTCTAATATATTAAATATTCACATAGAAAAATTCAAAATTTGCAAAAGAAAGAGATATATCACAGGTTACCCAAGTATAGATAGTCTTATAGGGAATCCAGTGCTTTTGCCTATAATTTTTGATTATCATTTTGCATGATTAATTGCGACTTTTCTAATAACACTAAATTATACTAAAAATCCTCATAACTGATTGAATTTATTTTATATGAATTATATATCAAATAATTCAACTCTCCTTAAATGATTATTATTTAATGAAAAAATTATTATTAAAGAGAAATAATTAGACATCTAAAGCAAATTTCTGTAGGATATATTATGTTTTATAATCCAGACTTTATTGATGGATCTAAATTAAAATAGGTACAAGATACTCAAACTTTTAGTATAAAAAATCTCATTATTTTTTAAATCATAAAAAAAGAAAGATATTCTTGCTAAAACACGTCATTTATCCAAATTTCATTGAAACTCTATGATTAATTAGTTTTATATACCATATTTTTATACTTCAAAAAAATAAAAGATATCGCCATTATATTTAGGTATTTGGAATTTTTTATTCTTATTCTGATGTCATTTTATTATGAGAAAAACGATTTATTATTTTAAAATATTATTGGATATAAAGGTTTGAAATTAAAAAAGTTAATATTCTTAAGCAAAGAAAATTTTTATTATAAAACATTTTATGAGAAAGCTGATAAAACTTATTGATTTGAACATATCAAAAAAAAATACAAGGAAGAATAAAGATGGTGAAATAAATTAAACTCTAACATAAAATTAGACAATTGATATCATGCATAATTGGCTAAGAATAATGAAATTCTAAATAGAGTAATCATGGAAATCACTTTCCAATAAAAACCTTTATTGAGTCAGTGCTCGTGAATTCCTCTTGTAATAATTTAATTGAAAACTAGTCTTCTTCTCGCATCTAGCCTAAAAGAAATGTTTAAGTTTAAGTTTAATGAATTATTCTGGCATAAAGCCTTAGTCTTCTTTTACTTAAGGGTCCAGCTACATTAGCAGCTTTGAATAACGATAGGTGGACCGGCCTAACCGTCAAACCGTTAAAGTTAATAAACCCATTAAAAACTTCTCTAGTCAGTGCCAGCCTCAGCACTGGCCTCTTCCCATCAAGCCGAGACTCTCAAGAAGCTTGACTTCTCTCACTAGATCGTATAATAGGACTATGACCAGTTTAACAGGAGTTAGGACCTATTTCTAACTGACATTTTTAATATTGTCAAAAGAAATGCAACTAAAAACTTCAAGCAAAGCAAAGCTTGGCTTAAGCAATTCCCAACTAATACATATTTCCGATATCAGAATTCATTTAAATACCCAAAACCTAAAAATTATCAAAATTCTAATGAAACGCTTCATAAAACTTATCCACTTCTATCTAATTTTATCATCACTCTCAATAGTAATTAATTCTTGAAAGAGTAGAAATTCTTAAATATTTAATATATGGTAAAACTCGCACTTATTAGCAGACATATCGTCAGTCATCGTTCAAATGTTCCGCTGTACGGTGTAATCTTAGTTGAAGACGAAGAAATAGACGACGTTGTCATAGTAGAAGAAAATATTCCTGTCCAAGCTTTACTTTCCAAGTTTAAAGACTGGAATCCAATAAACTGTGAAAATCAATATATATCACCAGGCATAATTGACATAGGGATTCCCCAGTCTGAGATGACATATTGGCTTTGGCCTCTTTCCAGCAGCTTCTTTTAAGATCTCTTAATAGTCCTTTTTGGCTAGAAAATGGAAACTCAGAGTACAGTGGATGCTGAAAAATGGCTACAGGTAAAGCGTATAGCTAATTAAGATTAAGACATAGGGGTTCGGGCTGAATGGGAAGGCAACACAAATATTACTCAAATGGCTGCATCAGGCGGTGTTACCTTCATTTTACAAGAAAAATCGATCTGCAACGAGGAAAGTGAATCTACCTCATTCAAACTTTATTGCGATGTTGGGCAAATTCTGCGAATTGACTCAACGAACTTTAATGATATTGCTACATTAATTAATTCAGGGGCTTTTGCATTTAAAGGCTATTTATACCCTCCAAGCTGGATGGTTCCTTCTCTCCCAGAGGATCTCCCAGCGGTTTTTTCAGGAATTAGGGATACAGGGATACCTTTGATTATTGATCCATCTTTACCTCAGACAAGGCTCCTATTTATGGCATCTCCATGCAGGCATTTGTGCCTGAAAGACCGATTATTGACTGATATCAAGAATGATAATGAGTTTTTTGCTTCTGCATATCCTGATTCGACAAATCCCGGACTTTCAGACGAGGAAGATGAAGAAATCGTGCTCCCTCAGCGTAAAAACGACAGAACTAGATCTAACTGTATTAAATTCGTAGCAAGATTTTCAGGAAACTACACAAATGATGCAGTTAGAAACTCTAGACCTATGGAGCCATTGAAAAATATACTAGAAAATTCGCTTTTTGAAAGGAGCTGCATGAGCTATTTAGCAAAACCTGAACGAAGAAGATCAAGCTATCATGATATTTATGAAGATCTAGATTATCGAGTTAAAGTAAACGAAGTCAATATTGCAGCTTTGAGTAAAGCTGAACAAATTACATATGAAAATGCAGGAATTACAGTATTTTCAAAAGCCCAAAATCGACGAAGGAGCAGCTCTTTATCTGAATTTAAATATATGGAGCCTCACTTTGTAGCTGAAGAAGAGCATCAAACTTTTCGCCAAAAAAGATTAAAAGGGAAAAGGCCAGTTCCATTAAGCACCAACAAAGAAGAATTCAGCACCCAAAAAGACCGACGATATTTAAACCACTTAGCGAATATCCCTGATAAATGGGAAGCCAAAGGGGTTGAAAAAGTCATTGAAGTCTTACAAGCTGAAAGCTGCCGTGTCCATTTTTCCAATTTATCATCAGCTTCTGCTATAAACAAAATCAGACAAGCCAAAAAAAGCATCGAAAATATCACTTGTGAAACAGCGCCTCATTATTTATGCTTTAACGAGCAAGATATCAGGGACGGCGATACACGATTTAAAGATTACCCCCCGATAAGAAGTAAAGAAAATTCCCAATTGCTTTGGGATTTATTAAAAATGAAAGGAATTGATGTGATTTCTTCTCATCATGCTACAATACCTATTGATTATAAAAATATCGATAATGGGAGTTTTAAAAAAGCATTAAACGGGGTAAACGGCTTGGGCTTTGCAATGCAAGCGATTTGGACTGGTCTTTGTTCCCCTAACAGTACAAAATCCCAAAGAGAGCATTATATAGTCAGGCTTTCTAAATGGTTTTCTCTGCATCCTGCCAAACTACTAGGAATCAACCATAGACGAGGCAGCATAGACCGAGGCAAATTTGCCGACCTTATTATCTGGGATCCTTACGAAGAAGTCCATGGAAACTCAAATTCTGCTTTTAAAGAAAGCTGCATTTACCAAGGCCGAAAACTGCTAGGAAAAATTTCCAAAGTCTATTTGCGGGGCAAAGTTGTCTATAACGAAGGGAGTTTTCATAATCATGGAGCCAGATTATCAAGTATATAATTATATTTATAATAAATTATGCCTAAAAAATTCGGTATCAATACTAAAAGTGAAGAAGCCCGTGAAAAGAAAAAGCAGGCGAAAACAGAAAAAAGACTGGCTGAAGAAGAGCGCAAAGAAAGCATAAAATGGGCCGACGATGATGCATCTAGAAAAGCTAAAGAGGAAAGGAAAAGAGAAAAAGAAGAAAAAAAGCAGAAGGAGTTAGAAAGAAAGCAGGAAAACAGAAAACTAGCTGACGAAGAGCTAGAAACTTTAGAAGCAGCCAAAAGGAAAAAAGAGCCTCCTAACTCCCCCCCCCCCCCTCCGTGAGCGAACAAAAAAATTTTGTTCGCTCACGGAGGGGGGGGTTAATTTTTTTTTTTTAAAAAAAAATTTATATATAAATTTTATAAAAAATATTTTTTTCGAAATTTAAAAAAATCCTAATTTGCAAAAATTGGGAAGCAAATATTAATTTAATTTGCAAAATTTTATGTTTTAAAACGCAATTTGTTTAAAATTAAAACAGAATTAGCTCTAGATTTCATTATACTAATTATCACTTATATATCAAAATTTTTTTCCATTAAAATTTTTTCTATTAAAAAAATTTTTGTTCACTCACGGAGGGTGGGTTTTTGGTCAAAAAATGGCGATTTTTCTAATGGTTTTGTTCGCTCACGGAGGGGGGGGGGAGTAAGAAAATGACCCAAGCACAGATCGCAGAAATGCAGAGACAGTCACTTTTGGCAAGCTTAAGATCCCAGGTGACAGAAGAACAAAAAGCTATAGAAGAACAAAAATTCGAAGAAGACATAAACCCAAATCACATTAGAAGAGAAGAAATCGAAAAACTCGCAGAAAGAGGAGTTGATAGCTTAGACATAAGAGAACTGGACGACGCCTTAAACGCACTTGACGACAAAGTTATGAAACACCCTGAAAAGAAAGCTAAAAAGGCTTGGGATGACTATGTAGAAGCAAGACTACCTGACATGAAAAAAGAGTACCCTACCTTGAAAAGGTCTCAGCTGTTAAATATACTGCATAAGGAATGGGAAAAAGCTCCAGAAAATCCTTTCAATCAGCGCCACGTAGACTATAATGTTAAAATAAGCCAAACATAGAGGATTATTGGTCTCAGTTAATTATGTAATTAATGTATCGCTGTTACCCACTCTTCAGTATTTTCTTCTGCACTAAGAGTTGACTCAAATGGGCTTATTGGCAAAGAAAGCCCATTGTTTTTCAGCTTCATCGCAATTTTCCTATGAGAATCCAAAAGTGTGGGATCCGTTACCGATGACTCATTTGACGTCCTACCAAGCTTAGAAGAAGCTTGAGAATTGCTTGAGCCAACTCTTTTGCCTCCAATTTTCTTTTTTAAAGCTTTATTCTCCTTTGTTATGTCTTCTAGCTTTCTTTCAAGCTGGTTGTATTGTGAAGTCAGCCCTTTTAATGCTTTTTTGTGTGACTCTAATTCTAGCAGCATTTCACTGTCGTCTTCTAGCTGTCTTAAATATTCAGGGTCTTGGGTTAAATTAATGATTTCTTGCTCCAGCGTCTTTGTGTACACAATTGTTCGCTGGAGCGCAGACTCTAGCTCGTCGCGGTCTGTGTCTGATTTTTGCAAGCTGATTAAAAGATACCTTTCTTTGAGCTTGTCTAAGGAGTGCTTTTGCTTGACGTTTTCTTTGAGGAGGAGCTGGATTATTGATTTGATGTCAGCCATAAATTGTCGGCATACTTTGGCTTGCTGGTCTCTATTTATTTTTTACATTAAGGCATTTCATTTAGATCGGACTTTCATGGGTTTTCCATAGGCTTTTTCCATAGAATGCATGATATCAGCTACTACTCTTGGAGTAGCTGGGGCTGGACTGTGAATAGGAATGGCCATTTTTGTTGACAGCATATTGATAGAAACCCCACAAAGTTTTACCTTTTCTTCTTTATTAGGAATTAGTTTTTTGATTCTTAAAGCAGCCATAACTGCTCTTACAGAAACTCTAAATTTTTGTATTGGCTTTTTTTGGGTCAAAATTTGTCCTTTGAGGCAAAAAGCCTTTAAATTAAATATTTTCCTAATGTTTTTATAGGAAACTCAATTATTTTATTGCTCATAAAGCGAAATTTATATCCTTAAAAAGCCTTTTTTTGAGCGATATTATCAATTAGCAAAATTTTTTTAATTTCTTTGTTTTCTTGATCGAAAATTTTAAGGAGGTATCTTGTAAACCTTGAGTAAAATTGTTTGGTTTCTTGCATAGAGCGAACTTTTGTGAGCAGAGGAAAAAGAATCCTTAAAAGTACTTCGCTGAGAGAATCTGACAAAGATTCTTGTCTAGATTGTTCTAAACTGCTATAGAAATCACTGATGTGAATTTTTGTTTGGCTGAGGTCTTGATTAGGATATTTATAAGCATTTTTAGATGATGTTTCACTATTTCTTTTTTGATTAGAGTCACATTTACCGATATCATCGATTTTGCTTGTATAACTTCCTTTTCTTTGGCTATCCACCATGTCTTCATAATCTCTCAACTTATTTTCAGCTTCAGCCCAGTCTTTAGCCAAGCTGATAATTATAATTACTTCTAATAATTTTGCTTTTTTTAAATTTATATTTCATAAATATTCACCTAGTATAAATGGCTTAAATATTTTGCTTCTGCCGCATAACTTTTTAGATTATCAAGTTTTCGTCTTGGCTTTTTATAGCCTTGCTTTTGAACTTCATCAAATGCTAATTGTAATAAGTTGCAAGCTGCAGATACTTCATTGTGCAAATAATCTCGATCGTTAGCAAAATCCATTATGCTTGAGTGCTCAGCCATATTTTTGAATATTATCTTAAAAATATTAAATAGCTGTAATTATATAGCCTGAGCTTGATTTTGCTTTGGATTATTTAGCGAATAAGGTATAAATCTTAATAGGTATATTTTCAAAAAAGTCTTAAATATATATTTTCAATATGCTGATATAAAAAAGCATATTACTTAAAGAATATTTTATTGAATATATGCAAAGATTAGATATCATTTTTGCCACTGAATTTACCGATAATGATGTTAATGTTAAACCTTATTCCCAGTAATAATTCAGTATTTTATTAAATATAAAATAGCTTTTAATGAATTTACAATAAATTAGTTTATATATAAGAAATAAATTTTTCGGTTTTTTATCAATTGAGCATTAAAATTTAAAATGAAATATAGACAATAAAAGAATTTATCGTAAAATAAGTTCATTTTGAGTAGAAATCAAGCTGAAGAATGCAAGGATTATTAATGAATTTGTTGCAAACATAAACTAAAATTAAATATAGAACTTGCACTAAATACAGAGCCTTAAAAATTCTTATCCCTCAATTGAAAAATAAAAAAGTAAATTTAAATAAAATAAAAGTTGAAAGTGTTCTATTTTTTAAAGATCCTCATTAACATATCTGTGGAACCTAAGAACTCAATAGAATAAAATGACATTTAAATGCCAACATATTTATTTCAGCAGCAATATTTCCTAATCTCAATTACAAAAATAACTCTATACCCCATTTAATCAAAACTCTCCCTTTATCAGAATATAATTTTATTAAATGGAAATTGAATCAAAGCCTGGCGAATTTACACAAGAATCAACAAATATCCACTCACGAGATGTCTGTAGGCATGATTGCAATGATATTCAAGGAATCCCATGAAATACTAGCGCAATGAATATTTCTCGCCGAAATTTGCGAATCAGACGATTACGGACATATCATGCATACAGAAGCTGCCCAATTCCCGAAGAAAATTTCGTCGACAACACCTTATACAACGACTGTCCTTTCTTTGAGTTCAATGCAAACCATCCTCAAGCTGAATGCTGCTATAAGCATTTTCAGCTTAGAAATTGCGTCCAATACACCAATGACAATGAAATTTTATACCTCAGCCGAGGAAACTCAATTTTCTCCTTTAACCCATTCAGCCGCAAAACGAGAAAAATTAAATCTTCTGCCGTCGATATCGTCTCTTACCATTCCTGAAATAATTATCTTGTATGTGGAGGCCTAGAAGGCGAATTGCAAATAAGTGACTTAGAAGGAAACACTATAAAAGACATAATCATAGCAGACGAAGACAGCACAAAGATAACGAATCACTGCGAATTTTTCAATGACGGAAATGGGGTAAAAGTTATGGCTTGCAATAATGACAAAAAGGTGAGGATCATGGACCCTAACACCTTAGAAACTCAGCTGCAGTTTGAATTTATTGCTTGTGTAAATAAAGCGGCAATTTCTTATGATTATTCTTTAATTGCGGCAGCACTGGATGATGAAGATGTGTATATACAAGATTATAGGACAGGACAAATGACTCATAAGCTGACGGGACATAAGGACTATACGTTTGGGGTTGCATGGCATCCGAATAATGGAAATATTTTGGCGACTGGAAATCAGGATGGAGTAGGCATGATTTGGGATATCAGGAAAGGAACTGAAGTGCAGCCTTTGCATACACTTTGTGGGTTTATGGGATCGGTATTAAATCTTGCGTTCAGTGAGAATGGGGAATTTATGGCTTTTTCGGAAAGTGGGGATTTTGTGAGTATTTATGATACGAGGAGCTTTGATGAGAGACAAGTGATAGATGGATTTGGGGAAATTTCAGGGATTTGCTTTACTAAGGAGCCTAATTCATTGTATTTTTATATTGGATATGCAGATGACAGCTTCAATTCTTTGCTAGAACTGAGAAAAAAAGAAAGCGATCTTGATTTCTAATTTAAATTGCTTTATTTTAAGTAAATAAGCACAATTTAAAATGGGAGTTAGAGGTAGGGCTATGGCCATACATCTGAGCTCTGTGAGAGGGGTTCTGTGCTCCTTGAGAGACTTAGCGTGGAAAGAGATGCACTGAGGTTGGCACAGGTAGAGAGATCCTACGAGGATTGGGACATGAATAGGTCGACGGTAAAGCCGATCTTACCTACCGTTACTCAGAGCTGTCAGTCAAAGTTGAGGTCAAGGAAAGGGACTTATGCAAGCGTATTCTTATTAATTAGCATTAAGTAAATAAGAATTAAACTATTAATCTCAGTGAAACCCCAAGAATGAAAAAGATAATGAAAAAGACCCAATATTTCAAGTTGTTTCGACTATCTAAATTTTTTTGAGTAAGTTCAGCAATTTTCCGCATTTGAAAAGAATGCTTTTCTTCTTCGAATTCTTGCTGTTGTTTGCTAGCTCTCTCCGTGAGCTAGCAAAACAATTTTGTGCTAAAGGAAGTGTTAATAATTTTTTTTAAAAAAAATTATGCATGAACTTTATAGTAATTTTTTTTTTTCGAAAGAAAACATTAATTTAATTTGTTTTAAAACGCAAGCCGTTTAAAAATTAATCAGAATTAGCTTGAGATTTCATTATATAGCTATCACCTTTTTATAAAAAATTTTTTCTATTAAAAAAATTTTTTTTCGATCGCTTATAGTGGGGATTAAGCAATATTTCTTTATTCAAAAATGCTTTTTCTTTTTCTTCAATTCGTTTTTCTTTGATTATAATATCTTTATACCTTTTATCGATTGCTCCTCCTTCTGAGACTTGACTATAATCATTTTCGCGCCTAAGTCTTTCATTCTCAAAATTGAGAGTCTCATATCTTTCTTGGACATTTGTCAGCTTATTTTTTAGACGGATATTTTCAGATTTCAAAGAATTCAGCTCAGCTGATACAGCTTCAGAGGTTTCTGGAGCAAAACGTCTGGGACTATTAATAGTATTTTGTAATGAATATATTTCAGTTTGCTGCTTCTTTATAATTTCATTTAATTTCTTATTTTCTTCTATATCTATACTCTCTATTGATTTTTGATAATTTTCAATTTCTCTATTTTTTGCATTTATTTTTTCTTCATACCCACTTTTTATCTCATCTATTTCTACAGCCAAACTAGCTATTTGTCTATTTAAACTATCAATCTCAATTTTATATCTCAAAGCCTCTTCTTGATATTGATTTCTGCTTTCATTGCTTGCACTTAATTTCCTTTCCAAATCTCTTACAAGGTCTTCATATTCTTTTTTCTCATCATTAAGCTTGGCTAATCTTTGTGATAGCTGCTCATTTAAAGATTTTTCTCTGTTTTTCAATTCTGCTTCTAATTTTGTTTTTTCTTCTGACAACTGTCCTAGCCCTTGATTCAAAAATTTAATAGCTTCTTCATCTGCTTTATAATTGTTTTCTAGCTTCGCGTACTGTTCTTCTTGTTCATAAATCAATTTTTCGTAATTTTTTTTCATTGCAATTTTCTCTTCATTTAATTTTTTAATTGAATCTTTGTCAGCTATTGCTTCTTGATTTAAAAAAAATATTGATGTTTTGTCTTCGTCTATCTTTTTTGCTAAGTCTTCAATTTGGGCTTTGAGACTCTCTATAATTGCATTATATTTCTGGTCCAAATCTTCAGTTTTAGTTTCTTGTGATTTTTGCAGTTCATTTTTTATTTCAAAATCTTCATTAGGCTGTTCAGCTATAACAGCTTCTCCTTCAGTTTCTGAAGGCTTCATATACTTTATGATTTTTTGGTCTTTCCTCTTGTCTTTTAGCGACGTCCTTTTTGGGGCTTCTGATGACAAAATCTCATATTCTTCTTCAAAATCGTTAGGGATAAATTGGCTTAAATTTGCAATATTGCCTGTTTCTTTGGCTTTTTGGATGATGGTATTTAAATCATTTGCAAGCTCTGCAGGTTTGGTAAATTCTTTAGAAGAAAGTGACGACAAGTGGCTATATGCATATTGCCCATATTTTTCGATTAAAAAATTTCTTTGTGATGCGTCAGAATTGGCGTTTTTGGCTATTGCGTCCACTATGGATTTAAGCAGGTCTTGCTTATTGGCAGTTTCTATTGCATTTGTATTGGGCAGTAGCCAAATGAATTGTTCTTTTGATAAATTCAATGGCTCTTTTTTAGGGCTTGATGATGACTCGATTTCGTATTTTTCGTCTGATTCTTTTCCAAAAGTAGCTGCCCTTGTCATTCTGGTTGGAGAAGCAGGCTGTTTAAGTAGCAAATAAGAATAAATGTTTTTTGTTAACAAGTTTTCCTCTATAGTATGGGCTCCGGGATTTCTATATTTATTTAAGGCTTCTATTAGTGCAGTAGTCATAGTTTGGTTATTTGCAATTTCAAAACGGCTTTCATCAGGCCCAAGCTTTTGTATATTATTTTAAAGTATAGATATTTGGCTAGGTAATTAAATGCTTCGAGATGCAGAAATTATTTAGCGGCTCAAAATTATATCTAACTAAGAATTGAGCTGTATATAATTTCTTAAAATGCTGAGTCATTAAGCAAATATTAAAAGACCCTATAAATATAGCGTCTGCACGGTTTCTGATTCCCTTCGTCCCATTCCTACCAACACGATAAGTGGTTGGTCTTGCCAACTCTTGTTAATAAGCCAATAAATCTACCCAATAAATGCAAATTTTTAATTAAAAAGGCTGTTTTCACCAAAAAAGTTGGCAAAACAGCCATTCGATCATCTCGGGAGGCATCAGGACATAGTGAGTCAGTAACTGTAGAGAACGTATATATATATCATTATTTTTCTATATTAAAAATCCCCCATTTGCTATAATATAAAATAATTCCTTCGATAGGATACTCTGAAATTCAAGAATCCCAATTTTCGTCAATCCTAATTCCTGCTGAGTTTTGAGAAGTTGTGTTACAATCATTGGATTTTCATTTCCACCAAGTTCATCAACAGAAGAGCTTGGGCTAGTATTAGCTCTATTTCCTGACTGAATATTTGATTTTTTTGGGCTGAAGAAATTGAATTTTATTTCATTATTTCCTTTCCTCTCCTCATTGATTTCTTGAAACAATTCATCGGTAATGTCTGAAGATTTCTTATCAACCATTTTACAATTATATAGCCATTTAAATTAACCCCTTAAATATTAATAGCTTTGGTTCAGCATGTCTTGAGAATATTCGTTGCTTTCCTCCTGGCTCAGCAGTTCTCTTACAGGTCCTAGCTGTTCTAAATCCTTAGCTAGTTTTTTCATTGCGACTTGCTCTACTAATAAAGGTCTTTTGCTGACTCTTTCGTATATTTCAGCTTTTTGTTCATAGTATTCTCTTTCTTTTTCTTCCAGCTCTTCTCGTCTGTTTTTAATGGACTCTTCTCTTCTTCTTTTAAGCTCAGCAGTGTTGTCTTTTATTAGGGAACAATTTTGCACGACCCCTTTCATCATTTCGTGCTTCATCCGTCGCTCTTCTTCTTCTTGCATTTTGAGGGCTTCTTTCATCTTGGCTTCTCTTTTCTGGGCAAGCTTGTATTCAATCATAGCCTTGGTTTTTTCAGTTGTACTAGGGATTATTTTGGGCTTGTTTAGGATTGATAAGGACTTAGATCTTTTTGCCTTGGAAGGCTGGCCCCATTTTTTATTGGCATCAGCTTCTTTGTCGAGGAGCTTGAGGTAGTCGAAAGAAGACTGGGTTTCGTTGAACGCAAAAGGTTCAGGCTTTGTAGGGTTGAAGGACTGCTTGCAGGCGTCTAAGGTACTTTGGAAATCAGCTTGGAGTCTGCGGAAGTCTGGGACTGCTTTGGCTTTGAACTTTTTGGTTTTCGGCTTTGGTTTAGGAGTTTTTGAAGCTTTTTGCAGCTGTCTATAGTATAATTCCATTCTGGGAGGCATCATGGCTAGGTTTAATGACTCTATGGCAGCTTTGCTGATTCTTTCTTTTCTAGCCAGTTCTCTTTCACTTACAATTTTATCATACAGTGGGACCGATGTAGTCCATGGCACTGGATTCGCTGTAAAAACGTGTTTCGGCATTTCTGCTGGCTCTGGCTTTGTTTTAGTCAAATCCCTATAATAAAAACTAAACGGCTGTTCATTTGCTTTTGTAATTGCAATTGAATTTTGCTTTACCTGCATCCTTCTCTCCTCTTGTTCTTTCATAATCTGTTCATAACGCGGAATTTTTACTTCAGGAGGCACTGGTGTCGCTTTATAGGTGATTTTTATAGATTCTTTGATTTCTTTTTCTTTTTCCTCGAGCATCTCTTTTAGCCTTCTTTCCCTTATAGACATTCCTTTTCTTTTTTCTCTTCTGTCAAATTTAAAAGGCTCAGGGACCGTTATTGCGAATCTCGTTCCTTTAGCCCTGCTCATGTCGTCAGTTCTCTGTTTATTCTGCTCCATAAAGGAATCATTAGTCACACTTGACTGGGTCTCTGTTTTTGAATGAATCGGCTTCAGCAAGTTGTTCTTGGAAACTTGGTAAAACAGCAGGAACTTGTCCATATTAATTCCTTCTTCAGTCCCAATATTTTCTACTTGCTCCTCAATTTCCATATACATTAAAATGGCGACACGTGTCAACCTGCCCTCTTGGCGCTGCAGTCCAGACCTTATGGCTACGGCGAACTGGGACGGACTCCGAGCTGAGATCAGACGCAGGCTCAAGAAGTGTGTATCCGGGTAAGTTTTGGCTGCTTTCCTGTGTTGGAAATGGAGGTGCTCAACAACGTCCTTTGGATCCAAGGACCCATGGGCATTCCTCTACCGAGAAGCTGGGGGTTTCGGCCCAGGCCACAGAGGAACAGTCTTTTTCCTGTAGCTGTCGAAGGAAGGCACTTTGATACCCGATAGACTCCAAGGAGCTGATCTTTGGAATCAAGCTACTCCAATCGCCCGTAGCAGGGCCGCAGAAATCATAGCCGCCCACTCAAAGACTGAAGCCGCAAGGCAAGGAGGAGACAGAAGGTACCGGAAGGACACTCGCAAGAGGGATAGAACCTCTGGGCTGGAGTCGAAAAGCGGATGAACCTCCTGTATGGGAGGTCTTTGGTGACTGCGTCACCAATATGGCTAGCGCCTGACTTTAATAATCCTAATCCTAATCCTGCTCCTCAATTTCTTTATCTTTACTATTTTCGTCAAATCCAAAAACTTCAGCCAAAAGAGGATTTTTCTTGAGCTCAGCAATAAAAACGCCTTTTTCCAGCCTCGTGGCTGTTTTTCGAGTCAGCCTTAAAAACTCTTCTTTTAAGAACTTTATTATATCAGGTATTTCATTTTCCCCACTTTTCAATAGATCCCGTTTTTTCTCTATTTGGGCTTGCAGCTTGGTTTTTAAAAAGTCCTCTAATTTTTGCTCATAAATAATTTTTTGAGGTGCCACACAGCCAATTTTTTCGTCAGGGTGCCGAAACATGAAGCCAAAGTCTAAGTCTGGTGATGGGTCGACACCTCTGCCATAAGTTGGAAATTCAAACCCGGCGGACATATTTTTATAGTGCTAAGAATAAAATTTAAGGAAAGACTGAAGAGATTTGGTTAATTTGTATATAATTCTTATAAATAATAGCAATATTTATTAATTCTAGTTCGGAAGGTATACGGTTATGCAGTGTGGGTGAAAATATACATCAGAATTAGCAAAGCAGCTAGCTATTGTTCCTATTTGAATTGGATCTAAGCAATGTGAGCAGATAAAAATAGAATCAGTTAAAATTTCTTGGATCATCTAAATAGAAATTACATTATGATTTTCAAGGGAAAGGTCTCTTTCTTCTTGGTATGGGTCTTCTTCGTCACTGATTTCTATGATTTCATTGTCATATAAATTTAGCTGATTTGGAGGAATTGTATTTTGAAGTAGCTTGGCTTGGGCTTCTGCTTCAGATAGGTGTAAAGCCAATAAATACTCTGCTTGGAAGTCTCTGTTAACATGTCTATGAGGTCTCCTAACAGGGTTTTGCAGTTGTTCATTTTCTTGTGTTAATTTTCTGATTGTGTTTCTTTGTTTTCCAAGCTCTCCTCTTAAGGCGGCAATTCTCTAAATGTGAAATAAATTTTCTTGTGTCATTTTCTGTTCTCTTAGCTTTTTGATGTCGTTCTTTAGTTTTTGTAATCCAAGCAAAAATGGCATTGAGCTTTTTGGTTTATGACAGAAAATTCGTTTTTGCTATTTTTGATTATGAGGTTAGGTCTCATCCAGTTAATTTATCCTGGAAGCGTCAAGGAAGATAAAAAATCAACTGTACAGAAAAATGAAATTTTCTGGAAGTGCACCCTTAGGAAGTAGAGACAAGGGTGCCTGACAGACTAAAATAGGTTATGCAAGACGGCAGCCTTATACGTTAACTTAAAACTAATAAGTAAGAAGCAATCCAAGCAATTGAAGCTCAAATTCTTGATCCTCAATCTCCTTTGGAAGATTTTTAACTTCTTCTTTGTCTTCTAAAGAATTATACTCTTTTGCAAAATTAATGTTAGGCTTATTAGCCAGAAAATTCCTCCTGTTAATAGGCTCTAAGCTAGGAGCTTGACTTGGCCGATCCCTTTCCATATTCTATAATTTACCACAAGCAAAGCCATATCAATGTATCATAATTTCTTAATTCATGAAAATTGTTTTCTCTTCTTTATCTATTCCCCACACACAGTTTCATCTTTTCTTGGAGAAGGGGATATTATTGGCCTCATTTACCATCTTAAATTCATTCGTCTCTTTGGGGGATTTCCTGGTAATTTCAGGGATTGTCTGAACCAACTTATACTATTCAAAGCCACTCCCCAAAAAAAAGCAGAAACTCTGTTATTTGAATTGATTTAGCCAACATAAGTTTTCAAAAATTCCCCTTTTTTCCATAAGAAAAGATCTTAAATCTCAAACAAAAGAGCACCTAAGTAACATTAACTTATCAGAACACTTAAGAAATTTAAATCAGACTCTTAAGATTGAAATCTTGATAAAAACTAACGAGCCATTTTATAATGTTTTTCATTCTAAGTCTCAAGAAGAACCTAAAACTAACCCCAGAATACCTCGGCAAAAGAATCAACAAGCACCTCGCTAACCTCCTCAACAGTGCAGTTGAAGGCTCATTCGACACAAAATTCGGCTATATCGTAAAAGTGCTCAAACATGAAAAAATTGGTGAAGGGAAGGTTCAGGACTCCAGCGGCGACGTTTTGTTCCCACTCTTATACAAAGCTTTGGTCTTTATGCCTTATAAAGGTGAAGTCGTTGACGCCATGGTGAGTCAAGTCATGGAAGTTGGCTTCACAGCCACACTGGGACCAATGAGCATGTTTGTGGCGGCACAAAATATAGCTGCAGATTACTATTTGGAGCCAGAAGCTAGACCTCACCCTAGATGGGTCAATAAAACAGATCCTTCAAAAACAATTCAAGTAGGCGGCGATGTAAGACTGAGAATTATGTCTGTAAGAGTCAATGGAAATGAAATGATGGGGGTTTGTGAAATGAGTGAAGCTTATCTAGGACCAATTACAGTTTAATAATAGATTGTTGAAAATTCGTAATTTATGTCTAATAAGTTAAATAAAACCTATATATCAATACAAATTTAACTGTTTTTTATTCTTTTGAATACTTCTCTTGGGAATGCTCCTTTATTAAGCGTTGCTGGAGATTTTGGTCGAAACGTAAACAGCTCGTCGTCATCTTTCTTTATCCCTTTCAAATTGAGTGACAGATTTACAGGATTTTCCTTACAAGCCGAGTTATGACTTATAATAATACTCCTCTTTCTTGGCGTTGCCGATCTTCTCGCACTTAACTGCCTTATTTTTCTTTCTTTTTCTAAATGGTTTACAGCTTCTTGGAACAATTTCAAAGGGTGACCATGTGTGCTTGATTTTCCTTTTATTCCTTCAATAATATCTTCCTGCTGTGCTAGCTTAATTTTCAGTTTATTTTGTTCCTCAATTAAATGATTGCACAATTTATTGAGATAAACCACCTCATTGTACTTGGGATTTTGATAGGGCTTCTGTATCATTTTGAATTTGTTATGAAGCAAAGAACTCTGGTCAAATGTCGAATTTATTCGTGGAGGAAAATTTTCATCATTAAGCTGGCAATTTATTTCTCTGAGCTCTTTTTCAAGTTTTCTTGAAGAAAGAGCGGGGTGGTGGCTTTGTTCTGTAGAGAGAAAGCGATTCATAGGGCTTATACTGCTGCTTCGAGGGCCAGCTGATAGTGGGAATCCTTTTATTCGTTGGGGTTTTGAAAAAGTGTGTAGCTGGGATTTGAAGACTGTCTTTGGGTCAAGCTTTTTAAAATTTTGAAAGGAATCAGGGGTTATTGAGGGAGGCTGGTCTTCGATATAGCTTATGTTCATGTTTAAATGTAATAATAATTGAGAAAGAAATTGAATTAATGGGAAATGTATATAGGAATTGCCGAGGATGGCGCTATCTTGCGCCATCCTCGGGTAATTCAAAAAATGGCCCCACACCGGGAATCGAACCCATGTGTGGGGCCATTTTTTGTGTGTGTAAGTCGGTGTTGGCCACACACCAAAAATGGCCCCAACACGTGAGTTCGATTCCCGGTGTGGGGCAATTGCTATAGAGGTTTCCTCTATATAGCGCTAAAAGCGCAGACATTTTCCCAGGAGCTTTCCAAGTTCGTCGGACCAAATCGCTTTTTGGTCCGACCAAGGCATTGATTTGGTGCAACCTACCGATAAATTCCGATCAGAATTTATCGGCCTTACAGCGCCAAACATAGGAAACTTCTATATATTATGTATTGGCATAATTTTGGGTGGGTCTCCACATGTTGGGACGTTTTTTCGAGTGTGGAACCCAAATCCCAAATATGGAGCCAATTCAAGCTGTGAAACTCCACAGGTTCCACAAGTGAAAAAAAATGTCAAAAGTAGGAGACCCTCCCAAAATTTATTCATACATAATAAATAACTAATTAATTTAAAGAAGATGGGCTGTAAAAGAAGAGCTGAAAGAAGAATAAATATAAAAGGATGCCATTAAAATTTAAATTGAATTAATGTAATAACGTAAAATGTTGAGTAATTGAATAAAATTCACAAAATAGAAGCATTAACCTTTTTCAATAACTTCCATAGAAGGGATCATCAGTGAGCCAATTTATGCCAAAAATACGCGCTTTATTTAAAAAAGCCTTTAAAGTATGTATAACCATAATCGATTTACCTATGCTGAATTTATTAATATATCTTAGACACGAGAAACAATTTTGTCTTCTTCAGATATGCTCATCAATGCTGTAATATTAATATCAGTTTCGTAAGTTCCTGGCTACCTTTCAAGATCTTCGCAATAATTTTGGTCAGCATAGTTCTCTTCACACATATGTAGCTTTCGAGGTTCTTAAGGCCCCTCTTGCTTGGATTTGCCCTTTTCTTGTGTGGCGTTTTTTTAGAGTTCTTCTTTTAAAATTTGTTGGTTTTCTCTAACCCCTTAAATTGTAGAAAATATAGTAAATTTCCATTTTTTTGAGGCATTAATCCTCTTTAAATTTTATAGAAATAGTGAAGTAGAACATTATTTAAAAGGGTTTTTGACTGAATCGATTGATTTTTTGAATTAATCTTTCATAAAAATAATTAAAATTCAAAATTGGAGCATGATTTTTTGTTCAATTTAAAGGGATAGGAGTAAGAGATTTTGCTAAACTTGAATTTCTTTTATCTTATTCTTATCTTAATTTTCTATAACACTCTTAACGCCCACTACCAGTCAGCTCAACCACACTGATCTGAGGCGAATTTTGCGTGGCCACCTCGGGACTTTGTTCTCCAATGAGAAGACGCCAGTCTTAAGTTTGGGCTTCGACGGCTCTTCTTTGAGCTCAAGCGCTAACTTGGTTTGAACGGCACTCTTAAGATTTCAGTTTCCACAGACTGGGGTCAGTGGTGCCCTTTTGAAAATAACATTCTCTAAGGTAAGGGCCCGGTGGGAAAAACCACCCAGCCCTTCTTCCCCTGACATAGCTAGGATAATTTCACCAGGAGAAACCATATCTCATAATTAAAATATGCAAGAGATGAATTTTCGGTCGGGAGACCAGAAATTCGAGCGACGCCATATTTTAATTATGCCAAATCTCTTTTATCAAGGTTGATATTTGTCTTTTCATGTGCTCAAAATAAATTATATAGATCGAGCTGAAAAACTACACTTCGCAAAATTGGAAAGCAAACATTAATTTAATTTATTAAAATTTAAGTTTTAAAATGCAGCTTGTTTAAAACTACACAAAATTAGCTAGAGATTTTTTTATAATAATTATCACTTATATATCAAATTTTTTTTTCATAAAAAACTTTTCTATTAAAAAAAATTTTGTTCGTTCACGGAGGGTGGGTTTTTGGATTTTTCTAATTGTTTTGTTCGGTCACGGAGGGGGAAGTTAGCCTAAATGGCTTGTGAAAAATTGGAAATGTTTTAGAAGTAAAGCATTATTGGATATATTGCAGCACAACAAATGACTGGAATTTGAGAAAAATGACTGAGTAGGCTCAAACATTGAAAATTTTGAAGACAACTTATGCTTTAAAACTGAAATTTCTATTGAGATAAAAGTAGCCTTGTTATTGGGAAATATAATTTGAATGACAGCTTCAATGAAGTCTTTTAATCTAACCTCTTTATTCCAGATATCACTATTAAAGAAAAATACAGTCAAGACTTCCAAAAATTTATAGACTTGATATTTCTAAGACTTAGCGATAATTTGTATTGGCCTTATATGAGAAACATTAATCTTAAGCCAGAAACCTTCTCAAAATTTCCACTCCAGAAAGCTACCTTCTAGATTAGCTACAAAGACTAGATTTAATTTTGGAGGAGCATAAGTTCCACTAATTCAATTTGCTTATTTTAAATTTCTGTTGAACTTCATGTAATAAACAACCATAGAAGAGTCAAAAATTAGATAATAATTACTATAGGTAGAAGGTATTGATTTATAGAAATTTATAATAAAATGTCTCTAACAACTCCACTACTTGCTACAAGTTTTATGATGATGAAGATCAAGCAGGACAGCAAGAAATCTTAGAGATGAAAGACATGTCAAATGATATCCAACACATCTGAGCTTAAATTCACTATAGGTGAGCTCTTGAATTGTAGTGCTTTCAGCCCAGATGGCAAATAGTTGTGCTTTACAACTGATATGAATTTTCCATATGTGATAGCGAATGTCAAAGAACGATTTTGGACAGCTGAGATAGCAAAAAGTAAAAAATAGGCAGAAATCCAAGCATTATGAATCTATCTATCATTCAAAATAAGCCCTGTTCGCTTGAAAGGAGAATAAATATCATCAAGATAAGGCAAGACCCAAAGACCAATACTTATATAATTGGCTGTTTTGGAACTAACGCCATAACGATATTTGAACCCAGAAGGCATCTTAACCAAAATAAAGGAGGATAGAGTTGAATTTGTCTCACCTAATTTAGATATCACAAAGGATATGGCAATTTTTCATAACACCCATGATAAAATCAAAAAATTAACCTATACAAATGCCAAGAATTTATATGATTTTGGCAAGCTAAATGCTTACTCAGTCAATAATTCTGCAGCGATTTCATCTTTTGAAAACAGAATTGTCTCAGAAATTCAGAGGGATATTTACATAGATTGTAGCTAGATAATGATGAGCTTTTGCCATTAAACTGTGGTGGTAGCAGACTGATAGTAGCAATTTGCTATTATAAAAACATATATGGTGCAGCTAGCAAGAAAATCATTGTTTTAGGTAATCCTGTTTCGACTAAAAAAGTTTTAATATTTGGGAACGAAGCAAAATAAGAAAATTGATCATTTACTCAGCTTGCAGCTGGCCCTCCAGAGCATGATGTAGAGATGGATAACGTTTTCTAGCAAAATACGATATAAATATTCTACTTGTCTATGCTGACAGAGAGTTGGCAGAGCATTTGACACTAAGTTTAAAAGTTGATGGGCCATTTCCAGCTGCTATTCAAAACGAAACACCCCTCCGTTTAAGTTTGAAGAGTAAGCATAGAGATTGCATTAATGCAATCTTTAGATAAGCAATTATTGAATCCCCTTAAACTGCTTCTTATTTAGAAGTGGAATTAGATATCCTTAATGAAATCGGTGCAAGCTGACTTGATGAGTTTTATAGCTCTATTTCATTAAGAGAGAAAATGAAGTCAAACAATTTGCTAATAATGCAATAGACTCCCAAAATTGTTTATTCAGAAACCTTTGTGTCTTTTAAAAGAAACTTTGAAGAGTCAAATAAATTGACCAGCTTAAAAAAATTGCCCTAACAAAAACATTTTCACTACAAATGTTTAGGGTGTTAGGGTGTTAGGGTGTAGGTTAGGGTGTTAGGGTGTTAGGGTGTTAGGGTGTTAGGGTGTTAGGGTGTTAGGGTGTTAGGGTGTTAGGGTGTTAGGGTGTTAGGGTGTTAGGGTGTTAGGGTGTTAGGGTGTTAGGGTGTTAGGGTGTTAGGGTGTTAGGGTGTTAGGGTGTTAGGGTGTTAGGGTGTTAGGGTGTTAGGGTGTTAGGGTGTTAGGGTGTTAGGGTGTTAGGGTGTTAGGGTGTTAGGGTGTTAGGGTGTTAGGGTGTTAGGGTGTTAGGGTGTTAGGGTGTTAGGGTGTTAGGGTGTTAGGGTGTTAGGGTGTTAGGGTGTTTAGGGTGTTAGGGTGTTAGGGTGTTAGGGTGTTAGGGTGTTAGGGTGTTAGGGTGTTAGGGTGTTAGGGTGTTAGGGTGTTAGGGTAGTGTGTAGGGTGTTAGGGTTAGGGTGTTAGGGTGTTTAGGGTGTTAGGGTGTTAGGGTGTTAGGGTGTTAGGGTGTTAGGGTGTTAGGGTGTTAGGGTGTTAGGGTGTTAGGGTGTTAGGGTGTTAGGGTGTTAGGGTGTTAGGGTGTTAGGGTGTTAGGGTGTTAGGGTTAGGGTGTTAGGGTGTTAGGGTGTTAGGGGTTAGGGTTAGGGTGTTAGGGTGTTAGGGTGTTAGGGTGTTAGGGTGTTAGGGTGTTAGGGTGTTAGGGTGTTAGGGTGTTAGGGTGTTAGGGTGTTAGGGTGTTAGGGTGTTAGGGTGTTAGGGTGTTAGGGTGTTAGGTGTGGTGTTAGGGTGTTAGGGTGTTAGGGTGTTAGGGTGTTAGGGTGTTAGGGTGTTAGGGTGTTAGGGTGTTAGGGTGTTAGGGTGTTAGGGTGTTAGGGTGTTAGGGTGTTAGGGTGTTAGGGTGTTAGGGTGTTAGGGTGTTAGGGTGTTAGGGTGTTAGGGTGTTAGGGTGTTAGGGTGTTAGGGTGTTAGGGTGTTAGGGTGTTAGGGTGTTAGGGTGTTAGGGTGGGTTAGGGTGTTAGGGTGTTAGGGTGTTAGGGTGTTAGGGTGTTAGGGTGTTAGGGTGTTAGGGTGTTAGGGTGTTAGGGTGTTTAGGGTGTTAGGGTGTTAGGTGTTAGGGTGTTAGGGTGTTAGGGTGTTAGGGTGTTAGGGTGTTAGGGTGTTAGGGTGTTAGGGTGTTAGGGTGTTAGGGTGTTAGGGTGTTAGGGTGTTAGGGTGTTAGGGTGTTAGGGTGTTAGGGTGTTAGGGTGTTAGGGTGTTAGGGTGTTAGGGTGTTAGGGTGTTAGGGTGTTAGGGTGTTAGGGTGTTAGGGTGTTAGGGTGTTAGGGTGTTAGGGTGTTAGGGTGTTAGGGTGTTAGGGTAGGTTAGGGTGTTAGGGTGTTAGGGTGTTAGGGTGTTAGGGTGTTAGGGTGTTAGGGTGTTAGGGTGTTAGGGTGTTAGGGTGTTAGGGGTGTTAGGGTGTTAGGGTGTTAGGGTGTTAGGGTGTTAGGGTGTTAGGGTGTTAGGGTGTTAGGGTGTTAGGGTGTTAGGGTGTTAGGGTGTTAGGGTGTTAGGGTGTTAGGGTGTTAGGGTGTTAGGGTGTTAGGGTGTTAGGGTGTTAGGGTGTTAGGGTGTTAGGGTGTTAGGGTGTTAGGGTGTTAGGGTGTTAGGGTGTTAGGGTGTTAGGGTGTTAGGGTGTTAGGGTGTTAGGGTGTTAGGGTGTTAGGGTGTTTAGGGTGTTAGGGTGTTAGGGTGTTAGGGGTGTTAGGGTGTTAGGGTGTTAGGGGTTAGGGTGTTAGGGTGTTAGGGTGTTAGGGTGTTAGGGTGTTAGAGGGTGTTAGGGTGTTACGGGTGTTAGGGTGTTAGGGTGTTAGGG